CGTAGCCGTACGCGACGTCCTTGATCCAGGCCGCGTCGCGCGTGCTGCCCTCGCCGCACCCGCCGAGAATGACGGCGCAGCGCGCGCCCTTCGCCATCAGCGACGCCGTCTTCAGATACGTCTTGCGCATGTACTCTTCGAAGCCGGCTTGCGTCGGCGACTCGGCCGGCTTGGTCGTCGCCTTGAGCTGGATCACCTCGCCCTCGACCAGGTTCGCGACCGTCGTCGAGAGCAGCTCGGTGACCTCTGCATTGCCCAGGCGGGCGAGGCCGACCGACGCGCGGCCAAGGAGGAAGTCGCCCGCGAGGATGCTGAGCTTGTTGCCGAACGCGGCGGGAGCGGAGGGCGCGCCGCGGCGCAGGTCCGAGGCGTCAATCACGTCGTCGTGGAGCAGGGACGCGACGTGGATCATCTCGCAGATGGACGCCAACCGCCGCTGCGTCGGGAGGATGACCTTGCCGTCTCCGGCCGGCAGAATGTCCGCAAACTTGGTATGCGTCACCTCTGGCGGGTTCGGGGGCTGGTTGCTGCTGAACAAGAAGTTGAACCCGCCCAGCTGGTCCTGTGTTCCCGCCTCGGAGCGGGTTATCCTGAACGGCTCGCTGAACACCATCCGTCCCCTGGGCTCCAGCCCCATGCTCTCCGGGTTCCAGTCGTTCAGCACGCCCCCCATCTCCGTCACGGCGCGGTTGATGCCGCCGCTGCGCAGGCGCTGGTCCTCCGCCGCGCGCGCGTAGGCGCTCTCCCACCCCCGGCCGGCGAGGCCGTTCGTCGCCTGCGCCATCAGCAGCACGAGCAGGGGTCGCAAAGCCTTGCCCTCCGCCTTGAAGTAGTACTTGGCCACAGCGTCCAGGGACGGGTGCGACGAGCCAAGCATCTGGAACAGCGACGCCTTCAGTTCCCCAATCTCGCCCTTAATCGCGAACAGAGGGTCCTCGACCGCCGCACCCTCGGCGAGAATGTTGTGCGCATTCTGCGTCGCCTGCGCCCACCCCGAAGGTCCAGATGGGCCCGAGGGCACCGAGGGCTGCTGGACCGCAGCGGCCGCTGAGCGTTTCGGCGTCGAGGAGTGCGTCGCCCGCCGTCCAAGCGGCCGCAGCGAGCGGGATGGTCGTAGTGTCGCGCGGATCATGCCGAGTATGTCCGTCCGTCGTCACGCACGGGTTCGAGTCGTGTACCGGTGTCGGTGGGGCCGGAGCGAGCTCGGTACGTTGGTGTTGTTTTAGGAATAAACAGTCGGAGAGAAAAAAGTTGAGATGGCGTTCCGATAAGAATCCCAGGGCCTTTCTCTTTCTTCAGTTGTGCTGTGTGCCCGGGCGCTCCGAAATTTCAGTGAGTAACCGAGGAGGAAACAGTCGTTCAGAGCGGACTCGCCGAATCGCAAGTCGGATCGCTGTCGCAAGCTGGTGTGTAGAGTTGGGGAAGGACAGACAGACGTCCCGCAGACTTGTGGTTTGAGATTGAGTGGACCACCACTACCACCGTGTGAGGAAAATGTCGGATGAATGGCGCCCAGCCGCCTAGCCCGCAGCCTGGAACTCTGACTGCCCAGGGATCGGCACCGGCTCTCGCTCTCGCTCTCATTACTCATAGCGCTGACTGGCCCGCCGGCCCCAAGTCGCGCTAGGCGTGGGAACAGAGGGGCCGTAATATTTGGACGCCTACAACGTTCGTAAGGGTTATCACGTGACTCAGTTCAACCTCCACCGCCCGCTCCCAAAAGTTGCGACTGGGTCTGCGTCATGAGCAACAGCTTTGTTGTTGTTGCTAGCAAGAACCGACAAGCACCATGGTGAAAGGTGAGCTCTATTGCTCGGTCCAAGCTGAAAATAGCAGACAAGAAATCCAAACCTAAGTCAAAGACCAAAGCTGAGGCCGCGCCGGCCAAGCGCGAGCCTTCCCCAGCGCCTTCCTCGTCTTCCTCGAGTGCGAGCGATGTGTCCGACTCGGAGAGCGACTATTCGACGACCGACACCGAGGAGGACGATGATGGCGCGCAGCTTACCCCCGCCATGGACGCCGCCATCCTCCGCACCCTCGCCAAGATCAAGAAGGGTGGTGAGGAGCTCTATGCCGGTCAGAACGTGCTCCAGAGCGAGCTCGAGACGGCGCGCAAGGCGGCCGAGGCACGCGGCCTCAAGGTTGCCTCAGAGAAGAAGACCGAGGAGCAGGTGAGCTAACCGACTGTCATGCTGGAGCTCTCCGCTAACATCACAGCCTTTCCTCCTGAAGGACCTGCACCGGCAGAACCTGCTCGAGGGCGTCGCCGCCGACTCCGACGATGAGGGCGAGCCGCTCACATTTGTGGAGGAGACGCGGCGTGCGCGCGACGACGCCGTCAACGCTTTCAAGGCCTTTGCCGGCTCTGACGATGAGAGCGAGGACGACCTCCTCGTGAAGCGCGAGAAGGACGCGGACGAGGCCGAGGAAGACGACGAAGCGTACCGCCGCTTCCTGCTCGAGATGGGTGGTGGCGAGGAGGAGGTCCGCGCCGCACTCGGCATGGGTCCCGCCCCGATGACCAACTACCGAGAGGACTCGGATGACGAGGAGGACTTCTTCCGCGCCGAGTCTAGCACCGCCGACGCTGATAAGAAGGACAAGAAGGAGAAGAAGAAGAGCAAGAAGGAGAAGAAGAGCGCCGAGGCCAAGGCCGCCGCCCGTGCCAAGGCCGACGATCAGTTCCTCATGGAGTGAGTTTGCCTCTGTCCCTCGAAACTGACAAACAGCTACATTCTGAACCGAGGATGGATCGAGAAGAAGGCGGACAAGTCGCACGTCCCGACCTACGAGGAGATTGTGGGCCACGAGCGACCCGAGGGCGAGGCATCTGACGACGAGAACGCCCCCTGGGGCGCCTTGTCCGAGGACGAGGAGTTTGAAGACCGGGCCGAAGAGTTCGAAACGCAGTACAACTTCCGTTTCGAGGAGCCCGGCGCGGCCGAGATCATCTCTCACCCGCGTCAGATCGAGTCTCTCGCGCGCCGCGACGACGACAAGCGCAAGCTGAAGCGCGAGGCCAGGGCTGAGCGCAAGGCGGCCGAGAAGGCGGAGCGCGAGGCCGAGACAAAGCGGCAAAAGGGCGAGAAGCGGCGCGAGATGGAGAAGCAGCTCGCAGCCCTCAAAGAAGAAGTAGGCGACGCCGATGTCGACTGGACCGCCGTCGAGAAGGTGCTCGAGGGCGAGTACGACGAAGGGGAGTGGGACCGTGTCGTGGGCGAGATGCTGGCCAAGGCGGCCGAGTCTGACGACGAGAAACCGACCTGGGACGACGACGACGGAGACTACCCCATGGATGAGGAGGAGGATGCGGGCTGGGTTGAGCCGCAAGCCTGGGAAGAAACCGAGGACTGGGCCGCGGGTGCGGGCGAGGATGAGGAGGACGACGGCCCAATCAACATGGACGCCGACTTTATGGACGAGGAGCCAGCGCCCAAGAAGAAGCTCTCAAAGAAGGAGAAGAAGAAGGCCAAGAAGGCGGCTGCTGCTGCTGCCGCCGGCGCAGGCGGCGCCGCGGGCGAGGAGGAGGACGACGAGAAGCTCTCTGTCGCCGAGCGCGCTGCGCGCGTCAAGGCTGCCGCCGACTCCCTGCGCAGTTTGGACCACGAAGACTCGATCGGCGACCTGAAGACGCGCTTCAAGTACGTCAAGTCTGCGCCGAGTACATTCGGCCTGACGCCGGCCGAGATCCTCCTCGCAACAGACGCGGAACTGAACGAGCTTGTCTCCGTCAAGGCCCTGGCGCCGTACCGGAGGGGCGGCCTGGGACGCGCCGGATACGGCCTGGGCCGGCGCGTGCGCGACCTCAAGGCCAGGCTCCAGGGCCGTAAGTGGGGAGAGGAGCCCGAGCCCGAGTCCAAGAAGAAGGCAGCCAAGAAGGCAGGCGGCGGTGAGGGCGGTGGCGCCAATGCCATCCCCCTCGGGCTCGGAAAGGGGAAGAGCGCCGAGGGACGGCCGGGCAAGCGTCTGGGGAGGAAGGAGAGGGAGAAGCTCCGCGCTGCCGCGGGCGGGGAGGAGGGGGAGGGAGGAGAGGCTGTGGCGGGCGAGAAGAGGAAGCGCCAGGAGGAGCCCGAGCCCGAGCCCGCCGTCGAGGCCAGGACTGAGGTTGTGGCTGAGGGAGGCGCCGGAGACGGCGAGAAGAAGAAGAAGCGCAGGAAGAAGAAGAAGGCCGCTGCTGTTGAGGCTTAGGGTCTGGGGCGTGGTTTCCCATAGACATGAATGTACAAGTGTATCTCTCCCACTTGCTGTGCTGCATGCTGACTCTACCACTGCTCCAGATGTTCTGGCTCACGCTCACGCTCACGCTGCGCGCTCGCTCAGATTGTATGATGATTCGATGGAAGTGCATTATAACTGGTTGGTAGTGCTAAACCCAATTTGTCGGTTGGTACAAATACACCTATATGGCAACACACCCTTTGTGAATAGTCGAGAGAAAAACGAGAAGGAAAAGATGTCGATGAGAGGGGGAAGGGGGCGAATGGCAATGGTGGAGAGAAGATGAAGAGATGAAGGGTGAAGGGTGAAGGGTGACTACTATTAAAAACTGGTGGGAATTGCTGGTCTGCCTTGATATGATGGTTTAATTGCGAGTTGATGATGGAGTAAGTTTGGAGGGGATCATTGGAAGTTGGAGACGAGGCGGCGCGCACCCTGTGTCGTTGCGCGCGCCGTGCCCGCGACGACGCGCAGACCCTGGCGCATCGCGAGGCGGCCGAAACTGAGCAGATCGAACACGTGCGGCGTCGGCGTGAACGTGGCCAGGCTGACGGCGAGGGGCGAAGACGGCTCGGCGGGGTACTCGTTCGGGTCGAGGCCGGTAGTGTCGAGCCCGAGCACTGAAGTCGTCGTCGGCGTCGTCGGGGTGGTGGGTTCCTCGTCGGTGGAGACGTCGTCGTCGTCCTCGGCTTGGGAACGGCGCTTGAACAGCACGGGTACAACAGTGAGGAGCGTGAGGAAGACGAGTTTGGCGATCAGGGTCGGGTCTCGCAGCAGCGAAGTCAGCGACTCGCCCTGTGCGCCCTCGGCTGCGGCGGCCGGCTGCTGGGGAGAGCGAGGCGGGAGAGAATGTTTCCGACAGAGGCGGTGACGTAGCTCCAGCTCGCGCTGCCGGCGGCAGTTGTCAGCCAGAAGATGCGCCAATCGACACCGACCACGCCGCAAGCAACGTTCATGCCGGACCACGGGACGAAGCCCATGGCACGCATGAGCAGCAGACGGCGCCAGATGCCGGGCCGATCCTCTGGAGCGCCGAGCGGCCGCTCCGTTGGATTAGTCGACACGCGGATCGGCGTAACCAGCTCGCCGTCGTCGTTGTACTGCACGCCGTGGCGAGGGCGGGGCACCTGGTCCGGAGCGAGAGCGGCCCGGACAAGCGCGAGCGGCTTCGGGAACAGGACACCGATCAGCGGAGCCAGAGGCCGGGACAGCATGTAGGCACCGAGGGAACCGGAAGCAGTGATCAAAGTCAACAGCGTCAGAGCCGCGAGAGGCTCAAACACTGAACCAACCAGAATGTTGAGCACGACGGCTCCCGGGACACTCCACGCGTGCTTCCAACATCCAATGTAGGTCAGCACGCCGACAGTGTGCCACCATCCCGTGTTGCTCGAGGCCATGTACGCGCGCATCTCGGCCGACAGCAGCTGCAGGTCGGTCGTCGACTTGGGCATCGACTTGAGCTGGGTGATCGGGATGCTCCTGACACCGTAGATGACGAGAAGCAGCGAGACAACAAAGAGTCCCGCGAGTAACGCGACCGTCCATCCGAGCTCACGCAAGACCTGGGCCGTCTTGCCACTTCCGGAACCGTTGCTGGATACGATGGTGCGGTACACCTTGACCCACCATCCGTCGGCGGGCTCTTGCTGGAGGGCGGCGGCGCGAGACGTGCGGCGTGGCCGTCCAGAACGATGCGGTTGTCCAGATAAAGAGCGAGTCGAGAGCGCAGGGGTCGGCAAAGACTGGGGGAAAGGGAGGTCGCACTGCTCCTCCACTGGCGGTGTCGGAGGCAGGGTGAAGTACGTCGGTGTGTCCGGCGGCGACGACTGAGCCGGGCCACTCGAGAACAGGCCCCAGTAGCGTCCAGACCTGCTCATGGAGCCCATCCCGACGTGTGTGTCGTTGTCGTCATCGAGGAAGTCGTCAATCTCGGAACCATCTAACCCTTTTTCAGAATCCTCGTCAGACAGGGATCGACGCGAGTCGCGACGCGCGTGACCACGACGAGGATTCGGCTTGGCCCAGGACCAGACGCGGTTGACAATGCTCTCGCCCATGTCGTACGCCGAGCTGAGGATACCGGTCGACGTGTCGTCGGAACCTCGCATTTCGGGTCCGGTCGTGGGGGGAGGACTCGGCGGGGTGACGTACATCTGCGACCATGGTGGCGGTGGTGTGGAGGTGTACGCCGGGGTCGGAAGCGGTGCTATCGATGCTGGTGGAGCTGTCAGAGTCTGTACCGGCCTCGTGTACTCGGCGTCTGGCGGTGCCAGTTGCTGGGGGACAACGATGGAGGTGGACGTGGACCTTGCTCTTGTCTCACATTGTTTGACGGCATTGATCTGGGGTTCCTCTGGTTTCTCCGAGTCCTCCTCGACGAGGGAACGCTTGGCGAGGTTGGGGGTCGATATACGCCTCTTCAGGCCTCTACTCCGCGAGCCTCCGGCGGTCGGGGAAGAACTCGGCCCACCGTTGCCGTCGCCGCTGTACATGCGATGGCTGATGGCACTGGTCGCGATCGGTGGGCGCGCCCCTGAGACAGACTTTGATGACCGTCGGTTGCCTCGTGCTTCTAGACGCGATGTCGACTCTATCCGGTACAGGTCTGCCGGCTCGTCATACGTGACAGGTGACTGCAGAAGCACCCCACCGGTTTCTCGAGACATGATCTCTGTCGGCTTGCCGAAGGAAACGGTCGCGGTGCGCGAGCGTAGCCTCGGTCGCTGCCCTGACGCTGGCGGAGAGCTGGGTGGAGCGAAAAGGGGTGCAAGGGTGGACGATGAGGCAATTCAGTAGTTCAAAAGTGGAGTCGGCGGGTTAGTTGCAACGATGGATGCGTCGACGTCGAACAGAGAGTCGCGCGCGGGGTATGTATGCGTCGATGGGTGAGGCGAGCCCGATGTGTCGTCGTTGTGTGATGGGCCGTGGGAGGGGGGGTCGGAAAGACCGAAAGGAAGCCCGATTGTTGACAAGGATGGAATGTCGCGAGGCGCGGGGAATGAGTGACGAAGAGTGAGCAAGCGTCGACGTCGGTGAGATCAGGCGGGGAGAACGAAGCGAACCATGCGAGGAGAGGGGAGAATGTCAGTGGCTGTAGACCGAAGGAGGGAGAGGGAAGGAAGGTGTGACGGGGGAAGGGTGATCTGTCGAGGAGCCGTCGTTCGTTGTTCGTGTCCTCGATTTCTGCTTTCAGACTGTTGGGCTGAAGGCCGAGGCTGGGGGCTGGGTCTGTGACGAGGGTTGGCTTGTGCTCTGTGCTCTAGACGCAAGCCACGCGGGGTGATGGTCGGTAGGAACGGCAGCGTCCTTGCGTTGATCGGTAGAGCGGCAGGCTGCAGTTGGCAGGAAGCAGCGCGGAGAAGGGCGGAGGAGGGCGGAGGGGCGCGGGACCAGCGGAGTGATGATGCTGGGGGCGAAAATATGAGGGATAGATGTGGGGGTGTAGGTCGGGCGACAAGGGGATTGTCGTCGGTGATGTCGCGGATCGAAAGAGTCGACGAGGAAGGTGAGGAAGGTGACGAAGGTCGGAGAGACGGAGGGGAAGGGGAAGGAGGGGTGGTGTGGACTACTTACAGACTAGCGGGCATGTTGGTGAGCCTATGTGTGTTGTTGGTGTGGGATCTCGGGGCGGCGGCCAGAGGCCAAGGCCATGCAGTGGAGAGTGGAGAGTCTGGTCTGGGTGTGTCTAGGCGTGCAAGGCGGGTGTGCGTGCGGGAAGAGGGAGGGAGGGTGGGTGTGCTTTGGACAAGGGGGGTATGGAAGGCGGATGCGTAGGTCGTCGGATTGGAAGGATGCGCGGTTCGTGTTGAGCAGTGGTGGTGATACTCTGGATGGTCTGACTGCTCCAGGGTCGGCGACCGATGCGTGCGTGCGTGCGTGCGGTGCCTCTGGTGTCCAGTCTCGTGGCCATGCACATCCGACGGGCCCCCCAGCACTGCACGCACTGCATGCACTGCACATCACCCACACACATACGCGGGACCAAATATTTGTGAAAGGCTCGCGGTCAACTTGCTTCCGCACGACCCCGTGGCGACCTTGGATGCGCGGCCGAAGGGCGACGACGGGGGCCGAAGGGCCTGCCCCCCCTGCACACGGCCCCAGACTTGGCCGCCTCGGCATCCTCCTCCATGCTGAGCTCAGCGACGCATCTGCACGGCCATTGTTACTGCAATCTGTCCTGCTCGCCGTGCTTGCAGCCGTGTCATTCCTTCTTCAACAACATGCACTAACGGCGTCGACACGCGCAGTCAAGTCAGAAGCACGTTACAAGCATGTGGCAAAGGTCGGCGACGTCATGTCCATCGCTGGTGTGTTGCCAGTGGTACCGCATGTACCGCCTCCCGCTCCAAATGTGGACCTTGCTGACACTACTGCGATGCGCACCGCTGTTCCCGCATGTGCTGCAAAAACGTGACTCCGCATCCGCACACAGGCATTGGTTTGTCAGGCCCATTACGCAATCGCAGACCCTACCTCATGTCCGTCGCTTCAATCCCCGTCATCTCTCCGTCAGTCGCCGTCAATCTCTGTCAGACGCCGTGAGCATCATTAAGTGGTGCACATGGCTATGCGGGGCACGGCAGATGAGGGCAACGCTAGCCTATGTGCATGCACTGAAAAATGCAAGCGAACTTGGGTCTATTATTGGAATGATCACCAACACCCAACCCGTCCGCGGGACATGACCAAGGAGCGGCCCCGGTATCAGTTATCTACACCCCGTACCCCGGGATTTGGCCTATCAGAGCCCGCGCAAGCCCGCGATCTGCGGCAGCTACGACAGGCTGCTGACTACATGACTACTACAAGACGGACAGTCCGAGCCGACGGTAGCGAGCAACTCTTTGACTTGAGGCGAGATGAGCGGCGTTCAGATGTCGGCCGGCTTGGGTGCCAAGAAGCTCCGTTGGTCAGTTCTCATCGGGGACTGCGCCCGATTCCGAGGTTCAGTAAAGTCAACCTCGTGGCGCGCATGGCGCGGGCGGGCGCCTGATGACTACTTCCAGCCTGTTGAAACTCCTGGCTTCTGGACCAGATGATTGACGGCGGCCAGGCCCTCCTGTCTGAGACAACGAGACGGTTGGCGCCGTCGCAGCTGTCACACTACTGTCGCCATCGCGTCCTCTCGCCCGAACGCCCACTTCGAACTGACTTGCTTGCCCGACTTCTCATCACGAGACCTCCAGCTGTCGCCTGACACCAGAATGCCAGTCCGCCATGCTACCCCGCCAAGACTGCCAGTACGTGCAGCGCAAGTGTGCTTCGGCCCCGGCCTCCCTTCTTCCCTTCTTGGCACAAGGGGCATGACTGGCTTTCGTCTGGCTTTCGGGCCCCTCTGGCCCTCGTCCGCTTCGTGGTCGTCAGACCTGGCTGAGCTCTCTCCGATCTCTCTCCGATCTCCGAGCTGCCTCTTCCATCATAACTGGAGATCTATGTAAGCGAGAAATTTAAGAGTACAAAGTGAGATCTACCTTCTTGAGGGCGAGGGCTCGAGGGGACGAACGGTTCACCGGCTGTTTAATGCACCGCCGAGCAGACACCCCGCGGTCCTCGGTCCATTGCGACGATCATATCTGAAACGGGGCGACGTGCACCTGCTCTCTCTTCCCTCCATGCCTCTCCAAACTCGAAATGATCTACGCAATCATAATGAGCCGGTAAGAAATGAAGGTTGAGTGAATGCGGACCCAGCGGCCCGCTCATCAATCCGAGCCTCAGTACAATCGAAGCTTCTTCGCTCTCGGCGCAATGTTTGGAGCGTGTGACCTTTGTCGAGGTCGACCAGTTCCCACATTCCCGCCGCAACGAAACGGGCCATTCTCTGTTAACCGATACACAATGAGGCACAAATGATCAATCAATGATCAATGGACCGAAGCGAGCATAATGCAATACACACTCGCGTACTCGCGAATATGTAGTTGAGGAACGTTCCCAATGTGGACAAACGGACAAGAAAGAGAGAAAGGCGCAATTGTGCGAACGTACGCGTCGCACAGCTTCGAAACGACAATTGGAGACTTTCCCCTTGTGTATGCGATCCAGAACTCACACTCACACTCACACTCACACCGCCCTTCCCCTCCAGCAGTCACGAGACCACCACACACACCACGGCACCAAGGATGGAAGGTGCTCCACGCTCCACTAACGCTTGACCCATTCTGGCATGCGGCGCATTCTCCGACGTGCCCTCTGGCCCTCCGACCCAAACCATGCGTTACCAAGTGACCACCAGTGACCAGCCAAGTGACCGGCCAGAACCCCGGCGTCACACTGCGTCATGCGTCATCATGTTACAATCTCTTCGCATCACTACGCGTCCGCCTTCCCCGCTCGGGATATGACGATCTCGCTCCCAGCCGTTCAGCCAACTCGGAGCGGGCGGAGCGGGGCATGCGGGGCCGCCGACCGACCGACGCGCCATCATACCGTAGCTCCATAGATCCATAGCTCCATAACCATGCCCGGCATGCCCGGCGTCCACCGGCATACCGGCCCTCGGGCCTTGGTCGCTGTACGGAGAACGTCAGTTGTAGATGAGATCTATGGAAGTGGGCAAAAACGATGACGATTCTTGTTTGTTTGTTTGTTTCAGATTCTGTTGTTGCTGAAATGCATACTTCTACAACTTTCGTTACAAAAAAATAAAGGTGAAATGCTGCTGACTTGACTTTGACTTTGGGGAGACTGCGTTTGCTTTGGATTGCGTGACGTTGCTAATGGCGCGTTGAATAACAGTTGTTGCTGGGTTCCGACTAGACTTGTGGACAAGACACTTGGTAGCCAAGCTACAAGGAACCAAGTCGGGGAGATGAGGATTGGAATTGTCGATGCTAGGAGAGAGAAAGAATGCGGGGTATGGATGAAATGCCGTATATCAAAAATCATGCTTTGAAGTAGAACAGCCCCTTGTTGGGGTTGACAACGACGCCCTTGGGGAGCTCGTACGTCTTGTGCTCGGACGCACCCCAGTCGAAACCGGCGCGGGGTACAGAGCGACCGGCCGCAGTCTCAGTCGAGACACACGTGTCCGCGGCACACGAGGCGCCAATGCGGAGTGCGGCGAGGTCGGGCAGCGCGTTCGACGATTGGGGGCGGGTCGGGCGCGACTCGCGGCGGAGGCGAGACTGGGGCGTGCGGGGAGTGCCCGTGCCCGAAGCCGAGCGAGTCGCAGACGCAGCGGAGACGCCATTCGAGACAGACGAAGCCTTCGTGGCACGAGGGGGAATCGGGAGGGCGATGGACATGGCCTTGGTGCCGAGGGCGGGCGAGGGAGGGACACGGCCCTCACGGGTGCGCGAGCGAGAGCGAGAGCGGGAGCGGCTCGCCGAGCGGTGGCCGTAACGGATCTGCCAGCCACCGTTCTCCATCTCAAGAGACTGAGTGGGAGTCACGTCCTTGTTGCTCTCGCCGCGGCCGCGAACGCGGTGCAGGTCGAGTGACGAGGGAGCCTCACGGGGGATGGAAGAGGCAACCGAGTCGACCTCGGAAGCGTTCGAGTACTTGCGGGCGACGCGCTGACGCTCACGGACCTCAGCCTTGCCGAAAGCATCCCAGGTCGCGCCCGAGTTGGTGCGCGAGCGGCTCGGGGTGTACGATCCGCGCACGGTGCCGTTGCCAGGAGAGGCAAGGACCGAGTGACGGTTGTCGGGAGTGACACTGCCCGGAATGGGAGTAGCACGCAGCGACGGCGAGATCGTCATATCCCGAGCGGGGAAGGCGGACGCGTAGGTGTGCATGAGGAAGGCCGTGGCGGAAGGCGCAGATCCGACCTGGGCGGGCAGAACGTAGCCAGATCCGGTAGGCGAGGTCATGCCAGCGAGCGACGACTGCGAGTAATTGCTTCGCGCGAAAGGACGGGGACCAGCGGCGTTGCCGCCGCCCTCAGACGAGGTCGACATGTGACGTCCCTCCTGGTGGATCGGGGCCATGGAGCGCACTGCACCGCTCAGGGACATGGTGCGGTGCATCTCCTGGTCCTGCCACAGGGAGGAGAGCGAGTCGCTCGAAGCAGCCGAGGCAGCGGAACGGCTGGCGCTCGAGCGCTGGCGAGACATCTGCAGCTGGATGTGAACAGACGTGACAGTGATGGGAGTCGTGTTCATCGAAGAGCGGCGCTTGCGCTCAAGCTCCTTCCAGTCGTCAGACTGTCTTCGGCCCATGCGGAAGTAGTCCATGCCCTTGGGCACCGAAGCCGTGTCGGAGAAGACAGTGTCGGTCGTGGTGGGCGTAGATGACAGCGGGGCGAGAAGTCCAGAGACAGAAGCCGACGAATCCGTGTCAGAGCCAAGAATCGGCGAAGGAGGGGCGACGGCAGGCATGCTGCGCAGCGTAGCCACTTCGGGGTTGCCGAAGACGCGAACAAAGTCCTCGTAGGTCTGATGACTTGATCCGTAGTCCTGGTCACGGCACGCCTCTGAGCAGTAGATCGTCGAAGTGAACACTGGCTGAACGACCTTTTCGGCAGAAGGCGAGTCGCCGCCGGCAGGAACCGCCAAAAGGTCGGGGTGGGTTACGTCAGTGTCCGACTTGCTCGTCGTCGGTTGGGACTTCGTCGACGCCGGGCGACGCGGCGCAAGCTTGGTGTGCTTGACACCGTTGGCAGTGCGCGTCGTCGTGGTACCGTCAGGATTCCGTATCTTTTGGAGGCGTCAGCCAAAATGCAGAACAAGATGGAGCACGCGACCATGTTCCACTGGCGCGCGCTACAATTTCAAGCTAAACTCACCCTGATGGATCCGGCAGCCTTCTTCTTTGACGGCGACTTGACCGCCTTCTCAGCCTCGGGGTCGGCGGGCGGCACGATCAGGCGCTCGCAGACGAGACAATAGTTTTGGAAACCGTCCATGGTGGTGACGACACGTTGGTGTCAAGGCCGGGTGATCCAAAGCCAAACAAGGATGGGGGAGGAATGTGGGGTGGCGGCACCTGCAAGTCCGTGTCAGAGGTGTTTTTCATGTGTGTAGAACAAAGCGTCCGGGTACGCAGCCACGCATGCAAGGAAAGGGGTGGATGGATTGCACTGCTGTGCAGACGGTCTAATGGGGCTGCGGCAACGCCGATGTTGATCGCGGTTGCACAGGTGGGACGCAAGCGCAAACTCACTACTATGGCCGGTTTGCCACCGTTGGAGTGATGGCGCGGGTCGGAGTTTGTTTTCCGCCCGAGGATGGCTTACTACCAGGTGGCACGCGTCTGATTCACGGGCCGGTCGGTAGCGGTGTGGAGTCGATACTCGAAGAGCGCGGCAGAAAGCACTCCTTTCAAGCAGTCGGCAGGTGGGGATTAGTAAGGCAACGCCTTGAACGCGTAGCGTATGCGTGCAAATGAACAGTGCACGAAAGCGAGGTGGTGGGAAGTCGGCTCGGTTACCGATCAAATACGCGTCGTGTAGTGGGAGTCAAGCGACCGTTTTACAACTGGCGAGGAGATCGAGTAGGGGATGGACAGGTGACAAGAAAGCGAGAGACGGACTGGTCGCGATAATTGTCGTGCTTGTCGATTGTACGGGGTTGAGTACAGGTCGAGTCGACGATAGGAGTAGTCGGGGAGTAGGGTTGGTCCGGTTTTTGTTTTCACTGCGGGGAAGGCGTGAAGAGGGTCAAAAGCGGAGTCGGTATGAGTGGTGTATGGATATGAGAAAGCTCGAAAGCACGGCGCTGCCCTTTGGGCGCTCCGGCACGTTGGGAGGTTGGTGCGGTCGAACCGACGACTGTGGTAGAGGATGAAGACAAGTGAGAAGAGAGCGTTGAGAAAAAGAAACACAGCATGGAGGAAGTACCTGGCAAGCAAGGAGGGGTGAGTGTGGGTGGATTGTACCCCGGTACCCACTACCAAGTGGGCTCCGACGAGTGGCCAGCCGTGGCCAGCCAACGGCCCGGCCGGTTGTATGCATCGGTAAATGTCGGTCGAGGCCCGTTCAGAGGGGAAACGCCCAGGGAGGGTGGACGGCAGCGCGGCAGAGGCTAGGCGCGAGGGCTGAAGCCCAGAACTCTGTTTCTGAACGGGAGAGGCGCCGACCGCGACCGCTATCGCTGGCTGGAATCCTGTGGGCCCTGGGCTCCAGGCGCCACGGCCTCCACGGCATCCACGGCCCACCGCCCGCCCGCCCGCCCGCCTTGCCGCCCGAGACGAGGCGAGGCGAAGCGAAGCGAGCGGCTGGCGCTGCCCGCGACACTTTTGATTAAGAGTCATCCTAATCCGTCTTGTTTAACCCGATAGTGTCGCGAGCTGGTCCAGCGTGGTGCTGGGCTCCCAAGGTTCCAGGCCCCAGGGCCGCTCTACCGCCCGTCGCGGCGCTCGCCCCCCCACCCTTCCCTAGTCTCCCTTGGCCTCCCTTGTCACCTGCTCATTATCTTGCTTGGGCCCCCGACCCGACCCTGGGTCATCGCAGGCAGAAGCCCTGCGATCCTGCGACCAAGGGCCCAGCTCCTCAATCTCGCAGCAGCACGCATGCACGCACATCGTTTTGCAGGTTGCAAGATACCAAACTCTCGGCGCTCCGACGAGTCGGTCCTTTTCGGCGGATTGTCGCTTAATTGGTCGCTCGCTCCAGCAATGCATTCTGATTGCCAGCTTACTTGTTTGAGAGACATGTGTCTGCGCGCGGCTGTAGACTGCCTGATCTGTTGCGCTGCAAACGGGATGTTTGCAAGGCTGCGCTGTGTGCAGTTTTACCCGGGTACAACCCCTGGAGTGGCCCCCACTGCCCGAATACAAAACGGTACTACCATGCATACGAGTCGATAATCGATGAGCCACCGCCCATCCATGCACCATGGCTCGCGGCCGTCGCCGGCTAATCCGTTACAGATCGGCAGCGGCACTGGCCGCCCTCCGTCTACTCCGCGATCCGCGAAATCCGGGGCAGCGTGTTGGCCACCGTAGCCGGGGACAGAGATAGCCGGCGGAGGAAAATGCATGGCAGCAGTGACGTGCTATGCAGGCTAGCATGACTGCAAGCGGTACAATCGGTGCAGCGCCCTGCACAGGCGGCGACTCTAGCGTGCATGGGTGCGTGTTGCGCAGCACTGCATACGGCATGATACACGATGATATCATCGCTTAGCCTCGATGGGAGTGCGCATGTGCGTTGTGGGTGAGTGAGCGCACGACTCGAGTGCCGATCCCGATTTCTCCCGAAGGCGAAACGAAGAGTGAGGGATCGACCCTTGTTCTCCCGATGGTTATTGGGCCGGATTAGAATCCTCCTGTGTTCCTTTCATCTTGCTGCGGGCGGAATAGACGCCCAATTAGTGCATCTTGTGCTTCATCGGTGACCGCATAGACTTCAAGCTTGCGACCCGACTGGCCAGAATTTCAAACATCAGGCTGGCAGGCGCAGGCACAAGTACGGCAGGTGCGGCGGATACGGCGAGCGGCCAGCGGCCTGGCGGGCCCAGGAGACCGAACAAGCTCAGCAGCCATAATTGCATGACGCTCCTCATGAAACGGAAGTGAGGGGCAATAAGCTCAATTGATTTGGGAAGCTGGTTTGTAACCACCGGCACAGCTACCGCATGTATACCGCACGGCGCACGCTAAGAAGCATGCGAATCCCGTTTCGCCCATTTCGCTTGGCTTCTGCAACGTTGGTTCCATTGCCCAATCTGTTCGCAAATCGTTCATGGATCACTCGTTCCTCCGGGTGCCTTGTTGCGCAAAGTGATGAACCAGCAGCAATCATGACGTGCACGCTGCCGGCGGTCCAGTCAGAAGAAGCTCACGGAAGCACTCTCCGGATGGCCGTTCCGGATACAACAGCATGCACTCCCCTCGGAAGAGGTCGAGTTCGGCAAACTGGTAACTAACGACATGCCAGCTGGCTGACTGCCACGATCTGCAGGCATTCTGCAGGCATTTTCGCGGGCGTAGCAATGCCAAGCCTCCCGGCCGCCCGCCGACGCAGGCCCCCCAGGCATGCAGCAGCGAGGCGCAAGACGTGCTTTCTGCAGTTTTGCTGCAAAACCCCAGCAAATTGCAGTTCTTCTCCTGCAAGAGAGGTGGTCTGCTGACATCCTCAGCCTCGGACCACGACGACAGGGGTTGGCAGGGAGGTGGGGGGTCAATTTGGTACCAGTGCAATCGAGTTTTGGTACGGGCCGTACGGGCCCCCGTACTCGTGCCCGTGCTGTTGCCGCTCGAACCGCACGAGGACCGCCTTATGCCCACCACGCTCCCAACTGATGAGCGGGCCACCCGACATCGAACACAGACCTCTGCCGGCCCGATACATGCAACACACATGCCTCAAGCCAGTGTCTGAGCCTCCACGCCACTCGCTGAACCCGACGGACTTCTACCGTCCGGCACCCCAGTACAAGCACAGCACCCAACAAGTACAAGATGGAAAACTACCCCACCCGCACATCTGCCGGCTGCCGAGGCGGCTTGTGCTCGGCGAGCTCGGCAGCTACCGCCAACCAGGCTGGCTGCTGGCTCGGGCCAGTGCCACAAGCCCAAGTGCACCTGACCACATGACCACGTTCCACCATTCAACATGCGTTGATAACCGACTCCGCGTTGTGGGGAACCAGGATACGTCGAGACTGCATCTGTGGGGATCCAGGATCTCCGATCAATCTGCTCTCGTCCGAGCCCCGAGTTCTGCTTGCAATCCCCGAATGCTGTCGTTCGCTTACCAAAGGGACCGAATGCTTCCATAACGTGCTACCGATTCTACGGCCGTACCAGTCGGCTGGGTTCTGCAGTTCAGACAATCATGCTGGGTGGCGCACAGTCGCTGTGGGGGGGGAAGGGGCGTGGCACGATGGCTATCTCGAAGCCCAAAGCTATCACGTATCATCGGCATCCGGGCTTCTCGGTCTCTCTATCTTGGGAGCCTGGGAGGATCGGTATCACAAGGCGATAAACTAGTCCACGAAGTTCATGATAGCGCGGTTCCTCATCCCATCCCCGGCGACGGCCCCGGCCCCGGCCCCGGGCACGCTACAGACGCAGCAGTGGAATCATACCTTCATGGAATCCATGATTATCCGAGCAGACTAGTCTCGATAGCGTCGATAGTTTCATGGTGCTCCACTCGGCGGCATGCACCGGCAACAGGCGCAAAGAGGTGCATGCCGCGAAACCACAGTCCACCCATGCATCGGCAATTGGCTCAGTGACCGGCCAGAGAACCGCTAAGTCTAGTCGGGACGTCGGTCATTGCATAGTTCATGTGTCTCGTGATCAGAATCAGAACGAGCGTTGCGTATGCGCATGCGCGAAGCTCGCCGCATTTGTGAACATGCGAAGCCCTCCAGGCGGATGGCGGAACACGCACTCACGATTACGCTAGAGTGACCGTTGTCACTCTGCGTGATGTCTTAGCGGGTGCGTGCGAACGCACCCGCTCATCCGCGCCAGAACGTGCTAAGCGGAGTCATGATTCCGAGCAAGCCGAGGCCTCGCCGCCTGCACTGCATGCACGAGGCTTGTGCATTCCGTGCTGCAAGGCCATGCATGGCCAGACCTCGAGCGGACACAGACATGCGCTCGGACGTACGCCATACAGCCTGCTGTATGCGCCACTCAACACTGCACATGCAGCACGTCGTAGGTTCGGGCAGGCTCCGAACTGACGCTTCCTCGGTCGCTTCCCAACGGCTTACGCTCGGCGTGCTCGGCGCACTTGGCTCAGCTGCATCTAAACTCCACCGTAGAGGTTCCTGCCCAGACCGAGCAGAGCAAGGAGACCGACCAGGGGGCAGCATCGCCTCCATCGGTTCCAGAACTCTGAACTGGAAAAGCAGGATGTAGCCAGTTGACGAGCAGAAGCGAGCATTCTGCATCCCGTCCAACTTCCTGCCCCCTCTCTATACTCTACCGCTGCTAAGATGTCGATGTAAGATCTGCTGTATGGCTTGAGCTTCCCGTCGGGTTCCAACTCCTTGTCCTCCCTCCTTCCTCCTGTTGGCGAGCCTCGCCCAGCAAGCCCAGAAGTCGGGAGTGAGCCGGCGGGAAGGCGGTCGGGCGAGCGGGTACTGCACGTGGTGCCCATGCCGGGGAGAGAGCGATTCCGGTACTGAACCTTCTACCTAGTCATGGACGATTCCGAGAGCTAGACAGAGCGGCTGGCAGGTTCTAACGGCAGATGTATGGCCACACATGCAAGCGCAGTCCATACTGCTAGCCCTTGGACCTTGTGACGTTCGAGGTCGAACAGAGACCAGTCATCGAACTGCAGACGCTGACCGGCCGACCGGCCGGGCAGAGCAGGATGGCAATTACAAACTCCGACGTTCCTTTCGGAACTGTATACCAAATCCTAATGAACCCCGCCATTCCGATTAGCTTACCAATACACCGCTAAGCGCACCGTACGACACACGACGGAGAGCAGCGACTGCCCGAGCCGGCCGACCGGCTCTGCACACTCTGCACGCTTTGCGACGAGACCTCCACCCGATCTCGAGACTTTGGACATCGCTGCCGATCCCGACTTTCACCAACTTTTTCCGAGCTTCGACCATCTCCAGAAACAACATGTCGCTCGCGTCCAAGGCGTTCTTCGGCTTCTCGATGCTGTTTACGGGCGGCACTATCTGGGCCGTGCACTACATGCAGCAGCAGGAGAGTGAGGTGAGTAGGCAAAGGTTCGGGACGCGGTCACTTGCATCAAAGGGTGCACTTGACGTCCCGCTGGAGCTTGCCACGCTCAATCATGACGATCGAAGTGGAGCGCATAGACTCAGCGTTCGGCATCGGACTGAACGCTGTCTGGGGCGTCTGGACTATCATGCTGCACTGGAATCGGGCAGCTCGGTCTGGCAAGCTAGCCCAAGACACTTCACGCAGGATACTCCGATACGGAAGAAGCTGCATATTGCTCGACGACAAGCTGACGTGACAGAACATGTACCAGGGCGTGATCAAGGACGAGGAGCGCCTCCGCGAGAAGGCGCTGAAGAAGGTACAGCAGCCCGCGGCGGTTGTTGACGAGGACTGCGTGACGTGTGTCGTCTCGCCGCCGCCGCAGCTGCTCGAGGCGCAGAGCAAGGAGCAGCGCGCGGCAGAGCGCCAGACTCGTCTGGAGGAGTATGAGGCGCAGAAGGGCCTCGCGCAGCGTCTGTCACGACAGGCTCAGGCCGCCCATGAACCCGCCCAGGCTGTCCAGGCTGCTCAGACGGAGCAGCGTCTCGTCTAGACGACCTGCTCCCCCGAGTCGCACCGACGCCTGGCAAGACTTCGCCAACGAACCACGCATATCGCATCGATACCCCTCAGCATCTACCACTCAGCACTCATCAACGCATTTAGCGCCATGTAACACTTTTCTTGTCGCTGGGGCGGGTGGAAGTGGAACCAACTTCGCGCAGCTGACTGTTACTACTAACCTGTCTGATCTGCATCCTGGAACGACTTGCTTTCGGACTTCTCGATTACGGTGCAGAACGCCCCGATATCGGCAAATGCACTGTACGCTGACGCTTAACGGGCTATTGTTCGGGAGGGAGACATCAAATGTGATGTCCGTTGGCATGTCAGCCTTCGGGCTGACCTAGCAGAACGGGATTTGGTCTACAGTTCCCACTGTGGTGACGGGGCGAACACAAGTCTCATTGGCAAAGGGTTTGATAAGCGAAGCAAGAGGCTCGGCGACGTTTCCTCCGAAGTAACCGCAGCCTCGTCGACTGCAGCGCCCTCCTCTGCTATCGCCACAACGTTCAGACAAGAATCTCGGACGGAGTGGAGACATTACGTCCGATCTTTGTTTATTACATACGGTGACTACCTCCCTCCGAAAGTGATCGGGCCGGCTGTCTTGGTCTGAACAAACAGATTGCTGCTCTGGTGGAGCTGAGACCGCCAAGCTTGAGGGGCGCAGTACGTCTTCGATTCGGCGTTCGTTCGTCCCCATCCGCCCGATACCAGACACTCACGATGATCACTGAATGTTGCCCGCTGCCGCCATGTTGAACTTGTCTGACATTGCCCGCAGGGGATTAGTGTCCTTCGGAGTTCCACTCGGTATGTCTCTCATTGACTTTCAAGAGCACTTCTACGAGAGTTGCTGCGTCTCAGACCAATCCCGATGTGCCCTCATTCGTGATTTGCGCCCTCCGGCCTTGCGAGAGCGTCCTCCGTCTCGGCTATGCGCCTGCAACGGGCAAAGGCGAGCGCAGTTCACCGCGACATTCTTGATGGAACGACCCTTCCTCCCTCAGATGCCAGCCTACTGAACCATTCCATCGCGTGTGGATAATTGCGTAGAGCCATTAACTGCATATCTTCTGACTATCCTTCCTGACGAAATATCTAGAGAACGTCTCAACTACAGAGTCGCGGCAATCTCGACCGGCTTGCCATCAAACTCGAGGCCCTCGAACTTGCCGTTCGCGCGCCACTCGGCAATGTAGTCGAAGAAAGCGAGCGGACCAGCGGGGTATCGCGCAACATTGAGGCGCTCGCGACGGCCCTCCTCCTGGCCCTCGTTGTTGTAGTAGCCGGGTGTGCACTCGGGACCGCCAATAATGCCCCGGTCGCCCTGGAGGATGAGTTCGATCCAGTCGTCCTGCGTTTTCTGGGGCACCTCGACCGTCTTAGCGCCGAGCTCCTTCTTCTTCTGCAGGATGCTGAGGACCGTGGGCCCGTGCTCGGTGTAGTTGCTCGTAATGTTGGACGCGAGTGAGGACCCCTGCGCAAAACCGATCACGAACAGGTTCGGGAACCCGTGCACGTGCATGCCCTGGAAGGACTGCATGCCGTCCTTCCATGCATCGGTGAGCGTGCGCCCACCGCGACCGTACACCTCGAGACCAGACTTGTATGTGTACTCCGAGTTGAACTCGAAGCCTGTCGCGTACACAAGTACGTCGAGGTCGTAGTGCTTGCCGTTCGCCCAGACACCCGTCTCGTCGATGCGCTCCACGCCCTTGCCGTCCGTGTCGACGAGCGTAACGTTCGGCCGGTTGAACGTCTGCAAGTACTCGTCATGAAAGGTGGGGCGTTTGCCTGCAAACAATGTTAGCTGCCAGTGTCACAGGTTTTGGCCAGCGTCGAGGAAGGACGCAGGCGTCCAAGCACACTCACAGAACTGCCTGTACCACGCCTTCAGCTTGTCGGCCGTCTCGGGATCCTTGACGACCTCGTCGGTGCGTGCGCGCACGGCGGTGGTGTACTCGTCGTCGCTGAGGTGGTACGCCTTCATGTAGTCTGCCATTCCGGTCGGCGCGCGCCCCTCCTTGGCGCACATCTCGAGCATGCGCTTCGTGATGCGCTGCACGCCGTCGGTCCACCCATCATGGACGTAGTCGACGGGGGCGTACCCGGTCGACATGAGCTGGCAGAAGTTGCGCAGCCACTTGGTCTGCCATCCCTTGTCTAGCTGGCTGAACCACTCCTTGTCAATCGCATGGTTGCCGCGGATAGCGACGGCAGAGGGCGTGCGCTGGAACACATGCAGGGAGCCAGAGTCGCGTCCAAGAGTCGGGATACACTGCACACCCGTGGCGCCCGTGCCGATGACACCGACGCGCTTGTCCTTCAACCCCTCCAGCACCTCGTCGTCCCAGCCTCCGCCGGTCACGCCAAAGTCCCAGCGAGCGGTGTGCATCGCCTGGCCCTTGAACGTCTCCAGTCCAGGGATACCGGGCAGGTGGGGACGGTTCAGGGGTCCAGTGCCCATCGCGACGTTGGTCGCCGTGAACTCGTCGCCCTCGCGCGTCTTGACAACGTAGACGCTGCGGTCCTCGTCCCAGCGCAGCTCCTCGAGGTGGGTGCTGAACAGAGCGTGGGGGTAGAGGTCGAAGTGGCGCGCGATACGGTGCGCGTGGGCGAGAATCTCTGGTCCGCGGACATATTTGGCCGAGGGCACCGTGCCAACCTCCTCCATCATGGGGAGGTAGACCATGGCGGCCGTGTCGCACATGGCGCCGGGGAAGCGGTTCCAGTACCAGACGCCGCCAAAGTCGCCTCCGCTCTCGAGGATGCGGATCGAGTCAAAGCCCGCCTGCTTCAGCTTCGCGCACACCGTCAGGCCCGCGAAGCCACCGCCAAGGAACAGAAAGTCGACATGGTCGTGGACCGGCTCGCGCGGCTGGACGTTCGTGTACGGGTCCTTGTCCTCGTCCAGCTTCAAGATGCCGCCGAGGGGCTTGTACTGGTTGATACCGTCGGCACGGAGTCGCTTGTCACGCTCCTCGCGGTACTTGGCCTGCAGCGCCTGGCGCTCCTCATCCGCCAGAGGCGCGACGGGCTGCGTCTGCTTGTAGTCCGTCGGCTCTGGGATGTGGTCGATCGTCATCGTGCAGAGTGTCGCAGAAGTGTGTGATCGAGAAGTTGCCCGACGGTAAAACTGTCTAGCCGTCTAGCTGTTTCTAGAGGTGATCCGTGTGTCGTTGTGCTGCAATCACGTCTTGCAGGAAGCTGGAGGGGTGTTGGGCGTTGCAGTCGGGCGCGCGATGGCTTATGTAGTCCGGAACAGAGTTGCGATTAGTGTGTTGCATGTGCCCCACCAAGGTCACACACGGAGACAGCGCGGTATCTCGGTCATTAGTAGCCGTAGACGGCCAAGTCCGAGCGGCGGGATGGCGTCTCCGCGATGGTGCTGTCAGAAGCTCCCTCGCCACGTTGTTGCCGCTCTCGGCGCCCGACCGACGTGCATTCTACTATTCTGCTACGCACCCTTGCATGCATTCATTGCGACTCCGGAAGCAGCGCAACCTCCACCATTCCCCCGCAAGAGTAGCGATCGCTAGGAGGCCCAGAAGTCCGGAAAGGCTTGGTATCAGGTACGATCCGCACATGACCTCAGCCAGATGTTTTCAAGCCGGTGGGCACGCGCACTGAGCCGAATACAGAATCCCGAGATGGCCCCAAAGTTCGGTGCTGGCTCCCCTCATATAGCCGGTTCATGAGCACATGTGAAGGCTCCCCCTGCCTCAGAATTCTGCGACTACCCAGCGACTTGACAGACGGACTCGTTTCTTCCCCACTCTCATACAACCATCGACCGTGCACTCGGCCTCACCTCGCTGACCACTGTGACGTGAATGTCCGCGATTCCGTGCAGCTTCTGCCCGACGGCGAACTAACGTGGACATCTCTTGCGTACTCCGCTCGCTCGCCGGACGTCACCCCACCAATCGCCCTGGCTCGCGACCGTCGGTCAAGCTCCGGATACCGAGAGCAACTCCGCTGGAAACCCACCACGCGGCTCAGTTGTCGGCAGTGCGATAACCAGACCGCGATACAACCAGCGGCCCGCCTTCTCGGCGCCCGATAACTGCTTTGCAGCCGCGATAGCCGCGGGCGAGTGCGTTGCGTCCGAGTGTCGTCCGCATCGTTTGATAGCATCCCACTTTTTTGCGGTTTGCTTTCCGAAGGACGCTGCCTGTTTCTACCGCCGAGCCGGACTTGTGATGCTGACGCTTACTGACGCCTGACAGCCGCCTCTGCGCAGAGCTGACTGGCAGATCGTCTCGTGTGTTGAGCGACAGAAATCCGAGCAGGTCAAGCCCTTCTCGGTCAATGACCACAACTGCATCTTTCTTACGTTCGGCGGGTGTCCTTTAACATCCTGGCGCGAGCCCCTCGAAAGTGCATACTCAGCAGCACCAGTCTTTCCTCCCGTCCACCCGCCATGCGCCCGGCTTTATTGTTAGAATTCAGGCGCTGTCCTGCATAACACCTCATATCGCCATGTGCCATCCGCTGTTGTCACTGATGCCATCCGAGAGGCTCGCCGGTTGGCGCCTATCTCTATGGAGCGCTGACCTCTGGCGGACTGACGGTCAGTTCCGACGTCGGGTTGGTCTAGCTGTCGCCCCATTATCAGGCGCAGCATGTGCTGTGTGGAAGGTCTGCGGATGAGGGCAGCGAGGCGTTGGCACCGCAGCGTTGCCTAGTGGATCTCGTAAGCCACACCTGCCAGGGGTAAGGGGGACGTGCGTCTGTGCTGTCGCGTCCACCTCCTCTGACAGGCTCCTTCCATCCATTCCGCCGCAGTGGAGCCACGCCGCCTGTTCAATAACCCACCGTGGAGAGGAAGGACTATCAGGCCGAGGTGCTTTGTTGTGACCTCAGCAAGCTGCCTGCCACCCCTTTCTCTCTAACATTGTTTTGCTGCTAAGGTAATGTTGGCCAGAGATGTTTGGACATAACCGTTGCGTAACGGTCCTTCCCGGTGCCCATCAGCAAAGGACGGATCCATTGCATTGCCTTCGCCATCTGGAGTCGCCGAGCATTAGTCTTCTCTCCCTTGGCGTCGCTGCTCCGGCCAAGAGCGATGTGTCGGTCGGCCAAAGGAACAATAACTGATCAAGGGTTCGCCCCGGAATAGCGACCAGATCTACGCCTAACGCGATTGCCACGCAGAAAGGGCTTCATAAACGGAGGCGCTCGGGTGTCAGTGTACGTTCAGAATGCCATTCTTTGACGCTCGGCAATGGCGAACTTGAGGACGTTGGCATCAGGTGGAATTGATACCTGTCACGGGATATGGACCTGTGGGAAGACCTCCGCCTATCAGGTGAATCCTTGTTGTGAAGAGTGGGATGCATCGAGAAGGTCGATTTGCAGGCGTGTGACAGAACTGCAGTCAGAAGATGGTGGGATCTGGAAACTCATAAGACGTCGTGTTCTCGATGTCCCTCTGCCCTACTAGAATGGATCAGAGAACAGACGTCGCGCCCTGCTTGCTAAGGAGGCCGCATGAAGGGAAGGCCCGCCTGACATGGGTTCTCATATCGTCGAACTGCACCAGAACAGCTTCGCTCGCCATCACCGCGTACATGACGATGCAGCAGTAGGGAATGTTGCTGAGAGTTAGATGAAATTAGCTTAGCCAGCTGCCACAAACATGACGACGCAGTTTTCTCGCAGAAGCACAATCCGCAAGCATGGGTTATAGCAGCCGCGGTGCCCTGTGTCGTGCCGTGGACTGCAAGAAATGAGGCAGCGGAAGCGCAGCCACAAGTATGAGGTATATCCAGCCTCAGTACCATACGTCGTGGTGCAAACAATGAACGCAGCAACCTGCCACCGCCAGCAATTGCCACACCCACATTATCAAGTCTCTTGAAGGATCTCTTTCAGCTCGTCAGCCTAACGGGGTATTCTCAGTCGCCAAGCTTAGTGACAGTTGGTGAATGGCTAGCCCCCGCCTCCCGTAGTTGTATTCAGCCGCCATACCAGCGAAAGTCGTACTCTTACAAGTGCAGTCTCTATCTGGAAGCAGAAGCAGTCCGCAGAAGCCAGCCGGTGAACAGCCCATGTGGTCGACGAGAAACGCACTTGTGGGCTGCGGCAACGGGCAGCGGGGGCGGGAAACCGAACCGAGATCGCTCCTCGATCACCTCCCCGGCCTCCCCAGAATAGCTTGGCGCAGCACTCGCAGCACACGCAGCTCACACATGCCCCGTCGCCGCATGCTCATCGCTCAACAATGCACAGGTGTGCGTCCCAAAGCACCCCGTAGCTTCATGTGCGGCGCCATCGCTCCCGAGTGCCCGTTGAAGGAATAGCGGCGTCTGGCGTCCTGCAAATGCTACTGAACCCGCGCGATTCAGTCATCTATTTGCAGTGCCGGACCGTGCCGAGTGTGCCATACCCAGGTTTACCCAGGGCCCCGCATCCATACCGTGCCTCGCTAGTGTCGCCTGTGCCTCCAGTTCCTGTGGCTGCTATTGCTTACGCGAGGTTTCCTGCCCCAGCTGCCCAATTCCTGCCCAAAAGCAAAAGTCACCCGGAAGTCACCCGGAGGAGAGGATCTGTCGTCATGGCGCCAGAGTAGTGCGGGCCAGCCCTAGAGTTGTTCGAACATCGCGCGAGATATTACAAGGTTTCCACCAGATTACACAAGGGACAGAGGTTTCTATAGCGCGAACTCGCGTGAACGGGACGCGCCCATGATTCGTCCTCGATGCGTCTTGGATGCCTTTGTGCACTTGAAACGGACGCCACCTCGCCCAGATCTGGTCACTAGCGCTCGAGTGCACATGAGGCGTCCTCTGCTGCGTCTGTGCCAAGTATAGCAGAGCTCCTTTCGCGATCGCGGTTTGCTCACTTCGGCAATCGCTACCGATGCATAGATGTCCTTGGATCGAGCACCGCACGATACGCGATACGTCGCAGGTGTCAGTGTCGTCCCAGCCTCGTCCCATGAGCGTCGCAGATGGCGCAGTATCGTGTGTCAGCGTGATCAGACGAGACGTCTCGTCAGAACACTTTCTCGGGCATGTTTCGATCGGGTTCATGAGTCCAGATGGAGGTTTACGGGCTCGACTTTGCCGCATTCTGAGGTCTTGTTAGAAAGGGCAGGTCTCGCTCACCGAGCACATGGAGCGAACCTCGTACCTGCTACACGCTACGTGCTACACCCGTCCAACATCCATGTTACATACGTTCTGGTCAAACGAGTCCTCAAAGGGAAGTCCGAACACAAAGACCGAGTGAGACGCCAAACAATCCCAAAGGACATGACACGAGCTTGCCAAACGGACATGTAGGACGTGTAGGACATGCAGGACCATGTCGCAGGCCACTTGACCCTCGTTTCAACTTCTGGGCGAGAGTCAACAGAGTTGGCCGGTCCCAAAGGCGAAAGGCGGGTGGCCCCACCTGTCCGTGCCTCGTGTTCCTCACGTACCTCGCACCCAAAACGGAGTTGTCAGAGGTGAGAAGGAACCGAAACCACCAGCGTTCCAGAGTTCTGGATTCTGGACTTTTGAGCATTCTGGACCGGCTGGACCCACCCACACCCCGGTTCAGAGGGAGTGCGCAAGTCCGGCCCGTCTGATCCGGACCCCGGCACCTCCAGTGTGTCTCAACGGACAAACAGACAGCTTATGCATTGGGTCCAGCGTCCATTAGGAACATGGTAATGTCCGTGCATGTTCATCAGAAGCGTAGACCCCACGCTTTGTGCCAAACTCTATACTGGGTTGCCCTTCTCCCACTCTTCTGGGCATGTGTCTGTCCAACCCATGAACCAACTCTGCGTAATCCGGTGTCCTCCGTTATGAACGGCGTACTCCGGAGTAAAGTGGCCAGAGCACCCAAAATCGAGGAGAGTTCGCATCTCGTCACAGATCCCAGAGAGCGGTGCGGGGCTGTGCTCCCCTCCGGCATCTTCGGCTGGGTCAGCGACCCCTCCGTATTCACCTGGTTTCGCGTCCGAGTTATTGCATGGGATTCATGTCCGGAGACTCACCTCAGGCCTGCTGCGCGTCGCAGAGATCGAGTGACAGGCACTTATCGCCGCCATTTGCGGAACTGCACCTTTGCACCTTTGCAGCTCTTCTCTTCTCCGTCCGAGTGCACGGCGAGCGCCGAGAACACCCACGCTCCGCTTATCCGCTGACCCATGAGCGTTCCCGAGCCCATGCATGCGCGCATGCAACGCCGTAATGCATATGCCAGACTCACTGGACACACCAACGCCACTCGTCAGTTAGTGTCCCCTTCGAGTTCACCTTCTCGTCACGAGATCCTCCTCGCGTTCCATCCACCCCCGGCCACCCTCGGCCACCCTCGGCCACCCTTGGAACTGACCCTGCACCAAACTCGAAAAGTGATCCGGAACATCCGGGAACCCTACAGCCCTACTCTCCTTTCTGTGACTTGCTTGCTTCAACTCATCTGACGCGTCGCAGCCAACTTTCGGTTTCGATCGCTGCACTTCGCACAATCATGGGCAGGTCGAGACTACTCTGCTCGCATAAGAGTGTTTGAAACGAGGTCGTACCAGACCACATCAGGTCGCTTCAGGTTACGTCTCAGCTCATGATTTCTTAAGGATTAGCCCAAGCTTTTGGTCCTCGTCGAGTTTTTACACATGAGAGCAGCTGAAACCCTCCCTGCAATCGTGATACGCTTCTGTGACATGTTACTCTGCATAGTAGTTTGATGATTGTGTTGCTGCTGACTATTTACTCCTGTACAATAATGACTCGCTGTGTCGGTGTGGCTATGGCACTATAAGAAAGGGAACTATCTAAAAACGAATACGAAACAAGAGCGGCTGGGCTCTGAACAAGAATGAAATGATGAATTATGGTTTGATGTGGGGAATGGTGGGGTCGTTGCCGGTTGGTTTGAATACTGCTTATCTTATCGCACGCTTTTCAGTTGCTTCCAAAGTTGAAGCGGGGACGCTTGCGCGCAGAGCCCTCCGAGCCGTCAGACTGCTCGTGCTCCTCGGACCGCGGCGTTGCGCCGAAGAGCAGACCGCGGCGCACCGGCATCTGCTCCTCGTCGCTGTCCACGTCCATCGTGTCCGACAGCACACGGCGGCGTGGTGTTGAGACAGGCGCAGCGGACGAAGCCGGTGACGTCTCGGGGTCGGATGTCGGCCAGAGGAGCTTTGGTGGCGGGCACGGGTGCGGGTCGTAGTCAACGTCGCTCACGTCCAGGTCGGCGGCAGGGTAGGGCGCATTCGGCGGAACGAACGGGTTCGCAAATGTGCGCTTCGCTCCGCGGAAGACATACGTCACAAACGGCCCCCTCTCCGTATTCAGTGGCTTTGGCCGGTGGATCTCTCCGGGCTTGGCGACGAACGGATTGTCCTCGTCCATCATCTCCTGTCGCTTCGCGGCACGACTTGACTCCGGAAGCGTCTCCGTCAGCATGCGCAGCGGTCCACCGCGGTGACGGTCGCGCATAAGCGGGGACATGCTTCGCTCGGCGTCGGGGCGGACAGCTTGCGGCACGTAGCTCGTCTCACGACCGGGAGACCCGGCGGTTTGACGACGCTTTCCGCTCACGGACCTCGAGGGCCCAGCCACCGCTGATCCATCATCAAGGAAGGGGTTGTCGAGAGACATCTTGTCGACGGGACCGTGCGTCGATCCGCGCAGACCACCGCCCATCCCAACGCCAACGCCAAGGCGTGCTCCAAACTTGACAGATGTCGTGGCAGGGTCTGTTGTCAGGCCCATCTGCTGGGCGAACAGAAGGCCGGGACGGCGGCGTGGTGGTGCTTTGTCGTTGGCGATCTCGATCTCCGTCGTAGAGCCATGTGAAAGGAAGAAGGTAGTGTGTCCACTCGGAGACGGGGGCGAGTAGGGCGCAGCATTGTTAGTGCCAGGTGACGCACGCTTGCGCGGCAGGGTTTGAGGTGTCGGCGGGTGGACACTGATGGCGTGGTTGCCCTCGGCGGCCGTCTTGTCGGCAGTGACATCGTCAAAGGTACGCTTCAGTGTGCGTCGTTCGGTGACAGGCGTAGGAAGGTGTCCACGCTCGGGTGTAGGGTACCTGTAAACATGTTAGCGCCACACAATGTTTTTGTTTAGGCGACTGTGCGTCATAATATTTTGGTTTGTTATGACTCACGACATGACATCGACCCCACGGCCCTTGCGACGACGTTCCACGGTCCTCGGAACCTCGAGGTTGCGTCCTGAGTGCACAGGAGACTCCATGTCGAGGTGCAAAGCGTCGGGCCGTCGGTAGAGAGCAGAAGTTTGAGAAGAAAGGATGCGAGATGGGAGATTGCGAGTCGATGGAAAGGTGAGGAGGGAAGACGAGAAGGGGCGGGCTGGTGGAGGAGACGGAACCAAAGAGAATGTAGGATCCAGGCGACCAGCGCTCGGAGTAAGCAGTATGCAGTTCAATCCAGCCAGCGGACCGACAGCGACAGGGGGGCGAGGGCGGGGGCGAGGATGGCTTGGAAGGGTGGATGGATGACAATGGAGGCTGCAAAGATGATGAGGAGATGGCAAAGGGAAGAGGTGCACAGCGAATCGCTTTTGCTCGAGTAGGTGACGGTGTGACGGGTGGTTGAGCGAGCCAATGACCAGCCAGCATGCCCAGCCTGCAACCGCGCCTGCTCCCGCGCTCACCGTAGCCACCGCGCCGCCAGCATGAGAAACTAAGGACTACAGTCATGTATTCAGGGTCCGACGCGTTTTCGCGATGGCTGGCTCATTTCCACGTGGCTTTCAGATGGCGGGTTGAATCCGCTTTGAATGCATAACGGAATTTGGAAGACGCCTGAACCAGGCTGGCTGCGTCGTCCACCGTAGGCAGTGCATAGCCATCAGCCCCTCTTCTGTTAGCTGGAGGGCGCGGTGCATTAGACCGTGCACACCACGGTGAAGAGTGTCTGATGAACAGTGTTGCCCGCGTGATGACTGCGGAGTGATGTTGTTAATGAAACTACATGAGGAGGAGAGGGTTGCAAGGGGTAACGGGCAGGAGAAGATGTCTGCAGGCAAGGAGCAAGGAGATGGAGGAGAAAGAGCAAGGGGGTGAGGATGGTGATGGCGTTCATGACCGCACGCGTTCAAGCCAGGTCATTGGTGCAAGTTACGCGCGGTGGACTGTTAAGGTTGGCGGGCCTCGCGCTGATGGGCCGACGCTGGTGCTGGAATGGCAGAGTGTCCCTGAGCAGCCAGGGTCGCCTACGCGCCTGATTTAACGATATGTCCCGCGAGATGCGGCTAGGTGGACGTGTCACAGCCTTCTCCTAGGGCGCATGTCTGGCGCCTGGGAGGGGGGCTCTCGGAGGGGCACCAGGGGCAAGGAACGGCCCAGAGGACATGACTAACTCTGGCCTACTCACAGTGCACTCGAGCCTATGCCGAATAAGCTATCCCTGGCACAACGCCCCTGCAGATGGCATCTGTGCACTCAGGACATCCACCCCGCCCGGCGTGACCCAAGCTTTGGACCACAACACCCCTCCTCGCAGTACGCAGCCAGCGACCATCGATCAACCCTCCCCCCCTCTCCACACACTCCTGCCTCCTTGGCCTCCTTGCGATGCACTACTGGTGGCGCAGGGGGGCATGGGAGGAACGGGATCCAGGGTCGCATGCTCCGGGCTCTCCGAGGCATCGAGTGTCCTGAAGCCCGCAGACTGCAAAGCTGCCTTAGTCGTGCCCTGCCTTCTGACGGGCTCCGAACACACACCACGGTCACAGAACAATCACACCCAGCGCTCCCAGACCCCCGCCAGTGCACAGGCCACTCACACTATGCAACTTCGTCCTTCCTTTCTTTTCACCTCTCCGCACACACACAGTCTCCCATATAATAGCCTGGCGCTGTTAACCCCCTGTCTTTTGACAAGACAGCTCCCCCCTCCTCATCCTCCTCCTAATCTCCTCCCCCCCGTCTGTGACGGTCCAACGACCCCCGACACTCTTTTCTGTGGTGCAGGCTCACCCAGTAACGACGACAACCTCCCCCTCCCTCTCACGACTTACAACGACTCGGCGTACCTTGTCATACCCAGCGAGGCCCGACACTCTCTCAACCTTTCTCTGATATTCCTAGCTCAACAAGCTCGCCGACACCTTTCGGCTCCTCTCACGATGCGCCTTCACTTTGCCTCTCTTGTCGCCCTGGCGGTATCGGCCCAGGCCGCCTGGATTCCCATCACTCCTCGCTCCGAGGCCCGCCACCTGGCCAACCAGGCCGTGGGGCAGGCCGGCGAGGCTCGTGCTTTCCATGCTCACCACGTCATGCCCCGCTCTGGTAGCGGTCATGCCGGGGCCGGGCTCAGGAAGGTCCGTCGTCTCAAGCGGGGACGAACCTGCAAGCCGCGGCCATCCAGTGGCAGCGCTTACGCTTCCCCTACCGCCACTCCCGCTCCCCACTCTTCCCTTGTCGACACGGGCAAGGAACACTCCCACAAGTCCAAGACGAAGAGCGAGGGTGGCTACGACGACGGCATGTGGCACTCTTCCTCGAAGACGGATGACTGGGACTCCTGGATGTCCACCACCGAGGAGGGCAGCCCTAAGCCTACCTCCACCGGTGATGAGTGGTCTGGATCCAGCTCATCTGCGTCCCACTCTGCTTCGGCTTCGGCCTCTGCGAGCGAGGGCGGCGATGATTGGTCTTCCAGTGCGACTGAGTCTGCTTCTGCAAAGCCCTCAGAGACTGGCTCCGGGGGTAGCGACGGCAACAGCAACAACTCTTCGCACTCGGGTGGCAACAACAACCAGACTCCCGGCAACGGCGATGGCGGCCTGTTCCCCGTCGAGGGCATCAAGCTGTTCACCACTGCGAAGAAGTCCACGTCTGCTCCTGGCTTCCAGCTGAACGGCGAGACGCCCTCTGAGGACTACGACCCTAAGACTTGTAAGTCTGAATTACACTAGTGCAGGCTGGTGGCTGACACTGCACAGTCGACGACATTCCCGTTCTCAAGATGCAGAAGGGTGGCATTGCCAAGTCCACCGACCCCACCGACCCGTCGATCGAGGTCCAGATGGCCAAGTACCCTGCGGGTCAGATCGGCGGTTCCAGTGGATGGTGGTACTACAGCAAGTCGGACGTTGGCAACGGAATCGACCTTAGCAAGGCCTCCGATGTCACGTTCTCCTACCGCGTCTTCTTCCCCGAAGACTTTGACTGGACCGAGGGCGGCAAGCTTCCCGGACTCTACGGCGGCACGTCCCAGGAGACCACCAGCTGCTCTGGCGGTAACCACGACTCGGACTGCTTCTCCGCGCGCTTGATGTGGCGCAAGGACGGTGCCGGCGAGGTTTACAACTACTTCCAGGACAAGAACAACTACTGTGACGAGCCGAACACCTCGTGCTCTATCGGAGGCTACGGTGACTCGGTCAAGCGCGGTGCTTTCCACTTCCAGAAGGGACAGTGGAACACTGTCGCTCAGCGTCTGATTCTCAACAGCGTTTCTGGCGGCCAGGCCCAGCGCGACGGCACCCAGGAGCTCTACGTCAACGGCGAGAAGGTCATCACCAACGAGAACATCATCATCCGCCACTCTGAGGACTCTCGCATCTATGGCCTCATGCTCTCTACCTTCTTCGGCGGTAGCTCGGACAAGTACAGGCCGCCCAAGGACGAGGAGTCCTGGTTCAAGGACTGGACTGTTATTGTTAGCAAGGAATTCTAAGAAAACAAAGTGCTGGACGCTTTGTACTCGACTTGGGGGTGCAGGCACCTTCTAGTCACCGTGTGTGTTAGTCAACGCCGGCGTTGGCAACATGTCTCACAAACCATCTACTCCCAAAAACCCCTTCTCCATACCTCCCATAACCTTAACCCTCTGTACAAAACATCTTCCTCACGTGTTTATAGTGCTTCTGCGTGGCATCTCATGTGAATGTATACTCTTACCGCTGCCCACTGCCGTGCACACTCACGTTCCGATCTCGAGGGCCAACGTTGGAATCAAGACAAACAAAATAAAGTTCATCTCTCGGAGAAACCATCAACGATAACCATGAAGCTTGCCACACGTGCCCATTGCCCAACATGCTTTTGGGTGCAGGTACGTACATAACCCTCCAACCTCCGACCTACGAGCCGGAAGTGCGTAATGTGCACAAGCGTGCATTATGTTGAGACTAAACAATGTGGGGTCGAGCAACATTCCGGCCAAAACATGCAAACAGGGTGCGTGCGTATGCATCTGCTCGTTCCGCAAGATTGGGACCGAGATCCAAGCCGCGCATCGACAAAGAGGAGGTACGAGGAGGTCGTGCTTCATTGTTTGCTCGTTGTTGTTGTGCCTGCCGACGAAGCCGCCCAGAGCGCGTTTCCCACGGCTGCATTACGCTGCACGTGCCGATGATGCAAACAACCACAACAGGCCCCCATGTCCTTCCTTCTTTCACCAACCAACCCATTCTCATTGAGCACCACTGCACTGCAACCCCTGCTTCACCGCACCACCGAAGCATGCGCTCGGATCAAAGTCGCCAAATTCCTCGATATCGCGACAGCCGGCCAGTTAGCCGTATCTTTGGATATCTTGGGCACCGCGTGCCCCCTTATGCTCTCTCGTGCTCTCATGTGCTCTAACCGCCCAGCAAATGCCTAACAGGTAACTGGCTGAAGTCTGGCTAGTCGGTCCAGTACTTCTTGCGACGGTCCTTTCGCCGGCCCATCAGCCGTTGGAGCTGGAGCACAATGCCGTGCCTAATCTTAGTGGCACCACTATCACGCCATCCGCACCATCCATCACTGACTCTGCGCTCATGCCGACTCACCTCGTCCACTCCCATCACGTATCTCAGCCTAGCTTACTACCAGCTGCGTTCACTCCGCCCTCACATTCGGCGCTAACCACCTCTCGGACCTCCCACAACCCCCCTATGCCGTCCCGAACCTTTTCCCAAGCCCAATGGACCGACTTATTTTTGGCAAGATCCGCATGCTTGAGCGGCTGAACTTCGGCGTGTTCGCCTTATCGGTCGACCGAGAGATGGGGTGTGGCCAGTCACTAACGTTGCAGTTGTCGCTCCAGGTGGGTCTGGATCGGCATGGAGCGTTGGCGTGCGCTGCGTTGGTAAAGGAACTAGGCATAGATCAGTCACTGAGCGTAACGCAATGAAGAGGATGGGGCACGGCTCGGTGATGGCTCATAAAGGGCTGTCAAGAGCTCATCGGTAGCTCAGCAGTAGCTCAGCGAAATGTGGAAGACATGGAGGCTATAAATGGCACGCAAGATTCTCGGAACGTTTCCCACACGAGCATCTGTACCGGTGCCGCAAGACAGACATGGCTGAGAAGCTAGACAAGAAGGAAGACGACATCTACGCCGACGTTGAGGTCCTGCCTCCTGTCTCCGACGACGCAGATGACTCCTCAAAAGACTCCAACCTCGGTGAGAAGGTGACCCCGGTTCGTTCAAGGGACGAGCTCTTCTACGACCCCGCCGACGATGACTCGGACGACCACATCATCCGCACTGGCGAAGACGTTTCCAACTATCTCATGTCGCTCCGCGACGACGGCGATCCGAGCTTGACAGTCCGCAGCTTCATCATTGGCACCATCATGGCCGTGTTCTCTTCGGCCGTGTCCCAGATCTACGCGGTGAGTGCCTAGCTACGACGGTCGGACTGAGCTGACGACCAGTTCAAACCCGCCGGCGGCGGTTTCTCGACCAGTTTCATGATCATGATCATCTGGTTTCTTGGACGAGGCTGGGCGTTCCTGGTTCCCCGCGGCGACAAGCTGGAGAAGAAGTGGCGCGAGAAGCACGGCGAGGAAGCTCCCCTGCCGTGGTGGGTCAAGCTGTTCAAGTTCCTCAATCCGCGTCCGTTCGGGCTGAAGGAGCACGCAGTAGCGACGCTGTTCGCCTCCTCGTCCTCGAACGGGACGGCGAGTATTACTGTCTTCACGGTGCAGGACCTGTTCTACGACCTGCCCATCTCAGCCACTACGGTCGTGCTCTCGACGCTGAGTATTGGGCTGTTCGGGTACGGCCTCACGGGCCTCCTCCGGCCCATGACTGTGTGGCACCCTGAGGCCGTGTACTGGAGCAATCTGCCGCTCGTCAAGATTCTGCAGGGCCTGCACTGGCACAAGGTGCGCGACTCGAAGCCCCTGCGGTGGTTCTGGTACGGCCTCGCGGGCATGTCGGTGTATGGTAAGTTGACGGATGCTTTGCTCAACTGACATGCCCCAGAGGTGTTCCCGATGTACGTGATTCCGTGGCTGAACAGCATCTCGATCCCGTGCCTCGCCTCGATGAACGTGACGGGTGAGAAGGCGCAGATTCTCACGAACGTATTCGGCGGAGCACTGTCCAACGAGGGCATGGGACTGCTCAACTTCTCCCTCGACTGGCAGTACATCGGCTCGGGATCGCTCGTGATGCCGATGAAGTACCAGGTCAACTGCCTCATCGGCCTGCTCATCTGCTACGTCTCAATCACGGCGGTCTACTACGGCAACGCCTGGGACGGGCGACACCTGCCCTTCATGTCCTCGCTCCTGCGCACGCAGGACGGCAAGCCGTACAAGACCGCAAAGGTGTTTGTGAATGGGCTCCTGGACAAGGAAAAGTTGGCCGAATACGGCCTGCCCAAAGTCGCGAGCACGTATGTGTGGGGCATGTTCTGCGGCAACATTGCCATTGGCGCGTTGTTTGCGCACTGTATCCTATTCTGGGGCCCGGACATTGTCGCCGTCATCAAGAACTTGCGGGTGGGCAAGTATGACGATCGCCACCACGCCGCCATGGCCAAATACAGGGAGGCGCCTTGGTGGTGGTACGCGTCGCTGCTCACGTTCTCGTTCGTCATTGGCATGATCGTCGTCACGACCCAGGACGTCACCCTCAACGCGTGGACGTACATTGTCGCGCTCCTGCTGGGAATCGCCATTGCGCCGTTGGTGAGTTATCGATTGTACAGCTTCAGGGAGGAGGGATAAGCTCACGCGCCAGAGCACGCTCCTGTTCTCCCGTTTCGGAAACGGCATTGCGACCAACACGCTCATGAAGATGGTCGCTGGCGCGTGCATGCCTGGCCGCCCGCTCGCGAACCTCTACTTTAGCGCGTGGTCGCACTCGGTCATCGCGCAGAGTCTGAACCTAGCCTCGGACCTGAAGATGGGCGAATACCGTGAGTTGCTGTGTTGACGTTCGCAAACTGACCATGCAGTCAAGATCCCACCCCGGGTTATGTTTGCGACGCAGGTGTATGGCACGGTGACAGGCGCGTTCGTGAGCTACGGCGTGATGCGCGCCGTGGTGGACAGCAAGCGGGACATCCTCCTGGATCCGAACGGAAACTACGCCTGGAGCGGACAGGGCTACCAGTCCTCGAACAACCAGGCGACGACGTGGGCGCTGAGCCACTACCTCTACAGTGCGGGGAAGCCTTATTTCCTCGTCCCGCTCGGTCTCGTGGTGGGCTTCGCGATCTGCGTCGTGCACTGGCTCATCAGCCGCAAGGTCAAGAAGATTGGCAGCTGGGACTTCCACGACTTTAATGTCGCCACGATCGCCATGAACGCGGGCTGGATCGGGTACCAGGCCACGCAGACTAGTACCATCACCTCTGGGATCATTGCCGGCTTCTTCGCCCAGGGGTGGCTCCGCACACACCGCCCCAGGATCTTCAAGCGGTACATGTTCCTCGTCACTGCGGGGTGGGATGGCGCGGCAACACTCGTGCTCTTCATCCTGTCGTTCGCCGTGCTGGGGGCCGGAGGCCCGATGATCAACTTCCCCGACTGGTGGGGCAATCCGCAGAGTGGATACCCGGACCACTGTCCCAAGGTCAGTCCGTAGTTCCGCGGCCAGGTAGACCGGTACGGCCGATCATTGTAGCTGATGGTTAGTTGCTTGGTAATGCTGAGTAGGGGTATGTGTTGAATGCAACGATGTTGTGCTTATGCAGCGTCGACGCACTTGGGAGCGCTTATGTATCTGGATCTGTGGCTTGTCAGCATGCCTGCGCCTACGTCGCACATGTCGCGCATGTCGCGAATGCAAGCATCCCCCGCGCCTTATCTCCCAGGGTTAGGTGGCCCGCCCCACTGGTCCTGCGGTGGCGATATACGACGGAGGCGAGGTAGCCGAGAGGTAGAAAGCCGACATCTGTCGGGAGTAGCCGTCAGCTGATGCCCACCGAGCCTGACTTCGTGGGTGACTTCATAAGCGGGCGAGCAAATAGTGCAGTTTCAGCTTCTTCCTTGTTCCCCAACTTACCCAGAACACCATGGTGCACCCCAACTTCAAGATCCAGGATGCGGCGCTGAACGCGACCAAGGGGTGGATCAACGACGAGGCGTACGAGTCGGGCTCGACATTTGACGTAGAGGACCCGGGCTCGGGCGAGGTCTGGACGAGCGTGGCCGAGATGGGCGCCGTCGACGCCGAAAAGGCCATTACGGCCGCGACGAACGCCTTCCCCGGATGGAGCAACACGGGTGCGCGGACGCGCGCGCGCACCATCCTCGAGCTCGACCGCCTCGTCCGCGAGAACAAGGAGGACCTCGCCATGCTCATCACGATGGAGACGGGCAAGGCGCTCGCCGAGGCCCGCGCCGAGGTCGACTACGCCACGACTTACTCTTGGGTCATGGCCGGCGAGGCGGAGCGCATTCAGGGAGACACCATCAAGGCAAACGATAACCCGAGCCTGAGGTTCTTCACGCAGCGCGTGCCCGTTGGCCCTGTTGCGCTGCTGTGCCCGTGAGTGTTGCGGTCCTGACGGTCTACGACTGTAGTCTAACTGGGCCGGGTACGCGGTCCCGGAGCGCTCATGCTAACGCCAGGTGGAACTTTCCCGTCGTCATCGCCCTGCGCAAGATCGCGACCGCGCTCGCGGCAGGCTGCACAATGGTGATCAAGCCGTCGCCCGAGACGCCAGTGTCCACGCTCGCCCTGGCCATTCTCGCCAAGCGTGCCGGCGTCCCTGCCGGCGTCATCAACGTCGTCACTGCGTCGAACGCAACCACCCCCGAGGTCGGCAAGATCCTCTGCACTGACAAGCGCATCAAGAAGGTGTCCTTCACGGGCTCGACTAACGTGGGCAAGCTGCTCATGGGCCACGCGGCGGGGACGCTGAAGAAGCTGACCCTCGAGCTGGGCGGCAACGGCGGCTGGGTCGTATTCAGCGATGCGGACCTGAACGCTGCCGCCGACGCCTTGCTGGCGAACAAGCTCCGACACGCGGGCCAGGTGTGCGTGTGTGCGAACCGCGTGTTCGTGCAGCAACCCGTCATTGACGAGTTCACGAAACTCGTCCAGGAGAAGATGGCAAAGCTGAAGTGGGGCCACGGCCTGGACGAGGGCGTGACAAACGGCGCGGTGACGGTGGACCGTGGCGCGGCGCGGGCCGAGGAGCTGGTCGCCGACGCGCAGAAGCACGGCGCCAAGGTGCTGACCGGCGGCAAGCGGTTCGGGACCGGCTTCCACTTTGAGCCGACGCTCATCGTCGGCGCGCCCCAGGACGCGCGCGTGTACAAGGAGGAGATGTTTGCGCCCATCGTCAGCATCTACCCCTTCGAGAGCGAGGACGAGGTCATTGCCCTCTGCAACGACACCGACATGGGCCTCACCAACTATGTCTGGACGCGCGACATCAGCCGCGCCTGGCGCGCGTACGAGCGCCTCCAGTCCGGCACCGTCGCTATCAACACCGCGAACGCCAACACCGCCGAGAGCCCCTTCGGAGGCATACGCGAGAGCGGCGTAGGAAAGGAAGGCGGGTTTGGGTACGGCGTCAACGAGTTTACGGTCGTCAAGACGGCCGCGCTGACGGTGGACCAGTAGCGGAGGGAAGGGGTGAAGGTGGGTTTGGAGGTGGCACCGAAGCTCTCCGCAGCCGGTAGGCGAGGGTCGTTCATAGGTGTCTAATGCAGAATCTGAAGCTACCTGGACCACAGGAGAGGGCGAGTGAGCAGCCAGACTAGTAAGCTTGTCGAGGAAGACGAACTGGAGGGGGAAGACAGAGTGAAACCCGGGCGCACGACCGCCACGCCGATCGGTGACTCAACCGCAGCTCCACTGACACACCTGACCTTGACTCACATCCTTCCTCTTCTCGTCCTCACTCACTACACGCAGCCCAATCAAACATACGATTTCGCTCTTCCGCTCTGCACAACTTCCAACGTTAGCTGGCAGACCGCGAGTAATAGCTGACAGCCTCAGGCCCTCGGAAGGCGCAACGTGCCCCGCAGGGGTGAGCTGTGGGTCTCCTCTTTAGCTGACGTTCAATCAGTCCTCCAATCTCACTGAGAGCATCCCTCCGAGCTGTGGACAGGATCTCGGCCGCCTCTTAATCTGCCCTTTGGAGAGCGTTCGGGATGGAAGTCGCCACCGACATCATCGTCAGGCCACCATCGCCTGTGAGGCGTCAGTTCTTCAGCCGCCGCCGTACTGACACGCAGGTCGCAATCACGCTCCGCGCTGGCTGCAGGCCATGCCGGCTGACGGCCAGGCAAACGCCTTCTACCTGGTCTTCGCGGTAGCCCTCCGCCCCTGAGCTTTCGAACTGGAGGATCGCGAGAGATGGTTGGAAACCTCCAGGTGGCGGGTGAGCTTTCTCGCCGCAAGTTCTAGCTGACAACAGCCACTCTAAGCCGCATGTGAGCTGGTAGCTCGCTATCGCTGTAGCTCACGTACAGCCCTGCATCGTTGACGGCTGTCAGACGTCTGCAGATTTGGGTCAAGCTGGCCGGGTCATACCGTAGCTGACAACAGAACTTGACGCGTCGAGTCAGCTTCCCGCTTCTTTCCACAGCTAGCTGATGTCGCAGCCAGCGCTGGAGCATGAGTACGCTCCGGCATGGGATTATGCATAGCTGACGCCAGAGCTGCAATGGACCAGACCTCGTCTCCACTTCCGGCCAGCGTACTTCTTGGATCAGTAGTAAGCTTCTCTTCCTTGGCCCTAGCTGACGACCAGCAGTCGGGACAAACACTGAGGTGAGCTTAAAGGCGAATGTCGAGTCGAGCTGACGAGCAGACTTGAGGACGCTCGACGAGCTCTGTCCCGCGGACCATCAAGATCACGACAGACGAGATAGGTGCGGCCGGCTTCCAGGTTGAAGCAGTAGCTGACGAGGCATCACAAGGGGCTGTACCTGACTGTGAAGCGGCTGGGTGTAGGAGAGTGAGGCAATCGGCTGCACCGTTCCGAGCTCGATGTACAGCTGCGCGTAAGCTCTGTCGATGTCTGACCTGAATGCCTCCCGGTCTCTTTATCAGGATGGTGAGTTAGGCTATCCCCCACCGCAGCTGATTGTCAGTTCCATGTTGTTTGGGTGAGGAATGCTCGGATTTAGCAGTCGAAAGCTGTAAGGCGGGGGTCCGCGGGCCAAGTCCACGGCGCCTTATTTCAGCTTGGTAGAGACCAAAGCAAGAAGCAGTCGACAGTCGTTAGACATCCGAGACGCATGTTCAACAACGACAAGAGTCGCATCGGGCGCTTAAGCGATGTTTATCTCCCCGCCGCCTGCCCGGTATCGGCTGGAGCAGATTAACCTGCTAACGTTCAGGTCATTGATCGAGGCCGTCTGGCACGGCTCTCCCTGTGTCTAGGTCCGAGGGCACCTCTGGTGAGTGCGGCAGAGTGGGGGCCTTGCAAAGGACGTCAGTCTGCAAGACCTGGAGCGCAGTTGCGAAGGCACATGCTATGACCTCAGTCGTAGTCGCCACTCACCTGCAGCCAAACACAACCTGCGTCCAGCGAGCCGCCAGGTCTCCGCAAGCTCCGCGGCCTGTTAGCGCACGCACCTGACGTGGACGGTTGCCCAGCATACATGATGTAGGCCAAGGGAAGGGCACCCAGTCCACGTTACCGCGTTATCGAGGCCGCCGTTCCTCAGTTACGGACCCAGACTCGGGGGCCTTGACCCACGAGTTCTTTGCAAGAATGCAAAGAGCTCGTGCTTGGCAACCCCACGAGCGATGGTGGAGGGAGTTGGAGCATCCCTCGCAACGGCTCCGGGGTATGCGAAGACCAAGGTGTGTCTTGGTTCCCAGCCCTGCAATGACCGATGAGTGTACCTGCTTGTGAGCTGCGCGTCCACGCGACGACCGATCGACGTCGCCGTTGGAGCAGGCCCCAATAAACTTTCGTGCCAATCTGCCTGGTGATGAGTTCCAATCTCGGACCTGCTGACCAGAAATTAGATTCAAGTTCCAGCGACGACGTCCGAAGCTCGTCAGGCACGTACAAGTGAGCCCAAACTGAGCCCAACACCTGGACTCCTCGCTCTCAAGGTAAGAGTGCGCTGGAAAGCTCTGCCTAGATCTGACAAGCCTGCAGCACTGTAACGATCCCCCGTCAGCGGCGTCGGAGCCGTTTGCGGAAGAGAAGGGGGGAGCGCGGGGCAGACTGCACTCCTGAAGCTCTCCCAGTGCATCAGCAGCAGGATGGCGGGCGCCGGTGGCTACAGTCAAGATTCTCACCATCAACTATTGTCCTGATCGAAATAGCACGGCATCTGTGAACACGCGAAAAGGGCTCTGCAAGTAGCTGTCCGCAAATAGATTGCTGTAGCCGACTGAACCGACGGCGCGGCCTTCGGCGACTTCCATGGCTCTAGTGCACGAGCACAAGCGCTCAGCTCCTATGATTGCCACTGAGCACGAGCCTGTCGGCCATCTGCGAGGCGTCCATTAACGCTCAGACGCACGGTAGAGCATCGCCCTTCCATGTCCCTAATTGCGATGAGCGGCTCTGCGATATGCTTAGCCCATTCAAGAAGGCTTGCGTCACGATACGATCCTCATCAGCGCAATGCATTGCGGCCTTTGCTGGAATCCGCCCTTATCACATGCACCACATGCCAGAAGTCACCGCTCGAGATGCTCGAGTGACTACTCTGCAGCATACCGAAGCTTGAGCCCATCGCCTCGGATGCCAAGAATGCGTGTCGCGCCCACAAGTCTGGAATGGCCCCTTGTTTGCGTGCGAGGTGGCTGCACTGAGCTGGCGCCCAGCTCACATAACACTCCTAAGCGGCAAGGCTTCGATTGAGGCGTGCTCGCCTCGCACAACAGTCATCAAACAGCGGGGCCTCGGGGTCGGGGCCGCCCGAGGCGGCAAGGGGTGGATAATCCGCTCTCAATGGAGGGCGAATGGAAGCTCTTCAGGAGTGTCAGGAGCTCAACATCCTCAATCATGTCCTGGCCGAGCTAGTGCTTCGGAGGCCTGGTCAGGCAGAACCAAAACTGCCAGTAGCTCCAGGAGTGCTCATGAACGCCAACGCTAGAATGCGGGGGCGGACAATTTGTCCATTTAGTCACCGCACTCCATGAAGCTGACGTCAAGTTTAGGCAGGACTTTTGCAGAGGAACTAGCGTGCAGACTCCAAGAAATCAAACGCGCTACAGCGGCATCGGGTTGGGCGGGCCACGGCATGGCGGCACGACGGGCCATTTAGGCTGTCTCGGACACGGCACGGGATAGGTATGCCCATATTCTTGGACTGGCACGGATATCCAGAGCAAACAATGTGCAAGCGAGCGTCTGACAATGCAGTGCACACAAGACCACTAATTATGCGATGCACGAGCAGACGTCAAGGTCCTTGGCCTGCTTGGCTTTGGTCATGGGACGGCACGTCCGCATTAGTATCCAGCGTAACCCAGGTCCTTGGTAAGTCGTCTGCCAGTCGCTGGGGTGGGTCCATGTGTCAGGCTCCGTTCGGTGCACAGAGGCGGAAGACCCGGCCCACCATGCCGGACGGGAGCAAACACTACTCAGGGGAACCCGAGTGCCTTACGTTGGCCCTGGGGGAACGCGTTGCGTCCCTGGATTGCCCTCCTCCTGCCCTGGGTGCTTGTGCACCGCCTCTCACTCAGCATCCTGGGTGTGTCCTGACGAGTCCTGACGTCCTTGGTGGAGTTGAGCGCAGAACCCCGCTGAACGCTTTAATAATATCCTGCCGCCCATGAATACTGACATGCTCGCCGCTCCGCCCTTCGCCGCGCCGCCGACTCTGTATAGCATCAGCCCGGACAGGAGAGCTGGAGCGGAACGTTTCCAGTGCTAAGAATGGCTCGGCAGTGCTGCTCGCTGATGGCTGCGTGGGAGCTGGCACAGAGGAGCGATCTAACACCCCACGCTCGTCAGCCAAGTCATGACGATTGGGCATGGACAGTCGTCAGAGCCTCCAGGCGGCGGCGACGAAGTCGGCGGTGCTTGCATTCGGCGGCGCACGCAGATCTCACACGACGCATGCACCGTGCCGTGCCGTGCCATGTGAACACTGTTGAAGGAGGCGACAGGCGATATAGTCAGCTGCCCGGCGCAAGAGATCTCATCGCAAACATTTCCATCACCTTGACGACATATTGAGCGCTTGAGTGACGACACAGACGACAGGACACAACAAGTCAAAACAACACGAACACGGTACCGCCGATACCGGTGCGACGCGACATCTGTCTCCTTTGCACTGAATACATCAAGGATATCGCCAGGACTACACGACCTCGACGCCGCCGCCACAGCACGGCACGCAAGCCCATTCTGAGTATCAGCACCTGTCGAACCTGTCGACCCCGGCCGGCCTATCAATCAGCACTACCTTGCGCTCGATCCTCGTCTGTCAAACCTGCCCAGTTTGCCTGAGCTCGCCTGAAAAGGACCCTTCGAAATTTACAGTTGAGCATCGGAAACCTAGGCTCCAGCAGTGGACTCGTTCCGTCGTTTCGAACCCTTCATTAGGATCCTGTCTGGCGCCTCGGCAGCCGACCTCCGCGCCCGACCTAGCGAAGTCTCTAAGTTTCTTGTGTTCTTGTCTTGGCACTCGATTTCTATCTGACTGCATCTGAGATCGCCGCCCGCCGCATCTCGGCGCCTGCGTAGCTTCACCGCCCAAGACCCACAGCGCACGCCCACGGACGATCGATCCGTCCTTGAAGGTGAGTTGGTCACATGCTCCTGTTGTCAGTGGAGGGTGCAAAGGAGCATGGTGCTCCCATGGCAGGGCATGGAGCTCGGACGCTGTGTGAGTCGCTCAGCTCGGGCGCGGTATGCAGATGAGGTCAAGGTCAGGATTCGGTCGGGTTCGTGATGCGCCTTTGCACGTACAGGCGCGCCTCTGGTCTCGGTCGCCTGGCGTTGTTGATGGGTTGTCGCAGGCCTTGGGATTAAGCGTGCGTGCCGAGGTCCAGGTGGTGATTAGAGCGTGGTCTTTCCCCGTTTCAATGGTTCAATGGAGGTGTGCCCCTGTCACACCGAAACCGACCTGGAAAGCTGGCATCGCTGGGCAGAGCATGCAGCCAGCGACGCCAGACCGCCAGCATACGCGCGCGTGTCCCACTGAACCGAGAGCGTACGCCTGCAGCGCTCACGCACCAACCGGGCTGAGGCACTCATAGGCACGGCCGTCGACCCTGAACTATTGCCCCCTGGCACGTCCTGGCACCGTCCTGGCGCGCTCCTGCTCCTTGTCCTGGGCCTCCCTTGCAAGTCCCCGGCCAGCGATCCACCCCCGCCCACGCACATCCTTGCCCCCTCGCTCTGCTTGCTGTCCCTTGCTGTCCCTCGCCGTCCAATCCCTCCGCTCCTACCCTCCTCACCCTCCTCACCCATCTCACTTCGACCACATATCTCTATTCTCTTCCTCCTCTCATCCTCCTCCTACCCTCCCTCCCCCTCTTCCCCCGCCGACGTCTTCTTCCCCCTCTCAGGCTGGCTGTCCAGCTGACCACCGACGACTCAGCGAGAGTCTAGACACATTCGTTTCGTGCTCCGGTAACTTTTGATATAATCGCGACACCCCCCGCACGCGCGCGCGCTCCGTGCTTTCCAACCGGCAAACCAGTCTCGTGCGCCGCGACTTCCGAACGGTCCCAGCGCTACACGTCCCCGACTAGTCACCCCCGACACACCGCGCATCGCACCCCCGTGCACAGCACTTGCCCCGGAACGCACCGCGCACCGATACGTGTCAGTGCATCCTTGTACGTCTATTTCTGTCTCTTGACTGCGTGTTGGCTCGCGTAATCGGAAGGCAAAGGCACTGCCAACCCCTTGGTTTTGCAACTACGGACCACCACCACCGCACGAAACTTTGTGACTGCGGGGTGGTCCGCATTCTCCCTCCCTCTTGTGTGCTGACACGCGCGCCGCAGCGTGCTGAACAGATTTCTCTCTCCTTTCGATATATTTTACAGTTTCGACGTTTTCTCGAACCACACGCCCATCACTCACCATGCGCGCTTTCGCCCTGAGCGCTGCTGCTGCCACGGCGCTTCTCGCGCCCGCTGCCCAGGCCATGGCCGCCTACGAGCCCGAGTTCCAGCAGCTCGTGTCGCGCGCCACGACCCAGGACGCCATGGCTGCCGCCGACAAGGCCTTCGACTTTATCGTCGTCGGCGGTGGTCTCGCTGGTCTCACCGTCGCAAGCCGTCTCACCGAGTGGAACAACGTTACCGTCCTCGTTCTTGAGGCCGGTGGCACCGGTGACGAGTCGCAGAACATCCAGGACCGTGTCGACATGCCCGGCAAGTCGTACATCAACTCGCTCACCGGAACCGAGTACGACTGGAAGTACAAGACGGTCCAGCAGCCCAAGTCGGGCAACCAGCAGAAGAGCTGGCCTCGTGGAAAGATCCTCGGTGGCTCCGGCGCCGTCAACGGTCTCTTCTGGTGCCGTGGCGACAAGGATGAGTACGACGCCTGGGCCTCGCTCAACCCCGGGACCAACGAGACCTGGGACTGGAACGAGGTCAACAAGTACATCATGAAGGCTGAGAACTTCATGGAGCCTCCCACGGACATGGTCAACCAGATGAGCCTCAAGTACGACGCCGGCGCCCACGGTTCTGGCGGCCCCATCTCGGTCGGTTACTCCCAGTACATCTACCCCGTCACCTCCAACTGGATCCCCTCCTGGACCGAGCTCGGTTTCGACGCCAAGGACCTTGCCGGCGGTTCCACCCGCGGTGTCATGCTTACTCCCTCGACCCTGAACCGTGACACCCAGTCTCGTTGCGACTCCAAGGTCGGCTACCTCGACCCTCACGAGGACCGCGGCAACCTCGTCGTCCTCACTGGCCAGCAGGTCACCAAGATCGTCTTCAACGGCACCAACGACGCGCAGGGCAACCCCATCGCTTCCGGTGTCACCTTCTCGGCCGGCCCCGGCCAGGAGGTCTTCTCCGCCCAGGCCAAGAAGGAGGTGATCCTGTCTGGTGGCACTGTGGGTTCGGCCCAGATTCTCCAGCTCTCCGGTGTCGGTCCCGCCAACGTCCTCCAGGGCGCCGGTGTCCCCGTCGTCAAGGACCTGCCCGTCGGCTACAACCTCCAGGACCACGTTTCGAACACGATGTACTTCAACACCCAGCCGATCGACACCTGGTACGAGCTCGCCAACAACAAGGGCCTCCAGGACGAGGAGGCGCAGAAGTGGAAGAACAGCGCCCAGGGTCTCTGGACATATGTCAACGAGGCTGTCGGCTACATTTCCGGTGCTGACCTTTACGGCACTGGCTCTGCCGCCGCGTCCAACGTTGACGTTGATGCCATGCTTACCACTCTTGACGGTGACATCGGCCTTCCCGCCAGCGTCAAGAACGGTATCCGCGCCCAGCTCGAGCTCCAGAAGCAGTGGCTCTCGTCGACTGTCGGCCAGTTTGAGATCATTCTTCACCTCTGGGGCCAGACTGCCAACAACATCGGTATCCAGGTCGCCCTCCAGCACCCCTTCTCCCGCGGCACTCTGTTCATCACCTCGGACTCTGCCTGGGACTCGCCCTCGATCAACCCCAACTACTTTGGTATCGACAAGGACGCCGAGATGGGTGCTCGCGCCCAGGAGTGGGTCCGCAAGCTCGTTGCCACCCCCACCTGGAAGAAGATTATCACCGCCGAGGTTGGCCGTGACGGCAGCAAGGGCCCCACCGATGACCAGGGCTGGTTCGCGTACAACGGCAAGACCGAGTACCACCCTCTCGGCTCTTGCTCCATGCTTCCCGAGGACCAGGGCGGTGTCGTTGACACCAACCTCAAGGTCCACGGCATCAGCAACGTTCGCGTTATCGACGCTTCGATCATGCCGATCCACGTTTCGGCGCACCTGATGGCTTCCACTTACGGAATCGCCGAGAAGGGTGCCGACATCATCAAGGCTAAGTATGTTTATGTTCCCCCACCTCCCTCCCCCTCCACGTCTGCGTCGTCAGGAGCTAGTTCCACGGGTCTCTCTCAGGAGACGCAAGCGGGGCCTGCTACTACAGCGGAGATTGAGGACGCGACGGATTCTGCCATCAAGAGTGCTGCGGCAGACGGGAACGCGAAGGCTTCAAGCGGTCAAATGACGATGGGAACCAAGATTGGAATCGGAGTCGGTGTCGGATGCGGTGTCCTTGCTCTTCTCGCGGCGATCCTGTTTGTCGTCGGCGCTGCCAGGAAGACAAGAGGAGGGCAGCGAGCGAGAAGGGGTGGTACGCCGGACCTTCGGCGGACGGGGGCGCGTGGGACGCCGGCGCAGCCTACAGCGAGCAGGAGGGATACCCGATGGCGCCGCCGCGGGGCCGTCCCTTCTCTTCTGCAGGCGCGTCGGTCAGCACCATGGCAACCGCGGACCTGTACCACCCCACTCCGGGCTCGCCCTCTGGCCACGGTGACGGCTATGATGCGTACAGCATGGGCGATTACTCGCGCGGGGGCGCCCAGTCACCATACCGCGACTTTGTAGATGAGCAACCCTCCTACCCAACACCAGGAACACCAGGCTCCCCAGGATCATTCACGGGACAAGGGTCCCCCATGCCCTCGCCGCCACAGTGGGGAGCACAGACTTACACCCCAGTTACGCCTCGGTAAAAGAACTCCCAAAGTGTCCTGCGAAGCGCAGCCGCCGCCGCTCTCGCATGCAGCAGCAGGCGGGCGACGCGGGCGTCGAGAAGAAGCGCGAGGCAGTCCACGTGATGCCCCGCGCGTACAAGCGTGACGAGTAAGGGTTTGAGCCCAAGGACGAGCCGCAAGGCGAGTCCGGCGAGCCAAGCCCGGTGAGCAGTTGCGGAGCGGGCATTCAGCTCGCTCCTTCCTGCCGCAGACACTCTGCCACAAGCTTGACAAAACAAGCTCGATGCCCCTGTCCCCGTCCCGCTCGTTCATGCAGAGTTCAGCGCCGCGCTCGCAGTACGACGCTTGATACCCCCCTACCCCCACTTCTTTTTCCAAGACATGACAAACAGACAATGATCCCAGTTTTATCCTTTCCAGCTCATGCGCTACGCGCAATATGGCATTTTGCATGAATCCCATTTTCTAATGTGCCGATGGGAGGCAGGGTGAAGCGGAGGGACGGGTGGAAGAGGGACTGACGACAGGTCGAGCGAAGGAGTAGGAGAACACTGACTGCAGATCGAAACCTACGCATCCGGCTCGAGTAGCAACCCGGGGGCAGGGGCCGAGGAAGAGACATTGAGCTACGGATGTGAGTTTGGGAGGATTGGTGAGCTGTTGAGAGAGAGACAGACCCCGTCTCAGCCGACCATACCAGTCTCAGCAAGACATCCCATCGTCACACATTCCACCCCGTTCTACGCGGTCTCGTGCAGTCCCACGATCTCGACTCGAACTCGTCTGACATCTGACGACGTGCGATAAGGCGATAAGTGCGATAAGCCCATTCTGGGAATGGTACGATCTGGTCCTTGCCCGTTGTTTGTGGAGGCAGACTGGTACGCAGAGCGGAGGAGCGCGAGGATGTGGGTAACAAGACAAAGGGGTACTGGGTATTGGTTCTGCTCAACTGATAATCTGATAATGGGCAAGGCGTAGATCGGCCGGATATACTGCGATACTGTTGATGGTTGATGGACTGATGGCAGGTCTGTGACGACGCGACAATGCGACGGGCGCGAGGGGGGTGACGGAACAGCGGAGCAAGATCGAGCGGGACGAAACATTGTGTCACCTGTGAACTCTGGCAGACTTGGCTGCTGAGACACGGAGCCCGAGAGGGATAGCCAGGGAGGGCAGAGAGGCAGAGCCAAGCAAGTGCTGTTGGGGACAGAGCTGCGCCAGAGGTGGGGGACTACGGCTGCATGAGGGCCAAGCTGCGTCGAGGCCTCGTGATTGAAGGCATTCCCTCCGGCGGTGCTTGGGACGACAGGACGAACAGAGTCGCGGTGCGTTGCCCTCGGCAGCCAGGGGTTCAGGATCAGCACGAAGGTGACAATCAGATTACACATCACGCCCAAGGACATCGACAGAAGGAGAAGAAGCATAGCGCGTTCGGAGCACCGGGCCGGGGACCGATGTTCTCCTCGACGACCGCCGATCGTCGAAGACAGACCTCTTCCATCACAACTATCTGCACTTGACTCTCGCAGCCCTGCCTAGCGAGAGAGAGGTACTACCAATGGCGCGAAGTGCGAGCAGGCTGGAGTGCTGTAGATCTTGGAGCAACGACGGCAGCCCCATCGATTGCAGCGCCTCACACAAGGAGACATCAGAGCCGTAAACCTACGTCGCTGAGGCTGGACCGTCAGCACTCAGGTAAGCGTTCAAACTGTGTGTTCAGGTGCTCTGCACTCGTTCTTAAGGGCTGGGAGTGCTGAAGATTGTTGTGTCCAGACGCACGGATCACACGAACAATGCAACGGATCCCGCCCGCCGACGCCCGGTTTACCTCGGATTCTGGTGCCCTCTTCCACCACTATAGGGGCCGAGGACATGTCTAGACCGCAGCCCAGCCGCCACTGACGCACATAAGATCGCGGACTAATGCGCGCCGCTGGGCCCGAGCGCTCACTGTCTGCGGGCACCTTGCGGGCACCTCAGCGGAGATGGGTAGAGCAGTAGCCTGCGCCTCGGCCCTCGTGAGTCGCCTCCGCTTGGCAGAACGCTTCGATGCTGGGGTTTGATTTCCCATTCTTTGAGTTTGAATTGCCCATGCTAACACCAGGCGCGCAGACCAGTGCGTATTGCCAGGCGTTGTAGTCGCGTCGCACTGCTATTGTGACTCCTTCCCCCGTCGGCACGCACATGACACACCGCCGGAGATCCCACACCGATCCGATCATCCTTGCCTATGGCGCCTTCCCTCGATCCCCGGACATCCTGCTTCTTCCAACTCACCGACCCGCGTCATCAACACGCGACACTCTGCCTTGACAAAAGGTCGCTTCCAGCTCCGGATTCTTCCATCCCTTCCTCTTGCGTCTCCGTGACTGTCCGGTCTGCAGCTGAGGTTCCAGCCGCCGGCTCCAGGCTGCACAGCAGCAAGACCTTAGCAGTCGACACGCACTCCGTCCGCACAGCAGCCCCGCCTCCTCCCGCCCCCCCTTCCGGATGCACCGCGCGAGCTTCCGAATCAACATTAGTGTATATCTCGTTGTCCATTCCGCCGGCATGCAGGTGTGAGAAACTGAACCACATCTCGATATCATCATGTCAACGACTCTCGCAACTCGAAATACTCACTATGCGCCTCATGCGCGCATTCCGTCCCGGCCTGTCGGCGGAGTGGTCAAGACGACCAAGGCCAAGCGCAGCGAACCGTCGCCGAAACCGAAACCGACAGCTCCTGGAGGAGAAAGGAGGAAATACGAGCCGAAGACGGAGCGGATAGACGTCGTCTTAGAGAGGAGACACGGCGTTCCCAAGCTCGTTACGGAGCACTCGCCAACGTCGTCGCCCGGTCCACTTACGCCGTCGACACCGCCTGCTGGCCCTGCGTCGATCCGCTCGAAGCACAGCCGCTCTTCCTTGCGCCCGCCCACCGACCAGCACTCCTCCCGGACGACAATCCACCGACCGCGGCCCGTCTATGCCTACACGCCCGACGTCAAGCCGAATCTTCAGACGCTCAACGACAAGGGTCGGGATACAAGGGATATCGAGCCCGACACAAAGCCAGATGTCAAGCCCGACGTTCAAGAGCCCGCTGACGAGCGGATACGAGATCTCAAGGGCCTGGAAGCGTACGGAGTCCGCTTCGTCCAGCGGACCGACGACGTGCGGGGGACACAGGTGCTGGCTCGCGACGCCGACTTTGCCGCCGATGTCGCATACCTGAGTAGGGTGAGTAATATCTCGTCGACTATGGGTCCGGTATGAGCTCGGCGGCTTTCGTGACAAGGCTTGCAGCCGCGTCTGCGATGGAGTCCATGTTAGATTGCCAGTGGTTGGTGACGCTGTCTCGTGGCTTGACACTGTGTCTCCCACCAGTCACACAACACTCTCCGGTCATCATGGAAGGGCAGAAAAGAAGGGCAATGAGGACACCACGCACAGACCTGCTGCCGAAACTGAGGCGGGAATGGCAGAGGGTGAACTGTTGAATTGTGAAACCGGTTCGAAAGTAGGGTTGCGCCACCGTGACTCGTCGTTGTGCCCTCAGAGTCAGAGGCCAAGCAAGGGGTGGGAGCTCCATATTGACCCAGTCAAGCCACCATCATCCCTCTTCAGTTGTACAGAGCGTTTCCTCATGAAACTGACAAGCAGCCAGCACCCGATCGTAGCCCGTCTCTGCCGTCCAGCAGCGGATTCACGATGAAGCCGCAAATTCTCGCACACGCCCATCGGCTTCGTTTCGCTCTTGAGGACTGTCACGCCCGCCGGGTGCCGGATACAACGCACAAGCTCGTGTTCGAGCTCCTCCGGCTGCTCTCTCCGCCCTGTGCAGTGTGAGTTCGTTTTCACGCAAGCTGACAACTTCCTATGTCCCGGTGAGCTGACTCCAGTGCCGAGAAAGCCAAGCTTCCTAAGGAAACGAAACGGGGCCGGAAAGCTTACCAGCTCGGTCTGCGCAATGATGAGGTCGAGATATTTGGCGACGCCCTCCTTCTCGCAGACTATCTCTCTGGAGCGGACCTGTCGGGACCTGCGATTGGTGAGCTACGAAAGTTCTTACGCGAACTGACTCCAGACCGGTGGAGCGACTGTCAGTTGCCATACCTTTTCGCTGAGGTCGGGCAGGGTGATGTCTGTACGGAGGAGGCGTGCGTACGGCTAACACAGCGTATGCGTTCTGGCCTTGCAGCTTATGCGGATTTGTATGGGCGTGCACATGACCGCGCAGGCTACGGACACCGGCACCTATACCGGTGCGATGTGTCCCAATCCGCCTACGGATTGCTGGTGCTCGGACTGCGGTGGAGTGTGTGGGCTTTGGCAGAAGCCGATGAGGGAGGACAGGTGAGCTTGGTTAATTCCTTTGCCAGCTGACAGCCAGACTCTCGTGAAGATTTGGGAGACGAAAAGTGTGGCCGAGCCGGAACAGATGGCCCGAGCGGTGTCCATACTACGCCGCATTGCATGGCAGGCGCAGGCGCGCCGAGGTCTGGTAATGCAGTGGCTCGAAGGCGTCTATGGCGGAGACATGCCCACGCCCATTGGCAAGACCCCACCACCGCCCGACGGGGAGCTACCTACGCTCATGACTCCCATGCCTCATACCCCGCCTCCAGCAGTGGATCATGGGTCGGCTGAGGTACCGCGGATTCACTCGTTACCTCCGTCGCCGCCACATGACTTCATACCTCTGCATCATCCAGATCTGCCACCGCCTGACTTCCGCGACCCGTTCCAAGACTCGTTGCTGGCCCGTCGCCGCTCCTTCATCCTGGATCCATCGACGCTGGCTCCTCGTCGCCACTCGGACAACGTCCTTCCCAGACGTCACAGCGTTTACCCAGGCCATACGGCTACGTCGACGGCATACTTTCCTCCGCCGCCGCATTATGCTGCGGCGTCCAGGCCGTTGGCACCGATGAGTACCGGGTACAGCGCACGCAGCGTCCACTTTCCGCCGCCACCTCCACTTGCTATGCCACCAGTAATAATGCGAGCCCCGTCGAGCCCGAGCCTCCACCCCTTCCCGTCATACAGTCCCGTCATGACCCCGCTTATGAGCCCCTATCTCGCACCTAACTTCACTGGTGGCAGTCTCCGGCCATCCTTCCACCATTACGAGCTGACGACGGAGCGCCCACGGTCGCTGCGTTCGCTGCATCGCTCCTCGCAGCGCGGAAGGCAGCGCACAACGAGCCTAAGTCGGCCACGGAACCCCCGAGATAGCACAAAGAACTCGAGTCACAGGCGTAGCGCTAGCGCAGGGGGTGCGCTGCAAGGCGGAAGCCGGCGGAACTCGCGGTCCGTGGGCAGCAAGAAGGTGGGAGCGGCGTCAACAGGGTCTACGCCCGGTATCTTGGCCAGAAGCTGGAACATGTTCAAGCGCAAGTGAGAGGTGACTTGTAGGATAGAATGGAATAGGGATTCTCCCGATTAGAAATGTAGTCTGTAAACTCGGAATGCCTTGATGATATGATACACGAAAACACCTTGCTGCAGTAACTCGAAGCTGAGGATAGTGTCAAGATCGGCTGTAGTGCCACGACCACGTGCGAGGAAGACCCTTATGGTAGCGCTGAGCGGCCACAAATATACTTCCGTTTATGATGTCGGTTCGACAGTTGACATCGTCATTTCACTCGTTTCTCCTTCTTTCATCTCGTCCAACTCCATCAATTTTGCTCTACCGTTCTCGTGATGGCTACAGATCCCTCCGCTGACTCTCTCCCCGCCGACAGCCCGCTTCAAGCTCCCGACGGGGTCCCTCCTTCCGTCAGTTTCATGCTCCCCCTCGTGCGTTTTTGGTACGAACCGTACATCCACTCTTCTAACTTCAGCTCGCGGCGATGAACAATCGCGGACAGTTCAATCGAGTTTCCCGCGAAGCGAGGTTACTCCCAATAGACCAGGATGCCGTTGAAGCTTGGATCCAGGCCGTCTGTGACGCCCGCCCGGCTGACCTCGAACCCTTCTTGCCAGCTTCCATGTCCTCGCAAGCGTCAACCGCGTACGTCGGCTAGCCCCGCCCTCCCTCCCACTACTGCTACTGCTGCCGAGACCGCCCCTGTTGCCGCCGCTAACCCCGATCCCGGCGTCTTCGGCGCTGCACCCACCGGTGGTGTCCATCTATCCACCTTTACCGGGGCACATGGCTTCGGAGGCATCGGCGGTCTCTCCGGACCGCGGAAGCAAGCCGCCCAAGCTAGCCAGAGAGCCCAGAGGTCACAGAGTGCACTGCTGGCGGCCTCAGGCAGCCCTCAGACCTCCTCACCCTTGTCGCGATCGTCTCCTCCAGCGAACCAGCCCGCAAGTAATACCTCTTCTGCACGGCCAGAGCCCGTCGTGAAGCGCAACAAAGCGGACTTGCTGACTCTAAAGAATACATTTGTGAGTCAACAGTGCTGGCACACCGCTCACAGCGCACAGGTCGCTGTCCTGCCTTCGAAGTTCTGGATTGCGCCTATCAGTCGCTACCTTGGCAGCCACACTCGCGTCGATCTCTTACATCAGGCGTGCGATGAGGCCGGGCTCACTGTAGTCCCATCCATCTACAGCTCCTTCACTCCGCAGGAGGTCTTTGACCACCTGTCACCCGGGGCCCGCCGCGTTATCGACCAGGCCGTGATTGACGGGACGCATGGGTCATGCTGCCAGTATGGCTTCAGGTTAGTCGACCATTTCGCCAATTTCTTAACCTACTCTAACCCCATCGCAGTTGGTATTGCAACACCCTTGATTTCTCGACCGTCAACTGGCGTAGTGGCTTGGAGGAAGCGTCTGGCGCTGCCGTCTGCATGATCAACGTCCGCGGCATTCCCTTCCTTGTCGCCGAGCATGAGACCGGCTGCTCACGGTATTTTCCGGCAGCACTTTTGCAAAGGTTCCTCGAGAAGGTGTACAGCAACGGATATCGCGACGAGTCTTTGCGGGAAGCTCACGACCACAGAGTAGGTGACGCCGGTGACAGTGACGACGGAGTAGAGGACGGGCAGCCTCGTTCTCAATTCATCTCCACGGATGCAGGCTTCCCTCTTGGATACGCGTGGTCTGATGAATGCCTTGGAACGCTCCGTCGACTGGAGTCAATCATAGCAGCTCCCTACTTCAAGGATGACGCCGTTCAGCGCGAGAGGCGAAAGAAGGAGGAAGAAGAGAGACAGGCTCGACTGAAGGCAGCGGAGGAGGAGAGGGAGGCCAGGCGGCTGGCAGCTGAAGAAGCGAGAAGGGCCAGAGCCCCCAAGAAGGACGGCAGAGGACGCAAGAAGGGCCGTCGATCGTCCCCGATCGTTGTGGACATTGCGGCAGACGAGGACATCACTGGGGACGGTGTGGCAGAGCACCGAGCGTCCTCCAGGAGGAAGACTCGGCCCTCCGTGCAGCGAGTTGCCTCTGTTTCTCCTCCGAGGCGGCGATCCGGTGGTCCCCGCAGCACTCGCAACTCTCTCCGGGCGGGAGTGCAGCAAACAGACGACCCTGACCGCATTGGTCCGGTGCCGAGAACCCTGGTCGTCGGTAGAGACTGGATCGCGCTCTCTGAGGCACCTGCAGAGCAGCCTCATGGCCCCTCGTCTGTAGACACCGCAGAGCCGCCAGCCTCCCCAGAGGCCGCACTCAGCTCGGTAGAGTCCGAGGAAGGTGCGGGTACCCCTGCTGCCTCGCAGCCTGCTGAAGACAGCCCTTCTGCAGTGATTACTGTCGAGGATACCTGTTCGTCGCCGGCGCCAGTTGTCGCAGAGCCAGCAACGCTAGTTACGCCCGAACCGCAACCGGTTCGTAGGTCTCGCCGGCGCCATGTCGCCTAAACTCTTCCCCGTAGCTTCTTAATGCATAAAATTTGCCATTCAGTGTTCGGATCGACGAACTGTATGTGCTAGGTTAGGGACGCGGCTCCGGTTGCAGCACTTGGCTGTTCGGGACCACCCTCACGAGTACCTGGGTGGCGCGCCACAAGCTATATCTCAACCTCGCCCGACATCCCTTCACTAAAACCTTGCTATCTCTGCAACCGACACAGCTTTTGAACCGGTCTTTTTTTCTGTACGATGCCTTGAGACCCTTCGACGCTTTTGTCAAGCGTGCCTGAACGTTTGGCATGCATGAGGACGTGCTCAGGAGAGGCGACACAGCCGGTCCCAAGGGGGACTGCAGTGAGACTATCCTAAGTCGATCTTACCGCTTTCAAACTCCCAATCTCAGGACTTTTGGGCTCTAATGGGGGCTCATATGTTGCTATAAGCTGTATCGAAGAGAAGATAAATGCTATGCAGTGCCAAGTAGCGTGAGGCAAGTGTTTGCGCTTCAAATGGTCGTAATACTAACAAGTGGCAGTTGTACTGGTTTCGGAGTTGCCAATGTTCACAACAACCTTGCAATCACTCCCAGAGTGCAGAAAACTCCTATGCATACAGCTACTTAACCCTTACTAACGTTGGTGAGACCGGATCTGCGAACAAAGGAAGGCTTACTCTCCAAAGATCACTCTACAATGACGATGATGTAAGCTACTCAGGTGGAGGCAATGGCGTTGACCGTCATGATGCCGTTGCTCTCGAAGTACACTTCTGCACATCCCGCGGACGCAATGAGATCGTACTGAATGAGGGCGGCCGCCTTCCAACCCTCGTCATAGTGTCCGGCGTTGACAAAGCGGGTGAGCCAGGCTTGGAACTCGGTTTTGACCGAGACGTCAATGAGACCTAGCCAGTCGCGCCCACGCTGTTCACTCAGATTGAGGGTGCTGGTCGGGCCATTTGATGTGGATTGCTCGTCATCTGGGTGGCTGTCGTTGCTAGCGTGATTGTCACCGGAGCTGTTGCTGTCATAGGAACAGAGGACGTTCACGGAGGAGCATCCGGCACATCCCGTAGGGACCATACCTTGGGCGCCGACGGTTCCATGGAAGCAAGCCTGCCCGGTGGCTTGACAGCGGCTACAGCGGGTGTCCAAGGAGTCGTCCAGGTTATCGTGCGTCGTACGGGGCTTCTTCTTGGGTGGGGCGTCGGATGTCAGTTCAGAGGCATCGTCATCTAGCTCATCCTCCTCTTCCTTAGGTTGTTCATTCTCGCGGGCAGTGTCCTCCATTGACCCGCCGGTCGCATGTTCGGAGTTTTCAAGGTTGGGGTCGTCACCGTTCTGGTGGGGAGGTCCGGACGTGGCTGCAGAGGTCGTTGTGGTTGCAAGGGAGTTGGTGGTGAGGAATGTGGCAACGTGGTGAGCAACTTCGCATTCCTCAAGCTCGTCATCGCTTGCCACGTGAGACGGAGAGCCGGGGGCGGTGACGAAGGAGACAGCGTTAACGTCGTCCGACTGGGTGGTCTCTGCAGCGGCAGCGTCGGCGGTCGCACCGGCTGCAGCGGGGAGAGTGAGGGCGGGCTGGGTGAGGGCGGGGTTGACGCCATACAGAACCTTGTATCCCTTTGACGGCTTCGACGTCAGGTCCTTCTTGTTCTCGCACGCGACGTTGAGGTCCTGGGCTTGAGCCAGCGCCAGACAAACGTCGAGGTAACGCTGCAGCTGATCATTGTTGCTAGGCTGCGACCTGGGGCCAACGCCACTAAGTACGACCGGCTATCGTTAGTGTCTGCGACTCCGAGATACGTACCATCGAGTTTCCATCCCACGTCAAGACCTTAGCGAAACCCATCTGGCGGGCACGTCGAGAGGCCATCGCCTTGCGGAGGCTGTCGCGACGAGGCGAGTTGTGGGGTTTTTTGAGGACGATACTCGAGGTGGTGCTCATTGAAGCCAACTAGAAGTGAGTGGCGAGTCGATGATGGGAAGAAGCAGACTTGGGCGGGCCGCACAGACGTTTAAGTACCTCGTCATGGGAGCCAGGGCGTTGCCTGAGGACGGAGGAGGGCGTTATGACGATGCGCTCAGCGATTCGAATGGCGTTGACGGTCTTCAAGCCAGTGTAGAGTCTTGACAGACGTAGGAAAGTCGAGAAGAACACCTGGAGGCCATTGTCGAACTTGAATCAGTCCGATCGGGTCACTAAAAGCTAACGCGACTTACCAGACGAACTCACAATAGAGAAAGCACTCTGCCGGTCCGATCAATAGCCTTGCAACCGATTGAGGTTCAGAGTGGATGGCTGAAAGCACATTGTTGCGAGCATGAAGCACCCTCCTGGCCCCCCCCAACGAGTTACCGGTGGGAGCCAGGCATCAGCATAACCTCTGGGCGCCGCAGGCAAGCGGCAGGCACAGCTGGGGTGGCAGGAGGTCGGCTGCCTGGACGACCCTGTTCCTGGACGAGTGATCATGAGCATGGAGAGCATCTGCCGTGAGCAGTCGACCTCGCTCATGGACACGATGACCATGCTTGCGACTGGTGATCCTGTAACCAGGTGGCAGATTGTTCTGGAGAGACCGCCAAGTCCAAAGAAGTGATCAAGTTATCAACAAAACACGACGAGCTTCTAGGACTGACAGGCTGCTTCGCCTGGGCTCCCCAGAGTATCTGCCAGCTAGCCAACGATATTCTCCATGAGATAGCGCGCTGTAGGACGAGGGCTTGTGCAACACGTGCTCGAAAGTGAAGATGAGGCGGCCACTGTCCGGCCAGGAAGATCGCATGGCCCATGTTCGCTCGCCCGAGGTCCATTCGGTCCGTGGCAGCCGACTCCTGCCAAAGCCCACAAAACCATCCGCTTGCCTGCGGCGCTTTGAAGACACTGGGGGTCCAGGAGGGTACTCACCACACGCTAACAAGGCTTTGTCCCCCCACCCTTGGCCACCAAATTGATTGACACTGCTATTGTATCAGTTGCTGTGCAAAGCGCTCGACTGAGTGAAGAGGTCGACGACGTAGAAGAATAGGATCGTTTCAGACAGAGTGGGCAAGTCTTCGAGCCCTCGAAGTGAGCGAGATGGCTTCGACGCTATAGAGGGCGAACACTGAAAGTCGATAAACGGTGATTCTCGCCACATTCGCACGTGGATCCTTTGGCGTGTCCAAAGCGTAAGTCAGGTCGCCTTTCGCAATTCAAGACGTCTGTTGCGGTTAGCCGTTGCTCTAGGAGCCTTCATTCACCGAAAGGATGTAGAACAGGGTTAGAAGAGACGAGGATACTTAGGTGTGTGTGAGAACGTCGATGCTAATGAGGACAAGGGGCTCAGGAATGCAAAGGTGGTGTGGGGCCCCGCGGAATGTGGAGGATCGACGCTCACCACCACATCCAACGTGAGCAAGACGATCAACAGAAGCACGACTTCAGCGTTCGACGGCGGGTACTACAAAGGTGTATGAGGTCCAGATAGGCACAAGACTGGACAAGATAGATGGAACTAGCGAGGGCCAGAAACTCAGACGCCGAGGGAGCTTGTGGCGATCACCATCATGCCTTGCAGATATAGGACAATTGGTGCATACGTGGTTTTCGAGGTTACCTGAGGATCAGTGCCGATACAAGAGAACGGCATGAATGCAGACACCATGCGTAAGTGACAGACTTGCATGGGTGTTACTTGCGAGGTTTATGACTCAACTAAGACTACCTGCCCTGTGTTGTCGATGTAAAGGCGAGGGACTCTGGAGATCGCCTCATCCGACAGACGCTGGAAGAGCTCGACAGTCTCGGCTTTGACACCGGCAGTGATGACACCCATATCTACAATATCTTCGAGAAACTCCAAAAAGACGGTGCGGGTGACAGGGTCGTTGAAACCCAAGAAGATGTGCTGGCGCGACTGCCCTGTTGCAAGGCCAGAGACATCAGGGGGGGCTGGGACGGTGTCCACGAACGAGCAGTCCACTTTATTGCTCACGCATCCCGCACAGGGACCCGGTAGAAGCTTGTCATGTCCGATGGTTGAGTGAACACAGAGCTGACCGTACGTTGCGCAGCGCTGGCAACGAGGGTCATCGACCCCTACGCCTTGGCCTTCTTGACCAGCACCTCGTAAACGAGGCCGCTTGGCTTCAGGCCCGTCTCCATCGCTACGATCATGCTCATGCTTGTGGTCCTGATCACCAGGCATCCTGTCAGAGCCGTCTTGTCCGCCGGTAGCATCATTGGCACCGGTGGGTGAGCGTGACGGTGCGCTGCCGTCATCGTCGGGGTCCGGATTGGCACTGTCGTCACCCTCGTCCTGGGACATGTGGCTGCCTTCACTGCCGGTATCACTACTGCTGTTGCTGCTCTTGCTGCCATCTGCGCTAGAGGCGCTTCCACCAGATCCGCTTTCAGATTGGGAAGGTTCGGAGTACCCGTTCGGCTGGAGGCGGTCGTCGTCCTCTGAGTGTGAGACTCCACTACTACCCAACGCCTCGTCGCTGCCTGAACCGTCTACATCTCCAGAGCCTGGAGAGGCGTTGTCTCCAACGTTCTGGTCATCCCCCTCGGGAGCGTGGATGAACAGTTGACTGAGGGTGGACACGGGCAGAGCAGGGATGGTGTAGGCTGTGTCGAGGTTAGCGGTAGTTGCCCGCAGGGCAGTCGTAGGCTCGGGGTGAACCGCGACGTGGAGATCGTTGGGACCGGCCATCTGTACCAGAGCCGTCTTGTAGCGGGAGGCTTGCTCGTGGCTCTCTGCGATCGCTCCCGGTCCAACTCCTGCAAAAGCAACAACCTGGTGTGAGTAACGAGCTGCTACACCAGCATGAGAAGGGCTCACAAGTCCGATTGGGGAGTGACAATCGATGGGAGCGAAGCAGAAGCCGGTGGCTTCGACGAGAGCGGTAAGCCGTTCTGGAAAGTTGCCAGCAGAGGACGTCATTCGGCCAGAAATGAGGATGGTGATGGTGGGTTGATGCGTTTCCGTCGAAGACCGGGCAGTCTTTATGTAGACCAGGCGTTCTTGAAGAGATCAGGGCAAGATGAACCTTTTAGCACGAAGCATGGACGATGAGGCAAACATGTTGCGGAGGACAGATCTCGTAGCATCATGGCATTCAAATCCTTGCAATCCAAAGTCGCTGGCAAGACGGCACAAGCAGGTAGAACATCGGAAGTAGTTGATTGACAGGTGGCTTGAAGTGCACAGGTTGTAAAGAACGTGTGGCCGAGGGATGGCTCCTCGAAAGAGCGATGGTGAGGGTTGAAGGTTGAAGTGAAGTTCGGACGTTCAGGTGAAGGTCGAACGTTTGATCGTGAATGATGATGCCATGGGTATCCTCCCCAGATCTAGATCTTCTTAGTCATCATGGTCTTGCAAGCCTGCGACGTAGACCAGATCAGCTGCTGAATAGACTTTCATAGATCTGCTATGGAACTTAAGAGTAATCAACATCGGGCGGAAAGCCGAAGATGACCGTGTCACTCCGGGCTGATGGCGATCGTCCCGTCGGTATGCATGCGAACCTCGCCGACCAAAGCCTCAGCTCTGCTTGCCAAGTCGTCGTAGAGAGCGAGGGAGCGAGCCTTGGTGTCATCAGAGATGTGGCCCACGGTGCCGAGCTCATCCAGCACTTCGCAAAACAGCTCGCGAGTAGCAGGTTTGCGAAGCCCGATCCAGCTATGGTGTGCCGGGGGTGCGGGTCCGGGGCTGCGACTGAGCGAGTCGGTCGCACTGGGGTTCGAATAGCGAAAAGAACAAGGAGCTTTGTCGATCTGGCAGCCCAGGCAGGCCTCCGGAACCATCTTGCCGTGGCCGAGGGTGGCGTGGACACAACGACGTCCGAAGACAGCGCAGCGGCGGCAGCGGGGGTCGCCGGTGGTTCGGGTTCTGCGGGGGTCATCCGGCAGACACTCGAGGGTGCTCCCCTGCGGGGGAAGAACGACATTGTCCCTGATGGTGAGGAGGGGATGCGGCGAGGAACGACTGCCATCAATAGTGTCGGTCATGGGGGCAAATTGCGCTGCCGGATCAGCAGCGGGCTCTCGAACGGGGTCCTCCTCCTGGCCGGCATCGACGTCGTAGACAGTTCCGTTGAAGACCGGCGACCTTAGGCAAGGCAGAGTGTAGGCGGTAGGGCCAGGGCGCGAGGAGGATGCGGTTGCCGGCACCGCCTGTGGCTCGCAGACAACGTTCAGGTCATCGTTGCTGGCCAAGAGCAGTAAGGCTTCTTTGAAACGGCGCGCTTGCCTGACAGAGGAGGGGACGACACCCTCTCCAACGCCCGACAGAGCGATCAACTGTAATCAGTACCTATCCCGGGTAAAGGATGTCCTTACCAAGCTATAGGGCGAGCGGCGGTCGAGGGTTACGAATGAGTAGCCGGCTGCCTTGATCCTGGCCTGCACGGCCGCCTCAACGGTGTCGAACTCTGGCGGGAACGGTGGGCTGTCCATAGTGGTGTTGATACCTGCAGCGAGCAGAGCGATGGCTACACAGGCCAAGGTTGAGAGATGAGAGATGAAAGGAAAGCCCGGTGAGAATGGTGACGATATCTAGGTGGTGCGAACAAGGGTGCCGAGGGCGGCGGTGCGACGATCGAGCAGGGCGTCAAGGCCGTGTACTTCCGGGGTCGTGATGGTGCCGCCAGCCTCTGTGATGACCTATGCCGATGCCATGTTGATGAGGAATGCTCTAATGTCGGCCCGCGTGCACTCGAACTTGAACGGGCTCGGAAGAAGTGATCATGCCCGAGATAAGAGGTAAAGGTTGGGCCGTGGATGATGCGATATCACCGCTGACGAGACATCACAGCAGTGACCTTGGGCAAAACTGCAGAGCCTAGGGCAGCGCCGCGGTATCGAGCACGATAGGTCAGTGTGGACCTTAATGGTTCCACCATTGTGGCAGTGGTAGGTCGATACCCAAGCGTGCGTAGACCATTGCTCGACACTGAAGGTACTGCGGCACCCCATTGGACTCGTCCGGAGGCCAGACAGCTCCTATGGCCTGGGCGAGAGAGCTGAGAAACTGAGGGTCATACAGTAACTCTCGCTGATCGCGAGGTAGACCCTCTTCAGGCGGGGGGACCTCTACGTGAGGATCGGGCCTGCTGGGGACGGCATCGCGCCTTCTGCCATAGTCGTCCACGCCGTAGTCTTCGAAGAATTGCATTGTCTGGTCATCGGGAATGTCGAGATGCTCTCTGTCCTCTTGGACATGAAGAGATTCAAGTGTGTCGAAGTATTGAATGGCGTTGATATTGACTCGACGTGCTAGCTCCTGGTTCTCTGCCCAGAGCTTCGCCGGGCTCTTGTTTCCGGCTGTTCGGATACGGTGTTTGTCCCAGACGTCGCAGAACGATTTGAGAGCCTCGTTCAAGACTGGCAGGTAGACATAGTGAAGAGCCCAGAGGTCAAGGTTGTTGCTTGACGACATGTAACCCAGCGACTCGAGTTTGTGGAACAGGTCACGGTATCTACTGGTGCAGAACCCTTGGACGTCGACCCACATGCGCTCAATGCGCTGGTTTCGAGTGGACGGGCCCTGGATGAAAGTCCCTCTCCAGCGACCTTTGGAATCGACGGTCCCTCTGACTTCCTCAAGACGCTTCTTGACGCCGAGATTCTCCCCACCATAATCGACTCGTACCCGCGAGGGCCAGCCCCAAAGGGTCGTGGCCTCAAGGAAGCAGTCCTCCACGGTAGCAGCAAGGTTGTTGCTGGATGCTCGGAGAAAGACAACGCGGCGTGAGAAGCCGTCGACACCACCATGAATGACGATCTTCCAAGGGTTGAGCTTGTGATGACCATCGATATGCCACAGAGAGTTGATCCATGGCACACGGTATACACGGCGAAGTCGAGCACGGATCCAGCGGTCCCACGTCCCACTGGGATTGAGGCGGCGACAGGCCTCCGCAACACGTTTCTGCGGTACGTGGATACCTCCCTCCAAGAGATAAGTGTGGATAGCCCGATACCCCTGGTCGCCGGAACCCCGGAGGTAAGCAGCTTTGATAGCCTTGTCGAGGTCTTCATCGGTGATGACTGTCATGTTGCGCCGATTGACCCCGAGCTCCTTCGCGCGACGCCGGACAGTCCGCTCGCTACACATCGCTATGGGGGCGATCTGAGCGTACGTCATGTCGGGGATACTGAGCAGGTACAGGAGATGGGCGATGTCGAGGTTCAACCGCGGGGCGCCCTGCTGGCCGGGGAGGGACTTCAAACGGACCATGAAGTGATCGCGTGGGTCGATTCCTTCGTTAATGAACGACTGCTGAGCAGACAGGTTGGCGAGTATCATCTGGAAATCGCGGTGTAGTTCGGTGAACTTGTCACGCGGCACAGCGCTGTAGTAGTCCTCCCAGCCATGAACCAGGTCCTCTGCCATGCGGATATAGTCTCCAAGAAGTGAGTAGTCGCGGTCCCGAGGCTCTGCGTTAAGCCAGGTCGCGATAGGGACGAGTTCTAGGTCGAAGATACCCTCCATCTCGATGATATCTTGGTCGGACAGGTCGGCTGAAGGCTTTGACGGACGAAAGTACCGCAACCCGGGCCGCTCAACAACTTCTGAAGACATGGTTCGATAGAGAAAAAAAAGCGCTACCGTCCTGTTGTGAGCATAGGTAGTTGACGGGCTTGGTGATAATGAGAATGATGAAAGACGACACTAATGCATTGAGTTGCAACTTGTCGAACCGAGGCTCCAGACGGAACTATATTTGTGGCCGTTGAGCGGCGCCATAGACCCTGGCGGTCTCGATCAATTTGGTTCCGGTCAGTGGGCCAGGAACCGCGGATGCGGGTGTCGAGTGTCGCTCGCGCGCGTGCCAGATCCATCATCCACCTGGGATCGTCATCAGTCGTCTGCACCATCGTCGCCCTTCAGTCTCTGAACAAACCACACACACACTTGCATCTCTATCTTCTTTCCTCAACTCTCCCTCCAACGTCTTCATCTCAAGCTCCGTTTCCCGTGCCATCCGCGTCCCGTTTCCAGTCGTCTCGTCTCGTCCGTTTCGTTCACGTTCCCCACCACTTTCCGGCTGGTCTTCCCCTCCCTTCCTTTCTCGGCGGTGTCTGAAGGAAGGAATCAGGCGGACAGCGCGCGCGAGTAGACAAGGCAGGACCAGGCATGGGTTTGCCACCTAAGCCCGGAGGGCAGCCTCCCCTTCCTGCTGGGCCGGCGCCGAACTATGGCGGCGGGCAGGACCCGCAGGCCGCGCATGCTGCAGCATGGGCTGCTTACTATCAGGTGAGTGGCAGCTACTGTCACGACTTTCCTGAAGCACCCCAGGCGCAAGGGTACAACACGGCGGGTTACAATGCTGGCGCGGCTCAGCCGAGCGCCGGTGCGGGCGGGACGCCTCCGAACCCGTACGCCAACTACGGCTACGGGGCCGGGGCGAGCCATGCGCAGAACCCGGGCTATAACGCGGCCGCGGGGTACCAGCAGCCGTATTCTGGCCAGCAACAGGGTCAGAGCTACCGTCCGCCTCCTCCTCAGCAGCAGGGTTACAACAACTACAACCAAGCGAACCAGCAAGGTTACAACAACTACCAGGGTGGGCCCGGCGGTGGCCAGGGCTACAACAACTACAACGGCCAGGGGGCCGGGTACACGCCACAGCCCAACCAGCCCTACTTCCCCCAGCAGGCGCAGTCGGGCTCGTACATGTCAGGAGGCGGTAGTGGATCCGGCGGCGGCGGCGGCGGGGGCGGCGGGGGGGGCGGCGATCGCGGCCGAGGCGGCAACAGGCCGTACCAGCCGCAGTCGCGCAATGTGTCGGGAGCGTCCAACCCGCCCCGGCCGCCCAGCGGAGGCTTCCCGCGGAGGCTTCCCGCCTGCGAAGCGTCCGCGCTTCGATGGCCCAGGCGGCGGCGGGGGCCAGAACGGCTCACCGCAAGGCGCCTCGGGCGGCAACTTGCCCCCTCGACCTCCCGGAGGCCGTCCGCAGCAGAACTACTCGGGCATGGCTCGACCCATGAGTAACAATCGTGGTGGCGGTCCCATCCCCCGCATCGGGTTCGGAGGTCCGGGAGGACGTGGTGGCGGCGGCGGCGGCCAAGGAGGTGGCATGCGCGGAGGCGGCGGTATGCGTGGAGGCGGCCCTATGCGCGGAGGCATGCAGCGCCCCGGCCAGAGGAGGGACAACTTCCGCCAGCCCGGGCCTCACACCCAGGGCCAGGGGAAGCGTGTCGACCAGAGCCCCCGCATGGACCGCAAGCGCAAGGAGAAGACGGAGGCCAAGACGACGATGACCGACTTCCGCATCGTCGGCATCGAGGTCAAGTCGCTCGACTGGTCCTGGGGCCTGATTGGGGAGCACGTCTTTGAGGAAGACGAGAAGGAGAAGGAGCCCGAGAAGACCGAGGTCAAGGAGGAGCGCAAGGAGGAGCCTGCCGCCAAGGACGAGAAGAAGGAAGAGGATGAGGAGGAACCGAAGGAGCCCCCGTCAGAAGCCAAGGAGGAGGAGGCGAAGGAGGAGAAGCCCGATGCCAAGCCCGAGGTCAAGGAAGAGATGAAGGAGGGCGCGGAGGCCGACGAGGCTGCCGAGCCCACAGTTGGCGCGAAGCGCAAGGCGAAGCCGTCAAGCATTGACGGTGACGAGTCCCCGAAGAAGCGCTCCTCGTCCTTCGTCTCGCACAAGGACTCTGGCTCCGGTGGTGAGAGGAACGTCCTCTCCTCACCTGAGTCGAACCAGAACCGCTTCCGCATCTACTTCGAGTCCCCGCCCGAGCTGGACCGCGTGCCTAAGAGCGCGCGCAGGAATCCGAACAAGCGCTGGAGGCGCGAGAGCTCGAGCGTTGCTCCCAGCCGCCTTGGCGAGGTCGAGGAGCACGATGAGGAGAATGCCGAGGACCACGGCGACCACGCCGAGCACTCTGAGGCTCAACCCGAGGGCGAGGCCAAGCCGGCCGATGCTGAGGCGGAGTCCAAGGAGGCCAAGGAGAGCGAGGCGAAGCCCCAGCCCGAAGCCGAGCCCAAGGCTGAGACCGAGGCGCAGCCTGAGCCCTCCGAGTCCAAGGACGAGGAGAAGAAGGAGGACGGCGGCGAGGAGGCTGGCGACGTGTCGATGGTATCCGCGTCGGGAGACGCAGCCGAGGACACCGCTGCCGCCGTCGAGGCGGCTCTCGCCGAGTCGGCCCAGAACACAGCCAGCGCCTACGGCAACCGAACGACGAAGAGCCGCTCGCGCCGGTGGTCCACCAGTAGTCTTGAGAGCCACCAGAGCGATGCGCACGCCCTGGGCGCTGAGGACCCGAACGTGCCCCAGCCGTCCGTGAACCGCGTCTCGGTCTTGTACGAGGAGAGCTCGCGCCGCCTCGTGTTTGACGCGAGCGTCGTCAGCAAGATCCGCATCTTCCGCGGCGAGGGCAGGATTGAGGTCGATCTTCTCCCTCAGCCGGCCGAGGCGAAGCCCGACGCCAAGGCTGAGGAGAAGGTGGAGGAGAAGCCTGACGCCAAGCCGGAGGGCGAGGGCGAGGAGAAGCCAACTGACGAGTCCGAGGAAAAGAAGACCGAGGCCGCTGACGAGGCCAAGCCCGAGGAGAAGGATGACCTGCCTAAGGGCGTTCTGGTGAGCTACAATTTCCTCTGCAAGCTAACCCCAGGTCGAGACGTATGACCCCGCTGAGCAGCGTTTCATCAGCGTCACGCGGGACAAACTTGCCTCCTTGTCTGACGATGGTTCCCTTCCGCCGCTGCACCGCGTCAACCCCGGCCAAGGCGTCACGCTCACGGTGTACCTGAACAAGAAGAAGCCGCTGTCTGAGCCCAAGTGGTGCCGCACGAATCAGGCCGATGAGTGGCTGTGGGAGCAATTCGGTCGTCGCTCCGAGTCTGGCTGGCGCGGCAAGTTGGAGATCATGGACCCCGATGCCCCTCCGACTCTCGCCACGATCTTGGACGCGTGGAAGACGTCTTCCTCCTCGGGAACGGCCGCGGACAGGGGGGCGTTCACTGCCTCCTTGCTCGCGAGCCCGAACGACCTGCTCGAGATCCTCCTCCGCCTGACACGGGGAGAGCGCAACCCGACTGCGTCGATCGGAACCGGCCCCACGAGCGCCAATGGTCCTTTAGCCACGGCGATAAGGGCTGACTCGCCCTACGCGTCCCATCAGACGCATGTCAGTCTGGCTATTCTGGCCATGTACCGCCTCACGACCGAGTATGCGGCGCAGGCGGGGCAGAGCGACGTCCTCAACGAGAAGATTGCGGACATCATCAAGTCTCTCCCCACGCACATGATTCACAAGTCCCTCGATGGGCTGTACAAGGAGTGGCAGAAGGCTGGCAACTCGGGCAACGCTGCCTCTGAAGCTCCTGCCTCGTAAAGCGCACTGTCGAGATGAAGCGTTGATGTGTCGAAGTGAGTCGACGTGAGTCCCCGCTCTCCACTATTCCTCCGCATTGGAGAACCCAGAACTACCATCCTGATATGGGGAGAATCGAAAGAGGGAGGAGAAGGACTAGAGGAGGATGCGTGAAAAGGAAAGAGGTGAATGAGAAGAGGATGAAGAAGAGAAAGAGAAAGAAGTTCACTGGCTATCATAATCCATCCCCCATTTTCTACTGTTCTACGTTGTGTGATTCCCCCTTTACCCTCTTGTCCTCGTGCGCGTGTGCGAACACTGGGCGGGCTGCAGGTCGCAGCTGCCGCTCTGACTCACACTCACTGTCTCTCACAATGGCTCGTTGTTGGACTGGACGTATCCTCAACCACTATCGCACCGTTGGACATCACAGGCTCTGCATCCTCCAGACGAGCACCGTTGGATTTCCTCACACAGCTCGTGGTTGAACTCTTACCCAGAATCTTTCCTCGTGGTGGCCGCATCTCTCAGTGTTGGTCCCGAACCACTTACACATGTCTTCCACTGTTGTCAGATGGTCAGTTGAATGCTTAATCCCCTCGTTAAACGTTTATCATTCCATGACACCCCTCTGGCGCCCCCCGTCGCTTGGTCCTGCTTTCATACCGTCGCCTTCTCACTGGTCCTTCCACCCCTGCACTGTCTCAACTCGCTCATCTCCGACCGGCATCACAGTCTCAAATATTCACTGGTAAGTCCCCCCCTGACAGTGTAACGAAAGGCAGCCTAGACCGTGTATGCATTCAAACCCAATGTTGCGTCATATTCCGAACATTTGGCGGCGTGAAGCGGCATGTAGTCTCGATCTCCGGTTCCTGCGGCAACTGCGGCACTGGCCGGGCATTGTGTGCGGCCGGCGGCAGCGTGCGGGCTCCACCCAGCAGTGCAAGAGCGGCCATGCTGATAAAGCAAAAGTCTTAGCGGCGGACCCCTCCAACTTCCGTCTATCGGGTTGAGATAGCGGTGGCAAACGCTAGCATCTCCCAGGATGACATCAGGAACGGCCACGAAGGATCCACGACACGCCGCATTCGACTTTTGCCGCCAGCTTCTGCCAGCGCTTTGCAGGCCGTGTCCCCGCATCCCCCGCGGATCGGCTTTGCGCCCGGTGGCAGGGCAGAGGTCAAGCCAAAGGGTACACGGCGGCGGCCGCTCACCAAGCGACGCTTGGGCCAATCATTCCAGTTATCTTTGGTAAAATTTAATCCCGGATTCGCTGAGCCATGCAACTTGAAGCCATTCTGGCCGACACTGTGCTCGGCCGCAGGGATCCGGTTATACCTGCCAAGCAGCTGCCGGAGCCCGCGTCCCTGGCCACCCGTACCACCGTCATACAGGATGCATCGCACGCGTCCGGGGTTTGCTAGCAGTGTCGAGCTGTCGAGTGGGTATGCGGGTATGGGTAATCGTGGGCCGCTGCTACCCTGGAAAGTCTGCTGGGCCGGGCAAGCCGGACACACCGCTTAACGTGCCGTGCGTGCCGCCGAGCCGCCAGACCTGACAACACTTTGCCGCAACCGCAACGAACACGACCGCGCAAAAGAATATTTACCATAATACCCGGTGATTCTTGACTCTCAACTTTACACTCTTCTTCACATCACTTAGACAACTTTAGACAACAATGAGCGCCGTTCCCAAGGGAGACTACGAGGGCATTCGTAACGAGGTCCGCAAGATCCTCAAGAAGCCCGGATACGACGACGGTTCCATCGGTCCCGTCCTGGTCCGGTGAGTACGAGTGGCAAGCAAGCAGCGAGCGCAGCGAGCGCGTCCAGCGGCGCCGGCGAAAGGGAGCTGGCCATTATGTCCCGCGACATGCAGTCGCCACCTTGCGACTGGCCGCTCTGCCTAGGATACTGCGCTGCGCTCGCTCAACCCTCTCCTGCGATGAATTAATGCTGACAAACAGCCTCGCCTGGCACGCGTCTGGCACCTACTCTGCCAAGGACAAGAACGGCGGCTCGAACGGTGCGGGTATGCGCTTCGCCCCCGAGTCGGACGACGGCGCCAACGCCGGCCTCGAGTTCGCCCGCCAGTTCCTCGACCCCATCGCTGAGGCTAACCCCTGGATCTCGCGCGCCGACCTCTGGAGTGAGTACATCTTGCGTCGCGCGAAAGTGAGGCGCTCCTCTCCATAATCCCAGCATCCACTACCCTCTCCTCTTGCAGTTTGCATCAGCAGCAGATGGCCACAAGCATACGGAAAGCGGGCGCAGCGGTAGATGCCGCTACGGACGATCGGGTGGCCGATTTTTCGATAGCTCGCTTTTCGGAACCTTTAGTGGTGGCGACCGCCGCCCGCTAGTCTTTCGCTCCGACGAGCCGAAGATTCGGCATGCTACTTGCTTGTGGAGGCCGCTGGCCGCCCCGTATCGGAATACGAATGCTTGGCTCTTCTCTTGCATTGCCGTTGCATTGCATTTGCATTTGCAGCTATGGATGCGCCCTGGTGTGCGACCGCGGTATCATAGTGACTCCGCTGTCTGCCGGCACTTCCGCGGATCGCGCTGGTCACATGCACCCCCTTCCCACAATTAGCTCCGACACGTGAACATTTCAGCTAACAAACCTCAGCTCTTGCTGGTGTCACCGCCGTCGAGGCGATGGGTGGCCCCGTCGTCCCCTGGAAGCCTGGCCGCACCGACTTCCAGTCCGCGAAGCACGCCTCGGAGTACCGTGGCAACATTGCCGACCGCCTCCCCGATGCGGCCCAGGGCGCGCAGCACATCCGTGACATTTTCTACCGCATGGGATTCAACGACCAGGAGATTGTCGCGCTCTCGGGCGCGCACAACCTGGGCCGGTGCCACCGGGACCGGTCCGGCTTCGAGGGCCCGTGGGTCGTGAACCCGACGCGGTTCTCGAACCAGTACTTCCGCCTCCTGACCACGCGCAAGTGGACGCCGAAGAAGTGGGACGGCCCGCTGCAGTACGAGACCGTCGTCGCCGGCAAGGAGCTCATGATGCTCCCCACCGACCTGGCGCTCATCGAGGACGACAAGTTCCGCCCCTACGTCGAGCAGTATGCCAAGGACCAGAAGCTCTTCTTCAAGGACTTTGCGGCCGCTTTCGGAAAGCTCATCGACCTCGGCATCAACCGCGACGCGAACGGGCTCGCGTCCGTTGGCGGATGCCCCTTTGCTGGCGCCGCGCGCTCCAACCTGTAATTCTTGTCGTAGCACCTTTACACTTAGACCAATGCATATATTAGACTAGACAAGGCGTAGCAGGGGCGCAGTGAAGTGCAAAGTCGACTCGTCGGGTCGCTTAGGTCCGCAACACAGTCGGCGGCCTGCTCCCGGCTGCAAAAACTCATGCCAAGCCCGCACAAAGACACCCTGGCCAATACGGTCCGCGATATTATACATGACAGCAGAGTAGATTGTTGTAACGTAAAACAAAAAGAGTACACTCCCCTCCTTTCTCTCTCTACGCGACACTGAGGTCGACCAGAATCGTGATGATGCCGAGGACAATCTCCATCCCGCTGAGCTTGTCAGTTATGAACTCCAACAGCTGTGCAACTCACATAAGAACAATGACAATGGCCTCGAGATGCTCGCCGTGCGACGAGTTGACGCTCTCCTTGAGCAGCTTGAGCATGTCCTGGAGTACCTGCGTGTCAGTTCTCCACTAGTGGTGGTGGTAACTCACATCGACACGCGCGTTCAGGAGATCTATCCGCTGCCCGATCTCGAGATACTCGCGGAACGCGTTGTACAGCGGTTCCAGATCCGGGAATGACCTGTGGGGTTAGATTTCAACTATGACCGATCATCTTGCGCATGTCGAACACGCACCAGAAGAATTCCTGTCAGTCAGCTTCGCTACAGGAGGAATTAGCTTACCGGAGAGTCCAGAATCGAGCCGACGAGATTGATGTTGATGCGCAGGATGAAGAGGTTGCCGATCTGCTTCATGATCTCGCTGCGGGGAAGCTGATATCAGTTGACAGTCAGCGTTACAAAAACTCACGCCAATCTTTCCCGTCTCGCTCAGTTTCTTCGGAATGTCCTTTGTCTGCTCGATCGTGCCGCTGATGAGCTCCTCGAAGAGCGAGATCTTGACTGACTGCGAGAGGGCATGCGACAGCGCCAGTTTCGTCCTGAGATTAGCTGAAGCCACGCACACGAGCCAGCTCACATGTAGGAGGATCCTTTGCGCAGCGTGATGACGTCGTTGTAGATGCTGTTGTCAGCTAACCCGTCGCGCGTAGATAGCCTACCGAGAGTAATCGGCGTAGTAGAAGTTGAGGTCCTCCATCTCAATGTCCTCGGCCGAGAGACGCTCGACTTCGAACTTCTTCCTGTTTTCGTCAGTTCGTCGACAATTCTACAACTCACAGGCTGCGGAGGAACTGCTTCTCCTCCTTCTCAGTCATGCCCCAGATGACGACGGTGCCGTACTCGAACAAGAAGACGTCGGGAACCCAGTCCTCCTCCTCCCAGTCGTCGTCATCTGTGTCGTTACCGTTGCCATTCGTTGACGAGTCTTCGCGTCTCCGGCCCAGACCGCCGGGCCGCTTCACGACGCCCGGACGGCGCTTGTACTCGTCCGTCGACCTCGAGGAGCCCGAGTCGACGTCGACGAGCTGGCCCTCGGGAACGTGGTGCGCTTTCGTCATCGGACTCCGGTGGATGCCGCTCGTCGAAGAAGGAGGAGGGAGGTACTGCGTGTACAGGCACTCAGCCTCGAAGAGGCGCGGGTGCGTGCGGTAGCTCGCAGGTCGGTTCGCGAGATATGTTTGCAGCGCCGGGAGGTTGTACGACCTGGTTGTTAGCTGGTCGTCCATAGCACGTGAGCTCACGCAGCAGTGCAGTACGCCGTCACTCGGGGGAGCTTCGCCTTCTCAGACCGCGTGAGCTTTTGCGCATCTCGACGCGCGGAACCGGCGGGAATCTGCGAAAGGGGCGTGTAGAACTGAGAATGTGGTTAGCAAGACAGTGTCGACAACCCACCTCGACACCCTCGCCTTCCTCCTCGATGACCTTGATGCCGCCCTCCTCATCCTCTTCGGGTATGGTCTCCTCAGGCTGAGTCGGAAGGACCTTGAGTTCTGCACGTCATAATGTCACAGCAAACGTTTCAGATTGAAAACAAATCACAGTCGAGGAGAAGTATGGTCAGCTTGGCACTCTGCACGGCGGTAACAGCTACACACTATTCGTGAGTTTTGATGTTCTGATGTTAGCTTATGATCCTATCGTCGTAGCATACCTCGTAGGTTGTCGGGGTTCTCGCGACTTTTGCTGCGGGGTGTAGGCGTGCGCATATGGCAACGGCAGGGTATTTGGAACGGACGGCATGGTGGTAGGTGCGCAAAGGGTGGGAAGGCAGGATGTAAAGATGTGTTTGGGTCGATATCTGGATTCGCGACCGTGTTCGAGGTCTCCTAGGTCGAAGGATACTTGAGTCAGGATGCTGGAGATGGAGGAAGAAACGACTGTGGTCGACAACAACTGACTGCTGGCAAGGCCAAGTACCAGGTGTGGAGAAACGCAGCCTGGGCTGGGCGGCAGACGCGGGGGTCACGTCATGCTGCTTCCGGCGGTGTATCGGGCGGGCAGGGCAGTTAGGGATTTTGATCCCGCCGGGCCGCCAAGCGATAACGATCGGCAGTGCGGACTCTCGTGGCGCCCCTGGGTGAGTATCGCTGATATCGTTGAGCTTTTCGCAACCATGGTATGATCCAAACACCTGACCTATGCATATGAGGAACTGATACAATATCTAAAGCCTGGACGGCTTGTTTTGTGGGATGGGTTTACTTGCGCGCCTGCTCGCCAATGAAGTTGAGGGCAGAGCCGCTGCGGAGCCAGTTGATCTGGTCAGCAGACATGGTGTGCGTCGTGGGGATGGTGAGGACCTCGCCGTTGGGCTTGGTGACCTTGAGCGAGATCTGGCCCTCGCCGTTGGCAAGGAGCTCCTTCAGGCCCTCAGTCTGGACCTTGTCGCCGGCAGAGATCTTGGCGTAGTCGGCCTTGTCGGCGAACCAGAGGGGGAGGATACCCTGCTTCTTGAGGTTGGTCTCGTGGATACGGGCGAACGAGCGGGCGACGATGAGGTGGCAGCCGTAGAATCGCGGCTGGAGAGCGGCGTGCTCACGGGCCGAACCTTCGCCGTAGTTGTCGTCAACCACAAGCATCCACGGCTCCTGGCGGGCCTTGTACTTCTGCATGACCTTGGGGATGGTGTCCTCGCCGTTGGAGTCGCGGGCGACGTTCACCTTGCCACCCTCGTCATTGACAGCGGTCATGAGGGTGTTCTCAGAAATGTTTGAGAGATGTCCCTTGTACTTGAGCCAGGGGCCAGCAGCCGAGATGTGGTCGGTCGTGCACTTGCCACGAACACGGAGGAGACAGGTGAGCTCAGGAAGCTCAGCAGGGCCGTTGGGGAAGGGGGTGGTGAAGGGCTCGAGGATCTCGAGACGGGTAGAGGTGGGCGAGATCTTGACCTCAGTCTCCGGGGAAGGCTTGGGCGAAGGGGTGGGAGCGTAAGCAAGGTCACCACCGGTGTAGCCCTGGGGAGGCAGACGGTCACCAGAAGGGGGCTGGAACTTGAACGGTCCGTTGGGGGTCTCGATCGAGTCAGTGATGGGGTTGAAGTGCGCGCTGCCGGCGAAGGCCATGGCGGTGACGATCTCGGGGGAGGTAAGGAACTGGAGGGTCTTGGCGTTGCCGTCGGCACGGTTGCGGAAGTTGCGGTTGTGCGAAGTGAGGATGATGTTGTCCTCGCCCTGCTTGTCCTCACGCTTCCACTGGCCGATACAGGGACCACAAGCGTTGGCAAGAACGGTAGCACCGATAGACTCAAGCTTGCCCTCGATGCCATCACGCTCAATGGTGGCGCGGATCATCTCAGATCCGGGGGTGACAAGGAAGGGAACCTTCGAGGTAAGGCCAGCAGCCTTGGCCTGCTCAGCGATGGAGGCGACCTTGGACATGTCCTCATACGACGAGTTCGTGCAGGAGCCGATGGACGCGGCGGAAATAACCTCGGGGTAGTTGTTCTCCTTGACGAACTCGGAGAACTTGGAGATGGGGGTAGCGAGATCGGGGGTGAAGGGGCCGTTGAGGTGGGGCTCCAGCTCGGAGAGGTTGATCTCGATGACCTCGTCGTACTCGGCACCCTCGTCAGCGGAGAGGTAGCCAGCCTTGGCGGCAGCGTCGGCAGCCTCGGCGACGGGGGCACGGCCAGTAGCCTTCAGGTACTCGCGCATGTTCTCCGAGTAGGGGAAGGTGGAGGTGGTGGCACCAACCTCGGCACCCATGTTGGCAATGGTCGCGAGACCAGTGCACGACTGCGAGGTGACGCCGGGCCCGAAGTACTCAAGGATACGGCCGGTACCGCCACGGACAGTGAGCTTGCCGGCAAGGTGGAGAATAAGGTCCTTAGGAGCAGCCCAGCCCTGGAGCTGGCCGGTGAGCTTGACGCCGGTAATCAGAGGAGCCTTGAGCTCCCAAGGGGTGTCGGTGAGGGCATCGACGGCGTCGGCACCACCAACACCGATGGCGAGCATACCGAGACCACCAGCGTTGGGGGTGTGCGAGTCGGTACCGAGCATGAGGAGACCGGGGGCGGCGTGGTTCTCAAGCACGATCTGGTGGATAATACCCGATCCGGGCTTCCAGAACTCAATGCCGTACTTCTTGGCAGCGGACTCGAGGAACTCGAACACCTCCTTGTTCTGGTCGATAGAGCGGGGAAGGTCCTCGGCGGCGCCACGGTAAGCCTGGATAAGGTGGTCGCAGTGAATCGAGGCGGGGACAGCAGTGTCGGGAAGACCACAGGTCATGAACTGGAGGAGAGCCATCTGGGCCGACGCGTCCTGCATGGCGACACGGTCCGGGCGAAGCTTGAGGTAGCGCTCGCCGCGAATCTTGCCGCCGCCTCCGAGCGACTCCTCGGGGTTGCGGACGTGAGCATAGAGGATCTTCTCGGCGAGGGTGAGCTTGCGGTCCTTGCCGAGGACGTTGCGGACCTCATCCAGGGTCTTAATGAGGCGGGGGTAGGGAGGGGTGATAGCGTCGTAGTCCTTGGCGGGGAGCGCGGTGGGAGTGGCGAGGCCACGGCGGCCCAGGACGGTGCGCGCGAGGGTGTTCGCTCGTCTTTGAGCAAGCATTTCGGGTGAGGAGAGTGGTGAGTGTTGTGAGAGAAGGCAAAAGCTCACGTTCTCCGCGTCGGGTATCGAGTTAGAAAGCGCGAGGTGCTGGTTGGAGGGGAAATTTGGGCCAAACTCGGCCGAATTACCCCGCACAGAGGTGCCGAAGGTAGGCACGGAGAGTTAGTCGCCCACGGGGCCTGCGACCAGCTGGCACGCGCGTGCCCGGCGGTAGGGCGGTTATCGATCGATAGATGTTACCGAACGGTGCATGATAAGGTCGATGGTGAACTTACTTTGCTTCCTGACAGCCATGGCAGCATCACTGTTTGTCGTGTGAGCAAATGTGCGCATGTGCCCGGAAGAGAGCTGGTGGAGGTCCAGAGCGTCTCGTAAAGGAGGGCGCAGTGCGTGCATAGGTTAGCGAGCGTGCCGATCACTCACACGCTGCAGGTGACTCAGCTCGTCGTCGCGTCTTCCTCGCCGCCTGCAAGTTAACTGACGGATGTTTGTTCTCTTCTCTCACTTTCTCACATTCGATAGCCTACTGACCACTTTGCGCTATCACAATGTCTGAGAACGGTGACGAGGTGAGTATGTGGGAGACCGCCCGGCTCCTAGAGCCCAGTTGATGAGCTGACACTCAGGTTTTCGGTTACGAGGTAGCTCCGCAGGAGGGCAACGCGAGCTGACGAACAGTCGGTGGATGAGCTGCAGTCGCATGTGAGCGACCCACTGGACTTGTCTGACAGCTCGCAGGGCATCAACGTCTCGGACATCGGCAAGCTCAAGGCAAACGGCATCGTGACCGTGCTGGGTGTCGCGCAGACCCCGCGCAAGAACCTGGCCAAGATCAAGGTAAACTTGCAGCTTCGCTGATGAGCTGATGTCAGGGTCTCTCCGAGGTACAACCAACTCCCTCTTTGCTCTAGCTGACGTCTTAGGCCAAGATCGAGAAGCTGAAGGTAAGCTTACGTGCGCCAGAGTTGAAGCTGACAAACAGGAAGTCTGTGCCAAGCTGCTTGTGAGCTGCATGGGCCGTGGATCAGCTGACACCAGCCGCCCAGCTTCGCGACGGGCGTCGAGGTGTCCGAGCGCCGCACCACCGTCTTCACGATCAGCACCGGTTCCAAGGCCGTCGACGGCATGCTAGGCGGCGGCATCAGCACGCAGAGCATCACCGAAGTCTACGGCGAGTTCCGTACTGGCAAGGTGTGTGTCCGCACTGCTCAGCTGTGTGAGTCCTTGTGGTCAGCTGACACCAGACTCAACTGTGTCACACGCTGTGTGTCTCGACCCAGCTGCCCGAGGACCAGGGCGGCGCGGCCGGTAAGGTCGCGTACATCGATACTGAGTGACCTTTCGCGCTAGGCGACAGTAGCTGACAGACAGAGGGACGTTCCGCCCCGACCGCGTGCGCGCCGTTGCGGACCGCTTCGGCGTTGACGGACAGCAAGCGCTCGAGAACATCCTCTGTGCGCGCGCATGGAGCAGCGAGCAGCAGTGCGAGCTCCTCGTCGAGCTGGCCATTCAGTGCGTCATCAGCTATCGGCACCCCGATCTCAGCTGACATCAGATTCATGGACGACCGCTCGTACAAGCTGATCATCGTCGACAGCATCATGAACCTGTTCCGTAAGCTTTGCTTCGGCCGTGATATAGCTGACCACCAGGCCAGGACTACTCGGGCCGCGGCGAGCTGAGCGAGCGCCAGCAGGTGTGCTCGCGAAAGGTTGCCAGCTGACATCAGAAACTCAACCTGTTCCTGTCGCGCCTGCAGAAGCTTGCCGAGGAATTCAACGTCGCCGTCGTGCTCACGAACCAGGTCCAGGCTGATCCTGGGGTAAGCTTGCGTCATCACAACCAGCTGACACCAGGCCGCCGCAATGTAGGTAGCATCATGTTCTGACCTGACGCCAGGTTCGCCGCTGCGTCCAGCGCCAAGCCTGTTGGAGGTGAGCTCGTGCATGGCGTTCGAGCTGACCACAGGCCATGTCCTCGCGCATGCGTAAGTTCAGGGACGGCTTGTGGAACTGATCTCAGCTCGGCGACCCGCATTCAGCTCCGCAAGGGCCGCGGCGAGGAGCGTATTGCGAAGCTCCAGGACTCGCCCGACATGCCCGAGGGCGAGGCCACGTACTGCCTCAAGTCTGGGTAAGCTAAGATATCACTGAGGAGCTAACGAACAGCGGGTGGGAGGGTGAGCTGTGGCAGGCATGCGTAGCTTGAGCTAATGGCAGACACGTAGTGAACCAAGCTCGCTGCGAGGTCGAGTGAGTGCTATTGGTGATGCGCCGCGAGCTGACCCCAGGCGGAAAGGTGAGCTGGCTCGCCTCTCTGGATAGCTCACGGAAGACACTGGTAGTCCCAGAATCCGAGTTTAGACGCAAAGAATGTGAGCTACCCGGGCTTCACGCGAGCTGACTTTCAGAGAAAGAAGGTGAGCTGATCTATGTCGACCTCGAGCTCATGTCAGCGACGAAACGAGAAGATCTTCAAGCAAGCCCAACCAAGAGCCTGTGTAAGCTTCCCAGTGCCCTTTGAAAGCTGACATCAGTATCTGAATGTGAGCTGCGTTGCTTGCACGATAGCTGACCCCAGTCCCATCTGGCCATTTGCATCTGTTGTATATCCCGATGCTGTTGTATGCATGCCCCCGTCTGTACCTACTTGGCGTCCCTAATAGCCCTAGCCATGGCGACACTCTCCGCCGCGCCTCTGGCATCATGCACGCGCAGAATGTCCACGACCCCACTCATGGTGCACACAGTGTTGACAGCGGCGTCTCCCCAGTCGCGTTCCCTTGCCTCCTTCCGTCCGGTTATCCTGCCAACAAGCCCCTTCCGACTTCCCCCAACAAGGAGGGGATACCCCTCCAGCTCGCCCTCGCAAATCCGCCCAAGGTGTTTCAGCATGCTGAGCTGGTCCGCGTCACTCTTTGCAAAGCCCAGCCCTGGGTCCAGCGCAATGTCCCACCGCTTCACGCCGGCGCGGAGCGCATGGTGCACCATCGCCCCGAGCTCGGCGTGGAGGCCGGGCAGGACGCCGCCGTAGGAGTCATAGTCGTGTGCCTCCTTGGTCAGCATCGAGGTGCTGTCGCCCCGGCTGTGCATCAGGATGACCGGGACCGAGGCCGCCGCCATGGCCGCGAGCATGCCCTGCTCTGTGCCCCCGCGCACGTCGTTGATGCAGCTTGCGCCTGCCTCTACGGCCGCAGCGGCAACTTCGGGCCGGTACGTGTCCACGCTGATTGGGACGGAGGCCAGGGCGCCGTCCGAGATGCGCAGCGCCTGCACGAGGGGCACGACGCGGGCCAGCTCCTCGTCGAGCGAGCAGGGCTGGGAGCCGGGGCGCGTGCTCATGCCGCCTACGTCGATGATGGCCGGGGGGGTCGGGAGGGCCATGAGCGCCTCGCAGTCGCGGAGGGCGTGGGAGGCGTCGGTGCGCCGCGCGTCGCCGTCGCTGAAGCTGTCCGGGGTCGCGTTGTAGATTGCCATGATCGCTGGGGTCGCGGGACGGTGCAGCCGCATCGGCCGCGAGGGGGACGGGAAGGGGATGATGGGGACGAGGCCGCCGGGCTCGACGCGCGACAGCAGGTCCCGCACCGTCCCCACGCCCGCGAGAGTGAAGTCTGGGTCCATGTCTGCCAGAGGGCGGAGGACGAACTCACGCTCAGCCACACTGGCGTGCGGGACTCGCAGCCAGCCATCGACACCCTCTTCGCCGATGGAGACGACCTGGCTGCCGTATGCGACCAGGTCGACGTCGAGCACGCGCGGGCCGTTGCGGAACGTCTTCGTCCGCCCCACCTCGGCCTCGACCTCCTTCAGCACCCGCAGGAGCTCGAGCGGCTCTAACGCCGTGCGCACCTCAAGCGCACCGTTCAGGAACACCTCTTGGTCCGTCACGTACATGGGGTCGGACTCGTAGAGCCGCGACGTGTCCACGGTCTTGACGCCGCGGGACGCCAGTTCCCTCACCGCGCGCCGGACATGCCCCACTTTGTCGCCCATGTTGCTTCCTATAGCTAGGAAGATACGCTCACCCGGGACAGAGGCGCCAAAGGGCCCGCGGCGCTTTGTGGCTGTAGAGCTCGAGGGAGCGGAAGAGGAGGAGGCTTCAGCAGCCCCGCCGGCTAGGCCCTGCGTGATGGCCGCAGTGGACATGTTCCGCACCCCTCCCCTCTGTGCGTAGTCGGCCCTCGAGCGAGAGACAGAAATACTCGGCGTCGCGAACGGGAGCGCCGAAGGCTTGCGGAACGTCACGCCGACTCGAGACTGGACGGGGACAGTGTCGAGCGAGAGCAGGTGTCGCGCGAACGTGTCTGCGAGCGACTCGAGCGTTCCGAACGCACTTGCTTCCAAGAACTGCCGTCAGTAGCGGTAGGGTCAGGGAGACTCACCTTGTAGGCATTATCGGCGAAAGCCTTGTGTCCCCATCCTTCCGGGACGTCGGATACGGCAATGTCCACCTCGAGGCGCTGCTTCTCAGCCCGCTCGTGCGGGTGGAGCCCAATGATGGTGCTAACGCCCATGTTCTCCACCCGTCCCCTCAGCTCTCCCTCAGTGCTCCTTGCCTCTTCGAGTCTCTCGTATCTCCTCTCGTACGCGCAGGTCCCATGAAGCAGAGCTCGCGGCAGGACAGCCCGGACCTCGACCGCCTTGACAGCCTCCAAGGCCAGCGGCACGCGCGCCGCCGTACTCATGATCGCGGCGGGGTTGGCGAAGCTCTTCCCGCTGATGGCGGCGTAGACAGCCTTCGAGACCGAGGAATAGTTGACGCCGAGCCCGGGCATGCTGTCTGCGTCATTGGGGACGACGGAGGGGTCGAGCTCGATACGCAGCGTGAGTTCGACAGGGCAGGGGAGCGCGTCCAGGCCAAAGGCGGAGGGGCCGGCGCCGAGGATGTGCGCGACCAGCGAGTTGACCGCGATGACGTCGGGCACGTCGTTGGACATTTGGGTTGGTGGGGTGGAAGAGGAAAGTTGGGAGGAATGGAAAGATCGGTCAACCGGTCCAGCCGGCAATTCCGGCATCGGACGGGCGGTGGCCGCAGATAAGGATTCGGATTGGGCGTACTTTGCGTCTTGCGTGCTTCGACAATGCCGATGCCGTCCATTGGTGTGTACAGTGTGTGTTTGCTTGCTTGCTTGCGATGCAGTGCGTGTGGACCGGGCTGACAGGTCTGAACATCCGTGATCCCACTGTTGCGTGTCATGGACCACCTTCCCCCCGACATCTGGTTCAGAGTGTCTCGCTCGCGCAATCCGACGCCTGTGCAACAGCCCTTACATACTAATACAAAATGATAGATACAAAGTAAAACGAAAGCGCTCAGAACGCGACCTCAATCTTGCCCACAGACGTCTCAGCCTTGAGCTCCGAGCTCTTTGCCTTGAGCTCGTCGTCCCACGCAACACTGCCCTTGATGCTCTTGCGTCCCCACCCGCCCTTCTCAGTCTTGCGAATCGTGCGTTTGCGGCCCCTGCCTTCGGGATCCTCGGCACCCGAGTCCTCGACATCGAGCTTGCCCAGGGCCGTCTCGAGGCGGAACGAGCCCTCGAAGCGGGGATGCGCCGCGATGCGGATGTTGCCCGAACCACTGCCCACGTTCTCACGCAGTGTGCGGCACTGAGCCCACTCGCCGTGCCGGAGGTCGATGTTGCCCGCTTTCGTACTCACGTCTGCGTCGACAAGGCCGCACCTGCCCTCTGCGAGGCTGAGACCAATGTCGATGCTGCCCGCCTCGGTCTGCGCCTCGAGCTGCTTCGAGACAGCAAAGGAGCCTGAGATGTGCCCGCTGTTCGTGCGCAGCTGGAGCACCTCGGCCGCCGTGTCATGCACGTTGATGCTGCCAGCCAAGGTGCGGATACGCAGCGCCGAGAGCGCTACGCCAGAAAGCTCCTTGACATTCGCAGAGCCCGCAGCACCTTGGAGCAGGAGTGGAGGCAGGCTGCTGCGCAACTCCTTGCGCTCCATGATCTCCTTGCCCTCCACGAGCTCCACAGACGCATGACGCGGAACCTGCACATGCAGCCTGAAGTGGAGTGGGAGGCGGTCGATGTCAGCCGGCTTAACGGCGTACAGGTCAATGCCGCGGGCGCCGTTGCGCAGACTGCGGCCAGGTCCGGGGTACGCATGGGGCGCATCGCGGCGGGAGACGAGACAGACTTGCGAGGCCTGGAGCATGTCCCATCCTGCGCCCTCGTCGCGATCGGCATCGTCCACGTCGTAAACGGCCTCAACCGTCATGCGCACGTACTTGCCTGGCGGCGGCTGGTCGCCCTCGTAGATTGCGCCGTGGTTGTCAACCTCATCGTTTCCGACATCATACGCCGTCAGAAAGATGTCGCCGACGACGGCGTCGCCGCGAAACTGGTTGAAGATTTCCGCGCTGTCTGATGTCGAGAGCAGGAATGTCGAGTTGCTGCTGCGCTGCGCACGGTCGCTCCAATGCGGGTAGGGTGAGCCTGGAGGGAAGGATGCGCAGCCGGACCGTCCGGCCGCCCCGAGAGCGCTAAAGGTGCCGGAAGCGTGGTCTGGCCGGAAATGCGTGTGATGATGCGGCCGGCGGTGGTGCGCTGCGAACACGGTAACGAGGGTGGTGTAGAGGGCGATGACGGCGAGACAAGACCACAGTATCCGCGTCCGGCGCTTCTGCAGCTGTTCCCGAAGAGAAGTAGGTTGGCGCTTACAGGCAGCCTCAACGTCGTCTCCCGCGCTGTACGGCGGCGGGCACAGCTCAATGTCGCCCTGGTGAGAGAGGAGGGGAGCGTTGTCGGCAGGTGCAAGGGAGTAGGGAGGAACAAAGTCGTCTTCGTCGAGGTCAAAGTCGAGCTCGGAGTCGGAATCGACCAAGGGTTCCTTGGTGTCTTGAGGCAGAATCATGATAAGACGCGATAAGGCCGGGTAAGCTTGTCACGTTGAGTTGTAGTGTGTCCGGCTCGCAGTGACTGTTTAAAGCATGGAGAGATGGAGATGAGTGGTAGGGAAGACGATGAAGAGAGTCACTGCGAGAAGCAAAGGCATAGGGAGATGCATGGCTCGTCGGTCCGCATCCGCCGTAGCTGCTGCGACTGCGAGGAGAGGACCTCTGAGCCTGGCTGGTTGGGCTTGACTGCGGGTGGTGGGGGGTTGGTGGGGATGTCGAGAACTGTGACGCTGCGGACGCAGAGATGCGCAGCACTAAAGTGATCAGGACCGTCAGCCGCCAGTCCCAAGACACAGAGTCCAGCCTTGGCCACCCACTGGACCGATTGGTCTGAGGGTTCCTGCCCTGCGACTGCCCGTGCCTGGCTGAGCATGGGGCGATCAAACCCGGCCCAGGCCCGCAGTCGCCCTCACACCCCTCAGACCGCACGCCCTAGCGCTGTCGCTCAACTCGGCTCACTTCCTCTCCACCCCAGGGACTGCGCGGTTGACCCACCGTACAGACCATTTCAGACCACGCTGCTGACCGCGCTGACCGGGCCTCACTACTTGGCTCTCGACTGCGCGCGCAACCCTGACCCCTTCATGTAGCGTGGTTGTGACCTACTGCCAACAGGCGTACCGCGTGTCCCTCGCAGCTCACCCACCGAAGCCTCCGCAGTGGCAGTGCAATATGAATCACCCTACGCGCCTCATATGATTGACTCTGCTGCGCCTGCCAGCTGCGCGCTGTTTCATCATCTCCGTCCACACACATAAACATCATGCTGCATGCTGAATGCTGGGTCTACTCTACATGTGGTTGGTTGGTGTGGAAGGATGAGGTGATGTTACAGGATATGAACAGAACGCACAAGGCACTATCAGCATACGACGTGCACGGTACCAACGTCGAGCATCTACTTGAGCTCTTGCAGAGTGGCAGACCACCTCGCCACCTTCGGGTGCGCCATGACCTTGTCCGGGCGGAAGTTCCGTACCTCCAGGCCCTCCAGAGAAGTCGCACGAGACAGAGCAACATACGCCTGGCCCTTCTCAAACACCTTGCCGAGGTCGACCTTGACGCGATCCAGAGTCTGCCCTTGCGACTTGTGGATACTCATGGCCCAGGCGAGGATCAGGGGCAGCTGTAACCTCGACACCTGAATCTCACCGTTGGGCAGCTCGCTCTTGAATGTCTCGTACTCAACCAGCATGTCTTGCGTTCCGCCAGGCACCTTGAAACGCACGACCGGGAAGGGTTTCGCGTTCTTCGCCACCTTCTGGCGTAAGATCGAGCGCATCTTGCGCGCTTCGTTTTCCGCCTCGTCGTCCGATGCAGCAACATCCTTGCGCCACTTGCCATTGGAGTCGAGCATGAATTCGTGGGAATGGCAGAAGCCGATGACCTTGCCCATGCTGCCGTTCACCAAGGTCTCGTCCACATTCTTGATGAGCATGACTTGGGCGTCGATTTTGAGACTCATGTTTTTGGGCGCCATGAAGTTGGACAACAGTTTCTCCTTCTGGACGGGATCGGTGATCGAACCCCCATCCGTGGAGGGGTACGAGAATCCTTCAGTGTTGAGGGCCTGGATGCGGTTGTAGTTCGACCTCTCAACGTCTTCTCGGCGAGGGAATAGCTCTGTCGGCTCGATTCCGTCGTCGTAGTGGATGGGGCGGGACAGCGATCGGAAACGCTCGATGGACGAAGGGGTAAGCCTGCCAAAACGCATCTCGTTGAGCATCTCGATGAAGCTCTCGTCACGTTGACGGAAGACTTGGGACAGGTTGATCGACCTCTGAATCGTCTTCGTCCAAGAAACAGCCTCGAAGCAAAACTTGGAAGCGTTATTGCCTTTGGTGACCGGGGGAAGCTGGAAGAAGTCGCCAGTCACGACGACCTGCATGCCACCGAATGGCACGTCCGGCTTCTTGCGCATGATGCGGGCGATCTGATCATACTTGTCAAAGAGGTCTGCGTCAACCATAGACACTGATGTCAGTTCGTGGACTCATAGATCGTCACCCACCTTCGTCAATAATGAGCACTTTCGTGCGTAACCAACGAGGAACGGCTTTCTTGTTCTTCTTGATGCGCCTGCAGAGTGCATCTGCCGGCTCCAATGCCAGGCCTGCGCCGCCGAATGCATGAAGCGTCACGCCTCCGATGTTGCATGCGGCAATACCCGTTGACGCTGTCACGGCCACAGCATCGTTTGCCTTGGCGTACTTCTTCCTCAGAGCATGGATAATCTCGCGCAGCAGAACAGACTTTCCGGTTCCCGCGGAGCCGGTGAAGAACACGTTGAGGCCCTCATGGACGACAAGCTGCAGGACCTTGTTCTGCTCATTGCTAAGCAGGATCTTCTGACGAATGTTGACCGTGGGCGCCTTGACACGTTTGGCCGAAGGCTTGGACGGACCGCCCGCCGAATCCGTCGTCGCTAACACCTTCTTCGCCGATCTGCAAGGTCAACGCAGCTCAGATGTCTCCTTCCTTACGAGAAATCCTCTTCCCAGGGGCGTTTCGACGGCTTCGGCAAACTAGGCAAACTTGGTAGAGGTAGCGGTGCGGATGCAGTTGGACGCGTAGGCGTTTTCGAGGACGAAACATTCTGCTTGGGAGGAGGTGCACTTCCAGACGCAGGGCTGCTCGCATTCGTGGAGAGCGCAGCGAGAATTGCTCGACGTCGGCGGTCGGCAGGCGTGAGACCTTCATCAGACTGTGGCTGCGCCGATGCGACCGCCGGGGTGACCACCGTTGGCTTCGCACCAGTGAAAGGATTTGGCTTATGTCTAATTCTTTGAACGTCAGCGAAACGCTACCCATCATGATTACCAAACGTGATGGTTCTACACTCACACCTCTGGACTCGGGGACCACTCGATCTCCTGGCTGCTCGGAGGCGGAATAGCAATCGGCTCGTCGTCAGGCTCCTCCCAGTTCCTCTGCAGCGAGTTAACGCGTCCTAAACCACGGGCGGAGGGAGCCCCGGCAAACATGGACGGCATGCTAGGCGTGTGCGGAGTGGGTGTGTTGTATCGAGCTGGGACGCGATCCGAGAAGTTGACGCGACTGTTCTTGCAATGTTGTTGTGACAGTCACGTGACTGCATAACTTTTGAGTCCGCTGATTGCCGCCACCGAGATTCAAGATTTCGGCTGGTGGAGAAGTTCAACGACTCTGTTCGGCGATCAAGCTCGATACCAGGAAGCACGTCAACAACAGTCAAGATGGGTCGCGACAAGAAGATTGCCAACGCAATGAAGCGTTCGGAGCAGCACCGGAAGTCCCGTCGTGAGAAGGGACAGGAGAAGCTGAAGCGTCGCATGGCTGTGAGTTCTCATGCTCATGACTGGGATAACTGACGTCAAGATCAAGAAGGCTGAGCGCGGAGAGGGCGGTGAAGAGCTCCGTCAGGTTAGTACTCCGTGATGCTGCAGTGAACTACAGCTAATCCTCAGGCCCGTCTGGCGAAAAACATCCCGCGCACTATCGACAACACCCGTATCTACGACTCGTCCTCATACCTGACTGCCGACCCTGCCAGCTTGCGGGCGGCCGAGGAGCGTGCTGCCGCAGCTTCAAGGCTAGTCAACGCGGAGGAGGACGAGGAGCAGGACGATGAGGAGATGGACCAGGACGAAGAGGACGACTCGGAAGAGGAGGACGAGGAGGACGAGGTTGCCTCAGCCACGAAAAAGAGGGCCATGAAGCGTAAGGCTGAGGATGATGCTGAGGCAGAGGAAGACGAGGACGAGGAAGGGGAAGAGGACGAGGAAGCTGAGGAAGAGGAGGCCGAGGAGCAGGAGGAGCAGGCGCCGGTCATGACTGGTCCTCCGCGCATTCTTCTCACTACATCGCCTGGTCCCACGAAGGCGACGTACCAGTTCTGCGACGAGCTCAAGAACGTCTTCCCCGGAGGCGAGTTCTTCAAGCGTCCCAAGGGCCGAGGATTCGAGCTTGGTCGTGTTGCCCGTTGGGCTGCGAAGCGCGGATACCACGCTTGCATAGTCGTCAATGAGGATCACAAGAAGCCCAGTGAGTTCCATGTCGCAGCTCGCCTCGATCCCACCCAGCTGACAGTTACAGACGCTATTACGCTTATCAACCTCCCCGCTGGTCCGACAGCGTACTTCAAGCTGTCCAGCGTGCAGCTCAGCTCTGAGATCTACGTGAGCAACAAGGAAACGACCCCTGCTAACTCCAGAAACATGCTCGCCCCACTGCCCACTCTCCCGAGCTCATCCTCAACGGCTTCACGACGCTGCTCGGTAACGCTGTTGGACGCATGTTCGGTCAGCTCTTCCCTTCGCTTCCCCAGTTCCGTGGACGACAGGTCGTCACCCTCCACAACCAGCGAGACTTCCTCTTCTTCCGCCGTCATCGTTACGCCTTCGCTTCTCCGACAGAGGCCAAGCTCCAAGAGATTGGTCCCCGCTTCACGCTGAAGTTGCGATGGATGCGTAAGGGTCTGCCGGGCGTCAAGGCTGCTGATGGACGTATGGCTGCTGGAGGCGACAAGGGCGGCGACACCGAGTTCGCTGTGGATGACAGTGACGACGAGGATGTCGCGCAGCAGGAGAAGGATGACGAGGCTGAGGCCGCTGCCGCCATGGCCCGCGGCGAGATTACTCCCAGCGGCCAGCCGATCCCGGCCCTGGACGAGGAGCAGGAGTACGAGTGGAAGTGGAAGGTGAGTACCATCGCGCGCCAGGAACGACCAAGATTGCTAACAGTCGGCAGCCCAAGATGGAGGTGTCTCGCCGAACCTTCTTCCTGTAGACTATCTTCATATATATCCTGTTCTCTCACGATTCTGTACTACTGCATTGTTGCATCATCGACTCGGACACCCATCATGCATAGATTTTCGGTTCTGGATTTAGCGCGATGAGGACTGATGATAGAGTGAAACGCCACATGGTGGAGGGCACGCTGGGCGGGGGCCGGGGTTTCGGGATTAGAGGGCACGCTCGTTTTTGCAGCTCTGGAAGTCCATTGTTCGCTGGTCACACCATAGAGCGCCGGGCGAGCAGCAAGCAGCGTCCACAACCCAACCTACTCGCGTTCTCTATCCAGACCGAGTTCATATCTAAAAGCGGGGAAGCGCAACGCGGCACCCCGACCTAGAAACTCTCGACACGATGTCCGCCGACGCCGCCACCCAGGCCGACCTGGCCAAGTACGACCTCACCCAAGTGCGTCCAGCGAAGGCGCTGCGATTGCCTTCGACACAACATGAGACGAGACGGCATGCTAACCATATTCACAGAAACTCATCCCCCAGCTCGACCGTCACCTTGCTATCCCCCTTATCGACCACCTCTCCGAGACCAAGGTGTTCCCTGCCGCTCAGGTGACCAAGGCCCAGTGCGTCAACACGAAATTCGACATCGCGTGCGTGTCACTGACTTTCGTTACAGGTATGACCTCGTTAAGGGAACCAACATGGTCGACTACGTCGAGCAGCTGTACGAGCAGGCCAAGGCTGAGGGCGTTGCTGTTGAGCAGACCGACTTCCAGAAGCTCCGTGACGAGGCTACCGCGCGTTACAAGAGCCTTCAGGACGCCGCCCAGCCTATCATGAAGGTTATCGAGGACCCCGAGGCCGTCGCGAAGCTCAAGGGTGGAATGGACAAGGAGAAGAACGTCGAGCTGCTGAGGACGGATTACAACATCTCGCTCGAGCAGATCAACGCGCTCTACCACTTCGGACAGTACCAGTACTCGCTTGGTGCTTACGGTGACGCCGCCAACTTCCTCTACCACTTCCTCATCTTCTCGCCTACCCAGGAGCTCAACATCTCGGCCCACTGGGGAAAGCTCGCCTCGAACATTCTCACTGGTGAATGGGAGGCTGCCCTCGTCGAGGTCAAGGACCTCCGTGACCTCATCGACAACCCCCAGACCGCTGCTCAGGCCAAGCCTCTGAACCAGCTCCAGGCCCGCACCTGGCTGCTTCACTGGTCATTGTTCGTCTTCTTCAACCTCGGCGATGCCCAGGGTTGCCAGGGACTGCTCGACATGTTCCTGTCGCCTGCCTACCTCAACACCATCCAGACCTCTTGCCCCCACCTCCTCCGCTACCTCGTCGCTGCCGCCATCATCTCGCGACGTGCCCCCAAGCCTGCCGGCTCTCGTTCGAACCGCGACCACGTCAAGGACCTGACTCGCATTGTCCAGATGGAGGAGTACCAGTACTCTGACCCCGTCACCGCCTTCCTGAAGGACCTCTTCTGCGACTTTGACTTTGAGCGGGCCCAGCAGCGCCTCGCTGTCGCCGAGCAGGTCGTCCAGAAGGACTTCTTCCTGTCCGGCTTCGCCGCCGACTTTGTTGAGAACGCGCGCTGGCTGATTTCTGAGATCTTCTGCCGCATCCACCAGCGCATCGACATCAGCGACCTGTCCAAGACGCTGAACCTGTCATACGAGGAGGGAGAGAAGTGGATCGTCAACCTCATCCGTGACTCGCGCATGGGTGTCGACGCCAAGATCGACCTGAAGTCGAACATGCTCTACATCTCGCGACCGCAATCGACGCCCACGACCACGCTGATTGAGGCTACCCGTGGTCTTGCGTTCCGGTCGCAGGCTGTTCAGGTTGCCATGCAGAACACTGCGGAGCAGCGTTCAGGAGAGCGTGGCGGACGTGGCCAGGGTGGCGAGCGCCGGGGTCGTGGAGGAAGGACGGGAGGCCAGACGCGGCCTAACGCTGGTCAGCAGGGAGCAGCACCTGCTACGCAGACCGAGGGTGATGTCGCTGCCTAGTTAGATCGACCTGCATGTATTGCATACTAGTGGATACGAACATTTCTTGTTGCTTTTTGCCACTGGCCAAAGGTTGCCGTCACATGGAAGCTCACATGGGTAGGAGCCATGAGCAAAGTTATTTTGAGGCGATGCTAAGGAAACTCTAAGAAGGCCGAATAGGAACGCGTGCCAGCGCGATTAGAGCGCAAATTGTAAGTAATTATGATTCCGGGTGATCGACAGCACAGACGTCATCGACGCGGAGACGGGTGGCGAGGCCTGACCAGATCGCTGGAGCCGCAGAAATATCCGTTTGATGCATGTAACGTTAGCCCCACCTTACAATACCGACCTTCCGTCCGACCTCAGACACTCCTTCCCTCCATTCTCTTATCAGGCCAGATTCCCGCGCCCATCTCTTTCTTATTCTTCTCTCTCACTTTTCGCCACCCGCATAACCCTTCAGCACGATGAGCGCCATCCTCCAGTCGTACGCGAAGGTGAGCTCCACACTGACCGAGTGTTTACGTTGAGAGAGGAAGACGGCACTGACATCAGAAAACCTTCAAGAACCAGGCCATGGCCTACGAGCCGGAGGACCCGTACTATGAGACGGTCGTTGATGAGCATGGTCGCACGAAGCGGACGAAGCGAGACGTGCCCCCCGGCCTCAGCAAGCGTGATGCCAAGGCGCTCCGCAAGATCCGCCGTCGCGCGCACTACCTCGACAAGGGAATCAACCTCTGTGGTTTCCGCGTAGGATGGACCTTCTTCATTGGTGAGTTGGGATGTGTTATGCTATCTTGGTGTGTGGGACAATTGTCTGAGACCTGGCGAGGGCTGGACTGGAGCTCCGCCCTTTCGAAGGTGGTCAATGAGACACAGCGGAATGGCATTGAGTTAGAACGAGGACTGGTAACTGACCCCAGGTATCATCCCGGGTCTCGGAGACATCACGGACGCAATTCTGAACTACACGCTCGTAGTCAAACCCGCGCGCAAGCTCGACATCCCCGACAGCCTCGTGACGCACATGCTGTTCAACAACGCCGTTTCGGCGGGAGTAGGGTGAGTCTCAGCTATACGCCCTCGTCTTCTAGCTAACGTCAGCCTCGTCCCGCTTGTCGGAGATGTTGCTCTTGCCGTTTGGAAGGCGAACTGGCGCAACGCGGCGCTGCTGGAGGAGTTCCTCGTGAAGCGCGGCGCCCAGAACCTGGCCGACTCGCTGTCCAACGATCCGGCTCACGGTCACCAGGTCGCCCACGCCGCGCTTGCGCCGAGCGCACACGCCACTCCCGCCTCGAGCAACCCCCAACTTGCCTCTGATGTGCTCGCGACTGGCGGACACCCGGCGCACATGCACGAGCAGACGCCGCTGAACCAGCCCGCCCAGCCCGCGCCGGCTGCGAAGAAGGGATGGTTCGGCCGCCGCTAGGCTTAACAGCTCGAAGGGCAGGGGAGCGCCGAGCTCTCCCGACCGTTCTCTCGACGTAAAGTATACCCACTAGACCTTCCTTTCCGTAGACCCAGCACCGACGTTCACCAGACCTCCCCGTAGCCGTTATAATCCCTTCCCCTTCAAGTTGTTACAGAATGCATCTAAATCTTACTGAGGCCAAACCCCGTCCGTAAAGTCGAGCACAGTGACGCTTTCGACGCCAAGGTCCTCCAGACCCTTCTTGAACGCCTCATGCACCGGGTCGCGGAAGACGTAGTACTCGAGTTCCTGTTGATTGGCAAACTCGGCAAGAAAGACGACCTGCATGCCCCCGTCGAGCTTCTCGGGCGAAGTCTGCTTGCCTCCCCTCAGGGAGCGGATGTAGGGGCGCCCGTCGAGCTGGCAACTGGCTTGCAGCTGCAGGAACCGGGCCGTGAGGTCGGGCAGGTCGGAGGTGCGCGCGAGCTTGAATGCGACTGGGTGTTAGCGGGGCGCGAAGCGTGGAACATGGAGCGTGCGTGCGTCGTTGTCGGGTTCCATGGGTCTCCTCACTCCCTCTTCCAATGCAGACTAGGGTGCATGCTGCTGGGCTGGAGATGAGCTGGAGATGTAAGGAGGGTTGAGAGGTAGGAGAGAGGAGAGACAGAGACAGAGACAGAGGGTGCAGAGCACAGGGCCGAGTAATGAATGAATGCACGCGCGTCATGCAGCTCGCCCAGCTCGCTTCGCTCGCTGAAGATAAACAATACGTACCAATGTGGAACACGCTCATGGCTGCAACGCTGCTTTCGTTGCCAAACATAAAGTATCCGAGAAAGAGGAGAGTGAGAACTGCCCCGCCGGCGATGATCCACCGCCGTTCCGGCGCCAGCGGCCCCAGCTGGGCCGAGAGGTCGTGCGCGTGCTGCGGGAGTCTCATGGCAAGTTCCCAATTTCCAAGTTTCGTGCTGCTGTTCGGCTTCTTAGGCGGCTCAGCTTCACTGAAAGCTGAGAACGAAACGAGATGGACGTGTTATAGTGTAAGAAGCAGACGAGATCAATGGCATCTCGCTCGTGCCCGCTGGCCCGCTGCGAGTGCTGCAAGCTAGGCTCGGCGTGTCGGGGCGAAGGATGCGTGTGGAGGCCCGCTGTGTGTATGGCCTGTGCGCACTGTGCGAGACTGGCGTCGTCATCGGAACCAATCTTTCGTGGCTTCAATCGCACAAGTCCTCGCGTCCTCGTCCTCCACTCTAACCCTCCTTTCACTTTCCCCCTCCCCAACTTCTCTTCTCTTCCCTCCCCTCTCTCGACACTCGACTCGACTCGACAGCTAGTCGGAAACAACAATGTCGACGTCTTCCGCCACGCCTAGCGGCGCGGCTCCAGCCCCAGCCGTCGTGCTGAAGCAAACCCTCCCGCTGAAAGACTACTTCTCGACGCTCGCCTACCTCTCCTTCCTCCTCAGCACTACTGTTGCGCTCCTGCCCAGGTCGACAAAGTACTTCTACCCCGGAGCCGTCACTGCGCAAACGACGTCAGCCGACCGGCCAGAACATCCCTTCCTCACGCCCATCACGGCCAATCCCACGGCCAGCGCGGCATGGATCGCGGCCGGGACGGGCGTCACTGTTGCCTGGCTTGGGAACCGGTTCGGACGCTGGGTCGGGGCGAGGGGTGTGAGTATATTTTCGCATCTTTCTACGCAGGAGAGAGCGAATGTGGCTACAGCTACATGAGAGAGGAGAATTAGCTGACAGCAGAACACAAAGGATACCCTCCTCGCCGTCCTGATCGCGACGCCGCTGTACTCTGGCCTGATCCACCTCCTCGGCGCACCGGGGTACACTTGGTTCCGCACGCTGCTTACCTCGCTCACACTCGCGTTCCTCACGACATACGTGCCCATCTACATCCTCGGCTTTCCCTCGCTGTACGACGAGGGCATTGCCGATCGATACCGCCTCACACGCCTGTTCTCGCAGTGGACGCCCGAGACGCGCCTCGAGACGCTCATCGTGTATCCTGCCGTTGGCGCTGTTATTGGCGCGTGGGTCGGCGCCATCCCCATGGCGCTTGACTGGGACAGGCCGTGGCAGGCGTGGCCCCTCAGTGTGCTTGTTGGGGCTTGTGCTGGGTTTGTCGCGGGCGGATATTGCGGATGGGCTAGCTGTGCGTTCAAGGGCCTCAAGAGCGACATTGCCGCCGAGCAGCGCAGGGAGGCCGCACAGGCGAACAAGCCCAAGTCGTCTGGCAACGCGAGGCGGAGAAAGCCCGGAAAGTAGTAGAGATGTCCGATGAATAAAGATACATGCAGCGCTCGGAACAGCCGCTCCAAAGCCCGGCTGAGCTCTGGCGTTCTATAATGGGGTTGGGGTTGGTGGTGGTTGGGTTGGGTTGTTGCAAGCGTGTATAGAAAATGACGGGTCATGATGAGAGGATTGTACTGATGCAAGTTGCAGTTTTGGCTTTGATATGAGAGAGAAAAAGAGTTTAAATTGTTCTGGAGGGTTGGAGGGGTATAGAGAGACAGCGGCAGAGGCGGCTCACGCCTCTGCGGACAACATCTAGGCCTTACTGATGCGCGGCTCCTCGCGCACAAGGCGCAGCCACAGACTGCCGACCATGGAGCGCTCGCGCACAACCTCCCACGCACCCATCTGACACTGCCGCGGGTCGCCGAAGCCGAAGCGCGCCTCCATCTCGTGGCGGCCCTCGGCGGTGCCCTCGGCCTCGAGCGAGATCTGGCCCGCCCACTCCTTCGCGATGCGCTCGTCCGGCGTCGGCACAACCTCGAATCCAGCGACGTGCAGGTAACGCTTGGCCGAGATGCGCGCACCGGATGCGACAGTAACGTCGCGACGGTCGTGCGCTAAGCGCACACTGTCCATTGCCTGCTTAGCGAACGGCGAGAAGTCGAGGTAGATGATCTGCGGCGTCGGCAGGAACGGGTCGTAGTACATCGGCGACAGCGCAAAGGCGTCCAGGTAATGCGGCAGGTGGCCCGTCGTGCAGTGGTTGTACTCAAGCGGCACAAGCTTGTGCTCGATGAACGGAATGTAGATGAGCACGTGCTCCGTGTTTGTCGGCTTGTTGAGCGCAGTATTGACGACAAGATCACCGAGGCGCATACGCTTGCTGGCACCGCACTTCTCGAGCTCGCGCCACGACGCGGCGGCACCCTCGGCGGACGGCCAGCGGGGAACGCGCTCGGAGACAGGAACGAACACACGCAGGATCGGCGCACGGCCGGGCATGTACGGCGGCGGGCGGTCGAACGCGGGCTCGTACTTGCTGCCCTGCGTAGGAGAGTCCCAGCGACGCTGGATGGGCGAGTGCGATCCGCGCTCCGAGTTGCGCGAGCGATGGCTGTCGCTGCCGTTCATCGACGAGCGGCTGCCGCTGCCGCCGATCGGTGGCGGAACCGGCAGGTCGAGCGATTGCTGAGCCGACGAGATGTGCGTCGTCGATCGCGAGCCCCAGGCGTTGCCCTTGATCGTGGACGGCATCGAGCTGTGGGCGTTGCTCGTCTGTGCCGACATGATCGATCCGGGGCGGCTCGAGAATCCTCCGCCGATCGAGTGCTTGGACGAGTGCCCACCGTAGTTGGTGAACTCGTATCGCTTCGCAGTGGGATAGCTGACCGGGGGAAGGCCGGCCTTGCCCTGCGGCAAGGGAACAGCGTTGTGCGACGGTGGAGCCTGCAGCGCCATCGTGTTCATAGACGACACAGAGTTGGCGCGCTTGCGGCCAAACGTGCCAATGGGCACTCCGGACTGCACAGAGCTTCCCGAACCGCGGCGGCGGCGCAGGCGGCTGCCCATGCTCGTGTTCATGCTGGCTGCGTCCCAGGGCTTGGTGACAGCCGACGCCGACTGCGGAGTCGCCGACAGCGGCTCCGGCATGACAACTTCGACGACTCGCTCGCGGCGAGGCATCCTGCCAAACGGACTGCCAGGCTCCGAGCCAGCAACAGAACCCGCGCGAGATCCGGGGCGAGAACCACCAGGTCGGCGCGGCGGCGTAATCATGCCGCTGGTGAAGCTGGCGACCGAGCTCGACTTGTGCAGCTGGGGCGGCGTGAGATCGTCATCGAACGGTAAGGGCGCCGAGAAAGGGAACGACGAAGCGGGCATGGTTCGCAGGAAGAGAACCACGAGCGTGTGCGACAAGCTGAGATGGCGAAGCAGATTGTGGTACTGCTCCGGGTACGTGCTGTACACGGCCGGATCGTGCAGGAGCGACTCGACTGACCTGTCAGCAAATGATCTCGTCGAAAAAAAACAATACTCACGGAATCCCTCCCAGACAGTCAGTCCAGGCCACGAGCGTCCACGCTCCTTCTCGATGGTCACACCCCACTCGCGCATGACCCAACGGCCGACCATCTCTCCCGAGATGTACTTCCTGAGGTCATTGTCCGAAGCGAGCAGGTTCAAGAACTGGTTGATGTTCAGGAAAGGCAGCAGCGAGATGACCACACGCGGGTGGGACAGGAGGTAAGTCAGCGACTTGTCGTTCTTCCTCGTCGGTCGGCTTCGGCTCATAACCGAAGGACGACCCTGGATCATGTCCACAATGTCCTTGTCAATCTCGGTCGAGGAGTTCTGGCTCGAGTTTGACGACGACGACGGGGCAGCAGCTGACGACGAAGGCTGGGATACAGATCGCGAACCGTAAGGCCGGGGTATAGGAGTGGTGATCGGGTTGTTGGGCGCTGTCGACGTCACGGGGCTGGCCAGGGGTGACGATGCGATGCGGCGCGCTGTGGCCGAATGCGATGTGCGGAAGCCCGCCGGAACTCCCTTCAGAGCACTGGGAAGGCCGTTTCCAATCTGGTTGGGCTTTCCGTTGGCATGACCATTGGCGTGGCCGTTGGCATGGCCGTTGGTGTAGCCGTTGGGCTGGACACGACTCGCTGGAAGGCTTGGCGCTGCTCCTTGGCCGGCAGAGCTGTGCGAATCGAAGGCCCGGGACACGCTCGAACCCATATTCGGCGGGTGGCCGTTCTGCTGGTGGTGAACGGCGGGCGGAGCAGCGGGTGCCGATGCAGGTAGAGGTGCGGGTGCGGGCTTGACAGTGTTGGTTGTCGACGAAGGGGCGGGTGCGTTTACAGCGTTGTTGACAGGCGTAGGCGCATAAGGGGTGACCTTGGGGGGAGGAGTGTTTGAGGAAGTCTGCGGAATGACGATGGTGGGCCGGGGGAGAGCAGCGCTTTTGGGAGTCGGGCTGATGATCGGCGCGGCGGTTCCAGAGGTGGGAGGGGCCAAGTCTGACGGCTGCGTTGACAACTGAGGAAGGTGCGGCAGAGATCTCTCGGCTGCACGCTCAGGCTTCTCGGGCGTCGTCCGCGCGTGCTGCTGCTGCTGCTGCTGCTGCGTGTGGACGCCAGCCGCGGGGGCGAGCGCAGGCCCAGGGGCGGGCGCAGATATTCCAGCGGGCGCAGCCCCGGCCACTGGCACTGGCACTGGTGCAGGAACAGGTGGAGGTGACGCAATGCCTCGCGAGCCGTAGTTGTCGTTGGACACCTGCCGAGCAGACTGCGGTCGACTCGACGCAGACTGCGGGCGACTGCTCGCAACCACCGACACCGATGCCCCAGAGCTCGGCGGCAGCGCATGCGCGTGCTGCTGGTTGCCCACAATTTCGACCCTGGCGCCCGTGCTTGTCGTCATGCCGACAGGAGCACCGTTCGGCTGCGTAGCGCCCGGGCGAGAGCTCCATCGTCGGTTCTCAGCTCCTTCCGGTAAAGGCGGAGGGGGAGCTGCGGCCTGCACCGGCGCAGTACTCCTCGAGACCGATGTCGAACGTGCCGGTCGCGTCGCCATGACCGGCGGCTGCTTCTGCTGCTGGGGGTGGGCGGCACCATTTGCGATGTGTGAAGGCTGGGGAGGAGATATCGAAGACGTGCGATTCGGCATGTGCGACTGGGGACCAGGGGCGGGGTGGCCGTTAACAGGAGGACGAACGGCAAAGTAGCCGTTGGGTTGCGGAGCCATCTGCGAAGGCGGCGGTGGAGAAGTGCTGTGTCCGTGAGAAGACTGGGGAGAAGTCACTCGTTGCAGAGGAGCAGCCGCGCCATTGGGAGCAGTCGGGGGTCGCTGCGGGTGGGCCTGGGCGCTAAATCCAGCAGAGGGCCCACGTTGATGTCCCTGATGACTGCCAAACGAAGCAGGGGGAGAGGGCGCCTGCTGAAAGACGTGGTGCTGCGTAGGCACACCGTTCGGACGCGATGACCGGGGGCCGGTAGGAGGCTTCGCGGGGCCGGCACCGGGAGGTAATGAGAATGCCTGCGAAGGAGGCGACATCGGACGAACGGCCTCTGGAGAGGTAACACGCTGCGGCGGAGACGTTGGCGGGCTCATCGGGCCCTGGTAATGAGCGGGAGGGCTCTTGGAGAGCACCCGATGGTGCGAGCCATTCTGCTGAGCCGAGTGAGACTGTCCCATGTGAGCCGGGGGAGGGGAGGGAGTCGCCGCCGCGCTGGATGGCTGCGAGTTGGCGCGTCCAGCCAGAGTCTGGTCAAGGAGAGGAGGGCGAGAGTAGATCTGATGCGGCTGCGAGTACGGGATGTGGTGCTGCACATACTTGCCGTCGGTTGGCGAGGTCGGGGGAGACATGGTCTGAGGTCCGTAGCCGTTAGGCTGGTTCAGGTACGGCACTGGCGCGCTTCCCTTCCGTGATGGCAGAGGGCGGGGGTTGATCGCGCCGTTCGGCAGCGCATGGCCGTTCGCCGATCCGTTCGAATGACCGCTCGCGGATCCGTTTGCGTAGCCGTTCATGGATCCGTTTGACTTGTGCAATCCGTTGGGCACACCGTTCGGGGCGCCGTTGGCGTAACCAACAGCGTGACCGTTCGCTGAACCTGGCCCGTTTGGGATACCGTAAGACGTCCGCTTGGGCGCAGGCTGGTGCACACCATTGGGAACCCCGTTTGGAATGCTTCCGTTCGGCTGATTCAACGGGTGTCTGGGAGCTACCAACGTCAGCACAGGCTCACTAATATGGAAACTTACGTGGAGTGGGAGCGTTCGCGAGGCCTCCCTCGGGAGGAGCGGGGCTGCCGGACCAGGGAGCCATCCGGGGTCCACCGGGCCCGGTGGGGCTAGTCGGGGACATGGGAGAGCGTCCTGGGATCGGGGCAGGTCCGAACCCAGCTCCAGGAGGTAATCCGGCACCAGGAGGCAATGATGCTCCGGGAGGCAACGAGTAGTGTTGCGGACCAGCTTTGGATGGAGGGCGGGGACCTGAAGGAGACGGGCTGTGAGGGACGGGGCTTGCGTTGGCCCGGGGCGTGGCTGATCCATTAAGGCTGCTGTTGGGAGGAATTAACGGCTGGTCCTTGTCCAAAAGGAAGGTGGAGAGTCGGGGAATCTGTGGAGCGACGTCGGGAACGGGGGGCGCTGTCTCCTCATCGTGGCCACCTCCCTTCAGACGACGGAAGAAGCTGTTGCTCTTCTTGAGCCCGGGCTTCTGGGCGTTCTTGGTGTCACCGCCGAACGACATGATGGCAGATAGCCGGCGGGAGGAGCTCCTTCTGGAGGGCGGCTTGGGAAGCGTGGCTTCGGGAGCCGGCGCGTCGATTAGCTGCCACTCGTCGGCGAGAGCTTTGTCGAGGGCCAAGTTCTGGAGGAACTGGGCACGCTGGTCGTCCTTCCCTTCAAAAACACCAGGGCTGTTCGAGAGAAGGCTGAGGCGATGTTCGCGACCAAAGGAAGACGGCGGACTGCGGGCGGCGAGCAGGGAAAAGCGATTGGAGGAAGGCGGTGGAGCCGCTAGGGTGGAGGAGGAAGACGTCGATTCCGAGGAAGACGAGCGGTCCGAGATCAACGGAGGCGGGACGTACCGTATAGGTATCGGGGGCGAGGAAGGACGTTGGGAAGGTGAAAGAGCGTGGGATCCGTCGCCAGAAGAGGAAGCCATCGGAGCGCGATGGGGAAAGGAAGAGCAGAGGTTCGGTCAACAAGAGGAGAGGGGGAGGATGAGAAACGTCGATCAAGGCGAAGGCAAAGCAAGCAAGAAGTCGAGTTGTGCGAAAGGAAGGAAGCGGAGAAGGGAGCGAAAGTGATCGTCGTCAACGTCGTGAAGAAAAAATGTGTGATGAGAGAGCGTCCAATGCGCAAACCCAGTGGTCGATCAAGGAAAGCAAAAACGCCGAGAAGGAAGGCGCGTGCGTTGCGCAATACGTCGACCAGAGGAACCAAAGGAAGACCGAGCGCAGATCGATGAGGGACAGGTGAGGGACGATGTGGATCGGCGCGGGGCGAGGGGCGATTGTTGTGTGCGTGATTGCAAGTTTGGGGTCAAGATGTGTGCGATGCGGTGATCAGCGATATGTCTGTCATGGATGTCGGCCTAGGCAAGCTCGAGATGCGGAGTAAGATGGAGGTGACAGCAGCAGAGGTGCTAGGCAAGAGTGGAGACGATGAAGATGAAACAGATGATGATGAGGGATGGAGCATCGAGGTTATCGGTCTAGGCCAGGACGAAGGGAGGGACTCACACTAAGATGACCTAGCAGACTAAGGACAGCGGTCGAGCGCGGGCAGACGGCCGGCAAGAGAGGCGCAAGGAGAGGAGGGCTATGCCTGTGAGATGTGAGACCCAGGTGGAGGATTGCAGGATCACGGATCACACAGTCGCGCAGTCGATGGTGGAGAGGACGCCAAGGGAAGATCGGAGGAGACGAGCTTGGGAGCTTAGGCCGGGTGTGTGGTTCAGGAAAACGGCCAAAACGGATGCACAGCCGCCGTATCGCGCCGTAAGTGATTTCGAGCTACCAGAGCGTGGTGGTGGGTGGTGGTGTGTGAGACTTGAGACCTTCAAGTCAAAAGGTATCAATCACTAGTGGCCGTGCGTGCCGTAGGGATTCAGAAAATTACCAGGGGATCAAGGAGGAGCGCCGAGGTTCGTGTACCGTGTGTCGAGCAAGCAAGGGCAAAAGAAGGGGGTCGGTGTGACAGGACGTATTGACACAAGAGGACGGGGCGGGAGAGTAGATAGGGGAGAGTGCGAGCGTAGCGCGCGAGTAGGTTGGCGAAAAGGAAAACGAGGTAACACAGCGGTTAGGCGGGTCCCAACGGGTTGGGCGTGCGGGCGTACGGGCGAGGCGGCGGGCGGTGGCTGCAAGTACGGTACCTGGCCGGAACGCCTGCCTGTGCGTGCTCTGGCAAGCTGGGTGGTTGGTAGTGGAACGAGGGGCGGTGTTGGTGTGGGTATCACGCTGCTGCTTTTGCTTGGCAAGTGGATTGTTTGACAAGTGGGTGTGTGGGAGAGGCAAAGATGGCGGGGTGTGGAATGATGTGAAGTGATGGGCAATGTCCGGGGGCGCGAGCGATGAATGATGAGTTGAGATGCGCAATAATGATCAATGTGGAAATGTCGCGTCTGTAGCAAGAGTCCAGACGTCTGGGCTGGAGCTTGCTGCTGTTAGTGGTGATGGTCCTGGGTGCTGGTTGAGAAAGCGTGGGATATCCTTAGCGGCCGTACTCCTGAGTCCTGTCTGTTCTCCCTGGGTCGAGCAGTGAGAGTGAGTACCAAGAGGTGGAGCTGCAGTATGACCTGCCAATGAAGCTGGCTGGATCCGAACCTCCAATTTGGGAGCACTAGGACGAGCAGAGGGACACACACACGGCAGTTCCTGATGTGCTCTCGTTTCATCCCTTGGGCGTGGTGCCTCCGTCCACCTTGTTTACCTCTGAGTGTACCTGGGTTCCTGACCCCTGGCCCTGCTCGACCGCCAGAGCTCAGAGTGCTTGATCACATCATCCTCACGGCACACACCCTTGGCTCTGAAGCCTTCACACGGCCCTGACTCCTGGGACACATCCTTCATTTCCCTGTGTATTCCCTGAAAACACCCTGCCAACGTCCTGAACCCCTGAACTGTGTACCTCGCCATCCTCGCCCATCCCATAGGCAGCATAGGCAGGCCAAGCACTGCTCCAGTGCTGCTCCTCTCTGCACAAGGTCCAGAGTTCATTAGCATCTGAATTAGCTGATGGCTGCGCGAAGAGTTGCAGCGCAGTGCGGCACAGCTTTGATCAGCTTGATCAGCTTGATCAGCGCGGCATGCTCACCGATACGTTTCACACTTCACAGCTCTCAGCTCTCCATCATCCCCTCCTCCTACTCACACTAACATGTGGACATCTGGGAGGGGAGCAATTCAGCCGCGCAGCCTCACTCAGCCGTCTCCACTTCCGAGTTACACTCTTACAACGCGTTCTTTTTTTCTCATCGATGCAAATATCCGCCGAAATTATATATATAATCCAAGGGTGTTATGGGATAAGAAGGCGCGTGCGAATCAGCTTCCATCGACTAATGAGAAGCTAGCGAGTGTTCTTCAGGCGGCGCCAAAATCTAGGCCCGGGGGAGCCACGCGAGGAGACCCTGGCCGGCTCCGTCCACCACAGCTCTGGCTCTGTCAGCTCGGCGTACCGGCGTCGTGCACTGCCCTCCATCCTGTTGTCTGCATCGCGGCGCCATGGTTCTGCGCCTCGATCTGAATCTGAACTCAGGCCGTATCCGTACCTGTGTTGTCTCATTGCATCGCCCAACACTGACAATGGAGGTCACCCGCATAACAGAATTGCGAGAGATGGTCAAGCAAAGAAGTAAAGGGGGGACCCCTGAAATCTCATGTTTGTGCAAAAATGGCCCCTTACCCTCTTCGCCCCAACGCTCCAATTCTGGAGAATTACTCGACGATGATTTGAGCAGTTTTGGATGTTAAGGGCTGGAAAAGCTCGTGGACCTCGTGAATCTGGGTCAATTACAGTTTCGGGGGTTGTGATGACCACCCCGTTTGCCCTGTCCATGGCCAACCACGTCTGCCTCTTATGCAAGAGGCACAGAGGCGCGTTTCGCACCACACGCCCCGTCGTGTGCCAATATGCCAGTGAGCCATTATGCCAGGCGCGTTGCTCGCGTCCGTGTCGCCTGGATTCGGCTGACCCCACTGGCACTCGCGTTTCGTGTCGCCGACAGACACGCAGGAGCTTACGGAGGTCACGGAAGTTGAGCTTACAGCGGCGTACGCGCACACTTTCTAACAGAAGGAGCACCGGCTGGATCGTCAGGGGACACTACGACTCCCAACTCAACGCGGAGTTGGCGCATGGCAACAGCTCTGCTATTGGAATGCAGAAGTCATGGGCGGAGTCGCTGCCGAAGGGAGCGCCGAGAGAAGCGCCGAAACTAGACCCAGTCTATTCTCGTCCCACCACGCTAAGAGGACAGGTCCGAGACACACGCTTCCAATTCTGCGCGCCGCTCGCGCCCCACGGCCTAGCGCCGTACTCTGTCCTAGGCCAGCTACTGGGTAGTCCGACACCCGTTGGGCCTGTTGGCGCGATCGTGCCCGCCGCAGCAGGCAGGATCATACACGTATTCATAGCACGCGAGCATGCCTATCGAGATGTATCGAGGTGTTATGTACAGGACCTCAGGGATCGTAGGGGACGCGTCCTGCGGTCGGATCTACGTCACAGTGACAAACGGACGAGGAGGGTCGAAGCTGGGCTCAGCGCCGGCCATATGGCAGTCGCGCGTGCTCCGCCTCTGCTCACGGCATGAAGACAGGTCGAGCGCGCCGAGCGTTGAGCCAGACAGCTCGCACCTCCGGCCCGGCGTCTCATCGGTATCGCGAGTTACGCAAGATGGTATGCGTCCTTGCCAGCTTCTTACTGCTCCTCTGGCTATTGCCTAGCTCGAGCTGGCGCTTCGGCCTCAGCTTCTCCAGTCTCCGCTCAAACACCTCCACAATCTCGAGCAGCTCCTGCGTCTCCACGCCGGCCACTTGGGCCGCGCAATCGGCCACGAGCTCGAAGTCCGGCGGCAGCGTGCCCGTCACGTCTGAGGCGTCGAAGGACCTTATCTTCTCGCCTGGCATGAGGGGGAGCGCGTCGTTGCGCGTCGAGGACGGGATGGGCGGGGCCTGCGTCACTGGATTCGCGGCCGCGTGGGCGCGGAACGGCGCCCAGGATTGCCATGCTGTCGGTGCTTCGGGGAGGCGGGACTTCGGCGGGAGGGGGAAGTTGGAGGCTGCCCAGCGCTCCTGTTCCCGGTTCTTCAGGAGGACCTCCTCCGCATCGTTCAGGAAGGCGTCTATTGCCTCCTCGCTCATCGCCGCAAAGGGTCTGGAGTCAGCTTGGAAGAAGCGGAGAGCTCACTGATGTTCCAGATGCTGCTTGTAGTTGAACTCGCCGCGCTCTTTGCGCTTCTTCAGCTCCTTCAGCCAGTCTTCGGCGCGCGGTCGGCCGATTAGCGGGTCATCGGGCAGAAGAGCTTGGCGCTCCGTTCCGTCGAGACCGTAGGCAAGCTTCATGACGATGACCCACGCGGCGGCGATGCTCATCTCGGGCATGATGACGCTATATTGCTTGGTTATTTCGTACTCGGCTCTCTCCTTCTTCCTCCTCTCCTCCTCCGCTCTCTTATCCTTCTTCTGACGGTTATTGACCTCGTCTGGTCTCTGTTCAGCAGGCTTAGGTCTGATTGTGATATACTCTGGCGCCACGATCGAGAGGTTCACCTCCGCCATGTTCAACAGCGAGAGCACCTCCTCGTACGTCACGTCTGCCGTCAGTTCCGCGCTCGTTCGGGCAACCTACCATCGCCGCCCAGCTTCGAGACCATCTTCCAGACGACGGGAAGCTCGTTTATTCGAGGAAAGTCGATCTTGAAGCGCCGGTACAGAATGTGTGCGAACCGACGCGAGTTGTTCCAGAGATATATCGGTTTTGGCGAGCGGCCAGGCATCAGCGAACGGCGCACGGGGCCGTTCATGCGCTTCTTCATCTCGGCCGGGAGCTGCGTAGACTTGAAGAACTCGATGAACGGGATCTTGTTGTGGTTGACAACACTGCATGTTAGTTCGTGGGGGGGCTACTAAACTTACTCCGCAAGCTCTGCATACGTGAACGGGGCGCGCACCATCCATAGACCGAGGACGAGACATATCAGCGTGTCGGATACCGTTATGACCCGCTCTTGTGGCCGTTCCGGTGTATCCTCCGTCGGCACCTCTTCCAAAGCCTGCAACCCTTCCTCCTTGTCCGCGCCGTCATCGTCACTGTCGTCCGACACATCGACTGCCGTATCCTCGAGGGGGTTCTCGTCGTCGGTTCCCTTCTCATCCGACTTCTCGTCCGCTTCTGTGGCAAACTGAGCCTCGAGATCCCTCTCCGAATCCGTGTCCTCGTCGGAGTCCTCCTTCTCGTCGTATTTCTCGTCATGCTTCTCGTCCGCCATTGGTTGCGAGGGCTGTTGCCTCGACGGACCAGGACTTGGAGATCGCGAGCCTTCCCCCCGTTGGTCGGATGTTGAGGGGAGCGGTGACGTCGCTACTCGAAACGTCCAGATATCACGGACATAGTTCTGCACGTCAACAAGGCTCAGCGAGAGAGCTAACCTCGAACACATCTGGAAGGTCCCACAGTTCCTTCAAGGCCCGTACTTGCAGTCGCAGCAGAATCTGCAGCGCCTCTATCCGCAAGATCTGAGCAGCTTCCCCATGCCAGTCTGCATGTTAGCACTGCCTACGGCTGGAGTTTATACACGCACAGTTCTGATCTCGCTGGCCGTAGAGTTCTCTCTTGTTTGTTCTCGGTCCCTTCCGCACACGCCGTTTCTGCAGCGCGTGACCGGCGCTGTAGTCCACAGCATGGTTTTCGCTGATGACACCCTGGATATCAGCTCTTATCGCGTTCTGCAGCTCACATCTAGGAAATGACCATTCTGACAGCGCACAAACCCAGTGTTGGAATCCTTGACGTATCGCCTCGTCTTACAGACGGGACACCTGCGGTTTCGGCGCGCCATGGTCGTGTGGGTGACGCCGGCCGACTGACGACAATAACAAAATGAACAGACGTCAGGTCTTCAGTGTAATCTGGTGTGGAGGCCCGTCATTTTGGCCACGTGAGGTATGTCGACGCGGGTGGCAAGATCAGCATGCGGAATCAAAAATTTGGATTGTCGCCTGCCGGTGGAGGCTGGGTGTGAGATGGTGAGGTTTTGTTTCGGCTTGGGATTATCGCACTCTCGTCGCAGACCCGACGAACACAACGCTCAGCAACCATGGCCAAAATCAAGAAGAGAGGAGAGTCCGGAGCGGCCAAGAACTACATCACCCGTAACCAGGCCCTCAAGAAACTCCAGATCTCCCTGTCCGACTTCCGTCGCCTCTGTATCCTCAAGGGTGAGTAGCTGTTGGGTCGACCTCAGCTGACATGTGCAGGTATCTACCCTCGCGACCCTCTCCACAAGAAGCGTGCCAACAAGGGATCGTCCGCCCCTGCTTCGTTCTACTACCACAAGGACATCCAGTACCTTCTTCACGAGCCTCTCCTCGTCAAGTTCCGCGAGCACAAGGCTTTCGCCAAGAAGCTTGCCCGCGCCGTCGGCCGTGGCGAGTGGGCTCTCGCCAAGAACCTCGAGGAGAACAAGCCCGTCACCCGCCTCGACCACATTGTTCGCGAGCGCTACCCGACCTTCACTCTCGCTCTCCAGGACCTCCAGGACCCCTTGAACCTCGTTCACCTGTTCTCGACTCTTCCCACCAACCCCATTCCCGGCAAGACTCTCGTCCCGACCGAGGTTATCACTGAGTGTAGCCGCCTCATCAACGAGTGGAAGGTCTGGGCTATCCGCACTCACTCTCTCCGCAAGGTCTTCCTTGGCATCAAGGGTGTCTACTACGAGTGCGAGGTTCCCGGACACGGTGGCGACCTCGTTAACGTTCGCTGGCTCGAGGGCTTTGAGTTCCAGCAGCACGTTCCTCACGATGTCGACTTCCGTATCCTCCTGACCTTCCTCGAGCTCTACCGTACGCTCACCTCCTTCGTTCTCTACAAGCTCTACACCGACGAGAACCTCGTCTACCCTCCTCCTCTCGACGTTGAGCAGGACGAGAAGGGAGAGACTGTTGGTGCTTTCCGCCTGGTCGAGAAGAAGGCTACTGGTGCCGCGGGTGCCGAGGGTGTTTCGAAGAAGGCCGTTAAGCGCGCCATCAAGGGCATCTCCGCTTCTGGAGCCGCTGCTGACGATGAGGACGTTGAGATGGATGACGAGGAGGACACGATCGAGGCCGAGGAGGACTTCGTCGAGCGTCCCTCGAAGAACGTTGAGGTCGAGGACGTTGCCTCTGGACCTCTCCCAACGTACACCTCGCTCCTCGCCTCTTCCGACCCCAGCTCTTCCAAGAAGCAGCTCCTCTTCTCCCCCTACACCTTCTACCTCTCTCGTGAGACCTCTTCCCGGACGTGGGAGTTCGTCATCCGCGCCATGGGCGGAAAGGTCGTCACTTCGCTGGCTGCCCCTGCCCCTGGAGAGGCTCCTCAGGCTGACAGCATTACCCACGTTCTCATTGACCGCCCCATGACCGACGAGCGGAGACGTGAGATGCAGGGTGACCGCAAGTGGACCTGGGTCCAGCCTCAGTGGGTTGCCGACTGCGTCAACCGACAGAAGATCCTCGGTGCTGAGGAGTACGGCCCCGGCAAGCTTCTTCCCCCTCACCTTTCGCCCTGGGACGGCGAGGGCGAGCTGGAGCGGCCATGGCTCGAGAAGGAGAAGGAGGCTGTTGAGGAGGACGCTGAGGAGGACGAGGACGAGGCCGTCGTTGCTGAGGAGGAGGAGTCTGACGAGGACGAGGAGGAGTCTGAGGAGGTCGAGGAGCCGACATACCCTCCTGCTCTCCTTGCTGCTGCCAAGAACCCGAAGGACAAGTCATTGGTCCACCAGGCTGAGCTCGAGGCCGAGGCCAACGGCACTCCCCATGCTACCTTCCAGGCTCAGCTTAAGGAGGCCACCAAGAAGTTCGGCACGTCGACGAAGAAGAAGGCTGCCGACGAGGAGGAGCCCGACATGCGCAAGGTCATGATGTCGAACAAGAAGCGACGTCTGTTCGAGAAGATGCAGTACTCGAACGCCGAGCGCCAGGCCGAGAAGGAGAAGCTCGAGAAGCGCCGGAAGGAGATCGAGAAGCGCAAGAAGAAGGACGCTCGCGCTGCCGGCAAGGCCTAAGTCAGGACTTGCTTGTAAAACATTGCACTAGGTCCCTAGGCACTTGGTTTTATATAGATTTGGGAAACCTCATTTGGCTCACCAGAGGTTTGGATACCGCGGCGACAGAGTGTCTGTCCCGTTCCACTGTAACGATCATAAGAAAACTATGCATTTCTAGCACAGACCAACCATCGCACTGTCCATGACCATGCCTTCTTGCACGCGATCGTACAAAGCACAGCGAAGCCCAACAGTCAGCATCGAGTTCCCAGGCACCCAGCCATAGCAGCGTTCCGTACTAAAACAAAAACAAATTTGCCTCCGCACCCTGGTTTCCCAGCTTCACCAGCGCGCGTCACTCACCGTACACTGCAGCCGGCGCGCGGCTGTTGCATGCCATCAATCCATCCACCGACAACCCCTCGCATCCACCGCACAAACAGCATACACGAGCCCGACCATGGCACGCAAGTCTGGGGGCTCGCGACACCGCGCGTCCGCGCCTCCGAGCGTCGTTCCCACCGCATACCCGGGCAAGACCGCCGATGGAAAGGGCATGGAGGAGCCGCAATGGACCGCCTGCCGTGACATGCTCGATGCAGTGTACAAGGCGAAGGACGGAAGGTGAGTGTTGTTTCTCGGCGATCCATGCTTGCGGACGTATGGCTTGCTCGGAAAACGGATCAAAGTGCCTTTATCTCGAGGAGGTACCGATGATAAGGAAGGGGACAGGGGACCGACGGACCGAACCCGGGGAAGTTGAGGATTGAGGGACTGGAAGCCTGCCCAACCCATCTTTCCTCGATTGCCCTATCCCTCGACATCACCCGGATGTTACGGATGCACGAAAATGAACCTGCAATGTATAGCTAACTCCTGAACAGCCGCCGCATGTGTGACATTTTCCGCGAACTTCCCGACCGCGACGAATGGGCAGACTACTACGAAGCCATTCCCGAGCCAGAGTGCTTGGACAACATTGCTGTGAGTGGTGGCGTTCATCGTTGATCCAGGAGTACACGGCCGCTAACCGTCACCAGGCCAAGCTCGGCGAGAACGGGTACGGCACGCCAGAGGAGATGTTCAAGCAGCTTCACCTTGTCTTCCTCAATGCCAAGCACTGTGAGCATTTTCCATGGGCATGCTGAGCTGACCTCAGACAACGAAGAGGAGTCGCAACTCTGGACGGATGCGCAAACGTACGACGAGCAAATCCACGAGGCGTGGAAGAACATCGCCGAGAAGGGCATCTTCGCCTGGTCCGACCCGTACCACAAGAGCAGCAAAGTACGCCGTCCGAAAGCCGGCAAGCAGAAGTCGGTCGAGCCGAAGACGGAGGCCGCCACCCCCGGAACACCAGCGACCGATGCGCCGCCGCCGGTCATCAAGTTACATGTGTCTCGACCGGATGCCTCGGCGTCGCCCGCCGCTTCCACGTCTGCCTCTGCTGAGCCGCTCCTCCCGTCGAAGCGAGAACGTGCCCGCCAGCCCGCCCCCGCGTCGGCTTCCCCGGTGCGAGTGTCGCGATCTCAGGCCAAGGCTGAGGCGGAGAAGTATGCACCTCCTCGTCCGGCCAACGCCGTGCACCTCTCGCCAGGCGACGAAAGTGTCGTGGCCGCGACTGACGCTAAGCTTCCTCGCTGGAGCGGGCCCGTCCAGGAGCTGCCAGGGGACCCGGCGCCTGGAGGTGTGTTGGGAAGCGGATGGTGGGGAGAGGGCGCTGCCGATTATGAGCGATCCGTCGGGGGCCAGGCCAACTGGAAGAAGCGTATAGCGACCGTGGCTAACGCCATCGCCACGTACAAAGATCCTAAGTGAGCTGCGAAGCAACCTCTCGAAGCTGACATCAGCAACGCCGTGCTCTCTGAGACGCTCTCAGCGATTCCCTCCCACGCCGAGATCCCCTTCCTCACTACCCAGGTGAGCGTTGGCGCCAGTTACACAGCTAATGTCAGTCTCCGATACTGTTCCCCAACGTTCTCGCCAACACGCAGGCCGGGAAGTACGCTACTCTCCGCGAGTTTGACGCCGACATGGTGTCCGTATTCGAGACCGCTCGCCGCTGGTATCGCTTCCTGTCGCCCCAGCTCAGCAACGTCCTCACGCTTCAGCGGTTGTACAACGCCATCACGGCGCCGTATCCCTTGGCTGTTCCTCCCTCTGGCACGCTCGCGCCCAACATGACCCGTTTTGCGTCGCTGCCCGCTGGACCTGGAACGGCCAAGACAGCGCAGGAGGTTCAGGAAGCTGAGCGAGCTGGTGTGCCTCCCGGAAAGGCGGGCTTCGGTGTCACGTCGACACGCATCAGCTCGAAGGACCGCATCTTCACGGAGGAGGCCCGTCACAAGGGTGTGGCGTACCGAACAGGTAAGCTTCGCGGTCGACTCTATAAACTGACATTGTAGGTGACTATGTGCATCTGATCAACCCCGACGACCCGTCGCGGCCCATCGTCGGCCAGATCTTCAAGACGTTCGTGCCGACAAAGGGATATATTACGCATCACGTCACTGTGTGCTGGTACTTCCGCCCGGAGCAGACTGTTCACCCGGCAGACAAGATGTTCTATGACAACGAGGTCTTTAAGACGGGTTACTTCTGCGATCACCCAGTGGAGGACATTCTCGAGCACATCTGCATCCAGCCGACGCAGGCCGCCACGCGTGGACGGCCAAAGGCGCCTTACTTCTACCCGGGACGGCAGGTCTACGTCTGCGGAGCGCGGTATATCAACCACCCGCAGCTCTTCATCCCGGTGAAGAAGTGGGCGAACATCGTTCCCGAGTCGATGCGCACCGTTGATGCGATGGCGGTCTCGATCTACCAGCACCCGATCACACTGCCGCAGGTTCGGTCACCGTTCACCCAGGGCGTGAAGGGACCCGGCGGCATCGGTGCGCCTCGGCGAAACCAGCTGCCGATGGACGACGAGGAGATCGAGGCGCAATCCTTACTCGCGCAGGCTCAGCCCTCTCGCCGACCAAGCGACACCCAGCAGCGCGGCACCGCCTCGCCAATGCCACAGCAGCGCGTGCCGACGCCACAGGCCGGGCCCTCGCGCACCCCCTCCGCGCAGCAGGTGCCGCAAGCCCGCCCCCAGCAGCAGTGGCAGCGCGCGCCCGCCGTTGCGCCCGCGTTCCCGAACCGGACCTTCGCGGCGATTATGGGCGGCCAGCAGGTCCTCGACCAAGTCGCCGTGAAGGAGTATCTTCCGAACGACACTGCGCGTCTCTTCGAGCAAGACGCGCGGCACCAGGTGCTCTGGTTCAGTGGTCCGCCTCTGCCGCCTGGCGCTGTGCGTGTCCCAACGCCTCCGAATCACAGCATGGAGTACCTCGTCTACCTTTCGAAGCGGAAACAGGGCCAGAGCATAGCCAAAGCGCGGCCCGAGAAGCGCTTCAAGACTGACCTTCCCTTCGACGAAAAGCAGGCCAACGGCAAGGGCATCCTCGATGGCGACATTAGCAAGCTGTGGTGGACGCAGGGGCAGAGCGAGGATGAGGTGCTGGAGAGCCTGAAGGCTGTTGCCGAAGGGCGCTCGTAGGCAGTTTAGTAGCAGATGCAACTATAACATAAACACAAGGGTCGACAGGAGTCGTGAAGCGGTCTAGATTAACATAATATAGAGAATGGAACGAGCGGTGGGTTACGAATACATGCCGGAGAAGGCACTGCGGTCCTCCTCCCGCTCACGACGCTCGCCTGATCGGCCGCCGCCACCGCCGAAGCCCATGCCGCCGAGCACATCCCCGAGACCGGGGAAGCCGCCCGGCAGCCCTCCAGCACCAGGAGCACCCTGAGCACTGCCGGGTCCGCCAGATCCTCGCTGCCCGAACACAGCGTGGAAGAGCGACAGCATCTGCTCTGTATGCCTTTGCTGGTCGATCATGGGGTGGCTCACGGGCGCTTGCGGATCCACCGTGGCACGACAAAGGGGGCACGAGTTATTCTGGGGTCAGCTATACCAATCCCCGTAACTGGACCATATCGTAGAGAAAGACTCACGAGACGCAGCCAGCTCTTGCAGCACCTGGCGCACACGACGTGACCGCCGTCACACGGCAGTTTCCGCAACCCCAGGGCCTCGAGGTCACCGAAGAATGCCTCGTCTGCCAGGGCGTACTCCTCCTCTGTCTCGATGGCACCCAGGGATTGCAAGCACACGGGGCAATCGGTGGTGTCCTGCTTCTTGATCTCAGCAGTGGTTGGGCGAGGAAGGTTCTTGATGAACTCGGGTCGGGCTCCGAATCTGCTATCAGCTTACTCTGAGCTGAACAAAACCCAGCTGAGGAGAGAATATGGTGTGGGAGCGGACTGGGGGAAGTGACTCACGGCGCCTCGCCAAAAATATCCTCGTACAGATCCTCGTCGACCATGATTCCGCCGTGAGCTTCTTGGATCGCGGAGATCTGCGCCATGAAGTCGTCAAAGGACTCGGGGGCGGGGCGGGCGGCGTACGGCGACTCTTCGTCTCCTGGCATCGTTGTTTTGTGTTGTTGAGTGACTGTGAGGAAGGAAGAGGTGGGATGACGCGTCGCCGATCGTGATCGAAGACTAGCGGACTACCTCCACCGGACTGAGTGGTGGCCGTCGGCAAAGACCGTTATCGTGTGGCAAGGCGTGGTGCGATGCCCGGCGGACTGCATGGCTGCGTCCATGCTCCAGACCTTCTGTTCTGATGCATGCTGAAAGGAGAACAACAATTTGGCTGCTGTTGTTATGAAGAGGTGCGAGTGTGGGGCATGCATCGCCTTCCTTTGGAAACAATGATCTCTGGCTTGCACCTTCGCCCTGTCCATTAACGGAAGTCAGAGTCGCTCTTCCAGGCATTGCTCAGCCTGGCGTATTGCCACACCACACGCTAACGTCGAACCACGACAATAATGCATACTGAAGGAAAGCAAAGCAAGGGTATAGGAGTGAAGGGTGATTACGAGCAGCTACGGAAAGACAACTAACATCGACAACAGCAACAACGGGAACCACAACATTTTGAGCTGGACAGGGCGTCTCTTAGGCCAGCTAAAACCGATGCCCGTCCAACAGAACAGATCGGGATACAGCGAAGTAAAACGCACTTGCCTAACGCTGCTCGTTGATCTTGCTGCGCATGTTGACGCCGTACGCAAGAATGTGACGCATGCGGTCCTTGGCGCTGCCGGCGGGGACGGGAACGGGATGATGGAGGACGGCGATGGGGGCAGAGCGGTTGAGCTCGGCGAGGGCGCCCTTGACCTCCTCAGCGTATTGCTTCCAAACCGCAACCATGGGGTCAGTTTCGGACGAGGTGCGGTCAGTCCCGGAAGAGCGGGAGAGGTCACTGCCGCAGTCAGCAACGGCACGGATAGTGAGATGGAGAATGCTTGACTTACCTGAGCTCCTGCTCGGTGTCCGCCTTGCGGGCGGTGCCGATGGAAAGGCTCGCCAGGCGGCGGCTGAAGTAGGCGGCGCCACCGCGGCTGAGAAGGTTGCGCTTGCGGTACGACGACGTGCGGACGAAGAGAGAGGGCGAAGGCGAGTCCCTGCCGTCGTCGCTGCCGACCTCAGTCGGGCTCATGGCAACGTACCCCTCGAGGAGGTGGACCTCGGGCTCAACCTTGGTCCACCCAGAGTAGAGCGCGAGGAGGTAGTCCTTGCAGATGAGTCCACGCATCTCCTTCGACCACGAGCTGGGGTCGAGGCGGTTGGCACCAAGGAGAATCCTGTCACCACCCGATGCGGCGTCGGCTTTGACGAGCGCCCAGCCTTCGGCAGTAGTCAGGCCGTCGGTGACGAGGACGTCCTCCTCGGTAGTCCAAGTGTCATTGACATCGCCTGCCTTGAGAGAAATGACCATCAAATCGACGTCCTTGGCGAGTCCGCCCAGGAGAGCGCCCCAAACGGCAGCAAGCTTCTTACCCTCGACGGCCTTGCCCAACTGGTAGCAGAAGAGCGCAATCAGATCCTCGCAATGCCCAGCGTTGTCGAGGAACTGGACGAGGTGCACATACTTCTGCACACCACCCCAGCTATCGGGGAGAGAGTTGCCCTTGAGCTCCATGCACTGGCGGTGGACAAGGAGCTCCACGAAGAGCCCGATGACCTCGCTGTGCTCGAGAACGGCGTCAGTCAGGCGGAGGACCCTGGACTCGGTGCCACGGCCCTCAACAGCCTTGTAGAGTTAGCTGATTGTCATCAGCTTCGCCACCATTTCAGAACTTACTGAACGCCCATTAGCTTGATGGGATGCACCTCGAACGGGTACCCGTCGCTAGAGAGGATGGTGATCTTCCGAGACTCCACGGGAGGGGGAGGGGTAGACTTCGATGACCTCAGGGGCTTTACGGGTTTGGCCTTCATCTTCTTTCGAGAGGGTTTGACGAGATTGGGATAGAAAGTGTGAAGAGAGGAGAGTTGGTAGAAAAGAGAAACGAAGAGGAGGTGTCGCAGTGCTTTTGACAGCACGACGACTCCTCGACACACACACAGAGCTGGGGGGCGAGGATGGGTACAACATGTTCATCACTGTTTGTCTACATCCATCAGTCTATAGTTGTATATGTGGCATGGGCAGGAGCAACTTGGTGCCACCGGTGCAAGTGGGCGAGCGCACAGACGTTTCGTGTATTCCAGCCTGCACTGCTTGCATTCAACGGCCGATGGTGGAAAGCCCAAGCTCCCGGGCCGGAGTGAGACGGGAGCGCGCCGCGTCTGTTGGGCATCAGCGGCTCGCTCCTCTCACAACTCACAGTGCACCTTGTCCGGAAGCACTTGATGCTAGCGAGCCGCCAGCGAAACTCGCCGCTCAGGTCTACCCAGCGGGTCATGATGTTGTGAGCGGGACATGGGCAGGGGAAGCGGTCCGTGGCTGCCACCGCCGTAGCTGTTACCATGTGGTGGCCCCACGCCTGTGCGAGTGCCCATCCGTAGTCGGGAGGGATAAGGTGCCAGAGCTCTAGGCTCATCGCTGTGGGATCCGTGCATCGCCGTCCGGCGACTTGGGACTTGACCTGCTCCGGCGTGTGCTTCCATACGGAGCGTGCGGCCTCCGTTTTCAGCGCCAACGCACACAAGTCGGCATCGTCTGCATGCGCGCCAAGCAGGAACGCCCAGATGTCAAACATCTGCCCGTGGCACACCCGGTGCATGGCGTGCAGAATCAAGGTCTCGTAGGCGGCGCTGCAGTCCCATTTGTCCAAGAAATCGAGGAGATGGAGCCAAGGAAGCATGTCCTGCAGGCCCTGTGGCGGCGTCTCCCACGCCTTGTTGTCGATCACAAACTTCAGGAACAGGTCAATGATCGCCGCCGTCTCGCACTCGCCGTCGTCAAGCTGGATGACAATGTTCTCGCCATGACCTAGGTCGTGCATATCCCGGAACACTGAGCTGCACTCGTTAGTTTCTCACACTTTGCCGGCTCACCTGGCGGCAAACATGTAGAAGGCTGGTATTCGGAAACGAATGTGGTCGGAAGAGATGAGGGCGAAGTCGCCGTGCGTCCAGCGCTCGCTATCGCGGACCGCGGAGGGTTGGGCGACAGGTATCGGGACAGCGCTGGCGGAGCTGACGATATCCTCCATGGTGGAGTTGGAGTTCCGACGAGGTGACAGTGCACCACTTTTCACGGCTTTTAAGAAGGGATCTAGCTCGGCCGTACGGCGTCCAGTATAGCGGCGGGCCACTGTACCCGAGATCTGGTAACATCTGAACCTCGACTTTTTAAAAGGTACTATCTTATCTAGCGCAGGAACCGGGCCTTGATGTCATTCTGTGGCCATGCGGTCACTACCCGCTCTTTTGCCGAGCGGCACTGCTCCAAGAGAGCTCACGCGAGAGGAGGATGACAGCGCTTACCCCCTTACGCGGCCACACAGACTAGCGTCAGATCACTCTCACTAGCCCCTAGTGGGTTAACGGTCCGGCGGAGCTCCTCGCCGAACAAAGATATGCGGTGCTCAGCAACAGCCACTTACGCATAGAGCTCTGCTGCCCGTTTGGGTCGTACGAAGCCCCTTTGTTCATTCGCTCCCTGCAACCTCCTTGCAGATCTCCCCATGTGCACGCCCCACGACAAAGACCCCCACCGACAGTGGAGATCGGGGTCACGGAGACTCGAGCCTGAAGTCTTCTGGTCCGCCCGTTTCCTGATCCGTTCCTACCAACGCTTCGCGAGCTTGTGAGATTCCCGAAGCTCGGCGCTACTACGTCACACTCGCCCCACTCCGACGGACGATAGTACCATCTTCGGTGACGCGTGAAAGGTCTGCGGCGTTGCGAAGCTTAAGACAACGCTCCACGTCGGTATGCTAGAGTGGAGTGAGGTGACGACGCACTGTCTATTCCTCGTGCCAAGAGGTGGGCTGTTCGTGATGACAAGACTTTCCATCGTATAGCATGACTCAGTATCCGGGTGACAGATGCTTTACATGTCGGTCAACCAACGATTACATGAATGCCCCATCAACTGATGATGCGAGCGTGCTTTCCTCGTCGGAGCATGTCTGGGCTGCCCGCCGCCTAGTTGTTTGAGGTCTGGACCACATTGTAGGCCAGGTACTCCAGGTGGCCAAGGCCTGCGTGGGTAAAGGTGTGCAGAATTAGCATGTACGGCCAAGAGCCTAAGCCACCGCCGCCAGTGGTACAGCGCTACAGATGCCTGGACTGATGACTCGGCCTTGTACCCGGAGGCGCGAGATGTCACGAATTTCCCGAGATCCGAATTCCACATCTGGGAGAAACTGGCTTGTTTAGACTGTACACCAATGCATTGCACTTCTTTCTTCTGATGGGGGTCTGAGAGCGGTGCGGCACACGAGCGCCAGCGAATTTACCGAATATTATACCGTACGTTCTACAACTCCTGAGACTGGGTTTCTTCTTGCTTAGCGGAGGAGTGGGGGGATGGGGGAGGGGCACGTTCGTGCGATTAGTAGGGGTACTTGGTGGGCGCTCCCGTCTCTGCGAGGGTCCTGTTCTGGCGCTTGAGGATGATGCGCATGACCCAGCCACAGAGAAGAGTGCCGAGGGAGAAAGCGGCCATGGCGACCATCGCTGGGCTGTTAGTCCCGCTCCCACTTTGTTGTGGCTAGACTTACCGAGGGTGTAACGAGGCTTATCCTGCTCGCGGAAGAGATAAGGTGTGTAGATGAAGGAAGCATTGCCGGCCGTCGTGAGCATGGCGATGACGACGGCCTTCTTCTCGGGTGTCTGGGAACAAACTGTGCTCGCCCAACCGAGGATGAGGGAGTTGACGCCGTAAGTGCCGAGCGTGAACACCATCATTGCAAAGTAGCGCACGCCCGTGTTGAGCGTGGCCGGCGCGAGCGCGAAACCGATAATGGCAACAGTCTTGCTGATAGTGATGTGCCATGTACGCTCGTTGTACTTGCCGGAAGTAATAGAGATGAGAATAGTAACGAAGCCTGCGACGAGGTAAGGGGGGCAGGTAAGGACGAGAGTAATCGTGGTGTCGAAGCCGAGGGTCTTGACGACGCTCGTTGTCAGCTGTCGCTCAGAAGGGAAACCTACGAGGGGAAGAAGTTCTTGAAGCCGTTGGCAGAAAGGTGCATGTTGAACATGAGAGCGAAGATCCAGACACGAGGGTCGACGACCGCCTGCTTGAGACCCTGCCAGGTGGAGCCAGCCTCGACACGGTCGACGTTGTCGCGCTGCAGGCGGTCATGGGCGAGCTGACGCTCCTCGGGGGTGAGCCAGCGGGTGGTCAGGGGCGAGTCGGGGAGGAAGGGGTAGGCGCAAAATGGCGACGAGGCCGGTGACGGAGCCTTGCTGTTCTGTCAGTAACGTAGAAGAGCGGCACTCACAATGATGAAGAGCCACTGCCAGCCAGCGTAGCCAAGCATGCCGTCCATGTGGAACACACCGGCGGCGATGAGGCCGGCAAAGGCGGTGGCGAGAACGTTGCCAGTATAGAGAATAGCAATACGGGTGGCGACCTCGGTACGCGTGTAGAAATTCGAGATAAGGAAAAGAGCACCGGGGTAGTAGGGGGCTTCAGTGCAGCCGAGGAGGAAGCGGACTGCGCAGAGCTGGCCGAAGTTCTTGGTGAAAGACGTGCAAATCGAGAGAACCGACCAGGTGAGCATAACGAGACAGAGGTAGAGCGAAGGCTTGACACGAGTGATGAGCATGTTGGAGGGGACACCGAAGATGACATAACCGGCGAAGAGAATAGAGACGGCAGTCTGGTACTGCACGTCGGTCATCTTGAGGTCCTCGACAAGAGTGGAGACTGGATGTCAGTGGTTCTTTCGGCATCGGTAAGGAATGTGAGATGGGCAAGCCGTGGCGTCGCCACCGCGATGATTCGACGTCGATGAAACATCTCTCTAGCTTGCATCCGAGGAAACCCAAGCAAGCTCATCGGCAGCGGCGGTGGCACAATTGGTACTCAGAAGAGTGAGTTTGGGAAGCGAATACTCACGCTTAGCCAGAGCGATGGCGTTTCGGTCGAGATAGTTGAGCCAGTACATGGACCAGAGGGAGGGCTCCCAGTCAGCGCCGCCAGCGACGAGTTCTCACCATGATGAACAGGTCCAGCTTGCGGACTAGCTTGATTTCGACGGGGTCCGTCTTCTGGGCGAAGCCGGAGTAGTCGACGCGGGGGTCGTCGCCTCCGGCCTCGGCGACCTTGACGTCGATGTCATCGTCGTACTTGGACGTGGAGTCCTTGCGTTGGTCGTAAGAGAGGACGTTGGTCGCCATGTTGTCGTGTGGTGGTTTCAGTGCGTTTCTTGTCGCTGGCACTGAGAGTGCTGCGGAGAATCTTCGGTGTCTCTACGGTCCGCCTTTATAGATGTCATGAGGGTCGCGAGATGCCTCGCAAGTTTTCGCGACGCTAACGGCCGGGAGATGATCTGCCTGTTTACGAACGATGGACGCCGCCGCTCGCACCCCGTCCTGCAATGTCCGCTTCGGGACGCCATCGCTCGTTCGCTCGTGAAGTGAGTGATTTTCTTCTCGAAGCAGGCCAAACGGTTGGAGCCCCCACTCCCCAAGGCTCCCCAACGGTGCCCAGAGGTGTTCTTCCGTGCCCCTCCGCGCTGTCCCTCTTGCTATCCTTGGCGAGGACACCTCGAGTTGTCGGCAATCACGGCGCCCCATGTCGCGCGAGCAGAGGCCTTGTTCCAGAAGACGTTAGCTGCGGGATGATCATCTGACATTGGCGGATGCCCATGCCAAGAAGATGTTGGGTCCGCGAGGCGTGCAATCCCTGGTCCGGCTGCATCGGCAGCGCAGTTGGCGCAGACAGGCGCAGTGGGAGGAGGAATGTGGCAATAAGTCGCCGACCAGCAATCTCGTCCAGACCACGAGCGCTGCAAGTGTTCTGTCGTGTATTGTGCTCAAGCGTGCGATACGTGCGACACGGTACCTGGCGAGTGTGTTCTTGGCGGGGCCTTTATTTCGAACATGAGTGATGCCAAGCCAAGGTCCCAGCTCAGATTAGTGCCCCGCCAGGACGGAGGGCCACCGTGCATTTCACGTATTCCTCGAAATACCAACGACGAACTCGGCTCAGCACGGCCAGGTACGGCTTTGTGCCCCTTGTGACCCTCGCTAACCCTCGTCAGGCTCAGGATAACGCACCCGGCACATGCGGTACCGTGTGCAACACATTGGTTATGCCGCTCCTCGCAAGCTCCTGGATATCCCCGTGGACCCCCATGAACAGTTTAGACGCGTTCCTGGGCCTGGTGAGGCGTTGTCCTGGCGCTGCGAGGCGTCGGCCAAGCGGAGAACGAGGCGGCTTAATGCCCCCGTGAGTGATATCGTGGGCAGTATCGTGATCGCAACGCTGGCCCCTGCAGTGCCCGTGACGCGCTTTGCTTGATCACGATATCGGCCCGTTCCTTGTACTTGAGAACGGGGGGCCACTCGGGTGCCCCTCCTTGCCCCTCCCCCGGTACCCTCCGGGCTCCTCTTGTTCCCAAAGTGGGCTGCATGATGACTGCGACGAAGGTGAGCATGACGTGCACGCGATGCCAAGAGTGATAGTCCACCAGTTGATTATACGACGACCCGAACAACTCTAGGCTACCCCGAATCAAGACCTGCTAGCGCCGAGACACTCTTGGAACACCCGTGGCGTACGATGGCCAGTCAGAGGCTCCAGACTGGCCTGAGACGTCTACCCCGGGCAGAGGCTGCGCAAGGCTGGGGCCAGGAACCTCCTCATCTGGAGGCCCGAAAGTCTATACGCCTCGTAGGCTGGGCACTCTGGGCCTGGATGTTGCTCGGATCTGAGCATGGGGACGGCAGGCGACACAAATTGGCGGCCAGGGACTTCTGCAACGTCCGCAACGTCTGGGACATGGGACTAGGGGGAATAGTTCACGTGAACCCTTGTTGATCGTCTTTGCAGATACCCGGGGCGATTTGAGATTCACATTCCTGCCGACTCCGAGGTATTGGCGACGGCGAGATGCAGCTGGGAGCCAGACCGGGGGTACACCGTGACGGTAGGCGAGGCAGGCGCGGCAAACTGCGATAACGACTGCCGACTCGTGGGGGAAGGCAGATTGCCCGGTTCGTCGTGGCTGCAACTCTTCGTCATGTCGACAATACACTATTCGTCATATTGTTGTCCCCCACTGTGCTTAGTCGGAGCCCAGTGGGGCCGCATTCCACGCTCAAACACTCGACCACGGAGGTGTACGGGTGCGTACGGAGTTGGGTTTTACTTCACTCCGCGGATGGGGAAACAGAGGGCGACGCAAGAACTCTGTTCCGCCGCGGCTGTAACAACTCAGAGACGGGAATCTGCTGTGAGTGTCGTATGAGTTTCTCGGTGAGAACGCCGTTCCTCAACTTGTCTCGCCCAGCCTGATGTCTGGCTATGAAGTCATACGTCTCGAACTGCGCAACTTGAAGCAAATGACGACTCGAGGAGTGCAACAGGAGGGTAAGTAGCTAAGTCATCAGGAACGTAAACTGGGATCTCCCATCGGATACTGCATCTGTAACTTGCTGCACCGGACTAGGGGCCAACCCCTCCCTGATCTTATAAGTCCTGCAGCGGGTCTTCCGGTCACCCGGATCTAAACTTCTCCGAGCGATCTGATGCACGGTCCTCGTTACCCCGAGCGAGGCGGCGGTTCGGGAAAACCTCGCCCACGGCCCGGCGGCACGGTGAGCCGAGCTGCTTTGCGCTCCTGTCTGCCTATCAGTGCACTCCTTCTTTCAGGTCGGAGACTCGAGCGTTGAGGGGGGTTGCAGTTGTGCGACGACGGTTCGATCGATCACGGGCAGAAGTCACGGGTCCAAGCAACCGCACAATCATACGACGACCCGATGATCGCCGAAAAGGTATACGACCCGCACTACAGAGCGGGAAGGAGCTATCCCAGATCGCAGATCGACGACGGCTCAGAGATAAAGAGCCGGTGGATTTGTATTTCGATTGGAACTCTGGAAGACGCTCGGATGCCTGTGCCTTTCATGTGTCAGTTCGGGCTTCACCGTCCCGAGCCCGACCCCCGACAGCCGTAGTGGTCCTGTTTAGGTCCAGACAGGAGTTCGCTTCTGCATGCTCGAGCATGCAATGCTTGTGCGATGCTGCGGAACAGTGATTGCGGTCAAACCGGGCAAACTGTGCTGCCTCAGAGAAGTGGGGGTGGCCAACCTGTGGTGAGAAAGGGAAGAGTGAGTGCAGGAGCCTCCATCGCTTCGTGATACCCCAATCCTCCACCCCACTGTCTCCTACACCGCATCGTCAACAGTAAGGTATGAAAAGCAGGGATGTTGGGGTGAGCAATGGTGAGTCACGAGATCACGAAGACTGCGAAAACGAACGACGGTGGAGGGAAGGGACGAAATTCGAATAGGCACCGCTGACGCCCGGTCGCTCGGAGCTCGGCCCTCCAGAGACTGCGACTGTGGCGGCGCTCTACGGCGACAACAGTGGTGCGAGCGAGAAAGGTGACCCCGTGATTGCGCTCAAGCAACGAGGTCCTGCAGTGCACTGTCTTGCCTTTCCCGGGCCATGGGGAGGGACTGATTGGTTATAGCTCTGGCCGAGTCGGGCAGAAGGAGAAGCAGTATTCCATCAGGTCGGAGAGTGTGGGGATGCACGAGCTCGGTTACTGTGTGTTTCCACCAGTCGGGCCCCGGTATCTCAGCAACCAACTGACAGTCGCACTTGCTGGCTGCCCATGGAGGAGCTGGGGTGGGGTAGAAAGGGCGACGTCGTACACCCTGCTGCTGTGCACCGCCGCCCCTCGAGGAAAACGAGGGAAAAAGGAAAGGGGCGCGGTGTTCTGGAGCGCACCGGAGAAACGACACTCCGGTCAATCTTCCGCGCCATGGTCCGAGACGGAGAGGAGTTCGGAAGCCTTCAAGCCGTGATACCTGACTCTCGACTCGTCAGACGGATCAGTTCTTGAGGGGTTCAGAACACCCACGGCCAAGAATAGTCGCACAGCACAACAACCTCTGTTCAGCTTTGTCTGTCGCTCATAGTTTCTGCCGTCTCATCCAACGGCGTTGACCCTGTCTCGGACCATGGTAAGCCCAGGCCCACGACGCCCATCGCCGGGACCGAGAGGACGCCGTCGTCGATCCCGCGGTGCGCGGTGAGACTCTGATACGCAACTTCGGTACCGACGCAAAGGTCACTGAGGCTGTCCGTCAACCACCAGCGCCAGCGGCGGACGCCACCGCCCTGCCGAAAGTCACCGCAAGCATGTCAGTATCACCATACGCGTCGGTCAGCGGCAAGATCGTCACGCCGCGCGCCGTTTTCACCGTCACTCTTGTTTACTCTGATAAGGGAACGGGCAAGATGTGGCTGAGCCGCAGGCTGAGACACACGTCGATGCTGCAGGCGCGTACTGCGCAGGCGCATACGGCGCTGCGGTCCGACATCAGGCATGGGCCCAGATCTCGTCCACTGGCGCCGATCACTGCTGTGCTGTCGACGAAGGGGCGTGAGGAGTGCCCCGAAGGAGGCCCAGAGGGCTCCGCGCGCTTCACGGGCGATCGAGATCGCCCTTGTTGCCCTTGGAAACCTTGTCGTGTGCGCTAGGGCAAAGCGGACCGAAGCTTGGTAGCGCCAGGTTAGAGAGCTTTTAGATTGTCCGTCGAGATCTGGGTTCCTGTGTTTAGTCCGGATCCGCAGCTGGCACCTCCGTCGTCGGAGGATCGGACCGCTTGCTTGCTATGCTTGTTGGTGTGGTCTTGGCAGTGCTACATTCTAGCAGCAAGTGGTTAGAGCGTGTCGAGCGGTGCTGGCTTATCCAGCGAGATGGTCACGAGAGGTGGTTCTTCAGCCCCTTTCCTCCTAAACTCGTTCGATGGATTGGGTGGTTTGAGCATCAGTCAGTACGTCACTGTTAGCTGGGTGCGATCACTCAGTTCGTCACCGTCGCCCTCCGTTGCGTGGCCTGGTCGTTGTTGCGGAGTATCAAGAGCGATGATCAGGATCTGCACTCCGGCACCGAAGAGTGATTCCAGGAATACCTGGAACGCCGCTCGGCGTATCGAGGCACTGGCGGTGATCGCTGCACAGCCTCCCGAGAGCGGAGGGTGCCGAAGGGCAACTTGTTGACCATCGAGATCGAGGGATGGATCTACTGGAATGCGTTTATGCTACCCCGTACCGCTCCCTCGTCACTTCTCTCACCGAGCTGTGCACAATACGCACGACGGAATAACGGAACCTGACGTCAAGCTTTGGGAAAGCGGTGCAGGAGGGTGATTCCCCATTGGCCTCGCGCGCTGCCCCTGGCCTGACGATCAGAGATCTAGGAGAGCAGTGAAGCTTACTTCGTTCCGCCTCCACATCCCCTGTCCTCCCCATTTCCGCTCGGTGTACAGTCAGCTCTTGGCCAGCATTCCGTGCAAGAACAAAAGAGAACAAAAGCAACGCCATTGCGGCCAGACTTGCGGTAAGCTGCACGGACCTGCTCAGTCAGCAGAGATAAGGCATCTGGTGGGGCCGGTGACGCCTGCCTCGGAACAAGTGGCGTGCGCGCTAATTCGACGAGAGGGCCAAAGGGCCGTGCACCGTTTGCTCCAACGAATTCAAATCGCGCGTCATCTGACCGACCCCTCGTCTCCCCCTCGTCTCCCTCGCCGAGCTGGCAGAAAAAAAGAACAATAATAAGCTTCAACTCAAGGCTGACAAGCCTTGGCGCAGCGTTTCCAGAGTTCTGGCCCCCACCTTCTCTCACGCAGGTCAGGCATGTCAGGTGGCCCAACACCCGCCCCCATTCAGTCATTTGGGAATCGGCGTTGGTGGGCATGTGGCGAGTGCTGCCGAGTTTCGCACGGATAGGAAGAAAACATGAGGTCATGCGAGCCGCATGTCTTATCTGCACGTCATGACTCACCTCTGCACTGTAACCCTTGCACATCGGCGCCTCGTCCGATGCGCCGCGACGTGCCGCGATGGGCGCGATGGGCGGGAGGTGCGGCAGATGCCCGCGATGCGCACTGCGGCGCCGAGGCACCGAGAGAGAGGCGGCGCCATGGCTCGGAACAAGCGAGCCATGGCTGGGCATGGCTGTGAACGAGGCAAGTCATGGCGCAAGCCTGTGTATTGTGGTTGGTCCGTCCGGGTATACTCCTATCGAACCGCTCCTGCAGCGGCGCAAACGGAGCAGCGCAATTGGTGCGACTGGTGCAGAGTTCATGAACTTTTTTCTCATCCCCCTCCCCACCAGAAACGCCCACCCAATGCCACTCATGTACCTTGCACATTGCTGCAGTGAGCCCACAAATGCGCGAACCAACCACAACAAAGAAGAAGAAAGGAGAAAGAAAAGGTACACAACCCCGCGACCCCGCGGCCAGGTCCACGGATTGAGATCTGACCCTCTCGTCCAATCGATGCAGGCTCCAGTCCAGGCTCGAAGCCACGCTGTCATGCCCTGCCAGTGGCCCAGAGGGGGGACGACCAGATCTGGTTCTGCCGCATCCCGCCGGCAACTGCAGATTGCTCCTTGGCCAATCATCTGTTGCCTTTGTGCCCCACACGCTCTATTGAGGTGGGTTGGGTGCACTGGGTGCTGTGCAAGGTATGAAGAGGGGGGGCGAAACCTTACACGGACTTGGCACAAGTCCACCGTTGCGAGCAAGAAACGTGAGACGGGGGGATCTGGGTTATGCGCCGTGCACTCTTGTCGATCCGGTGGTGCCTCGCCGCACCGCGCGCTGGCGCGCCGCGGACCGCCAACTCGGCCTGCTCATTCCATACCACATACAACATACAAGCATTCATGTGATGCTGTGTACATGAGCATTGTTCATGTGATGCTGTGTTCTTTGGAGCTATGCGCTATTCTCAGCATCCGTCGAAAGCCACTGACACAAACCCACGTCTCCCAGGTTTGGTCTAGACCACGCCCATCCTGGCCATCTTTGTCAGCCCCGGGCCCAAGGGGGAACGCACGGACCATGGTTCTTCACAGCCTGACAGTTTTACAGTTGCCCGCTGTTCTGCCCTCGCCGCCCATGCCGCCCAGCCGCGCCCGCGTACCTGCCTGTGCGCGCCGCTTCGTGTGTGTTCTTTTCAAGCTGGTTTACTCGCCACTCATTCTGCTGCGGATTACAGCAGAGATTAGCACAATTCCACGAATCTGTGCACTACCACTGAGCGTCATTCACGGCGACGTTGGCGATGGCACGACGGCGACTTATGGCCTGATGAAGACTAGTCACGCCTACACGCCTAGGCAACATCGGTCCGAGGTGTATGGGCATGTGATAGTACTACCCCGTCGTTGCGCTCGCTCTGCAGGCGCGCTTTTGTTTGCCAAGATCCCGCTCGATCTTTAGATCCAGGCTGGCATCTGGGCGTCAACAGTGTCTGCTTCGTGGGCTCGAAGTTGACTCGACGTGCTCGCTGCGCTCGCCAGCCCGCCTTGACAACATGTCTTGTGCATGGTTCGAGAATGCTCTGTAGGCGCCTCTTGTAAGGATATAGTGGAATATATAAATGATACAACATCTCGGAATGAGGAGGAGGAGAGAGTTAAAAAGTCGAGTTCGGGAAGGCCGGAGCGCTCCCCGGCGTCATCAAAAGTCCATTGTCAACCCGTTTCCAGATAGTATTATAAGGAGGTGGATAACGATCTTGTGAGCCTCTCACTTCGGCCCGATGCCGCCTGGCGGTGGTGGTGGCCCCCCGAGGACCCCAGACGCAGCAGCGGCGCCGGCAGCCTGCGCGGCGGCCTTCTCCTCGGCCTTCTTCTTCTTGCGCATCATCTTCATGTGGACGAGGCCCTGTAAGGTCAGTTGAGGATCCAATTGACCAACTCACGCAAGCGTTGCACAACGTTCGCGGGCCCAAAGGACCACGGCGCCATTCGGGAGTTTCCGTCGCACCGCACCCACGACAAAACGTCGCTGGCTTGTCCTTTTCGTTGTTGGTCGTGCGCGCGCGCTTGATCGGGACAGGCTCCTGGGGCGGTGGTCGCGCGCGCGGCGGCGGGAGTCCAGAAAGGATACTGATGGCGTTGCTCGCACAGTCCAACACAGAGCGGTACGACTGCCCTGGCGCCGTGGGGACCATGTCTGCGGATCGGATGTAGGGGATGGCATTGCGAATATGTTTGTAGACGGCCAGTGCCTGTGGGATCGTCAGCGGATCTGCTCGCTCGCTCAACCCCTTCCTCCTGGCGTGCGCCGCGATGCGCATCACACGTTTGGAACCAAGACCCCCTAAACTCACGTCCGCGTACTCGGCGGGTCCGACTGCCGGTTTGTCATGCTGTGCGGCGGCGTTGTCCTGCTTGGCGAGGTCCGAGGTTGTCGTCGACGGCACTGGGAGGAATTCAGGAAACGCCGTTCCCAGTCCACCGCCAAAAGTGGGCGGCGCGGCCGCGAACGCATCGGCGCTCGGCGTCGCCGTCATCAGAGGCAGCAGGTACTGCGTCTGCGGGATGTGGGACTGCATCCTTGCTATGGGCGAGCCCAGCTGCGTCTCCCTTGGCGATTTTGGTGCACCTTGGACCTTGTTGATGAGTGGGTCTTCGTTCCAGATTCTAGGTTTTGGTGCCCAGGGAGCAGGCACTGAACCACTCGCAATCGAGGACGAAGACTGTTGACCGCCTTGATTCGTGTACGAGTTGAGTTCAATGCCCGGCGAGATGAGGTATGACGGTCGGGGTTCTATGGTTGCAATCTTGTGCGTCGCAGCTAGCGGCGACGGCTGGGGTGTTGCGAGAGCGTTTGGGCGCGACGGCGAGGGAGCTATTCCCGTAAAGTATTCGGGCTTGAGGTTGCCGGCGGCGGCAGCGGAGGAGCCGTTTTCGGTGATGTAGGAGGGCGACGGGAGTGTCCAGGACGGGGACGGTGTGGGGTAAGGGTGTGACGGAGCAGTAGTGGAACCACCGGAAACGACGAGGAGAGAAGGAGGATTCTTGGATTGCGGTTGGGTTAGCGTCATTTGGCGACGCCGACGGCTGTGAGCCGAGAGGAGGGAGAAGTTGGCAGGCAAGCGTGTCACCGCTGCACAGGGGTCAACGCTGCTGAGGCATTCACGGGGGGAAGGGGGGTGAAGGCGGGCAAGGGACGGAGGTGGGCGATGCGAAGAAGGAAGGAGTAGAAGAGTTAAGCGGTGTCGGTGGATTCGAGGTTAGGCGTGGATTGCGGAGTATGAATGTGTGTGTTCTACAAGGGATGGGAGATGGGAGATGCAAGATGAAGTCGCAGCGCAGCCCGCCCAGCCCAGCATGAGCCTGAGCCTTTGCCTGTCTCTGGGCCATCTGGGCCTGCCTCAGGTATGCAGCCTGGCTTTGCCCTCAGGTTCAGGCGCATCGCGCCATAGCATCCGCCAGGTTAATCTAAAACCGGTCGGGCAATTACACCGGTGCCCTTATGACCACTTGTAATCAAGCCACTTAGGGTCTGTCCTCTTTAGCAAATTTGTATTCTAATTGACCGGGCTAGTCTTCCTCGTCCACCACCCAGGGCGCTGTCCCACCTGAACCCAGGACAGACCTCCTGCATGCAAGCGAGCCCTTCTTACCCGCAGCAGGACCGCGTTCCAGCGGATCCAGCGTACCCAATGGGCCCCCCTGTAGCACCCAGTGGCAAAAACCTCACTCCTCACCCTTCCCCTCACCCATTCCGCAACCTGCACTTTTGCCACGCTCTGTTACGTAACAGCCTCCACACCTCATCGGCCTAGGGCCTCGGGTCACGCGCGTCATCGTGGTCTCGACCACCACCGGCACACCGCTTGCGCTTGCGCTGCCTCGCCGTATCTAGCTCGCCATGTTCCCCGGTGACTCTACCGACTCTACTCCCCACCAGTACCACCAGTACACCATGGAGGAGGACGGCTTCCACTCCATCTCCTGGGACGATGCCCCGCCGGCTCGCGCCGCTGCCGGTTTCGCCGACATGTCAGCCGTGGGCGCCGCAGACGACGACGACGATGACGGTTTCGACAAGATCTCCGCCACCTCGCCGCTGCACGAGGAAGCCCCAGAGCAGCCCTCCACCTCACGGCCGCCCCAGCCCCAGACGCACACTGCTGCCCGGGGAGCAGCACCGGAACTCGACATTGATGACTTGTGGGGCGGCAGGTGGATGTCTGTCACAGTCTCGGATCCCGTCAAGGAGCATGAGGGCAGCAAGGACATGTACGTGTCGTACGCTGTCAAGACTCAGGTGAGTTTGCACACAGCTTGCATGCTGTGGAAGTGTGCTGCGGAACGCCCTGCTCACTGCCAGACGAACCTGCCGACGTTTGAGAAGCCGTCAGCCAGCGTACGCCGTCGCTTCCAAGACTTTGTCTTCCTCCGTGACCACCTCGCCAAGAGCTTTCCGGCTTGCGTGATCCCGCCCATCCCCGACAAGCACAGGTTAGGTGAGCTGCTGCCTCGGTGCTCTGTAGCTGACATGGCAGAGTACATCAAGGGTGATCGCTTCTCGTCCGAGTTTGTGGAGAAGCGCAGACTGGACCTGCAGCGCTTCGTCGACCGATTGGCCAAGCACCCGATCCTGCGCCGGAGCAAGCTCGTATGCGACTTCTTGTCGAGCGAGAACTGGTCGGTCGCCAAGCACAAGCACCTCGCAAACCCGCCGCCCGATTCCCACACGTCTCTGATGGATTCTCTGAGCGACACACTCGTGAATGTGTTCACACGCGTGCGCAAGCCCGACCCGCGCTTCGTCGAGATGACGGACAATCTCGAACGATTCGAGGATGGAATGAGCCAGATCGAGCGCCTGGTCACGCGGAACAAGAACCGCGGAGATGGTATGTGTTTGGCTCATCGCTCACCATTCACTGCGCCGGCACTTAAGCTGACGATCCAGATCTTGCTGCGGACTACCAGGACATGGCTGCGGCGTACCAGGGCCTCGGCTACCTCGAGAGCGGAATCACGGAGCCGCTGAACCGGTTCGCGGAGAAGATGCTCGACTTCTCCACCCTGCTCAAGCACCAGAACCAGGCGGCGTTAGAGCCCTTCCTCCAGCAGACGCACTCGCTGCTGGCGTACTCGGCCGCTCATCGTGCCACGATCAAGCTCCGCGACCAGAAGCAGCTCGACTTTGAGGAGCTCGGCGCCTACCTTTCGGCCGTCGTCAGTGAGCGCGATCGTCTCGCTGCCCTCAACTCGGGTCATGCGGGCGGTCCCGTGGGACTCGGCACATACTTGCGTGACCAGGTCGATAAGCTGCGCGGCACCGATGACATCCACACACGCCGCGAGCGCATGCGCAAGCTCGACGGCAAGATCCATGAGGTAAGTGCAGTGTTGACCGCGGAGTGAGAGCGTGCCAGCGTCTCGACGGGCGTGGCACACGAGAGCGGGAAGACTGCTCGAAGTGTGCACCAAGGTGTCTCACACTACTGGAAGTGTGAAGCGATGTGTTTAACACCGCTAGAAGTGTGAAGCACGACGCGGGGCGTGGCACTTGGGGTGTCGCCGAGCTTTTTCGCTAGTGGAGGTAGCTAACAACCAGCTGCAAGAGGCCGTGACGGCAGCAAACGACACGTCGAACAGTTTCTCAGACGAGGTGCTGAAGGAGCACGAAATCTTCGAGCTCTCAAAGCAGCAGGAAATGAAGGAGCTCCTGAAGCGGTATGCGGATGGGCAGGTCGAGATGCTCCAGCGCGCAATGGATGACTGGGACAGGGTAAGCTAATGCAATCGCGCAAGCTGACATGGCAGATCATCCCGCTCCTGCAGCGTATCCGGGTCGAGGTCTAGGTTGTACAGATGAAATGTATATTAGGCATAGTCAAGTGAGGGGGTCACTTGGCGGCTGCTGTGATGCGGGGGACTCACAGCAGGCACTCCGGACGGTTGGCTGAAGAGCGTTGGAGGGATGAACTGACAGCAGCTGTCGATGCGATCGATAAACCTTGACCTAGCACGACGATGTCCGACCTCAGCAGTCGATGAGCAGCAACGAACTGTCTTGATCAAGGTTGTACAGTGATTCTGGCCCAATGCCAGGAAGCGATCATCTCACCATTGTCGCCTTCCATTGATTAACTGCCTGCTGTTACAGTCCAGTGCATCATGCGCAGCGGGCAGCGGCGGGCCATCCCCGCCCTCCTCACTCGCAGCGACAGCTTCACCCTGTTTCCGCACTGATGGCTCGCTGCTGCGCTCGTGAGTGGAGCTGTGCGGTAATAGCGCCGTCCAGACTCTAGGCTAACCATGCAGGCGGGCTCCGTTTGAACTGCGACACGTTCACCGTGGCCGCATGTGGATGATCCGGCGTTTGGGACTAGTTGTTGGAGAGCGCAGTTGGGGGAGAGAGCAAGGGCGAGTTCTCCTCGAGCCTGCCTTTACCAACTCACAACTGAGCAGCGTCTGCTCACAGCGACTAGCTGTGTATACAGTACCCAGCACAGAAGATAGAGTGATGACCCTGACCATGCGCTCCGCTCTGACGGAACCAAGATTGTCGAGCTACGAGCTTCACGTACCGTTCGAGCGGCATGATGGAAATCTCAGCTCTCATCAAAATCGAGCATGTCCCGGCAGCATGCTCCGAAGCAAGCTCCGCAGCCCTCACCTATGTCTAACGACAGAAGAGAGGCGATGTCGAGCGCACAGACACTCCGGAAGGCTAACACGCCACCGCCCACGGCTCGACCCTCGGATCGGACGGCCCCGCAATCTCTCCCTCCCTTCCTTCACAAAGACAACCCTTCCTTCTCAGGAAGGCAGACGACGATCATCCATCGGCTTATGTCATGCCCCAGCCCTTTATGGTTCCCGGAATGACATCTCCCGCGGCCGCGCAGCCCTTTGTCTGCAGAAACGGAAGGCGTGACGCTGAGATCTGCGCGTTTCGTCTTGACATTCCCTCATTACTACTTACCTGGGTTGGGCGCCTCGAGTGGCTTTCATTCCGCAATTCTGCGGCGCCTCGGCATGACCCCTCAAAACGAAGCAGGGAGTGTCGACTGACCCCTTGCGTCCAGCGAAGCTCCTCTCTCTGCTGCGCCCTTGTCCAGACCGGCCAGACCCTAACGAGGATGATACGTTCCCCGGACTCGAGTATTGCGGGATTGAGAGTCGGGACCGGGCAAGGCAGGCAGCTGCAGGCAGTCGTCTTGCCTGACATACCCGTTCGAGGGGCGATGAGCCCCAACGATCAAACAAAGATGCGCAAAGGCGAGAACAATGACGTCTTCGACTCGCACTGATCCTCTGAAGGCCTGTGCGCGCAGATCCCCTCTGCACCTCCACACCTAAGCTTGGACCGCTTGGACGCCTCCGTGTCAGCGAAGATCGCCGAGTTCTGGGCTTGGCTATTGCGGATCATTCGTCGCCAGGGTTGAGGGCGGCGGCGAGCGGCGAGAGTCGGGTGGCAAATCCACTTTCCACATCTTAGCCAGCTGTCAAGACAGGTGCGGTGGTCGCAAACCAGTCCGTAGGGCAATGCTCAAGTGCAGTCGCTGGCGCGTTGGCGCAGACGCTTGTAGGCGCGGGCGCTTGTACATTCCCGGACTCACGGCGCCTCGAGGTGTCCGAGGCTCACAGGTTGAGAGCGACATCACCATGTTGGCCGTATGAACAAGTTGCCATCACTGTACTACCGCCGCAGGTAACTCCATGCACGCGCATGCGTCCCTCGACTCGATGCTACGTCTATGCACGTACCACCTAGGCAACTATGCAGCCATGCACCCATGCACCCACGGAGACAGCACACCAGTCCACTACCACCACCCGTTGAGCAAAACCACAAAAGAAATGTCCTTGCATTATTAGGGTATCTAATTAATTGTACGTAATCATATTTTTTTTTGGTTTTTGGTTTTAGTTGTCGGGTTGGTACCTCGGCGGGGTCACCATCTCCCAGTATCCTTCCGGGTACTCGTCGAGGAACCGGATTTTGAACCAGGTGACCCAGCGGGACCACTTCAAGGTACGGGGCATGTTACGTAATGTTCGAATTTAAAGTTGTGGTTGTTTAAAGAGCGTGGTGTGGATTCGAACAGACGTTTGTCTGGTGGAACCGTTAGCCACGTGCCTAAAAACAAGCAACTTCAGATACTTACAACTATGCAATATACCCTGGGGGTGATTACCTACTTGGGCAGTGTACCAAAAAGCCCCCCGGCAAAAACGCCCTAGGCACCCGTGGGAAGTATTTGACTTAGTGCGTGTTCGAACAGTCACCAGCCGAACCTGGTCGGAAACGGCCAGACGCGGCGACGCGAATTCGAGGTCCGCAAAAACCTCTACAGTTACTGGCTCAGTGGCATCGGTTCTACATAACCCCCTCCGCCATGCGCGGGATGCACTGGCTCGCTTGTTCATCGCGTTCATGTGTGCGTCTCGATGTCGTTTTGAAGCTGAAAAGACTTCGAACAGTGATTCTGGACTTCTCACCTGCGTTCTGGCTGCATAGAATGAGTCTTGTGCATCAGAAACGGTACAGTCGATGCTGGGACGGTTGCTACTTCGCTGGTTCGGCTCTCCCCTGCCAGCGGTGACACGCGTTACGCACAACGCTGCCCCGTAGGACTAACAAGAGCCTTCCTCACAGCCGCAATTGCTGCACTAGCTACATCTTGATCTACCTGTGAGGCTGGTGTCCTATCTCCCGCTCACCCAGCTCCGGGCTGCTTCAGCGTCTCGGGGCGCACTTCCGTCCCCCAGTAGCCAGTCGGCCGCACCGTGATCACTGGGGGCGGCCGAAGCAGACGTCACTGTGCTCACCCTCCGTATCAGCTCTTCGCTGGAACTTATGGCTCATTCCCGCGGCGCGTCCTGCGTTCACTCAGCCTCACGTTACTGGAATCACTCACGACGGCAGTTTTCTGGGAATGGCAGCGAGGAGACCTGGAAGGAAGGGTAGTAGCCCTGCCTTTCTGCGACACGACTCTGACCTTCGTCCAAATCGCATGCCGTCGCGTCGCGCTTCACCTGAGCACACGTTCCACCTGCCCGCCATGTAAGGGAAGAAGGAAGGTTGTGCTGCGAAGAACGCCATCGGTCCGGGAAGTTTCCCTCCCGCTCGGGTCTATCACCATAGTGTGCCCAGCGCGCCCCCGCAACAGAAACCCCTCCCGGTCCGCAGCTCTGTTCCGGAGGACCCACGGCCGACACCCTGCAACGTCGGCGCCGAAAGTAGGGTCCCACACCGACAGCGACAAGTGCCAGCTTCATCGGCCAAAACGCTGACGTTTGACGTCACTGGATCCCATCCCCATCCCCCTTCTGTGCCCCCTCGCCGCCGGTCTAACGTAGCGCCGAGCAGATTGGAATGCAGGGTGAACGCCGCAATGCCCCCGAAGCATCGAGTTGCCGCATGCCCGCAAACACGGACGCTGATCAGGCTTCTCGTAAAGGAGGAAAGCTCCGTGGCACATCCTCAGATCTCGGTGCGGCAGGTGCGGCAGGTGCGGAGGGAAGGTGGACATGTGATCGTATCTATCGTGGCACTGGAATCTAAAGCTTTTATGTCCGCAGCAAAAGGTGGTCCAGACACTCTTGTGCGTAGTGGTTTGCATCAGTTCTAGCGGGTCTAGCGGGTCTGCGGACTTTGCAGTGTTGACTTTCCGCAGTTTGACTACGTACCGAGCTTGGGTGGTGGTTGTTCCGAACCAAGCTCCGAGCCCAACACCTGGGGCAAGTCAGGCTTCAGATCGAGCGCAGAGGCCTGATGCACTAGAAGAGCTTTGGTGATGGTATGTACCCCTACCGGCCGTAACCAAGACCTGCACTGCGGCGCCGAGAGGACGAAAGAAGGGTAGGCTGAGGGTTGGGAGGGTACCGAAGTACTTTGTCGCAGTGACGACGGCGGCGTCGCGATGTTTGTCTCTCCTGCTTCTTTCGACCCTGCACATATCCTAATCTGGACGGGGAAGGGACCCGGAACGAACGCGCAGTATCATGCCACAGGCCACAGAGCGACAGAGCGACAGAGCGACAGATCTCACATCGCTCACACCAAAGACAGACACATGACGTCTTGACCGCTGACCACACTTCTCGTTGGTCCAAAGTCGCGCTGAGCCCGACACAAGTACCGCAGAATTGGCACAGAACGGACCCCGCAGCTGGCAGCCCTACTCGTCCCCATGGCCCCATGAGACCACCGCTAGCCCGTAGGCCGTAGCCATGCAAGCCATGTAGTGACGACACCAGAGTCTGGTCGAACAGCAAACAAGGAGAAGAAGACGGCATCGTCGCTCTGCGCGTTCTGTTTGGTTCTCCATCGTTACTGCGTCATAAAAGTCCAGACACCGGGGTTCGCTGGGTCGAGACCAGTCTTCCACGCAGTCTCACCCTTGTTCTGGTCTCCCACGCACTCCACCCTGGCCTACCACCGCGGGAGCATAAACAGGCGAAAAGCGGACTTGCCCTCACTACCCGTCTTCCCACCACCCTATACCCTACCCAGTATGCACAAGTCGAGCATAGGTGACACAGATCACAGATCACAGAAACAGCCAGTGAGATGTGCAAGGTGAGGGAGGCATTGTTCCGCCTGATTCCCACCCCCACCGTGCCAGCCATGCCATCAAGTCCTGCAAAGTGACCAGTTACATTCCCAGTGCCCACCACTGGGCACTGTCCTCCGGGTACATGCCAGAACTCGGCACGCAAGCTCTCATCCACCCGTGCCCGAGCCACGAGCCGATCAGCGATCACACCCAAAGTCAAGCCGTGCCGGATTTCCCATGCTGGGCGTGGATTTCGGCACACTCCTCGCGTCCCCCGACCTCGAACTCGACCCTCGGCCTCGGTACTTCTTGCAATCCTCGCGACAGCTCGCGAGCTCGCAAGGCGCTCGCTTCCCCGCCGAGTTCCCGTAACTGTAGTTAGCAATGGAGAGTTAGAAGCAGAGTTAGTCAGATAAGCGGACCGCAACAATGCACCGAGTTTAGCGTGATTGCGTGGCAGGTTGAGACACCCGCTGTAATGTGTGAATGCCATGTGAATGAAGCTACCAAAGTGCTATGGACTGGGATCCCTCTCTGGAGGGATGTTTTACAATGCTGATGATACTAGAGTCGAGAGAGAGAGAGAGAGAGGAAAACACTGGAAGAGTGATGAGTTTTCGTTTTGAGAGTGTCGTGTCTAGTGACGAGAGAAGCTCGCTGAGCTGGCGCTGCTCGCTCAAGCAAGCACCTGGGGACGGAGACGACCGCGGTCCTCGTAGCTGAGACCCAGGGCGAGCTCGCCGCTACGGCGGGCAGGACGAGAGCGAGAGCGCGAGTGAGCCATGCGCCCGCGCTCGCGCGAATTCCGCTCGCGAGAGCGCTCGCGGCTGTTCCGGTCGAGGCGGCTGGGGGCGACCTCGCGCTCCTCGTGGTGCGTGAGCTTGGAGACGGGCTGGCGATCGGGGCGGGCGACGCGCTCGCGAGAGCGGCCGCGCGTTTCCCGTCCGGTATTCGGGAGGGTCATGTTGGGCATGGCGGACGTGACGGGGGGCAGCGGGCTGTGGTTCATGGGCGCGGCGACACCGGAGAGCTCGAGGGCGGGGCGGGGGTGAATGCCACCCATCGAAGCACGAGGTGAGGGAGGGTGGGGGTCGCTGCGACTCCGCGAGAGCAGCGACGAGCCGAGGACGTGCGTGATACTCCGCTCTTCCGGGAGGGCGGGGCAGAGAATGTTCGGCGTCCGCGTTCCCTGATTCCGGCTGCTGTCGGAGCAGACGCGCGAGGCACTTGATCGCACCTCGTCGTTGTTCGGGCCGAGCGAGAGGCAGCTGATCGCCTCGGCGGCGTCGGAGCGATCCCGGCTGCGTGCCCGGTGGCCGATCGGTCGTCCGCAGCCGCAGCGGGGAAGGAGAGCGAGAGGGCTAGTGACACTGTTCGTGACAGACGACTTGCGACCGAAGCGCAGAGTCTCAACCGACGTGCCCGAGGGCGCCGTCGTGCCAGCCAGAGGAACAGTCATCATGACCGGTGTCCGTGATGAACTCGGAATCTTGACAGGCATCGTGGAAAGAGAGCCAAAGACCTGCGTCGGGTAGGCGGGGGGAGGGAGGTTGAAGCACTCCTTGTTGGGAGAGCCACCGTCGACGGGATTCGTGGCCGGCGACTGGATGGGCGACTCGGAGATGGACGACGAGCTGCTCGATCCGCCACGGCGACGAGGCGAGAAGATGGGCGACGGCGCAATCTGGTGCACGGGGCGCACACGAGGCGAAAGCGACGAGGGAAGCTGCGCCGTGAGGTGAATGCCGTGCGCGGGCTTGATCGCGGGGGAAGGGGTGCCATTGTCCTGCTGCTTGCACTCTGCTGAGCAGTACAGCCCCTTGCAGGGCTGCTGGCAGATGAAGCAGCGCTCAAAGTCTTCCTCAAACATTTGTTTTTGTTGTCGTAGAACTGGCACGTCAGCAAGGTTGTTCTTGCGCTGGTCTTTTGTTGCACAACAAACTCACCGACTAGGTTGAACGCGGCGAACTGCGGTGGAGACTACGAGTGCCCACGAAGAACGTCGGTTGTGTCCGATAAGACGGTTGGGGGGGGGCCGAGGCTACCGTTGGGCGGTTATGGTGAACAGCGTTGTTGTGGAGAGAGAGGAGAGAGAAAGATGTGGAAGGCAAGCCAAGGTTGTTCGAAAAACGATGGTTGCACAAGGTTGAGTCAACGACAGACAGTGGAAGGATCGGGTCGGCCGAACGGGGGGTGTTGATAAGATTCGAAGCGACCAAGTGAGGCTGGGCGACACGGGGGCTGTATAGTGTTTTAGGGTGCCGTGTGGTGAAAGTGTGTGTGTGTGTGTGAGGTGGCGATGTAAGACGACTTGTGTGTGGTGGTCGTGGAGTGTCTCTGTGGGTGGAGAGATGTGATGGGTGTGAGGAGCTAGGTGGCCAGTGTAGATAACTGGGGAGTGGCCGGGTGGTGAGGGCCAAAAGCGTGCGTGCAAAGTCTTCGTGTGTCGATTTCGATTTCGAGTTGGACGTTTTGGTTTGGTGGGGACTGAGAGGCAGGGGACAGGGGACAGGGGGCAGGGCGGTGGGCCAGAGGCACGGTGGCCAGGGCAGGGCGAGTGTGCTCTTCTCGCTGCGTCTGCTCTACGTTTTTGCTTCAGGGTCGCGCATGAGTCGAGAGGAAGGGACAGCGGTAAGGGCGACCAGGGACCGAGCAGGGTCTCGCTGACTGGGGACGGCCAGGGTCATGCGGCCAGGGAACGAGAGGGAACGACGGGGCGACAACGGGCGGCGGCGGCGGGGGACATAGGGAGACGGGCGACACCGGGAGTGAGCAGTCAGCAACTGACTGATCAGACTTGGCAAGGGTGGCGTGATTGCCGTAGTCCTGTGACTCCATCACTACTGTCGTCGTCTATGGCCGTGACCGGGCGTCCTGACCACTGACAATGACCGCACCACCGCCCCCCCTCATGGCCCCTCAGCCAGCTCTCAGCCAGTGACACGCTGCACACACACCCACATGCGTACCGCACCGGCAACACCGCATCACCGCGACCGACTCGACCGTTCCCAGTGACCTCACCACTCGCACACCGAGTCAGCCTCACCTCGGCTTCGGCTTGCAATCCACCACCTTTCGGGCCCGCATCGAGCGCATGGGAGCTGGGAGGTAGACCGTAACAGATCGCAGATTCGCACGCTCGGCCGCCAGTCTCTTACGACCCCATACCCGCCATTGAGCCTTCGGTCTTGACCAAACTCGGTTTAGTAAAGCCTACGGCCTGTGATGCATGGTGTTTGGTTTACGCGTGTTTACATCGGTTTTCGCACGGTGCCATCTATTCTCGACACCAAGCAAAACGAGAACCAGTCACTCTCCTCTGGCAATGCACGTTCTCACCACCCATAGTGATCGAAAAATAAAGCCCCCAGCCGGGCCGCACTCCGGGTCCGCCGTGTCACTGACAATAATCAACAGCCCTTTCAGCACCCTGCATGAAGCAAGCGCCCAAAGCCTGCGCTTCCTGCACTAGTGCATAGTGCTGAGCTTGCAACCTTCGGGGGGCAAGGACGAGGACCATGCATAGATCCGTAGCGAGTACCGCTGCGCAAGCGTCCAGCGTATCAGATCTAGAAACTTCGACAACCGTCTTTGTCCCGCGCCACCGCTGCTTCTGGGCACGACAGAACGGCTAGTGCTGGCGAGCGAGCAAACAAAGCTTTTCGCTCCGGCTCTCCCAGCCCCGAGCCCCGAGTGAATGCATGAGCCGGACCTCGGACCTGCGGCCTGCTAGAGGGCCAGGGGAAGAGGGGCGTGTATGCGTACCTTGTTGTACCTAGCCTTGAGCCTGGCCTGTCTCGTCCCTGTTCCTGTGGGGATAAGGCCTACCAGCTACAACGTTCCATCTGTAATTCACGGTATTCAGTCTCGCCTCTGCTAGTCTGGTAACTATTCAGTGCAACCTCTGGCAAAAAAAAAAAAAAAAAAAGAATTTGTATTCTCGAACGCTTAACGCGGCCGCGGTGTTTCGTGCGGCGCGCTTCGAGATGTCAGATGATCAGATGACCTGCACTGGTAGCTGTGCTGGGCAGTGCGCTGTGCTCAAGGAACCAGATCAGGATTGTTTACAGCCTCCCCAGCTGCTCGCCAGCTAGTGGCCACTCCTGCTTGCATCACGATAGGCACAGGCACAGCAAACGTGCTGTGGCTCCAGCCTAACGACATGGCGCCTCCGGCCCCGGCCCCCGCGCGCCAGGTAGAGGGAGATTAGAACACCCCGCTGCCCTACCTGTTTGTGTCTCTCTCAGCGCGAAAAACTTCTCTACCGCATACCGCAGCTAGACACATGCAGTGCTCGATAACATTCTGGTAGCCTCGACGAGCACAAGGGCAGCGAGCCCACGAGCCGTGATTACCGTACGCTCGCCGGGGGGCATGACGAGGTGGCGTGCGGCAGCCAATCGCTGGGGCTGACTCAGCGATACCAACGCTCCCTTAATGAAACATATGGCCAGTGGGATTTGGCATTGCTATTTGGTTTTGCTGAGCTGTATCAGTAATTGCTGTGAGCTCGCTGGATAAGCCCTGCGGCTATCTACGACATAACGATATCTCGAACAGCCTGCCCTGCGGTCTTCACCCGATCCACTATCGATGCTGACGCCCTTGCGCCCCTCAATGCGCCCCTCTGGTTCTAGGCCGGGCAGGCCGAGAGGTGAGACCGGTGAGGCCGCGGGGCGCAGTTGAGGGGGCCGAACGCGAAGGCGGTGAGCTGCGGCCGTGCAACAGAATTTTTGTCTTTCGGAGAAGACCAGAGGGCTGCAGAAGGGGGGGTACGTGGCCTGCGGTATGCTGGGGGCGCTACTGGCATTTCGAAGAGCATCTTGGTTTTCGAATTTACGGTAGCTGTTGGGTGGCGATGCCAGCCTGAGGACGGCCTGAGGGCAGCCCGAGCCAGCCTGAGCCCAAATTAAAACGTGTCCAGCTGACCTCTATGCTCAAGCTTTCGCTCATCAGGGACGAGGAACGCTTGGACTCTAAGCCTCTAGTCCTATGGGGCAGGCGATCCCGACAACGCACGATTATGTAACAGCGCACGTGGCCCAGAACTTGTCTGCACGTTCAGCGCACCCGCCTACGAACGTTCAGCGCAGGAGCTGCTGCTACGGACCAGTCACCCTCCGCACACGGCTGCAACGAAAAATTATCGAGATGGCGACAACCCTCCCAGCCTGTACTGACTCGATAACGGGCCAAGAGACCCCCTGCCAGGGCAACCAGGGCTCTGGTAAGGAGTCTGCGGCCGAACCCTGCGAGGTCGATCATCACCGCAGGGCAACCTAGGATCCAGCAGGGTTGGAAGGGGGGGAGATTTGGCAGAACTCCGCCCTTGCTCACCCAATCACCAAGCCCGCGCAAGCTATGACGGTCCCGAACGTGCTCCCCTCTCACCGCCTGGATTCGCTGTCGGGTCCATGACTCCAGACGAAGACAAGGTTGCGCGAAAAAGCTCCGGGTTACGCAAGAGTTATAGGATTGCGTTGCTGCCGCCAAAATTACGACCATGGCGCTGATTAATGACAAGTTATTCGCTCATTCACCCGTCGAATCCGTACTCAAACCAAATCCCGCCGTGACTCAGTTCCACAGCTCCAGTCGAGTCGGTGGTCGAGACCTGGAGTGGGGTAAGGATTCGTTTCACGTTTACTTCGGACGCAAATTAGATTTCCATGTTTGCCATGCCTGCCCACTTGCTCTGTGCTGGCGAAAGACTATTCGACGATTAATCGCTCGTGACGCAAAAAGTCGAGTGGAAACTTCAACCCTCCGATCGAGATTGCCCCGAGCACGGCGAGGACTGCGTGACATCCCTCCCCTGCCCGTGCAACATTGTTCGGAGCCTAGAGCACTGTGTGATGCGCAGTTGGCAATGTTAAACGACGTCAGCAGAACGAGGTGACAACCTTGCAGGATCATGGGGGACACTGACACAATTCGCGGAGGCCGAAGTGCCCAAAGCTGCCAAAGGTGACGAGAACGCGGACCGCGTAGTTGATGACGTTCTCTAGTGAGCTAGCTGGCCTGTCGCGTCCGTCGCAGGCTCCACAGAACTACGCGGTGGCTTGCTCTGGCTTGTCGTTGAGTGGAGCTGTTGTTTCGGCCGTTCCACAACCCTGCAACACAGGTATGCTACGCTGCTTACAGTGCTGCGCAAGCCTAGACCTCGGCATAGCATCGAACTCAGATCTGGTGACACGCGTTAGAAAAAAACAGACGCGTTCCATCCACCAACAAACGGCCGTGCCTTCGAAGTTGAGCCGGGATAGACCCTACGCCGTCCTCCCTACCACCCTACCTCCCTACCTCTCCCTACCTCTCTACCACCTGCGCGCATGACATCACGCGTAACACTGCAGACGGCACGGACCATTGACAATGGCACGGACCAGGCGGCATCTCTGGCGGATCTCGGACCCTGTCGTGCCCGTTGTGCCCGTTGTGCCCGTCGTGCCCGTCGTGCCCGAGCGCGTCGTCTTCGCGTCAACGGTGGCACCGACGGACCGGCATCAGAGGCGCTCGTAATGCGATTCTTGCTGTGGGTGCTCGCTTCGCATGAAAATGGCAGCCTCCACGTCCGCTGCGTGCACACTTCAGGAAGCTGGGGACGTGACGAGCCCCGACACAGTGGACGAGTGGGCCGGCCGATTCATTTGTCACCTTCCTATTGATCTCAGTCCTGAGTGTTAAATGAAGTGACTTCCCTAAGGATGCCGGAGCGCGTTGAGTATCGCGCCGCCTCGTGGACCGTGTCTCGCAGGCGTACGCGGCTCCATGGAGTTGTCGTACCACTGTGTCGGGACCGGAGCGGGCAGAGCGAGGCAAGGGCTGCTGTGCGGGCATCGCGGCATCGGGCAGACCTTCCCTCGTCTCTCTGCGGAGTGTGGCATTCTTGGCCCTCTCAGCAACGAGAGCAGCTTCCTCATGTTACTCTCAGTAACGTATGACCAGCACGAAACAGAGGCGCAGACAGATCTGGGGCAATCTCCCTGCCCGCACCCGAGACGCAACACATGAAGCATTTCATTCGCCTCGCTGGCCGAGGAATGTACGTCTCGCCACTGCTTGTGGTCTCTCAGTGTACCATCCTCTCGCGGGCAAGATCCAGCGACAACACCCGGCCCAGTCATACAGTCAGACAGACGAAAGTAACAGTCACTTGGGAATGTGCCACTGCGCCGAGCGCCGCTCCTTGCCCCCCGTGGGCCGTGGGCGGGGCGTTCGGAAGCTACGGTGAGTGGGTCGGAAGTGCCGGACCGGGCTGGCGGACCTGCGGGCCTGTCCGGCATAGCTGCAGCGTGACCCTCCGGTCCTCTCATCTTGGCTGTATGGTGACTCTCATTCGGACTCCGTATACCCAAGCATGCGGGAGGACACGAGGATGATGACCCCGTGGCGTATGGGCGTGCATGGCGCCGTCGTTGTCCTGGCGGCGTCCTTGCGGCGCAGCCCTGTGCCGCACCTCGATGCCGCAAGCCCTCCACTACCAGAACTAGGGTTACAATATGGATGCTGTCCTGGAAAGGCGCCTAGACGCCCTCGCGGCAGAACTCTTCCCTGCACCGACGCCTCACTGGCGCTCGGAGACATTCGTCATGTCATGAAACGCGACTCGAACCGCCGACTCGGCGCTGACTCGCACCTGCAAATCTTCTTTTCGGGCTGTGCTTTGCCCTGGCCTGGCCGGCCGACTTGTTGACTTCGTGCGAGAGGGACAGAGGGACCGGCGTCGTGCGAAGCGAAGTAGAGCGAGCTGGAGGCAGTGACGTAGGATGGCCCGCCCTATCGTGCGAGCGGCCTGCCAAGAGAGGCGAGCAGAGGCGAGAGAGACTCGCACGAGGCAAAGCATGCGCCAAAGTTGGCGCGAGTAGTGCACCGGAGCGACGGATTCCCACAAACCGCACTTGGACCCTCGTGCTCGTTTAGCTGACGGGGGTTGACGATGCTGACGCAAGACCCAGATTCCAGAACAAGTGCTTCCTTTCTCTGTCCCCTTCCTACTACAGCAATGCGCAACAATTACCGCTTCCAGACGCACAACGAGATCGAGGTCCCGTATGCGCACTCCACTGACCTTACGATGACCTTACAGCAGTGCCTCGTTCCTTCATACTTGCAAGCCTGCAAGCCCGCGCACCATGTGCTTCCCCCAACGTAAGCCGCAAAGACCTCGTTACTGGAACCGACTCGCGACGTGCGACGCATCGCAGCAACGTGATGGCGGGGCCTCACTGCGACCGCAACCCGGCCCGGAGCGCACAAGGAGCGACAAGCGGAGCCGAGTTCTCGCGTGGCTCAAGAGGCTGGACACAGAGATGAGATCATACCGAGGTCGCCCAGTCGATCTCGATGATCACACCGAGCTCGTGATCGACACCGAGCGTACAACACGCACACCGAAGCACTCAATGAAAAGCACGTTTTCAAACACACCGAAGTCGCTCCCTCTATGACACACCGAGGGGAACCCGAAGCCATCCCGAAGGGTCACCTAGTAATCCTTGTCTGTCGCTTGCGGGGCCGTTTCCGACACTCTGTCGCCGACAAACTGCACACCGAATGACCTATAAACCGACACCACGCGAGGTAATGATGGAGCACGACGCTTCGCTCCCGGTGCCCGCCCTGGCAGTACCGCACCTTGTCACTTGTGCCAGCGGAGGAGCCACACCCGACGGTTCGGTGTCGTTCCTCAATCGTCGAAGCATGGAGCAAACCGTTTAGCAGGCTCAAGCTCACGGTACCAGGCTCCCCTTCTCCAGGTCCCCAGCGCCAGGCCCGGCATGCGGTGTGCAGGTGTGCCTGTGCCTCATTCCTGACGCGCAAGTTCCTGTCCGTCCAAGTCGACCTTCCGCCGAAACTTTCGACAGCCTGGCACATTTTACGAGCTGCAAGCTCTCAACGACAGGCTCGCACCGGTGAGCCGGTATCGCGTATCTGTATCAAGCGTATCGAGTGCACACGCACGAGGAACAAGCGTGTAGAGTAGACTTTCCGACATTCCATCACGCCAGCTGGCCTACTACTGACTAGCGTTCGGACCTTGCGGCACGCTGATACGCCCAACTTTGACGGGCCCGAAGGAACGAGGCTGCCAGATTGGCTCTTGCACTTGCGCTCGAATCACACCATCAAGTCTAGCTGTCAGGCTGGGTGGAGCGTGGAGCGGTCTTCTCCTCACAACAGGTGCCCATGGGTCATCCTTGCTGCTCGCCCTCGCGGCCTCACAGCCTCGCACACGGCCTCGCGCAAGAATGCAGAATAAGCGAGCGGGGGTGATGCAGAGCACCGAGGTGCCATTCTCCTATCAGAAATGATGGAGGCCGACACCGGAGCGGGAGGCGCGGATCAACGAATCGCGGCACGCATGCCCACCACTCTTTACCTGATGGGACCATGTGAAAGTGGGGGTCCACATCCCTCTCGCGCTTCCCGCAGCGTAGCCCCGCTCCTCGTCTTTTGACTCGGTGCTGGACTTTCACTTCACGCTGTATTGGGAATGACCGTGGTGTCCCGGGGAATGCAGCACCCCCACACACTTTGTGTTGCTCGCGCGGCAACGCCTGCCTGCGCCAGCGCCGTCCATTGACGGGCTCAACGGCTCGATGGCGCGGCGGCTTCAACGGGCCGGGCTGAGACCATGAAGGACGGCAGGGGCCGAGGAACATTTCACTCCCCAATTCAAGCAACACGTTACCGTATTCTAGGCGCTCGGCGTGGTTCAAAGTCTGCGCTGTGGAGCCTCCGGGATATCTGACTGGCTGCAACGTTTTGCCAAGGGCGCCGATCCCCACCTGGCTGTCTTGTACTGACTGGACATCCGCCGAGTTGTGTCACTACCGTAGCGACAAGTGCAACAAATGCGGACTGGTGTCACCCGACCCCACTGCCCAGAAACGTACACGCCCTTGCGAACCCACTAATGCTCAGTGCTTTCCACTTACGCAAAGTCCCCAGCAAGTCGACAGGCAAGGACACAGTGATCGACACCAAGCGCAGGCCCGATCAGAGTGGTGCGAATGGGCGCGATCATGTCCCCAATCGGCCCTGTCCCTCCCCACTGCCTGCTTGCTGCGACATGCGCGTGATCGGTCAGAAATGAGAACAAGCACATTCCTCATTCCCCTCATGCACGCAAGCACGCGCGTCAACGCCGGATTTCTCGCAAGTGTCTCGGCAAGCCCGCTACATGCTACAGCTGCACAGCGACTGCTTTACCCGTCCCTTCGGCCTCCCAAACCGAGCAGGCCCGGCTGCCACCGCGGTGCGCGCCAGAGAGTGCCTCGTTATCTGATACCGCTCACCCCAAGCAATATCATGTCCCGCGCGTCTTCGGCCTTCGGGCTTGTTGTCAGCTGACTGACAGACGCACGACTAGCACGACTCCTCGTACGAGCGTGCCATGCGTGCCAGCCCTTACGAGGTAGTCCGAAGGAACGGAGGAACACGGATTGCGGAGTCTGACCCCGCGCCCAGATGGACCTGACCGGAAAGGCAGGGGGGAGGTGAGGAAGTGAGGACGTGAGGAAGTGAGGACTGCAAGGGGTAACGGCAGGGGCATGTCGAACCCAACTCCAATATTGCGCGTCCAGACCTCCAGACCTCCAGGCTCCAGGCTCACTCCGACCTCGGCCCCATGGATTCCGTGATTGAACACATGATCAGATGTCAGACGTCCGAATGCCGGTGTCGGAGTCTTTAGCAACGTGCATGCCAGAATGAGAGAATGCGGGGTCGGCCCCTTCGGATCGGGGTACGTGGTGTGCGGGGGCGGTCATTGCTCCGCGCGTCAGCGCGCTCAGCGTTGCATCGAGCTCCACACTCGCTTAAAGATTGTATTGTAAAGCATTTATGTCTGTCACAATTCTGTAAAGCGTTCTCCGAGACCGAGGAGTGGGACTGAGGGATCGTCTCGCTTCCGAGTTGAGCTTACAGCTTGCAGCTTGCCCGAACTCTATATGCTGGTGAATGGGTTGCGCATGTTACGAGTGATTAACGACTGGCCGAGTTGAGTCCGCCATGCAAGACTCGCAGGGGCTCACTTGCGAGCCATCTGTGTGCACACTGCGATACAGACTGCTATGCGAACCGCCGATGGACCACGTTGTGGTAGTAGAACCTCTGCACGAGTGCATAAATCCCAAGAGTAGGTCAAGACCATCTATCTATTTGCTATGTGGTACGGTGTTACAAAAAAAGAGAAAGAAAAGACATGTGATGCACAAAGATATAGACATATTCACAACCCTTCGGAATGGCACTGGCCTGGCTCGTTCGCGAGCGCAGCGAACGAGCAGGATGAGACCGAGCTACGATCACGACAACGAGCGAGAGCAAAGAGGTCGAGGAGAACAGGCGGCCCAGCAAGCAGAGAGAATGAGAGTGGGAGTAGAGCGGGAGCGAGCTAGAGTGAGAGGAGAAGAAGCAGTGGTGAGGAGTGGAAGTGAGACTACCGGCTCAGCGGCGTCGAAGCCGACCTCGGCAGAGACCGCATCGTCGACCTCGGGCTGGCGAGTGGTGACCCCGTTGATCCCGTCTTCGGACTCGTCCAAGTAGAGAACACTGACCGCGTGGGTGTACTCGGCGTCGGAGAAGAGCTGAGCGGCGGGGTCGGTGGCGTCGTGACCGGCGGTGGCGGGGGAGAGGGTGTGGACGGGGTAGACGAGCCCCATGGCCACCACCTACCCCCTCCTCCCGCACTACTGGCACTTGGCGCCGCCTTGTGTCCCCTCACCTTCTTCCAGCTCTCGCGCCAACTCCCCCTCCCCTCGCGCCGGACGTCGTTCTCACCCCGGCCCTCGCGCTCGTGCTCCAGCTGCTCTTTCTCTAGCCTTTGCCGCTCCGCCACCTCGGCGCGCGCCTTCATCTCCCTGATCTCCTTTTCGTGCTGTACCCTCTCTCGTTCTCGCTGCTCGCGCTCACTTAACCCAGCTCGCTTGCCTTGCTCACGCTCAAGCTGGCGCTCACGCTCGCTCCGCTCGCGTTCGCCCCGGTCGCCCAGTGCAGAGGAACTATTCGGTGTTCCCGACCCTGACTCGCTAGGAGCGCTGCCTCAGCTTGGCCCGCAGGTCGGCTACTTCTGCCTGGAGAGAGTTGACCTCCTCGAGCAGCGTCATGTTCTGCGCCGTCTGGCGGGCACGCTCGTTATCCGTGTCCGCCTCCTGTTTCTTGATTTTGGACCGGAGCGTGTCGAGTTCGGCCTGGAGCAGGGTCTGCTCGCGCTGCAATTTGCCCACTGCGGCCATTTTCGCCGCCTCGGCCTCCTCGGCCAGCGTTAGGGTTCGAGTGGAGAGGGCCTGGTTTGACTCTTGCAGCTTGGCGAGCTCCTCGGCCCGCTTGGCTGCTTCGCTGCGCATGGTTGCGATCTCGGCGCGCGCGTCGTCGAGCGCATACCGCGTCTCGAGGTCGGGCACGCGCACGGGCGAGACGATGGGCGACGATACGGGGCTGCCCGTCGCCTGCTGGAGACGGTCCTGCAGATCCTTGACTTGCTTCTGGTACGTGGCCAGGCTGCGCTGGCTCTCCTCGACGAGCTTGGCCGCACGAGCTGCATTGGCCTTGTGCCGCTCCTTGTCCTGCTCCATGCGCGCCATGCGCTCGGCCATGACGCGGCCGTCGTCGACAACGCCCCGGATCCGCTCCACCAGCCCCTTGGTGCCGGGGTACCCGTCGTTGGATTGGACAGAATAGGCGTGCTGCAGGGCGCCAAAGTTGACGTGCGATGAGGGCGAGACAACATTGGCTTCCGTCAGGCCAGCCTCGGCGCGCGCCTTTGGTGAGGGAAGCAGGGCCCACGCCTGCGACAGGCTCGCCTGGTCTGGCGAGAGCAATGACGGCGAGAGAGCCCTGGGCTGAGACTCGAGTTGCGACTGCAGTTCGGCAATCTTCTCGTTCTGTGCGCGGATTTTGCGCACGAGCTCGGTCATTTCGCCCTGCGCCTCGCGGCTCGACGAGACGTTTGTGTCGTGCGCCTTGACGAGCTCGTCGGCCTTGTCGTGCCATCGGTCCCGATCGGCCGTGACGCGGCGCACCTCCTCCTCGAGGCCCTTGTTGACCTCGTCCATTGCGTCGCGCAGGTCGGCGAGATCCTTGCTCTGCCGCTCGAAAAGCTGGCGCACCTCGACGGCCGCATCGCCCAGCTCGTCCTCGGGGACCAGCTTGCCCAGGATCGCCGCGAGCGCCATGGTCGTCTTCTTTGCCATCGTCTTGGACACGTTTGATGCCGCGGCAGCATCGTCGAGTGCACGCGCATGGTCGCTCTGTAGCTTGGTGTGCGTGCTGCGCAGCGCCGTATGGTCGCCAAGCACCTGGTCGTGCGTGCTGCGGAGTGCCGTGTGCTCGTCCTGTAACGCTTCGTGGCGGGAACGTAATTCGTCGTGGCGAGCAGCGAGAGCGTCGTGCCGAGACACACTCAGCTCGCGGTCGCTGTTGGCCATGTCGCGCTCGAGCTCGAGCTTGTTAAGCTGCTGCTCCAATTGCGCGCGCTCGCGCTCCCATGCGTCCCGCTGCTGCTCCCACACTGCGCGCTCCGCTCGCTGGTCCGCGAGCCACGCCGCGCGGTCGTTCTCGCGCTCGGCAGCGAGCGCCTCCCGCTCCGCGGCCCACCTGGCGCGCTCCGTGTCGAACAGGCTCTGATTATCGGCCGCGACGCCACGGTCGGCGTGCCACTGATTCCGCTCGTTGTCCCACTGCGAACGCTCCGACTCCCACGCCGTGCGCTCGGCCTGATGCCGCTCACGCTCCACGTCCCACGACTTGCGCGCGTCGGCAAACTCGCTAATCAGATGCGCATGCTTGCTGAGCTTGAGGTCGAGGGCGGCACGCTCGTCGTTCCACTCGCCTCGCTCGGCGGCCCAGGTGCTGCGCTCGGCCTCAAACTGCTCCCGCGCAGCCGCGTGCTGTTCCCGTTCGGAGTCGAAACGGGCTCGCTCCGCCTCCCATTGCTCTCGCTCGGCGGACAGCGCAGCGAGCTCGTCGGCCTTGGGCGCCTCGGCGATCTGTTCCTCGAGGGCGCGCTCGCGGCGCGACAGCTCGACGACCATCTCTTCCAGATCCGCGATGCGCTTCTGGTATCGCTCGACCGTCTTCTTCTGCGTGTCGGCGTCGGCGCGCTGGCTCTCCTGTGACGACTGCAGCGTGACCAGCTCGCGCGAGAGGTTCTCCTTCTCACCGTGCAGTGCGTCGCGCTCTTGACGCAGAGCCTCCTTCTCTCGGTGCAGAATATCGCGCTCAACCTGCAGCTGCTCGCGCTGGTGCTCGAGCTCCTGCTGGTTCTGCTGCGACAGCTCTAAGCGGGATAGCATCTCCGACACCTGGTCCGATGAATCCAGGCTGTCGTCCATGCCACGCGACATGCTTCGCTCGGCTTCCAGGCTCGCGACGTGGTCGTGTAACGCCTCCTCGCGGCGGCGCGACTCGAGTAGGAACAGGTCCTGCTTCTCCTGCCGATCGGCCGCAGCACGCTCCAGCCGCCGCACCTCCCAGGCCATGACGCCGGCCCAGTGCTCCATCAGCCGGCGGCGCAGGGCGGCCTCGCGGTCTCGCAAAACTAGAACTTCCTGAATGTCAGCTTGAACGCCCAAGGGGAAGCACTCACCTTCTCGGCGGCCGCGACGCGGCGCTCAGACTGTTCCAGGCTCTCCATTGTGTGGCGTGATATGCGCTTGTTCGCCGTATTCAGCTTCTGCAGTGTCCGGGCGGCGGTGAGAATCTTGACTTCGCGCTGGTGTCTCGCCTGGAGTGTGTCGAGGCGGGAGGAGAGGTGGCTCAGCTCCTTCTTCCACAGCTCGACCTCGTCCCACGTCGAGATCGGGAGCTTGTCGCAGTCGACCGCCGCCTGCCCCGCAAGCAGGGCGAGGTGCATCTCGTCATTGTCGAGGTACGTGTGGGGGCGCGACGAGGTGCCGTTCGTGACTGTCGTCGGCGCCGTGCTCCCCGTCGAGTGGGAGAGCGCGCTCAGGTCCATCGTCGTCATGTGTGTGCCGTTCGTGCCGCTCGTACCGGCCGATGCCGCGCTGCTGTCGTGGCTGTCCTCTGTTGGCGCCGTCTGTCTCCGCTCCAGCGGCGGCGGGGACGCTAACGCTCGCACGTCGATTTTGCTGCGGCGATCCCGGTTCCGGGGCTTGGAGCGGCTGCGCGATGGTCGAGGAACGGCCGTGAAGCGGTCGCTGTCGCGCTTGTGCTGTTCTCGTTCCCGGTATCCAGTGTCGTCCTGCCTGTCGTCGTCCTCCGAAAGGCCGGCGAGACCGTAGCTTGGACGCTGCTGCTGATGCGAAAAATCGAGATCGAGGTCCTGGAGCCGGTCGAGCCCCGTCCGCCAAGACCCTGCTGTGAGTTTGCTCGGTCCAGCGCTTGGTTGGAACGGGGAGGCGAGCTGAGAGCGCGACAAGGTCGTCGGGTCAGGCGAGTTGTTGCGGCTGGCGGGCGAGCTGTACGTGCTGCTCGCGTTGCTGCGGTATCCGTTCAGCGATACGTCGCTCAGGAGTCTGTAGTCGCCGTTCAGCTGCTTCTGGGGCGAGGTAGAGGCCGAGTTTGGGGGCCGTAGTGTCGCCTGGGAGCTGGACGCGGAGTCGCCGTTGGCAGAGGGATAGAGGTCGCGGCGGTCGCGCTTTGCAGCGAGGGTGGGAAGGCGAGACGGAGAAGTGTTCGAAGACGATGCGAGAGAAGATTGTGCGGAGGTGGTTCCAGCTGTGAAAGGGCGGTTCGACAATGTGCCGGGGAAGCCGGGGCGATCTCTAGGATTTGCTTTGGAGTACGTGGTGTGTGAGGTGTGCGTGGTGTGCTTTGCTGGCTGAGGAGAGGGGTGGGGCTTGTGGTTGTGTGCATTGACAGAGGAGTGGTCGACGGTTGGCCTCGGCATCCTGGCGTTGGACGTTCCTATGCCTGCACCTAAACCTAAATCTGGGCCCTTGCGCAGAGCGCCATGGGTGCCATTGCCAGGATGTCTGAATCGGTGGGCTTCGCTCATGGCCAGGACGGACGCCATCCGGCTGTGAGGGTGAGGGTCGGATTGGTGGATTGGAGTCGCAAGAGAAGTGAAGGTAAGGAAGGATGTGAGGGAGGATCAATGGAGAGGAAGGGAGGAGATGAGATGGACTAGGCTGCGGTGCATGTCTCACCCACCCGACTTTGAAGCACTCTGGCTCATGTTGGGTCATCCGCTGGCTGGGTGCAGGAGTGTTTTCTCCTCTGCTGCTTGCTTGCTGCTTTCTGCATGCTGTAACTCGCGCGCGCGATGCATCCCAAGCAAGGGCTTCAAACGCAAGAGCCATGCAAGCCAAGCCGGCTTCCTGAACACTAGCGCGTACCCGCGCGATGTCGCCCCTGCAACGCTCCTGGCGCGCGGTCCGAGGGCTTCGGACGCCAGTATTACACCCAACATTTTCGACGCCACCCTTTCCCTCAGACTCGTCACATTAGCAATTCACGCGTGTTTACAAGCAGCCGAAGTAATCACCTGCTAATCATCCATTAGTATAACGCTGGGCGCATCTCAAACACGGCTACCCTGGACATTCCTGAGCAACTTGACACCCACGACCCCCCCCGCTCTTCGTAGCTCTGCCTACTGCCGTAACACGATCAGAACAAGGTTGCACCTGTCGCACCTGGGGATGCTACCACTTTGTTCCAGCAGGACGATTAGTCTTATTGTCTGTGCTTCCATGCTTCGGTGCTTCTTCGGTGCACATGTGATAGGTCATACATTTTCGAACAATGGTATATATCTGGTGTCTATGGCGCTCCTCTCTCTGTGCGATGGTGTGATCGAAGATCAACCGAGTGAAGCGCTTCCCCCTCTCATGCACCCCTCGTGTCCGGCCCGCGGGGAGAGACCCTGGTTCTCCCATCTGGCCCCCACTTCGTCACGAGCGCCGATCCCCCATCTGGCCCAGCTGGCCCAGCTAGCACTGAGCATCCAACTGGGCAGCCTCAGGCGCTGGCGCGCCTTGGGCACATTACTGCCTAGCGCCCTTCATCTTGGCAATGGCATTCGAGCTCCTCGCCCGTCCCTTCTTGGCCTTGACATTCTTAGCCCGAGAGTTCTTCTCAGCCTTGGTCGAGGCCAGCTTGACAGCTCCAGTCTCGCGATGCTGCGCGGCGACCTTGGCCTGTTTCTTCGCCAAACGGCGCGCGAGACGCTCCGCATCGCTCGCTTTCGCCGCCTTGCGCTCATCCTTGCTCAGGTTCTTCAGTTTCTCGCCCAGCTCGGGGTTGCCCTTGGGCATGACTGCTGGGGCGGTGCGGAGCTTCTTCGGCGCCTTCTTCGAGCCCGCTGGGACGGCTGAGAGCACGGGGCGTTTCTGGGCCCCGGGGAGGGTCTTGCACTGCTGCACCCTAATCGGGCGCTTGGCGAACTTGAGCTTGGAAGAGGGCAGCGCGATGACCTCGTCCACGCTCTCCCGGTCGACGAAGTGGACGTATCCGAACCCTTTGCCCAGTTGCGTGTCCCGGTCCCGAATCAGGCGGACCGAGGTCACATAAGTCCCCTCGGAGGGCGCGCCGCGCTCAGACACAACCAGCGCCTCAAAGAAGGCGCGCACGTCTTCTTCTTTGGCGGCATAGTCGAGGCCGCCGACGAAGACGCAGCTCTTCGGGTCTGTCCCCGAGGGGAGCCACGCGTCGCGCTTCGAGAGTGAGGTCGAGGCGGACGACAGCGCGGCGGCGGCGGGGGAACGCATCGTGTCCACGCGCAGCGTGTTGCCCATGAACTCTGTGCCGTTGGCGGCGAGCGCGGCCGCGGCCGCGTCGTAAGGGTTCATGAGGGGCGGGAGGTTTGCGGGCCGGTCTGGGCGCGCATGCTCGAAGACGAGGTAGGCATTGCACGCCGCGGCACTCTCGTGGAACTGTGTGTCAGCTTTTGGTATGGGCAGCGGGCAGTCGATTCAAAACACAAGACGGCACTCACGTCCTTCTTGATAAACGCAACCTTGCGCTTGCCCTTCGCGTCGAGGAAGCTCTTGCTCTTATCAACGACGTCGTCCTCGCCCCTCCGCGTGCCGCGCCCCTCGTCGGCGTCCTGGGCATTGCGCCACGCGGCCGCACGCGCCTTCTCGCGCCGCGCGCGCTTACCCTCGGCGTTGCCCGCCTCCTCGTCGTCCGGCAGCGCGACCGTCGGCTTTGAGAACGCGACGGAGCGGAATCGGACACTCTCGATCTTGGCCGTGGGCACGAAGGCGCGGATGTGCGCTTTCAGCGCGGACTGGGCCGACTAGACGTTAGCTTGGATGGGAAGGTTGGGGATGGGGGTTAGGGGGACTCACCTTCTCCTTGACACACTCGATGGGCACGTTACCGATAAAGATCGTCCGCCGGTCCCGGTCCGCCCGGCTCTCGTCCTCCGGGACGTACTTCTTCGCATCACGCTTTCTCCGCTCGGGGGGGGTCTTGAGGGACTCGTGGACGAGCTCGGCCTCGGAGTCTGAGTCCTCCTGCTCTGCCTCTCCCTCGGCCTCAGAGTCCTCCTCCTCATCCAACTCCTCAGCCTCGTCGGCAGCCGCCTCCTCGGCCGCCTTGGCCTTGGCCCCCTTCATGACCCGCTTCGCGAGCTCCTTCGCCTCCTTCGCCTCGACGGCCGCACTTCCGTCCGCGGCCCGCTTCGCCGCCGCCTTCTGCGCGCGCTTGGCGATGGCGGCATCCATCGCGTCCCGCGTCGCAGCGTAGTCGGCATCGGCCTCGTCTGCGGGCTCCTGGCCCACGTCCGAGTCGGCCGACTCGTCCTCGTCTTCGTCTTCGGTCGTGTCGCTCTCGTCCTCGCCAACAGATTCAGCCTCCTCGGGCTCGGGAGCCGCGAGCTTCGCCTTCTTCTTCGCCGCCGTGGGCGCAGTAAACGTAGCCTGATGTTAGCTTCGCGATAACTCCCTTGCTAGCTAGTGACCCACCGCCGCACTGAAGAGACCGCTCAGCCCCTCGTCCTTCTTGCCCCCGAAGAGAGAGGTGCTCTCGGGCTCCGCCTTGCGCTTCTCCCCGGACTTGGTCTTGGTCTTGCCCATTGTCGTCGGCTATGGGGTTTGTTTTGGTTGACTGACGCAACGTACCGCCGTACCGATAAGATTTTGGACGGGTTGACTCTGATCGACGACCGTAGCAGGATGGTGAACTTTTTGATCCCGCCTCCACACCACCGACAGCCCCTCTTTCGTCATTCTTGCCACCCATCCATGGAATTAGACTTTATCGATCCTCCGGGAACGCGAGAACGCTCTGCGGAAGAACAAATGCACGATTCTCACACTCCCACATCTCTGCTCTTGAAGCATACGAATACATGGATTAGGCATCTACTACAACTTAGGTTACTAGGGGATTTACTCCACTCGGCCTCCTGGTGGCTGCCAGATGTGGATCTGGTGGTCGTCGCTGCAGCTCGCGAACAGCTTGCGGCTCAGCACGGGGTTCCACGCGACGGCGTTCACCGTGTCCGTGTGTCCCGAGAGGACGTGCAGGGGCGTGTTCGAGTTGCTCTGCCAGACATAGACGTGTCCGTCCTCGGAGCCAGAGAGCACGAAACGGTCCTTGGGCGCGCCGAACCCACTCCTAATCAGGAAGCGCGACTGGACGTGGCCCATGTACTGGCGCACAAAGTGAGGATGCGGGTCGAGGCTGTACAGCTGCATTTGGTCGGGCGTGCAGCTGATCAGAGCACGCCGCCCGTCGTGGCTCAGCTTGATGGACGTGACACCGCTGCACTTCATGTCCGTCACGTACTCGACGATATCCCTATCGGCGAGGTTGATGACGACGAGTCCGTGGTCCATGTTGTTGTACTGCAGCCCGTCCTCGGCCCACGTCGCCGTGTCAGTGCCATCGACGACCCGCGCGCTGATCGACGGCTTCATCTTTCCGTTCCCGCCCGGGTTCGTGCGCTTTAAGATTGTCGTCGCGGCAACGAGCTTGGAGCCGTCCGGCGTGATCGCAAAGTCACTAATTTGGATACTGTTAATATTCCACTTGTGAAGGACCGTGCCGGACGCATCGTAGAAGACGAGATAGCAGTCGAGCGACGATACGACAAACTTGGACCCGTCCGGGAGCCACTGCACGGCGCTGATCGTGTCTGTGTGCGGACTCGTGCTGTTCGGGACGTGCTTGCGCGCACCCGTCACGGCGTCCCAGAGGTAGACCTGCTTGTCCGAGCACGTCACGAGCGTCTTGCTGTCGGGCGACCACGCGAGGGCATCGACGGGCGCCGTGTGTCCAGACAGGCGGTGCGAGACCTCGATGCCATAGTCCATACCCTCATGCTCTGGTGGCTTAAGCTTCCAGATCATGACTGTTCGGTCCTTGCTGGCGGAGGCAAGCATGTCACCGGACGGGCTCCACTCGATGCGCCAGACCTCGTCCGTGTGGTCCTGCAATATGTGCGTCGTGACTGTCGGGAACGTGCCGCTCTCGCACTGGTGGTCGTTGTACAGCGAGACCGGCTCGTTGTCGTCATGGTACAGACACGACAGCTGCTGGTGCTGGCGCGCCTGGTCGAGCAGAGTCGCCAGCCGTCGTGAGGGCAGCATGACTTTGGGCGAGATGTGCTCCTGCAACCGCTCCAGCAAAAGTCGCCTGGACGTTCCAGCGGCACCGTCCCACTTGGCTCGCTCGTACAGCTCGTCTTGATCGAGGCACATCATAAACCCAGACAGGTCGTGCAGGGCCTCGGGGTCCTGCGTCGTGGCGGCGGCAAGCTCGCTTCGCAACACGGCGAGCGCTTTCTTCTGCTGGCCGCCCTCGAGAAGCTCGAGGTACTTCTGTCGGGCAATCAGGAAGCGCGCCTTGTTGGCCGGGGACTGCGCCTCGGCGGGATCAGCCGCCTTTGTCTTGCCGGACGCAATGCTGCTACGCGAAGACGATGTTTCCGCGGCCATCGACGCTGCGTGATCGACAATACCGAGCTCAGGCAGCAAATGCAGGGCCTCGGACCACCGGCCGCCCAGGATCGCTTCCTGGAACTCGGCAGCGGCGGGCGAAGACGTCGTGAACCCAGACTCCTTGGACAGAACGGACGCAGCCTGTTGGTAGCCGAGATCTTCGAGGCCCTGGAGCATGAGGCGCACGATCTCCTCGCGGTCGATAGGCATGCGCTTGCTATAGTCCTGCTTCCTGATGGGGGGCGCGGCAGGTTCGCCACTGCTGTCTGTGCCGTCCATCGACACATCGACTTCCTGGGGCTTCCAGTCCCGGTCGTCCTCGTACATGAGCGTTCCCGCCGGCTCGTACGGGCGGATCTGGTCGAGAACAGAGGGAGGCGGAATGTAAGGACCCTCCTCGTAGGCGGCGTCGTCGGTGACGCCAGTGGCTACGCCGTTGTTCGCCCCATTGTGAATCGCGGTTGGAGCGCCCATGCTGGAAGAGTGCGAATGGGTGGCGGAAGTGGCGTGACGGGGTCTCCTGCTGGGTCGCTGGGTGATGGTGGGGTCGTTGTCGGATTCAATGGAGCGGCGGCGAACGGTTCCACGCTGCTGCATCACGGCAGGAAGCGGTGAACGACAGGGAGAGTTAATGGTGGGGAAGACGTAGACGATTATGGCGAGAAGAGACGTGTCAGCATGTCGTGAACAAGAAGTGTACAATGCAGAGATGGACCTGCAGGGTGGGGGGGAATGAGACAAGAGACGGAGCGTCACTACGCCCAGAATAGGGGCCAGGACTCGTTGTGCAGGAACGCAAGTGCGCAACGGCAATAGGATTAGGATGCACCACTCACTGCAGGCGAAATCGCGATCTGAGTCTGTGCGCCCTGGTCGGTGGCGAGGGGTCGGCCTTGTCGAGAGGACTTTGTGGTGATGGTGTCTGGGGCTGTGTGTTGGTCGCTGTCGGCAGAGAGCAGTGTGTTGATGGGAGTGATAGGAGAGGACGTGATGGGCGAAGTGGGTGATGTAAGGGGGGGGGGGAGTGTGATGGCCGCGGCTGCGACTGCGAGACAGGAATGAAGAGGGAAACGCCGATCCGTCTATCGGGTCGAGTCTAATAACAACTGAGCCGCACAGCGGGGAGTTGTGAGTTGAAGGTGGAACAGAAAATATAAGGTGGGTCAGGTTGAATGATGAGTCTCCGAGGAGGGAGTGACGAGAATGACGTCCGGAGCTGCGTCAAGCGAGCGATGCGCTCCAGGGGTGTGGTGAGGAGAGGAACGGAGCGATGGAGTCGATTGTCGATTGAAAGAAGATGCACGCGAAAGGTCAAGTCATTATCTCGAGGGAGGGCTGGCTGACGCGGGGAAGGGAAGCCATGGATTTGCTTTGTGAGCAGTGCGTCATGGCCACGTGCGTGCTCCACTTGGCATGGGCGGTGCGGGGTCACTCTAAATGAGGCTTGACGGGTGCATTACTACTCACTGCGCACTGCACCGGGCACACAATCGCTTGTCGCAAGAACCCGACAGTCCCCTCTCTTCCGGCAAGCCCTCACCCTGGACGCCATCTGGCAGTGGTGGAGTGCAGCAGACCCTAGCCATGGCCGACTGTGCATAATCTGGCTCCGTCTTCCCTATTCTCACATTTACGTAAATACCGCGTGGCGTTAGTGTGGCCCTAGGTGGAGGTCGAGAACCGGCGTCATGTCGCGGAGCCAAAAAGTTGATCGAACACAGACGCGTCGTCCAGATCGTACCTCGCTATGTTCCGTTCCATGTCGATCCCTTCTGCAAGGTATAAAGGAAGGCAGTCTGGCCACTCCTTTGTCCCCCCATCAATCAAGCGTATTGTGTCTCACCGAGCTGAACGAGAGAACGAAAGACGATCCGAGAGTGAAGAATCCTACGTTGATTTAATTTTCCACTGCTTCAATCAATCCCTTACAGACAACAAGAACGCAACAGGCAAGATGGGAAAATACCTCACCGCCCCCGTCTCGCTCAAGGCCGGCTCGCGGCACAACGCCGCCGTGCGTGCGTCCCGCAGCCGCGTCCGCTCCCCCAAGGCATTCCTGCGTGGTGCAAGGAGGTGCTCGGTAAGTCAAACCTTTCACTCCTTCCTTAGCTTCTTGCACGGTCATCAGCTAACGCCCAGAGCATCAAGTCGTCCAAGACGCTCGCGATCGGTCGCGAGACGATCCGCCCGACGACGCGCTCGCTCGGCCCCTCCCTTGCGGACCTCTACGACGACTCGGACTCCGAGTACGAGTACAACCCCGAGGATTTCTCCGAGTCGGACTTTGACCCGTCCGAGTTCTCGGACGGAGACTTCCAGTCCAACTGGGAGTAGATCCGCTCGGCGCTCGAAGCTTCCAGCACAACAAGTTGTTAAGTCAGAAGTCATACTCTGAGCTAGCCCTAGTGGGTTATAGTGCAGCACACTGCCATTCGAGACTATACTCACTAGCACATAACAGGTATGTGGCCGGAGTGCCAGTCGGACTAGGTTCCGAAATGTCGGATCCGGAGAGCTGAAGAGCTCTGGGACGGATCTGCAACACAGTCACAGGTTGCCAGATGGGCCAATGTGTCCATGAGAGAGTGGCCGGAGTGCCAGTATAAATCAGTAAGAGAGTTGGAGTGGTAGCTAGGCCACCGCGAAGACTCATCCGGCGACAACCAAGCCGAGTACTAACACGCGGGCTGAGGCACGATGCCGAAGACGTTGCGCGAAGACATGCCCTGTGATCGACTACCTGTTCTGACATGACTTTGTATAATACACCACGCATGTACCATTAGCCTTGTCCCCCTTGCTGCATATTCTCGTCTTTACGCACTGCTGCGTCTCTCCCTGTCTTAGTATTCTGTTGCAGATCGTGAGAGCCGCCCCCCCGCCGCCGCCGCCGCCGCCGCTGACATCACGACATGCCAGCTGAGTCATTGCCCCCCGCAAGTCCGGCCCACTCCGAGCAGTGACTAACCTTCTGACGCCATCGCGATCCCCTCCGCCGCCGGCTATGCGACGTCTCTCGCCCCGTCCTCATGCGTCCTCGTGCGCCCCCGTGTCCTCCTGCCCCTTCCAGCCTGCCCTCCAGCCCTCCAGCCTACCCCCTTTCAGCTCACTCTTAATAACCCATGTCGCCATGAACCGGCGCCAACTCGCCCTCCTCATCCTCCTCTCGACCGCAATCGGGTTCATGATGTTCAGCAGCCTCACAAGCGGCCTGGCTAGCGTCCGCCCCCCCGTCGTCATCATCGGCTCGGGCCTCGCCGGCCTCAGCGCGGCCATGGAAGCCCTCAGCGCGGGACAGAGGGTGCACATGCTCGAACGCGCGACCAAGCCGGGGGGGAACTCGATCAAAGCCAGCAGCGGGATAAACGGGGTACCGACGCCGTACCAGCCGCCCGGTGATTCTATCGATTTGTTCAAGAGCGACACGATCCGATCTGCCGGAAGTCGGTACACGGCGTCCCGCCAGGCGCTAGTCGACACGTTGGTCGAGCAGTCTGCGTCTGCGATAGAGTGGCTGAGCAGTCTGGGGGTGGATCTCAGCAAAGTCGCCCAGTTGGGCGGGCACAGCGCGGCCCGCACACACCGCGGATCCTCGGGCCCGCCGCCGGGCTTCGCCATCGTCTCGACGCTCCTGAACAAACTCAAGGCGTCGGAGGGCTTCACGCTGTCCACGAACGCAGACGTGACCGCGCTCTCCCTCTCGCCCCTCTCTGTGACGTACCAGACACCAGACGACGGCGCCGTCTCCCTCCCAGCGGCTTCAGTCGTGTTCGCCTCGGGCGGATTCGCGGGCGATGGGCCCGGGCTCTTGGCCCACTACCGGCCCGATTTGGCAGGTATGCCGAGCACGAATGACGCGAGGCGCGACAACGCCCACAGTCTGCTCGTGGGCGCGGGCGCAGAGCTCGTGGACATGGACAGCGTGCAGGTCCACCCGACGGGCTTCGTGGATCCGAAGGAACCGACACAGCCCATCAAGTTCCTCGCCGCCGAGGCGCTGAGGGGTGAGGGCGGCATACTCCTGCACGAAGGTAGACGATTCGTGAACGAGCTCGAGACGAGGGAACACGTGTCTGCTGCTATTATGCGTCTTCCTACGAAGGAGGGCGAGGGGAGACAGTGGGACGTCACCCTCCTCCTCGACCCTGGCGCATGTAGTGCTGCCAAGACCCATGTCGACTTTTACGTGTTCAAGGGCCTGCTCCGCCGCACCAAAGTCCGGGATCTCGACGACAAGGTCCGCGCCGCTGTTGACGCGTATGCCGCTGGTGTCGCCGGGGACCAGGATGCGTTTGGAGGGAAGAGTTTCGGACACTGGACCCTCCAGGCTGGTGACGCCGATGCTGAGGTGTGTATTGGCAGGGTTACGCCCGTGACGCACTTCACTATGGGCGGGGCCGTCATCGATGCCGACGCGAGGGTGCTTAATGCCAACGGGGGGCAGATTGGGGGCGTCTTCGCTGCGGGCGAGGTCACGGGTGGCTTGCACGGGGATAATCGCCTGGGAGGCAGTAGTCTGCTCGAGTGCGTCGTGTTTGGACGCATTGCGGGGCGCAACGCGGCGAAGGCGGCTGGGGCGAGGCAGGAGTAGAGGCGAGAGAGTGTCGGGTAGTTGTTGTATATAGTTCATGCGAGGGTGTATCAAAGTGTCTTGTTGGGAAGGATGCGACGGGACCAGGGACCAGCGAAGACATCGTGCATCGATCGGGAGCTATGGACAAACAGGCACTGTTGGTGGGTGCTTGCGTATGTACATGGATAGGCGAACGAGTGTCTAGCATTTCATCCTCGTGGTCATGAGGGGGAGGCTCTGTGTGGCGGCGATGAGACTGCTGAGCGTCTCCTCCTCCTCAAAGTCCTTGCGCCCGCAAGCCGAGCAGGGCTCCGCGTCCTCGAGCGCCGTAATTTTGAGGCGCTCACTGGTCAGAGGGAAGTTGGCCGTCTCTTCCTCGAACAGGTCATACAATTTGTCCTCGAACAGATCCTCGTGCGCGCCCGGATACTCTTCCAGCTCACGGAGGGTGATACGAGCCCATTTGTACGTCTCATCGGCGTTCGCTGCGTCCCTCGTGTCCGTAGGAGTTGCGGATGAGCGATTATCTAGGTACGCTTCGAGGACGTCACGCGAGCGCCTCAGCTTCTCCACTGCGGCTGTAACTCGAGCACGCAGTCGATAATTGGCGGCCGTGGCGATGATGTTGTCGTAGTATGCGGACATGAACAGGCAATGCGGTCCCGTTGTGTAAGGCTTGACCTCCTTCCTGAGCGCTGTCAAGTCAATGTCGCCAGTGCTGATGAACTCGAACGTGTCGTACTCGTGGGGCGGAAGGGGCTGGTCTGGGGCAGTATCGTTCAGGTTCAAGATCAGAGATTGACCCTCCATGCGAACGTCGCCAAACTTGCACTGCGATCGGCTGAAGTAGCGCTTCTTGCTTCCTTCCGGCGAGTACAAGCAGCTCTCGGAAACCGAATCGAGGCCATGAAACGTTGCACTGCCGCGCAGACGGAGGGAGCGAGCCATGTGCGAGTCAAAGCTCCATGCCCTGCAGTCAGCCACCGATGCATTCCTGCCACTCACTCAGCGCTTTTGCGGATTCTCTTGATCACTTTGTTGTCGATACCCTCACTTCTCCTCACGAATCGAAACAGTTGCTTCGGCGTGGGGGCCTTGTCGCTGGGCCAGGTGATGCAGGTATGCTCAGCAAAGTCGAACAGTTTTGCGAGGAAGTCATCAGCTTCAAATCCGAGCTTGTGAATTGAGCGATAAACGTCGGACTTGATGGCCCTCTGAACGGCCCGTGAGGACACGATAACATGATCAGGCTTCATGGACCAAGGCACGTGTGCAAGATCGCGCATGAGATCCCGACTCGGCAGTTGAAGAACATGCAGCACCCGGCAGTGAAGCAGAAGTTTTTGCTTGCGTTCGCGCGACTCTGCGCCGGGATCGAGGGCTGCACGCGGTTCGAAAGGGGCATCGTCATCCGTCTCCGACAATGACTCATAGTCGGACATGTCTTGCTCGCTGTCGTTCTCTGAGCGCGGAGGAGTAATCATCTCCTCCACCTCGACGCCTACCTCAGCATCGTCGTCATCCCCGTCTTCCTCGGGTTGCGAGTAATCACTGTAATCTTCGGTATCGCCGGAGTATTCCTCGCTCTCCGAGTACTCTCCATACTCAGAGTCTTCGCCTTCGTCAGAGTCTTCATCGTCTTCGAATGGGTTGCCATGCTCGCCACAGTCTTCAGGCATGGGCTTCCCTTGCCGCCACCGAACAGTCAGGTTGAGAGCGCATCGGTCCAAATCGGCGTAGTGAGACTCATGCAGATCGTGCTGAGCTGAATGTTCCTCTTCGTCACTGCCTTCGTCCTCATTGGGTTCGAGGAAGAGGTCGCGAAACTTGTTGAATTCCGCCGCGTACGCTTCCTTGCTCTCGAACACATATCGGGTCTTGCGGACACTTTCTGAGCGCTTGAAGCCGTAGAACAAAGCATCGGCATTGTTGCGGGTGAGCACGATGCGAGAATAGAGTATGGGGGCGACGATGTTGTAGAAGGTGTGAGAAACGCGCATGAGGGTGGCGAGGGCTTGACGACCGCTCTTGGTGTGGGGAGAGTCTCGCCCAGGACACAGAGCCAGCTGCTCAACGACAAGCTCTATGATCTCCGGGGGAAGGCGGGTACCAAGCCCGCCAGGGTCGGGTGTCGGCATGTTGTTGGCCGTTGGAACTACAGAAACGTGCTGAGTGCTGAGTGCTGGGTGATGAGGAAGGAAGACTGTTTGGATCACCGAAAGTGACACCACGAACGGAGTTGCCCAGGCACCAGACCAAGACCATGGATCGGCGGTCGACTAATCGTTTCACGAATTCACGCAGCTGCGCGAAGCGCCAAGTCGGCCTCACCTTCCCCTGCTGAAGACAAGCACGCATATGCGCCTGCAACTGGTACAATCTGAAGCATGCAGTGTCAAGCTGTGTCGTTTCATGTACTCCCATGGTTGTAAGCGCTTGCATAGCATTTCGGTAGCTTGGCAGCCTCTCGAGCGATAAGGGAAATCGGATTGCGACGAGATCGCTCTACCCTGACAGCGCCGTCCTGGAACAGATGCAATTCTCACAACAGAGGACGGGGTACCATTACGGAGCATCAACACTCCACGGTGAGCTCCTGGGTTGTTATCACTGTCGCGCGCACTGCAGTCCGGAACGTCGCTAGGCCACTCCCGGTCGGATCCGAAGGCCCTTATCTATCTTATGTTGCCACCCCCGTAAGCTCTCCACCAGACAACGCGGAGATTTGGTTCCGCTCGACGCGTCGCGAATGTCATCAGGCTCGTGAGCAGGGTTGACGCGACTTTCATGACAGCCTGCTCGCACTTGTTGTTGCTGTCCCTATACCCTTCCTCCGCTACCTCGCCACCACTTTCGTCCAGATGACGTCTAACGGCATGGACACCGAGGTCATCGACCTCAGCATGTCTAGCCCGGGACCTATCCCAGACTCTCCGGTCTCCGAGGGACCAAAACGCAAAGCTACAGGCATGTTCTTTCCGCGTACACATGCGCTGACCTCCAGACAACGCGACACCAGGACCAAGTAACGACAAGCGGCCGAGAATTAGCAGTGAGTGATGACATAGAGCTGATATTCCTTGTCCAGTGCTGACGACTAGGCCCAGGACTGCTGGAACTGAAAGGGAAGAAATTGATATTCAACCAGGAGCCGTACTCCCGTGCGATCCCCCGTCGCCGTAAGTGCACGCCGACGACATTTTCTGACCCGACGCAGGCATGCTTCAAGTGGAGAGTTGGCTGCTTGACATCGAGGAAGGTGGTGGCAAGGTTGACTCCATCCCGGACGAGTTCCATGACGTGATCGTCATGGCTGGGCACGAGCTGTGAGCAACAAAACAACAGGAGCGATCGCTGACAAGAAGTTCTTCCGCTACCGAGGGGCAGTTCGTGAAAGCCCTCAAGAACGAGATCGCCAAAAGTGACGGTAAGCTGCGCCCGCAGCGAGCTATCTAACATCAGACGCCCTCACGCCCGAGCTTCTCACTCCTCTCGTCTCGAAGCTATTCACACAGAAGCAGTACGGTTTCACTGCCGCCGACTTCAATGTTGCCGCTTCAAAGTTTCCCGCCGGCCTGCAGATTCGTTGCTGGGAAGCGAACGACCTCGAGAAGTACTTCCCTGCCGATCGGATAGCCGATCTCAAGGCGCGCCGCGTCGATCGCGAACGCGCACGCGAGGAGTGCGAGCACATGCTCTTCGCCATGTCGGACGCGGACAAGACGGCTCTGCTCGAGGGCAAGCTGGACGACATTCCTGGGCAGAAGAAGCAGGAGTCGCGCAAGAGCCGCGAGGCGACTGCCGCAACGGATTCCAGTCGGCGGAGCGCGTCACCCTCCAAGAAGCCCAGGGTCAAGCTCACGGACGAGGAGAAGGAGAAGGCTAGGGAGGAGAAGGAAAAGGCCAAGGAAGAGAAGGAAAAGGCTAAAGAGGAGAAAGAGAAAGCGAAAGAGGAGAAGGAGCGGCTGAAGGAGCAGAAGGAGGCGGAGAAAGAGGCCAAACGTCTTGCCAAACAAGCTGAGCGCGATGCGAAGAAGCAGGAACAGGAAGAGAAGAAAGCGTGAGTGATCATAAAAATCATAACTGACAGTGCAGGGCCAAGGAACGCGAGGAAAAGCAGAAGGCCGAGGTCAAGGCCAAGCAGGCTCAGATGTTTGGCTCTTTCTTCAAGCCGAAAGCTCCGGCCGCACCAAGTAGTCCGCGCAAGCCAATTTCGGATGAGAGCGACTACCGCCGCGCATTCCGGCCAGCGCCGCAGCGTGCGAACGTCGAGATCGCTCCTGTCAACCGGTGGTCACCCCTGGACAGCACCGATAACATCGACGTCTCGTCATGGACTGCAAGGGACTTTATCAACGACCATCTCCGACGGAACAAGGTCGCTGCGGGTTCCACGCGGCCAAAGCTTTCCCAGGGACTGAAGACTGCACCTCGTCATGGAACGGTTGCCGACGTCTGGGCCGCTCACCAGGAAGCTGCAGACCCACAAGCTGTGCTGGGCCAGCTCGCGGATAACGAAAAATTCCCGTGGAAGACCCTTGCCTTTGACCAGCAGGTGCGACCACCGTACTCGGGAACGTTCACGAAGAAGTCACTTGTTGTCGGTCCTCGTACGCCGTTTGGCCAGGACCCGATATTCGACTACTCATACGATTCTGGCGATGAGTGGCAGGACGACGAGGGTGGTGATGACGTCGACGACTTCGGAGAAGGAGAACCGGAGGAGGCCATGTCTGACGACGGGGAGGAAGGAGAGTTCGACGACTGGCTCGATGACTCGGACGATCTGCTCTTCCAGCAAGATACAGACGTTCCGATGCTGTCCCCCACCGAGACTTCGCCGCGCAAGCTCAGCAAGGAGAAGAAGGAGGAAAGGAAGAAGCCTCGCCAGCTCGTGCCGAAGCGTGTCACAAAGCTGACCCCGTACTGGCGCGGTCCTGTTTGGGAGCAGAAGATTGCGGAGCCGATGGACGGGCTGGAGGAGTATCGTATCCAGCTCTTGAACGACACGCCTGCTTCCATCGACCCATTCAAGTATGTTGCTCCGGATCCGGCACCTCGCTACAAGCCGTCGTTCTCGGATACGGCCGTCGGCGTGCACATCAAGGTGCGATGCCTTCTGGGCACCCATGAGGTTGCTGCTGCGGCACCCGAGCCTCCTGCAAAAATGCCTCTCGGCGACGCATCGGCGACCACCAACGTACTTCAGCCCAAGTCACGCCCTGCACCCAAGGTTGCCTTCCCTTCGTCGCACATCGCTGAGCTGCTGCGTCTCGTCGATGGCTCGCCAAAGATCCTGTCGGATCTCATCAGCTATCTCAAGTCGCACTTTGACGACATTACGACGAAGGCCGCAATTGACGCCAAGATTCGCGAGGTGGCGACGCGCGAGGGCAAGGGCAAGGAGATGCGCTGGCGCGTAACGAAGGAGGCATGGGAGGCCGCCGGGCTGACACCGCCGGCGCACGGGCTGATGGCCAGCTTCGGCAAGTAGAGGAGATCCAGTGAATACAGTGTATAAACTTGTTTGTAAACAGTATCAGACCATTGTACGGCCTGAAGGCCAGCCATGAATTTGTGCAAACCCGCCCAACCTGCAATTGCAGCGATCACTGACCCATAAGACAACCAGCGGGGGCATGCTTGCTGCAGGAAGCCGCCAGCTAGAGAGCCTCATTAGTACTGACATGCACACGGATGATGACCGTTACATGCATCGCGATATCGCAGACATAAATTGCGCAAATGTTGTAGCAGTGCCACAAAGGGACGGAGGTATTGCCTATCCCCGCCACGTGGCCTCGCACACGCGTTGCGGGCAGTGATGCAACCGCTCGAGGTCAGGTCAGTGACGATGATGACCAACGGTTAACGACCTCCAGACAACCAACAACCACAAGCACCATGCCTGTGGCTACCGTTACCACGAGTGCTGGTGAGTACTAGAAGGCAGAATATGCGGAAGAGGCAGTGGACCTCTGAGAGGAAGGGGATCGCCTCCCCCGCACCTGTTGCTCTCCCGCTCGCTTCCGAATTGTCCAGTAGCGCTGACATGCAGCGGGTTCCCTCGCCCTTCTCAAGGACGAGGACCGCGACGTTCGTGTCTATGCTCTTGAGTATCTCCTCGGCATTGTTCCCCAGTTCTGGGCCGAGATCAGTGAGGAGCTCCCGTACATGTGAGTTCATGAGAATCGCTCATGGGGTGATTACCTCAGACGATCTGCCGGCGACAACGCTAACCTTGAAGTGAGTCTCTCGCCGACCCTCAGTTCTCCCAGCTTCCCGCCGAGAACCGTTCGCTTGCGTCGCTGCTCTGCTCGAAGGTGTTCTTCTACCTTGGCGAGCGCGATGAGGCTGTCGAGTTTGCTCTCCGCGCCGGACCCGCCTTCTCCAACCTTCCTTACGATGAGTTCAAGGAGACGATCATCGCCGGCTGCATCGACCGCGCCATTGACGACACGGAAGCGGGACGCACTGTTGACACTCGACTCGAGGAAATCGTGGACGGCGTTATCCGCAGTGGATCCGGTGACGGCGCCAAGCTGGCTATCGGCCTCGCTCTCTCGCTCCGCCGCCTGAACCTTATCGAGGCGATCTACAAGGCGTCGCGTGCTCCCGCCGAGTCCAGCGCTTCTGGAAGCAAGTCGACCAGCGGAACTGTCCACGACGAGTCCCTCCTTAGGTACATCCTGGCTGAAACGATCGGCGGAACGGCGGGAAGCGACTCATGGCCGGATTCGTTCCGTCGCGACCTCCTCTCCCTCCTCCTCAAGCTCTTCAGGCTGAACACGCCCTCCGACTACAACGCCATCACCCAGCTCTGGGTCCAGCTCGACGACGCCGCCGACTGTGCCCAGGGTATCATCAGCCTTCTGGCCGATGGAGGTGTCCAGGGCCGCGTTGAGGCGTACCAGATCGCTTTCGACGTGACCGAGATGGCGCCCCAGAGCTTCCTGGAGCGTCTGCGCACCGTCATCGCCGAGTCTGGATGGGGACCCGAGGGATCGAAGGGCGATGAGGAGCAGCGAACAGCCCTGCACGAGATCCTCAACGGCAACCGTATCGCTGAGCTGTACATCAACTTCCTCAAGAAGCACAACCAGACCGACATGTCCATCCTGAAGGGCACCAAGGACAGCCTTGAGGACCGCTACTCCATCTACCACTCTGCCATCACCTTTACCAACGCTTACGCCAACTGCGGAACGACGTCCGACCGCTTCCTCCGCGAGAACCTCGACTGGCTCGGACGGGCGTCCAACTGGGCCAAGTTCTCGGCGACCGCTGCGCTTGGTCTCATCCACCGAGGATCGTACATTAACGGCGTTCGCGTCGTGAAGCCGTATCTCCCCGGAGGAACCGCTCCGTCCAAGTTCTCCGAGGGAGGTGCCCTGTTCGCTCTCGGTCTGATCTACACTGGAAGGAAGGCTGGTGCCGAGACTGAGCTTCGCCAGGGTCTCGACGACGCCAACGACCCCATCGTCCAGCACGGCGCTGCTCTCGGTCTCGGTGTCTCTGCCCTCGGAACTGGTGACGAGGAGATCTACGACGAGCTCAAGAACCTCCTCTTCCAGGACAACGCCACCTCGTCGGAGGCTGCCGGATACGCCATGGGTCTTGTCATGCTGGGCCAGCCCAACGAGCGCGTGCTCGATGAGATGATCTCGTACGCTGGTGAGACTCAGCACGAGAAAATCATTCGTGGTGTTGTCATCGGTACCGCTCTCACCATGTACGGCAAGCGCCACGGTGCGTCCGACGTGATCCAGAAGTTCATCACCTCCAACGTGAGTTAAGTTGTGAGCGGCATGTAACTAACGAGCAGGATGCTATCCTCCGATACGGTGGTATGTTCACGTACGCTCTCGCCTACGTCGGCACTGGCGACAACAAGGTCATCAAGCAGCTCCTGCACTTTGCCGTCTCCGATGTCAACGATGACGTTCGCCGTGCCGCCGTCATCGCCCTTGGTTTCGTCCTCTTCCGCAACCACACGCAGGTTCCCCGTGTCGTCCAGCTTCTCGCCGAGAGCTACAACCCCCACGTCCGTCACGGAGCCACCCTTGCTCTTGGTATCTCGTGCGCCGGCACCGGTCTCCAGGCCGCCATCGACCTGCTCGAGCCGATGACCAAGGACCCCGTTGACTTCGTCCGCCAGGGTGCTTACATGGCTCTCGCCATGATTCTCATCCAGCAGACCGAGGCGCAGTCACCCAAGGTCAAGGAGATCCGCGAGCTCTTCCAGAAGGTCGTTACGGACAAGCACGAGGACCCCATGGCTCGCTTCGGTGCCTCGCTCGCCCAGGGTATCATTGACGCCGGTGGCCGCAACATGACCATTTCGCTCGCCACTCGTGCTGGCACCCCGGACATGAAGGCTATCGTCGGTATGGTCATGTTCGTCCAGTTCTGGTACTGGTTCCCTCTTGCGCACTTCCTCGGCCTGACCTTCTCGCCGACGACGATCATCGCGCTCGACTCGCAGCTTCGCATCCCCAAGGTTGACTTTGTCTCGTGGGCCAAGCCGAGCATGTTCGACTACCCCAGCACGGCCAAGCCCGTCACGGAGGAGAAGAAGAAGAAGGCCAAGGCTGCCGTGCTCTCGACGACCGCGAAGGCGCAGGCGCGCGCCCGGTCAAAGAAGGCGGAGGCTGGCGAGGCGATGGACACGGACGACAAGCCCGAGAAGGACGAGGATGACTCGTCGCCCAAGAAGAAGGAGCGCAAGGCCGAGCCTCCCCAGGCCGTCGTGCCCAACATGACTCGCGTCACGCCGCAGCAGCTCCCCTTCATCACTGGACCGTACGACCCCTCCTCGCTCAAGGGCAAGGAGAAGGAGGACTCGCTCGCCCCCCTTCACCCGAAGAAGGGCGCGTACCGCCCCGTCCGTGCCGTGGGCAACTACGCCGCGTACGAGGCCGACAAGCTCAGCGACGGCCGCGCACGCGTCCAGTGGTCGGGCAAGGTGCTCCTGCTCGAGGGTGAGGGCAGCGACGGCTTCATCGAGCTCGACGCCGCGCTCTGGCCCCGAGGAGCCGTCGACGAGCCCGCCTCGCCGCCCACGCCCACGCCCATCGGTGGCTCTGCTGCCATTGGCACCGCGCCGCCCAGCTACAGCGCCAGCCAGAGCTTCGACTGGGACGGCGAGGCGCCCGCCTCGTTCGAGTATGAGTTTGACGACAGCAGTTAGGTTGTGTAGCGCGCGCGTGTGCAGTCGGAACGATTAGAATGTAAAGCATATATGCATGGAGAAGTGATACAACTGGGGTGCAATGTGCGGACAGGCGGTTCTCTGAATGTCAGGTTCGGAAGCCAGCTTAAGCCAGGGCTGCAAGTGGTGCTGAGGTGCTGAGGATCTGAGACATTGGGTGGGTGCATGGTAGGGGTATAACTATGAACGGGACTATGGAGGTCAGTAGACGGAGTCAGTTTCACGCGAGTCTCACGCGAGATCATTCGACAAGCGTAGGTCCGGGGGCTTTTGGGTTTGCTGTTTGGGAGTGAAAAAATCAACTCCCGAGCTCTGGTAAGAGCTCTGATGCCACACAGCGCGCGAGGGAACCATTCCTCGCGAGCTGGCTAGGCAGAGCGCAGAGCGCAGAGCCCGCAGAGCCAGCATCGCTGTGCCGGCGCGTACTAGTTACGCGCCGCTTTCATGTGCGGTCGAAATGTGCATCCCCAGGAAATACATGGTGTAAGAAACTACGCCTACGCTGCTTAAGCGTCCTGCTTCTGGCGGCGCTTCTGGTCGCGCTCCTCGGTGATGGTGAGCTGTAGATGTCAGTTATTGATTCACGCTGAGAGTATCTCAACTCACCTTGACACCCTTGCCCTTGGGGAGCGAGACCTGGGCCTTGGCGCCCTCACCAATAACGAAAACGTTGCCGATGCGGGTAGCGAAGGTGCGGTCAAGAACGTCACGGACGTGGACAATGTCGAAGCCACCAAGGTGACGCTCCTTGTGGACGATGACACCGGAACGACCCATGTTACGTCCACCAGTGATCATGACGACGTTTCCGGGCTCGAACTTGAGGTGGCCGGTGATCTTGTTCTGCTGGAAGTCGAACTTGATCGTGTCGTTGACCTTGATGTTGGGGTCGGGGTAGCGGATGGTGCGGCCGTCGTGGGTGACGACGTAGGGGACACCCTTGGCACCGAGCTGGCACTTCTTGACCTTGCAGAGCTTGAAGGTAGCCTCCTCGGGGGTGATGCGGTGGATGGTGAAACGACCCTTGACATCGTAGAGGAGACGGAAGTGCTCGCCAGACTTCTCGATGGAGATGACGTCCATGAAGCCGGCGGGGAAGGTCTCGTCAGTGCGGACCTTGCCGTCGACCTGGATGAGACGCTGCTTGACAATAGCAGTGACCTCCTTGCCGGTGAGGGCGTACTTCATGCGGTTACGCAGGAAGACGGTGAGGGGGAGGGACTCGCGGAGCTTGTGAGGGCCGGGCGAGGGGCGGGGAGCGTAGGTTCCGCCCAGCTTGTCGAGCATCCATGACGAAGGAGCAGCAAGACGCTTGAGGTGCTTTTTAGGACCGCGACCCTAAGGAAGAAGTTAGCAACAGGTTCACTTCACAAAATTTCTTGACCAGGCGATTTTCGACTCGACAGTAGCAGTTCAGACAGCGCGAACAAGGCAGAAGAGCAGCTCGATATTCGTGTTGCTGCAAAGGACATTGCGAACAGCTTGTGCGAAAGTCGTCGTCGTTGGTTGTTCACCCAAGCTACGCTTAGGTGATTGTCGTCCGAGTTCCTCTTCCAGGCTCAGTCTCCATGCTCAGAAGCTCTGCCATCGCGAGAACCAAGCTGCCCGTGCTGTCCGTTGTGTTCGTCGCTGTTCTGCTGTCGCTGCTGTCGAGGTCGTCGTCGTCTGGTAAGCGCGTCGGCGACTCACCATTTTGATTGATGGTTGGAGAGTTAGCTCGAGCCTTGCAATCTCAAGGTCAACCACCAGCAGCCGTGCAGCGACACTTGCTGCTCGCATTCAGGGTCCAAAGACGCCAGTCGGCGATTGCGCAAGTGGCACGAGATTATGTCCGACCTTTACGTTTTAAGCCACGTGCAATTATAGAGTGGAGATGAACGCAAGTCCGGCTTCTCGGTGGAGGTCGAACGTGTGTTGCGTCATACGATCGGTTACCAATGTTCGACGGCGTCTACGACGTTCCGACAACAACAACCACAATGGCAGACAAGCTCGACCTCGATCAGATCCTAGAGTTCGCAAAGGACACTGCCCGCAAGGTCAGCTAACGCACCTAGGCCCGAGCTGACATATTAGGCGGGCCAGCTCATCCAGGACGGCCAGAAGCGCCGCATGCAGGAGAATGCGTCGCAGGACCAGAAGGTCAACTCGGTTGACGTGAGCAGGAACGGGGGAAGGCGCTGATCGCAGCTCGTCACCGAGGTCGACAAGCAGGTCGAGGACTTTATCACCAAGACCATCAAGGCGAAGTACCCTGACCACAAGTTGTGAGCTGTGTGGTGCAGTTCGCAGCTGACACCAGCATCGGCGAGGAGACCTATGACGGCCAGAAGATCACTGACGACCCGACCTGGATTGGTGAGTTAGCGTTAGACTCGGGACGAACTAACATACAGTCGAGTAAGCTGCTTGGCGTGCCGCATTAGCTAAACACCAGCCCGATCGACGGCACGACAAACTTCGTAAGCTACCGTGCCCACCTATAGCTGACTCCAGATCCACGGCTTCCCCTTCGTGGCCTGCTCGATCGGCTTCGCGGTCAAGGGCAAGCCGGTCGTCGGCGTCGTGTACAACCCCTTCCTGAACCAGATGTACTCTGCCGCCGAGGGCCGGGGTGCGTACGCCGACAGCACCAAGCTCCCGCGCACGAAGAAGGGTCTGAACGACCTCGGCGAGGCTCTGTGAGCTCTCCCAGTCACCGACGAGCTAACATTAGTGTCGCTGTCGAGTACGGCTCCTCGCGCCGCGACCCGGCCATGTCGAACAAGCTCAACTCATTCAAGAAGCTGACCAGCGACAAGAAGGACGGCGGCAAGATGGTGCACTCGCTGCGCTCTGTTGGCTCTGCCGCCCTCAACATCTGCATGGTCGCTGCGGGCGACATTGATGTGTAAGCTGCAAAGTGCCTGCGATAGCTGACGGCAGGTACTGGGAGATCGGCTGCTGGCCGTGGGACGTCTGCGTGAGTTGGCTGCTTTGGAATAAACTGACGCACAGGCCGGCATGTGTATCCTGCAGGAGGCGGGCGGCGCCAGCTTCGGCAGCAAGGACTCGGACGCCAAGGACGGCGTGCCCACGTCCAAGATCATGGGTGAGTTTCGCAGTCCAGCGTTACCTGACACCCAGAGGGCCGCAAGTACCTCTTTGTGCGGTACATCAAACCCGAGAGCGACGGCGACACAGTCATCGGCTGCCAGGGCAACATTGCGCACGAGTTCTACGACTCGATCCAGGAGTGGGACGCCTAAGCGGGCGTCGCGAAGCGAGGCTGCCTCGCGTTCGTTGTGTTGGGCGCGGTGCTTCCAAAGCAAATAGAAAGAAGAATATCCATAACCAAACAAATGCAAAACTTAACAAAGACTACAACACAAGCATACAAACTCACACACAGCGACACAGACGCACTGGATCAAACACACACGGAAGATGGGGTTAAATGTCCCAGCCCACCCGAGGACCGTCTACCTGCATAGACAGCCACAATAGCACCCTCAGGCCGACTAAAGCCCTCGGCGCGCCTGGGCAGACTGGGTATCGTTCTCGCCCCCCTTTCCCCGTCCAGACACCAGTGGAGTTGGGCGCTGATCGTGAATAAAAGGGGCTTGTCGCAAAAGCTCGCGACTGGTGAAGAGAGGGTGAGGAGAGGAAGGAGTGGGAGGGGGAGGGAGGGATGTGAGGGAGGGGATAGGAGTGTGCGTGTGAGTGTGCGTACGTTTTGGGTGCGTCACTGTGTCGCTGCGAGTGCTTGTGCTTGTGTTAGCATGACTGTCGAAGGGATGAAGAGAGTGAGGAAAGACGAAGTACACCAGCCGTTCAGAAATTGTTACACTTTTGCAGTCGGTAGTCGTGCCTCGCACCCGGTTTGATACGCTGTCTTCACTCCTGACTTAAGTCCACGCATAAACATCACGTGACCAGTCTGGGTCAGTCCCACGACAGATCCCTCCGTGGAAAGTTGTAAAGGCTAATGAATGCGCAGAGTGGCCGACCCTTGGCTGTCTTCAGGCTGGTCAGGTGACGGACGTTCTAATTGACTGGGCGGCAGGAACGACGCAGGGCGGGCTCTTCGGCCCAAATCAGTCATTTCGAGCTTGTGGGTCTCACGAGTGGAGATCCGGTATTGGACAGTTGTGATGGGCTCGCGTTCGTTTAGCCTCTCCTGTGACATGTCATACGCTGAGGACTGGGTTTGCCGGATCCCGGAATTGGGCCCGACGGTGCTGTCCAACTGCAGGAGGAGGACGAGGGATCACCAGCCCGTGCGCCCGAGACCGCGGGGTCCGAGCAGCCAAGAGTCGACGGTGGTGTCGGTGACCGGCTAATCATCCACCATTCGTCGATCGTCGAGCGCATAGCGAGCATAGCCCGATGTAGCAACCAACGAACGGCGCGGCGCGGCGCGCGGCGCGTCACCCCTTTCCCTCACGGCCCTCACGGCCCTCACCCTGTGGACCCCGTCGCGCTCGGCGCCTCGGCGGCCGTGTCTCTACGTTTCTATGTCTGCTTTTAGCTGCGCTCAGCGCCCTGCCGCCGCCGGCGCCGCCTGCAGCGCCATCGAGGCAGAACCGGCTGCGGAAGGCGTGCACTGCGCATGTGCATCTTACTTTCGCCTCGTTACAAGCTCACGGTTCCGTGAGAACATCTGCACCCAGTATTCTTGGCGGAAGAGTGCAGAGTGGCATGCTGTAAACGAGCGTGTGGTTGCACGGACATGCCTCCGTGCCTCTGTTTCCTCTGTTCCTCTGTTCCTTCCCAAGTAGCGATTTCGGGGTATGCCCTCCTCCGTCCGCCTGCTCGGAAGGCACGGCGCGCAAGAGTGTGGAAGCGGTGTTGGGAGAAGAGTTACGGCAAGGCACGGCCTGCAATCTTGCAATCCCAAGTTTGATCTGTCGCAGGCTTAATGCAAAGGGATGAAATGGTGGGTTCTTTGTAGTGCGTTTTGAGTGTTTAAACTTCGATCAACGCGTTCAAGCGCCTCTGGCACCAGGGCACGAGTCCAGGGTCACCGGCGGCATCAGGCGCAGGGCCCGAGGAAGCCTGAGGATGCCTGAGGGCGCCGCAGCGTCAATGGCTGCTTCCGGTTGGGAGGGATGGGAGGGATAGCAGGGGACCGGGCGGACACTGAAGGGTTCTGCGCTGGGATGCCAGGGCTTGACGGTATTCACGGCACAGTGCACCCTGGGCCGTACACTCTGGTACAGCATTACTGACAGACCACCAGTCAGGCGGTCAGCTGCGGTCAGGCGTCGACTGCAAGCCAAGCTCATCAACCTAAGCTTGGACAGGAAGGAAGGAGAGCTAGGAGAGGGAGATCGACCCAGCATCCCAGCTAATCCCAGCAATCAGTCCAGGAGTCTGCTTCCGTCCTGCCTCTGATGCCCCTGGCCTGTCCGCCGCTTCTCCCCTTGCCACTGCCCCTCCAGCCGAAAGCCAACATCACTGCTGCTGCGCGTCTGCCGCTGCTGCTCCGGGAGAAAGCCAGCTGCCTGTGCGCCAGACCTAGCCAACGACCACCCGACAGTAACGCTGTGATCTGCGCCATCTCATCTCCTCGACATCCTCTCTCCCCCTCTTCGACATCTCCCATCCTACCTCTCCCCTTCCTCCTCCTCCTCTCCCCTCCACTGCTTCTCCCCCCATCTTGACACCTCTCGCGTCCGACATCAAAGACGCGTACCGACGAGGCCAAGTAAACAAACCCCGCTCGACGGCCAGCAACCAGCGACCCTCACCCTCGCGTCTGGTTGTTGTTTGGACTCGGACACGGATCGACCGGAGCGCGTCGTCACGACCTCTCGACCAGCCTGTTGATCGAGAGCCAAGGGCCGACAACCTCCCCTTCTCCCTTCTCTCTGCCTAACGAACAGCGGTTCCTAATACATCATGGCCGCTACCTCGAACGGCAACGCCGCCCAGGGCGCCGCCGCCCCGGGTCAGATGCCCGGCCTCAACAGCTCCCAGAAGCAGGCCGTCGCCCAGGTCGCCGCGCAGGACGCCCAGCGCGGTGCTACCGTTCACGTGAGTGATGGATGAGCTGCGGCAGGCCGACCCTCCGGATGGATGCTTGGGTCAACCGCGCCGCAGCTGCCATAGCTGAGTCGGCCCCTAAAGCGACTAGAGCTAACCACGCAGACATTTGACGCCAACGCTGCGCCCCAGGACAAGGCCGCTGCTAGCAAGAGCGGCTTTGGCAAGGTCTTTGGTGCCCCGAAGAGCATCGGCCGCGGCGTCATGAACGTCGGCAAAGGTGCCGCCGGCGGTGTCGGTGCTGTTGGACGCGGCGTCGTCGGCGGTGCGACAAATGTTGTTGGCGGAGTTGCTGACGGTGTCGGTGCCGTTGGCCGAGGTGCCATCGATGGTGTCGGAGCCGTCGGCAAGGGCGCCATCGGTGGTGTCACTGCCGTCGGTCGCGGCGTCGGCGGCGGCGTCAATGCCGTCACTGGCCACGTCCACGGCCAGGCCAGGAATATGCTCGGCAACATGCCCGGCATGGGCGCGCTCAAGGACGACCCGAAGGGCAGCGCGCGTGGTGAGTACTCTATCATGACTTTTCAGCATTGTTTATCGGCCGTCGATCACTGCCCGTGAACGGAGGTCTGGGCATAAGCCACACAAAGTTGTCCTCATCACAGGAGCTACCGGATCGTTGGCGGCTTAGCCGCCACGACGCACGGATAGCTGCGAGCGACCTACGGGATGCGTGTGTGGTGCACAGCTTTGATGTGTTAAAGAGCGATCACTCACTCGCTCTTTCATGCTGTCATCGCTTCGCCTTTCAGTGCTACCGCAGCAATGAAGGGCAAACTCACCCCCATCCGACCTGATTCACTCCCTAAGCTTCCAAAAATCACCGTGACGAGAGCCGTTGCTGATGAACCCCAAGCCGTCGCTATCGACACGTCGACCTCGGACGCCCCCGCCCCGACGGTCTCCCTCGAGGACGCCAAGAAGGCTAGCGAGGAGGCCAAGAAGGAGCAGGACGTCCCCGGCAACATTCCCAAGACAGTCCTCCCCGGCATCCCCACTTGGGTGAGTTGCGCATGTGTAGTTAGAAGCTGACAAGCAGATGGGCGATGGCTTCGGCTGGAAGGAGGTCGCCGGCATTGAGGGCAAGGGCCTGGCCGATGCCAAGACCGCTGAGCAGCTTAGCATTCTGCAGCAGTATGTCTCGGACCAGTACTACGGTACTTGGTACGTGAACGCTGGCATCATTGTCTTTGCCGTTCTCGCTACCCGTCTCACCTCGTGGCTCTGCTTTGGCTGGGCCTGGGTCTTCATCATTCTCGCCTTCTGTGCCACCGCCTACTCCCTCTCGATCAAGCGCACCCGCGAGCGCGCCCGTGACGACATTCAGCGCGAGCTCGTCAAGACTCGTCTCATCACCGAGACCGAGAGCGCTGACTGGCTCAACGGCTTCCTCGACCGCTTCTGGCTCATGTGAGTAGCTTTGGAAATTTCCAGGATGCAAGCTAACAGGCAGCTACGAGCCCGTTCTTTCGGCTACCATTGTTCAGTCTGTCGACGCTGCCCTCGTTGCCAACACCCCCGGCTTCCTGGACAGCATTCGCATGACCACCTTCACCCTCGGCAACAAGGCTCCCCGCATTGACTATGTTCGCACCTTCCCCAAGACCCCCGACGATGTCGTCGCCATGGACTGGGCTATTTCCTTCACACCCAACGACCTCCAGGACGTTACTCCCCGCGAGGCTGTCAACCGCGTCAACCCCAAGATCGTTCTTACCATCCGTCTCGGCAAGGGCATGGTTTCCACTGGCATGCCCATTCTCCTCGAGGACCTCTCCTTCTCGGGCAAGATGCGTATCAAGCTCAAGCTCATGACCGCCTTCCCCCACATCCAGAAGGTCGAGATGAGCTTCATCGAGAAGCCTACCTTTGACTACGTCCTGAAGCCTATCGGAGGTGAGACCTTCGGTTTCGACATCAACTCGATCCCCGGTCTCGCCCCCTTCATCCGCGACCAGGTCCACGCCAACCTCGGCCCCATGATGTACGACCCCAACGTCTTCACCCTTGACCTCGAGCAGATGCTCTCGGGCACTCCTCTCGACGCTGCCATTGGTGTCCTCAAGATTACTGTTCACGACGCCCGCGGCCTCAAGTCTACTAAGCTTGGAGGCGGCGCGCCCGATCCCTACGTTGCTCTGTCTCTTGGTGCCAAGCCCCCTGTCGCCCGCACCAAGACCATTGACTCGACTTCTACTCCCTCGTGGAACGAGACCCAGTTCGTTCTCGTCAACTCTCTCGCCGACGTTCTCAACTTCAACATCTTCGACTACAACGAGCACACCAAGGACGACCAGATCGGCACTGTCACCCAGGAGCTCCAGGGCTTCGAGGACGACGAGTCTCAGGAGGGCCTTGTCGGCCGCATTCTCCAGGGCGGCAAGGACCGCGGAGAGCTCCGTTACGACATCAACTACTACCCGACTATCCAGCCCGAGAAGAAGGAGGACGGCACTTTCGAGCCTCTTCCCGACATCCCCACTGGTATTGCCCGTCTCAACATCCACCAGGCGAAGGACTTTGACCGCTCCGGCGATGTCAACGCGTACGCTTCCGTCTACCTCGGCAAGAACCCCGAGCCTATCCACTCGACCGATGTCGTCAAGAAGAACTCGGCTCCTGCCTGGGATGACCACACCGAGTACATTTGCGCCGACAAGAACGCCTCCGTCGTCACCGTCGTGGTCACTGACAAGAAGACGAACTCGATCCTCGGCCGCTCCACGATCAAGCTCTCCGACATCATCGCCGCCAAGGAGAAGGAGGAGGACTGGTTCCCGCTCCAGGGCTCGCGCCAGGGCAAGATCCGTCTCTCCGCTACCTTCAAGCCTGTCAGCATGCCTGGTGCCATTGACGGCGCCGCGTCCTACGTTCCTCCCATCGGTGTCCTCCGTGTCCACGTCAAGAAGGCCATCGACGTGAAGAACGTCGAGCTCACCGGCAAGTCTGACCCCCACGTTCGCGTTATCCTGGGTGGAAAGGTCCTTGGCCGCACCGACGTTCAGGACTCGAACCTCAACCCCGTCTGGGACCAGATCATCTACGTTCCTGTTCACTCTCTTCGCGAGCGCCTCACCCTCGAGCTTATGGACTACCAGAACCTCGGCAAGGACCGCACTCTTGGTATGATCAACCTCGAGGTCGGCGGCTTCGCTGCCGAGAACCCTGGTAACAACGAGTTCCCGTACGCTTCCCTTGGCCCCAAGTCGCTCGCTGAGCGCATCTGGATCGACAAGGACAAGGAGTACAAGGGCCAGCTCTTCCTCGACGTTGACTTCAAGCCCGCCATGTCGCTGAAGGGCGGCGTGTCGTTTGAACCCAAGGCCCCCAACCCCGTCAAGGAGGTCGCCCAGGCCAAGATTACCGAGATTAACGACCCCACTGCCACTTCTGCCCCCTCTGCTGCCAACGGCTCTGCTGCCGCCACCAACGGCACTGCCCCTGCTGCTGCTCTTGCCAACGCCCCCGGTGACACTTCTGCCCCTACTCCTCCCCCCACTAATGGCGACGCTCCTGCTGTTCCTCCCAAGGAGGGCAACGCCGCCAATGGCGACGGCAAGACGCCCGAGACTGCTGCCGAGGACCCCGAGGTCGGTGTTGAGCTCACCGATGCCCAGCTCCTCCAGTACCAGTCTGGTATTCTCTGCTTCCAGGTCATCGAGGGCAAGCTCGCCCGCAAGGGTGCCCTTGAGATCATGTTTGACGACGGCTACTACCCCACTTTCACCACCGAGAAGGCCCGTGGCACCCACGTCAAGTGGGACCAGGTTGGCGAGGGTTTCGTCAAGGAGCTCGACTTTGGCCGCACCTGGATGCGCATCAACGCCGACCCCGAGGACGATGAGCCCGAGATTGTTGCCGAGCTCCACATGGACACCAAGGAGTTCCTCGAGGCGACTCTCGACAAGACTGCCACCTTCACCCTCACTGCCCCCAACGGCCAGAACCGTAGCACGGTCACGTTCTCGTCCCGCTACATTCCCGTCAACATTGTGCTCGAGCAGCGCGAGACGGTCAACAACCAGGGTATCCTGCGCGTCAATGTTATTGGCGCCAAGAACCTGCTCGCTGCCGACCGTGGCGGCAAGTCTGACCCCAACGTCACCTTCTCGCTGAACGGCCGCAAGGTGTTCAAGTCGGAGACCATCAAGAAGACGGTCAACCCGACGTGGAACGAGCAGTTTGAGACTGTCGTCCCCTCGCGCTGCGCTTCGCAGTTCGAGTTCCTCGTCTCTGACTGGAACACTGTCGGCAGCTCCGACCCGCTCGGCGGCGGTGTCATTGACCTGAACCGCCTCGAGCCCTTCCAGGCCACCAACGCCGAGTTCCCCGTCGTTCTCGACGGCAAGCAGCACGGTACCCTCCAGCTGTCCATGGTCTTCACTCCTCAGTTTGTCACTGCCGTCCGCCAGCGTACCTCGACCTTTGCCTCTGGCACCGGCCGTGTCGTTACCAACGTTGGCTCGGCTGCCATTGGCGCCCCCGTCGCCGTCGGCAAGGGCGTTGTTGGTGGTGTCGGCAAGGTCGTCTCTGCCCCCGGTCGCCTCTTCGGCAAGAAGAAGGACCGCACGCCGTCCCAGACGATCCCGAACCAGGAGGCTGCCTTCATCGCCGCCGGCGGTGCCGCGCACGGCGAGCCGCCCCAGGGCTACGCCGTCGACGGCCACGTCCCTGCTGACGGCCAGGCTCTCGCTGCCGGTCAGGTCTCTGCTCCCGCCGGAGTCGTCCAGCAGGGCGTCCCGACTGGCGAGGCCGCCACGACGCTTCCGGCCGACATGGCCTCCGCCCCGCAGGAGCCGGGCACGCTGACCGTGACTGTCCTGGGCGCGAAGGACATTCGCCCCGTGGGCAACAGCGTGCCCAAGGCGCTCGTCGCGCTCAAGTGCGGCGGCAAGTCGTACAAGACGGACTACAAGAAGGGCACCGAGGCCGAGTACAACGAGAGTTTCGCGTTCCACGTTGCGCCGGGCACGAACCAGCTGCAGCTCGCCGTGCTCGACCACCACTCGTTCGGTAAGGACGAGACGCTTGGTGAGGCCCTGGTCGACATCTGGCGCCACATCCAGCCCGCCGTGCCCACCGCGGACGTCTTTGTCGAGCTCAACGATGGCTCGGGCGCCGTCAAGCTGCGCCTCGACTGGGCCGCGGGCGCCAACTCGGCCCAGGGGTCCAAGCTCGGCCGGTCCCGCTCCCGCTCCGCTAGCATCACGAGCCGCACGACGGCCACCGTGGACACGCCGAGCAAGTCCAAGTTTGGCAAGTGAGCGAGGGCGCGCGAGAGCGAGCGCAGCGAGCTCTCGCAAGCCGAGCTACCTGATCGCGACGCGAGAGTGAAGGCGTGATCCGTGAGCAACCCGTGAGAATGTCCAGGGAATGATGTAGTAGTTACACAAGAGAAGAGAGAAGATATACCTCAAAAAGCAGTCGACATTCTCCCCCCTTTACATAGTCACACACATACCATCCGTTTTTATAGCCAATTTACCCCTACTTTTCCTCCTCCTTACTATAGTTTTTTCTGCCTGCTCTCTGCGCTCTGCGCGCCTGTGCGCCTGTCTTGGGTGAGTGCAGAGTATATACACGTGTCTGCATGTAGAGTTGATGCTATGGAGTCATGTCCGAAAAGCTGAGCGATGCGGTGGAGTCACTAGGCTGTCAGCCGACTTGCGCCGCCGCCGTCAGTGTGTCCCGAGATCTCGTTAGGAAGTAGTACTCAGCCCAAAGAATGTTCAACTTGTGCATTGTATATTTCTCTATTTGGTTTTAGTACTTGTTCGTCTGCATCCATCGGTCGATCTGCTCCTGGCTCACGCCATCGAGGCGATGGACGAGATAATCGACCTCGACGTCCTTGGTGAGGGGTATGACCCAGTCGCGATACAGGCGAACGACCTGCTCAATGTCGATTTTGCGCATGCTGTCATCGGGAATGACGTGCCCGTTCGCATCCATCTCGCACCCATACACGCGCGCCTTGTTGCCGAGGCGGACGAGCAGCTTCCTTTCCACTTCAGGCTTGGTGATGAGTTTCTCGAGTTCGGCCGTGTTGGGCGGCTGCGCCTGGATGTGGGGGATAAAGTCGGCGGGGGCGGAGCGGAACTTGGACTCGGACACGAACATGCCAAAGTGGATGCGGCGGGAGAGGGCCTGCAGTACCTCGACGTCGCGCGTCGCCGCGCTGCCGTAGTTGCCGTCGTCGAGCGGGTTGGAACCCGAGGACGACAGGCGGCGCGAGGTCTTGGGCGAGCCGGGCGGCACTTCCGTGATGCCCGGCACGATGTGGTTGATGTAAAAGTCGAGGATGCGCTTGTTCACGTTTGTCGAGGGGTGCACCGCGCTCGGCTCGTGCAGCAGGTGGGGGAACTCTTGGGCTGCGATGATGGGCGAGGGAAGCTTCTCGATCGGCGTGAAGGGGTGCTCGTCGGGACTGGGGGTCAGCTTGGTCCTTGCGCACTTCTCTTGCAGTCGCTCTTCTGTCTCCGCTTGCTGAGCTGCCACTTTCGCTGGATCGCTTACTGCAGCCTCCGTATCCTTCCTTCATACGCTCAGTTCTCGCAGCACTCCCAACTCTCGCAGAGCGTTACCTCCTCCTCCTCCTCACCTCTCGCTCGCTGCGCTCGCTCACGACTCACCTAGTGAAGCGTCTCGCCTTGGCGTGGAAAGACTCAGTCTCAAACAGGAACCAGTCAAGCCATGATCCCTCAAAGTCGATCTGGTCCTTGAATCCCTGCGGGTCGTAGATCTTCTTGTTCAGGGCAAACTGGGCGCGTTCGATGAGCACTGTCTGTTAGCGAGAATCGAGAGTTGTGCGGAGCCGGCGGTAGCCGGCGAGGGCCGGCGAGGGCCGAGGGTCAAGGTCGGCTTGGCCCTTACTGCTTCCTGCTCGCCCTCCTCCTTGAGCTGGAGCTCTATTCGCGCTTTCCTCTGAGCCAGCGGCCCCATTAGACTTCGGGGCGCGCCCCCATCGCGTGACTGGCCGCGGTGTCGGGCAAGCTCTGGCGAGCTCTGGCTTGAGGGCGCTGGCTAGCTCTTCGGAGAGAAGAGCCGTGACAGTGGAGAAAGCTGATGCTTCACAACCTCGCTGCGCTCGGCGATCGGCGCTAGGCGCTACTCACAGAAGATGATTGTGTCCTCGAGCCGAATGAGCTGCGAGCGGATATTGTCCAGACTCAGGATCTGGTCGGCGCTCGCGCCGGTCGTGAGGTTCATGTGGTTTATGGTCACGTAATTTGCTCGGGGGAAGGTGTATGCGAGGGGGTGCTTGCGCCTTGTCGTTCGGGCAAGCTGGGTCGTTGGGCGGAGGAGGTGTCGTATGCGTGCGGCGGCAGAGATCGACGATATAAACATGTAATGATCGAAAGTCAAAGTCTCGAAACGAGAAATGCGGGGTGGAGGACGCGGGTACTCGCCTCAGCGGGGCCGAAAGTGAGTCGTGACTGACCCGCACGTCAGGCCCGAGGGTGGGCCGTGGGTTTGCCGATCACTCCCGCCTGGTCGGGCCGCCTGCTGATTGTGCCTTAGTACCTCTTATGCGCTGCTCGCTGTCGCTCGCTATTATGCTAGTTGTACAACGATGCATATCTTGACCAGAACGGGATACTGTATGGTAAAAAATGGGTAATCTCTACAGGCGTTGACTTGGGGATTGTGTGCTTGTGCTTGTGCTGGTTTACAATTGACGGACAGACAGAACATGGGTTGTTTCTATGGCGAGGGTGTGGCGCTACGTCAGGCGTTCGACCTCGGCGTTGCTATCCCTCCCGCTGCTATCCCTCCCGCCTGCAGCCGCACTTCAGCTTACCCGCTACTAGCGCTCAGCCGGCGGACCCATGATACCCGCGACCATGGCCTTGTTCCACTTGGCCGGGCTGTTGTCCACCTGTGAGCCGCGGCCGTTGCGCATGGGCGCGGCATTCGCGTCCGGCACGGGGTTGATCGGCTGGAGCGGGCGCTGAGCCGGCTGAGGGGGCTGGAGCGGCTTCGGCTGAGGGGGCAGGGCGTGGTGGCTATGCTGAGAGTGATGAGCGGGCTGGTGGTGCGCCGGCGAGGCGGGCTGATGGGAGTAGGGAGCAGGCTGGGCCGGCTGCTGCGCGAGATGCTTTGGCTGCAAAGGGGGCACAACCTGGTACTCGCGCTTCTGGTATGTGTACTCGCGTTCCATGGGCTTGTGGCTGTCCCTAGCAGCCGTCCCGGAGACGGCTTTGGCAACGCTGCGCCCGAAGCTACCGAGGCGCGACTTGGAGTGCCGCTGTTCAGCGGCTGCGGCGGGCATGACGGGCACCGTGGGCGAGGCGAGCGGCGATGAGGCGCCGAGCGACGCACTCATGCGGTCCAGGTTCAAGGGGTTCGGACGGCTCGCGGGCAGCAGCGTGTTGTACGAGCCATACTGCGGCTGGCTCTCGGGCGACACGGGCGTGTTGGCCTCCGACGTGCGCGGAGTGACGGCAACAGTGGGCGACGGCATTGGCGAGTTGTGCGACGAAGAAGGGAAGTTTGGCCGGTCGATCATAACGGGTACCGGCGGAGGGCGGGCACCAGAGCCGCGTCTGGAGGGCAGCGTCTGCGACTGAACACCTGGAAGAGTGCTGGGATGGGGAGCACCACTCGACGTACGTCGGTGGGGCCCCGACGCAGCATAAGCATCCGGTGAACCGACACCGTTGAGCATGCGCAGGCTAGAGGGAGGGTCGTTCGAGCCCTGGGACATGGTCTTGCCGTGCTGACTCGAGCCTACAGAGACCTGAGACATGGTCGAGCCTTGCGACATCGTTTTGCCGTGTTGCGCATAAGCCGGCTTGGGTCGGTTGACCGAGGCGAACATGGGGGGGCCGCGGGCCAGGTCGTCCTCCTCCGAGATGAGCTGGTCCAGAGTGGGGGTCGGCAGAGTCGGGCTCCTCGGCGCCGAGTGCCCGAGCCCTCCACTAGAGCGACTGAACGTCGGCGTGATGGGCGTTCCGCTGGTCGGGGTTGACGCGCCGGAGCGACGGCCAGTACTGCCCAGGTTCAGGAGCATGCCAGGAGCCGAAATGTCGATAGGCGAAGAGGGCGTAGCTTCGGCGCTGGGCTGTGACACGGGGGGAACAGCGGACGGGTCGAGCTTGCGTAAAGCCTCTAAGTGGGCTCCTGTCAGGGGAGCGTAAGTTGACTGGTCGGACATGGGACGCTCGTCTGGCTCATTGCGGTCGCGTGGCGACTCAGTGACCGTGTTGGTCCTGTCAAAGTCGAGCATCTTAATGGGCGTTCCGAACTCGCTGACAGCTGGCTGAGACTCGCCAGTAGGCATCTTCATGGGCGTGGTGGTGTGCTCGCTCGGAAGCCTCGCCGGAGACGTCAGAACATCCCACCAGCCGCCGTCCGTCGTCTTCGTTGGGCTGTCAAAGTCCAACGTGAGGACTGGCTTCGTGTCCGGGATGTCCGTGCGGATCGCCGCAATCGGAGACTGTGGGGACGCAGGAGTCGTCACCTGAGGGAAGGGAGCAACCTTGCGCGCGAACTCGGAATCGGCAGAGTCCGAGTCGCCGTCAGAGGCGATCTTCTCGACATTGTCGGCCGGCGAAGCTTCCAGCGGTGGAGGCTCATCGCGGGGAGACGCCACCGCGACGACCGGGCTGGGGGAGCTGATGTCGTAGGACGATTGCTTCGACGAACGTGAAGAGTAGCCGCTACTGGTGCTAACACGCAGTGGCATGCTCGCCGACCGCGAATGAGTCCTGTGCAGACCACGGGGCGGAGCCATGTCGCCATTCGAGCCAAACTCGTCGTTGCCAGTGAGCGGGTTAGCTGTGGACTTGGCGCGGCGATGAGCCAAGCTGCGCGAATCCGGTCGCGGCGGCTCTTCCTCCTCGCGCTTCTTTGCCGGGAAGGCGCTCTGAGCGTCGGCGTCGGCCATCACTCGAGGATGAGCCGCTAGGTAGCGGGCGTGCTCGAACACAGTCTGGTATGATCCATCGGGGAACTGCCGTCAGCTGGGGAGCGCAAAGGGATAGCTTACCCTCTTCTCGATCTGGTCGATCTGACCATTGAGCCACGAAATCGTCTTCTCTTCGCTGACGTCGGCGTTCACGCCCTTCTCTCGCTCGCTCTCCAGCAGCTCTTCGATGACATTCAGAGCAGCAGCGTCGTCCAAGCGGGGGTTGACGTACAGAGACGCCGTGATGCTGCTGACCGTGGGCTCCCGCAACGGAATCGAGTCAGGGTCGGGGCGTTCGGGAAGCACATCGTAATAGGGGTCCACAATTGGGCGGGGAAGAGGCGAAACGGGCAGAGCAAACGTCCTACGCAGCTCGAGGAAGATCGGCAACAACGTGGGGGCATGCTTTGAAGCGGTATTCTTGCCGACGAGGCAGACGGCAGCCTCAATGTCGCCGAGATCCTTTCCGAGCTGCTCCCGGCCAGACTTGGCCCATCGGTATTTGAGCATGTACTCCCTCTTCTCGCGAGTGATGTACTCCGAGAGCAACTCGAGAGTGTATGCCTCGATCGGGTTGTGGTCCTTTGGCAACTGCGCCATGCTCCTAAGTGGCGAGGTCACCGGGCTAGGTGCCAACGGGGTGTCGGACATCCTGGGGCTCCTCTTCTTAGCGCCGAAGCCGTTTCTCTCCACACCCAACGGAACGTTGACTCCATTGCCAGTGTACGCGATAGCAGCACCGGGGCCGCCGAGTTCGATATCCTTAATGAACGATGTCAGCATCTTGATGCAGCTCGACTTTGACGGAGCAGGAAGCGCGATGGGGTAGAGGACCTGCGTGGGAAGGAGAGTCCTGGCGCGAGCCGAGCGGAACGCCGGGCGCAGCGCGGGTCGTCGACCGAGTGTCTGGAATCGTTAGTTCGATCGGTGCGCAGTAAGTTCGACGTGACTCACCAGACTTTCCACATATTCTAATTCGCGCGCAACGGCGTATCGCCCTTCACCCGCGACGCGTCGACGGATATGCTGCACCAATGTTCGCTCCGCGTCACTAGGGGGCAATGCCAGGATCTGTCGGGCGAGGTCCGGAAGCGTAAAGTAAGACAGAAGCATTCGGAGGGACAGCACGAGGGCAAGGCCCAGTTGGCGCGCGCCGTCTAACTCGTCGTCCGGGACAAAGTGATCTCGGACCACGCCCTTCTCCGCCAGAATGCCGGTTCCCCTAAGACCATCTTCTATCTCTGCGAGACTTGCGGCGATCTCTTCGAAGCCATCCCGACCCAGCGTTCCCTTTCCTCCTCGTCCTGGCTTCTTCTCTCGGAGCCGTGCTTCGCGGTTCAAGACATACTCCAGAATTGCCTCACGGGCACGCTGGATCGACGGAGTTGGCTCGGACGTCAGGTACCGCAGGAGCGTTGTCGTGGAAGCAGAGGCAGGGTGTCCTGCTGGTGTTGGAGGGGGAGTCAACTCGGACGGCGGCGGTATGTTGGTAATGTACTGTGCCTGGCGCACAGCTGGTGCAGCGCGAGGAACCTGTCCTGTCAGCTGGGAACGAAGCACGCGCACAGCTCTGACGCACCCGTTTTTCGATCTGGTTCATAGTGTTGGCGACGTCGATGAGGGAGTCACCATTGGCTCGGCGGTGCAGCACATGTTCTTCGATAATGTCCGCCGCATAATCCATAGTCACACCGGGTGTGATCAGAGCCGCGACGATCTCGCGGGGCGGAAAGAAGACCATGGCTGATGACGTCCGGAGCCGGACCGACGACGAAGCCTAGCCTGGTGCAGCGAGTGAAAGTTTACAGGTGATCGGTGCGGGTCGCTAAGAAGGAAGAGGCGAGGTGAGGCTGAAGTGGGCACGGTTGGCGCAGTTGGCGAAGCGGCCAACAAGGTGACAAGCGAGGTGTTTGAATAGTTGAAGGAAGGCAAATGGGGCGTAGAGAGCTAGAAGCGCATGTGCAAGATCGAACACAGCGAACGTCGGGGACGCTGTTGCCCCTTCTGGGGAAGGGGATTGCGTGTGTTGCGGGGGTGGGGGGCGAGCCGGGAAGAGTTTTGGAGACAATGAAAGACGTCGGTTGCAGCCAAGCGGGAGGTATGAATATAGAGCAAGGTGTGCCGATGCTTCGCTTGGCGTTGTAGGCGTTGCGGGCCGGGGTGTGCAGTCGCGAATGAGAGTATGCGAAGGACAGAAGACGTAGAGAGGAAGGGGGGAATGAGGATGGGAAACCGAAGCGCGGTGCTGCGCGGGGAAGGGGGTTGGTGGCCGAAGTCGCGGCGGCAAGGAGCAATGAGCAAAGGAGAAGGGCAGGCGGGATCGAGTGTGAGAGAGGAGGGACCTTGACTTTGCCGCGCGGGGCAGCTAGCTGTACGTGCGGTTGACGAGTGGTCAAGCGGGTCGCAGCAGCAGAACCGTCGGTCTTGATGAGGACTAGTGGATGATGGGTGGTAGGAACGTACAGTATAGGAAATGCAGGATCCAGTGTGTTAGGATTGCAGGAACGGCCAGGACATGCAGGACAAGTTGCAGGACCAGAGAAGCGTCCGCGAGGGCGAGGGGGGGGGGGTGCACACAGGCGCACAGGTGGAATGGTGCGTGCGCGCGAGGGTCGCGAGGGGCGAGAGAGGCGAGAGAGGACTGTACCGTGTGCAGCACTAAGGGGCAGCGAACAAGGAGACCGCGGTAAAGTTGTGATACACCAGGGTTCACTCGCAGACGGGATGTCGTCTGCCTCAGGATCCTGCTCCCGCTGATCATACGCGATCACTCCAAAGTCTCAAAGAGAGCCCAGAGCCAGAGCGCGGCGCGCGGATCTACGCCTGGACCCGCACACCCCACGCGGGTTCCTCGTGGTAGCCTTGACTGTTGGACCTCGCAAGGCACGGCTGCAAGCATGCTGTACGCCGGAGCTTAAAGCGAGCCCCGCCTGGCAGCTCGCCTGCGCCCTTGGGTGTCAAACCTTGACGCTGAATTTGTTTGGAATCCGCGCTATGACGGGCCCGCACCCTGCATCCTTGGTCTCAGCCCCGTCCCCGCTGCTGCGCACGCCGCACATCCGCCATGACGCGTCATGCACACTGCACGCGCTCCGTCCAACGGTCCGTCTGTCATTCACCAGGACCCAATGCGATCGACCACCCGCCGACTGATAAGGAACTCTGATAACCATGCACACCATCAGTCCTGCTTCTCAACGCATCGTGCACCCGACGAGCTCCTTTCGATGGCTAATTTAATCAGCGTAACACTCGCAGTGATGCACAACGGTACTCCAGATCGCAGGCAGGGCAGTGTCGGCGATCGCAATCCGCATCGAGCAATCACGGTGAGCGCATGCTGCACAGGGCGCATATCCGCTCGTCACTAGTCCCAAAAGTCAACAAACACTAGACACCGTCATCCGCCATCATCATCTTCGACCATCAGCACACACACAAAACGTCTTCCTTCCTTCGATCCTTCCATCACCCGACTACCTACGCACACTCCTTCTCTCCATCTTCCTTTGTCCTACCCACATTCCAAACTCACTTCAGACCCACCAGGCACAGTCCACCTTGCAGCGACACCTACGCCGACCGGAACGTCTACGATGACTGAGTCGCGTCTTCCTCGGTCGACCTCTTTAGCGGCAACAAGAGGTACCAAGTCCGTCAAGTCGGGGTTAGCAGCGTTAGCAGGCGGCAAGATCCCGGTCCCTGCTGCCCAAACAACAACACCGGCTCCATCTCAAGTCTCGCAATCCACACGCAGTACCCGTGCCAAAGCACAGGGCAAACACCGTCCGACTGCCAGCACGGCGTCGGCTGCGCTCTCGACCACCTCAACGACAACTGCCGGACGCTCGTTGCGTCCCTCTCACTCGTCGGGAACGATAGCACCGTCCGCGTCCAGTCAGAACGTCGCACTCAACAATGCCAAGCGCATCGTCGCGCAGTCCTCCACCATCCGCCGAACTGTGAGTCCACGCTGCGTGGCTTTGCACAGTCAGCTGACAGCAGAACTCGGCCACGCCGCCGACACAGACGCCGCCGAAACGACCAACGCGGAGCCACAAGCGACAGTCGGCCTCTGTGTCGACGGCCGAAGCAGCCATGGGCGTGACGCGATCGTCGAGTGTCGCTTCGCGATTGGCGAGCAAGCTCGAGCCGCTGACCGCGGAGCGTGGCTCAACTCATCGTACGTAGCTAGATCGAGGAGTGGCCTGTAAGCTAACATCCAGCTCGTGTCTCGGCCGTGCCGTCGCCTTCACCCCGCTCCAGTCTGAGCCCGACACCTGCCAATGGCTCTGATTCCACGAAGGCGTCGCCGAAAGTCTCCCGGCCGTCACCGCCCCGAGCCCGTCACCTGCGTACCACGTCCATGGTGACGTCCACACCCAAGCGCGTGCGCCGCCGCGGCGTACCGGATACACCAGCGCTCTCGACGCTTCTGTCGGGCGATGCGTCGGCGCTTGCCGGTCTCGACGTCAGCCTCGCCTCAGACACGTCGTTCAACCACCTGACGCCGCCCCGTCCGCCAAAATTATCCGCCTCTACAACCGGCAGCTCGCGCTCCGTGTCCAACCCGAACCCGCCGAGCAAGCTGGTGCGGAGCGACTCCTCCCCCGCTCTGAGCCTGGGCAAGGGGCACAGCCAGTTCGCGCAAGAGCTGGGCCGCTTACGTGCGCAGCGCAGTGAGCTCGAGGAGCGGCTGGCGGGGATGCGCGCGGAGGAAGCGAGACTGCAGGCGTTAATCGAGAGGACGATGGCGGAACGCCAGGCGGCACTGGACGCAACGGCCGAGATGGAGCAGGCGAAAAACCAGGCTATCTGGAACGGCATCATCAGTGCGTGCGAGGAGGCGATCGAGAGCGAGCAGGACTTCAAGGCGACACTGGACGCGCTGAGGGTGTTGGTGATGGCATAACAGACCTTTGCGCGGCGATGGCCGCATTCTTCCCGGCATTCACACGCTTAGTACATTACGACCCAGCACGACTGCAGCTGATTAAACGACGCAACGATAATGAAGCAGTCCTCCTTCATAGTCAAAAATATATAATATGTAGATACTTGTGCATGTCTAGATGCCTCACTGGTTGTTGAACAAGTCGCGCGGCTTCTCGCCCCTCCTCCTCGCCTTGAGATAATCAGCGACCAGGAACGCAACATCAAGGCTCTGCTCAAAGTTGAGTCTGGGGTCGCAGTGTGTCCTGTAATTCGTGCCGAGGTCCTTGTCCGCCAACTCCATGCTGCCGCCAATACACTCGGTGACAGAGTATCCTTCATCGTTGACCTCGCCAGTGAGTTCAAGGTGGATACCGCCAAGGTGCGTCCCGTGCTGCGCGTGAATGGAGAGCGAGCGCGTGATCTCGAGCACAATGTCGGAGAACAGGCGCGTCTTGAGAGAGGGGTCCGAGGACGAGGTCCGTGTATTGCCGTGCATGGCGTCGCACTGCCAGACCACGCAATGGTCGGTGCCCTTGACAGCCTCGATGTGCGCGGGCAGGTACTGCTCTACTTTCTCCGCACCGTACCGCCCGATCACGGTCACTTTGCCCGGAATCCGGTCCGGGTCGATGACTGGGGTCAGCTGAACTGCGTTTCTTGCAAGCTGGGACGGAGGGTGTGGGGGAAAGACTCACTGTCAAGCACACGGACGAGTTCCTGGGGATCCATCGTCGGGCCGACCTTGATACCACTGAGTGTCAGCTATCGCCTCCGTTACCAGCACACGGCGGGGACACACGGCACTATCGTGCCGTGTGTGAGGGACATACATGGGATTCGCGATGCCGCGGAAGTACTCGACGTGCGCGCCGTCAATCTGCCGCGTCCGGTCGCCGATCCAGAGGAAGTGCGAGGTCTGGTTGTAGAACTTGGTCGGCTGCGTGCCGTTGGACGCGGCGTTGGTGGAGCGGCCGCCGCTGGGAGTGCTCGCGCGCGTAGGCGGCTGCGAGAAGGCGGGCGCGCCGCCGTGCGGGCGCGTGAAGGCCTCTTCGTACTCGAGGAGAAGGGCTTCGTGGCTGTGTTGTCAGCTAAGATAGGAGATTGGTCAGCTGCAGCAAGGCGGCTGCGCCGTGCCGCTCGTAAGCAACTTCACGCCGTGGTCGACGCTGCAGAAGCTGGCCGACGGCTTGCCTGAAGCTCGCTTCGCTCGCTTCTGCCCCAACTCACCTAGTAAAGATGTTAACCGTGCTGGTACCACCACGCTCCGAACCGCCAGCACCACCAGTCGCAGCCTTCATGAAATCGAGCGAGTCCTGGAGGCTCTCGACCACACTCGCAAAGGCGCGCTGCAGCTCGGGCGAGCGGACGTGCGAGAAGCTCCAGTTCAGGGGACGGTGGAGGTCCGCGAAGCCGCTCGAGAGCAGAGTGCGGATGTAGTTGAGCGTAGCCGTCGAGTGAAAGTATGCGCCGAGAAGGCGCTCGGGGTCAGGCGCGCGCTCGTTGGTGCTGTGCCCGTTCACATTGTCGCCACGGTAGGAGAGCACCTCCTCGCGCTTGATGCGCGTCAGGGGCTCGCCGTCCACGTTCTCCGTTACTTCCATCTCGACCATCTCGGTCGGCTTAGAGCGCGGCTTGGCGTACTGGCCTGCAATGCGCATGACGCGCACGACGGGGAGACGGCTGCCGTGCAGGATGATGAGGGACATAAGAAGGATCCTGTCGTCAGCTTCGCGGGAAGTCGAACAGCTTACAAGGAGAGCTTGTGCTCGATCGGCGCCTGATCGTCAGCTACCACCTGGACATAATGAGCTTACCTGGGAGCAGTCGTCGAAGAGCTCGGCGCAGTCACCTCCCTGGAGGAGGAACGCCTTGCCCGCCGCAACATCGGCGAGCTGCTTCTGCAGCTGGTCGATCTGTCGTCAGCCACCACCCTCGTCGTCATCCTCACCTCGACCGTCGAGACGAGGGGCGGCAGCCGGCGCAGCTTGCCGAGTACGCGGTCCAGCTCCTCCTTGTCCTCGTACGTGACGTCCTGGGCAATCGGCTTGTCCCTCCAGGACGAGGGCGTCCAGTTGTTCGTCGCCATGGTGTTTGCGAGAGTCAGCAGTGTGTGTGATGCAGACTCGAGTCGAAGTGGTAGTTTGGGAAAAAGGAACGTTGCTCGCTCGTTTTGGACTTTAAACCTCAAACCGTCAATGGTCCGGGCTGGCCCCGCACATCCCGACTCAGCAACCAAACGTTCTAGTCAGGTGCCGACCGTCACATGTGCCGCGCAGTGCTCCCGCTCGCCATGTGGTGTGGCTTGACAAGGCAGCAGTGGAGACCCCGCATATCCCGGAACCAAACCTCACGCGATTACACGGCGCCAGGTTAAGCGTGGATGCGGATCGCTGCATGTAGTGCACCGGTGACCTCGATCCGAACTTCTTGCTTTCCCTCCCTCTTGACCCTCACCAGCTTGCCCAACATGCTGGATCACATCTCGATCTCCCACCAGAGTGCGTAGCTGTCTTTCTGCCGTGTACAAGCTAACGTCAGGCGGTCTCATTCTGTGGTCGCGCTCGTTTACCCCGGCTTTCACCGATCTTGCGGCCAGTGTCAACTCGCCGGTCAACAGCCTTATCAGGGAGGCCCTGATCGAGGGCAAGGCTCGCGGAGAGGATGAGGTCTTTGAGCGTGATGGTTACAGCGTCCGGTGGACCATGGAGAACGGACTCGGCCTCGTCTTTGTTGTGAGTCAGCTCGCTGCGCACACCTCATGAGGAAGATTGCTGACATCATAGGTTGTCTTCCCCGCCCTCCTGCCGCTCACGTACATCCCCGCCATGCTGCAGCGCGTGAAGCAGCTCTTCCTTTCCTTGTTCGAGCCATACCTTCAGTCGCTCGTTGACGTGCTTTCGAACCGCGGTGGCGTTGTCGACCAAAGCCGATCTGCGCTGCGCACGCTCGGAGAGAAGATCGTCGAGGAGCGCTGGGACAAGATCTTCGACAGGTGTCTGAAGACTTTTGAGGGTAGCGGAGGTCGATCTCGCAGCCTGCCGCAGCGTCAGATCCATCTGACTGCTGGACCGACCGATTCCAGTAAGCTAACTCCGGCCACTGCTTTCCAGCTGACGCCAGGCCCCGATGTGTCGGACGACAACAGGGCGGCTCCCTCTGCTGAGGAGATAGCGAAGAACGTGCAGGCGCTGAAGGGACGTATGAAGGGACGCAAGGGCGGGCGTGGGCGCAACACGGCGTCTCCCTCGCCCGTGCCGTCTCCGTCACGCAAGGCATCGGGCACCACCGCCAAGCTCATGCGCAAGTGGGGCGACTCGCAGGTGTCGTCGCAGGACATGGCCGCCCTAGATTACTCTGCGCCGGCACCCGAGACGGCGACCGTCGACGTTGACGCTCTCGTCTCGACGGACGCCATGGGCACCCGCACCGCCACCGGCAACTACGAGGTCGCCGACTGGGATTACGGACGTAATGACGACCTGCCGACTGAGGAGGAAATCCTCGCCCGCCGCACGCAGAAGCTGAAGATTGACGATGACGACGAGGAGCCGGAGGACAGTGGAACGTGGACGAACATGTTCTCGCGCCTCTCCGGCAAGAAGGTTTTGACGAAGGAGGACCTGCGCCCGGTGCTGGCCGACATGGAGAAGCACCTCATGTCGAAGAACGTCGCGAAGGACATTGCCGAGAAGCTGTGCGACGCCGTTGGCTCTGCGATTGTCGGCAAGAAGCTCGGTGGCCTGACGAGTGTCAAGTCGGAGGTGCAGCGTGCGCTGTCGGACTCGATGACGCGTATTCTGACGCCGAAGACGTCGACGGACATCCTCGTCGACATTCAGCGCAAGCGCTCACAGCCGTCGTCCATCGCCGACCCGAACTCGCCCCCGGACCCGTACGCTATCACGTTCGTCGGCGTCAACGGTGTCGGCAAGTCGACCAACCTGTCAAAGGTCTGCTTCTGGCTTCTTCAGAACAACATGCGCGTTCTCATTGCTGCGTGTGACACGTTCCGTTCCGGTGCTGTCGAGCAGCTCCGCGTGCATGTGCGCAACCTAGGTGCGCTTGGTGACGAGCTCGGCATGGGCACGGACGCCGCTGGCCAGCGTCGCATCGAGCTTTACGAGCGTGGTTACGGCAAGGACGCAGCCGGCATCGCTAAGGACGCCATTGCTTATGGTAAGCTGAGTTTTTCTAGTTCCGAGCTAACATGCAGCAAAGGAGAACCGGTTCGACGTTGTGCTTATCGACACTGCGGGACGAATGCAGGACAACGAGCCGCTCATGCGCGCGCTCGCGAAGCTCGTGACGGTCAACAACCCGGACAAGATCGTATTCGTCGGCGAGGCGCTGGTCGGCAACGAGGCCGTCGACCAGTTGACCAAGTTCGACCGTGCGCTCAAGGACTTCTCGTCCGCAAGCGGCTCGACGAAGCGTCGCGGTATCGATGGCATTCTCCTCACCAAGTTCGACACAATCGACGACAAGGTTGGCGCGGCGCTCAGCATGACGTACGTCACTGGACAGCCGATTCTGTTCGTCGGATGTGGACAGACGTACACCGACCTGAGGCACCTGCGCGTCAACCACATTGTGCAGGCGCTCTTAGCTAATTAGTTTTTGAATCTCACCTCTTGTACCAGTATATGCATTGGAATCTCTCGGTCTGCGCATATCGGATGGGCGCACGCGGCGCCGCTCAGCACAGACTAGGCGCCGACAACGGCCTCCACCTCCACCGCGCATCACCGCCACAATCAACCTTCACCCAACCATCTTCCTCCGACTAAAAAGTCACCTTCCCTGTCCCCCAGCGAGCTCTCTTCAGAACCCTGGACAGCCTGCATGCAAAAGAGTACAGCCAGGGGGAATCGAACCCCCACCGCATCGAATTCAACGTGGCAACGATGCATGATACCATTTCACCATAGCTGTTACGTAATCTCGAATGGCAGTGTGCTGCACTATAACCCACTAGGGCTAGCTCAGTGGTGCACTCAACTGGATGCGTTGCTCGTTGACACGAGCCAGTGCTGTGTCCGGATGAGTGAGTGGGTGCCAGTGTAGCACTATCATCACGTGATGACCAATCGGTCTCTTTTTTCATCCTCTCGGTGTCGCGCCGAGGCGACCGAGCTCCGGTCGGGGTAGGCCACCGGGGATAATCTAGGTTCACATGGTACCAGCGAGGCGCGCGCCTTTGCAGGCCGGCGAGTGGACGGTATTTTCGAATCGCTCGATTCGGGCCGCTGCTTATTATACATGGCCCCTGAACGGCGTGAGCCCGGCGAGTTTTTGGTGCATGTTGGTAGGACACTAGCTGCAGTCTTGGGGGTCCTTGGGGATCTTCTGATCTAGGTCAAGCGGGTCAAGCGGGGCGATGAGGGCGCTACAGGACACTGATATCAGAGCGGATGGTCGCCGTCCGCCACTGTGCCAAACTACGCAGGCCATGTTCAGGCCATGTTCAGGCCAGGCAGGCCAGGCGGCGCTGGACACTCCGCCATCCCTTTATTTTCATGGCTGCATGCCATGGTGACTTGCCTTGGCGCGCATGCCTACTGGTAGTGACGTCCTGGTGTCATGGTGACTTCTGTCTGATAAGAGCGATGCTTGGTGGGGTGGGGAGGTACCCGTGACTCATCACTGGGTCACACACCAAGCAGCTGTTGGTGGAAGAGATGCACGCAGGTGGGCTTGGACTGCGGCTTGGGAGAGGCTTGCGGGGACTTGTGGGAACTGGTTGGTCGAGTGGTGGCGAGGCCTTGGGCACCAGACTGGGTGAGGATGTTCAGGGCTCCCTCCCGGCGGTAGTAGCAACAAAGCACCAATGAACTACGTCAGTGCGTCGGTGCGTCCAGTGCGTTCCTTGAGCCTGCACCCAGCCTCCGCGCGCACCGCACCCACCGCCCTGGGCCCTACCTGGCCCCCACCTGAGCCAGATTGGCTGCGTGATGACCGCCTGATGTCAGGACACAGGGGACCGCTGGACCGCTCGCTGAGCTATGGCGTCCGCTCATGGCCATCCACCGTAGCTCACGACCGGACACCTCCTCCATCCATCACAACTTTTCTGTTCCCCATCCATCTTCCCCGCCTTCGCTGCTTCCTTTTGCTACCCGTGAGTCCCGGTGCCGGTTACATCTCCCGACCAAGCACTGACCGCGATACAGTCCAGCGACAGCCTCATTCAAGACGTGCGTATCGAGTGTCCGCAACTGTTTCATCGCCGATCTCATCACAACATACACATCCCCCCAAGTCCTCACGTCCCAAGCCCCAAGACTCTCAAGTCTCAACGACGCCTCCCATTCCTTACTCCCTTGAGCAATCCCTTTTTGCCCCTGCCAGATCCCTGTGTCCTCCTGTCTCCAAGAGCTCCTAGTCTTAAAAGAAAATGTGGTCGCTGTCGTGGGCATCATCTCTTCCCCTCTCTCTCCCTTTTCCCATCTCCAGCGCAAGCGCTTCTTCTACCCTCTTTGAACCGGACACTGCGTAAAGCTCTCTGGTCATCATGCCTCTCACTCCTCACTCGCCCGGGTCCGCGTCCTCCTTCGTTTACAACTCTGCTGGCCAGAACCTTGCTCACAACTTCGAAAGCCGTAACCCCATGTCTTCCTCGCAGATCTCCTGGCTCGCGGGCCTTTCGACGAGCTTCGATGCTCCCACCGATGAGCAGAAGTACCTCCGCAAGGTGAGTTGCTGACACGGCTAACGGGCCCCTGCGCCGGTTGGAAGGCGGTTCGGAAGCTTCGCGTGGTGCTAACTCGCCGTTCTAGACGTCGATCATTGCGACCATCGGACCCAAGGTCAACAACGTCCCGACCCTCGTCGCTCTTGCCGACGCTGGTATGAACATTGGTGCGTCTCGGAACACCCCGGCCTTCCGGTCTCCCCGGCCTGTGCTGGGCGCAGTGCGCGCAATTGGCGCCCGCGCCCCGAAAGGCGCCCGCCGCACGGCGCTCGCACGGGGGACGGGGCGTGTGTGCGGACAGAGCATGTGCTGACCACGGCCCTAGTCCGTATGAACTTCTCGCACGGCTCCTACGAGTATCACCAGTCCGTCATCGACAACACCCGCGAGGCCGACAAGCAGCTCGCCGAGCGTCCCCTCGCCATCGCCCTCGACACCAAGGGCCCCGAGATCCGTACTGGTCTCATGACCAACGACCAGGATGTGAGTCGAGAATGCTGAGCCGCCGGCATTGCGGTTATTGTCAGGTCAGTGCGCTGATACACTAAGGTCCCTATCCCGGCCGGACACGAGTTCTGGGTTACCACCGACCCCGCGTACAAGGAGAGCGGAACTGCCGACATGATCTACATGGACTACACCAACCTGCCCAAGGTCACCGCCCCCGGCAAGCTCATCTACGTCGATGACGGTATCCTCTCCCTCCAGGTCATCTCGATCGACGGCGACAAGCTCCGCGTCAAGTCGCTCAACTCGGGCACCCTCTCGTCGCGCAAGGGCGTCAATCTCCCCAAGACCCCCGTCGACCTCCCCCCCCTCTCGGAGAAGGACAAGTCCGACCTCGCCTTTGGTGTCAAGAACGGCATCGACATGATCTTCGCCTCGTTCATCCGTCGCGCCGACGACGTCCGCGAGATCCGCAAGGTCCTCGGCCAGCTCGGTGCTAGCATCAAGATCATCGTCAAGATTGAGAACGAGCAGGGTGTCACCAACTTCGACGAGATTCTTGCTGAGGCCGACGGTGTCATGGTCGCCCGTGGTGACCTTGGTATCGAGATCCCCGCCTCGCAGGTCTTCCTCGCCCAGAAGATGATGATCGCCAAGTGCAACGTTGCCGGCAAGCCCGTCATCTGTGCCACCCAGATGCTCGAGTCCATGACCGTAAGTTTGTGCGGCGCTTACGGCAACTGACGCCAGGTCAACCCCCGCCCTACCCGTGCCGAGGTCTCTGACGTTGCCAACGCCGTCCTCGACGGTGCTGACTGTGTCATGCTTTCTGGTGAGACCGCCAAGGGCAAGTACCCCATTGAGGCCGTCAAGATGATGGCCGAGACCGCCTACCTCGCCGAGTCTGCCATCTCGTACAACGGTCTCTTCGACCAGCTCCGTCAGCTTACTCCCCGCCCGACCGAGACCGCCGAGACTCTCGCTCTCTCTGCCGTCGCCGCCTCGATTGAGCAGGACGCCGGTGCCATCATTGTCCTCTCGACCTCTGGTGTCTCGGCCCGCCTCATTTCCAAGTACCGCCCCAAGTGCCCCATCATCTGTGTCACTCGCAACGCTGCCACCGCGCGCCAGCTCCACCTCTCGCGTGGTGTCTACCCCGTCTTCTACCCCGAGCCCCGCGGTGTCCCTGCCGAGAAGTGGCAGATCGACGTCGACAACCGTATCCGCTACGGTCTCAAGGTCGCTCTCCACCTTAACATTATCCGCCCCGAGGCCACCGTCATGGCCGTCCAGGGATGGAAGGGAGGACTCGGCCACGTAAGTTAATATGGGGATTCTGATAGCTGACTCACAGACCAACACCCTTCGTATCCTTTCGGTTCCCACTGACCCTTCGGACCTTGAGATCGCCTACATTGACCGTGACGAGTAAGAGCGAGAGCGGGAGGAGAGCGAACCGTGGACTGCGTGGTAACCCTGCAGGTCCATCCACTATTATGCTTAGAGATCTGACAGCTATCTGCAAGAGCAGCAAGAGCAAGAGAAGGCGCGCTGTAGCTGGCCGAATAGTAATAACAAGACAACCAAAAGTCGACATATACCTGAAGATAAATGAAGATGTACTGCGTGGTCTGCCCGCCCCGGGCAGGCCCTAGGCAAATAGAGCGTCACTAGAGTTGCAGCGCGCACTGCGCATTGTCTGAGCAAGTACAGCGGAGCATAGAAAGCGGCACGCAAGCCGGTATATCGGTGCGCAGAACATGGTTGGCGGGCAAAACGCCGGGCAGCCTGAGTGGCAGATAACGCCCTTCCTCCTGTTGTCAGATAAACTGGTGGGCAACGAAGCTCGGCGGTCGGTCGCGAGCGAGTCGCATCCGGCATCGAGCGCCACTGTAGGTTGGGAGATCAAGGAACGGGAATTATCTGCAGACGGAAGGTCAAGGAACGGGAATTATCTGTGGTGGGTGAGGCATGATCATGCCACGACAGCATGGCGATGCGCGAATTCGGCGACCCACCCCAGGTACGCGGGGAGGGTCGGGGAAAGCGCCGTTTCAGCGTTGCCACCGTACCCCCGGGTCGCCCGGGGCGAGTTCCGAGCAACCTCGAGCTAGAGCTTAGCTGCCATATCCGAGTGCGTGTATCTCCAGCCTTGGGTCCTGCTTATATTAACGCTGTGCACCGCCGTCACGCTCCCCACCGCAAAGAAGTAAAGCAACCATGCCGTTCACGAAGGAGCAGCTCGACGACATTGTTAACAAGGTGAGTGTACCTCCACCTCCACTCTGTTCCCTGTCCTCGTCCCCGACTTGGTCAACATGTCACCTCGTCAAGAGGAGCGAGAAAGCTCAGCTGACCGCCCAGTACCACGAGGACGGCTATGTCATCGTCGACGACCTGATCCCGGACGAGCTCTACGAGCCGCTGTGCGAGGCCGCGGACCGCGTGACCGAGAAGGGCCGCCAGGGCGAGTGGGACAATGTCCGCATCGTCGGCAAGCAGTTCCCGCCCTGGTCCGCCGAGGACAGGAAGCAGGGTACCTGGGGCGTCCAGAACATCATGCACCCCGAGCTCAACGAGCCCATCTTCGCCAAGTGGTACGGCAGCGATGACATGCTCGATGTCTCGGCGGCGCTCATGGGCGTCGGACGGGAGGCTATGCAGTTTGGTGAGTACGAGAGTAGGCCGTCGGAGACTGCTCGTGTGAGCTAAAGTCATCTGGGCTTTCCTCCAGTAGCTCTGTGAGGAAGGAGGAAGTCCTCGCTCCGCCCCCGCCGGAGTTGCTCGCTTCGCTCCCAGTCGCTAATGCCCGCAGAGCTCTTCAACCTCCTCGTCAACCCGACTGAGCGCGACTACGCCCTCTCCTGGCACCGCGACGATGTCAAGGCGACGGCGACTCCGGAGGAGGAGCGCGAGGCTCTCGCAATCAAGCACCACTCCATCCAGTGGAACGCGGCGCTGTACGACGACGCGTGCCTCTCTGCGATCCCCCGTTCGCACAACCGCATCCGCACGCCCGAGGAGCGCGAGGCCAACCTGAACGGCGGGCCCATGCCTGGCGCCCAGGTCCTGAACCTGAAGAAGGGCCAGACCGTCTTCTACAACAACAACATCATGCACGTCGGCAAGTACAACCTCGCTGTGAAGCGGAGGACGCTCCACGGCTGCTATGGCAGCCCGCCCGAGGGCGACTCCAGCCGCGCCAGGAACCTCCTCCAGCACGGGCTCGAGTACACCACCGACCCCAAGTTCCGCGCCACGGTGCCCGAGACACTGTGGCCGATGCTTGACAAGCTCAACTCGTTCCAGGAGGCCGAGAAGGGCAAGCCGATCCAGTACTCGCAGGACCTTTGAGATAGCTTTAGTGTGGTAATGCCGGGGTGTCAGAAGGAGATGTATTCGTGTACTTCATACGTGGCGAACAGAGCTAGCCCGGGACGACTTGACTGACTTGTTACTCATTGAACACAGATGTGCTGTTACGATAACGAGGCAGAAGCAGCGTGAAACCGCCCAGAAGATGCCGCGTGGCGGACGGTCCACGCGGAGGCACCCCCCTCAGCACACACCACCCTCGATTACCTCCAGCTGACTCACCTTGAATCAGCACTTAGCTCCGCACACTCGCGTTGCAAAGCTACAGTTGTCGTGCTAACTTCAGCTAAGCCGCAACTCTGGAACTGGTGACCTGTCCTAGGGCATCGGAGAGTGCACAGACGTGGCAGCTGTTCCGCTGTGCAATGCTGTGGCGGGCCGGCCACCAATGTGATCCCGCAGTGGTCGCAGTTCGATCGGCTGCGATTGCGGTACCAGTTCACTCACATTCGCGTTCTAATGAGCGTAGCGGCGCAGAGAGCCTGTGCTATCTGTCTGTGAGGCACACTGTGCAATGAACGCAGCGCGGAGTCCGTTCACACAGGCACCGCAGTGGTCCTTGAGAAACTCTGCACTGACTGTTCACTCTTTGGTGCGTTGAAGAAGTGGTCACATGGGGTTCTCAGCTGGCACAGGACACGAGAGTCGGGCCGTTACCAGTGGCTCAATGCGCTGATCTTGCGATCTTGCATCGGACCAGAAAAAAACCGGTCACAGCGCAGGCGCAATGCGCGCCAGGAGGTGGCACAGGCTAGCGCCAGGTGGCGCCGTTGATCAACGTGAAACTGAACATGTGCTCGGCCATGCTGGCTTGACTTGGGCTGCCACTGCACAGTTCTACACAGCCGTTCGCGCAGAGCGGTCGCCCACGAGCATGTGATCAGCGATGCACCTATGTCTGCAACCCTGTCGCCGCGGCATGGTGGCCGCCTCAGCCACGCCGCAGCGCGCAGCCATGAGGACTCATTTGGTGGCACTGGGCTGGCGCACATTGGCACACTTGCCACTGCGGGGCACACACCCTGCCTCACTGAGCGCGCGGAGCATCGTTCACCCCCTGTCGCACTTGACGCCAGACTAGCTGCGAGAGAGTGCGAGCACCTTGATACCGCTACGCGGTCTAAGACGATCCGACGAGCTCTGCGCCCTTCCCTCCTTGCGTGCACTCGCAGTGAGCGGTGCACTGGGCAGCTGCGCTGTCCACCTCACTGAGAGAGATATAAACAACGCTCCCCTCGTCGTCTTCTTCTCTCCAGTCCATCACGCTCTCCCTTCTCTCCACGCATTCCACTCTCTGCCTCTTCTCTGTTCAAACTTCTTGCAACACCCACAGCCAACACAGCACACCCATCACACCGTAGCTGGACCTATACCACACTCTTTATTCTCAAGATGCGCTTCTGTCTCTCCGTCGTCCTCGCCCTCACCGCCGTTTCGGCCGCCCCCGCCGCTCCTCCCAAGAACGAGCGTGGTCTTCTCGACGGCCTCCTGGGCAGCAGCTGCGACTCCGAGAAGAAGTCCGACTCTGACAAGCGCGGCCTTCTCGACGGCCTCTTGGGTTCCGGCTCTGGCTCCGACGCCAGCGTTCCTTCTGGTATTCCTTCTGGCGCTCCCTCTGCCGCCTCTGGCCTCCCCACTGGCGCTGGCTCCGCCCCCGCTGGTGCTCCCTACGGCGCCGGTGCCGCCTCTGCCGCTTCTCCCGGCGGTGCCTCAGCCATCCCCGCCGACTGCAATCTCGCGCAGAACTCCACCTCCGGCAACACCACTCTGGCCGCTTGCGCCTCCAACTCGTCTGCTCCGTCCACTTCCGAGTCGCACCTCTACGGCGGCCAGGGCGGTGGTGGTGGTGGCGGCTCTGGTGGTGACGCGGCCGGTTCCGGTGGCCAGGGCGGCGCTGGCGGTCCCCCTGGTGCCTATGGCAGCTCGGGCATGAGCGGTCAAGGCTCTGATGGCTCTGGCGGCTCCGGCGGCGCTGGCGGCCAGCCCTCCGACGACCCCGACGAGGAGGAGTGCGACGACGACTGCGAGGAGGATGAGGAGGAGGATGACGAGGGCGATGGCGAGGAGGAGGACGACGACTCTGGCGACGAGTCTGGTGACGACTCCGGTTCTGAGTCCGGCGACGACTCTGGCGAAGAGTCGGGCGAGGAGTCAGGCGAGGAGTCCGGTGACGAGTCCGAGGGCGGCAGCAAGGTCGTCTCTGGTGATGCGTCCGCCTCTGCCTCAGCCTCCGCTTCTGCCTCTGGTTCGCCTTCTTCCGCCGCCTCTGGCAGCGAGTACGCCGCTTCCCCCGCCGCCGATGGCGCCTCTGCTTCCGCTTCCGCCTCCGCCTCGGCCGGTGGCGAGTATGCCGCCTCTGAGGCCTCTGGCTCTGCCGCTCCCACTGGCTCTGCCTCTGCTTCCGCCGGTGGTGGCGACTATGCCGCCTCTCCCGCCGCTGCTCCCGACGCCGCCGCCTCTGGTGATGCCTCCGGCGACGCCTCCAGCGCCTCGGCCTCTGGCGCTGGCAGCGAGTACGCCGTCTCTGGCGCTGGAGCTTCTGGCGCCGCTTCCGCCCCCGCTGCTGGCTCTGCTGGCTCTGGCGCCTGGTGATTCTCCCGCGAATCTCAACCTCCTCCGACTTTGTATAACTCCGTAGCTTTGGCTCTGGCAGCCACGATGCATCCATAGTCTCTCTTTACACAACCTGGCGTTAGCAGCAGAGTCAGTTTCAGATTCATTTGAGTTCGCGCATCGGAGAGAGGTCGCTGCGTTAGTAAGTTCCCTCTTACCAGCGCTGACTCAGGTTCCCAGCACTGTGGCTACGACTGCGCTCCGACCCCCGCGGCATGCAAAACACAGTGAAATCGCATCATAGTCGTACAGCCCCAGTGATCCTACAAGTCGCGTGTCCTGTGAGACGTCCGGGCAAATTAAACAGCAAGTGGAAGGCAAACGGTGGGCGTTGCGGTGCGGATGAGTAGAGTAGCGGGTAAAAAATGAGTTTGTGGTCTATCGATCTCCGAGTAAACAACGCTTATCCGGCGAGCTCGGCCTGGAGCTTGCGCAGCTGGGCCTCCTCGTCGTCCTCGTCCGCGGTCGCGTGTTGGCGGATCGGGCTCGCGGGCAGCGCGGGCATGTGCGAGGGAACGTGGTTGGCGCCCTTCAGGCGGTCGTCGAGCTCCTCCTGCTCGAGCGCCTCGAGCTCGGCCTGCAGCTCGTCCTCGTCGATCGTCGCGCCCATTCCGACAGGGTTCGAGATGGCTTCCGAGATCTCGTTCGCAACGTCCATCTGTTCCCGGATGCTGTCCATCGTCTCGTCGACCTTGTCGACCTTGCTGAGAGGTGTTAGTCGCGGTGCTGCCGATAACACGATAGAACTACTCACAGAGTCTGGTGGATCGACTTGAGGGCGTCCGCACCCTGCTTCATCGCCGCCATCGTCTCGGCGTTCAGGTTGGCTGACTCGAGAGCGTTGATCTGTCGTCAGCTCCGGGTTTCCACGAACAGCTGCACGGAGAACAGATGTGGATCAGTGCAACAGACTATGATGTGACACCACTTCGGATACCGAAGCGATATCACACGAGGTGAACCCGTCACACCATCCATGTCACAGCGATAACACCTACCTGCGTCTCGAGCGTCAGTCGCATGCCCGCCAGCTTGTCGAGCTGGTCCTCATGCAGCTTCTTCTGTCGGAGAGCATGCGTGGCGGCTGTTTGTCAGCTGAACGATTCTAAGCATTATGTAGCTTATCGGTCTCGGTGAAAGCCCAGGCGATCACCGCGGGCTCCACCGCCGCCGCCGTCGCTGCGGATGCCTAAGCAAGAGCCAGAAGCCTCTGGCTCAGCGGCGGCGACAGGAGGTCCGCAAGATCGCACTCACCCTGCTTGTTGGTGGTAGCATTGGCACGAGCCTTCTTGAGGTCATCCTCGATCTGCTTGTTGAGGTACTCCTCCTTCTTCTCGAGGGTCAGCAGGCTCTGGCGGAGGTTGATGATCGAGTCACGGGCTCCTTCCTTGACATTCTTGCGGCCGGTGAAATAGGAGAACCACCCGGACATGATGAAGGAGAGACGTTTGCGGTGGGGAGGAGGGTGTGCGGTGTCCGAGAGAGAGAGGATGAAAGAGAGTTGGATCGATGAGCGAGCGAAGGCGTAGGGCGAGCGATTGCGAGTTGCTTGTTGCCGTTTGGTCATAAGGAATGTCAAGATCGCACTCACCCTGCTTGTTGGTGGTAGCATTGGCACGAGCCTTCTTGAGGTCATCCTCGATCTGCTTGTTGAGGTACTCCTCCTTCTTCTCGAGGGTCAGCAGGCTCTGGCGGAGGTTGATGATCGAGTCACGGGCTCCTTCCTTGACATTCTTGCGGCCGGTGAAATAGGAGAACCACCCGGACATGATGAAGGAGAGACGTTTGCGGTGGGGAGGAGGGTGTGCGGTGTCCGAGAGAGAGAGGATGAAAGAGAGTTGGATCGATGAGCGAGCGAAGGCGTAGGGCGAGCGATTGCGAGTTGCTTGTTGCCGTTTGGTCATAGCCCCCGCCCAGCAGACGCTGGCTGGGCGGCGGGCAGCCCTGGCTTTGGCCACCCACCTCACTATGTCATTGCGTGTCATGTCAGGCTTAGGGAGCGAAGAGCCTGCCAGCACTCCTATGGTGAGGAATTCGAAAAGTCAGCCTGACATTTGACCCCGCCGCCCATCTGGCTCGGCCTACAGCCTGCGCGTATGACTTCGCGCCGGCTGGAGCCCATCCAGTCATCCGCCCTGGATCACAACAACAACAAAATCTTGGTTTCGCCAAGTCTTCCTCCCAGCGACACAACCATCATGGCGACAGCACAGAAGCAGAGGCAGAATCAGGCCATCACCCTCAAGGGTAGTGTCGCCCTCGTCACCGAGTTCTTCGAGTATAGCGTCAACTCGTGAGTTGCGAAAGCTCCGAGCGTAACTGACGGTCAGGATCCTGTACCAGCGAGGCGTCTACCCCTCCGACGAGTTCCGGTAAGCATCGCTTGGCCGACCTTTCAGCTGACAGCAGAATGGTGAAGAAGTATGGCCTGCCCATGCTTGTGACCGCCGACGAGGGGTTGCAGGAGTATATCCAAACGATCCTGCAGCAGGTTTCTGGTGAGTAGCCTTGATGATGCAAGTCACTCGTTTACTGGTGATCATTGCTGCGATACTGGCTGCCTCAGCTAACACGTCAGCCTGGCTGATGGAGGGTGCGTTGAACCGAATCGTGCTCGCGATCAAGTCGATCGAGACGGAGGAGACGGTTGAGCGGTGGCAATTCGACATTCACACCGAGGACGGCCCGACGCAGGCGGGCACAATGCCAGGTGCGCCCAAGATCAAGCCGAAGAAGAAGACGGAGAAGGAGGTCCAGGGAGAGATCCGGGAGATCATGAAGCAGATTACGAGCTCCGTCACCTTCCTCCCCATTCTCGACGAGCCGTGTAAGTCTTCCCTACGATCAGCTGCTAGGTGATGACGAGCTAACAACCAGGTACCTTCACGATCCTCGCGTACACCAACGACAAGCCCGATGTCGCGATCCCGAACACGTGGGGAGACGCCGACCCGCATCTCATCGACCGCGGTACTGTCGAGCAGGTCCGCCTGAGGAGCTTCAGCACCAACGTGCACTCGCTCGAGGCCATGGTCGCGTACCGTGTTGGCGAGTAAGGACCTCTTTTTCGAAACATCAACATCACCACCAGCAGCATTTCTTCACCTGTACACACCTATCATAACCTGTATAACGACAGCCCAGCGATCCCGAGAGCCTAAAAGATGCAATGCATGATGACAGTCTCAACTGGGGTATCTATATTTTTACTTTACATCATCTTACCGCTCAGCGCGCCGTAGGACTCCTTCTCGCCCATGAGACGCTTGCGCGAGTTGAAGATGGCGGCGTCGATGAGCGACGCGACAGTCAGGACACCTCCGACGATGGCGCAGGTGCTGGTGACGAAGTGGGCGAACGACTGGCGGGTCTCGGTGTGCACGACCTTCATCGGCGAGATCTCGTAGTTGATGAAGACACCCGGGATCGCGTTCGTGTAGTGCGTCGTGACGTGACCGTGCTGGTCCTTGGTCGGGAGGTTGCCGTGCTTGAGGTCGCGCTCGTACTCAGTCGCCGAGTATTGGTTGGTGTTGATGTTCTGACCGTTGAGGTAGACGAACGCCGTCGAGACGACCTTGACGAAGTACTGGTACATGATGTTGGAACCGTCGTTCTCCGCGTGCGAACGGACGCCCTGGAGGGGGTCATGGATGCCGAGCTCCTTGCGCGTCTCGTCCTCCTTCTTCTGGATCTGGCTGCGGTGGTACAGCTGACCGGGCATCTCGCCAGTGAAGCGGAACTTGTTGATGATGTGACCAAAGTCGTGGTGCACGTTGCCGTCACGGAGGTAGGGGAGCAGGTCAGTGTGTCCGCGGGTGAAGACATTGCCGTGCGTGAACTGGAGGTTGCCAACGACCTTGTTGACCTTGACCTGGCCGACGATGCGGCATCCCTCCGTGTTCTGCTGGGCCATGTTCTCGGCCCAGTTCTCCTCGACACATTGCTCAATCGTCGAGGGGTTGGGGAACTGCCATCCCGACTCCGAGTACGCTTTCCTGACGTCGTCGCACGAGTTGCAGCATCCGCTCTCAGGGGCCTGAGCGCCGTAACAGCTGCCGCAGTAGTTCGGGTCACGGTTCTGAGCAGCACGCTCAGCCTCGCCCTTCAGCTGTCCGGAGCGCGTGACTTCGAGCTCCTCGCCGCTCGCCGACAGACGATGCTTGGCCATGTCATGTGTGATGTCGTTCTGGCGCTCCCCTGAGATGTCCATCACGTCCAGCGAGAGGAGGAAACAGGGCACGCGCGGGAAAGTGATGTCCAGATCAATTTCCAGCTTCTCGCCACGCGAGCGGTCCACGATGATAGTCGGCTCCAGCGTCACTCGCCGGTAGTCGATGAACTCGATCATAATCGAGGTCAGAATGATCGAGAACGAAAGGAATGTCACTGCCGGTCAGCGCCGCCTGTCGGTAGAGGCGATGGCTTACAGAGGGCTCCGGTGCGCGTTCGGATGCGGACATCCTCCATCGTCTGTCATGTCAGCTACAGGAGCAATTTTAAGTCGAGCCCACCTTTCCAAAGGCATCGAGGCCTTGGAAGGCTCCCATGAAGCCGTTGCGCCCCATGATGTCGGCGAGATGGTTAGTTGAGCAAGACGAACGGCGCAATTCACTAACTGCATGGACATGACAACTCGCCCTCACCAGCCCTGACGTCCCACACTCTCGACATGAAACGTGGAGGTCCGAATCCTCAGCCAGACCAGACGCGCCGCGGGATCAAAATGTTGGGTTCAGCAACGGTGTCCAGGCACCTGACGGACGTGCGGCATCAAAAGTTGCCACGTGCCCGTAGTTGACACTTCGAACGCTTTCCATCATCGACGCGGTCGAGCTTCGACCCCTCCACACAGAGATTCCTGCAGTTTCTATCCTCCTCCAACCCGCTATCAACGGCCTTTGTTTACTCTTGATTCAACAAAAGGAGTAACGTCAAAATGGCTGCCTCAATGTACCAGCGCGACCCGCGTGCGGTGAGTACCCTAGCTAGCGAATCTAAGAACGTCGAGCTGACGGCAACAGGGCCTCTTCCTTGGTGGATCGCGTGTCAGCGGCAGCGAGGTCCGCGACCAGAACGGTAGGCAGCTAGCAGATGGTTGGGACTAAGCTAACACCAACAGTGACTGCGTGCCAGACGGTCGGAAACATTCTGAAGTCGTCGCTTGGTCCCGTCGGGTATGTGATCGAAATCTCGGACGAGACGGCCAGGGACGTCACTGACTCAGCGCAGACTGGACAAGATGCTTGTCGACAACGTTGGAGATGTCACGATTACGAATGACGGAGCCACGATTCTTTCTCTTCTCGAGGTGCAGCACCCGGCTGCCCGTACGCTTGTGGAGCTCGCCGCGCAGCAGGACAAGGAGGTCGGAGACGGTACGACGTCGGTTGTGCTCCTCGCCGCCGAGCTTCTCAGGAGGGCAAACGACCTTGTGCGCAACAAGATCCACCCGACGACCGTTATTGCTGGCTACCGTCTGGCGTGCAAGGAGGCGTGCCGGTTCATGGTTGACCATCTGTCGACGAAGGTTGACAAGCTCGGACGTGAGGCGCTCATCAACGTTGCCAAAACGTCGATGTCGTCCAAGATCCTGTCGGCGGACGACGACTTCTTTGCGCCGCTCGCCGTCGACGCCATGCTCGCTGTCAAGACGGTGAACCCGAAGGGCCAGAAGAAGTACCCGGTCAAGGCGGTCAACGTGCTCAAGGCGCACGGAAAGAGCGCGCGTGAGTCGTTCATGGTCAACGGCTACGCCCTCAACTGCACCGTCGCGTCGCAGGCGATGAAGACGCGCATCCAGAACGCCAAGATCGCGTGTCTCGACATGAACCTGGCGAAGCAACGCATGCACCTCGGCGTGCACATCACGATCGACGACCCGGACCAGCTCGAGGCGATCCGTGCGCGCGAGTCCGAGATCACGCTGGAGCGTGTGCGGAAAATCCTGGCGTCGGGCGCCAACGTCATCCTCACGACCAAGGGTATCGATGACCTCGTGCTCAAGGAGTTTGTCGAGGCGGGCGCCATGGCCGTCCGCCGCTGTCGCAAGGAGGACCTCAGGCGTATCGCCAAGGCGACTGGCGCGACTCTCGTCTCGTCGCTTGCCAACCTCGACGGCGAGGAGACGTTCGAGGCCTCCTCGCTCGGCCAGGCCGACGAGGTTGTCCAGGAGCGTATCTCGGACGACGAGCTCATCCTCGTCCGCGGCACCAAGGTCGTCAACTCGTCCTCGATCATCCTCCGCGGCGCGAACGACTACATGCTCGACGAGATGGAGCGTGCCCTCCACGACGTTCTTTCGGTGATCAAGCGTACGCTCGAGTCTGGCTCTGTCGTCCCCGGAGGCGGTGCCGTCGAGACGGCGTGCTCCATCTACCTCGAGAACTTTGCCACGACCCTCGGATCCCGTGAGCAGCTCGCCATTGCCGAGTTTGCCGCCGCCCTCCTCAACATCCCCAAGACCCTCGCCCTCAACGCCGCCAAGGACTCGACGGATCTCGTCGCCAAGCTCCGCGCCTACCACAACGCCGCCCAGTCCGCCCCCGCCGGAGACCCCAAGCAGGGCCTCATCTTCTACGGACTCGACCTCCTTAACGGCGAGGTCATCGACAACCGCAACGCCGGTGTCCTTGAGCCGACCATGAGCAAGATCAAGTCGTTCAAGGCCGCCCTTGAGGCGTGTATCGCCCTCCTCCGTATCGACGACTCGATCACCGTCGCCCCTGAGCAGAGGGAGCAGGAGGACCCCCACGCTCACATGTAAGACGGCGGGAGGTTGGTAGACTGGGCAAGTGTCGGGATTCTTTAGAGTAGCAGCAGTCGGTACTAGTGATGATGATCATATTGCATGCGTCTTAATCTACTTTATCTCGGCGTCTTCTTAGGTCTAACTTGTGGTAGCTTCTTACGTCTAGAACGCGACGTCTAGAACACAGTTCCGTCACTGACAATCTCGATGGGAGCTGGTCGTTAGTTCTGTTGGCCAATTGGCACCTTCGGGCAACTCACGTCCAGCGCCGACGGGACGCTTCGCCTTCGCGATCTCGCGACCGCCCTTCCAGGTGGCTGCCTCCAGGACCTGGGCGAGCTCGAGGTCCTTGCCAAGCTTCTGCTTAACACCTTCGGCGATGCGGTCACTGAGTCGTCAGCTCTCTGTCATCTCAACTAAGCAGTTCTTGAACTCACAGAGCGACAACCGTGGCGGCTCTCCACTCGACGACGGCCGGGCTCGAGGGCTCGAGCTTGGAGGAGCGTCTTTGCCGTTAACCCAGACGCTCTCGTCCAGACTATCGGGGCGGAGCTTGAGGAGGTCAAAGTCAACGATGAGGCCGCCGTTCCTGTATTCCGGGAGACCGGTCTGCTCGTTTCCGCTGCTGGAGCGGACAGTCCAACCTGCCTGGTCCTGGATCGGCTCAATCAGCGAGTAGCACAACCACTGCGTCAGCTTGTGGAACGGCACGAGCGAGTCGCCCAGCTTTCGGTTCTCCGAGCCGAGGGAGCGGTCCAGTGACGGGCACGGCCACACGTCTCCGAGCACGGCATCTGAGCCAGGAAGCGTCGTGCGCGCGGGCCAGATGGGACCAAGGAGCTCGAACAGCGTCTGCCAGAAGAGGTCCAGGTTGAGCGTCTTGTTCGGGCCGAGCTTTGGCTCAAAGTAAGCTGTGGTCAGCTTGAGGCACAACAACTGCTAGCAACTCACAGACAAGATCTCCTGGCCTGCCGTTCTTGACGATATCGGGACGGGCGGCGAGAGCGCCGCCAAGCTTGGACAGGAGCGCGGTGCGACCCTCCAGACCGGACATGGGATTCTCCTCCGTCACCTGCATGTGCTTGGCAAGGATCTCGGGTGTGAGACGCTGGAGAGCAGCAGCTGAGCTGTCAGCTGTTTGTGACCGTTGTACAGCTACCATCCAATATCGTTGACTGCCAGTGACTCACCATCAACGCGGAAGGGGTCTTCCTTGCCCTTGTCGCTGAAAACTCCATCACGGAACATGTGCCAGCTAGCAACGGCGAGGCCCTCACTGCGTCCGCCGACCCAGTCTGAGTCTCCCTCGACATAGGTCCACTTGTTTCCCGCGCCTGCATCGAGCAAGACGCTGACGACATACAGGTCGATGAGGGTGGCGGCACGCTCCTCCGGATCCTTGGGGAAGCGGGGGTCCTTCAGGAGTTCGCCTACGCGGTCACGCTTGGTAGGCGTGGGGGTGCCGAAGTGGTTACGACGACAGTGGGCTGTGATGTTTCAGCGCTAGTTCCACTCGTCAGGAATCAAGGAAGGATGGAACAATGGGGTGTCACGGCGGCTGGAAGGAACGGGTGGCAAACCCGGGGTTCCGAGGCGACTTGCTCATCGCTAGAGCTCACACAAACCCGAGCTGCGTAACCCGACCGGAAACATGACATGCGCCGATAAACAAAGAAGCTCAAACACAGCGTTGGATGCTCGAAAATGAGGGAGGGGAAGGCGAGATCACTCACGAGGAATGGCGTCCGTGTCTTCCCCGAAGTCACGCTGTCGTCAGCTAAGGATCTCTCACCGGCAGCTCACCTGGATCAAGCCTGCGCAGAAGTCGATGACGGTCTGGAGCTTGCTCTCGTCCCAGTCCCAGTGGTCTGCTTTGCCGGCAACAATCAGGTCGTACACTTGCTTCGACCTGGCGCGGACGGCGCCCAGGGAACGCAGGTACGCGACGGTGCTGTCGGTAGCGGTAGGGAGGGTCATGTTGCTGTCTGTGAGAGGGACGTGTGAACGGCGGGGGAGGAGGAAGATGAGATCAGTGAAAGCAAGGCAGAGAGGATGTCCTATCTGCTCGCTGTCGTGGGATGTCCGATGCCAGCAGTCGCTATCGGGGCGCGGTGTGAACGGGCGAGTCAGAGGCTGCGTAGATACACGCCGGGCACGCATGTGCACACCGTATCGGCCTCCTCCGTCGTTATCGTCACACGGGGCGGGTCCCCACATGTCAGGTCGCCGTCACGTGCCGCCGGCATGCCAGCCTCCCATTGTCGGAATCAAATTGATCACCGTTGATCACCGCCACTTTGAGGATTTCCACATCATTCTTGGGCTCACGTGGCAGCTATTCCAACTGCAGGGTCTGGCCAGGGTCGAGATCAGCGCGCTTGCTTTCTTTTTTCATTTGGTCGTCCTGTCAGAGTCGGCCACTGGCTGCGGTGGGACAAATTTCGTTCCCGAACCCGACTTTAAGACCTTTCGCTTTCACGCATCCTTAAAGGCCTTACGACATCCCCGCGGCCGCGTAGGCCATCTCAGGTCTTGTGCAAACTAGCAGCCTATGAGATGCACAGATACTCGGCGGTACATGACTGGATCTGGCAGACTAACGTCCTCGTTGCTCGGCTCTCCAAACGCCATGCTGGGTCCGCCCCGCTCCACCACTCAGCCAGCGAGGATTGACAGGACTTTGTAGCCCTCCCGACGGACATTGCACCGCCAGTGTGTCACCCGCAGCGCTCTCAGAGTGCACAAAGGGAGTATCCCTGCGCCGCCCAATATATGGCGCAGCAATCCTCGGGCTGGCTGTCATGTCGGACAATCATGTACGCCCATGGCGGTGTCTGGAGCTCTCGTCCCGACACTAGACCATTCAACATGACCTGGCTGTACGACGCTCGCCCACTGCTCGGCTTACTCGCATAAGTAACCTATCCGCCAAGTACTGTAGAGCGGAAAGGGGACACATGAGCGCCAGGGTGTAGAGTTTGCGCGACCTGAGCTCGTAATGTCTCCTAACGTCTCCTGGTGGTCGCAAACCTTAAGGCGGGGCTGCAGTTGCTGTCGCTTTGTTACGAGGGGCACATGCTGTCCGGACCTGATTCGCTAGCTGACATGGCAGTGTGCATGTATACTCGGCGCAGATCGCCCTTTGTGAACATGTGTGGCCATATGAAGCTCGGCGACGACTCCGGCTGCGGAGGCCGACGAGATGTCTTATGCCTGTTTACCCGGGCTCAGCATGGTTAAACTCTTCGAAACGCACAGGCCAGCTTGTTTCGTAACTCTACAATCGTGCTAAAGTTACCCCACAACCCCATGTTCATGTCAGATAAGCTCGCAGGCAGCATTACTACTCGTCCGAAACCCGAAGCGGAAGTACATGAAGGCATGAGGCTTTTGATGAGGCGGAAGCCAACGCGACCGCACATGCGATGGACGCAGCTGCGAGCCGGGCCGGTCGCGCCGTGCACCGCAGGCACAACATAATCGGTAGACTCGGACCGACTCCGGCGCTAGACTCAGGTTGTGTGTCAGTTTCGTAACTCCAGCAATTCTAGTACCTCTTGCAGAGGCATGTATGGGGCTCTTATCGCACGTCGCAAGTGGCCGAGCGGACATTCTGCGAGCTAGCGAACGTCTAGCGAGGTTTGCAGTGTCCGTTTCTTGTTCTTGGTGCATTGCCTCCGAGTCTGGCGTAAGACGGTGTGCGTCGGTTGGTGACTGCCAGCGAGCTGGAATAATTCACTGGAACGTACAGTGCGGTACGCCGGCGGGCCGCAAGAGGCTTCATTGACTCGCCCTTGCGCATGCCGTACACTTCTCGTCCGGCGGAACTCTGTGCCAATGGTGAGCACGCCGACGCCGTTCTCTCATTCATTGAGAGCATGCGTGCTCAGTGCCTTCCGGCGTCTGCTGGCGGGGGACCGACCGAGCTCGACTGGTGGAACATGTGGGACATGGCGGAGACTGCGAGGCTGGACCGAAGAGTGCCCGGCGACGGCCAGGATGCCCGCAATGGAATGCAGCACGCATGTCAAGCATAGAAGAGCAGCTTACAGCATGCTGTAGCATGCACATCGAGTAGATCAGGTCCCAGGTTCCTCGACGACCAGGGGCAGCGTCTCCAGGCCAACACCGCAGGAGAAGGGCCAGTGAGATGTCGTCGGATGCACGTCGGGGGCATTCTGGACGTTTCATCTTGAAAGCAGTCAATGTTGGGCAGACTCTGCATCTCGCCAAGCGCCAGTTTGCCCCTCCAATTCGTTTCAGCACGAACATTACGCATTACGAGAGAAAGTGCGAATGCATCGAACGATCCTCGCCTGCCGGTGTGCCGGTCGTCGGAGTTAAGTGCGGATCGCTTGCGGAGCGGCCAGCGGTCAGAACAAACGTTAGCAACGTCAGCAGCGGGCAGCGGTCAGCGGAACGAGCTCGAAGAATTCACATCGAGTAACGGAAATAAAAAGCAGACGCGAACTACTCCGCGACCACGCCGCGTCTACACCGCACAGATTATGGCATCTGAATGCTTTAGCCCAGGTTGATGAGAGCACGTATGCATCGTTAGAGCAGCCGCCCGACATTATTCCGACTACCGGGTGCTAGTTTCCGTCGGGGCGCTTGCTTGCCTGCTGACTGATGGCATGCTTACTGACGGGGCCTTAGACTGTCACCCTGTCTCAGAGATCGACGTTCTCCTAGTCATGCCGAAAATCCGAGGAACCGAAGAGGAGTGTGCAGCTGGCGAGATGAGTTGCATGCCCGAATATTCTTGCTCGCTTGCTGATGAGTATTAAGGAGAGCGGCTGTCCCGTGTCCAGTAGCTGCCGTCAGCGCAGTTAGTTCTGCTTAGCAGCAGGGAGAGAACGGAGATCGGATCTGTTCGACGATCTTGGTACGCTGATCGTGCCCGTCAGTAGGAACGATCATGGCCCAGCATGCATTCTGGGTGAGGACTCCTGGCTTTATGTTTTCTTGGCTGGCCGAACAGTGTTCATATCCCCTTCGTACCCTTCACGCCTCTGTGGGCGACGCATAATAAGCGGATGTCGTATACCCCCATGATGTTGCGATCTGCAGATGCAGAAAAACGCCCACTATACCGTATAGAGTAACACCCCAAACAGAGGAAGGTTTGCGGATCGCGAAGAGGCGTTCGTCCCTGCAATCAACCGGCGAGTGGGTCTCCTCTGTTATTCGGTGGTAGTCGGGAATTGGCCTTCCTCCTCGTCTGCTCGTCTACAGCTGGCGGCTTGAATCGCATTAACACAACCTTACGAGTGAGGCTGAGTGGTTTTTGACGCGCAGATTCCTGTTGTTATTCCTGCAATCCTTCCTGAGACCTTGTGACCAAGCCTCTCTTATGAATGAATGAGCGTTGCGAGGCTTGGCTACTTTCGGCGTGTGGCCATGTTTACTCCTTCCCAGACTAGCACAATGAGTGAATGAGTTGCTCAATGCGTGGGGCTGGGAATGCGAAGCTGAGCCCCGCGGACGGACGCACAGACGCATGCACGGGAGGATCGTCATGATGGTCATTCAGCATTGTTGCGTGGACGACTCAAATGCGGCCTGCATTCAGACAAAGACGCGAGCGAGACAGCTGATTCGGGCTAGTCTGCTTGTCAGATCCACTTGACGGACAAACAAAGAGCGCCGCGTCCCGGACTCAGCGCCGAGACCCACCCCGGCAGGAGACGGCATGGGCAGCCTGGGCGGCCACCAATTCAGTGGGCATCATTCATGGAGCTCCCTTTCAACACAAACATGTTTGTTGTTTGTCGCTGTGGGCTGCAATCGATACGCAGTGCGCGCAGTGGAGGGCACTGGAGGACAGTCCGGGATTCAAGAAGGAAGGTTCACGGCCCTCGAGCTGTACGGCATGGGCATGCATTCAACAAGACGGCAGGTGCTCCGGCACACCCGCCGGCAGCCAGGAAGCGACAGGCACACGCCTGTGCTTCTGTGCATCAGGCCCGGAATCAGGAACGGGCAAACATCCAATCCCCGTTACCCTCGCAGTCCTCGCAGTAAAGACTGCAGACGTCATGTCACTCTGTGCAGTGTGACAGTCCAGCCTCAGTGCTCGTCATCGAGGGCCTGGACGATGATGAGAGATCGGGGTAGAGCAATGTCCTGACCGACACTGGAATCTGCAACGACCCTAGCGTCACGGTCTTGTGCATCACACTGAGCGACGAACTCGCCCTTGATGTATGATGCTCAGACAACGCTGACCATCTGACGTCGCTGTCGTCTGTGGGGCTCGTTGTCTGGACTTGTGGTCTCCGTTCATCGAGACGAGCGAGGGACAGTGGGGCGGAGCGTAAAGCTATGTGCGGAGCGGAGTGCCTCAGTGGCATGTACGAAAGTAGCAACGGTTCGTATCGGTGTGTCGGTGCTTGTATATGCACACAAGGACGAGGGCATCGGGCTCGACCCCGCCCTCTCCGAGCCCTCTGGAGGTCAGGATAAGCAGCAGCCACGCAGAAAGAAATCAGTCCCGAGGGTGCCTTCTGCTGCCTCCAGATCCTGTTATCCTGCGTGCCTTCTGTGCCTCCGTGCCTCGCCTCGGGGCAGACGAGTGCACAGGCTGGCGGCACAAGCGTCAAGCGGCGACACACCGCTGCCGGCTCATACTGATGCACAGGCTCGAAAGCCCGCTCGGGCGACCACAACCCCGCACACCGCACTGCCGACACACTCGCACAGGCGCCAGTGCGGGCCGCATCCCCTTTATAGGACTCGTTCTCGAATGATGTCAAGCGCAGGGTGAAGTGCGAGACGAACAGAGTTTTGCGAGCCGCAGGCACTGAAATCTTCCCTGGTGCGGTGCGGACTTGTGCTGCCCGTAAGTGTGCGGCGTACGGTGTACGGCAGACCGAACGGTACGCACGAAGCTCGGTGGTGCTGAGAATCTACCGACCGACTAGCGCAATTCCATGCTCATTTCCAGATGGAGTCGACATCTCCTCCATACATGAGCAGCTCCCTGGCGCGCCTGGCGGCAGAACGATCAACAATAATGTACAGGGTAAAGCACAAGCCAAGAGCACCCTTGTCTGCATGGACTGTGATCTGTGGATCGTGGACGTAGGGGTGCGGTAGGGGGTGCCGGGCGAGGTGGGCGGCTTGGGCTCTGGCGGTTGCCAGCCATCGCCTCGATATTGCGAAAAAGTAGCAAGAGTTTCGCGAAAAAGCAGTCGCGTCTTCCGCTCGGCGGTCCCTCAGCCCACTCATGAATCGGAAGCGCGCCTGAGGGACACCCTGAGCCAACCGACGTCGCATCTCGCTGCATCTGGCGTCATTGCAACCCCATCAATCTGGGTTGTCATCTGTCTCGCCTGTCCGCCTAGCGCCGAGCAATGTCATGGACACATGCAGATGCGTGGACAGCGCCGAGCGAGCTCCTTGCGACATGCAGTGTCATGCCCACCGGCTCCGACGCGACGCGCAGCATGAATGCACCGGCCCCAGGCCCACCGGCTCGTCCGGCTCGGCGTGTCAGCCTGTGGGCGCTCACCGGACCGGCTTGCGGCATGCGGCACCACACTACTGAATGCGTGACCGGCATCACGGCACCTGACCTCATAGCTCGGAGTAACAACATCAACAACAAATGCATGCAGTCCTGGTCTACGCCGTTCGCTGCAGCGCCGCTCGCTGGTCCACAGCCACCGTTCACAGACTACAGCGGTCGCCTTCCTCGGTGTCGTCTCCGCGAGATCCAAGAGCATTCCAACGGGCCAGACGAGTGCTTCGGATCGCACAACCCCTGTTCTATATCTGCGCCTGGCTCAGCCAGGCTTGCGCCCCAGTTCTGGCCAGTGTGCGCCCCATCCTACTTGCTCCTTGGCTGCGCACGCCCGCGACCACCTGATTGCACGACGACAGCCTCGACTAATCTTAGACAGCAAAAGTAAATCAGCCGCGCCGTGTGCCGTGCGCTGCTCCCGTCGGCGACTCATCGAATCTCAGGCTTACAAGCTTCGTCTTGGACCAGGACCACTCGCTCATTTTGCAGAACTCTAGGAGACTCACCTCTCTCACCAGCCGCCGAGCAGAGTCTCATTCTCACAAGGACGGGCTGAATTCTCTCCTTCTCTCCCTGTGACTGAGAGCCAGTCGGATCGCGTATGAGCGTCGGAATCGCGAGCGGTCATCGGCTTGGGACATGTTGGCCGAGAGAAGAGGGAGGGGATTCAGGCGCCAGCCTTCTAGCGCTTGTTCTGCATCGAGATTGCATGTGCATCTGGGGTCTGGGTCATGCTTGTACGCATCTCGCTCTGGCTCGCTCTGGTCTGCTCTGTGCTGCAACCTGAGACTGGGATCGGACCCTTAGCCTCTGGGTTGGACCCTGTGCCCTGGATGACGCCCTGGACCCTGCGCCTCCTGCACCGTACACGGCCTGGCGAGCTACACCCCCGTACCCCCGGGGCGACTGCCGCGACTGCCGCGACTACTGCAGCACTCACCGTACGACTGTGCTACACACAAGCTGCATCAATCATCTCCCACTCCCACTCGCCCACTCCCACTCCCACACCCACACTCTCAGACTCCGAGCGCAACACCAACAACCACCACCAACAATCACCACACCACCACCGCAGACAACAAGCGACCGCCGATTCCTGCGCCTCGTCCCTGTTAGCACCACTCTCACCTGCACCACACCGCTCCCTGCCGCCCCCCGGCCCTGACTCACCCCTGCCCTCGACCCTTCACCATACCCTCACCACCTCCCTCGCCGACACCACCGCGTAAATACATCCCATCCCCTCCGTCATTCGACTCCAGACACTACTCAACCACACACGCCCAGAGAACATCCTGCACTGCTCCACTCCATCCACCAACCAATTACTATCCTACCTCCCTTCCCACATAAAATCCTAGCACCCTTGCAACACCCCCGCCGACTCCCCGACGCCCATAATCAGCCCCTTGCTGCACCCCGTTAATATCCTGCTGTCTCCTCGGCAACAAGTCTACTTGCACGGCCCCTGTGTGGACGCACGACACTCCCACCCCCATCCCCCCATCCCCCACTCCCCCATCCACACTCGTCCTGACGCCTGACGCCTGACGCCAACCCGCCAGACACGCACGCCAGTAGTCCAGCCAGCCAGCCTGCAGCCTGAACCGCCTGACCTCGACGCTAAGACCTAGGACCTGACCGCCGCCGCCTTGCACTGCGACCGGCCATCACACTCCTGTTCCTGCGACACTCACTGCTGGCCCCTTTGCCTGTTGTTTTTTGGTCGTCTTCCTCCTCAACCAACCTACAACTTGCAACGTCGACTGCAACTCTGGTCAGTTCTCAGCTCGTCTCGACTGTCTGCTCCACTCCGACGTCCTCTCTGCACCCAAACTTGTAATACGGCCTTGCCCTGTGTTTGACCGAGACATTCCTCGTTTACACCCCCACCACACCCCGTCGAAATCCACACCCTCTCCCGACACCCACAAACCAAACATCGGTTGCGCCAACCACTCCGACCTGACTGCTTGCACGGCCATCCGACGAGTGATCCTTCCTCTGTGTTATTGTCGAGGTTGAAACTAGACGTACGCACGAGCTACACACAAGGACAAAGACAGCCTAGAAGCAACGCACAGGACATCTGCTGCCGTTGTACCTCTCTACGCCGGCACTTCATCCTTTTCGCCATTACGCTCGCCCCTCCCCCGCAACTCGCCCCTCCAGCCACAGCCACGGACAGTACAGACAGACCACCAGACACACACCATCTCCAGTCAACAATCCCTGCTCCCCTGGCACAAAGTTTTGCGTACTTGCATTGACAACATCTACTCTTCTACGAAGACGACATCGCCCATACCACATCGGCCAACGTTACCACGCAGTTCGATACCCCGGCCTGTTGGTAGATGTCCTGTATCGTCGTAAGAGTACCTCACCCCTTGTTGTCCATGTTCAAACTTGTGAGTACCTAGTCACTACCGCCTGCTTCTGGTGATCCACGTGCTGACCAGTCACCAGGTCCCTGCGTTTTCTTAAACACTACCCAGCAGCTATCGTTTCGTTGACCCGAACAAGATGGCCGCTTTCTCGTCCTCTCCACTGGTGGAGTCGTTCACTATCAACCAACTGCACTCTCCGTCTCTGTCACCGAGTGTCTCTCCGGGGCCCTCACCGACCAAGACCGAGGTTGACTTTCCGGCGGATGTTGACCAGTCGTTCAACTCGTCAATGACGTTTACCGTTGCCGACTCACCACCACTTCCCTCTCCAGATGACCTGAACAGTGGAAAGTTCAGCAAGGCCATGCTTCCCCCGCCGCCGCCGTTCGCCTTGGCCCCGCCGCGGCGACCGATGGCAAAGTCGGGGGCTGGTCTGAAGCCGACGGCGTCGGCAAGCGACGCCTTCAGCACGCGCCCCTTTGCCACGACCCGAACATTTGGCCGTGAGCTGTCTCTGAATGCACGACCACTCGCGACTGCTGGAATCAAGGGCAAGAGCCCAATGTCTTCTTCCAAGCATGAGATCTCACCCGTGCGTCTGCAGTGGACCATGTCCAATGAGGATGTGTCGTCGCCCCGCGTGCCTATGCCGCGAATGGGCCGCCGTGAGGTAAGGAGAGGATACCGAGCCGTGTGCTAATTATGCAGTCCGCGCCGCACCTTGAGTCCCCGATGCCGAAAGTTCGTGGGGCCGAGGCTATGGACGTCGACACCCCGGCATCTAAGCGCATCGGGCAGTCGCCCATGAGCGTCGAAGAATCTCCCGGGTTAGGATCATTCTTCTGCGAGTCGCCCGCTGCCCCTATGCTCGCCGCCGCCAAGCGCAAAGCTCTGGTCGGTTCGTGCTCGAGCTCGCCGTCGAGCTCCCCTTCCGCCTCTAGGAGATCGCGTGACGGCAAGGTTGCTTCCACGAGCACATTATTATTCGGCGCTGGCAACCGACGAAGTGCTCCTTACGCAAAGCGTCCCCCACTGAACCCCCTGACGTCCGTTGAGGGTCCCCGCCCTGGGCAGGCCAACTCGGCTTATCCTATTCTGTGCGGTGGCACGAAGCGTTCGGGAATGCCTTCCATTCGCCGGGCGTTCTCTGTGTGTGACCAGCAGCAGCCAGGGCTTGATCTCAGCGAGGATGAGTCCGAGATCGAGGGCTCGCCTTCCGTCCAAGCCGTTAACAAGCGCCACGCCCGCATGGCCTCGGTTGGCATTCGTGCCACCAACGGATCTCCGTGCAAGCCCATGCGCTTGTCTTACGTCGAGAGCCGTGACAAGACGGCGGTCCGCCCCGAGACGCAGCCTGGTGGCTTCCTCTCCCGCAGCGAGGAACTTCAGGGCAAGATTCTTCCGTGCCACCTTACCAAGGGAGACGGCCTCGCGCGCATCACCCCGCAGGTCATGAAGGACGTCATCGACGGCAAGTATGCCGCGAAGATGAAGAAGTATTATGTCTTCGACTGTCGTTTCGACTATGAGTTTGAGGCTGGCCACATCGACGGTGCCGTCCACGTCCCTAACTTATCGGCGATCGACGAGCTGCTGCTCTCGGCCGACAAGGGCATTAGCGATGGCCCGCTCCCTACCCCGGCGCGCAGCGGTGAGGGTGACACGACGCAGCAGACTGTCCTGATCTTCCACTGCGAATTCAGCCTCTGCCGTGGTCCCGAGTACGCCAAGTTCCTGCGTCAGAATGACCGCAACATGAACACGCAAAACTTTCCCAAGGTCCACTATCCCGAGGTGTACATCCTTGAGGGCGGGTACTGCGACTTCTTCAAGCAGTTCCCGAACCAGTGCGAACCCCGTGCGTACGTTGCCATGGACGACCCGCATTACCAGGACCGCTGCGAGGTTGAGTACGGTCGCTTCCGTAAATGGAGTCGCTCGCGATCGTATAGTGGCCAGACCGCGAAGCAGGCATCCTCGACTCGCGTGCTCGCTGAGCCGCTCTCCTTTGCACCGGCCGGACGGCGGTTTGGCAACGCCATCGCTGAGGAGAACGAGCCGGATTCGTCTCCGCTGGCTCGCGGTGTCCTGCAGGCGCCCGCACAGATCTTCGGCTCGACCAAGGTCCGCACGTTCAAGCGTACCGGACTACAGCGCTTTGCTTCATGCGCCGACGCCCAGCTCGCTCTCTGAGCCCGCCACTCACAGCATACTCACCACCATACACGACACTTAGAAGAGCGACCCGACCATACCACCATCCTCATGGACCGCTCGACGCTCGACTGAACGATCCCAACGCACACTCATTTGTATCATAATCAACGCAACTGACACCACCCACCTATACCACCTCGCGCCCCATTTTTTCTTCCTCATTTTGGTTTCTCTCCGCCGAGTGCCGTCACGGCGACTCCTCGTGTCACTGTCACAAAAAGCATTGCCCCACCGTCGTCGACGGTTTCGCCCACAACCTGTACAAACGGACACGATGACGGCTCTTGGTCTCCATCGTTTTTCTCTTCTCCTCCCAACTTCTTCTCCCACTGTACACACGTCACGTTCAACTTTCATCAACATTTCTCATGACAATTCAACGCAACAACATATCATGATGGTTTCCCGAACCCCTTGTCGACTCTCACGCATTCATCAACTACCACCACCACCACCACCCACCATATCACGATAACGTCAACGTCATGTTGGTTGTCATTTATTCCTCTATCCGTGATTCCTCCTGTACATTTTACTCCTGCACTTTTACCCATTGACCTTCTATAACCCCAAGCGAGCTGGATTCGTATATTTTGCCCTTCCATTCTAGATACCGGGCAGAGAACTTGTATCCTCTATATAATGTGTGTCACTGTGCCTGCTGAGGCTTAGTAGTGCTCGATGCATTTTGCTCTGATGCTGAAAAAACTTGTCAAGACATTCCCGAGCGTCTGCAGTCTTCTGTCGATCACCGATGATGTCACTGGCGCATAAACTCTGTTTGGCTGACGTGAAAATGAAAACAAACAAGCACGTGATTTTGAGTCTCCCACGGTGGGAGTAATGCGGGGGCCCATCATCATCAAGATTTTGGAGAGCGCCCTCCTCGAAGTTTCATGGCGGGTGACAGCAGGCGCACAGTCACAATAACACTCCACCACACTACAAAAATGGGGTCCAACGTTCTGCCCCTCTTCTGGCATCTTGCCAGCTCCTCCTCCCAGACGCGGTTAACCGCGACTGCAGACCTGGTGGAGGCTGTGCAGAGCTTCCAGTCGCAGTTCGAGCCCAAAACCGCCGCCGACGATGAGGACGACGAAGACGACGATGACGAGAAGGACGACGGCAGCGATGTTTCGATGGACGACGACGACGAGATCGACCCTCAAGCCGCCAAGCTCGACGCTGAGCTCGCCCGGAATAATGCCGAGGACGTCGTGTACTGCGTGAAGCGTCTCATCCGTGGTCTCGGAAGCTCGCGCGACAGCTCCCGTCTTGGATTCGCCGTTGCCCTTACCGAGCTCCTCGCTCGGACACCGTCAGTGACTGCCGCGCAGGTTCTGAGCCTGCTGCAGCGCTCGTCGACGTGGTCGAAGACGATGAAGGGTTCCGAGGAGCGGGATATGATGTTCGCGCGGCTGTTCGGCACCGTTGCCGTCTCCGACAGCGGAGCGCTGTACAGCTCCTCAGCGACGGTCGAGGACTTTGAGCGGGTGCTCGACTCCCTCATCCAGCTTGGACGGGGGAAGGCTTGGCTTGCCGAGGCTGCCGGCTGGGCGCTCCTGCGTGTTGTGCGTGGTCTCCTGGCCAGCAAGGTCGAGTGGAAGGACGAGGCGATTCAGCTTCTGCTGAAGAAGATCTACGAGGAGGACACGACCTGGACGCCTGAGAAGGTTGCGATTTCTGTCGAGCTCGCCGACGTCAAGGCGGACTGGAAGGCGCTCCTGGCTCCGACGTTCAAGCACACCCCGCTCCTGTGCTCGCAGAACCTCCCCGCCCTCGGCCGCATCCTGAAGGACGGCCGCGCTGATGACGACGAGACCTCGAGCGGCGCCTACAACCCGAAACTCCACTACGTTTGGGACGTCATCCTTTCCGCGTACACGAAGGACGGCAAGCTCGTCACGCCCAAGGGCTGGGCGCCGTTCACGGACCTGTACCGTGTTGTCGTTGATGAGAGCCTGTTCTCCAACTCCTCTTCCGCTGAGCGCAAGTACCACGGCTTCCAGGTATTCGAGCGCGCCCTCCCGCTACTCGACAGCGAGCAGCTCCCGCTCGCGTTCACTCCCAACTTCATGCGCACGTGGATGAACCACCTCTCCTCCGCCGACCGGCACCTGTACAAGGCTGCCATGCGCGCCGCCAAGGTCGTCCAGGAGCATGTCAAGGCTAACCCCGCCGCTGGCTGCACGCTCCTCTCGCAGCTTGTCGGCAAGCACGGCCGCCCCGACTTCGACAAGGTCACCAAGACAAAGACGGTCGAGTCGATCCTGTCCTCGCTCGATGCCGCGGGTGTCGCCGACTTTGTCTCTTACCTCGAAAACGTCCTCAAGGGCGACAACGACGCAGACGCGACTTCGCGAGAGGAGAAGCGTGTCTGGGCACTCGACCAGATGCTCGCGCTCTGCCGCAACGGTGCGATCCCGAAGGACGACGCCTGGGTCCAGCGCGTCCTTGACGACCTGCAGGTTTACGGTTTCTTCATCGTCCGCAGCGCCGACAAGAAGGCGACGGTCGCCCCGCTCAAGGCTATCGGCAAGCCGTTCTCCGACGCCACGAGCGCGATCGCCCGTGCTCGCTTCTTTGCCGCGCTCGTCGAAGCCACCAAGGCCGCCGACTCGGGCAAGTGGGTCCAGCACGCGCTGGGCCTGATGGGCCAGCTCGAGAAGAACAAGCACGTCGAGCTCGCCTCCGACGCCGACGAGGAGATCAAATCCCTCCGCACCAAGGCGGGCAAGGTCCTCGAGCAAGCCAAGAAGGCCGAGGGCGGTGCCGCCAAGGGTCTCCAGATTCTGCTTCCCTTCCTTGTTCTCCAGACCTATGACGACGTCGAGGACGCCCTCGACATGCTCGACGATGCCACGACCGCCGCGGAGGGTATCCTTGGCAAGAAGGCGGATGACGAGGTGCCCCCCATCGACGCTTTGCTCGACGTCCTCATCGCGCTCCTCGACAAGGGATCGGCCGACCTCCGCACGCTCGCCAACCTTGTCTTCGGTCTTGTTGCCCCGTCCATGGGCCGGAGTGCCATTGACCACCTGGTTGTCCAGCTCGAGCAGGCCGGCGCCGAAGTCGACGCTGATGAGGAGGAGGACGATGAGGACGACGAGGAGATGGACGAGGATGACGAAGAGGAGGAGGACGAGTCCGAGGAGTCTGAGAACGAGGAGTCCGACGACGAGGCGGACGACGGCGGTGTCGACCCCGAGTTCCGTGCCCGTGTCGCCGAGGCTCTCCAGGTCTCGGGGCTGGCCGCCGACGCGGACGCCGACTCTGACGACGAGTCGGTTTGGGACGACGACCAGATGATGGCCGTCGATGCCCAGCTCGCCGCCGTCTTCAAGCAGAACTCGACGAATCCCAAGCGTGCCGACCTGAAGCACGCCGCAATCGAGAGCGCGCACTTCAAGACGCGCATCCTCGATTTCGTCGACGCCTACCTCCGCCGGCCGTCTGCGCCTGCCCTCGGCCTCGTGCTCCCGCTCCTCCGCCTGGTCCGCTCCCCCGGCGAGCTCGCCAACAAGGCCGCCGGCATCATCCGCCAGCGTCTCGGAAAGGGCTCCCTCACGCTCGGCGAGGAGGACATGAAGGAGGCGTCCGAGGTGCTGGGCGAGGTGCACGCGCTTGCGCGCCGCGCCCCCTCTGCCGAGTTCTCGGCGCTCTGCGCCGCCGCATCCGCCTTCCTCTCTCGAGCCGCCCCCGCGGCCGCCGCGAAGGCGTACGCCGAGACCGCCTCCGACTTCGTCACCCGCAAGCACTCGCAGGTGCACCCCGCTTTTGTGGCGGACTACGTGAAGCGTTTCCCCGCCCGCGCCATCTCTCTTACTTCAACCCTCCTCTCTCCGGCCGTCAACGCCTACCGCCAGACGCAGGCCTATGGCCTCGTGGGCCAGCTGATGGCCCAGCTGCCGTCGCTCGTCAAGAGCGACGAGGTGACGAGGGCCGACGCGCAGAAGCTCGCGCAGGACGCGCTCGACGCCGCGCTCGACACGCTGGCCAAGGCGGGCGAGGACGACGGCTTCAAGGCCGACAGGTGCAAGGACGTGGGCAAGTTTGCGCTCGCGGCCGCGCGCGCGCTCAAGGCGCTCGACGCGCCAAGGTCCGCCTCAAAGGCGGAGGAGACGCTCGAGAGCCTCAAGAGCGGACGGACGAAGGACATGAAGTCTGTCCATGGCCTGATTTCTCAACTGATTGCTGTTCTGAAGGCGGGTGACGCGAAGAAGGGCGGTAAGGAGAAGAAGGCGGAGAAGGCCCAGAAGGCGGAGAAGAAGGGAAAGAAGGCCGTCGAGGAGGAGGAGGTCGACGAGGACGAGGAGCCCAAGGCTAAGGGCGAGAAGCGGAAAGCAAAGACGGTCAAGGCGTCGCCCAAGACCAAGAAGGCGAAGAAGGCCAAGGCCTAAGTTTTTGGCCTAAGTTTCATAGATAGAGGGTTTCCGGACATGTCACTTGCATAGATTATCTCACCTGCTGACCGCAACGGGAAGAGTGCAGATTGGAACTGAAAACTCATTACTGATTCGGTGCTGGCGTGCGGTTGCAATCTGTGCACACGAATGCTCCCTCGTACGGCTACTCGAGAGCTGCTCCAAGCGGCTTGGTGTCTCAGGCCATCATGCATCACAGGCTCAGCGTGCACTCACATCCTCCAGTGTTAGAGTTGTGGCGCCGTTGCCTACGCTTCTGCTACGGAGGAAAGCGAATGTAGCCGCTGTGTGGTTTGCTGTCGCGCTCGCGGTAGACTTGACGTAGCGGGCCGCCGAGGCTCAAGATCTGCGCGCGAGGAGTGAATTGGTGATCTCAATCAGTAGCTCGTCTCACGAAAGAACATGGCAATGCAAAGTGTTAGTTACAGACGCATCTACATTCTATACAGTCGTCTACTTCCCAGTCCGTCTCTAAGGTCCCATCTGCAGCCGGCCGTAGGACATCCACCTGAGCGCTGCGAACTGGAACCAAGCCCCGAGCAGAACGAAGCAGTGGAAAATTTGGTGCGATGCGCCGACAATGTCAAAGCTGCCGGGGAAGAAGCGCTCCGGGAAGCGCTCGGCATAGAGCACCGCGCCAAAGATGTAGCTCGCGCCGCCAGCGACGACGTAGTCGAGCCCCATCATGTTGCGAGAGTACTCGATGCCCTTCCAGAGCGCGACGTGGCCGCAGGGAATGACGGCCGACAGACCCAGGCCAATGAAGGTCAGCGTGCGGTGCCAGCGATGTCCGCGGTGATGAGGCGAGAGCACCATGTAGCCCGATGCGATGCCGGCGCTGATGATGCCGGCCATGTACATAATCTGCAGACCAGGATGGCCGTAGAAGCCGTAGTACATGCCCGGCAGGATCGAGCCGACGATGAGCACGACGATGCCGATCTGACGTTAGCTAGCAGACTGGCCCATAAGCTCACGTAATCTCCACAGTGGGCGACCTCAGCCGTCGGAGCGTCGCACACCTGAACCGTGTGAAGCCAGGAGGAGAGGCACATGCATGTCACTGCGCTGACACAGTAAATCGCCATGCATGCCCGGTCGATGGTGCTCGGCTCCTGTGGCGGGAACACAGACAGCGTCGGGAAGTAAGACGAGAAAAGGTGGATCGGGAGCAGCGCGAGCCAAAAGAGCGCGCCGAGCGAGTGCGAGTGGATATTCACCGTCTCATTGTGGACGTCTGAGGTCAGCTTCGTAGCCAAGTCGAATAGCAGTCCAAACTGCTCGCCCTCGTCAGCGTCGCCAGCGCCGCACCGCAGGTCACACCGCAGAGGGTAGTTACCGGTTACACAGACCTCCCACGGGTAGACATTGCCGGACACGACGAGCAAGCGGCCAGCGAGCAGTCTACTCACATCCGATGGCGCTGTACAGCGCGCCCTTCAGCGACAGTCGCCCACGATATCCCTGCAGAATCCACGGGTCGTCGGTCGCCCAGGGGACGAGCTTTAGACTCTCCTCGTAGCTGTACAGGCGGTGGGGGTTGTCCTTGCCGTGCTTCCCGTTCGCGGCAGGCTGGATCACGAGCCGGCCCATGGCGTCAACGTCGACTGGTCTCCCGTTCGTTTCGATGCGGACGACGATGTCCTCGGATGAGCTCGAGTCGGAGACTCGGATACTGCGCGGGCGGATGACGGTGTGGGAACGCGCCATGTCGTCGACTCTCTTTATATGTCTTGTGGTTCTGGGCAGTTCCTGTGTCTGTGCTGGGTACGCCGCAGCTGGGGAAGGAAGGCGCAGGGCCGCGCGGGGCAAATAGGGCGAACCTGGTAACTGGAGGAGAATCCCTAAACCTGGCTGATCAAGAAGCGCGCGTCACGTCGGCGTAAGCAGCGTAATCGTTGACGGAACGTGGTACGACCAGGAGCACAGAGGGCGGAGGGCGAGGGCGAGGCGAGGAGTGCGGTGAAGAAATCACAACAACACGGAAAATGGAGCCCGGCTGGGGCCTGCGTGGGTTGCCGTATGCGGTCCATGGGTGGAGGTGCCGGCCGGCGGCACAGCGTTATCGGAGTATTTTGGGAACCCTCTGATTATAATTCCTCACCCTGATGTTATTAGCTTTTCCCACGTGCGCATTACGACTTTGTATTTCACGGCTCTTAGCCTCCTTCCAGAGATAAGATTACAGCAGCCGGCCTACAGCCGCCATCACGTGGGGCGACGGCGCAGTGTGCGGTGCATGGAACAGCGCTGGAACGCTGCTTGGGACGCCCCAGCACTTCAGACTGACGAGTCGTTCGTTGTGTCAACAAACAGATGGCCCGCTGGGGCGAACGAGTCGGAGAGGTTGCCGTTCTGAGCCGTGATTCGCAGCGAGGAAGGTCCCGGAGAGCAGACCGAGGTCGTCAAGCACACGGTGGGGATAGTTCGGAAGACGCTCCGAAAAAAGGCGTCACCGATCACCGCTCACTGAACATCAATTCTTGCTGTCTGTTTTGCGTCGATGTTTGTGACTCTGCGAGTCTTTCGAGTCAGAACATTGCATTAGCATGCGGCCAATTCTGGCTGCAGCAGTGCAATGGCCATCTCACACTAACGCACGGACACTCCCTGCTCCGTCTTTTGCCGGCCGTCATGTCGCCACCCACACCCTCCACCCCGCTTAGTTCAGGCACGCTCTCCAAAGTCCAGACATTTCTCAACTGCCCAGTCCACCTCCACCTTCCTTCCTCGATCGACCATCGAGTTCACCGCCATGCTTCTGCGGCCACCCGTTGTCGTCCGTTTCTTCGGCGCAGCGGCCTCTTCTGCTCGTGCCGGACCCTCTCGGTCATACCGATCCGCCCACCTATTCCATGCGACCTCGACGACGCGCAAGCCGCTCACCATCCTTGCACTCGAGTCCTCAGCGGACGACTCGTGCTGTGCCATTGTCGATTCCGAGCGCAAGATCCACGCCAACGTGGTCCTGAAGCAGCACCACATCAACGCGACACAGGGCGGCATCAACCCCATCCGCGCCCAGGAGGCGCACGAGCGCAATGTACCGTTGGCCATTCGGCAAGCTCTAAAGACGGCGAATATGACGATCGGCGACATCGATGCGGTAGCGTACACGAGAGGACCGGGGATGTACGGTTGCCTGTGTATCAGCGCATCGGCGGCGAGGGGCATCGCAGCGGCGAACGACAAGCCCCTAGTCGGCGTGCACCACATGCAGGCGCATGCGCTGACTCCGCTGCTGACGGAGGAGAAGCCGCCAGAGTTTCCCTTCCTCGTCCTCCTCGTCAGTGGAGGTCACACGCAGCTCGTGCGCGCCGACTCGATGCACAAGTTCAAAATTGTGCTGAGCACGCTGGATAACAGTATTGGGTAAGCCTGGTCAGAGTCTTCATTCAGCAAGCTGACAGCAGCGATGCAACGGACAAAATTGGCCGCGCGCTGCAGTTACCAGACGGCGACCGCGGACTCGGCGCGGCACTCGAGAAAATGGCGGCTAAGCCGCCGTTACCGCCCTTCGACATGCAGCCCGTGCCACCCATGCCCCTCCCGATGCAGCGGCAGAAGGACACGCTGGCGTTCTCGTTTGCCGGCGTGCTGTCCGCCGTGGAGAGGAAAATTGCCGAGCTCGGCGATCCCGCCGTGTACGACGAGGCGAGGGCGAGGGAGCTCTCCCGTGTCTGGCAGGAACTCGCATTCGGACACCTCGGCAACATGATCGGGCGGTATCTCGACTCGGACGTTGCGAAAGCGGACGGAGACCCAGTCAAGGGGCTTGTCATCAGCGGCGGTGTCGGAAGCAATCTCCAACTGCGGAAGACGTGAGTACCTCTTCGCTAGCGCTCAGGACAGCTGGGTCAGCAAAGGATCGTAGGGCGTCAGCGAAGCGTACCGTTCAGCTTGAGAGGAGGGGCTACAAAGCTGACGTGACAGACTCGCAGACCTCCTCGCCCCCCGCGGCATCGAGGTGGCCTATCCCCCCGTAGCGCTGTGCACCGACAACGCAGCCATGATAGCGTGGACGGCGATCCTGCGCCTCCAAAACGGGCTGAGAGGGGAGGAGCCCACGCTCGACATTCGGCGCAAGTGGTCCCTCGAGGATCTGTACAACGACGTGCCGCCAGAAGCGTACGAGACGGTCGAAAAGGAATAGAACTGGGCTTTTTCAGCATTAGTCACCATAGCAACACTCCTCACTTAGCATTACACATCTCATCTCATCTCATGCATTGGTACTCGTCATTCTGCTGATGTTGCGATTGTCCTGGTGTTAGAGCGCTTGGTGCTTGACGGACCGGCTATGGCCGGTGGAACTCCTTGATGAACTCACCGTGAACCGATTCTCGTCACTCTGACGAGGTGCTCAAGTACCCTCGGCGACCGTGTGGGCGTGCTCAGTAGTGTCAGTTCGTGGATCGAAACATAGGGTGAGATCTTCGTAGCAGCGGCTCTCGGAAGAGGCGGGCTTGTATGTTAGTCAAGAGACGCGAACTAGGTGTCCATGAGTGATAGTAGATTGGCGAGGTAGGGATAACCAGAGAAGGTGACCGAAGCCGGGATGGGGTGACGGAGGTCAGTCAATGTCTATCGCTCTCTCGTTTCGTGTCGATTGCACCCTAAAAAGAATCCTTCGCGATCTTTCGAACACACAATCGCAGGAGCGCAGGAGGGAGTTCTGTGCATGCTGGCTCCAATCTTCGTCCTCCCGTCGAGCAGTGTTTTTGCTCCGTGAAAAGGTAAATCAGTCTGAGGCGCAAATTGACTGGGCGGGCTGAGCTTGGACCGCCAAGATCTGCACTTCCGTGCCCATAAGTTGCCTGCCATCGTCAATGCCTCGTCACTCTTCCATCAGTTAAGCTTCCCTTGCACAGAGTTCTCGAATGCAGCTGCAATGTTCCCGGAGAATGCCAATACATACACAAGTGGTCTAATGCTATCCGGCCCATATGCGACATAGATATACCTAAAATTGAGTTTTTAGTCAAGGAGGGGAGTGTGCCCCGGCGCGATGGCGCGGGGGTCCCAATGACAGTGGTGGTGCTGTGCCGTGGAGTTCGGTCGGGAAGCTTGCTGCCTTGTTCGGCGGCGAGCTCGCGACTATCTCAACTGCGGCAGCGAGTAGCTTACCACCAGTCACCCTGCTGCTTCATAGCGCGAGCAGTCTTCTCGAAGCCGGCAATGTTGGCACCAGCGACGAGCGAGGGGACGGCCGAGTCCTTGACGTAGGTCTTGCCGGTCTCACGGCAGTTGGTGTAGCAGTTGACCATGATGTCCTTGAGCTTGGCGTCGACCTCCTCAGCGGCCCACTTGAGACGCTGCGAGTTCTGGCCCATCTCGAGACCGGAGACGGCGACACCACCACAGTTGGCGGCCTTACCAGGGGCGTACCAACAGATACCCTCGGTGTTAGCGGCGTCCTGGATCTTGGTACGGGTGGCCTCGAAGACGTCGATGGCCTCCTGGGTGCAGCCCATGTTGGAGCCCTCGGCGACGTAGCGGACGCCAGCCTTGACGAGGCCCTCAGCCTCCTCCTCGGATACCTCGTTCTGGGTAGCACAGGGGAGAGCGACGTCGGCGGACTCGAAGAGGGTCCAGGGGCGCTTGCCCTCGTGCCACTCGAAGCGACCAGAGTGGTCGAACTCGGTAAGAGCCTGGCGCTTGAGCTTGACGTCGGCAATGGCGGCAATGTCGTCGACGGTGAAGCCCTGGCCGTCGGCGGAGATGAGCGAACCGGTCGAGTCGGAGAAGGAGATGACAGTACCGCCGAGCTCAAGGACCTTGAGGGCAGCGAACTGGGCGACGTTGCCGGAGCCCGAGATGATGACACGCTTGCCGTTCCAGTCGGTGTTGTCGAGGTCGCGAAGCATCTCGGTCACGTAGTAGATGAGACCGTAACCGGTAGCCTCGGGACGGATGTGCGAACCTCCCCAGTCGTCACCCTTGCCGGTAAGGATACCAGCGAACTCGTTGCGGTAGCGCTTGTAGGCACCGAACATGTAACCGATCTCGCGGGCACCGGTACCAATGTCACCGGCGGGAATGTCGGTGTCGGCACCAATGTGGCGGGAGAGCTCGAGCATGAAGGCGTAACAGAAGCGACGGATCTCAGCGTCCGACTTGCCCTTGGGGTTGAAGTCGGAGCCACCCTTACCACCACCCATGGAGAGGCCGGTGAGGGCGTTCTTGAAGATCTGCTCGAAACCGAGGAACTTCAGGACCGAGAGGTTGACGGTGGGGTGGAGACGGAGACCGCCCTTGTAGGGGCCGAGAGCGGAGTTGAACTGGACACGGTAGCCGCGGTTGACGGCGACGGAGCCGTCATCACGCTCCCAGGTGACACGGAACTGGATGACACGCTCGGGGATCTGGACGATCTCAAGGGCCTTGCGGTACTCGGGGTGGACGGCAAGGAAGGGCTCGATGGTGGTGGTGATCTCCTGGACGGCCTGTGAATTGATTGGCAAGGGTGCGGGGTCGGCTTCTTAAACAGAGGAGAGGCTTTGCTTGCTAAGCCAGCTCCTCTCGTTTTGCTGCGGTGGGAAAGTGGGGTTGTGTGGTTGGTGGTGGTGATGAGGAAGAGTCGACTACTCACCTGCTCGAACTCAGGCTCGATGGCGGGGTTGGTGGGGACAGTAGCAGGGGCAGCCATGGTGAGAGTAGTAGGGCTGATGGTCTAGAGTCGGAGTGATGGAGAAGGAAGAGAGAGGGGAGGACGGAGGAAGGTGGGTACTTATAGAATGCGGGGGGGCCGGTTGGGTTATTGGAGCGACGTGCGATCGGAGTCTGAGTGCCTATCTGAGAGTGCGCGCGTGCGGCCAGTGAGTGGTCGGCCACCCACGGCGAGCCCCCGCGGCCCAGTGCATCTCGCTGGTGCAGTGCCCGCGCTGTGCATCGCCAGAGTGGCCAGCCAGCCAGCCAGCGAGCGGCCCTAGGGCTGGGCGTCACTGGGCCGTGCTGGCTGCGCCCAGTGAGAGACACTTTTTCCGTGCCGTCGGCCATGTGCGGTCCTGCGCGGTGACGATTTCTATTTGTCCGACCACAGTGCCAGTCTTCTTATCTCTGGGCCCTTTTGGCCAATCAGCGCACAAGAGCAGCCGGTATTTCCCGTGTCATTTTTATCCAGCCAATGGCGTCGCGCACCCCGCTAACGAGGTCAGCTAATGCGGGGCCTAAGATTAATCGCTGCGCGTGCAGCCCACTCAGACCACTCCACCGCGCCCAGAGACCTCCAGTCGGATCGAAGCGGACTTTCGGCGACAACCACCGTAGCCCCTGCCACCTGCAAGGACTACTCGGACAGGCCGCACGGATGAGCGGCACCTGCGTATCTGCGTCAACAGTCCATGCACACCGCATACGTCGCGTGCCCTGGCCCTGTGTACCTCTCTGCTACCTCCACTTTGGTCCACAGGTTATGCATGCCTTTGGTCAATGTGTACGTGTGTGTCCTGGGTGCAGAGGGAAAATCTGGCGCAGCAGAATGAGATCTGGGAACAGATCCAGACAGAAACGGCCCATTTCGGCGTACGCATACGGTCCGTACGGTCCTAAGTAGGGCCGCAGTTAGCCGATGATTTCGCGGATTCGACCATTTGGAATTCAGCCTAGCTTCACTTTAGCTCCACTTCGGTGCCGACTGAGTCGATCGCCCGTCATCTGCGGTTCGCCGCGGTGTGGCAACTTTCGTGGCACCGCGCCAGATGACGCCGTACCGCTGACCGTACAGAGGTCTCTCGGCCACACGCTCAGCGCCTTCGTCGTTCACTGCTGGGCGTCGAGGCGTCGCTCAATCCCCGTACGGGGGGTGCGATGCGCACTGGGTGAGCCAGTGCGCCGCGCGCGCCACCAACTAACCGGGCCCTAGCGCAGATAGGCTCACACGACCTGGTTCGTCGCTCTAAGGCTGGGACGTGCGTGCATCGACGCCGACTGGCTCTCAGCATACGGGTCAACCAACCCAGAACGCCGAGTAAGCCTCGTGTCTGGCCGCCTCAGGGCGGACCAGTCACGAGCTCAGTTTTTTTAACCGGGCCGTCAGCCATGAGTAGCCGATCAAATCGCACCCATCTACGCATCTGCTGTATGGCGGCCCGTTCGGAATAGCTTCGGGTGCATCGGGTGGAGGCCTGATTTGCACCCATCGCTGAGCTTACACGGCGCCGTACCTACGTACCTCTCGTTCCTTGAAGATTGGCCTGTGGTGTACTCTGGCCAATGGCAACGTTCCGCCGCATCAAGCAAAGACCTCGAGCAGCTGAAACGGCTTCTTCGCCGTCTCTGCTCATCAATGCGGGGTGCGGGAGTGGGCGCTCTGGGCACACAGCACGAGGATCTGGGGTGCGGGGTTATGGTCGGGGCGCCTGTCTTCCACCGCACACGACACTCGCAGGCTCTTGATCGCTTCCAAGCATCGCATGCATCACTCGCTCGTCCCGAGGAACAAAAGGCACAGACAGAGATAAGAAGCTACCTCCCTGGAGACCCCGCTCGTGTGCCGTTGCCCCGATGCAGCTCCGACGTCTGGCTGAACCGTACTGGACGGTTGCGTTGTTGGCTGCGGCGCACCAGCCAGTCAGATCTTGCTCTCGTGCCCAGCAGCCCTGGGCTCCATCTGGGCTCCTTGACAGGTGGTTGGGCGCTGATCCGCATGCACGCGCCGGACGCCCGGCACGCCCTGGGTGGGAGATAGGAGATCAGCGGAGCTCGCTTGCATCGCTGGCCAATGGCATTCGAGATCGGACAGGTCCGACCGGCCCCGCACTCCGCTCTGTCCGCTTGCACATCCCTCCACCCACCCACCCGCGAGCGGGGGTGAGCTCGGCCTCCACCGGCCAGGTCCACAGGTCCGCGTGCCAGTGGCGACGCTTGATCATATCTCTCCCATCACACGGCGGGTGCCTGCGCACAAACTCAGATCTGGGGAGACTATGGGGTACGCTTCCCCACCCCGCAGTTCGCTCGCTGGACAGCATGCAGAGGACTCAGCGTTGGCGAAGGAGTCCCATTGGTGCCCCCTCCTGCCCCTCGTTCCCCACCCGAGATGATGGGAGAGATAAGCAATGAATCGACGCCAGAACATGCCGGCACACACGGCTCACACACACGGCAGTTTCGGCCCGGAACGGTTCGCGGGCGTCCATCTCTGTCTTTCGGGCCTGATCTGCGCGCCCCACATGATTGTAAACCCGACCACCGTAAAGACCTATCACACTAAGCCTATCGTGGCATGTGTGTGGAGATGGGACGCCTCCCATTGAATCGACGGCGAAACGTCGCGGAAGCCTCGGATGAAGCCCGGAATGCACGGGATGTAAGCCTGACATTCTTCTGGATCGGTTTCTGAACCTTCTCCAGCCCAGAAGGTGATGGCGGGCGATCAGCAATCTTATCAGTTTCAACGGGAAGCCAGCTGCCACCAACATGCTCGCCTCCACCGACCGGACCACCTCCACTATCCTCCACTGACCTCCACCCTCTCACCAACGGCTACACCAGGCGGAATCAATGCCACGTTGACATTCCGCGTGGCTATCACGCCAAAGCCATGCAAAAGGCACGCGCGTTCCCTCGGCTTCTGGAAATCGCCAGCCCAGAAATGTTGACGTCGGCGCAGTCCACCCCTCCACAGTGACATCGCACAAGTAGTAGTGCAAGTCGATACCCCCCACACCTCGACGAACCGCCTCCCACCGCTTCCGCACGATGGCGCGCTGCACGCACAAAGGCTGCGGGAAGGAGTTCGACCCCGAGTCGAACCCCGACGGCGACTGCACGTACCACCCAGGCGGACCCGTGTTCCACGAGGGCCTCAAGTCATGGTCGTGCTGCAACGAGAAGAACAAACCCGTCATGGAGTTTGACCAGTTCATTGCTATCCCCGTATGTATCTTGGCAGAGCGTGAGCGTAAACGTTAGCTGACAGACAGGGCTGCACGAAGGGAAAACACACCGACGAGGTGCCCACGGCCGCCCCGGCACCTAAGAAGGAGGAGGTCGAGGCGCCGACTGAGAAGAAGGGTGGTGTGGAGACGTACGGATCTGCCCCGGCTACTGCTCCCGCCTCGGGAACTGGAACTCCGGCGCCGGAAGAGCCTGCAGACCAGACTCCCGCTGTGACGGTCGCGACGCAGAAGCAGGAGCCCGAGCCGCAGGTCGAGGAGGAGGACGACCCGGACATCCCGGTGCCCGACGGCGCGCACTGCAAGCACCTCGGCTGCAACGCTGTGTGGAAGGGACAGGACATTTCGAGGGGTGACGGACCCGAAGCTGTGTGCACCTATCACCCGCAGAAGGTAAGCTTCCTTGTCCCCTGCCTCAAGCTGACGCCCAGCCAATCTTCCACGAGGGCTCCAAGGGCTACCTCTGCTGCAAGCGGCGCGTGCTCGAGTTCGACGATTTCCTCAAGATCCCCGGGTGCACGAAAGGGAAGCACTTGTTCGTCGGCCCCAAACCTTCTGGGAGGGAGGAGCTCGTCGAGGCCCGGGTGGACCACTACCAGACGCCGACCGAGGTCTTCGTCTCAGTGTACGCCAAGGGCGTCGACAAGGCCACCTCGAAGGTCACCTTTGGCCCGCAATCGATCGACCTCGACCTGCACCTCCCCGGCAACAAGCGTGTTAAGAGGACGCTGACGCTGTACGGCCCCATCGTGCCTGAGAAGTGCAGCTATCGTATCCTGGGCACCAAGGTCGACATTGAGCTTACCAAGCCCCAGCCCGCGAGCTGGCCGCTGCTCGAGCTCCCGCCCCCGGGCACCGAGCTGCCGCCCGGATACGCCATCACGTTCGGTGTCAGCGGCAGGACGGGCACGGTCGGCGGAAAGGAGATTGTGCTCTCGGCCGAGGAGCAGGCGAAGCACGCGGCGAAGAACTAGCCGGCATCGGCTGGCGTGAGGGGTCAGAAGCATAGCAAAAAACACAGTAGAGCGTAGAATGCATCAGCATCAGCACCACGAGCGCCATGCACAGGTATCAGCGCACACAGCAGTAGGAGTAACTGCGTCAGCCTTAGATCCTCAGGGCGATGGAGGTTGCGGAATGAGGCTGTCATGGTGTGTCACCGCCTGGTTCAATACAGCCGCGATAAGATCGTGTGGTCATGAAAACATGGCAAAATGTCATCAGATGGATGTCTATACAAAAAAGTGTCTATGCTAAAATCTACTGAACGACCTTGACGCGGTCCTCGAGGGGGAGGAAGGTCTTGGGGCGGGCGGGGTTTCCGGGCTCGCCGGAGGGGACGCCGAAGGGCATCTGGGCGGTGGGGATCCACGCCTTGGGGACGCCGAGGAGCTCGTTGATGGTCTCGTGGTTCTGGGGCGTGTACTGGCCGTAGTGCTGGAGGTTGGCGCCCATGCCGTCGGCGGCGAGGCCGGCCCAGACGATGAACTGGACCATGCCCGAGGTGTTGGCGCTCCACGCCGGCATCGTGGCCTTGACCATGGGCACCTTCTGGACGAAAGCGTCGATGGCGTCCTGGTCCTCGAAGAAGCAGACCGTGCCGTACGCACCCTCGAAGCCGTCAAACTTGCCGCGGTACATCGCCTCCTCCTCCGGCGAGGAGAGGTTGACCTTGTGCGAGTTCCAGACAGCCTGCCAGAGCTCCTTGTGCTTGGCGCCGAGGACGAGGACGGCACGCGAGGTCTGCGAGTTGAACGACGAAGGGGCGAACTTGATCGCGTTCTCGACCAACTCCTGGAGCTGCTTGTCCGAGAGGGTGGACTTGTTGGTCAGGTTGTAGTACGAGCGGCGGGCCTGTAGATGTCAGTCACTATTCTTCTCTTCGCGCTCGGACAACCCGGCCCCGGGTGGGCTACTCACCTCGACGGCATTGAGGAACTCGGCAGCGGTGTTGGAAGCCATGGTGCGAACTTGGATCTTTTGGGGTTGGAGAAGACGAGAGAGGGTGCGGAGGCGAAGCGTAGCTGTCATGAGATGTCGTCGAGACCTCGCAACATTGCAGCCTTTATACTTCAACGGTTCTCCAGTGGCCGCCAGCACGCCGCCAGGACGTGCCCATCACGTCACGGCAAAACCAACCACAGTCGAGCACGGTCGCCGACCGGCGCGACCGGCGCGAGTCAAGGACGGACCGTCGATCGAACAGCCAGGGCCTAACACGTGGCTTTACCCTGAAACCCGACCAAAACCCGCCACCGCTGAGTCAGACGTCAGGTCTTTGTTGAGCGGCCTCACCAAGCTCGCCGGGCCGTCGGCCTGCCAATTCATGATGCTTTTCGGCGCAGCCGTGCCGCGGTCTAGAAGGTGCGCGGCATGGTTGGATCTGGGACGGCGTCGGGAGCAATGTTGATGCGTTAGTTTGACGCTGGGGCGGTTGTCACCGATACGGTGAGACGCCTTAGTGAGACAAGGCTGGCGCGACGCGTCGCGTGAGGGAGTTTCCGACGGATCTGGACCCGGCTTTGTCAAGATTGCCAGTGCTCGTTAAGAAGCTGACAACTTGTCTCCACGATCTTCACACAACGGCACCGACGGCCTCGATGTTTGATGTGACTGCTGACCTGTACGCTGATTGCTATGCGTTCGTGAAAATTGTGGCATCGACGGATGACAAGATAGACCGTGGCCCGTCGGTCCCTAAGCCCCTTGCATGCCGAGGCAATGCCCACGGCTCTGGCGATCCAACAACTGCTTCTCAGTAAAGATGATGGAAGCTGCGAGGGAGCTGGAAGCAACCTCTTTGCTCTCCGATGGAATGAAAGTGATAGTCTCCGCAAGACTGGCGCCAGACGGAGTGCGGATGGCGACTGGAGGCAGCCTCCGATTGCCGAAATGATGTTCACGAGGGAAGTCATGTTCTGAGGAACGAAACGAATGAGGACGCAGCAGACGTCATACTTGATAGTCTGCGTGATCTGCTCTCAGAAGGATTCGACGAAGAGAATCAACGATCAATAACGACTGGCAGACCAAACAGACGAAGGCAGTGTCCATCCCAAAAGAGTACAGTTACAACGAAGAGCCCAGGCCTAGGCGGGGCGTATATGAGGATACTAGTATATGGTGTCGTTGCCCGCATGCAAGCGCTACTGAGCCCGAGGATGTTCAGAAATCGCAGAACACGCGCACGGGGATGCGGGCAGAAGTTGAAACCCAAATTGTTAAGCAGAGTGCCGAAGCGTGCGGGGCCATGTCGCCGTTGAAGTTGCAGATAAATCTTAAACTTGCTGATAAGATGTTGCCGCCGAGCGTCATTCGGGGCATTCGAGCGACGCTATTGCAAGCTAGCGCAAGGGCGCTATGGGACGAGATCGCAATGCCGAGATTGTGCAGTGATGTAGTGCGAAGCGGCGATCGAGCGATGATCGAGGGGCGGACCTAAGTTCCAGAGGCGACACCGAGTAGCGCAATCGTCAACCCAACAGCAAGTGCGAGTACCTGGGCCTTCGTTCGCCGTGGTGACGCCGATGCGGTGCATACGAACACTTCGGTTTGGATGCAGTGCCGCCATTCGGCCTGCTTTGCTTCGGGCATGTAACACTTGTTCTTCATGCAATCGTATTTGCCGACCTGAGCACAACACTGCTGGAGCACCTCCGTTCGCGCACCACCGGAGCAGTACGCGCCGCCCTCTTTAGGCTCGTCGTACCGCAAAGACGTGGGGCATATTCTCGGTGCACTCAGGCTGACGGAGGCGGAGGTGGACATTGGTGCGGCTTGTTGGGGGTAGGGGGAACGGCGTCGGAGGTGGGGAAGGGACGAGGAGGCGGGCCGGGGCAGCGAGGGGACGGGGGCGAAGAAGGCGGGGCGGCCGGAGCCAAGGAGCGTGGGGAAGGAGCGTGGTGGTCTTTATACAGTCGAAGATTGAGGTCAGTGTGTTGTCAAAGTCGTTGAGGTCGGTGCATTGCATCCCGAGCTCGTCGTCCAAGATGCCAAGGCACTCGGCCCGGCAGCCCCATCGGGAGAAGGCAGGAAGGCAGGAAGGCCAGGACGCCAGGTGGTGGTCAATGCTCAGCTCAGATCCCTCCTACAGTACCGCTCGTTCGACGCGAGCGCGCGAGCTCGAGTACCGGAACGGAAGGCTTGGGTGGGCGGTGAGGGAAGGCGAGGGACGAGCTGGGGCCCCTGAGCTTCCATTCAGAAATTTCGTGATTCCTGGGATGCATTCAGGCGCTGCAGCCGCGCCGTTTCGCTGGCGACCTGGCGCACCAGCTGCAAAGTCGGAGGCGAATTCCGGAGAAGGCGCGAAGAGGGCGGGGCCTGGAACCGGGTGGCGCTGCAGGTTCCGATGCAGTCAGTTTATTTCCGGCAGAGCGTGTTCTTCCTGCAGCTGTGGCGGACGAGTATGCATGAAGTGTTGACGATGCCACCTGCACATGACTGCGAGTGACGATCTCCAAGCGTGCGCAGGCGAGGTGACTCAACCGCCGATCAGTCCGCCTCGTGGCCTGGCGACTCGTTTACGTCCTTTGGACGTTGTTGTGACTGCATTCCTTCCTTCTTCAATCTCATCCACTGACACAATGCCGCCCCGAGGCGTTAGCAGAGAAGAGAAGCGGAAGCGACGTACGCAAGATCTCTGCGAGTCACGCTGACACAAAGTGCTCGATCTCTTCCACGAGACGGTACGTGCGTTGCGCACATCCCACTTTCCCCGAAGCTCGCGACATCCCTACCGTGTAGCTGACGACAGAGCGAATTCTTCACGCTCAAGGAGCTCGAGAAGATTGCCCCAAGTGAGCTAGGGTTTCTCGTACACCAGCTAACCAGCAGAACAGAAGGGCATTAGTGGGTTAAGAGCTCCTCCATACGCTAACCTCCAGTCCAGCAAAGCGTGAAGGAGATCCTAGACGAGCTGGTCTCAGACCACCTCGTGTGCTTCGACAAGATGTAAGCTCGCAGGTTTAGCACAGAGCTAACGCACAGCGGCACGAGCAACTGTCAGTTGTCCTGATCCGCAGAAACTGACACGCAGACTACTGGTCTTTCCCCAGCGCCGTGGGTGCTACTGTGAGTTTTGCGACCCAGTTTCCCTAAGTACATGCGGTAACTGACATCAGAAACAAGCGAAGCTGGCAAAACTTGAAGCAGAGGAAGAGACGCTGGATGTCAAGCTGACCGCCGCCCGAGAGGGGGTGGCGAGTGCGCGTGCGCAGCGGGAGGACACTGTGAGCTCAACACATATCGCCCCATAGCTGACGTCAGGCCGAGCGCCGCGCCCTCCTTGCCCAACTCGAGGCAGCGCAAGCCGAGTCCGCCAAGCTGCAGGAACAGGTCAAGGCGGCCGGCGACGGGGACCCAGCCGCCTACGCGCGCAAACGCGCGGCTGTCGATGTCGCTAAGACTGCGGCTGTGCGCTGGACTGGTGAGCTATGCAATAGCGACAGCAAGCTGACGGCAGACAACACGGTCGCCATCATGGGTTACTGCAAGAGCATGGGGACTGATGAGGCTGAGCTGCGCCAGTTCCTTGAGATTGGTAGGCTGCCCTAACATCTCCTAGCTGACTTCAGACGACGAGTGGGACGACCTCGATACGAGTGCGTAGCTTGCTGGCAGACAGAGAATAGTGAGCTCCAAGCGTGCCAACCAACAGCTAACCGCCAGCGCACCTGATGCTCGCTTCGCTCGCGCCGCACCGCCGTCCGTGATTCCATGCATCGATTCATACAATTGTTACACGTGTGTCCTTGACCGCACACTCTCCAAAAGTCCTGGAGGGGTTTTGTGTTTTTTCGTGTTGAGGGGGTCCCCGAGGGCTCCAGCCCAAGATATCCAAGTGGCGGCGCCTGAGCTCGGGGGGAGGTAATCTTGCTTCCGCTGTCGTTCTGCTGCTCGTTCAACTCTATGTCTAAGATGGGGTGGTCGTTCAGAAGAAGTCGTTCTTGAACAGGGCCGAGATCGACTCGCCGTTGTGGGTGCGGCGGATCGACTCGGCGATGACGGGGGCAATGTCGATCGTGTCGAGCTGGCCATTGAGGGCAGCGACGCGCTCGGTCTGGTCGATCGAGTTCGAGACAACGAGCTTCTTGACGGGCAGGTCGCGGAGGTTCTCCATCGTCGCCTCGGAGAGGAGGCCGTGCGAGATGAGCGCGTAGACCTCGGTAGCACCCGAGTCGCGGAGAACGCCGGCGGCGAGACGGACAGTGTGGCCGGTGTCGATCATGTCGTCGATGAGGATGGCAACACGGCCCTTGACGTCACCGACGAGGAGCTCCATCATGTCGTTCTTGTGGTTGTGCTCGTCGTCGTCCTCGATGCCCGCGGCGGATCCGGCGTCCGAGCCGATCGGCGTGGGGGGAACGGTGGGAATGGACTGGGAGTGGACGTCGCGCCTGCGCTTGCGGTTGATCAGGGCGAAGTCGAGGTTGAGCTGGTCGGCAAGCGCGGTCGCGCGCTTGGCGCCTCCCGCGTCAGGCGAAACGATGATAGCGTTGCGCCAGTCGGGGATCTGAGCCTTGATGTACGAGAGCATGCTGGGTTCTGAGAACAGGTTGTCGACGGGAATGTCGAAGAAGCCCTGGATCTGCGAGGCGTGCAGGTCGAGCGTGATAACGTGGTCGGCGCCGGCGACGGCGAGAAGGTTGGCGACAAGCTTGGCGGTGAGGGGGGCACGCGACTTGTCCTTCTTGTCTTGCCGGGCGTAGGGGTAGCACGGGATGACGGCGGTGATGCGCTTGGCGCTCGCAGTCTTGCACGCAGAGATCATGACGAGCAGCTCCATGAGGTGGTCGTTGATGTCGGGGGGCGACGGCGACTGGATGATGAACACATCCTCCTCACGGACAGACTGGTGGATCTGCACGCTGGTCTCCTTCGACATGAACTTGGAGACATGGCAGGGCGTGAGCGTGATGCCGAGTCTGTGTGTCGGAACAGCCAGGACATCGAAAAGTTCGAATGGACGTGAAATTTGACCGATCCAACAGCATTGAGTTCGGCGACATCAATTTTGGGTGGACCAAGAGCACACGCAATCCGGAAATCAACCATCCATCGTCGAGCGAAGCAAATGTTTCGAGCGCGAATGTATGCACGGCGGAGGCACAAGCGTCAGCTATCGGGAACCCAAGGACTCGGAGAGCGTTGGACGATGTCGGCGGAGGGGTATGAAAACGCCACCGGAAATCTGTAAAATCGGACCTCCGCGTATATGACAAGCGGAGGGCCCGCTGAACAGTGCCCACTGCAGATAGGGGAACTTGGTCGTTTGACCTATCTGTGTCCCCTATCGCCTATCGATATCGTGCAGTTCGCTCAACCCGATGCAGGAGACACATACCGTGCGGCCACAGCCTCAGCGAGCTTGGGGTGGGCGTTGCCTGGAAAACGTCAGCTGCTGCTCGGTTCAACGTGCTTGATCCGGCTTGGCAGAGTGCCCGAAAGTTCGAAAAATTGACCGCTTTCGTCACTAAGCCAGCTCGTGTGACTCACCCGTGAGGAGACGAATCGAGTTGCCCTTCTGGTGCATGGTGGTGTTGCTCCGGTTCCAAGACGGCGGGGTTGAGTTGGAGGAGGTGTAGAGCTTGGTGAGCAAGAGACCGTATGAGAAAGCAGCGATTACACAAATTTCAACCCTTGGCTTTCAGAAATCGTCATATAGCGCGCATTCCGAGAGACGAGGGTGGAGTGCGGGAGTAATGTCACGTGCGGCATGAAAACGCAATGACGTGGTGATACACGCCGCAGACAATTTCGGACGGTATCAGTCATTGTCGCGGTCACCCTGTGCTGCACGCCGGTCCAGTCCTCTTGGCTGACCATCTCGCTGATTCGCCTAAGAGTACCACTGCTCCAACCTCGCAGCCATGGCTTCGGCACAGTACGCTTGTGAGTGCGCTCCGGTGCGATACAGCTGACCCCTACAGTCCGCGCTCAAAAGTCTCTTGGTGTCGCCGACGGACCCTCGTTCGAGGTCTCGTCCAAGATCCCTTCGTGAGTTCGTGCGATGGCGTTCATCGGCTACTTGCTTGATCCGCGGTACTGACATCAGTGACACTGCCAACGCTAAGGCTATTGTCTACTCGGAGGACGGCAAGTGGATTGCTTACGCGCTTGCCAACACGTGAGTATCTAGCTTTCCGGTATTTGTCAAGCTGACGACGCAGTGTTCAGATCGTGTCGTCCTCAAGTGGCGAGGCTGTGACTATTGAGCAGCCTGGTGTCGTCGCTCTCTCCTTCTCGCCGCTTGCCTCTACTCTCTACACCTTTGAGAGGCCGGTGAAGAGCGAGACTGACGTTTACAAGAACGTCAAGGCGTGGAGCATCAAGGGAGAGCTCATCGGCGGATGGTACCAGAAGACCGAGAATGACTGGTGAGTTCATTTTGGAGGTGCTCAGCTGATGTTCAGGGCTCCGGTGATCACGCCCGATGAGGCTCACCGCTTCCAGCCGGCTGGTAACGACATTCTCATCTTCTCTCCCCCGCTTGCTCCTCGCCCTGCTACCCGTCTCAAGAACGACGGCCAGATCCGTGGTCTCTTCCTCTCTCACCCTGCGGAGCTCCCCGAGGGATGCACCAGCGCTAGGTCTGTCCGCCCTTACACTGAGCCGGCCATGGCCGTCTGGGTCGGTGAGCGCAAGGGTGCTCCTGCCAACCTCGCTCTCTACCCTGTCTCGTCCCTCGTCGGCAAGCCTGCTTCCGCCGACAAAACCGAGAACCGTGAGATGCCCATCACGGTCGCGAGGAAGGCCTTCTACAAGGCCGACAAGCTCAACGTCAAGTGGAACAACGCCGGAACTATGGTGAGTTTAACGCCCATTGATGTGAAGCTGATTGTGTAGGCGCTCTTCCTCACTCACACTGACGTCGACAACACTGGGAAGTCGTATTACGGAGAGACGAACCTTTACCTCGTCGCTCTCGACGGCTCGTTCGACGGACTCGTCGACCTGGACAAGGAGGGTCCTATCTACGACTTCTCTTGGAACCCTACCTCCAAGGACTTCTGCGTGTGCTACGGCTGTGAGTTTTGTTCTCCGTGGTCAAGCTAACGTTAGACATGCCCGCCCGCACCCAGATGTTCGACATTCGCGCCAAGGCTATCCACTCCTTCGGCTCGGCTCCCCGCAACTTCCTCTCGTACCAGCCTCAGGGACGGTTGGTCCTCTCCGCTGGTTTCGGAAACCTCGCGGGAGGAATTGACGTTTGGGAGGTCAGCACGCGCAAGAAGGTCGCTGAGTTCACGGCTTCCAACAGCTCGCACTGCGAGTGGTCGCCCTGTGGTCGCTACATCATGACTGCTACTCTGTCGCCCCGACTCCGTGTCGACAACGGTGTGAAGATCTGGTGGTGTGGCGGTCAGCTCCTGCACGTCCAGAACACCGACGACCTTTACGCTGCTAGCTTCCGCCCGGGTCGCGTCGAAGACACCCCTCCTTTCCCTGCTGTTGTGCCCAAGGCTCCCGAGGCCAACGCGTCTATCAGCCTCTACAAGCCGAAGGGCGGAGATTCGAACGGTGCCGCCTCCAAGCCCGTTGGTGCCTACCGTCCCCCGGGAGCGCGTGGAATGGGAGCTTCCGACGCTTACCGCCGAGACGACGACGCCCCTTCGAGCGGTGCTTCGACGCCCACCTTCAAGGGCGGCAAGCCCGCTGCTCGCTACATTCCCGGCGCCGCGATCCCCGGCGCTGCTGCTGTCCCGGGAGCTGCCGCTGGAGGAGAGAAGAAGAAGCGCCAGCGTACGAAGAACAAGAAGGCGGACGTTGACGGCGCGACCGAGGCTGTGGCCAAGGCTTCGATCGACGAGAAGCCCAAGGCTGCTGCTGCCCCTGCTAACGACGAGGACGCCACGGCCAAGAAGATCAGGAATCTTACGAAGAAGCTCAAGGCCATCGACGAGCTCAAGGCCCGTGTCGCTAAGGGCGAGGTCCTCGAGAAGACGCAGGTCCAGAAGATCGAGACCGAGGGCTCGGTCCGCGCTGAGATCCGCGCCCTTGGCGGTGACGCTTAAGCTCCAAAGCTCACCATTCTCCCTTCTTAGATTTCACTGTCCTTCGTCCCCAGTAGCTTGTAGCCGCTCTACGTTCCCAGCATGATATGGCCATACTATGCATTGCATTTATTGTCAAAACAACAAACGAGCTCTATTTCTTCTTAGTGTTCTTATTGTTATTTCCGGTGTCACCGGCCTCCTTGGCAGCCTGCTTAGCCTGCGGGGTTAGCTTCATGTCGAGACGAAGTGAATAGCTCCGCCGTCGCAGCGATTTCGAGCCGTGAGACTCGGCCGGAGAGTCGTGCTCAGATAACGCCAATCAAGCTCAGCTCGCTCGGTGCGAAGGCGAGAGGTACGTGTACTCACAGCGATCCTGTCGCGTCAGTACATGCTGAAGAGGTAGATTAACTCACTTAGCCTGGAGGGCGTTGGCGTCAGCCTCGCGCCTCTTGGTAGGGTCGCCGGTCTGCTTCTTCTTGCCAGCAGCGCTGATAGTCAGTTAGATCATGTGAGGTAGACCGAGAGGAAAGAGCGATTCGACTAGCGTCGATGGCCGGGCTGTCGACGATGGAGAGCGAAGAGGAAGAGATGATGGAGACAGCACTCACGCCTTGGCGAGGTTCTTCGCCCTGTCGCGCTCTCTCTGGTCACCACCTGCCTGTCAGTTCATGCGTCCAGAAGTCGAAACTTACGCGTCATCCTGCAGATGAGATCTGATTTGTTTGGTTCTCGAGAAATGAAGGAAATTTCCCGCCTGGGACTGATACGCGATCAGATGCCAGCGTCCAGAGCTCGAAGATGCAACCAATTTGATTGTCACGTGGCTTTGATCCCGCGGTGGCGTTTTGTCGTTATCTGCGGCGGTGGGTGGCAACGCAGATCGGAGATGCCGAGGAACAATGCATGCCCCCTTACGCAGAGACGACGAAGAGGTTGCCCCTTGCAGGATGCGGGAAGAACTGTTTCATTTGAAAAGTTGAGTGCAGGGCGGGCAAATGCTTCGTAAATTTGCAAGGGCCCATATTGATCACCCAGGACAGTCACCCAAGGTGGAACCAAATAACCTCCACCATCCGCAAGTGACGGATCGACTTGAGGTCGGCACTTGACGAGCCGTTCCTTCCTTCGCCTTTCTTCGAACACCCACAACACAATCACAGTCACCATGTCGATATTCTGCGGAGATTCCTAGTTCGCCTTCCCGAAGGTCGGCTCCGAACACGATCAGAGCGTCAATTACTTCCGAACGACGAACACACTATTTCATGGCAGGTGCTCGATCTCACGCAGAAGATGAGGAATCTCCAGGATCTTCACCTGGTTCTCAACTTGTATGTTATGCTCTATGAAAGTGTGTCAACCGCCGCAACCCTCCCTCGAAGTATAAACGATTTTAGGCTTAACACTCACTCCAGGCACCATAATCCATCACAGTCCATTCTCACCTCGCTGCTCACAGGCTCTGGTCATGCGTTAGTGATGCACATCGGTGCACCAGTGCGAATGAGGCACACAGCCAAAGCAACTTTCCACATCCGCATCCACGTCGACACACTGCATTGCATAAGGGGCCGGCATCTGCACTTTCTGATTTGTTCTACATTTCATCACTTCAATCCGATATGACCACTGACCTAGTCGACGGCAACTCTCAGCAGTGCAGCGGCTCGTTCCAAGATCACCCGGAGTGGCAGGACGGAGACTTCGACCTTGTCTCGAGTGATGGATGGCGCTTCAAGATCTCCTCCGATCTTCTCTTCGAGTCCAGGTGTGTACATGAATCCGATCCTAGCTGACTTGCAGCCCGGCCCTCCGTGAGCTCTATCACTCCAGCTGCACCTCCGATAGCCCCTCGACTCCGCCTTCACACCTCTTCACTGACCCAGTCATCGAGCGCAAGCATGTTATTGCACGCTACCTGCAGCTACTCGTGCACAAGAGCGTAGGCGACGACGCTTTCATGCGCAGGCAAGCGGGCAGCCTGCTGGACCGCATCCTGCTCACGGAGTATACGCATCTAATCAGGTTTCTGAACAAGTGGGGCTGCGACGACCCGATGCAGGTCTCGAACGCGATGCTTCGTCTGGGCGTGTCGCTCATTGGTGCAAGCGTCAACCGAACCCTGGACCCTCTGGACATCTTTATCCTGGGCGCCGAGATGGACGAAAAGAATGTGTGCGCCACCGCCATTGCCGCTGGCTGCTTTGCAGATCGTGTCTACGATCCGAAGACGGGAGAATACCGAGAAGTGATCTGGGGCGTGAAGCAGCTGCCGGATCGCTTCATGCAGCTCTGCGCACCCGCTTATCTCGAGGCTGCCATCCGAGCTATCCGCGAGTACTGGAAGGCCAGGGGCACTACAGGTGATCGTAAACTTCCTCTTGACTTCCTCCAGGACCGGTTCTGCCTTGGCCTCGAGTCTCCAAGGGATCAGGATTGAGCATGGAAAGACTTTGAGAGTAGCAGCCGGACTACAGCGGCTCTATAGACTGATAGAGGCGTCCCGTCGGATGATGATACTGCGAAGCGATCATTGTTGTTCAGGGGTGATGCACAAGCTGCTATGGAAGCTTCAAGCTTTACCGTTGTTCCCCCTCGTCCGTGGCGCCGCGAAAATTCGAGAAATGTCCAAAATCATGCATCAGTTGTCTTCTGCTCCAGTCTCATCAAATGCACATCCCAGCTATGCGGACAGCCTAAGATCGTAATGAGAAACGTTAGCGAGTCATTGCACAGGTGTATGGGTTAGAAGCGTATGATGAGCAGAGGGTGGAGGTCTGACGCGGACGGATTTGCGCCCGTTGACTTGGCGCACCCCTAACACCCCTTTCGTGTGTGCTTTCACAACCATCTTCCTCGTCTCACCATCCTCACACCTCATCAACAGAATGCCGGATTCCAAGTCCGATATTGTGGACATCCGCGATCATCCAGACTGGCAAAAAGGTGACTTCTCCCTGATCTCGGCGGACGGGTGGCGAATCAAGGTGTGGTGGCATCATCTCCTGACGGCGAGGTAAGCTCCGGCCATCCCTAGCTGACCATCAGTGACACGTTTCGGGACGCTCTCAATGCCGACAAGCCGACCATAACTTTCACAGACCCCGAGATGGAGAGTAAGCGTGTGCTCTCCTTCTTCGCTCGCCTCATCTCACACCCCGCCGACAAGTCTGACACACCCATTTTCGGCCTCGAGACGCACCTTGCCCTGATTCGTTTCATGCGCAAGCACGACTGCGAGCACACACTTGAAGTTTACTCCCTCTACCTCAAGGCTGCCCTTCTCTCCGATCGCATGCGACCAATGGAGGCGTGGGTTCTTGGTGCCGTCTTGGACGACAGCGACATCTGCGCCGCTGCGCTGAGGCAGGAGACGCCGCAGTTCCAGAAGGTGTACTGGCGCGCCCACTGCGCGCACCGCTACTATGCCGCCAGCCCACAGATCTTCAACATCAGTGACCTGCCTCTCACCGCATTGAGCGTTGTTCCGCCCATACACTTGCATGCGCTCGACAAGGTCCGCAGGAAGAACTGGGAGGAGCTAGTGCCTGAGGAGCAGCGGAAGGGGTACTCTGTCGAGAGGCTCAGTGCCCTGAATGCGTCGCAGGAGTATGCCGAAGTGGTGGCCCAGGTGCAAAGGCAACAGGCTGCGAAGAGAGGGGAGAGCAGAGTGTCGTCTCCCGCAGAGTCTGCTGCGAAGCGCCAGAGGACCTGATAATGGGTTGATAGCGTCTCACAGATACATGTAGAGCCTGCCGTTGTACGTAGATGAACCGTATTGTACTGTACATCAGTCTCCTGAGATTGCTTTCAGACATATACAGTGCCTGCACAGCGCTGGCGCCACAAGCAAGGAGCCACCGTGAGGGTGAGGCCATGACCTGGCCGACCGGGCATGACTCCCGCTTAGGCAAATGCGCCTTGTTTGGTGCCGCTACCACCATGTGACACACTGCTGTGACCAACGCGTCTGCAGTGTTGAAGTCTCTCATGCTATCTTCTCGCTCATACTCGCACTTCTAAAAACACTCTTTTGCATCCACTTTCGTTTACACTTGACCTGCACGCCCTTCATGTCTCAAGCTCCACCATCTACCACGGATACGCTTCGCCACGAGGAGATTCAAGAGGACCCGGAGTGGATCGAGGGCGACTTCAAGCTCATCTCCTCTGATGGGTGGAGCCTCAAAGTATGGTCCTACCAGCTGTTCTTTGCCAGGTGAGCTCGCCTCAGTACAGGCACATGAGATACTAACTTTACCCAGTGCGACTTTCAGAGACGCCCAGAGTTGCAGCAAAGCCGACGGCCCAATGGAGATCCAGTTCACAGACCCGGAGCTCGAGAGCCGGGAGGTTCTGAGTCTCTTCCTCGACATTCTCACGTTCCGAGGAGAGGACGTCGGCATGTGTCTCTGTCTAGAGACGTCAATTTCCCTCATCGCCTTCTTGGACAAGTATGATTGCGGCCCCGTGACGGAGGTGTTCCGCCTCCGCCTCATCAGGGATGTGACCGAGAGCAACTGTTACTCAGAGGCTATCTTCGTTCTAGGAGCCGTTCTCGACGACGACCGACTCTGCTCCGCTGCTTTGCTCAATGAGGAACGGTTTCGAATCGACCGCAAGCTGTCGAAGCACTTCGGTATCACCGACATACCTCTGGAAGCTCTCGACTCCGTGCCCCAAGTTTATCTTCGAGCCCTCGCCGAAGCTACACCTGCGTGCGACGGTAAGCCTTGCGAATGTTCCTACGAAACTGCCCACCAACGCTCCCGGAAGTTCTTTAATGAACCATGGAATCTGAAGGACAAGCTTCAGGACGATAGAGATCGAAAACGTCGTCTTAGGATGGTCAATGAAGCCCTGTCTGTACGAAAGAGGCAGCGGCTCTGAACTATGATACTTCGTGAGAGAACCGGGCCGGTAGGTAGGGTTCATTAGCCAAGCTAACGGGTGTCGCCAGAGTAGTCGCTCAAGGGCCTGCCTGTCCCCATATTCCTGATATTCCCGGCTTCCCCACACCGATCCTAACGTCCCTATTCCCCTCCCCAACACATTGCCAGCGCGCGCAGCGCCCGACACAGAAGCACCGGACAACGAAGAGCACACATACGGTCCGCGATGAGATCAACGGTGCTTGTTGTTTCTCGACAGAGAGGCAGGAGAGGGCCGACGCCGACCCCAGATCGTAGACAGCAATACAATGCATGTACTGTAGCCTGAGAAAGTATGAGCACTCACCTTGCAAGGGTAGAATGAGGTTGGAGCAACCCTAAAAAACCAACAGGCGGGAACTTCTGTCTGAGCCTGTGCCCACCATCCATGCATGCCGACCGTGCCGATGTGCGTATCGGTGCCCCCGAGGGCGCAGCTGTGCGTAACCTCCACCATCACCTTTGTGTCTCCCTCCTACTGTTTGGCCGCTGCATTGTCCACCCTCTCATCATGTCCCAGTCATCCACAAAAGCTGCCTCCGCGCACGAAGATGGCCCCATCGAGGTCAAGGACGATTCCAAGTGGACCGAGGGTGACTTTTCCCTGATCTCCTCGGATGGATGGAGGCTGAAAATATGGTCTTATCACCTCATATCGGCCAGGTATGTCTCCGGCTCATCCCAGACTCGGAGAGCTGACCTACTTTAGCTCTGTGCTACGCGACGCCCACAACTGCGCTACTCCCGGCAGCAGCATGGAGATCACCTTCACCGATACAGAGTTGGAGACCAGGGAAGTCTTGGATCTCTTTCTCCGCTTCGCCACCGAGCCTGACGCTCCCAACGGCAAAAGCAACTTGCCTGCTTACATCAACCTTGTATCGTTCTTGCGCAAGTACGACTGTCCGCGCGTCCTCGGGACCCTGTCCCTTAGCCTGAAGCGAGAGCTCTTGGAAGGCTCCTGGCCCCTTGTGGATACTTTTGTTCTTGGATCGATCCTCGACTGCCCAGAGCTCTGCGCTGCCGCCATCGACAGACACGCCGAACTTAATCACCTAGATACCAGCTCAGAGTTCGACGTTTCTCACATCCCCGCACCAGTGCTCGACCACCTCCCCCGAGAGCATATCGTCGCTCTGTCTGAAGCCATTCCAGTCCGCGAATACAGTTGTCCTAACTGTACACACATGGACCACGAGACGCTGGACGACGCTCCTGAAACATTCCGGGCCAGTCTCCGCCGTCTCGAACGTGAACGGAAAGTTGCTGAAGAGAAGAAGCGCCCCAACAACGATGAGCAAACCGACGAGGCTCCTCACTCCAGAAAGCAGAAGACGAATTGAAACCCTCTGAAGCTCATGTATGCAGTGTTTATAAGCCATGCAAGCAATCTATTTGTGATGAAGCGGCTTTGTTCTACCGCAATCTGATAAGCCGACCGCCAAATGACATCACATACTGTAACAGCCAGCCACTAGATCAAGAATAAAGTCCACTAATCTCAACAGCAAACCATTCTTTCTCTCTTGTTTACGTCGTTCCAATGCCGAGGCCCCTGTCCAGAGACAGCACAGATTCCAGTCAAGGGGAAGTGCAAGACGATCCATTCTGGAACCAGGGTGATTTCACTCTGATATCCTCGGATGGATGGCGGCTCAGAGCACCGTCGTTCCTTCTGTTCTACGCCAGGTATGTGGTGCCCAGAGAGGATCGAAGGCTGTCGGCGCTGATACAATTACAGTGCCGTCTTGCGTGATGCCCAGAGTTGCACCACTTCCAAGAGCCCTAAGGAGATCCACTTTACCGATCTCGAGCTGGAGAGGAGAGATGTCTTGAACATTTTCCTCTACCTTCTTGTTTTCCCAACGAGGACTTTCCAGATTGACCATGATCTTGACCTGTGCCTCTCTCTTATAGGCTTCTTACAGAAGTACGACTGCCCGCAAGTCATCGAAATCTTCCGTCTTTCTCTCACCAGGATTCTCGTGGAGGAGGAGGATTGGAGTGCCGTGGAGATTTTTGCACTCGGTGCAGTCCTCGACGACCCAATCCTCTGCTCAACAGCAGTTTTCTACGAGGAGCGCGCGCGACGCGAACGCCCGGACTCGGAGCACTTCAGCGTGCGCGACATCCCCATTGCAGCGCTCGAACACATACCCCAGGAGTACCTCCGAGGTCTCGCCGACGCAGTGCCTGAATGCGAGGGCAAGCGGTGTGACTGCCCCCATGATCAGGACTCTTCACGAGCGGTGGACTTTGAGGCTAATGTAGTAGAGTTGCAGCAGAAGATGAAGTTAGCAAGGGAGAAGAGACGCCGCCCTGACAACGAGAGCGACAGCCAGCTCCGGAGGAAGAAGAAGAAAAGGGTCTAGAGGTCATTAGCCTCTGAGATTCCTGGACGGCATGTATGTTATGTTCTCTGCGCAAGACGGCCTGTCAACTCGAGCAACCCAGCAGATTGGCCGACCCTGCACTGTTGCTGGCGATACCCGTTCTGACGGGCTAGCCCAGGGTTTCGAAGGAGGCTTCATCCCTCTGATGCAGCCGTGCAAGGGCTTCCTAATGCCTTGAAACTGCCCACAAGACGCGCATGCAAGCACATCGCTGTCTGCTGACTTGGAGATGGCCAAGGACCAGCCGCCGGGGACGCATTCGTCCAAAAACAGGACGTTCTCGTGGTGTAGTGGTTATCATACTCTCTTAGGGTGATCTAACATCTTGAGCTTTGCCTCCTCGTCTCTTCGGAGACGGATTGGGAGTGGCCCCGGGTTCAAATCCCGGCGAGGACCTTTTTGGCTGTTCGCGAGGCTCTGGAAGCTCAGGAAGACTTGAAAAGGTCGGGGGAGATGATGAAATCGAGGTGGAAGGCCGGACAAGTGGGTGGTGAGGTCAAAACGGAAAGTGCCACATTCCAGTTTCAAGTCGCTGCTCCACGGGGTGTGTGTCGCTCTCTTGACACCCAGAGCAGCTATGCCTCTCGAGAGGTGCATACTGGGCAGAGCAGCTGACGAAAACGCGCGTTATGTATGCCGAGCAAGTGCGTTCCTCGAACTAGGGTGTGGCGCTCCCCGGCCAATCCCATCCTCCCCTCTCCTAACCTCTTCTGCGTCCCCTCAACTGCGCTCACTCTCGAAAAAGGTGGCTGAAGGGGGCAATTGAATGCCCGCTTGACGAGAGTGGGATTCGAACCCACGTCCGAAGACTGCGGAGGAGCATCCGAGCTCTCGGAGGAGAGAGAGGAAGAACCTTAACACAGCGCCTTAGACCGCTCGGCCATCTCGCCGGATGAGAGTAACTCGCCCGCTCCGGACTTGTGTCCCTGGCTCCGCGCTCTCGCGATCTAGGGGGCTTGCCATCGATGCAGGTGGTCTGGGTACGTGGTAGAGAGGCGTATTAGGAGGATAGGGAGAGGAGAGAAGGCTTCTCTCTTGGGGGTTGGCATTGACTGACTGATTGACGAAAGCTTCCGCTGCCTCGAAAATCTCCGAAACTCTTGAGATTTCCTGCCAGTTCTATGAAGAAGAGTAACGCTGTACGTACACGAAACAGGCCAGACCGGCCTTCACGACGAGTGACCTCCCGTCTGCTTGCGGACATACTCACGTCCACTATGAACGTGACTGGCCGGCGCGCTGAGGATATGGCGGTCGGGCAGATCGGACCGTCAGGGTCCGGAATCTCTCCGACCGCCGGGGCCCTGTTCTTCTTGCACCACCATCCGTCCTCTCCCTAACTTACCTCAAGGCTCAGGACGCAAAAGTTTTGGCGTAAGGGAGTAACTGAATACTCGCTCTGACGAGAGTGGGATTCGAACCCACGTCCGAAGACTGCGGAGGAAACGACCTCTGCTGACGTGAGCTGAGGAGGAGACCTTAACACAGCGCCTTAGACCGCTCGGCCATCTCGCCTGGACGATCGCTGCTCCGGCGCAGCGAGGATCCTCACCGAGGGGTCCGCGCCAGTTGTCGCCGCCGCGGAGTTTACAGCGCCATGCAGAAGGACGCTGAGAGCGGAGAGGGGCTGCACGTCGTGGTGAAAGTTGCATCACATGTCCCGTGGCCGAGCCCGGCAGTCCACAAACTTCAGAGCGGTGCTCAGAGGGTTTCGGCTTGCATGGCCGGCCTGATACCGCGAGGTACACTCTGTTCCTGCCCGTTCCTTAAGGTAAGCGTAACCCGTGCCCGCCTGATCTTGCCATAGAGTTTGCCAGTTCCCGGGGAACACCCACTCTCACCTCCTTCATCGGGTCGTCGTTTGGAGAAGCTCGGGGATCCAAGCACATGCATGGGCGGTTAGGAGTAGGCACCCCACGGAACGCCGTCATGGAAAGATGAGCTGCTTGTCTGTTATGCGCAACTTAGCCCGACCCAAAGTAGAGGCACCGCTCGATCGTGTTTCACTTCCTCCGCGCAGCTCGGGGAATGCGTCGAGGTGTCGTAAGAGTTTGGCTGGTGTGCGGGACCAGGTATTGCTCATACACCGTGCAACACCTACATCCGTGGGCGGCCGCATATCCACGCTGAGACACGCTTTCATCCCCGCCGTAGCGTACCGTTGCCGCGTTCCCGAGTTGTAACCCAGACCCGAGTGGGAGTGCGTAAGCTTGTTATCGACATAATGAGGCAACCTTTCGAGCTTCCTTGCATGTGGGCCCATGCTGATCCATGAAGGTTCGTCCGCAAGGTTAAAGCACTTGAAATTTTCAGAAAATGCAGGATATTTCAGGCAGTGGCACAAATTATGGCAACGACAATACGATGCACCGTTATAGGCAGACAAAAAGGAATGTTCATCTGCATCTAGATGTCTAAACAGTGTTCTGTGCGAAGAATGAATGCCCCGATAGCGGGATTGTGCTTATAGAAGTTTTGGTGACTAAATGTTCGAGTGCGGTGAGGCGCTTAAGCGAGCTGGGCCTTGAGGGCGGCGATCTCGCGGCGGAGGAGAGCGTTCTCCTGAGCGAGCTCCTCAGAGCCGCGGGAGCAGACGCAAGGGGGGCAGACGGCGTCCTTGCCGGGAGCACCGTCCTGGCCGTCCTTGCCAGGGGCACCGTCCTGGCCGTCCTTGCACTGGTTGTTGTTGTTGCCGCCGCCGGAAGTGGTGGGCTTGGGGGCCTCGGAGGTAGACGAAGTGGGGGCAGGGCCGTTCGAGGTCTGGTTGTCTCCACCGTTGGAGGTGTGGTTGTCTCCACCGTTCGAGGTGTGGTTGTCGCCGCCGTTAGAGGTGTGGTTGTCGCCGCCGTTCGAGGTGTTGTTGTTGTCACCACCGTTGGACGACGAAGTAGGCTTGGGGGCCTCCGAGGTCGAGGGAGTAGGGGCAGGACCGTTCGAAGTGTGGTTGTCACCACCGTTGGAAGTGTGGTTGTCGCCGCCGTTGGAGGTGTGGTTGTCACCGCCGTTCGAGGTGTGGTTGTCGCCGCCGTTCGAGGTGTTGTTGTTGTCACCACCGTTGGACGACGAAGTGGGCTTGGGGGCCTCCGAGGTGGACGGGGTGGGGGCAGGACCGTTCGAGGTCTGGTTGTTGTCACCGCCGTTAGACGACGAGGTAGGAGCGGGGCCGTTGGACGTGCTGCCACCGTTGGTGGGGCCAGGGCCACCAGAGGTGATGATCGTGCCGTCAGGGCCGGGGTTGCCGTCGTGGCCGTCCTGGCCGGGGTTACCGTTGTGGTCACCGCCGTGGTCGCCTCCGTGGTCACCACCGTGGTCGCCACCACCGTCACCACCGTGGTCGCCACCGGTGGGGTTGGGGTTGCCGCCAGTGTTGGAGGGAGTAGGGACGAAGGTCGTGTCCGGGAGACACTCGTGGCAGCCACCGTCGCCGCCGTGGTCGCCACCGTGGTCGCCACCACCGGTGCCGCCGGGGCCGCCGCCGCCGCCGCCGTTGCAGCCGCAAATGGGGCTAACGATGACGTTGACAATGGGGATGGCGCACTTGATGGAGCAGATGAGCTGGAAGGTACGCTTGTCGAGCTGGTCGCGAGCAACGAGGAGGTCCTCCTCAGTCTGGATCATCTCGGCGCGCCTGTGGAGCTCGAGCTCGCCGATCTCAGCGGCGGGCTTGGCCACGACCTGACCGGCCATGGCACCGAGGACGGAGAAGAGGATGGCAGAGGAGAAGCGCATTATGGAAGGGTCAAAAGAGGGTGGATGAGGTCGGAGAAGAGAAGAGGATGATGAACGGCAGGAAGGACACGAGGTTCGTCCTCTTATATATCTTTCAGGAGCCTCTTGTTTGCGAGTTCTGCGTACAAGATCCCAGTCCCGAATGATGCTGTACTGTAGGCAGACCACGCCAGGTAGGAGCGACGTTCCCCAGGCGCTGGAGCTACAGGAGGAGCACTTCCTTGCCGAAGCCCCTGCCTTTTGCGCGGTATTCTGCTGCGCGCTTGTGATGACCCAAACCCCTGCATTTCTGCCACCGCCATGGCCCTCCGCTGCACCCTCATCGAGTCGAGACACCGGTCGGGATGTCGATGGGGGCAGGATATTGCGGGAGACATAGACACGAGGTGTTTTAGATTTCGCTCTATCCTGTCGGGTCACCCGGAACACAGCATCGTCCCGGGTCACTAACACCCATGACCGAGTGGGCCGCCGTGCTCCTAACATGTTCAACGTCAGGACAGGGTAAAGGGCAACTTGGAAGGAGCCGACCTCGTTCAGGAGAGGTTAGTGCGTCGCGTCCGTGCATACAGGTGCGTGCCTTCGTTGCTGGCTGTCAGCTACGTGCCAGTGTGGTGGAATCTGGCGAGCTCGCCGCATCTGCGCATTCGAAGGGCGGGACACCCCGGAGAGCGGAACGGAGGCGGCGGGGAGCGTTGACATGTGGGTGCGGCCCTTGATGTCTGGGAGCGCCGCCGGCGGTTGTCGTCGTGTTCCTGACTACCCTGGGTTGAAAGCCCTGGCTCTAAGTTTCACGGATGTCATTACCTGCTCATGCATGTCGTAAAAACGTGATGGAACTGACTCTATCCGGGGACCCAGAAAGATCAAGCTCCAGTAGGGTCGCGGGATGCTTGGAGGGCGTGGGGACGGAGTGCTGCGCGACGCGCCGTTTTGCGGTCATTGTCGCTTGACATTGAAGCATGACGCTGATAGCAACTAATGCCGACTGAATTGCCTGAGGTTTTACGGCAAGAGCAACCCTATCGCATTCCGGTGAAACCCTCCTGGGCCCGGGACCTGCCCTGTCTCCCTACGATTACTGAGAGAGGGGAGAGCGTGATGGCCTGTTCGACTCCTGGGGACGGGCTTAAAATAACACTTGCTCAAGCTCAAACGTTGTTCCCGCACTTGCTTTCTTGGAGCGATTACCTCGCTGATTCGTCTCGGGAGTCCTCCGTCACTGTCGGGCCAATCAAGCAGTAAGTCGGCCTCGCGCAATGCGACTGTACGAATTGTTTGAGTTCTCAGCAAAGGCCTTCGTCCAGGGCGGACAGGGCATAAGGACGTGCGCAGTCCTGGCCCGCTGAACGAGTTGGAGGGTGGTCTCACCGCCTTCCTCACGCTAATCCTCAGACGCCGTCATGAGGACCCTCACAGATCACCAAACATCTTCGCAACGGCAGCATAACCGTGTGAGCCTGGAGGTGCATCGTGAGGTCCAGTGGGCGGCGCTCGTGCCGACCCTCACTCTTCATCATCTGCTTGAGCGCCGAAACAGCACTAACCACCTTGCGTCGCCCATGTGTTGACTACGCCCACCACCGGGAGACAGGGATGTACGGAAGGACAAGTCTCCACTCTACGACCAGGGTCACTGTGGGCCACAACCCTCGTCCACCCTGCGGAACATTCAGCGACCCGCGAAACCCGCCGACCCCGGCCGGGTACCCAGAGCGGTGCAGAGTTTGAGCTTAGCGACGATACGCATGCGAAATCTTTCTGGAAGCAGCTGTCTGTAAAGCAAGCCCGCTTGCATGCTGAGAACTCTGGGTGGACTAGGTTTGTCCAGCTGCCGCCTGCTGTTCTTGGCAGTGAGCCATGCTGGCGATGCGATGCCGAAGTCCAAACAGGGCTCATCGGGCGTAGTTCGGGCCGTCGATCTTCGATCGGCATGTGTGACACTTCTATCGTAAGCCACACCCGGATCAAGGTGCCGGCTCTGCGGCGCAATGCGCTCCACCCATCCCCCACGTCCCCATGTCGTTGCAGTTCCGTAATGGCCGATTAATGACTCAGTGCCAGACAATGTCACGGTCAGTGGTAGGACACAACGTGAGGGCATCGGTTACAGCCGTATGTACCACCTGTCTTACACCTGTCTCTGCTGAAAGGTGACAAATCTTGGTAAGCACGTAAAGAGGGGAGGATGCATGCGGTAGGAGTGTTAAGAGGTTACGTTGTGGGCCACAGGGCTCGGCACGACGCTGTGCCGCTGCGCAACCGGCTGTCAGCCCACGGACAATCTCATCCGATCCAGTCGGATGGGGTGGATTGAGGATAGAGAGGTAAACATAACTACAAGCGAATGTTCAGCGGTGCAGCGGTAAGCGGACCGGCGTTGCTAGGGAGGGTCGGCTTAATAGGGCGTGGCCGCGATGGAAGAAGCGTTGGCGGAAGCAGAAGCCGACGCATCGATCGAAGTTGGGACGCCAGAGACGCTCGAGTCCGAGACAGACGCAGTGGGCGATCCGGTAGCGCTCTCCTGGGCCGAGCCGTGGTCGGTCGAGCCAGTACCAGTCACAGTCGCAGATTCAGACTCAGAGAGCGAGCCGCTGGTCGAGACCGACGAAGCTGAACCGGAGACGACGCTGGAGCTAGCGCTCGACAAGTCAGACGACCCCGAGGCGCTGGCGCTACCAGTGACACTGGCGTCGGTGCTGGACGCGCTAGCAGACTCGGTACCAGAGACAGACGCAGAGGCAGAGTCAGAAGCGCTAGCAGAGACGCTAGCAGACTCCCCGGCGGATCCAGACGCAGAAGCGGAGTACGAAGCGCCAGAAGAAGCAGAGGTGGGAGCGCCAGTCAGGGACGAGGCTGAAACGTTGCCAGGCTCAGAGCTGTACACTTCGGTCGAAGACGAGTTCGAGGGACCGGCGGAAGCAGAAGCCGAACCAGATGGAGAGCCAGTGGGGGCGCCAGTCGCAGAGATGCTCGCGGAGGCGTTCGTAGAGGCAGAGACGGAGGGAGAAGGAGAGACGGTGGGGTATCCAGCGTCAGAGCCAGAGCTAGAGCCCGAAGCAGAGACAGATCCAGTGGGCGCGGTAACGGCCGAGTCGGAGATCGATCCCGTGAGCGAGGCCGAGACCTGCTCCGTGATAGACGCAGCGATCGAAGAAGAGTCGGAAGCCGAGGCTGAAGCGGAAGCACCCGAAGGCGAGACGGACGCGGAGGCAGAAGCAGAAGCAGAGATAGGGGCAGAGGCAGAGGCGGAAGCAGAGACAGAGGCGGAGGCGGAGGTAGAGACTGAGGCGGAGCTCGCACCCTCATCCTCGTCATCAGAGTCGTCGTCGCCCCAGTCCTCATCGTCCTCATCATCCGAGTCATCGCCCTGGTCGTCCTCGTCCTCACCCTTCTTGCCGCCAAAGTTGACGTCGCCACCGGGACCGCCATTGCCGCCGTTGCCAGCGTTGCCGTGCTTGCTGTTCCCGCCGTCGCCGCCGTTACCGCCCGAGCCGCCCGTGATCTCCATCGTGGACTGGCGGTTCTTGCCCTTGCCGAGACCCTTGCCGTGACCCTTGCCGGCGCTCTCAGTGGCCTCAGCGCTGGCCTCGGTCACGCTCGCGGCGTCGGTAGCGGTCGCCTTCTCCTTCTTGCCCTTGCCCTTGCCGGAGCCGGTGACGGAGGCAGACGCAGAGACCTCCTCGGTAGCGGAGGCTGAAGCGTTTCCGGAAACAGAGGCCGAGGGAGTCGCAGACTCCTCGATCTGGATGTCCTCGGTGGCCGAAGCGTCGCCAGCAGGGGAGGCGGAAGCGCTGGCGACAGGGGAAGCGGAGACAGAAGCGTTGCTCGACGCCGAAACGGAGCCCGTGATGGAAGCAGTGGCATCCTGGCGGGCGTAGATCGCAGCAGCCTCGGCGCCACCAGTGGCGTTGGCCGAGTCGGTGCCGTTGGTTCCGTTGAGGCGGCCAGCGAGACCGGGAGGGATGGTGCCGTTCAGACCGGGCGCGTGCTCGATGCCAGGGGGCATGGCCTTGTCCTTGTTCTTGCCGTGGCCCTTGCCCTTGCCGCCACCCTTACCGCCGCCCTTGCCGCCCTCCTCGACCTCAGCCGAAGCGGAAGGAGAGGCAGAGGTCTCAGACGCGGAGGCAGAGACAGAGGCAGAGAGTGAGTCAGAGATCTCCTGGCGGGCGAAGCGGAAGAAGCGAGGCTGGCCGGGGAGTTCCGAGCCAGTGCCGGGGGCGTAGCTGGGCAGAGTCTCGTTGACGGTAGCGTTGGTGCCGTTGGCGGTGCCATTCAGGACAGGGGGAACAGTGCCGTTGAACACGGGGTCCTGGGTGTTGTTGAAGCCACCCGACGCCGAGGGGTAGGGGAGAGCAGAAACGGTGGCGTTGGCGGAGCCCTCGCCCTCATCCTCAGAGTCGGAGTCCTCGCCATGGCCCTTGCCGTGGCCCTTGCGGTGACCCTTGCCGCGGCCCTTGCCATGGCCCTTGCCCTTCTTGCCAGCACAGTCGGTGCCGTTGGTCGACCCGTTGGTGCCAGTAGTGGGGAGGGGCATGGGGAGGAGGGTCGCGTTACCGGAGGCGCCAGAGGGAGCAACAGGAGCAGAGCCAGTAGGAGCGCCCTCGGAAGCGGAGGCCTCACCAGAAGCGGAGCCAGAGGCAGGGGGAGAGGCAGTCTCGCCAGAAGGTGAAGCCTCAGCATCACCAGAAGCAGAGGCAGACGCCTCGCCGCTAGCAGAAGCAGAAGCAGAGGCAGAAGCGGAGCCCGAGCCAGGCTCGGTCCAGCCGGTGGTCGAGTCGGCGGCAGGGACAGACTCCTGACGCTTGACAGCGGGGGCAGCGAGCGCGGTCGTCGCGAGGACAGCGAAGAGAACGGCGAAGCGCATGTCGATCAAGTTGCTTGAGTCGTGTGGTGAACGAAAGAATGTGGGTGCGTGTGGGCGTGGAAGTGGTGTGGAACGAAGTCGTGAATGGGTCGTGTGCGTGTGAGGGATGTGTAGACCAGCTACGAGTTGTTGAGGATGGGGAGACGAGAGCACTTTGAATCGTGCTTATATGCCCTTCTGAGGTTGAGGTCTTGACCATGGCGGAGTGACATGTCCGGTCGTCTTCCATCCATGGCACGGTAGGGAGCAGGTTGAGACCAGTGAGAACAAGTTGAAGCGCGGCTGGAACCAACCGACGTTTGCAGTACACCGCCGTGAAAGGCTTGGAAGGCTCAAACGGAGTTCAAACGCAGAGACGTGCTTTATGTCAGGACTGCGGAGCACACCAAACGCCACTACCAGGCCTGCAGGCGTCATGAGATGTGTGTCAGAGCCGCATCAGACTGAGCCGTGACTGGTGCGAAACGAACGCCGGCGCCGCCAGACGTGAGAGAGGCGCTGTTGTGAGTTCATACTTGACGATGCTCAAGTCCGCAGCCGGACTCGGCGTAGAGATGAGATCGTAGAGTGTTGGAGGATGCGTCAGCGTCGACGCCTTGCAGCTGCGGTGTTCTGGAAGGCGACTAACTCAGACAATGAGTGTGAGAGACATGCTTCTAGAGTCTGTCCAAAGTGCCTCCGCAGTCTGCAGATCATGTCGGGCGTCACCCTCAGTCCTCCCCTCTTGTAGCGCTGGGTCCGTTGTCGAGAACGACCATCAACCCACCCTACCCCTCTCAGCTGATCGAGTCCATGACTCATGCGAACTTTCCAACAAACGTCTCCTGCTGCTTAATCGACATATACGTTTGACTTCATGTCCGAAACACGAGAGTCTTGAAAAGTCTCCTCGCAGCAGCGTCGCAGTCGATCACGTTGCCGTCTCCGAGTCAGTGGGCCAGTGGGCAGGGGGAAGGGGGTCCGAAACATCGGCGAACTCTAACCCGCGGAGAACGCTGGCCTCGTGACCGCGGACCCAACCGGTGATCACGGGGTTCGTGTCGTGTGATCAGAGACTGCTTTAGATTTGTCGACTGGTTGTGATGCATGCGAGAAGCTGGAGAGAAGCATGGTGAAGCGGCAGGGTGTTGCGCGAGGGACTGGGGGAGGATCGTCGGTGGCGTATCGAGACCCTGTCAACGGAGGCTGGGTGCGCCATGGCCCGAACACTGCCTCGTTTCGAGCCTCAACGGGGGTTTTGCGTCCCCTATCTATCGGCACGATGTCGGAAGGAACGCTTCCTCATCATGGTGATACTCGATACCAATCCATGCCTCCGTCGTCGCAGTTCTGCTGCGGCGTCTGGCTCGTTGCTGATGTTTTGCAGGTTCGGCTACAGGTGCTTGCGGTCAACGACCGCTGTGTCTCTGCCGTTTCAACGCTGAGGATTGTCCCTCAGTTGCCGGTGCTTGAGATATAGTTCACCGCCGGCGTGCCCCGCGTCACTACCATAGCCCTAACTTGCTCGCAGAGCTTTCCTCCTCAAGTAACAAACAAAACCCATACATAGTCCGGAAATCGATCTGTACACCCATCTGAGCTCTCCCTCTCTTCCCTATAAGCTGTAATAACCTTCTATACGGCAATTTATGATCAGTTTTGAGATAAGCGGTGCCGATGATCAATGACAGCACTGACTTGAGCTCGGCAGCAGCAGACGCCGTGGACGCCGTGCCTTTATCCCGACGTCTTCCTGTACTGCCAATGAATCCGCTCGTACGCCGTCGAGTTAGCGCCAGGGAGAAGGAGGTACTCCATGGCGGGGTTGCTGCCGTAGAGCTTCTCCCACTGGGCCTCGGCGACGACGAGTGGGTTGCGCGTCATCAGGACGCGGTGGCGCTCGAGGACGTTTTCGAACTTCATGTTCTCGGCTGGTGGGTCAGCGAACGTCCGAGCAGAGCCAGAGTCAGACGGGCCGGACCGAATGCCATTCCAGTTCATCGAGTGGAACGTTGAACAATCTTGGATGCCATGGGTGTCGTACTCACGAATGAACCTTGGGATGGGATTCTCGATAGCCGACTTGAGCGCATGTGCCAGCTCGGTCGCGTTCTCCTTGTGTACGTGGTAGACGTAGGGCGGGTCAAGGGCGAGCAGGGCGTCATTCTGTGTGCGCCATCCCTTGCGGTCGTCTGGATGCTCGAGGTTGACATATTGGATCGGGTTGATGAAGGGGACGCCGACGCAGAGCGCATCAAAAGGTGAGGGGCTGTACGCGGGCCATCCGAGGCCGATCTGGACGTTAGCTGATTTCCGGGGTGGGAGACGCTTTAGGGGCCAAGCGCGAGGTAAGAGTAGTGGAGAGGGACGGATGGGAGACAGGGGCGTGACGGCCGCAGAAGACACTCACCATCACTTTCGACCGCGCGAGCAGGTCGGTCCACTCGTGCTGCTTCTGGAAGCCGAGATTCGTGATGTGCTCCGGGAGGACAGCGGTCGAGCCATTCACGCCGTCCTGCTTTGCAGTAGCGATGAGCTTGAAGTCCTCCCCGTTCTCCTTGGGCAGGTCCTGGACGGCCTCCTCGAGCGTCTCGTGCGCGATCCAGTTGTGCGGTCCGGGATAGAAGTACTCGGCGAGTTTGCCCAAAATGAGGGCCTGGTGTTTCCGCTCCTCGGGGGGATAGTACTTGTTCGTCATGCAGTGGTCCTCGATGCTGAAGCCGAGGTAGCGGTTCGTGTCGTCGTGCAGCATGCTGAAGTCCCAAGGGGCGAGTGTGAATTCGTGTCCGAGGGGAGTGCGCGCGTCGCCCCAGAAGTGGAACACGAGCGACTTGTAGTAGGGAATGCCGTCCGGGAAGTCGTCGCGCACCATGCAGCCTTTCTCCCTTCCGCGGCCGCCCTGCCAGTTGTCGGCCGCGCGGCGGTAATCCTCGTCCTCATACGCATCGAGTGTGCCGTTACGCGCGATGCAGGCGTCTAGACTGCTGCTCTCCCAGAAGACAAGGCGCACAAGCTCCGGAACGTGCTGGTACATCAGCAGCGAGTCCATGGAGCCCTGTCCGTAAAGCATCGTGTTGTTCATGGCGCGGAAGGAGCGGATGGTGCTCGCGGCCCAGATGTTCTCGCCGGAGACGCGGCCCTTCTCGGCGCCCGCGAAGCGCTGGCAGGCAAAGATGACAACATCACGCTCCCCCGGTCCACAGGTCTCCTTCTCGACACAATCGAGGAGGCGCCGAATGGCCGGCAAGGTGAGAATCGTAGTGTCGTGATCCGGGTTCGAGGCGTAGTGCTCCTCCATCCGCTGCAGGAGGAGGCGAAGGCGCACGACGAGGTCGAGGTCATCTTCCCGCGAGGCTGCACTTCGGAGGTGTTCCGGCACGCCGCGGAGCATGAACAATCCCCCAAAGACGAGCACGGCGATCACGAGCACGAGTGGCACCAGCCGCCGACCGAATCGTGGCTTGCTCCGCCACCATCCGGCGGATGGAGGGGTCGCCTCGAAGTCCTTGTCCTTGAACAGAAGCGGGGTCGCGTCCTGGTCCATGTCGAGCGTTGGCGATCGACGGTGTTCGCCGTGCATCGTGCCGAAGTCGATGGAGATTGACGCGGTAGGTGGAGAGGAGGACGTGTGAGGTGCGAGAGAGGTTCAAAGGAGCGAGGTGAGAAGGAGCGACGAACTGAGCGAGGTAAGAAGCGGCAAAGTTGAGGCAAGGAAATGGGTGGTGAACAACTGTCCTCTTCGATGATCGAAACACAGTGGGATCGGCGGTCCTTTGAAGCCTTTGAGGTGAGGCGACCGTACTTCGGGAACGCACAGTCCGACACTCAGCAGTCGGGCGCAGTGGAGATCGAGTCGCGGCCCGTTCTGTCGTGCTTTGCGGCCCCTTCAAACGAGTGTCAGAGGTGAGAGAGCGTGGGAGGGCCGTAAAGCGGTCGAGGGCGGAGGCGCAGACAGAGCCAAGCTGAGGGCGTGAGAGTGGCCAAAGCTAGAAGTTAAGCGTGAGTTATGAGTAAAGAGTCAATGAAAGAAATGCACTCAGTAGTGGACATGGTTTGCGTCGTGCGTTTGCTCCGGTGTGATCGGACTGGGTTTTGGTGGGAGCGCGAGGGCAGACAGTCCGCAGGCAGGGGCAACCGTAGACCGACCACGCATACGGAAGAAGGTGCAGCGAACGGGCGAGAAGGAGGTATCAAAGGTACGTGCGTCGAATGCGTGCCTGGTCACAACTCCTGGCCGTCGAACGCTGTATGTCAGGGTGTGGACCCACCTAACATGCACAAGGTGCTTGGTAGCAGCATGCATGAGCGCTCTTTGGAGACTTCTGAGTGGTTCTGGACAGGTAGGTCCGATCGGACGGCGGGACTGTGCATTATGACACGCCGAGTGGCAAAAGTGCGCCGAGCCGTTTCGCCGCTACATCCTAGCTCCGCAGAGTCCGCAGGTCCGCAGTCTCTTAGTACCGCACATCCGATCTGCACAATCCTGCTATTCGCAGCGACTCGCGAATCGCGGACGAATCCGTGAAACGCTACTGGGGGCGATAAAACTCTGAGTGCATTCTCACGCCATGCTTACGCTTACTTCGCGCCGAGCTTATCGTATGGATGCGCACAGCGGGGAGGGGAAGTCGCTGGCCGATGCGGTCTGTGCTTGAGTAAATTCAAAATCGAGGGACTGGACAGGGTTAAAAACGCGAAACATCGTGTACGGTGAGCGAGAGCCGCGGCTCTGGACTGCGGTGCGGAGCAATTACGACACTTCTGCTACCGTGAGTTGCTGCGTCTCCATCATCCAGAGTGACCTCCGCGTCAGTGATCGTTCACTTCTATGATAGAACAGGCGACCTCCGATATTCGAAGCAGCACACAGCGAGGACGGGATGAGCAAATGCTATGTGCAAGGCACGTTTTCGGTGACCTCGGGATGAATAATAACCCTCTCGCGGCCACGGTCATGACATGACCGCTTCTCCCTATACATTACGAGACTTCAATTTACCGTTCTACGTCGCGAACAGCATTTGAACGACCATTGAACAGCGGAACAGCGGATGTCAGGAAATCTCGGATATCAGCGAATTGCAGATGCTGCAGATGTCGCATTCCCGCTGGCATTCTGTTCCGCCTGACTGAAGAATGCAGGATGGACATCTACACAGTCGTTGGGTCTGGAGGCTGAGCTAGCCAGTTGCGTTCGAGTCCGTGGTGTCCTTGTGCTGGGGAGACCGTGGGCGATGTTGGAAGTGGCAAGAGTTCCCTCCGACCGCGAGTTCTGCTAGAGTCTCGACTACGCCAAGACCTGCAGCGGATCCTGCACATGCGCACTCCTCACGTCTCACTCTTTTGCTTCAGTTCAGCGGTGGAACAGTGCATGTCTATAAGCGGGGTATGGGTAACAAGATGAGTGTCTAGATCTAGAATGAGGGATGTCGAGGACGTTAGATGAGCTGGTGCTTCAGGATGTACTCTGGACTGTCAGTTGCGGATGCATGGTGCGAGCTGCAAGCAGCAGACAAAGGACTCACCCTTGGTCAGCTCGTAGGCGACAAAGGTGCTCGCGGCGGCGGGAGCGGCACGCATGAGCGACGGGCCGAGACCACGGAACAGCGCCTTTCTGCAAGCGTCAGCAAGGGTTCGTGTATGAGCCAGAGAAAGGAGTTACTCACACTCCACCCTCCTTCGTGATCTGATTCAGCTCCTGCGTAATGTATCCTCCCTTGATCCAACCACGCAGACCCTGCTTCGCGGGCGGCTTGTCAGCGAGCTGGATGCGGCTCTTGGCAATGTCGAGCGGGTAGCTCGTGAGCCAGTACGAGACACCGCCGGTCGCTCCAGACAGCAGCGTCGCCCAGACGGGCACCTCGCCATCAAACTTGCGCGCAAAGAAGCGCTTCGCCGTCTCGTATCCCGAGTAGAATCCGGCGTACGCCGGGATCTCCTTCACGAACGTGATAATGTATCCGCGCATGATGCCTTGGCGGAAGCCCCAGTCGCGCCACATCTGCGCAACGGCTTGTCGCAGCGTGAGGTCCCCGGCACCGCCGTACTGCCCTTGCATCCTGATCTTGAACATCTCCACAGGCGAGGCGAGGATAGCGTTCGCGGCACCGGCCATTCCTCCAGCAAGCGCAACTTGCGGGATCGTCAGGTCGGGGTACGGCGAGACGATGCGACGAGCGGCGCCGTAGGCGGTGAAGAGGAGCGAGTTGACGGCAGCGACTCCGAGAAGGGGCGAGGCCTGAGGTTAGCCGCACATACCGCATCACTCAACTGATGCTTCCCCTCCAGGAACATCTGAGGGACTCACCATGCCCTTGTACAAAGCGAGAACACCCTCATTGCGAACTGTCTGCTTGAGAATGTCGAGCGTGTTCTTGTACTTGCCCGCAGGGGCGGTCTGCGCGCGCTGAAAGTTAGCATGGAGCTTAAAAAGAGCCTGCTCAATCCCAAGATGAAGCCCTAATAGAGGGGCAGATGGTGGGTAGCTAGTGCGACGACCTGGTGGTCAAAGGAAAGGACTCACAGTCTTAAGCGTGTCCAGCGGCTGACCCGAGATGACCTGAGCGGCACCGCCAAAGGATCCGGAGATGAGCTCAACGGCAAGCACGTTCTTGTTCTTAGACGGCGGGACGGGGAGGGGGAATTCGTCAGACATAGTGAGCTGAGGAGAAAGGCCGAACGAAACGTTCAGGCGGAAGTGAAGGAAGGGAGCTGGTACAAAGCCTCAGCAGCCGGGCTTTGAGTCAGACGAGATGAGATGAGGGCGAGTGGAGGTCGCAACAATCTCTCGCAATGCCGATGTTGATGCAAGAATGGACAAGGTGAAGCGAACGGAGAGATGGGTGGAATCAATCCTATCCGACGGCGGAGGGTGACTGTCACAAAGCAAGATCACGAGTCGTGTCGCGGGATAACGGTGCGGAAGTGAGCGATAACAATGGCGTCGATGGCGTTTGGTGTCGTTACCAGACTCGACTTTTTGCCGTGACCGCGATCAGGCACGCGCCGGATGATGCCGAAGTCCACTCAACGGGACCAAACCGCTCCTCTCTCGATGTTGTGACGTTGAAACTCGATCCGTTGACCTCCACTCTGTCTACCTGCATCCTCGAGCGGCGAGTAAAACAGGCATGCAAGGTGAGCTCTCCCAATCTGTCGCGACAGCTGACCACCAGGCCTTTCAAAGTACGCCGACTCGCCCTCGCCTGAGATACCAACAGCGGGGCCGTCTGTAAGTTTGCCATCCCCCGCGAGAATCCAGCCTCACGCCCTTCCCAACTAGCGATTGACGACTGGTAGGGACACCCTTGGTAAGCCTCTACACTTGTACCGTAGCCTAACGCCAGACCGCCCGAGGTCACCGCGCCGAGCGGATCGTAGCCAGAGGAGTCGGAGCAGGGAGGACGACCATCGACGACACCGAGATGCTCGAGAGGAGCGAGGGTGTAGGCGGAGCGTGGAAGCAGACCGAGGACGGACACCGGAAAGGAAGCGAAGACGGACTGCTTCTCCATCACCGACGCCTATGACGGGTACGGACTCGCGGGCTCGCTCCCCCTCCAGTTCGCGGTCAAGATCAGCGTCCTCGTCACCAGACCCCTTCGCGGGAATGGATCCCGACGTCGTGTTCCGCACCGTGACACAACCAGCGCCAATGCCCGAGGCCAATTGGGGTCTTTCACCTGCTGAGGATCCGGAGAAGGCTGACGAGGTTCTCAAGGTGCGTCTATCTCGTGCCCCCCTCGACTCTCTGACATGCATGGCAGTAGTCATGCTCTCCCTCTCCGCTTTATTGTGCACGCATAACTGATCCCTCAGGCTAAAGTTGCTCGCTTCCTTCAGCTCAAGAAGCAAGGCCAGCACGTTAATACTTCCCTGCTTCGCTCGTCCTCCTTCGCCAACCCTACCATCTACGCGAAACTTGTGGAGTTTGTCGACATTGACGAGCGCGCCTCCGCCTTCTCTCGTGGCGGCTGGTTGACACGCAGAGGGCTCGAAGAGACGAAGAAGGACCATGGGCCCAAGGTCCTTCTTCGGAGGCAAGATGAGATGGCCGAAGCCGCCCGCCGTGCGCAGAGGGATAGGAAGGAGATCAGTTTTACAAGCGCGAAGACCAGAGATCGGAGAGACAAGGATAGGGACGGAAGGCGGGAACGAGACAGGGAGGGTAGGAGGAGGGAAGACCGGGACAGAGAGAGAGGAGGATTGAGCCGGCCGCGACAGACAGGCTGGATGGCGCGGCGGTGATGATGCATATGCATACGGCTGATTCGCTCACTGCGTGCCGGCGCACGCCAATGACTGACTAGACCATTGAGCTGATGTTCTGCGCGCACGCTGTCAATCACACGTGATACTCACGCCAAGGCATGGGTCGTGGATCCACGTCAACCACGAAATTAACATTCAGCATTCCCGATTAACCCACCTTCCTTCTCCACTACCTCTTCCTTGCCATGCTCGCCTTGATTAACAATTCTTTCCCAGCGCAATAGTGAGTGACGGCACGACGGGACGCGTAGGCTTAGCTGACTTCCAAAGGTTATAGCCACCCGAACGTTGCATTGCCTGCCTTTGCGCAGATACAGCGGGGCACCGCCTTCCTCTCATCGGCACCCTCGTCGTCACCCTGCGCTATGACACCTGCGTCGGGCGATGGTACTGTCGCTGCACTCACGCCCACAGCCGGCTTCCCGTTCGCCTACGGTCGCCCGGTCGTCAATCCTATCCTTTGCATCGATGCCAGCGATATCCGCCTCGCATATCGGGCCTCTTTTCTGGCGCTTCCACCGTTCTAGTTGGCGGAGGAGCGAGGCGCCAGCCGACGCTGCCCGTTCCGGTTGATAAGGCTTTCTTGGACCTGAGTTGTAGATACTCTGTCCCATCAAGTCGTTTTTGGTACGAGGACCTGATAGAGAACTTGAAGGAGCTCGATGAGTAAAAGCTATGAGTTACGCTGACATCCGAAGCGCCCGAACCGGCGCCAGCCGACATCGATGAGCGACGGACCGCCCTACAGTCGCAGAGTACGATAGAGCTCGGGGCCTTCGCCAGGGACTCAAGAGCGATGACGCGCGGCTCGGCTCGGAAGCTGAGTCGACAGCTGGGAAAGGTGACAGATGAAGTTGTCGCGACACACTTCCCACACCCGACCGTCTCCAGCCAACTCTGCGTCAGAGGAGGTTCAGCTATGCTGCCCGTCGAGGAGCGGCCCGTGCCTGTAGGGTGCGAGGATGAACGAATTGTTCGGGCGATAGATGTTCTGCGCAGCGCCCGAAACGGAAGTCTGCAGGTCGTTGTGGGGATGGGGCTCTCCGCTCTCCCTATCGCACTAGCGAACGTCCTTGGCTTTGCAGATGGCGTCGCGGCCGTTGAGAACTCTCTTTTTGTTATCTCTCGACGCTGCAAAGGCGGGAAGAAGAGCAGTCTCCAGCTTTATGCGGGGGACTACCTCGCCGCCTGTCTTTCCGCGGTCATCTCGCCCTTCATGCGGGCTCTGAACCCAGACCAAAGACACAGGCTTGGGGACGGAAGGCGCGCCGCTTCGGCAGTCGTAGATTCCATGGGCGACGTTCTCGATGCGTTGAAGTGAGTCTTGCTCTCTATTGGAGCTGACAATACAGGGAGATGTGGGGGAACAACCGCCACGTCAGAACTTTACTCGAAGTTTGCTCTGAGCTTTGCACGCGTGCCTCCCTCTCCCTCGCATACATCGTGGCCAGCGCTCGGCTTGTGGTGGACACCCGGCGGACCAACCGTCAGTAATTGGACAACATAACTTTTTATGCTGCGGACTACCTGAACAAGTGCTTGGCCGCCGTGCTTACCCCCCTGCAGCGAGCCCTCTTCGGGAGCTATGACGGAGACCACAAGAATGCCTCATGTGCAGTAGTGGACTCGATCGCCGAGGTCATTGATGCAATGATGTGAGTTACCTAGTGTGATTGAGCTGACTTAGAAGCGAAACTAAGGGTCGCAACCAGCGTACTGTATACAAGGTTACTTGAAGTGTGCAGCGAGCTCTGCACACGGGTCGCGCTGTCTCTGAAGATACAGGCAGCGAACGCGAACCCGAATCGGTTCAAAGGGCGGCGCTTGAGTGAGTGGACGGGCCTAGCCAACTGGGCGGATATTTTGTTCTATTTCGCTAACCATTTCCAGCTACTGGGGCTCCGGAGGAGGAGATGGCCAACGCTCCGCCTCCTATGGAGCGTACTCCGGCTGCCACCGCTCTTCATGAACGCAGCCTTCCCGAAAACGCTCGGCTCCCGCTTCCGACCTCGTCCCCGACCGCTTCGGCCTCCCTGTCCGATGCCTGCCATCCTGCTGGGGCTCGCACCCGCCGACGCGAGCGGCGGCCGTGCTCGGGAGGATGGGTGGGTGCCATAATTTATGCGCCCCGTCTGCGCGGCACCCATCGTCCACACGCCCCGTCACGGTCTCTTCCCCGACCCCAAGCCCTAGGACCCTACGACTCTCAACTCCGCCGACTCCGCCGACTCCGCCGGTTCCGACCTCTGCCCTCTGCTCTGCCCTCCGCTCTCCGCTCTCCGTTCTCCGCTCTTCGCCCTCCGCCCTCCGCTGTCTGCTCTCTACTCTCCGTTACCTACCTCTTTCGCGCTTTAAGTTCGATATGCAACCTCCAGCGCCAGGACGATCAGCGCACAACCACCCACAACATTCTTCCAGCGCCAGGACGATCAGCGCACAAACACACACACACTACATTGTCGTGCATGGACAAGGTCGAGCTTGCGCCCTCCGTCCCTTCATGATCTAAACAATCCTTTGTCGCCGTTCTGGAACGAGCCTTAACTCTGGCATTGCGAGGCCCCGGTGTCGTCGTCTCTGCGCCTCCGCTCTCACACAACTCGACCTTTCCACTCCTTGCACCGCCGCCGCCTCAATTGTTTCGCTCGACAGCTCCATTGGACAGGCGAACACCAAATCTCATGCTGTCTGGTAGGCGGAGGAACATTTACTTAGACTTGCGAACAGAGTCCAGCACATCGACCCCCAACAATACCCGACTTAACTTTGAGCGACTTCATTTTTAGAGCATAGATATGTATCATATGGAGCATAAGACGCACTCTTAAGCCCTGGCGTCCATCACGTCGTCCTTGCACGCTTTGGCTGCTGCCAATTCCTCTCGCTGGCTGACCGGACTCATTCATCTCCTCTCGCCCTCAGTTATAGTTGCTCCTTCCGAACAGCTAATCACCTGACTGACACCCTGCCGCTCGCTGCGCTCACAGTAAGCACTTGCCGCGTGAACGAAGCATGTATGCCATCTAGCATTCACCAGCTTTGCCTCACAACTCGGCGTGGCCGACAATTCTGATGTCTTCACTGTATCACATAACTATTCTTACCGACATTTTGGTTGCTACAGACTTACGGCTCGTTCTAGCTACACCCAAACTGCTGCTGTGGCCGTCCGGAAGCTTACGAGTCCTGGTTCTCGAGCTCGGGGAGCTTTGCGCACCACTCCGGGTCCTCGCCATACGTCTCGACATAGTCCTTGTGCTTGGCCAGAATGTGCCTCCACTCGTGCTGGAGGGGCGGGCCGTTGAGCGCCGCCTTGCAGTCGGGGTCGTACCCCTCGAGGGCCTCCATGGCCGAGTCTGCGACATTGTAGCGCGAAGCATGGTTGAGGCGGAGCATGGACCAGGGCGTGGTGGTGGACCCTTGCTCCTCGTATCCGTGGATGTGGAAGCGGGAGCGGCCGACGTGGCTCGGCCTTCCGAACAGAAGACCAGCGACCGAGGCGGGATACCCGTGGAAGTTGATCACGACGGGCTTGTCCGGCGTGAAGAGCGCGTTGAACGCCTCCTCCGACAGAGCGTGCGGGTGGTCGTTCGGGCCGCCCTGGTGGCCCAGCACGAAGAGGTCGTTGACGTTGAGCACACGCACGCGCACGCCCGCGTTGCGCAGGATGATCGCTGCCGCGATGACTTCGAACGTGACTTCGACGCCGATACCGACCAGGACGACGTCGGGGTCCATCCCGTCGTCGGTCGAGTACTGCTTCCAGCAGCTGATGCCCGCGACGCAGTGTTTGGCCGCGTCCTCAGGAGAGAGGAAGTTGTACGACGGGTTCTTGCTGCCCACCACGAGGTTGATGACTGGGCGTCAGCTTCAAGGCGCAGCAGCCGGATAGCTGGGAATACTCACAGTTCTGCGACCTCAGGCAGTGGTCGACCGTCGAGACGGAGCAGTTGGCGTCAGGCGGGAAGTAGATGCGCGCCAGGTTGCGCGGAAGCGTGATGAAGTTACAGATCAGACCGGGGTTCTGGTGCGAGTAGCCGTTGTGCTCCTGGCGCCAGAGCGTGGACGTCTCTGTGATGGTCAGCTTGCGTGTACACCAAGATAGAAAGCTGGGAAAGGTATTCTCCTTGCTTGACCGGTCTAACAACTGGTAGCTAGAGGCTTCAAACCATATGCGCCCGAGCCGGGGCCTGCGGCCGCGGTCCAATAACTCACCAATGTAGGTCAGACCAGCAACAGGACGGCGCCACCTGGTCTCGAGGGCCATCTTGATGAACTTGGTGTACTGCTCAATCATGGTCGTGACAATGCCGAGGAACGCCTCGTAGGAGGGGAACAGGCCGTGTCGACCAGTGAGGGTGTAGCCCTGGAGGAATCCCTGCAGCGTGTGCTCAGAGAGCATCTCAGTGATGCGACCGCCGTTGTTAGCCGTCTCGGGGTCCCACTGGAAGTCGCGGTGGGTGATGGACATGCACGCGTCGAGCTTGTTGGACGTGATCTCGTCGGGGGAGAAGATACGGAACGAGTGGGGGTTGTCGCGCACAACATCGACGAGGTAGTCGCCAATGGCGCGCATGTTGCTCTGCTCCGTGCCCTGCTCCTTGAGGTACTTCCTCCAGTCGGGGGTCTTGAGCGGCTCGAATCCGTCATAAGCGTACTTGTTCATACCCATGCGGCTGCGGACAGCCTTGGGCAGGATACGGGTGACCTTCTCGTCGATCAGAATGTCCGCGTCAGGGTGGAACAGCTCCTCGGGCTTGTAGCTCTTGAGCCAGTCGACGAGCATGTTGAACTCCTTCTTGTCCGTCGCGGCCTTGGGGAGCGGCACCTGGTGCGCGCGCCACGAACCCTCAATCGGGTGTCCGTTCAGCTCCTTGGGTCCCGACCAGCCCTTGGGCGAGCGCAGGATGATGAGCGGCCAGCGCGGCTTGGTCTGAGGCTTGCCGGAGCGCGCGTCCTTCTGAATCTTGCGAATCTCGCCGAGAGCCCATCGGATCGAGGCGGCCATGTTGGCGTTGATGGTGACATCGTCCTCGTGGTCCGTCTTGTGCTTCTCGTGGTATCCGGGGTACTCGACAATGCGCACCTGGTAACCGTAGCCGGTGTACAGAGCCGCGAGCTCGTAGTTGTCCATGGTGCCAGGGATGGTGCGCTCGCCGATCTACATGTCAGCGTAAGCACCAAATCGGTCAGTTTGCACATGTAGTGCTCACCTTGTATCCGTTCGCGTGCAGGATGGGGAGGACAGCTCCGCTCTCCTTGGGGTCGAGGTACTTGTGAGCGTGCCAAGCTCCAGCGGTAGGACCAGTCTCGGACTCTCCGTCACCAATGACAGCGACCGTGATCTGGTCGGGGCGGTCCATGACTGATCCGAACGAAACGGCGAGAGCGTAACCAAGCTCGCCTCCCTCGTGGATAGCACCGGGGGTCTCGGCGTTGACGTGCGAGGGGAAGCCTCCAGGGAACGAGAACGCCTTGACGAACTTCTCGAGACCGCCAGCGGTCGCCGGGTAGTCGGGGTAGAAGTGCTCCCAAGTGCCCTCGAGGAAGAGGGAGGAGAGGACAGCAGGCGCACCGTGGCCTGGACCAGTGACGAAGAGCCACTCAGGCTTCTCGCCATCACGCTCAAGCTCGGCGAGGAGGGCGGTCGCATGGGCGTAGACAAAGTTGAGACCGGGGCAGGTTCCCCAGTGTCCGAGGAGACGACGCTTGATGTCGTCCTGCGTCAGGTCACGCTGAAGGAGGGCGTCGGAGCGGAGGAAGATCTGCGCGCAGGAACTGGGAGTCAGCTACATGGCATCTAACAGTGCGAGCATGCTATTCCGTTCTGATCGACTACAACGCTTATCGCCTTGCTGGCGGTGGTCACATGACAAGCGGGCGATAAGGAAGAGAGGTACAGCTATTGAACGGACAGGGACGAAAGGCTATCGGCTCGGCGACCAGCTCGGCCTGGCTCGTTTCGCTTGACATCGCGGCGTGTTTCTCTCATGAAGCAACTCGGCCATGCTCTCTGCACTCCGCTCAGAATTGCACTCACAGATAGTTCGCAGCCCTCTGGAAGGTCATGATACCCTCGAGGTCGATCTCCTTGTTGCCCTTGAGGGCCTCAACCTCCTTGTCGAGGTTGACGAGGAGCTGCCCAACAAGCGAGGGGTCGAGCTGGGAGTCCTTGGGCGGGGTCGTCGAGTCAAACTTGCTAGTGGCCGAGTCGGCCAGGCCCGTGGTAGCTGCCATGTTGTTCGAGTTTCACGGGGGTGAGGTGGAGAGAGGGGAAGGGGTGATGCATGCCGTGTCATACTTATACGCATCGGTGTCCGAGGCAGAGCTGGGCGAAGCTGGGGGAGTGCAGTGGGAGGCTGGGAGTGCAACGGTGCAAGGCTGCAAAGGGGGGCGTGGGAGGAGGCAGAGGGGAGGCGTCGTTCAGAAAACACAAACGTCATAGGGGTGCAGGTTCATGCGGAGTGGCTGTGATCGCCGCCCTGCGCCGCCAGGGACACCAGTCCACCCAGTTCGGGCCAGGTCGCGATCCGCTTCTTGCGCTACCTCTCATCTTTCGGCGCCCGTCGTCCTATCTTAGGCTGTGGGAGAGGGTGTGTCTTTGTGTCAGATTCGCAAACGTGGCCAGCGTCACGACGAATAGTGCTGCGCAGCCTCAGCTTCCAAGCTTCCAAGCGAGTGAGGGCGAGCATGAGGCGGCGGCGGCGTGAAGGCGCTCGCGGCGCTGCCGGCGCTTCGTTTGAATCGAGGCCCAGATGCTGCACCTATGCACCCATTGCTCTCCCCAGAATATACGACAGGCCCGATGGCATGCTCTACACTCTGGGTCATGATAGGCCGTGCACAGTTGCAAACGTCTAGCCGGCGGCATCCGCAGGCACCTCTTCGAATTCTACCCTCCCGGATAACCTCTGAGATGGGCCGAATGCCTCTCTCCTTCTACTCCGACATCAGCACTGTTACGTGTAGGTGCTATCTTCGGCGCTGCGGCAATTGGGTTACGTAGTGCGTAATGCACGGCGCGCTCGATCGATCGTGAGTTGTCCGTCTCATACGCGGCAGAAGCACATGTGGTACACGGCTAAGTAAGGGAATCTCGGACATGATCTCGGTGACCAGCCGAAAGATGGTTGGTCGCCGGCGTGTTTCTGATCCTGTTGGAATCCTGCGCGCGTACGGCAGAGCAAAGGGCATGGTGACACGCTGGACGCACCGGCTCAGAAGAGGAACACAATGCTGATTCCCACGCCTCCTTCGGCCCTTGGGTGCTTCCGAGGTTGACCCAACAGAAGCATCACTCGCAGCGAAACGTAGAGAGACAGCAGGGTGGAGGATGACGTCAAGCCACTGAGTGAGGCGCCGCCTCCGCCCAGCGCCGCCGACGTTCTCCGGAGCATTCCGCAGTGTGGTTATTTCCTCCCTGCGCGCTTACGATGAGAGGGCGCCGTGGGAAAGCTGATTGAGTGAGCGTGGGAGAGCTGCTCGGGTGGAGTGGAGATTGCCTGATGTCCGCCAGGGGCAATGACGATACGCGACGACCAAATGTCTCAAGTGATGTCTCAGATCGCTACGCCAGAGGTCACCAGGTCGATTTCTTGTTCCATTGTTTTGTCAAGCTAGAACTGTTCATTGTTGTCAGACGTCAGTCCAGAGTCCGCCGGCGCAAACTACGACCCCGACTAGAAGAGACAGCACAGCGGCCACGGCATTGTTCTTTCTCCCTGCTCTTCAAGAACGACCCTCCGCTACAATCTCAACCACGCTCATCGCCTTCCCCCCGATATCGACGACTGTCTCATCACGACCGTGATTGGACAACGACATAATGGTGAGCTTTGGCATTGGCAGATTAGTCTGACTCCAGACGACAGCATACGTTCCCCTTGGCCAGCGCGAAGAGTGGAAGGATGTCACTCCTATCCCGCAAGATGACGGCGCCAACCCCCTCGTCCCAATCATGTACACCGAAGACTGTGAGTGCAGTTTCAGTCGAAGGAGGAAGGCGCCTTCAGATGTCTTCCTCCCTCCTTGTGGTGCTCCTGCCTTGTTTTTCCTCCTCCCCAAGATCAACTGGTCCTCATCGAACCAAACCTACTGCTGGCCTCTCCGTCGAGAGCTGGCATGTCGACTCTGAGCGCCCTACCTACAAAACTGAGCCGCAAGCAGCTTTGTGCACTGGTCTCGTAGCTGACCTCCAGACCGGAATGCGATGGACTACTTTCGCGCCGTTTCCGCCTCCGGAGAGCACAGCGAGCGCGTGCTCGCCTTGACAGAGGCGATCATTCGCAAGAACCCTGCACACTATACCGTGTGGCAGTACCGATTCAACACGCTCGTGGCCTTGCAGAAGGACCTGCAGGCTGAGCTCGAGCTCATGAATGAGTTTGCGCGCGAGAATCTGAAGTCCTACCAGGTGTGGTGAGTCGCGCTACCTTAGCTGCGAGGTCTTCTTCGGCTTTAGCTGACCTCAGGCACCACCGTTTACTGCTCCTGACGCAGCTGTCTCCCGAGGATCCGACGCCAGAGATTGAGTTCATCCACGCCGCGCTCCTGCCGGACCCGAAGAACTATCACACGTGGGCCTACCTGCATTGGCTGTACTGTCACTTCAGTGCTCTCGGCCGCATCACACCGGAGATGTGGGACAAGGAGCTGGCCTGGTGCGAGGGCATGCTGAAGGAGGATGCGCGGAACAACAGTGCATGGGGATGGCGCTGGTTCTTGCGTATGGCTCCTCGGCCACAGCCCTCTGCTTCCGCTCCAGCACAGTCGGACCGGATCGAGGAGGAGCTGTCATACGCGCTGTCGCAGATCCACGAAATCCCTCACAATGCGAGTGCATGGAACTATCTCCGCGGCGTGCTGCGCTCGACGCCGCAGGGGTCTGATTTGCGCGCAAGCATCCTCCCAGTGCTCGCACCGTATCTCGCCGGTTCGGCCGTGGCGGCATCAGGACCAGATGACGGCCTCTCGGCGTGGCCGCAGCGTACGGGAGAGGTCGACGGAGACACGCCGACGCCGGTGCCGCTTGCGCTCGAGTGCCAGGCCGAGGCGATGAAGGAGGAAGGAAGGCTGGGTGACGCTGCGGCGATCTACGGCCAGCTTGCGGCGTATGCGGACCGCATGCGGAGTGCGTACTGGGAGATGAAGCGAGAGGGCTGTGTCAACGCTTGATCTGCGAGCTGCGATCGTGGCAGGCTGCGTCGTAAGCGGAGAACGGAGTTGGGGTGAAGGGAGATGCAGAGGAATAGCATGCCGTGGCGGGAGAAGAGGGGGGAGAGGCGATTCTTGGTTCTTTCATGTATATTATAGCTTCTTGCTCCCGCCGCCACTCAGCCACGGCCGGCACGGCCATCATCTCGTTTATGGGACGAGACACTGAAGAAGCCCAGGTCCGAGCCACCGTCGGGCATGTCATCTGTGCTCTGGGCAGTCGTAGTAAGTTTGGAACACTGGCAGTCTGAGCGTCGTTGCAGATCACCGTATGTAGCAGGTCGGTCAGCGCTCAGACGATGGCTCGATGCTCTCAGTCACGGCCTTCTAGATCTGTTGCAGGTCACGCACCACTCGGAAGCCAGACGCGTCGGCAAGGCGGAAAGGGCAGGCAGCCCAGCCAGCCGGCCAGGGCTCTAGCCACTCGGAGCCGCACTAATGGTCTGATTATTTCAGCTTTGGCTGACAAAGTTGCGGGCGCCGGCTCACGCGACTCGGCCACCCCATACGGGCAACCCGGACTGGCCGGGCTGGCGCAGGGCATACCGGGGCGTCAAAAGGGTCGGACATCCCGGTCCGGGTCCGATGGGCTGGAATGCATCGCCCTTCTGCACACTCGCGACGTCTATCGTTGATCTGACCGAACATCTGTTGCATGATGCACGATACCTTCCCTCCCTCGGTGATGGGTGTCGGAAACAGCCCGCAGATGACTATATATGCACAGTCAGCGAGAGTGGCATAGAGTGCAAAAGGGAGCGACGTATGCCCCTTAGAATAGCAGGGCCTGACGCGTGGTTTTTGTTAAGCGATCCCTCTTGTAGTGACTCTTGAGAATTGGGCTGAACCCTGGAGTGGTGCATGGGCCTCAGGCATCGACCGTGTCCACGGTGCGGCGCGCGAAGTTTCCTGGGTGCTAGACACTGTAGCAGCATGCAAGCTGCTCAATCTTTTTCCTTGCTACTGCTGCCAGGCTCGCCTCTCCCCTGACTTGCCTGACCTTTGCCTCGATCCTCCGGCTCCAGCCTGCAGCCTACTACAGCCTGCTGACTCCTCTAGGCCCTCCACCGCGCCGCGCCGCACTACACCACACGCCTACCACTCGCGCGCTCCAGCGACCACCCAGTCAGGTCCCACCACCGCACATCCACCCATCCACCAACTTCCGACACACCTCTCCTTCCTTCCCTCTTCTCACACATCCTCACCTCAACCCTACCCGGCAACAACAACTCCACACCCCGGCCTCATACCCCCGGCACCGTCAACGCCGTCCGACCGCCTCGACTGAGCCTCTCCCTCGCACTCGTCGAGGTTGAGGCCGCTGGCCCCTCCCCTGTCCCCCACCCCCTCCGTCCCTCCCATTGTTCATCATCTTCTGATCCTTCCTCGACCCACTCTTGCAACGATTATCCCAAGTCTTCTTGATCACCCGAAACTCGCATCGGCTTCGTCTTGAACAGTCCTTCCTCCGCACAGACTCAGCATTCGACTAGGACACTTGCTGTGTGTACGAAAGCAAACGTTTCACTGTAACACGTCCCTCGCCTTCCCTCTCCAGAGTTCTGGGTTCTCGAAGTCATGTCCCGCAAAGGAACACCCCGCTCGACGCGGTCAAAGGGCAGCCCCGCTGCTACGAATGGCACGCCCTCGCCGTCGCGCTCCCCGAGCAAGCCGTCTGCCCGCTCTGCGCTCTTGAACGTGATTTCGCAGCCGAAACACTCGCACCCCGCCGTCACCTTTGACAGCTCGCCGTTCGAGGACGCCAACGAGAAGGGCAGCAAGAATGCCGCTGGAGCAAACGGGCATGCGCACCCGGAGGAGGAGATCTACTCGGATCAGAGCACCGTGTCGTCGTATGCGTCGAGCACTGGCAGCCCGGTGCGCACCCCGACCGACCAGGAGATTCACGACATGTACGACGGCTACCTGACCAAGCCGAATGTCAAGGTCAAGACGGACTACAAGCACTCCGAGTTCGGCCACTGCAACAACCAGAACTACCGATGGACATCGCAGTACAACCCGGCCGAGCCCGTCACGCCCGAGATCGAACCGCAGCCCCCGTACTACATTCTGCTCACGACGTACATCACGTACACGATCATCATTATTCTCGGCCACATCCGCGACTTTTTCGGCAAGCGCTTCTACCCGTCGCACTATGCGCACCTCCTGCCGCGCAACGGGTATGCCGCGCTCAACTCAGACTTTGACTCGTTCTACGTTCGTCGTCTCAAGGTCCGCCTCGATGACTGCTTCTCGCGCCCCGTCACTGGTGTCCCCGGACGAACGATCCAGCTCCTCGACCGCTACTCGAACGACTCGTACGAGTCCTTCCACCTCTCCGGCACTCAGACCCGCGCCCTCAACGTCTCGTCGTACAACTACCTCGGCTTTGCTTCGTCGTCTGGTGGTTGCGCCGACGCCGTCGAGGAGGGTATCCGCCGCTACGGTGTTGCTGGCGGTGGCCCCCGTCACGACGCTGCCACGACCGACCTCCACCACCAGGCCGAGAAGCTCGCTGCTGATTTCGTCGGTGCCGAGGACGCCGTCATCGTCTCCATGGGTTTCGCGACCAACTCTACGACCCTGCCTGCCTTTGTTGACAAGGGATGCCTCGTCATCTCTGACGAGTTCAACCACGCCTCGATCCGTTTCGGTGTCCGTCTCTCTGGTGCCTCGGTCCGTCCCTTCAAGCACAACGACATGAATGCGCTTGAGGAGCTGCTCCGCGACTCGATTGCGCAGGGCCAGCCCCGCACCCACCGCCCTTGGAAGAGGATCATCGTTGTCGTCGAGGGCCTGTTCTCTATGGAGGGCACGCTCGTCAATCTTCCCGCCATTCTTGACCTGAAGCAGCGTTACAAGTTCTACCTGTACGTTGACGAAGCGCACTCTGTCGGCGCCATGGGCCCCAACGGACGCGGTGTCTGCGACTACTTTGGCATCGACCCGCGCGAGGTCGACATTCTCATGGGCACTTTCACCAAGTCGTTCGGAGCCGCCGGTGGCTACATTGCCGGTAACAAGGAGGTCATCCGCTGTCTGCGCATGCGCTCGCACGCCATGTGCTACGCCGAGGCCATGTCCCCGCCTGTCCTCACGCAGATCATCGCCTCCATGTCGGCCATCATGGGTATTTCGCCTCCGCTCCCGCCTCCCGTCGAGCGTGACGACAGCGACGCTGCCTCGGCCCTCTCGCTCTGGTCACGCAACCAGTCGTTCGGCCCCGCTGTTGCCGCCGAGCTGCCCACCTGGCTCAGCCTGCCGCGCGAGCTCTCCGACGGTTCCGAGGGACGCGAGCGTCTTCGCCGCCTCGCCTTCAACTCGCGCTACCTCGCTTCTGGTCTCCGCAAGCTCGGCTTCATCGTGTACGGCCACCGCGACTCGCCCATCATCCCGCTCCTCCTCTACAACCCCGGCAAGATGGGCATGTTCTCGCGCATGATGCTGAACCGTCTCGGCCCGGACAAGACGCCCATCGCGGTCGTCATCGTCGCGTACCCGGCCACGCCGCTCATCACGTCGCGTGTCCGCTTCTGTCTCTCGGCGTCGCACACCAAGACCGACATTGATCTCCTGTTACGCGCGTGCGACGAGGTCGGAGAGTACCTCAACCTCAAGCTCACGGACGAGCACTGGCCCGTCGACCAGGTCATTGCGCGCGCCGAGGAGCTCGTCGCCGCGACGGATCTTGATGCTGTCAAGATCTGGCGGCGCTGAGCGAGCACGCGAGTGCGCGCAGCGCACGAGCTGTGAGCGGCAAGTTGCGAGCGAAGCGAGCGAGATGCAGTGAGCGGAGCACATCAGCAAATTTCCGCTCATCTCGCCCCCTCGTGCGCGCGACTCGTCCCGCTCACTCGTGCCCTGCGAAGAACAGCCGAGAGCCCCACCGCCGCGAGCTGGGCCGGCCCACACTTTAGAGGAGTAGGAGTATAGTACGAGTCAGCCAGCCAAGCCAAACCAAGTCAGGTCACTTCACAAATAGAAACCAAACCACCAATTAATTTTTATACAGATTTTAGGATGTTGGGTAATGCATGGGTAGTGAGTTCTCACTGTGACGGAGTCCGGGGAAGGAGGTGGTGGTGGGTAGGGAGTGAGGGAGAAGTGCGTGAGATGGGAAATCCGAGTGAGAGGTAGGGGCCAAGTGAACGCAGGGTAAATTAAGAGGGCAAAGTGGCGGCGCAGGTCCGCGGGTGGCATTGCACTTACTCTCCTCCCTTCTTCCCAGATTCCGTATTCTTGGATCGCCGTAAGGTGATAGAGGCCAAGAGGAGAAGGAACGCAACACTGACATCTGTGCGTCGTGCACTTCGTGTGCAACGTGTGCGACGTGTGCGACGTGTGCGACGTGCGGAGAGAGTACGGAATCGTTGCAAGAAAATACATTCATCATCATTAGGAATTACGGCGTGTCGGGTCGTGGGATTGGTTACGGTGCTACAAACAGTAAGAGAGTCGGTCTATTATCGTTCAACATTAACAAGAAGAGGGCGGCGCAAGTTTGGCGTCCTTGCGCGGCGTTGTAGTGCGCGCATGGATGTCACGGTACGCTGCGAGTGCGGGTGTACAAGTGCTTGATGCTCGTAATACATATTGGCAATGTTCATCAAGAGGAGCGAGCGCGCTGTGCGGCGTCGGTTGGCGTCGAGCGGAGAGGCGCGAAAACGAGCTGAGCCGGCACGAGGGGAGCGGGAACTGGCGGATACGAGGAGGGGCGCAACGCGAGCGCACGGGACACGAGAGCGGTGAAGGCGGTCGGAGCAGTGGTTGTGGCTTATGTGGGCTTATAAGTGCGGGGATGGACAGACGGCGAGGGCTTGTGTACCGGAGCGACAGCGTCATCGATGCTGACAACGCTTTCCCAAGGCGTGTCAGATCTCAGCTAGTCGCCCAGCACTCCCCACCATCTGCCCGCTCGCGTTGGCAGGTGCGAGCCCCGGTGGGTTGGCAGGCATCAGCCTGGGTGGTCAGGTCAGGTCAGGTGCGTCTTGATCTGGTCGACGCGGCCCCAAACGCGTCGACCTTGGCACCGTCATCCCCGACCTTCCCACCCATGCCGTCCTGCCTCACTCCCACCCCCAGCCACTCACAACCGATCGCTGTCTTCCTGTTGACGTCAGCTTCGGAACTGTGCAGAACGCTCACCTTGACCTCAGCGCCCAGCTTCGCCTCCCCGTCCACTCGGAGCGTGTTCGGCGCCGAGTCTGCACTCGCCTCATCGCCTCCTGCAGCGTCCTCGGCTGCTTCATGCGGGTCCTCGGCCACCTCGCGCTGGTCCTCGACATCTTCGTCTTCATCCTCGTCGGAGCACGCGGCGGCGGAATCATTGAGGCCGTCCTCCGCGTCCCGCCCGTCCTGCACTACCTGCACTCCCTCCGCGTCCAGGATCGTGACAGATGGGCGTGCTTGAGCGTCACTGCCTATTCCGGGCGGCGTGATCCAATAGTGGTGCAAGACGGGGTGATCGAGGGGTAGAATGCGGGCAGAGTTTCTCCGCTTGCCGTTCCGAAAGAGACACTCCTTCTGATGAGCGCGTGCCCCCTTTTCGTTCTTCAGAGAGAGCCTGCAGGTGATGATGAGGCAGGCACAGCGGATCTCTCCGGGCGAGTCCTCATACAAGCGCCAGGGTTTGGAGGGTAGAGACGGGGCCTCAGGACGCTGAGGGGCCGGCGAGGCTTCGTAGCGCCTCAGCTCTTCCGTTGGCGGAGGAGGCGCGGGTGCAGTCGCCGACAGTCTGCCTCGGCCTGTATAACGTCAGCAATCTGTAGCGCACTAATGTGTTATCGCCGTCATATCATCAACACCTCCGCATGAACAAGAAGCATGTGTAACTCACTTGGGATCCGCCGGTATCGGTTGCCGTTTCGGTCGTCCGACGACAGCGACATTTCGGCTCTTTGACACAGTTCACCCATGATCTCCATTAACGCTACGAGATGCGGCCGGTCAATGTAGATGTCGCTCCTAGTTAGCTCTGGTGAGCGGAAAGAATGACTCACATAAGACGGTTTAGGACTGTGTCAATGGCTGATACGACCGTCCGCGCGAGATCACTTCCGTCACCCATGTTAGACCAGATCATTACGCGACGCACGTGGGTCATCACCACCTCCAGAGTCTTCCCCAGGTATCCTGGTACGTAACGCGATATCTGTTCTTCTCCGATGTCGTGCGCGTATCTCGAAACGTAGATCAGCGATGACGTGTTTGAGGCCAGTCCCGGGAAGAATGTGAGCGCGTCAGAAGGCGCCACAGGAAGAGATGTAAGCCCCACAGCAATAACAACGTCAAGAAGGCCGTCATTGCCGAGTCGCAGGACCTGGTACGCGCTGGTGAAGTGCGCGGTCGCGCAGCCGTCCGGAATTTTGCCGTTTGTAATGGGCTCTCTTGCGCCAGCGCCCCGCACGCTCAGATTCAGGAATGGGACCGGGTTCGGAATATGCTCATCCAGCACCGCGTTTGTAACCCGGCAAACGTCCCGTGAGAGGTTGTAGGCATCGATCGCGGAGAGCCCGTTACTCGATTGGCGACCAAAAGACCCCACAGTTACTGTCACCTTGCTTTTTAGAACAGCCTCACGCGCCTCGATTTCTGCCGTGGTAGGCTCTTCTGCTGGACCTGTCAATCCTTGGAATCGTCCATTACTCACCGAGGGCTTCTATAGAAGTCTGCAAGCTCTCGAACCAGCGTGGTCCATCGCGAATCTCGTCGTAAAGGGAGCTATTATCGAGAACACTTTGGGGGAGGCCGAAAGCGCCTACTGGTACTGAGGGGGCGAAGCCGGCCGCCGATCTGGGCCGCTTGGGGTCCTCCGAAGCGGGGGGCGTCAGCTGCCTCGCTGAACGCTTTAACATGGTTGGCGGTAAAATATTGCAAAGCAATGACGGGAAGGTGCAATTGTAGATGGGGATAGGTAAGGTTGATTGTTTGTGTTACATTTGGTGGCAAGCGTTACATTTGGTGGCAAGCTTGATGTGTGCGACGCAGGGGTATGCGCCCCACGGGGGCAAGTCGGGGCCCCGCACGGTAACGTTCTTTGGGATGATCCCAAACGATACACGAATCTGGCCTCTCACATACTCACGTGGCTTCCAAGCCTTGGTGCCCACAGTCTGCTGTCCTCCTTGCACAGATTTGCACCTGCTCTCCAGTTTACCCCTTTGACAAGGCGCCCACTGAATGAAGGTGCGCCGCTGTCCTCGTACTCCATGCTTCAGCGCAAGCCGCATCGATGGGTTGCAATGTCCCGTTCAGTGAGTAGATACCTTAGAGGAACGCAGAGTTTGACATCGGCGTTTTCACACACGTGCTGAACTACTCGGCCGTTTTGCAGTCTGGTCTTGGGAAGATCCTCGCGAAGGAGAGAAGGATATGGCGGATCGTGGACCACGGGGGGGGGAGGTCCGACTAACTTCCTGTCTACAGTCTACCTTGAACAACTCCACGATGCATGCAGACATTCAGACGTCTGGCCATGGATATCCATGGAAGTGCCGAGATCGCGACCAAAACTTGCTGCATGGGAGCCAGCAGAATTAGAAGGCGCTCGGGATCAAAGTGGATGGGGTGCTCTTTGTGCACGGAATCAACGGGGTGCTCGTGTTTGCTACGAACGTTGCGGCTCCCAGCATGCCCAGCAGGCTCGGAATCAAGTGGTCTTTCATATTTTCGCTGGAGGCGGAATCAGACGGGAGCTCGCAGGCTCGGGATGTGATTGCGGAGGTAGTTAGGCATTGGAGTTCGATGGGCCAAAAATGGCTGCGGAAGCAGGAAGGCTCTCGGATCTCGGAATCAAAATGGTCCTCGCCTTGCTTCGGTATCAGATGGTCGTTCGAATCTGAATCGACACGCTATGTTCAGGCACGGGAACGCAAGATTGTTTTCCCTTCTACATAAGCGCTGTCCTTCGTAGATTACGGCACAGTTACTGCTTGAACGTAGTAAACGTAGCAAAGTAACCGACTAACCGAGGTGGATCATTACTGGAACTGGCATCACTCAAGTCGCATCGCAGGCGGGGCGGAAGCTAAAGAGATTTCTTTCAAAGTCAAAATGGCGAATGTACGGAAGCATACGAGCCCTCAAAGATCACGGAAGCAAACTAGCTTTCGGGATATTGCGGAAGCAATTCGACTTCGCCGCTGAGCCCAAGACGCTTTCCCACGGTCTCCGTGCCCCGCCCCCTCACCAAATTCGTTGCTCTGTCCCGTTCCCCGTACAATACTCTGCTGCATGCTTGATGGAACCAGACTGTATGCGTCCTCAGCACTTCCACATGGGCTCTTTCGGAACTCTTTGCACGTCTCCGACGCCCTATCCATTAGGGGTGGAGGCTGGGCGAAATGAGTATGTCTATCAGACCTTATGGATTGGGCGGTCATCATAGGGCAGCACCTGCCGCTAGAGACTATATTCAGTCTGCTGATGGACGTGAGGCGAAAAGATCCTAAGACTCTATATACTTCTTCGGTACCCTTATTACATCCTCTTCACCTCTGTGACATACCACATCGAAACCGAAGTTCAGAGTTGGCATACGGACAAAAAACGAGCGACAACGCTTCCTAAAGTTGACCGACGGGCCTTGAGGCGGAGCTCTCAAAATAGCGAGACAACAGACGCGTCTCGGTACCGAGAATAGGTGTCGCGATGGTGAGAAGGGGAGTGGCGAGTGCAAGCTCGCGTATACTGCAGACTGGAGACATGGGCGTGGACTCATGGGGCGGAAGCGGCTGGAAGGCGCGCCGTTCGGGTTGTCGGCGAGTCGAGCTGAGCACACGAGACATACTCTTCACGAACGGGACGGGCAGGCGGCGCAGGCTGGGCATGGCGAACAGAACGAGCGTCAGTGCAGGATCAATGCGTTAAGATGGGTCCACGAGGGAGAGCTGGGCGACGAAGACGTGGTGGATGATGTGTAAGAACGCGAGGAGATCACTTGATCACTTCCGTTAAGGAGTCCATGACGACCATGCGGTTTGACGACCGAGACGGGAGGCCGAGCAGAGGGCTGTTATCTCTGCGGGCCGAGCAAGGATGCGATCGGTTATCTACGCACCGAATGACATTGACGGAGATCTCTGGAAAAATCGATAAGCCAGTAGTAATGTCAAGTATCACGAGGACGGCATGCCACGCCATTGCCTGAACATCGTTCGGTGGAAAAAGGGTTAGAGACTGCTGTTGCTGGTGAGGGATGGTGGATAATACAGTAGGTGGCCGTGGGTCACCTCACCAGTCAGTTCAGGGACCGTTCGCGGGCCTCCTCCTGCAAGCTTTCCCTTTCCACCAAACCGTATACCTCTGACGGGTGATTTCTCCCTACGTCTCGTTACTATCGCTCTCGCCTGATGCGCCGCCCTCTGTCTCATCCGTGTAGGAATCTCCCTCGCCGTCGTCGAAGTGGTCCTCCTGAGTAACGCCGTCACTCTCCTCCGTCTCGTCCACGCCGGTTTCGTCACCGTGGAGCTCTGCATCGTCCTGCAAGCTACCGTGTCCGTCCGTGCTCTCCCCCGTGTCGGTATCGCTGTCATGCTGCTCATCACCCTCCTGCGTCTCGCCCTCGTCAGGGTCGTAGGCCGGTCCTCTCCCTCCAATCCAAAACCCGGCGAAGTTCGGTACATCCAAAGGAATGACGTCCAGGCCTTGCCTGGGCGGTACATGGCCCGAAGACAGGTGCCGTCGTCTCGGTGTCGTCGAGCAGAGCGGAGCGCGGAGAATGTGACACAACAATCGCGATGCTCTCGTCCGTGCGACTCATCTCGCTCGCTCGTGCCCTGCGTAGAACAGCCGAGAGCCCCACCGCCGCGAGCTGGGCCGGCCCACACTCTAAAACGATAGGAGTAGAGTACGAGTCAGTCAGCCAAGTCAGGTCACACAGAAACCAAACCACCAATTAATTTCTATACAGATTTTTCAGACCTTGGGTAATGCATGGGTAGTGAGTTTTCACTGAGCAGCGGGCTTGGAGCAGGGAGGGCAGGGAGGAAGGCCTACTGGCCGAGTGAATGCAGGAGAGAGTGAGGTGGCGGATGGATGGTGGCGGACTTAGTTAATTTGGTGAGGCTAAGACGCTAAGTTAGTCGACGAACGAGGAGCACATCTAGGTGATCGACCTGGCGACGGCTGGCGTCCGCACGGCGTTGAGGGCATGGGCAAGCGGCTATCAGGTCACTGGTCGCTGGTCGCTTTTGGCAGAGCCGTGCTCGTTGCTCACAGACTCTGGCACGGGCGTGCATCAGTGTTAGAATGTCGAGAGAGCGCCAAGCGCCCGGCCCAAAGATTGTCATAGGTACAGTAAAACATGTTCATTTCATGACAACAAGCTTGAGCCCGACGTGTGCTTATGGAAGGCGCTCAGCTGAAGATTACGGCGAGTAGCGATTATCTATGGATACAGTGGACAACATGAGTCTAATTTTGTTGATGTGCTAGGAGTGCTGGTAGGGGTTGGGTGTAGGCGCTACAGGGAAAAAGAAGTGCAAGAGAAATCGAAAGAAGTGACCCAGGAGGGAGATAGCATAGCGGGTTGATGAACGGGAGAACGCGACTGCTACGCGACTGGTGGAGATGGTTGGTGGACTGAGGCGGTACTGGTAGAAGGACAGACCAGACGAGGAGGGCGGCAGCGCGATTCAATGCCAAGGATGTAGTGCTCGCGGGGTGTGTTGTTATGTGAGGAGGTGACGTGCTTTGACGCACGCCCCCCTGGGTGGTGAACAGCTGCCGACAATGTCGCCAACAACACACCCATTCGTCCTCACCCTGGCTATTGCGACATGTAGGTAACCAGTTTTGATTACCATCTTGCGACCGCAGGGGGGTCAGGGGCAGGGCTCATGATCTCTGATGGTTCTGCAAGGTGTAAGCCGCATACCCGATGTGTGTTAAGACGAATTTCATTCCGACTTACTCTGGGGCTCGATGCGTTTGTAGTTTTTGTCCGCGTCCGTGGCGTTCAATGAGTCAATTACTCGCTTCATGTACTGCAGGCCAAGTTCTATTAAGCAGACTTGGTGCTCCCTGTCCCCGATCAGGCGCCTTCTCAGTCAGCATAGGTGCGCGGAGAACACTCGCTTGATCTGCCCCAAAACAGCCGCTTCGTTGGTCGAAAGTTCGTTGCGAGCGCGCGCATGCGAGAACGTGGAGGAGATGGAAACGGTGCGGGAGAAACACGGGGGAGCGACCGCGAAGTGCGTCTTGGTCGGCGTCGTGCGGAACAGATGCGAGCGCACATAGGAGGAGCGCCGACTGCAAGGGCGCGGAGGAGCTGGAGGGGCGGCAGAAGTAGAGGCTGAGGCTGTGGACGTGGAACGCTCAGGCGAATCGGCAGAGTCGTACCGTAGCACTGCGTCGGGGACTGGAGGCTCCGCAGACTCGACGGTCTTCGGCACCGATGCTGAGCGCAGAGTCAGCACGGAATGAACAGAACAGTGTCCTATGCGCTACTCACACTTTGGTCGTGTCCTCTGGCGGTTCTGGTACTTGTTGTCGGAGGTGAGCGACGCCTGCACGCGCTGGCAGTACTCTAGGCCGAGCTCGAGTAAAGCTGCCTGGTGTTCGTTGGCCGCGTATCGTTCCCTTCTCAGTCAGCTCCATTGGACGGAAAACTCACCTCAGTACGTGCAGGATGTCGATGATTGAACCGACAACGGCGTTGGATCGGGATTTGCCGTCGCCCATATCACCGTCCGCGACGACCTTCTTCAGGGCGATAAAAACGGCCTCTACAGCACGAGCCAGGTACGCAGCATTGAGGACGGTGATGTCCTCGGCCTGGACGACTTGCTGCCATCGGGAGATGAAGAAGACTGCTTTCGGTTTCTTGCCCATACTGACCGTGAGCGCCAGGAGGTCCTTTGGATTCAACGGCAAAGCTCCGAGACCAGCGGCGACCATGGCGTCGAGGAGACCGCCGTGTGCTGCCCGTTCAACGGACCAGGTGCAGGTGGTCAGGTGCAGGTGGTCACAAAACGGGCGGACAAGCCTCCTGGGACCTTGGCGTTCTTAGCCGCTTTGCGGCCACTCTCGCCGCGAACACTCAGCCATTCAAAGGTGGGGACTCCACCCAACTGTCTGTCAATGACACTGCTCCAATCCTGGCCACGGACAGCTAGATCTGGCAACTCGCCGACGATTTCTGACTCGTCATGGGCCACACACTGCCATATATCGCCCTCAGTCGGACCAGCGAGAGTGGGTTGAGCCCGCTGACAGTGTGGGCGTTGGCGTGCTCCCACTCAATCCATCGACCTGCCAGTTGTGGGTCGTCGAGGGGTGCGATCTCGTTGCTGGAACGCACCTGGCGAGGGCGATCTTGGCGGCACACCTTGTCTTCCACGTGCTTTTGCGCGCCCTGCTTGTTCTTGAGCGCGAGGCGGCAGTGGGACTGCGCGCAGACGAAACGGGTCTTGCCGTCCGGGTTGATCCACTCAAGGTACTCTTGCCCAGGCGGTAGGACGGCGGTTGACGTCTGCGCGGGGGTCGCCATTTCACGATATCGCGACAGTGCGTCTGGTACCGGGGGCTCTGCGGAGACAGGGGCGGCCGTCGCGGAACTTGAAGCTGACGACGAATCTGCAGAGTCAGCGACACGCAACACGCAAACGAGTTATCCATCCGGTACTTACTCTTGGGGCGCGTACGCTGCACGTTCTGCAGGCTGTTGTCGCTCCTAAGCGAGGCACCCACGCGCTTGATGTACTCAATCGCCAGTTCGGTTAACGCGGCTTGGTGTGCGTTACTCGCGAAGAGAGCGCTGGCCAGTCAGCTCAACACTTGAGAGAAAGACTTACTGCAACCCATGCAGCACGTTCCGGATGGCAGTCGCAACGGAACCGGAGTGGACACGTCCCTGCCCCATGTCGGTCGTAACTGTCACACGCCTGAGGGCGCTGAAAACCTTCTCGACAGCTTGGGCAAGGTACGATGCGCGGTACAGCGTGTGGCGCTCGTTCTTCACGACCTGCTCCCACTTGCTCACAAAGAACAGAGCCTCCGGATTGTTCCCCACCGCTGCGGTCAGACCAATAAGGTCGTTGGGGTGGAGCGGCAAGGCACCCAGTCCAGCTGCAACGACCACGTCGCACTCCCCACCGAGCGCACTCCTCATGACCGACCATGGGGTGAAGAATCGGTGGGAGCACGCCTCCGCAACCTTGGCGTTCTCCAAAGGTGCGATCCCGCACTCAGCTCGTACGCTCACCAGCTGGAAGACGCGCGCGTCGGAAAAGTACTCGGTGATGACCTGGCTGGAGATACCTTCCAGCTTTGCCGCCGGTTCAGGTGGCATTGTCCCACCATCCTTGCGCCACTTTTCAGAGATTCGTGCAAAGCCGCCTAGACCGAGGCTGCCTCTCTTGCGCATGTTCTCGGCGCTCTCCGTCAGCGAGGACAGACTGGGTTCTTGGGCTGAATCTGTCAGAGGTTTGAACGGGGAGACACTTACTCATCGCTCGGAATGCGTCGATCACGTCCGCGTACCACGGTCGCGTGGCCGGGCCCGTTTGGTATTCGGAGCTCGCATCCAACCAGTGCTGTTTGATTCCAATCAAATGCGCGTAGTTAGTTGTCGCGCTGAGCGTGTTTGAGGCGGCGGCGGCGAACGTGGCGCCGCAAGGGGGGACGGGTCGTCAGCGGCGCCGGGGTCGCTCTGAGTCGTCGTGATCACAACCACTGACTTCTACCCCGTCGCGCCCTGTAGCGGGGCAGACGAGGGCACGCGAGATGGCCCTTGCGAGGAGTCTGGGTACCATTAGCGATTGCTGACGATGACAACCCAGCGTTGTTATCGCCGTCGCTGTTAAACTTACGCGCGGACTGTGGTCGGGTCTTCTTCCGATTTGAATCAGTGTCGTCACACACCAGAGAATACACGAGTCGCCGACAATGCTCCATGCCCAACTGCAATAAGCAGTGGGCATTGGCATTATCCTTGAACGCCTCCCTGCTTTGTCAGCTCAGGATGTTGTTGAGACTCACATGAGCGCCCGCAACACTGCCATTACCGCACCCGCAGTGCACAGAAGGTGCTCCGGCACGACGTCGGCGCGCTGGTAGCGCCCGACGAGGACCCGCTCCAAGGGTGGTAGAACCGCCCGCAAACACTGATGCAGATACTGCAGGTTGTAAGCGGTGAGCTCTCCCTCCTCTGCCTGGGTGCCTTGGTGCCAACGGGACACCACCAGCAGGGCGTCGGGGTCGTTACCGACGCCCTCGGCCAGCGAGAGCAGGTCGGGTATGTGCAGCGGCAGGGCGGTCAGGCCCGCCGCCACCAGTACCTCGAGCTCGCCCTCCTGGCCAGCCTCGAGCACTGCCGCAGGAGAGTAAAAGCCCGGCGGGCAGTCGGGGTGCGGTGGCTTGCCGACGATGGGGTTGAGCGCACAGCCGGTGCGTTCGCAAAACAGTCGGTGCACGTTCGCCGCCGGTAGGTATTCGCGCTCGGCGTGATCCACAACCTCAATCAGCTTCAGGCAGAGGCTGGCTGCCGTTGGGCCGGTGGCGCGGTAGTGCCCGGACGTGCGGACGAAGCCACCCAGGCCGATCTCTTGCTGTTTGCACAGCTTATCGATGCTGCGCTCGATGTCGTTCGCGCCCGGCTCCCTACCTGAGTGTTAGTCTTGTAGCCGTTAATCACTTACCCGGATCACCGAGACCAGCCAAGATATCTTCGTGCCAAGGCGTATGCCCGCGGTTCTTGTCGAATTCAGAAGAGGCCGTGAGGTGACTGAGTGGCAAGCTCAGCGAGCGGGACGATTGACGCTGGCTTGGCACCTGCAGCTTTGCCGAAGAGTCAAACACGTCGTTCATGCCAGCGGCCTGCGCCGCATCTTGGCAGAGACGTTTCTTGTGGGAAGCCTTGGGCGAGGCCGACGATCGACGCTTTGTAGGAGCCTGGACTCGCACTGCCAGCTGCAGTCGACTGGGGTTGTGAGTAGTGGAGAGCATGAGTTCCGCGATGGCGGCACCAAGAGCCCAAGCGATGGAGGATTAGAATCGATAATGTCGGCGGTGGCGGCCTCAGGTTGTGGTGAGCGCTGGGAGCACCTACGTACCGTCAGCGACATCGTTGCCTAAGTATTCATCGGGATACTCACAGGCGACTTCTGGCATTGCTCGCTTGCGGTCGCTGTCCACGTCCTTGGCCGCCAGGGCGCTGATGATGCGAAGGCAGCACTCCCTCACCATCTGCAATAAGCAGATGACATGGGAGTTGCCTGCGAACTTCCTCCTTACTCGTCAGCTACATTTAATTCTAGCAACTCACGACAGGCCTCGCAGTTCCGCCATGACACCACCCATGGAGCAGATAAGTGCGTCACCGTCGATGTCCTCGCCTGCCCTTTGGCGATCCGCCAGGACCCTCTCCAGAGGAACGAATGTTGCGGTGATGCAGCGGTGCAGAAAAGCTACGTTGCACGAGTTCATCACCTCGGATTTCTCGCGCTGCTGGTACCGGCTCGCAAAGAGCAGAGAGTGTTCGTCTGCCCCTACACCTCGTGTAAGAGCCACGAGGTCATCTGTGTGTAGTGGTAGGACCGTGAGGCCCATTGCCACGAGCGCCTGCAGGCGACCCTCCCGACCCTCGAAGAGAACATCGAGTGCTGAGAAAAAGTCGGCCGGGCAGCCTGGTGGAGGATCGGCCGAAGTGATTGGGGACCGCGCAGAGCCCGTGCGAATACAAAGGAGCTGGTCCGCTGTGTGGGGGAAACTGTTCGCCGACAAAGCCCACGACACGCAGCTGGAGGGGTGGCGGCGCAGAGGGCGGTGGAAGGCGTCGCGGTTACCGGAAAGAATGCAGAGGAAGGGGCCGGCGCGGCGTGGGTGAGCGTTCACGCTCGGAGAAGCAGGAGCTCCGGAACCAAACCAGCTAGACCCTTCAGTGAGTTGAAAGATCGTGCTGTGGTCAGTTGTGGAAACGAGGAAGAGAGTGGCGGGTTGTGGACAGAGAGGTCAGCTGCTGAAACATCTGAGGACACCCATATTTGCTGTCGACTTCTGCAGTCGTTAGCTAGTTTGTCGCCGGATGAGCTCACCTGTGAGACGTCGCCTGCTGTGAGCGAGTTCGCCGGTGTCAGAGTCAGCGTCGGAGCCTGGGCAAGACAACAGTACAGCGGTGCATTGTATACAACATCGTGGGTTGGGAGTTAATCGTCCTCGTCGTCGGACGAGCCAGCGAAAATGTCGTTCTCGCGGAACACGCGCCTAATCATCAGCATGCAGCTTGATGGAATAACAGATGACTCACGCCTTGCTTTTGATTCGCTTGGGGGCCGGCTCGGCAGCAGCAGGGGGAGCGCGTTTAGCTAGAGTTAGCTACAATGTGATAGCTTCACACATACCCGAGGGCTTCTCTGCGACAGAGACAGCTGAGGTCAGACTGACTTTATACTTTGTGGAGCTTACTCTCGTCGAAAGAGTGTGCGGCTGATGTCAGCTGAGAATGATATGAGTTGTAGCTTACCTTCCTCGGGTGTCGAGGCAGCAGAAAGTTAGTACATTCACATAGGGCGCAGAGCTGGGCCGACATCGCCTAACGACCGCAGGAGCCAGGGCGGTAAGCACACGGGAAAACTTACATCGTGGCTCTGTCTCCTCTTCTCTCGTTAGCTCAATCGCCAGTCCGCGACTCACTCTGTTCCGAATCTACCTCGTTTCCTTCCGTCAGCTCGTGTACGATCCACCCAAGCTTACCGCTGCCTTCATAGAATGCCAGTTCCCTCTCTTTGTTCCATCCTTCTTTCAAAGTCTAGCGTTAGTTTTTATACTGCACGATAAGGCTCTCCACCCAGGCGCGGGATAGGCCAGCTCACCTTGCTATCTTCCTTGGACATGAAATCAAGAGGTCGCCACACGCTGCTCCTCAGCTTGGCGGGATGTTTGCTGTCGAGTCCAATGAGTGTGTAGAGGTCCGACTTCACCGCCGATGGTTCCAGCCCATGGTTGAGGAGGGCAATCAGAATCTGTTGTCAGCCACTTCCCGGAATCTCCCAGTGCCGCCCCCCACCATTGTCATTCACGCAGTCGTGATGAACGATGCAGTACGTGAACTCACCTTCTCCGTCTTCTCCTTGTCGTAAACATTGTCATAGTACACACAGATGACATGCGACTGCTCGGCACTCTCGGTGGTCGCAACCTTAGCTCCCGTGGCTCCCGCCTTCTTCAGTGGGCCACCGTCGACTGACTTTGCCACCCGCGCCCAGACAGCGTCAACGTGCTCGTGCGAGGGATAAAGCAGCCTGCTGTCAGTTCTCGGTGAGGGAAAATGTAAGCGTGCTCACCACTTGCCATGTGTGAAATTCTTTTCCAAGCTGAGTGCCTTAAAAGCCGCAATCGTGTCTGCTTGCGCTCGCTCGCGGACCACCTTCTTCCACTCAACGCCTTTCTTGGCGCGTGTTGGGATACTGTCATCCGTCTTGGTTCAGCTTGAGGGGCGATTGATAAAACTCACCTCAATCTCCTTCATTCGTGTGACGAGATCGGTCACTAATGTTAGGGAAGGAAGGCACCACGCGCTCACGAAGGTCGGCGCCGCGAGACACCACCACTGCCTCGTTCTCGTTTGCGGACGCAGGAATGCTGGTGACCCAGATCCACTGAAGTCAATTGGCGTAAGATTTGAAGGACTGACCGGTGAGTCGCGCATCTCGATGAGGGAAGGCTTGAACTGCTGTCAGTGTGCGGTCATCAGGCGAGCTTACCTTGCGCAGGAACGTGTCAAGGTCGCCGCTTCCGCTACGAAAGTGGTACTTCTGCAATTGGGCGTCGGTATATTGTGAGAGCTCCATGATACTGCTTGGGTTGAAGGAAGGTTGGCGGGGTGTATGAGGAAGGGTGAGGAGGATGGAACAGCACCGGCTGCAGCAACGCCAAAACACGCCCAGCCCAACGCGGGTTAGGTGGACACTGAAGGTGGAGGTCTGTCCTGGTGACTGCCGTGCGGTGTGGAGGTCGCACCGGGCCCCGAGTTTGCTTCCGTCGCGACGTCAGAGTCTGTGGACACGGCGGATCCGACAGGTTCTCCAAGCCACGAGTCACAGCCGGCGGTGGAGGCCGTGGATGACCGCCAATGTGCAAAACGTCATGATCTCCGGCGCTCAGGATCGTATTGTCGTATCTTTTCTCCATCAACAAACTCGAGCATGCCGAAAGGAGGCAAGTCGTCGGCCTCGTCGGCCACACGCAAGAAGCATGCTCGCAAGGCAGGCAAGGACGAGGAGGACCTGCCTCCCGTGAACAAGCAGCGCGGCCAGAAGAAGCAGACCCGAGGACCCGATGGCAAGAAGCTCTCCAAAGCTCAGCGCAAAGCACTGCCAAAGGTCAAAACGTACATCCCTCCACCGAAACCGCCCGCACCGCCAATCCCCGATCCGCTTGATGGACAAGGTCTTGCGCGTACACTTCCCGCGGAGCTCGTCGTGACGCTGCGCCGGCTGGGCAAGAAGGACGATGTCACGCGACGGAAGGGACTAGAGGAGCTCAAGGAGCAGTGGATCGCGCCGGTGCTGGCAAAGGCCGACGGTGATGACGCTGAGACGGAGCGAGCAATCAAGCTTGCGGCCCTGCAATCGGCCCTGCCCGTCTGGTTGCACGATCTCGCCTCTCTCCTGCAGTCGCCATTCCATCGCACTCTCGCCTTGCAGCTGCACACCGAGATTATGAGCGTGCCCGAGCTGCGCGGAGGTGTGCTCGACTCGATCGCAATGTCGTACCTCCCGGGAACGCAAGACCGTGATATCCTGGGCTCGTGGCTCATCGCTGCTCTCGAGGAGCGCAAGGCTGGGGGACTGAAGGTGTTTGAGGACCTCGTCGGACTAGGGCCGAAGGAGACACCTGAAGGTGAGGAGACGAGCCATCTTGATCTCGTGCCTCACCTTTCAGGACTCGCCGAGTTCCTTTCGCTTGCTATTCTTGACCCGAAGACACTGCATCGCGACATTCATCCGACACCCGTGCAGAATCAGTTCGAATCTGCCAAGCAGGCGAAGGAGGCTGCCAAGAATCAGAACCAGAAGGGGAAAGGGAAGGGAAAGCCGGCCAAGCCAGCGACTCCAGTGATCTCGACCCCGCCGCCAGAGGAGGATCCACAGATCGCCGAGGAGCGCTGGACACGGTATCGCGTCGGCGGTCTCGCGGGTCTCGCTTGGGTCATCTCCAAGCTGTACTCGAACGACCCGCCGCTCAAGTCGGAGGAGATCGACGCTCTGCTCCGCAACCCCGTCACTTGGTCGTCGCTTGGCCCGGCGCACGTCATTTCCGATGTGGACCCTATTGGTACAGCACCGCTCATCCGCCGCGGTGGCTACACGCTCTTGCAGAGCGTGCTGCACAACATCCCAGAGCTGGATGCTGAGCTGCTCGACATTATCGCTACGAGTGTTCTCGGTAACTGCTGGCAAGAGAACGAGGCCATTGTATGGGAGGTTGCTGGGTCCGCCGTGCTTAGGTTCCTTACGAGTGAGTTGACAGCATTGTGCTCTGCTGACCCTAGAATACAAGCAGGCCTGGGACCTTGCGGCGAAGGCTTCGGCTGCGCCGGCCCAGGGAGAAGGCGATGGGGATGATGATGACGAAGAAGACGACGATGATGATGATGACGAGGGAGAAGAGTCGACACCAGCGCCCAGCGGAACGGCTACGCCGAGCGCGAGTGGGGCGGCCACGCCGGCTCCCACAACATCGAAGGCGCTGGACGCATTCCTCAACTTCATCAGCACAGTCTGCCCGTCGCTCCCACACCTAACCTATCCGCTTCTCGTCATCATCGTCTCCACTCTTCCGGCATCTCTCCTCCCGCTGAACTCATCCAGCCTGCCCCTGCAGAACCTGTTCTCGCACCTGTGGTCTCCTGTCGATGCCAGGCTGCTCTCGACGCACTCGCTCGGGAACCAACCATCGGCGTTCCAGTCGTTCCTGCAATCGGCGGCTGATGTCACGCAACTTCTCATCGACCGAACGCAGTCGTCCGAGAAGGAGACGGCGGAGTGGCTCGTAAGAGACCAGCTCGCCGACCGAGTGTGGAGTGAGGGAGTCATCGTTCTCGGTGCCAAGGGCGGTCGACGAGGCACCACACCGGTGGAGACCGAGGCAAAGATCTTTGCTCAGACTGCTGGCAAAACCGGCAGGGCTGCGCCGGAGCTTCTTCCTCCGCTACTCGCGGAGGTCGAGCGGCTGACGCTGGCGGCCTGCTTCCCTGAGACGGGCACCGGCGCCTTCCTTGCCCGCGCTCTCCCTGCGTTGACGGAGCTACGCCATGTTGCGCCTGAAGCTGTGGATGCCACTATCCGCAAGATCGCCGAAGGCTGCACCGAGCGACTGTTCCAGCTGGAAAGCGCGCCGAAATACGCCGAGACGCTCACGACTATCCTCAAGAAGCGCAAGGACTTATTCCCACCTGACCAGGTATCTGCGCTGTCGCAAGGCCTTCAAGCTCACACCGCCGAGCTCGTCGAGGCGCTCCAGCCCAGGGATGTCGCCAACCTGTTCGCTGCGGTCGCCGACGTCGCCGGGCCGGAGAAGGATGCGCTCCTGTCCTCGCTCAAGAGTTACGCCGAGTCCGAAGAGGTGCCCCGCGAGAAGCGCTTTGCCCTCACGAGCGCCATCGTCACGGCTGGAGGACTATTGGAAGCTGGAAGCATGGATCAGCGAGCCCAGGAGGCGTCACGAGCCGCGCTGGAGTCTGACGACCCTACAGCTATTTCGATCACCGCTTCGGCCGTTACGAGTGACGGTATGTCGATTGTCATCCCTAAGCTAACACGCAGACTGGCTTTCGCCAGAGGTCCGCGAAGGCATCATTGGCCGAGTGTGCACCACTATCGCCGACGCTGCTGATGCGCTCTTGTCCACCGGCGAGGACGCATACATTCCTTCCTCGGCTCTCGCGATCCTTTCGTCGTACGCTCAGAAGCACATCGACCAGCTCGTGCTGTCTGACGAGAACATCAACGCTGTCATCGCGGCGCACCACTACGTCGTCGTCCTCCCTCGCCTTGGACTCGACATTCCCACACCAACAGCAGCCAGCGAGATCTGGAAGGCGACGGCATCGCTGTCACCGGAGCTGAAAGAGCGTTTGGATAAGGCTGTCACCCGCTCACTTGCGGAACTGCTTGGCCGTGTCTCGTGTCGCGTCGACCCGGGAACGATCGTCGACGTTGCGCTCGCGACCGACCGAGGCGTTTCGCCAACGCCAGAGCATGTCGCCAACACTCTTCTCCCGTCTCCCGAGACGCTGGTCGAGTTCCTGAGCCGACACACGGCACAGCCGCCGCACCCATCCCTACCTGTCATTGACCCGATGGTGCAGTGTACGCAAGAGGTGGAAGAGGCGCCATCTACCGAGTTTGACAGTGAGGGCCGCTCCCGTGCGGCACGCTACGCCGAGGCTGCGCTCGCCCTGCTGCGAGCGGATAGGAGCCTTGTAAAGGTCTTCCCGTCACTGCTGAACGTTGCGCTCGCCGCCATGATCCTCGCCGAGGACGGCGCGGCCATCCCTGGCGCCTCTAGGGGCATGTACGACTCAGTTGCTTCGCACCTGGCCAATGTGGTGCGCGACGCCGAGGGTGCGCTTTCGTTCTCGTTGTCGCTGGTCGACGAACCGCCGCTCTCGTGGCACAAGGAGACGGTCGAGCAGCTCAAGGCCGGCACCACCCCGGAAGGTGCAGACTACCTCCAGCGCCTGCTTGGGCAGCTGCGGTCCCGTGTCGAGGAGAAGCGGAGTGATGTCGCCCCCCGAGCGTTCCGGGAGGTGCTCTCGCGGCATCTGCGCAAGTGCGGCGCGGGTGAGGAGGAGGGATCCGTGTGGCTGGACTACGCGATGCGCATTGCGGAGCGTCTGCCTGAGCTTTCGCTCGCGATCATCCTCTCCATCAAGCCGTTCATGCTCGAGACGAAGGCGTTTGCGACCGCGCAGAACCGCCTCGCCTCGGGCCTCACGAGCTACCGCGTCAAGGATGCGAACACGAAGGGACTTCCCGCCATTCGCGAGCTGGTTGCATCTGCGCCGCCGGCGGACTCGACAGCCATTTTCCTCCCCCAGCAGCGTGCCGTGTTCGTGCTCCGTCATGTCGGCGGCTGGCTCACAAGCGAGGACGAAGCGGCGGACGATCTCGCCGAGGAGGTGGATCTGCGCGTCGCGGAGCTCTATGCCGCGCTCGCCCCGATCGTACAGGACCTGCATGGCGCGCACTGGGACAGTATCTTTGACCTGATCGAGGGCGCGCTCTCCTCCGGTACCCTCGACGATGCCTCATCCCACCCGCTGCTGTATGCGGGTCTCGGTCTGCTCAAGGTGGTTAGGGACCTGGCGAGCACGAACCGACAGCTGGCCGAGTGGTGGACGGCCAAGGACACGCACATGGGCCTCGTCGTCGAGCTCTTCCTCCAGTGCCGAGACGCGGCGAGCGAGCCTCTGCAGCTTATCCACGGCCTGATTCTGGACCTGGTGCACGACACACCGAGCAGCGTCATGGCCAAGGCTGGCTTGCCCCAGCTCTGCACGTTGTTGACCGAGAGCAACAGCGCGGCGATCCAGACGACAGCGTACCGCCTCCTGGCGCAGGTGATCCGGCAACGCACGCTTGCGCTCGTGCTGGAGGTCGAGGCGAGCGTCGCAGACGAGCCAGAGGAGAACCCCCGCCAGATCACTCTGCCAGAGCACCTCGTCTCGATCGTCGATGCGGGCCGCGGCGTGGACTGGGAGGAGAGCGACGTCCCGACTGTGCTGGGCCAGCTCCTCTCCTGGATGGCGTTCCTGGACCACTTCGACGATGCCTCGCGCACCCTGCGCTGGGCGTACCTGGACCAACTGACGAGCTCCAAGCTGCTCGAGGAGTCCCTCCTCCCGCTGCTCTTCACGATGCTCGGCGTCAGCGAAGTCGGCGCACGCACTTTCCCTGCGAGCGCATATGCCGTCGACGAGTTCTACGTCGACCAGCTCCTGCCCGACTCGCTGGCCGACCTCGTCCCCCTCGCCTCGCACGTGTACTACCGCACCCTCGTCACGATCCCGAGCGCGATGCGGGCGTACTACGAGTCGCTGAAGGACCGGCAGCTCTCTCTCGCTCTGCTCCAGTTCACGGCGCGGCACTACTCCTCGGTCATCATCGGGCACGAGTTCGCGGCGCTGAAGGAGCCCGCGGCGCTGTCGACGTTGACGGAGGAAGGTCTGAACGTGCGCGTCGCAACGGGCGGCGGCAGCGGCGTCGCGGGCGCAAGCAGCGCAGAGGCCATCGCAAGCTACGTCGTGGACGAGCAGCCGATGGAGATCGGCATCAGGCTTCCGGCCGAGTTCCCGCTCAAGGGTGTCGAGATCCGCGACCTGAAGCGTGTCGGCGTGCCCGAGAACAAGTGGCGCGGGTGGCTCATGTCCGTTCAGCAGACCATTACGTCGCGCAACGGCCTCATCCTCGAGGCCCTCACGGTGTTCAAGAAGAATGTCGCTTTACACTTTGAGGGCGTCGTCGAGTGCGCCATTTGTTATTCGATTATCTCTCTCACCGACCGCAGCCTGCCCACCAAGCCGTGCCGCACTTGCAAGAACCGCTTCCACGCTAGCTGTCTGTTCAAGTGGTTCAATAGCTCGCACTCGAGCTCGTGTCCGCTGTGTAGGAGTTTGTTCTAAGTGGACTCTTCAGGCGAAAGGGAGGCTTAGATGGAGAGGGGAGGGCAAGGAGAATTAAGGACAAGTGAAGAAGAAGCAGCACCATAGATTAGATCTTGCCTTGCATGTATCAGCATCACTGCACTCATTGTCTCACCCCTCCGTCGTGGTCGCTGCAAGCTAGCAGCCTCGTGGCATAAGCTTTATCCACTCGCTTCGCTAGTAGAGGTCCCGTTGCAAAAGAAACCAAGTGTGCATCTATAGATTATAAAGGCCGTAAACGAGCCTACTACTCGAGCACACGCAGGACGAGCCGCGGCGGCGCCTCAGCGTGTGCTCCTGTCTCGATAAGACATGTTTGGAACTCCGGGCGAAATGATCTCACCCAGTCCACTCCCCACTTCCCCGCTGCACTAACCGTTTCCGGTCACCGAGCGGCTCAGCCCCCCTCCGGGCCTTGGACTGCCCATCGAATACCTCTCACGAAAATGAGTCATTTCGAGAGCTACACCACAGAGGCCCGATGAGGCCAGCATCGCATATCGCGCTCGCGGCGCTCGAATGCTCAGCTTACTCCTTCTTCTTCTTCTTTTTCCTCTCGTCATCGTCCTCCGCGCCACCGGAGCGCTTCAGATCCTCGTCGTTCTCGGCAGCAGCGCTGCGCTGCTTGGCCTGGTTGATCTGGTGCTCGCGGTACTTGGCGAGGTAGACCTTGAGGACGCCCTCGTAGTTGTCGAAACCCAGGGCACGCATCGAGGTCAGGATGTCCTCGCCGTTGATCGTCTTGCGCTTCTCGTTGAGACACTTCTCGGCAGCTTCAGAGGTCTATGTCGTTAGCTCGTTGGTGCTACAGAGGAGCAGGGAATCGGCGGCAACTTCTCGCACTTGCGCCAGGCACCTTCGAGCCAATCTGAAGTTGATAAGATGCCAGGTGGCTGATGCAAGACGTAGGAGCCATTTGCAGACACTCGGCGGCAACATCCGACATATGACTGTCCCTGGGCGACACTCACGATGAAGGAGATGAACTCTGAGACACACTCCTGCACGCACTCCTTCGCCTCCTTGGATACCTTGGCGGTTGTCGGGAGCGAGTTCTTCATGATGCGCGAGACGTTCGCGATCTGCCGTCAGTCGACCATTCCAACGGAAATGCCATTGCGGATACAGGGGAAAAGTTCAAGACGCGCCAAAGAGTCAAAAACAAGAAAAGTCAAGGAAGTCACAGGCGAACGGGGAAGCTGGCTCCGCCAGCTCGGACTTTCTTCCAGAGGTCATCCACGCTTTGGGAACGACGACGGAGCCTCAAAACGTCCCTTCTGATACCCCGTTGCGATGCAACTCCCGGCCAGACCTCCCAGATCCTGGCATGGTCGGCAGGGAAGGCGCCGCCTCATGGCGGAAGGACACTCACAGGAAGCCACCTGTCCTGCTCGCGGTACTCATCGACCTGGGCATCGGTGAAGCTCTGTCCGCCAGACGTGTTGCCGGTGTTGTTCGGTTCCGTCATGACTGATAACTAAGGCTGAGGTTGGAGCTGGGTAAACGAGGCGGATTGGGCTGACAGCCAGCTTGGGCGGAGTTGAAGAGCCCTGCAGTTGCGCGCAGCTGTGCGGACGGCAGGGAGAGTGCGCGCGGGATCGCCGGGGTTGGTGGGAGGTGGATGGTGGACGGAGTGTGGTCGGTGGTGGAGTCTTTTGAGATTTTCTTGTCGAGATATGAGAGTTTGAGGAAATTGACGACGATCGACAACAAAGTCGTCGAGCTCTGGTGCGGCGTGCGGGCGGGCGGTCGGTCTGAGTCTGCGCAGCTCCTGAGGGGGGGGGCAGCCTGCCTCGGCCGGGAGGGCGTGCCTTTGTTCCTCTTCCTCTGATCTCCTGCCTGGGTGCTTGTCTCAAAATCAGCCCTTACAAGAGGGGCCGAATACAGCCACTTACCCCCGATTAACCCGCCCATTACAACCCCATTAGGACGACCCGGATATTTGGCTTTTAGGGTTCATGAGTATGCCCGATCACGTGCTGGCCGTAGACCTGCCCGCTCGAGCGTCCGCCTCCACCTCATCGTTGGTTGAGTGGCGCGGACATGACCAGGCGTCGATGGCTGTGAGCTGGCGCAGCCCTCCATCACGCATGCTGTCATCCGTCCTCAGCACTCCAACATTGCTTCTGCTTTCCGTCTATCCCTCACTCCCTCACCGAATCGAGCTCAAAAGATAATAGGGAGATTCTGTGACTCTCATTCGACTCGCTTCGACGCTCGTTGACTGCCCACCGAGGTGCATCGTTCCTCCTCATCCTCTGTCCACTTCGCTCAGAACAACACACTCGTGAACGTCCGACCAAGCGACTTCTTCTCCTTAGCCCCCTGTTCCCGACATTACCAACGCATCACCCAAGATGCCTCCCAAGCTCAACCTTCGCTCTACCGCTGTCAAGCGCATCATGCAGGAGGCCGCAGAGCTCTCTGAACCCGATGAAGACTTCATCGCACAGCCGCTCGAGGTATGTCACAGCCATGGGCGAGGTGCAGTTACTGACCCGCAGAGCGACATCTTTGAATGGCACTGCACACTGCGCGGAGTGCCCGGGACAGAGTACGAAGGCGGTCTCTATCATCTGCGCGTGCTTCTTCCGGCGACGTACCCCATGAGCGCTCCCGATATCGTCCTCATGACGCCGAGCGGACGATTTGAGCCAGGCAAGAAGGTAAGCTGGACTTGTTAAGTTCCTGCGCTGACAGTCAGATCTGCATAGATGGTCTCACTTCATTCCACGCCGGGTCATGGCAGCCTGCCTGGGGTGTGCGCACCGCCATGGCGGGCCTGCGATCCTTCTGGACTCAAGGTGGAGAAGCGCTCGCCGCGATCGGCGCGCTGGACTATCCGAAGGAAGAGCGCCGCAGACTGGCCAAACTGTAAGGAAGACCGAATTGACAAGAAGCACTAACATTAGGTCTCGAGATTGGGTGTGCCCGACATGCGGAGTTCCGAATCACGAGCTGTTACCAGATGCTCAAGTAACAGCAAGTGCTGAGGCGTCAGGATCAGGGACGTCTGGAGCAGCGCAATTTGCGGAGGCTGGGGCGGAGGCAACGGAGAGGAGCGAACTCGCTGCGGAAGGAAATGCACGGCCAGACTCGTCTGAGTCTGATCAGGGAGCGGTGACTACCCCTCCGCCGGGTCCCTCCAGCGCCGCCGCACCGACTGCTGTCCCCCTTCCTCCTGTCCATGGGCCAACGGCTGCTGCAGTGTCAACGGAAGTCCCTCCTCCTGTCATCACAGTGCCAGCGCCGGTGCCGACGCCGACGACAACGGCGCCAGTGGCCGCACCCGCAGCGGCGCCCGTGCAACCTACACCCGTACGCACAGGAGTGTCATCATCTCCGCCGCCGCCCCAACCTGGCTCGCGCCCTGTCCCTCCTGCTCGCGCTGCACCTCCAGCTTCCTCCTCGCCTCCGCCGCCCGCTCCCGCTGCTCGGCCTCAGCCGCCAGCGCCTCCCGCTGTCACCGGAACCCCTTCCCCAGCTGAAAGCGGTCAAGTTGCGACGGAGCCCGCTCGCCGTGGGCAGCGTGCCCCGAGTGGCAGCCCACTCTGGCTCGACGGCACTATTGCGGCCTGCGTCGCTGTCCTCATCTACCTGCTCGCGAAGCAGTAGACTGTTAGTTGTAGAGCGGACTGTTTCCGCGGTTGTTGTACCTATCTGATGTATCCGATGTCACTGAACTAAGCCCCATGCAGCTAGCATGACGCACCCCCTCTCTTCCCTGTCAATGGCTGTTGTCGGCCGCAAACATGCATTAGGCAGTCAGTTGAGTGACGAGTGAAGAGTGGGGAAAAGTCGCCACCGGATGCTGATTTGCCACCTGCCCGCGTGGCCATGTCGTCACTGGGGTAGGAAATGAAGCCGGCGGCGACGACAAGCGGAAGATACCGATCCAGAACCGATCCGGACCAGCATTGTCAATCCGCGACCTACCCTCTTTCCATCAACACAAGTCTTCTTTAGCTCTCCCTCGTCACTTATCCGGCACCTACTAGACGACTGCATCACCGATAGACTCACGACGCATTACACAAACCACAACAGACGATAACCCCACGACCGCGATGCCCCAGGAGTTACCCTTCTGGCTGTGTCATGAGGTAGGCAGCGCACGAGCCTCGCGATTCGCTGACAGACAGTGCGGCGCGCAGATGCGACCTCTGATGGTAAGTCTTTTCCCAGATCCGCTGCGTAGATGTAGCAAACGAGTTTGGCCGGTGGCTACCGCGATGTCATGTGTTCGGCGGTGATGGTCTGGGCGAATGGGGAATCCGACTTCCCCAGCCTGATCGAGTTGCTCATGGCTTCGACACCTGAGTGCGGGCCAAACAACCAGATGCCGGCGGTTGGCTGCACCGAACATCCGCTGACTTCAGGTCGATGGTGTGCCGCATTGCGCCTCGTGCAACAGTGACTTCCTCGAGATTGTAAGCTTTCCCGCTCCCTATGTTGGCTAACGGCCAGCTCGATGAAGAGGTGAACCCCGACCCCTATCACGAGCTTCCCCATCCTGGCACTCGCCCGGGTGATCATGACGACTATGAGCACCCCCTACCTCAACCGGGTCAGCGGGCCGTGGAGACGCAACCCGGCTTCTTCGGTCTGCTGCGCGAGCTCATGGGCAACATCAGCATCGGCGATGATCGACAGGATACACCTGCTTCCCGCGATGACTACGAGTACAGACCGTACAACTACCCTGGCCACCAGCAGCAACAGGCGCCGCCGCCCTACGCACCCCGTCATGACGAGCACGATCACGAGCATGAGCATCCGCAGCCACGCAATGCAAGGGGACCGAGGACGTTCCGCTTCAACATCGGCGGCGGCTCCGCAGTCATCGAGATTGGCGGCGGGCCTGCGCCCAACCCCTGGGTCGGCGGATACGATGGTGCCCCCGGTGATCCCACGCAGGGACTGGATTCGTATGTTGCTTCATAACTCCCATCTGACGACAGGTATTTCCACGGGTTTGGCGCTGGCCCGCGGCAGCGTCGCACACCGGAGAACATGGAGGGTATGGATCTCGTGAGTGCTTGCTCTCATTTGCCCAATTTCTGACTAACCCCAGCTTCAAGCACTCATGGCGCTCGTCGTTGAGGAAGGTGGCGCTCGCAACTTCCTTCCGCAGGGCGCCAATATGGGAGACTACGTGATGACTGAAGGTGTGCAGCCATTCGCTTGCAGAGCTAACCAAAAGACGGATTCAATGATGTCCTTGAACGACTTATGCAGGCTGCTGGACCACAGGGCCCGCTGCCCGCACCTGACGATGTGATTGCGTCCCTTCCGCGGTTCACGTTCGATCAGACCTCGCTGAAGGAGTGTCACTTCGATGATTGTGCCGTGTGTAAGGAGGACTTCGTTGTCGGTGACCTGGCTGTGAGGCTGCCGTGCGAGCATGTGTATCACGAGGACTGCCTCGTACCCTGGCTCAAAACGAATGGCTCGTGTCCTGTCTGGTAAGATTCACGGAGATCTTTCTTATCTAACTTCAGTCGCAAATCGCTCGTACCCGAGGAGCCAAGACCCCAGGCGTCTCGACAAAACAGTCAACAGGGTCGCGCTTCGGAGCAGACGGGTTCGGCGGAGCCGGCCCCGCAGCAACAGACACAGGGTGGTGGCACCGCCGGCCTGCTCGCTGGTGCGGCGCAGACGATGATCACGGGTGTTCTGAATCGTCTCTTCGGGCAGCAAGGCGGACCCCCACCTTCAGCCTCCAACACGGCCACACCAGCGCACTCTCCCCCTCACTCGCCACCGGCGAACGCGCAGGAGCCCGAGTCTCCGCAGAACGCTGACCGGGATGCAAGTTTGCATCGCTCTGATCACTCCGATCCCCCCGAGCCTTCCCTTCCCCACGTTCCGGACGGACCGCCTGCGTGGTACCGCAACTTCTTCGCGCCGTCTCCCGACCCGCCACGCACCCCGGACTCGCCGACAGCCCCCAGCCCGTCCAGGCAGTTCCCTGCCTCCGGCATTCCTTCCTCCAGCCAGGAGATCAGGCGCACGCCTTCTTTCCGCTCGCGCGAGCCCACGCGTACGCCGTCCCAACGCACGTCGTCCAACTCACGCCCCTCAACTCCCGGGACGTATCTCTACAACCCTAATCCCGACTCCAACGGCGTGTCATCCGGCCGTCCAAATCCCCTCTTCGCGCAGCCGTTCTTCCAGCTCCCTCCACAGAATCCGACCAGTGCGTCGGCGCCTGCGTCGTCGGGCGCGTCACCTGTTAGGGAGACGAGGGCGGAGACGCCAAGGAGTGCCAGCCCACCGCCACAGCTCGAGCAGGCTGCCCGTGACGAACAAGAGAGTTGGGCCAAGGATCGCCCATGTCAGCCAGAAGATGATCCTCCCGAGCCATTGGTTGAGGAGCTGAATGAGTACAGGGCCAGGCAGGCTCAGCGTGAACGGCAGCAGAAGGAGGAGGGCACATAGTGAGCTAACAACTTTGTGTTGAGCTGACAACGCAGTGTGGATGATCTGGACTAGACAATCGGTATGAAGTCAGAAGGTGACCTGTGCCGGAAGACAGACAGGGCGGTACGAGCAACGAGTACATGAGTTTAGCATGCATCAAGTACAACTCATCGTGGAAGCTGCAGCATCACATGAGGAACTGATAGAAAGGAGCAGAGGGCATTTTTTTCCAACCACTCCATCCCCCACTACGCCTACTGATTCTCAACCCACCATGGACTCTCATCACATCGTAACCCTGCTGACGCGAAGCCCGCAGATCGACACAACGCAGCGACGTAGCTCAGATGGAAGAGCGTTGGGCTCATAGGAGACCACCCAAAGGGCAGAAGATCGAAACTTCTCGTCGCTAAGGCTTTTTGTGTTGTCTTCGGCGGAAAGATGCAACAGGACGGTCTGTGAACCAGGTGCGAGACTCGCGGTGGCTCCTTGCTGCAGAGGGATGGTGTGAGCCACCAGTGGCTGGAAATGGCCGGAAAACGAAGCTGGCATGAAGCCCTTGTCCTTCCTTTGGCCAAAACAAACCGAAATTGTGAGGTGAGCACCACGCGAGCACGCAGAGCAGCTACGTCGACTGCTGTACAGACAGACAAGTATGCATTCTATCGCCCAGCCTTGGCCTTCTGCGCCTTCTTCTTCCGCTTGGCGCGCTCGAGCTGCGCGGCAGTCTTCTGTTTCTTCGGCTTGGCCGACTCGTCCGTCCGCGTCTCCTCCTCCTGCTCCTCAGCCTCCTCGACATCCTCAGCTGGCCGCTTCTTGCCCCTGCCGTTGCCTTCCGCCTTGTCCTCGCCCTTCACCTGAGCCTTCTTCGTCTTACCACCTCCCGCCTCGGCAGACGGCTTCTCAGCCTTGCTCGACGACTCCTCCGCCTTAACTGTATCCGCCTCAACTTCCGTGGGGAGCTCAGCGAGCGGAATGCGCTTGAAGCACGCAACGAAGAAGCCGTTCGTGTGGTCCTCGGGCGCGCAGCGGATGACCTTGTCCGCATCCTTCGCGCTGAGAGGGTCGGGGAGACCACGCCTCTCCCACTTGGGCAGGACGTTGCTCCGCTCCTCGAGGACCCAGGCGTACCTCTCCCCGTTGAAGCTGGAGGGGTGTTCCCGGGAATAGGCGAGGATGCGCGAGACGACAGATTCGTCCTCGGTCTTGTGGATCGAGCAGGTCGAGTACACAATGCGGGTGACGTTGGGGACTGGGTTGTTCGCTCGGTCAGCACATCGATGAGCATGAGAGGGGGTGCCTAGACGCGATACGTACACTTCAGAGCATGCTGGAGCATCTGCACCTGGAAGCCGGCGAGCTTGTCCAGTCTCTCCTGGTCGCCGGCTTCGTTCTCCTCCTCGCCGTCGACAAGGTAGTCGAGGCGGTTCACAATTCCACTTCCGCTGCAGCTCGGGTCAAGCAGGATGCGTCCGACGGTAGGATAGTCGTTGGGATCGACAGAGGTGAAGTCCTCGTTCTGCGCCTGCACATTGTCGCACCCCGCAATCTTGAGCATGCGCTCGAGCGTCTTGAATCGTTGCGGCGATTTCTCGAAGGCGTAGATGTTCGACGTCGACAGGGCGGACATGAGCGAGGTCTTGTTTCCCGGCGCTGAGGTGCCGTCGATGCAGTCGGGATACTCCTCCCATTGCGACTTGGGAGGAGATTGTGACTTCTTGGAGGAGGAAGAGGAAGAAGCAGGCTCAGCCATGATCACGGCCGCGGGCATACAGGACGCCTTGTCCTGGAGAATGACGCTGCCGCGCTCATACCACTGGCTTCCGAGCCACCAGTTGCTCCCACTCTCGAAGACGAGGAGGTAGTCGGGCAGATGCGGGTCCATGAAGTAGCTGTTCTTCGGGACGGGATACCTCGCCTCTGGCAGCAGATTCAACCCGACCTCGCCCTGGAGATAGTTGTGCAGGTCGTCCAGCGTCCACTTGTCCACCTCCTCGCCGTCCTCGTTGACGCTCTTCTCAATTCGCCGCGGATTGAAGCGGATGTATCGCACGGAGCTCGACAGACCCTCCTTGCCCAGTTCGCGGATTGACGACTTGCCAGCCTTGATCTGGATTCGGACCAGCTCAGCCTTCAGTCTCGTGCCGTGCTTCAAGATGGCGGCCTTGGCGTCCACCTTGTCGCTGCATTCGATTTTGCCCTTGGGAGAGAAGAGGAGATCGTGCACCATTACCTGGAGCAGGGACGAAGATGACGGCCGCGATTTCCGGGGAAACGCCTCCTTCTCCAGCTTCTGGACGGGAACGGTGGTCAGCAGCTGCTTCAGGACATCGCGGTCTGGAATTAGCTGAGGACACAGGTGGGGCAGCTTGGCAAGGTCACGACTGGTGATCTACCTACATTTGAGAGTCTCAATCAGCAGAGCGAGAATGCGGCGCGCCTCGCCTCCAGACGCCTTGATGCCCGCCGCGGCGAGGGAGCCCTTGACCGAGCCCTGGTGCGCATCGAGATGGTCCAGCGCTGAGGCCGCCGACTTGTACAAGTTCATGCTCCGTGTGCTGTGTGCTCCGAGTGCTGCGAGTGGACGTAGTAGTGGCTAGTTTCAGCCTGATGCATAATCTATATAGGAGCATACCTATGTAGCCTCGCTGTCGCAATGGCACAGCCTGGGAGGAGGATGGGCAATGTCTGACGTTAGCTTCAAGTTCGAAGAATGTTCAGCGTTGTGATGGAGATCAGTGGTAAGGTTGATAGAAAGGTTTGTCTGCAAGGTCCGGGGACCGTTCAGACAATGTAGATAATGTAGAACATCATATCGAGGAGGTAGGGAAGTGAAACTCACAAGTCGAGGAAGGTGGATGAAGTCAACAGCTGTCGCCTGCATTCCGAAATTTATTGCGGCAGAGTGCGAGTGGAGGTCAGACATGACGTGTTAAAGGGGAGGAGTACATATAAAAGGTGACACACGCACTCTCACACCTCCACCTCCACAGTGGCGACATTACCAGGAAGGGAGACGGGCCAGGGACAGGGAGGGACACGCGCTGGAACAGCGTGCCTGGCAGCTGGCAGGACCCGCTCGCTCGTCGCCCCCTGTCCGCCCGTCATTGCCGCTCTCGGTCTCGACATTGACATCGCAGAGCTCTCATCGTTTCCCACTTCACACCGATCCTGACCCGGCTGCACCACGCTCCTTAACCGACTACCCATCTCATACACAAGGACTCTGCATCTGCACACACACAGCACAGCACACTACATCGCATCTCGCACGCCGTAGGCCAGACAGACAGACACTGGACGTTGAGGGAAGGCACCTCGAGCACACCGCCATGCGGACACATCTCGGGGCAGGGGCGAGGATGTTCCTCCTCGTCCTCTCGCTCCTCGTCTGGGCGCTCCCCGTGCTGGGTGGCGATCCCGGCGTCGAGATCACAAAGTTCAAGTCTCTGCCGACCAAGTTGTTCTACTTCGAGGACTCAGAGGTGGGCGATCGTGCGGAGGGGTGGAGCTAACAACAGGTGGCGCTTATGCACGACGCACATGAGGGTATTATCTGGCGGTCGGAGAACGAGGGAAAGTCTTGGAAGCAGGCCGATGAGGTGAAAGACGTCACCTTGCTCGTCGAGCACCCCTACGATAAGGCCGTCGCCTTCGCGATCGGACGAGACACGACGCACTACGCTACTTACAACCGCGGCGAGAGCTGGCAGTCCTTCAAGTCGGAACACCCAGCTACGCTGAGCAGCAAACCACTGTCCTTCCATGCTACCAAGCCGGACTGGATCATCTTCCAGGCGCAGAAGTGCGAGAAGGGCAAGGGCCACTGGCCGTGGGGCGGGAGCAAGACGTGCTATGGCGAGTCGTATTACACGACGGACATGTTCCACTCTGAGCTCCAGCCGCTGCTGCCTTACACGACGCAGTGTATGTTTGCGCACTCGGAGAAGGAGATCGAAGCCGACGACAACCTACTGCTTTGCGTCGCTTCACCGAACATGCCGGACGAGGCGGGTCACTCCGAGAGCAGGCTGTATTCGTCTAAGAATTGGTTCGAGACCAAGACGTACGTCGATCTTGGCATTGGCAAGTACGCTAAGGGTGTCGTTGGACTCGGCATCGTGTCCAAGTTCATGGTCGTTGCTGTGCGCTCCGGTGCCGAGCTTCAGGCTCGTGAGGGCGATCCCATGCACATGTTCGTTTCGACCGATGGCATCAACTGGAACCAGGCCCAGTTCCCGCACTCAGCCTTGCCGAACCTCATCGAGAACGCGTACACGATCGTTGACTCGTCCAAGCACTCGATCATGGTCGACATTCTTCAGTCACGTCGCGCAGGCATCGGCTCGCTTTTCACATCGTCCGGCGAGGGCAAGTACTTCGTTGAGTCGCTGCAGAACACAAACCGCAATGCTCGCGGCATCGTCGATTTTGAGCCGCTGAAGGGTCTCGAGGGTGTCGGTATTGCCAACATTGTCTCGAACAAGGACGACGTCGTGGACAATCAGGCGGACAAGAAGCTTCAGTCGGTCATCACGTTTGACGACGGCTCCAACTGGCACTATATCGATGCTCCAGAGACCGATATGGAGGGAAACAAGTACCGGTGTGACTCGGACTACTGTGCTCTTCATGTTCATGGTGTCACCAAGTCGCACAACATGGGCACCGTTTTCTCGTCGACCGCGCCAGGTTTCGTCATGGCTGTCGGTTCCGTTGGCGACTATCTGCTTCCTTACGACGATTGCGACACGTTCCTCTCGACTGACGGCGGCGTGTCCTGGAAGATGATCCAGGAGGGCGCGCACAAATACGAGTTCGGCGACCAGGGCAGCATTCTCGTCATCGCCGACGACGAAGAGCCAACCGACCACGTGCACTACAGCTACGACGGTGGTAACGAGTGGATCAAGCTCGACTTGGGAATCACGATGCGTGTTGCTGTTCTCACGACAATTCCGGACTCGAAGTCGCAAAAGTTCCTCGCACTCGGCCAGATTCCGCGCAAAGAGGCGGGTAAGGATGGGCGCTACGCCAGCGTATTCCTCGACTTTGCCAACCTACAGACCCGCCAGTGCAAGGACAGCGATTTCGAGAAGTGGTACATGCGCCGCAACAACAACGATGAGTGCATCATGGGCCACAAACAGTGGTACCGCCGCCGCAAGCTCGATGCGCGTTGCTATGTTGGCAATAAGTTTGAAGACCCCGTCGGTCACGAGGACAGTTGCCCGTGCACAGAGGAGGACTACGAGTGCGACTTCAACTTTGTGCGCCAGGACAATAAGTGTGTCCCCGCCGGTCCCGAGATTGTGCCCCCCGGAACGTGTCAGAACAAAGACGACACGTACATGGGCTCCAGTGGGTACCGCCTGATCCCCGGCAACACGTGCGACCGCAACAAGGGCAAGAAGCTCGATGAGAAGGTCAAGAAGCAGTGTGGCGACGCCAAACCCGAGGACGGCAAGGTTTCTCACGTCACGCACCCGTTCGACAGCAAGATCGACCGCTACCTCTACTTCTCTGAGTCAGAGACGATCCTGCTGCACATGGCGGACGGCACAGTGTGGCAATCCCGCAATGAAGGTTACTCGTGGAGTCAGGTGCGGGAGGACCGCAAGTTCCTCGCGATCACCATGCACCCTAACGACAAGGAGCGCGCCTACCTGTTCACGACCGACCGCATCATCATCTACACGACCGACACGGGCAGGACATGGCAGCAAATGAACCTGCCGATGGACCCCAACTCGCTCGGCATTCCGGCGCTCGACTTCCACCCGACACAATCGGACTGGCTCATCTATACTGGCAGCGAGGGATGTGCGGACACGATTTCTCCCAACTGCCACGCCAAGGCGTTCTACACGACCAACAACGGCCGCGACTGGCAGGGCATCGATACGTACGTTAGGACCTGCACTTGGGCGCGTGACGAGAAGCTCAAGATTGACGAACGCTTGATCCTCTGCGAGAGCTACAAGGACAAGAGGGGATCGCAGCGGTCGCCGGACGGAAACCCGCTGGAGTTCATCGCTGGCCGGAACTATTACCGCAACAAGGAGAAGCTGTTCGACAACGTCGTGGGCTCAGCGACATTTGCTGAATACCTCGTCGTTGCAGAGCTTGAGGGAGACAGGAGCCAGCTTCGCTTGCAGGTGTCCATGGACGGCAAGCACTTCGCGGAAGCGCAGTTCCCGCCGAGCATCACCCTCGACAACCACGCGTACACGATTCTGGAGAGCAGCACCAAGGCACTCTTCGTCCACATGACGATGAGCGCGGCCAAGGGCGCCGAGTTTGGCACCATCTTCAAGTCCAACTCAAACGGAACGTACTACGGCATGTCCATCGAAAATGTGAACCGCAACGCCGCCGGCTACGTCGACTTCGAAAAGATGATCGGCCTCGACGGTATCGCAGTCGTCAACGTCGTCGCGAACCCTGAGGATGCCGAAATGAGTGGCAAGAAGAAGCTTCAGACGCGCATCACGCACAACGATGGTGGATCCTGGAAGCGCCTCATCCCGCCTGCCAAAGACTCGCTCGGCCAGGAGTATGACTGCCGCCGTACGTCGTGCTCTCTCCAATTGCACGGATACACGGAGCGACGCGATCCTAAGGCGACGTATAGCTCCCCTTCGGCCGTTGGTCTCATGCTCGGCGTAGGCAACGTCGGCGAGGAGCTCGCCGCGTACGATGACTCGGACGTTTTCCTCACCCGCGACGGCGGATTCACCTGGGAAGAGGTGCACAAGGACGCGCACATGTGGGAGTACGGCGACAGTGGAACCATCATTGTTCTCGTGAACGACGAGGAGCCGACCGACCACGTGCTGTACACCCTCGACGAGGGTCTGACATGGAACACGTACAGCTTGGGAGAGAAGCTGCGCATCGAAACCATTCAGACGGTGCCGCAGGACACCTCGCGCCGCTTCTTCCTCATCGGCCACTCCCCTAGCAGCGGAGGCAAGTCGAAATCGACGCTCGTGCACCTCGACTTCTCTGCGGTCCAGACGCGGCAGTGCGAGCTGAAGGAGGACGACCCGAACCATGACGACTTTGAGCTGTGGTCCCCCTCCGAGAACCGCCAGGAGGAGTGCCTATTCGGCCGACAGGTGCTCTACCGCCGCCGCATCCGCGACCGCGACTGCTACATCGGCGAGCAGCTGACGCAGCCGCAAAAGATTCAGAAGAACTGCACCTGCGCTCCCGAGGACTTTGAATGCGAGTTCAACTACTACCGCAACAGCGAGGGCCAGTGTGTCCTCGTTGACGGCGCACAGCCCCTCGCCAAGGATACAGAGGAGGAGCAGTGCTACGTCAACGGACCCAGTGATGGCTTCTGGTACGAGCGCACCGCGTACCGCAAGATCCCCTACAGCAGCTGCGTTGGTGGCGAGCGTCCGGACCAGGGACCGAAGCATGCCTGTCCCGGCCTCATCGGCGGCGGAGGCAAGAGCGGCATGTTCTGGGCGACGATCGCCCTCATCCCCTTCGCGGCGGCCGGACTCGCAGGATACTGGTACATGCAGAAGGGCGGACGGGCGGGCGGTATCAGGCTCGACGAGCACCGCGCGTATCGCGACAACCAGGTACTCGCTACGCTGGCCTCTGTGCCGTACTTCCTCCTCGGTCTCATCAGCGTCGCCTGGGGAGCGGTGGAGAGGAATCTCCCCTCCTGGGCTCGACGGGACGGTGGCCTCGGATTCAGGAGAGGATACGAGACGCTGCCCATCGATGAGGATGCGGAGATCCTCGGTGGTTATGAGGATGACGAAGAGGTGTAGCGTACTATAGATAGAAGCAACCAAAACGCTATGCATATGACTCCACAGTCTCAAGCGGCAATGAATGCAATGTGAGGGGTGTTCAGAGTGGTGGGTGCGTGCCAAAAGTGTGTTTGGAGAGCTTTCACTGCTTACGACGGAACTTGACCACATCATGTCGAACGTCAACGCTACGCTCTAGGCGCAAAAAGTGCACTCGTTTGCCTTGCTGAGGAGTCAGTCCGAACACTGCACAAACACCCAGAGATAAACAAAACCATGCATGCTCGTATGGCACATTCAAGTGACCTCTTCACTTTTACCGTCACTGTCATCTGATTCGGCTTCATCGTCACTGTCGTACGATTCGGTGGCATACTTGAAGCATCGAATTACTTCATCCAAATTGTGCTGACGAGGATCGTTGAGGTGACCGCCGGCGCCTTCTCCCATCGCCCACCCAACAACCCAAGCGCGTGCGTACTTGGGGGGAAGAAGTTTCCAGACGTCGTTGCTGATACTGCCCGGATCGGCGGGGCAGACTCTGGGCGGGCTAGTGTTCGTACGCTGTTCAAAACTGCCTTTGCACATCTTCTCCAGGGCAGCTGCACAAATGTTGGGGTTCTCCAAGACCGCGCCCATGAAGAAGATGGGAATGCGGCGCACAGAGTCATAGGGAAGCAAGTCGTAGAGTGACATCTCGAGGAGGCGGATCAAGATGGGACAGTCGTACTTCTTGAGGAAGTTCAGAACGTTCATATGGCGTTGGCAGTCCTCGAGGTCGGCAAGATTGTCCTTGGAGGGACCAAAGAAATGACTCAGGAAGTATTCCCCGTAAACAGCCAGGCGCATAAAGACATCAAGTACAGCGGCAGATTCGATGGTTTGGTCGGTGAACTCCAATGTTTTCTCACTTGACCCTGCGCACTCTGCAGCGTCGGCGAAAACCTTGCTGACAGTTAGCTTGGGAGTTGAGGAAGCCCACCTAGCCATGAAGAGGCTGCGCGAAGAGATGCGGAAACGGACTCTGTCCGCGGATATGAGGATGAAGTCGCCAAAGTTCCACAAGTGGTGGTCCCTCACGTTGGAGATGTCGGACATTGTTGGTCTTGACGGGTGGTTGAATTCCAGAGGGGACAAACGGTGACATCTGGGGTAGCGCGAACCTCTAAATATGAGCCAAACGACGTGTTTGACTCTACGCCCCCTTGGATCGGCCGGGCGGGTCAACACACGATGGCTGCCGTGCAGGGTTCACTATGTCGAGCTCTGCAAGTATGGTGCACGCACTCTCGCTCAGGTTCTATTGGACGTCGTCTGTTATTCTTTCGAATTATGATGTGCTTGTAAGTGAATGGTTACGGACCGCCAGTTCAACTGGGTCGCCACTTTGAAGTTAACAGATGGCAACAGTGAGAACTCCCGCATGTGCCTCACAATCTCCAGACCCAAGCCAGCAGACCTGGTTCCTCCGTAAGCAACGGCTAAGCACCGGTGTCCAGAAAGACTTGCATCAATACAGGCACTAACTGCTTGTGGACTGATTGCTGGGCTACGTCTTGCTCAGTCGATTGACGAAATGCAGCACAACGCCTCCCAAGGTGTGCGCCCTGTCGGTGTTGTGATCTTGCACACCTTTGCCCTCGGCCCAGGCAACCACCCACGCCCTTGCATAGTGAGGGGGGAGATGCTCCCAAAGCTCGTCACTGACCAGGCCGGGATCAGCGCCACAGAGCTCATGAACCTTGCTGTGGAGGCGTTTCTCGATGTCATCAGTGCAAAAGCGCTGGAGCGCGGCAGCGCACAAACCGGGGTTGTCCAACGCTGCACCCAGCACAAATACGGTTCGACTCGGCATACCGCCTTGAACGAGGTACTCATGTGCGCACAGCTCGAACAGCCGCAGAGCGAGGGTGCACTTGTACTTCTTCAGAAAGTTGAGGAGATGCAAATAGCGATCGCAGGGTCCCATGTCGACGGGATCGTGATGGGACAGCCGGATCAGATTGCCGTTCACGACGAGTTCGAGGAAGCGGTCAAGAACTGCTGCGCTCTCTAATTGGGGGTCTGCGAAGTCCCACTCCAACAAGTCCCATCCGACGGACTGCCCTGCTGTGGCAAGCACCTCACTGCCTGTCAGCGTTGAATGACGTGCGACATACCTAGCGACGAAGAGTGCACGGGACGGAACTCGGAAGCGAACCCCGTCAGCCGAAACGAGGCTGAAGTCTCCTTCAGTCCATTTGGCGCTGTCAATGACCTCCTTCGGACCGGAGTGTGGTTCAGTCATGAGCGGTGACATGAAGTTTGAGGAGGTTGTGAAGGAGACGTTGATGAGTACCATGACGCTCTGTATGCGCAGACTTCATGCTCCACTCTTGCCTGAGTCCACCAAGAGACCATCGGTCAACCAGGGTCTAACATCGTGACGGATCTGAATCTCATCACAAATGCGTCTGGCAGCGCCCGTCTCATCGTCTCTCCAATGGTACATGCTCCGATGATTCTTCTTGGCCCGTACGTAAGACTAAAACAAATTGTGGCGCAAACACATCCTACTTTCCTGCAGAGTCGCGCACCTCCGTCTCCTTTACAGCCTTCCTAAACTCAGGAATGACCCTAGACAGCTCATGCTGCCTCGAGTGGCGGTGCTCAACCGCGCCCATCCCCTGCGCCCACGCCTTACTCCACGCCCAGGCATACGCAGCCGGTAAGAGATCCCACAGCGAGCGCTCGACCGAGCCAGGATCCGCGGCGCAGATCCAGTATCGCATAGCAGAGTGCCGGTTCAGTCTCCAGTCGGCGTCGACGGTGCAGGCGTGCTGGAGCGCAGCGGAGCAGAGATCAACTTCTTCAGCCACAGCACCAACGATGAAGGCAGTGTGCGCCGAAAGCTCCTTGCTCTTCACGTGCTCGGTGGCACACATGCGTAGCTGGCGGAAGAGACTCCAGCATTCGTACTTCTGCAGGAAGCGAACGAGGGCGAGCAGCTCGCGGGTGAGTTCGACTTCGGCCGTGGTCGGGTGCTCTGAGACACAGGTGGGGGACAACTCAGAGTTGAACGCCAGGTCCAGGAAACGGTCCAGAGTCCCTGCGCTTTCGAGCTCGGGATCGTAGAATTCGAGCGTCTTGATGCCACCGAGCTCGATCACTTCCGAGAACACCTCACTGAGGTCAGCGTTGCAACCGGAGGACTTGCCTGGCCGTGAAGAGAGCGCGGGAGGGGACGCGAAAGCTGACGCGGTCGGCTGAAATCAAGGTGATGTCTCCCAGAATCCACTTCTCGCTCTCCTTGATGTGAGACGGTGATTCTTCGCTCATGGCGAGTAATGCAAGGATGAGATGAGGGCTGGAACGAGGGAGTTCTTGACCCTGGTTATGCCCTGTGAGAGAGTGGGTGGGAAGACTCCGCATATGAGATAGATCATAGCAACACAGATGACGACATAGGTGTGTAGTGAGCGTCTTGCGGGCGTAGATTACAGTAAACGGAGGACTCAGCAGGTGTGCGTCAATTTGAGTGGATTACGAGATTTTCTGCGCCACTCATGTGGATCTTGTCCCCACCGAGATCGAATCGGAAATATCTGCAGATGATCCCGTCTTCCAGAGCTCTGTTATGCTGCCAGGAGAGATGTGCAGCTCCACCATATCTGATTGGATACTGTGTTCGTGGGAAGAGGAGAGCCGAGGGACCCAGTTGTGAGTAGTGATCCTACGGCCCTACTCCATACGGGCGATGTACCGCGTGGAGAGGATATAAAAGTTCACTGTGCTGGTCGTCTCGTTCTCACCAACCCACCGTCTCCTACCATGTCTGAAGTTGAGACTACCACTCCCATTTCTGACAGCGACAAGTGAACTGAGGGTGACTTCACAATCATCTCATCCAACGGTGTCCGTTTCAAGGCGCCTTCTAGGACATTGCTCTACTACAGGTGAGGGCAGAACGTTATGCCACAAAGTGCTCACACCTTAGTGATGTGCTCGCCAATGCCTCAGAGCTGTCCGGGAACAGTGACAAGGTTTTGCAGTTCTCCGATCCAGACCTCGAGCAGAGCCTGACAGTGGATTTGTTCCTGGAGCTCGCTGTTAACGCCAAGCTCACCATTCCGGCTGACGACAGCAGCCATGAGCTCGCCAAGAGCTTCTCGCTTTTGTTGGCTTTTTGCAGAAGTATGACTGTAAACCTCTGTGGCGCCAACTCCACCTCGCTTGCGCTGAGCAGCTATCGAAGGGAAAACTGCGCCCTCAGGTTGCTTTTGTCGTTGGCAGCGCAGCCCGTGACATCGACATGTGCGCGATCGCCCTCGACAAGATGTGCGAGAACAAAAGACTGCCCCGCAAGACAGTCGGTGGTCTACGTCATCTATGTGACGCGGACCCTGGGACCTTCTCCCTCGAGCTTTGGAATCTCATCAGTCACGAGCACGCCTGGGCGTATTGCGTTGCTGCGGACCACTGTGATGAAGGCATGCGCCCACACTGCCTCGGGTCTCATTTCAAGGCAACCATTAGCCGCCTACCCAGGTCCTGACTGCGGCCAGTCTGCGCTGCCCTTGTTGACATTCTAGCTCTGTTTTTAAGCCTGAAGCCCCCTGGATTGATTTAGTATTACATGGCAGTTCCCGATGTCCAAAAAGCTATGCATATGACTTGTTTTTCTCTAGACTGCTACTTCTACTGGCCCTTGGCAAGCTCGGCAAGCCTGCTCTTGAGCGGTCCGGCATCGTTGATCCAGTCCTGATGCCTCTTGACAAGCTCCGTGATGATGTACTCCTCAATCTCGGGCTCGAACTCGTCAGGCCCCGGGACACGGCCCTTAGCCAGCTTGTCCAGGTACAGCCACGTCTCGCGGAACTCCTCCTTCTCCGGCTGCTCCCCTCCGTCAGTCAACGCGAGCGAGGACAGAGCGGCGGACGAAGGGTGCGTGCTGCGCAGTGGCGGGGTCTCGGCGCCCATGATTGCGGGGTTGCCGAGCGACTTGGCACGGGATACTCGCTCGATGAAGACGACCTCGTGCTTGCGCTTGTGCAGTTCATTACCGATCACGAGTTGGTGTCCGTAGCGAGAGAGCGCAGCCTTGGCCTTCGGCACAAGGAGATTCTGGTCCGTCTCGAGCTGGTCGTTAGCTGTTAAGTCTCTGCGTAACTAACCTTGAACGAAACAGTGTAGCCTTCGGGCGTCCACTCCTGCACCAGTGGCTTGAGCACCTTCGGCACCTGGTCCATTTCAAGCGAGAGCGAGCCCTTCTTGCTCTGGATCTTGTGCTCGGCCTGAGGTAAGCTACAATGTCTGAAACATTAAAGGGAAGACTCACCACGCGGTCCTCGGGAAGGAAGAAGTCTGAGACGGCCGCTGCGAGGTAGAACATACCACGGCGCTGAAGGGGCTGCATCTCCTGTCCAACGTTGCGTAGGAGCCAGAGGTAGTCGTTGACTGTCTGGAACTCGATACCCAGCAGGGATCCCTCTTCGTGCGCCTTGTTGTACGCCTTGAGGACAGGGAGAAGCTTCAGCGCCTGCTCGCTCTGGACACGGATCTCGGATCCATCAGCGGCGTTCGGCGACGACGACGGCGCAATCTCGAGAAGGTCCAGGAACGGGTTCAGCGAGTGGGAGTAGTGTCGCGAGAACGGGCGGAGGGAGTGCGTTCGGTGGAGGAAGATGACGGCGTATCCGTTCTTCAGGAAGTATTCAGCCGAGGTCGCACCACGCGTTCCGGCACTGAAGTTGTCGAGGAAGCGCACAGTGTTGCTCTCGAGCGGGACGGTCGTGCCGCCGGACTGGGGTTAGCATTGTGCGGCATGTCACTGCTCGTGCTTGAGCTGGCCTGGAGTGGAGCTGCGTACAGAGCTTTCACGCTGCCTGCAAAGAGCAAGCCGGCCGATCTCGCTTGTCGTTCACCACGATGACATTGCGCCCTCTTTTTCGGTCGATGGCTCTAACGTTGCGCAGCAGCTGAGCTGCGCCCCTCCACCTCCTGTCCCGACTGCCAGCGACATCATCACCGGCTAGTTTACCACCGGCGGAGCTCCCCGCTTGCGAGGAAAGAGGTACTCACAGTAACAACAACGAGCTTCTTATCGGGAACAGCTGCCCACTTATGGATGAAGTCATGCATCCGCTTCGTCTTCTCTTCGAGCCCGGCGGGCGGGGTCTGCGTGTTGAAGTAGTCGTCAGTCGTGAACTCGCGCCCGGCAAGAGTGCCCGAGGTCGGGGCGTCGGCTTCGGACATGACGCCGCGTGATCAAGATTTGCGGGTAAGAAAGAATGCAAGAGTTGTCGACCTGAGGCGGGCCCGATCAGTCAGCAGCGGAGATGACGGAGGACGAGTGACGGTTGAGTCGAAATGCGGGCAACGCCGAACAGGTGGGCGGCGAGTTTTGGATCGATCGCGGTCGTCCCAGCCACTTGACGAGCTATATAGAGAGCGCGAGGCGAGACGGAGGGGTGGAATGATACGACTATTGCAATCGGCTTTGACAAGGATGTGACGATATCGAGCGATGAGCGACCGGCCGGGCGGTGGGGATGGACGCCGGATGCGAGGGATGTTCCGAGGATATCCCGGCCACCTGGACCAAGATCTGGCTCCGTTCCTCGTCCCCATCGGCTCAGTTGACAGCTGACAATCATTGCCGCGCGCGGGAGGTGAGCCCTGGGATTCTTCTCACCGTCCACAGCCGCCGAAGAGCGATAAGCAGCAAGAGAACGTGGAGGTCGTCTGACATGCATGCGACAGCGAAGCAGGTATGCATCACAGACAGCAAGAGTAAGATCTCCTTGCCTCAGGGCGCAGGCCAGGTTCGGAATCGCGGGCTCTGGCTTGGCTGGCTATGACGACGCTAATGGCCCCTCAACGCCCATCAACCTATCCGAGGAAGGGCGTACCTCACCGATCCCATATCAGCTTCCACCCCAGCCTTCCCTCCCGACCTTTGTTTCTTCGTCGCCTCCCCCTTCCTTCTTCACTTCACTATATTGCTTCTCTACTCATACACTTTCGCCTTCCTCTGCCCGCAGCATTTCTTGACTTTCTTTCTCCCTCTTCTTGCGCCCGTCACTTCGCCTCACATTGGAGACGCACGTTCGCCTCTCGCCAAAACAAGAGACCTCGAAACAATCGATCTTCCCCGCATCCCAACATCTCACACCGAACCCTCCCCGAGCCTAGCGATTTCACCGACCCGACAGCAAGCAGCAGCCCGATGCCGCTCCTCACTCTCCTTGGCCAGTGCGCCGCAATGACGGCCGCGTCCATGGCCGTAGGATCCATTCCGCTCGTCTTCAAGGACAGCATGTCTCGTGAGTCGCAGCTGCCTCAGGGGTATAGCTCTTCGTTTGGGTATGCTGGTGTCGACACCAGACGCTGGCACGATCATCATTGTACGGCGCGATGTGGGCGACGTGCGCGGCGACACTGGTGGCGACGGACGGACCAGAACTAGCGAGATAACAGTGTGACTGGCGAGCCGAGGTACCGCTGAGGTCCTCTCCGTGCTGATTCACTCAATGGCTGAATCACTTGCTTCACTCGCGGCGTGATTCGCCAAGTCTCGGGCGTCGTCGAACGAGATTGCGATCGAGATCGAGATCGGAGCCGTTCTCGTCGTTCCACGTCGCTTCTCGGCGACCGGCCGAGTGCGAACAATATGGCGTTCGATACTCGGTGTCGATCAGAGTGGAGGCGGCGATCATCATGCCCTGTGCCTCCGTCCAGTCGAATAACGCGATGTGCCAGCGTCGCACCAGATCACATTCGTACCCTTATCTCCTCCTCTGAGCTTCCACGCCAGCGGTATCAGCTAACATGCAGCGAAAGCGCTCTCGGGCATCTCCATTCTGGGCACTGGTCTGCTCATCGGTGCCGCGCTTACGATCATCATCCCCGAAGGTGTCGTGACGATGATGGCAGCAGACCCGCACTCAATGCACACGATCGGCATCTTCCTCCTCGCCGGCTTTGCGCTCATGCTCCTCGTCGAGACCTTCACGCCGCACCCGCCGCACCTCCACAGCCACGGTGAGAGCCACCCCATGCTGCCGAAGGACTCGTCTGAGCCGTCGTCCCCGGACCCAACGAGCGGACTCAGCGCGACGCTCGGACTCGTGATTCACGGCGCGGCGGACGGAATCGCCCTCGGAGCGAGCAGTCTGACTGGCACTGCGGAGCTGGGGCTCATCGTCTTCCTGGCCGTGCTTATCCACAAAGGGCCCGCCGCGCTCGGTCTCACCACGACTCTGCTGGGCCTGCACCTGAACCACACGCAGATTAAGAATCGCCTGCTCGTCTTCTCGCTCTCGGCTCCGCTCGGCGCTATCCTGACCTACGCCCTGGTCAGTATGTTTGGGGCGAACAACGGCGCAGCGGCGGACGGGAAGTACGGCCTGAGCTGGTGGACGGGTGCCGTGCTCCTCTTCTCAGGCGGCAGCTTCCTGTACGTCGCGACCGTGATCCAGCCTCTGAACAAGAGCGACTGCCACACCGAGCGCGACGAGATCTCGCGCCCCATCTCCCGCGCCTTCTTGCTTGTGACGGGCATGCTGATCCCGCTGGGACTCGCGCTGCTCGTCGGCGACCACGACCACTAGACTGTATTAGAACTGCATGTACAACTATGCCACTAGCTATTGGGGGAGCAGCCACCGCCCATCCACTAAGCGCGAGACGGTGCCCTCTGCTGCTGCGCGCTCGAGCACGACGCGCAGCTCGTCCGCCGTCAGCGTGTATGTCCGCTGCAGCGCCAGCGTGCGCTGCAAGCTCTCGAGCGCCTGTGGACCGAGGCTCGCGAGGATGTTCTGGATGCTCGGCCAGAAGGCCGCACCGCGCTCAAGGATCTCGTCCTCGTTCTGGTTCGTCTGCGCAAAGCCCGCGACTGATGTCAGCTCTAGCATGGTCAAAGGTAGGCCTACCTTGTGGGCGCTCCTGTTGCATGGCGGAGCCCGATCCGTCCTCATACTCGACCGTCTCCCAGACATCGCCAGCCTCGCGCAGCAGGCCGTAGCCTTCCCACACGCCGAGGGCGGAGAGGACGACAGGTTCATCGACCCCGAGACGCTCGGCAAGGTCAGCCGGCGCCCAGCGGTCCTGCGTCTCGAACAGCTCCGCGACACACGCCTGCAGCGGCGTGACCTCGGCCTCGACTACGCGGTCTGCCATCTCCAGCTTCAGCGTTACCTTGCCCAGCTCCTGGGCCCAGCGCAGGTGCTTGTCGGGCTTGAACTTGCTGAACGCGGCGCCGTACTGCTCCTCGACCTCCTTCAGCTTTGGCGTCAGGTGCAGCGACGACTGCTCGACCTCGGGCCAGAACATGCGAGAGATTATCAGCGGCTCCACAATCGACGTGATATCCTGCTGGATGTGGTCGTTGATGCGTTTCGAGTCCGCCATATCCTTCAACATGACATCGCAGACGTGTAGTGCATCCTCGCCGAAGCGAACCTTCAACAACTCGATCGTGCGGACCTGGGAGTCAGCTAACCGGGGCCAAGAGGAAGCTCACCTCCTTCACGGCATCGTAGTCGTCAATGTCCAGCAGTCGTCCGGCAAGGTAGGACTGCAATTCTTTGACAATGGCATCGTGCGAGTCGTAAATCGACACCAGCGTCCCCACGATGTCGACAGTTTTCCCGGTCCTAAACTCTACGTGTCAGCTCACGCATCGGGCCGAAAGCTTACCAGGTGCTGCGTCGACCGGTTCCGGCTCCCACTTAGGGTCCCAGAACTTCTCTACCGTATTGTCATTTGTAAACGCTAGCGGTTCGACGGACGCCGGGTCGTTCTCATCCTGCAGCTCTTCTCCTTCGACGAGCGCGGCAACGATTTGCGGTATCGTGTCGGGCCGATCTCGCAGATGGCGCCTGATAGGCTCAGCCACCTTATGCAGCAGCACGCCCAACGGGTCCAGGATGCGCAGGCAGCGGATCGTGCTGATGTACTGCGTGATCACGTCCTTCGTCTCTGCTCCGGGATGAAGGAGTCGCTTGAGGTTTCTGTTGTTGTCAGTTCGAGATAGATTTTGTTCGACTTACGCTGCTCGCAGCTTCTCCACCAACTGGCTCCTTTGATCAACCTTGACGAGACAATCCTGAGGGGTCAACGTCGTACAGATCCCAGACCCACCCTCAGGTCTTCCAGTGCAGCCATCGAGTCAGGGAAGTCGACTATGATGTCGAACAGCTCGTCCGTTCTGGACTGTTAGCTAGACACGGAACCGCAGCTAGCCTTGCACACGCCTCACCGGATATCGAAGAACGCCTTGCAGAGATAGTAATCAAAGCGAGAATAGACTGGTCGCAGCATTGCCTGCGGGTTCTCGTAGTCTGACAAGTCAGCCTTCTCCACTAACGCGCACTCACTCTCAAAAACACTTGACATCCACGCCACGACAGAATCTGAAACTGTCCTCCTCGCGGTCTGAAGTCGTCTCTCCTCCCATCCGAGCGCTGCCGCTTCCTGCGCAATCTTCTCGATTTCGTCGTACGCCACGCGCATGAGCGAAGTCGCGAAGCGGGGTAACACGTTCAAGCGATGCAGGTGTGGTGATGGGGCCGGAACACGCCGCCGTTCCTGCAGCTGGTACTCGTCACCAGGGGTGATCGACAGAGCTGCGAGCGACTGGGCGAGGAAGTCAAGAAGGTATGCAGGGAAGGTGGCCGGAAGACTCGCGTACAGCAGGTGCTGGAAGAAGGCTGTGAACATGCTCACGAAGCGGCCACTGCAGAGTTAGCTCTTTCTCCATTGTCGACTCACTCTTCCAGCTGTCGCAGTGGGGAGCCCCAAGCCCGCTGCCAGGTTGCGATTCGGTCAAGCATGCTCGCCATGACGGTTTGGACCTGCGAATGATCCTCGGCAGCTTCTGCTTGCTGAGCATCAGCAAGTGCTGACGGGGTTCAAGCTTACCTGGAGAGCTGACAGGTACGTGTCGAGGTCATTCTTCACCAGGTAGAAGCGATTCTGGACGCTGTCCGTAAAGTCCTGGTACAGCTCGGTAAGCTTGCCCTCGGTCTTCAGGAGCGAGAAAGCAGCGGTAACACTGGGGGTCACACCTGAAATCAGTGAGTTACACTTCAAATGCTAGTCTGAGAGGTTGTGGGTTCGGGGGAAGACGCACTCTGCTTTCGGCTCGTCGCAATGTCACGAGGGAAGACATGCGCTCGAGCGATTTGGATAGCCTGCAGTCAGTCACACGCTGTTCCAAAGGTGCTCACTTTCAGAATTTCAGCTTGATGAGAGCCCTGCGCTGATGTGCTGGGAACGTCCCATGCTGCCAGTGCCGACGCGAGCGCCATGTCGCTCGGTGTGTTGCTGAGGACGTCCGGTTGCATCACTTTGTTTTGGCTGCGACTGGCGCTGGTGGAGGGAGGTGTCGTTAAGGTGCCACTGCATCGTGGGAGACTTTAGTCGCGTGGGCCGGATCACGTGCACCGGCGGAAACGGCAGTCCGCTGAGGTCCTTCAAAGCTGCAAAGCTTCAAGGGATCGACATCCGGCATGCAAAGGTGAGACAAGGATAGGGGCGAGATTGCCTGCTGCGCAACGCTAGTCCGCTCTCGCTGTGAGGGGACATCGCGGTCGCGTGCATACCGGGCGCCGTAAGGGCGAGCGCGAGCGCTTGAGCGAGGCGACGCCGTAGGGAGGGCGGGGACAGGCCCCAGCGCCACGCCGTCACGGCATCGCTATTGTCTACCGGAACAGTGGGACTGACGGCTGGCGGTTCTGTGCATTGCAGAGCCGGCGAAGCGCAGGCGCCTGCGATCGCATGCGAGGCATGCGGGTGGTCTGCGAATCGGTGGGAGTCAGGGAGAGTGAGAGTTATGGCGGTGACCACCGGTGCCACAGCCAACCACATGCCAGGCTGCCGCCAAGGGTGGGTGATTGTGAGACCAGTCCGTATCCTGTAAACATGATGACGATGCCAATGCACCGCCGAGTCGCGTCCGGGCGAGCAGGCGCAACCAGTGATTCACATCTTGGCAGCAGCGACTTTTCCGCTGGTGCACTTGGCAGGCGCGACAGGGTTGAACTGATGTCGCGCGTAAGACGTCTGGTCTAGGTACCAGCGTAGATGGGGTTCATTGGGCAGCCGGAGTCCCGATGGCCTCGCAGCAGTCAGTGGACGATATGCTGAGAGGTTGCTGGAGCAATGGAGTGACCAGAAAAACCCTTTTGTCTGGCCCCGTTCTAAACCCCTGTGGGCCCTGCGGCCCTTGGGGAAGCGTGTCGATAGCGTGGTATTACTAGTCGGTGCCCTTGTGCCGCCGGTTCATACAGGGTTTCCCCCAACCCTGGTCACAGACGGCTTGCTTTGCCTTGCCGTTGGTCCGCACCTCCGTCTGCGTCTTTGATCTCGGAGGGAGGGTGCCGGTCAGGAAGAGGGGAACCAACGAGCCTGCGGGTTGGGAGTGCGTAAAGTGACCTGCTGCGTTCCAGTCCACGCCCCATTTATCTGATGTCCTCAATGTCCTGTGGTGGCAGCGCATATCTTCGCCCGCATGGCGAGTCAGAGGACGCAGAAACGAGGCTAAGAGCAAGCTAGAGACGAAAGGCGAGGGTTGCGCTGCGCGCATGGGCATGTTTGGTCCAGTTGTGGGTCAGAGTGGGTACCTCGATAGCTCGATACCCATTCTCCGTGAGATCTGGGAACATGCAGCACGAAGGCTGGCAGAATGAATGGTGGAGAGCGAGCATAACGCGTCATGCGTCAGCCAGCTGTAGATAGCTGGTGTGTGCGGCCCAGGCGTAGCATGATTGCTTAGGTGATGGATGACTGGACGAGGTTGGCTGGGCAGCAGTGTTTGTCCGCAGCAAAACATGCTTGGGTGGTGATCGCGTTCCTGACAAACACATGCCAAGCGTATTCTCAAGCACAGGCCAAGCGCTCCGCCGAACTCTATGCAGGCCCATCGAGCCACGTCGCAGCAAGCGTTCTCAGGGTTCACAGCAAAAGACCCTGGCTCGCAGACAACAGCAAGGAGGAAAAAAATTCAAAGGCACATTAGGCTGCGGCATTAGCGGGAGCAGAAGGTGCCCCGTGGGTTGCTTACTCCGGTTTTCGAATGATTAGTCCGAGCATCGTGCTCCGTAGGCACCCTTGGCCATAGTGACCCTTGGTTGCGTCTCACGCGTCTCGCTCCAGCGCTCAGTGTGCTAAATGAGCCCTTCACCCTTGGACCGTGTGCCCTGCACTCGTGGCCTTGAGCCTGCCCGGCGCCTGGCAGCTGGCAGCCTGCGCTGTGCACTCGTCGTTCGTTGGCTCGTTCACGCGGCCTCTTCCCCTCGGCCCCTGCCCTGGCCCTCCGGCGTCCCCCCAGTGTGCCCTCTGTGCCCTCCTCTCGCTCTGCGCCCTGAACGTCCCTTTAGCCTGCACCGCACTGGCCTTCCCCCTCACCACTGGATGCACACAGCACTGCATCCACCCTCCGTCGACCACGACCAAGAACCTCGAATCCACCGTACACACCGCACCACCGCCCGCCAACGTCCCTCGCTCCATCGTCTCTTCTCCTCATCGCTCCATCTCTCTCATCCTCTATCCTACCTCTCCAACCTATTCTCCTCCCCTCCTCCCTCCCCTCCTCTCCGCCATCCCCACTACCCCGACCTCTTCTCTCTTGCATCCACTTTCACGACTCTTGCACGCTCAACTTTTCCCACACCACCCTTTTACTTCCGACAAAACGCCAAACATCCCGGTCGACACACTTGTTCTCGACAAGTCACCTCTCGAACGCACTATCCTTTATACAGCATACCGTGTATAGAGTAACGAGCATCACCCACCCATACTCTCGTAAAGTTCTGCTGTAACACGGCAAAGCGTCGACAGAGCCCCACGAGGCTACCCGCACTCTAGGTAAGTGTTTCCTCAATCGACGTAACATCGACACCCAATATCCGGCACTCTGCGGCGCTGGGGAATGCGAAGACAACGGACGACAAGCGGCAGACCTCGCGTGAGGTCATCGTCTCCTGTTTTCCTCACGTGCACATTGCAACAAACATGGTGACGGATATGCTGTGTTTATGCGCCCAACTACAATGGCTGGAGGTGCATCGCTCTCGCCGTTATATTCCCTGCCTCCCCTACTTCAACCCTCCGATCCTACATTCGACTATTGTCGCACTGCCGGACGGGCGCTGACCTTTCCAGCATCATGTCGTATCAGGACGGCCAAAAGCCGTCCGGTTACTCGCCAACATCGGAGGCGACTGACCCATTCAACCCGCCTCAGCTCGGTTATGGCCATCAGGAGGGTGGTGTCCCGCACCCCTCGACTGGAGGCGGCCAGTACCAGCCGTACTATGACACCGAGTCGGACATAGGAGCCCGGTATGAGGGCGGTGGCATGGGCCGTGAGACTTGGGCCTCGGAAAGCGCCTGGAGTGGCAATGGTGAGTTCGCGTGCTCCACCTTCCTCCGACTTTGGGGGCTGTGCGTTTTTCGCTGACGACCGCGACAGATGCACCCAACTACCCGGCATCTGATGCTTCTCATCAGCAGGGCTACCCCTCGCGCGCGTCGACTCCCACTTACACCGAGTCCAAGGAGGGCCACCGCGGCCGCGAGCCCTACCCCTCTTGGACCCAGGAAGCCAACATCCCGCTCTCCAAGGAAGAGATCGAGGATGTGCTGATCGATCTCGCCAACAAGTTCGGTTTCCAGAAGGACTCGTGCCGCAACATTTACGACTTCCTGATGATTCAGCTCGACTCGCGTGCGTCGCGCATGTCGCCGAATCAGGCGCTCCTGACGCTGCACGCCGATTACATCGGTGGAGAGCACGCAAACTACCGCAAGTGGTACTTTGCCGCCCAGCTTGACCTCGATGACGCGATCGGCGCTGTGAACAACCCCGGTCTTTCGCGCGTTCGTTCTGTTGCTCGACGTGGCAAGGGCCCAGCCCCGGCCACTGCTCGCGAGAAGTCGCTGGATTCTGCCATGAGCCGTTGGCGCACTGCCATGAACAACATGAGCCAGTATGACCGTCTGCGTCAGGTCGCCCTCTACCTCCTCTGTTGGGGTGAGGCTGCGCAGGTCCGTTTCATGCCGGAGTGTCTCTGCTTCATCTTCAAGTGTGCCGATGACTACTACCGCTCGCCCGAGTGCCAGAACCGTATGGAGGCTGTTCCCGAGGGTCTGTACCTCCGCGCTGTTGTTAAGCCCCTCTACAAGTTCCTGCGTGATCAGGGTTATGAGGTTGTCGACGGCAAGTTCCTCCGTCGTGAGCGCGACCACGACAAGATTATCGGTTACGATGACGTGAACCAGCTCTTCTGGTACCCGGAAGGCATTGCTCGCATCGTTCTGAATGACAAGAAGCGTCTTGTCGATCTTCCTCCGGCTCAGCGTTTCATGAAGTTTGACCGTATCGACTGGAACCAGGTCTTCTTCAAGACGTACCTTGAGAAGCGTTCGTTCTTCCATCTCCTGGTCAACTTCAACCGTATCTGGGTTCTTCACATCTCGATCTTCTGGTTCTACACTGCTTACAACGCTCCCCGCATCTACTCGCCCGCCGACACTGGAAAGCCGACTCGCGCTATGGCCTGGTCTATGCCTGCCCTCGCTGGCGCCGTGGCTACGATCATCATGATTGGTGCCACCCTTGCCGAGTTCAGCTACATTCCGACGTCTTGGAACAACACCTCTCACCTGGCCGGACGACTCGTCTTCCTTGGTATCGTCCTCTTCCTGACTCTTGCGCCGTCAATCTTCATCGCGTTCTTCAACCAGACCAGCGGTCTGTCGGAGATCTTCTCGTACATCCAGTTCGCGATCTCGGTTGTCGTCGTCATTGTCTTCTCGGTCGTACCTTCTGGACGTATGTTCGGCGACCGTGTCGCTGGACGCAGCCGCAAGTACCTGGCCAACCAGACCTTCACGGCGTCTTACCCGGCTTTGTCGCCTTCGGCTCGCGCGACCTCGATCCTGTTATGGGTCCTGATCTTCGGCTGCAAGCTGACGGAGTCTTACTTCTTCTTGACGCTTTCGTTCCGTGACCCCATCGGTGTCATGACCGGAATGGTTATCCAGCAGTGCAACGACAAGTACTTCGGCCACAACCTCTGCAAGAACCAGGCCAAGTTCACTCTTGCTGTCATGTTCGTGATGGACCTGATCCTGTTCTTCCTCGACACCTTCCTGTGGTACGTCATCTGGAACACGGTCTTCTCGATTGTCCGCTCCTTCGCCATCGGTATGAGCATCTGGACTCCTTGGCGTGACATCTTCTCCCGTCTGCCCAAGCGCATCTACGCCAAGATCCTCGCCACTGCCGACATGGAGGTCAAGTACAAGCCCAAGGTCCTTGTCTCCCAGGTTTGGAACGCTGTCATCATCTCCATGTACCGCGAGCACCTGCTGTCGATCGACCACGTTCAGCGCCTGCTCTACCACCAGGTTGCTTCCGACCAGCCCGGAAAGCGTACGCTCCGCGCCCCTGCGTTCTTCATCTCTCAGGGCGACTCCAAGTCAAAGGTCGAGTTCTTCCCCAAGGGCTCTGAGGCTGAGCGTCGAATCTCTTTCTTCTCGCAGTCGCTCACGACTACCCTGCCTGAGCCTTTGCCCGTCGAGTCGATGCCCACGTTCACTGTTCTCGTTCCTCATTACTCCGAAAAGATCCTCCTTTCACTCCGTGAAATCATTCGTGAGGAGGACCAGAACACCCGTGTTACGCTCCTCGAGTACCTGAAGCAGCTCCACCCCATCGAGTGGGACAACTTCGTGAAGGACACCAAGATTCTCGCCGAGGAGTCGCAGATGTACAACCCCTCGAACCCCTTCGCCTCCGACGAGAAGGAGGAGACCAAGCGTGCCGACGACATCCCCTTCTACACTGTCGGTTTCAAGTCTGCCGCCCCCGAGTATACTCTGCGTACTCGTATCTGGGCTTCGCTTCGTGCGCAGACTCTTTACCGCACTGTTTCTGGTTTCATGAACTACTCCAAGGCCATCAAGCTCCTCTACCGTGTCGAGAACCCCGAGGTCGTCCAGCTCTTCGGCGGCAACACCGACCAGCTTGAGCGCGAGCTTGAGCGTATGTCCCGCCGCAAGTTCAAGTTTGTCGTCTCCATGCAGCGCTACTCCAAGTTCAACAAGGAGGAGCACGAGAACGCCGAATTCCTCCTCCGTGCCTACCCCGACCTTCAGATCGCCTACCTGGATGAGGAGCCCGCCCGTAAGGAAGGCGGCGAGACCCGTATCTTCTCCGCCCTCATTGACGGTCACTCCGAGATCCTGCCTAACGGTCGCCGTCGTCCCAAGTTCCGCATCGAGCTTCCCGGTAACCCCATTCTTGGTGACGGAAAGTCGGACAACCAGAACCACGCCATCGTCTTCTACCGTGGAGAATACCTCCAGCTCATCGACGCGAACCAGGACAACTACCTTGAGGAGTGTCTCAAGATCCGTAACGTCCTTGGCGAGTTCGAGGAGTTCCAGGTCTCGTCCCAGTCGCCGTACGCTCCTCAGGGCCACAAGGACTTCAAGAAGTTCCCCGTCGCCATTGTCGGTGCCCGTGAATACATTTTCTCTGAGAACATTGGTATTCTCGGTGACATTGCTGCCGGCAAGGAGCAGACGTTCGGTACTCTTGCGGCTCGTGCCTTATCGTTCATTGGTGGAAAGCTCCACTACGGTCACCCGGATTTCCTGAACGCGATCTTCATGAACACTCGTGGTGGTGTCTCCAAGGCTCAGAAGGGTCTTCACCTCAACGAAGACATTTACGCCGGTATGAACGCCTTCGGCCGCGGTGGCCGCATCAAGCACTCTGAGTACTACCAGTGTGGAAAGGGCCGTGACCTCGGTTTCGGTACCATTCTCAACTTCCAGACCAAGATCGGAACTGGTATGGGTGAACAGATGCTCTCTCGCGAGTACTACTACCTCGGCACTCAGCTTCCTATGGACCGCTTCCTGACCTTCTACTACGGACACCCCGGTTTCCACATCAACAACATCCTGGTCATGATGTCGGTTCAGATTATCATGCTGACCCTGCTGTTCCTGGGTACTCTCAACTCCTCGGTCGATGTGTGCCACTACGACGCTCAGGGCCGCCGTGACGACAACTTCGCGACTTGCTACAACCTCCAGCCCGTCTTCAAGTGGATCAAGCGCTGTATCATCTCGATCTTCATTGTGTTCTGGATTGCCTTCGTTCCCCTCTTCGTCCAGGAGCTCACGGAGCGTGGTACCGGCCGTGCGATCATCCGTCTCGCCAAGCACTTCATGTCGTTGTCGCCCGTCTTCGAGGTGTTCTCGACGCAGATCTACATGCACTCGATCGTCAACAACTTGACTTTCGGTGGAGCTCGTTACATCGCCACTGGTCGTGGTTTCGCCACTACGCGCCTATCGTTCAGCATTCTCTACTCGCGTTTCGCTGGCCCCTCGATCTACATTGGTATCCGTACCCTGATCCTTCTCCTCTACGCCACACTTTCGGTCTGGGTTCCCCACCTGATCTACTTCTGGATCACCGTGGTCGGTCTCTGCATTGCGCCGTTCCTGTTCAACCCCCACCAGTTCTCGTACACCGACTTCATCATCGACTACCGCGAGTTTATCCGCTGGATGTCGCGTGGTAACTCGCGTGCGCACACCAACTCTTGGGTTGGCTACTGCCGTCTGTCGCGTACTCGTATCACTGGTTTCAAGCGCAAGCGTCTGGGTCTCCCCTCGGAGAAGCTCTCGAGCGACATGCCTCGTGCTCCTTGGCGTGCTATCCTCGTTGGTGAGATCATTGGCCCGATCTGCATGGCCGTTATCATGGTCATCTGTTACCTCTTCGTCAAGGCTTGGCCCGACCCCAACGACGCTACTGGTATCACTGTCCCCGCCCTCCTGCGCCTGGCTGTCGTCGCCCTCGGCCCCATCGTCTGGAACATGGCTTTCCTTCTGGTCCTCTTCCTGTTCTCGCTGTTCCTTGGCCCTTGCGTCAACTCGTGCACGAGCCAGTTCGGTGCCATGATGGCTGCTATTGCCCACTTCGGTGCTGTTGTTGGAATGGTAGCGTTCTTTGAGTTCCTCTGGTACCTTGAGCGCTGGAACGCCTCGCACACGTGTATGGGTGTCATCGCTGTCATTGCGGTGCAGCGTTGTATCTTCAAGATCCTCATTGCTCTGTTCCTCTCCCGCGAGTTCAAGCACGACGAGACCAACCGTGCCTGGTGGACTGGTGTTTGGTTCAACCGTGGTCTTGGCGCCCATGTTCTCTCGCAACCTGCGCGTGAGTTCATTGTCAAGACCATCGAGATGGGTCTCTACTCTGCCGACTTTATCGCTTGTCACCTTCTCCTGCTCCTCCTCACCCCGCCCATGCTCATTCCCTACTTCGACCGTCTCCACGCGACCATGCTGTTCTGGCTTTCGCCCAGCCAGCAGATCCGCCCGCCCATCTACTCGCTGCGTGTCCGCAAGCAGCGCAGGAAGATCGTTTTCAAGTACTCGATCGTCTACTTCCTCGTCCAGGCGGGTATGGTTGCCCTCATCGTCGTCCCCGTTGTCCTCAAGACTGCCGGTGGACTGGCTCCCAAGAAGGCTCCGTTCAACGGTGCCATCTAAGCGCGTCGTCGTTTAGTGAACGAGTGTGCCGGGCGCACATTTGTCTAGACATGAAAAGAAAGCTCGTTTCTTTCATTTCTGCCATTAGAACTTCACGGGAGTGCCCAGCACTCTCCACCTCAAACCCCACGTTTATTTCATCCTCTTTACAACAAGCGGAGTAGAATTGCCATGCTTTGCATAGATACGACCCATTCCCCCAACCACCACCCATCAATCCCGACCCTGCAACTCGCAACTGCCACTGGACATTTGTAGAACTGTGATTCTGAGCAGTTTTGACTTGATGATGATTCAAATGATACCCCTCGATAGTCTTTTGATAGCTGAGCCGCGCTCAGTCTCAGACATGCACTTCACTTACGGAAACGAACGCCCAGGTCAGAGGTTGCTCGTTTGCCTCCCTGACGCCTGACCCAACTGACGCCCAAGCCCGACCCAAACCTGCCGAGAACATCGACACTTGCCTCTTTCAGCATGCATCGAGCGTTACTGGGTCGCCATGACCGATGGCTGACCACTGCACGGGCGGTTGACCGAACGGCAGATCGCTGTCCCCACTACCTGGCGGATATGCGGATCCTGTCTGATCGACTGATAAGCCGTACCGTCCACCGTAAGCTTGCGGATGCACGGTGGGTTCAACCGTCAAACACGATACATGTCGTTTGGTCAGGGTGCGGCTGCATCGACGGTCAAGTAGTTATATGTTTTGCCCATGAGTTGTCATAAGTATAGCGGAGAGTGCGACGACGGCAGTAGCGTCTGCGGAGTGGGCGGAACGGACATAGCGCATAGCGCATCGAGAATGAACCTGATGGACTGGCCGCGGTGGGCGGAGTAGACCACACAATTGTCACGGCCCGTGGAGTGTCCAGTCGCCGTATGCCGTGCAAGCGTACGCAGCGTACCGTCGGTTGCCGCAGCTTATAGAGCCCGCAGTGCGCAGCCCACGCTCCGCTCCGCACACTGAAGGAGGACGCGACGCGACTTGCCCATGTCCCCAGGCTTCACGGCACGACAGGAGAAAGATCAGTGGCTTTGGCTGGTTGGGTCTCCCGAATTCCAAGCCATGAATTGGCTTTTCGACCAGTGTGGCGCCCGACTGAAAAGGACTGTTCCGTCACGAGACTCGACATGAATCGGGTCTGCTGCTGCCTGGCATTGGAGAACCTGAGCGCCAGGACTTTAGACTGACTGACTCGCCGTCGGCCTCGCCGGGCTCTGCGCAATGATGTGCCTATGAGACTCGGCGCAGGACCCACTCCCATTGCATAAACAAGTGGCTGATCTTCACTTTCGCCGTTCACCAATTTCTACCGGCGACACGTCCGATGCACATGACTTCCGGTTTCCCTAGATGACCTGAATCTCACCCGGTCTTGTGTCTTCTGTGCATCCTGCGCCATCCTGAGCGCCGAGAATCGATCCTGCGACCCTGGGCGTGCACTACGCGGCCCTCTGCTCCCTCGTATTCCCTCGCTTCGATGCGTCCCGGGTACGAGAGCGCGCCGTCGTATGCGCTGTCTCGACGACTGCTTAATTTCCCTCGATTCCAAATCCCATTAGGGCGACGAGGGTTCGGAACGCTTTTTTCCTGCAATCCTGCGTGGATCCTGCAAATGAGCAGAGCGGGCCGGGTCATGGAGCCGGCGCTCCAACCATGAGACAGCATACTCGCGGGTGCTCACTAGCGCTCCAGCGCTGTCCGGAAGGCAATTGACACCGAGCTCCAGCGCTTCAGCCGGGCCACAGACTTCCAAGGACGCACGCAATTCAGTCCCAAGCCACCTTAGGAGTCAGTGGACGGGCCCAGGATCGACCGCGTACCTATTCGTCAACAAGACGCGTCTGCTCTCTCTGATACCTTCGGCATCGCGCCTGATCCGAGGCTGGCATCCATGGCATCCTGGCATGGCACACGCCCGGTACCACAGTTACGTTGATTAAAACCTTGCTAGTGCGGGGCAAGGCTGCCTGAGTCCTGCTTATGAGCCCACAGCTGACTAGCTCTTCCGTCGTCCATCGCGTCTACAACCGCTCCGCTGCACAGCTACCGTTGTTCGGCGCGTGCCGACATCCAACCGCGACCATTTGTTTCTGATCATCATCTATCCTCGGACTTACTTGACACACGACTGCGACGAATATCTGACCGACGACTGGACGACGATCGGCCAACGCTCTAGCTCTCGACTTATAAACAACAACAACGATCCCGAACACAGCGTAAACTGATCTAGACGGCTACAGCGATGCCGCCACCGCTGTTCCTTCACAAGCCCGGGCTTGATGAACCAGTGCGCCCGACGTCGTTGCCACCACCACCGCGATCACCCAGCTACCGCTTCTTCCCAGCTGCAGGAGCACCGCCCGTCCCCGCCATCCCCGCTGCCCATGGACTGCCCACACCGGACGCGACGCCCGCGTCCTCCGTCGCTTCGTCGAGCTCCATGTCCCTCGCGCGCGGAGAACGCAAGCAACCGTCATCCTCTTGGCTGGACCAGAAGCCGACGAGCAGCAAGCCCAAACCGTCGCCAGTCCTCACACCCCCATCCATCTCGGAACGCAAGTTCACGCCCTTCTCACCACCACCACCCTCGGCTTCAGCGTCTTCCACGTCCTCGTCGTCGGACCGCAAGTCCACACGCCCCGTCCATGACGAGCTCAACGAAATTGCGTACCAGTACGCTCTGCGCGTAGCGTGAGTTCATAACGAGGCTAAGCAGTAAGGCAGCGCGGAGCTTGACCCACCCGAACTTCGGGCCTCGGTCAGCACCCGAAACCATTTCACGCCAACGGCCGTAATGGCCGGGACCGTTGCTTTGGATCGTCTCTCTGCACAGCTTTCATTATGCAGCGTGCTGCATCGGGCGATCCAGATGGTCTTTGCGGCGAGCGCGGCGACTTGGATATCCACTGTCGGGCTTTGGGGGCTTGGCTGTGCCGTACTGCCGCCCCTTCCGACGATCGACCTCTCGGCATGGCTGACTTAGCGCAGGATCCTCAACCATCGCATCAAAGCGCGGAGTGTGCGGAACGCGACCCTTCCACCGATGCCGAACCCAATCTCGCCCCTATCAGGACTAAAGCACTCGCACTCTACATCGAATCTCAGCACGCCAGCGAAAATCCCGCTAAGCCTGCGGCACAGATACTCGTCGTCCACCTTCCTTCCTTTGTTGGCGGACGAGACCGCGACAAGTCCGGTCCTCGTCCAGCGCGAGAGCAAGGAGCGCGGTGTACCGCTGATCGGCCCCGTGCCGAGCCCGACAACACTGAAGAAGCGCCGGTCAAGAGGCCTCAGCCTGCGGATATTACATCATCACTCAGAGAACAGGGTGCCGAAATACGCCGTGCGCGAATTCAGCCAATTCCTGGTGGTCAATGCGGACAAGGATCAGCCGGTCCCGAGTCCGAGCGCATCGCCTGTCGTCGGCGCCGTTGCTGACAGCGATGCGTCTTGGCCCGACGCATGTGCAACGTATCAGAGCCGGGAGAAGCACTGCTTCTCGTCTCGATCTGTGGAGGACATTGTGGAATGTGAGTTGAGCGGGTCCTGATTCTGATTCGGTACCAGAAGTTGATTGCGTCTGCGATTAGGAGCGTGCCTGAGAGATATGAGTGGATTGCGTTTGCTGACATTTTCCAGCGTTCATCGCCTCATCGCCCATTCACAAGCGACAGCAACACTCCGTCCGACTCCTCACCACCCTCTACACCTTCCTCCCCGAGTCACAACATTTCACTCAGGCCACCGCCGAGAAGGACCGCGACCTCCTCTTCCGCATCCGCGCCGACATTCAGCGTCTCCTCGAGCAGAGCGAGGACGACGTCACGCCGAAGCACAGCCCTCAACCTTCCCTCTCCCTCCGCCCTCGGCGTTCTGGAGGTCTCACTGCCGGCCTTCCCCGGAGCCCTACCTGCTCCAGTCTTCCTGCGAGTCCGACGACACAAACCCGCTTCCCTCGCAGCACATCGTTCGTTTCAACCAGCACCGCTTCCGCCCCCTCGCCTTCCTTCCCCATCACCCCTCGCACACCGCACCACACCCGCTCGGCTCAGAACCTTAACAGTCCTTCGTCGATCGTTATCTACCCGACTCGCAAGCCACCGCCGCCGCTCGTGGATGACGACCTCATTCGCCTAATCGGCCAGCTATGGGATATCCCTGCGGCACAGCATCAGCAGAACACCCGTGACATTGACTCCCGTCCGCTTGAGAAGCTTTACCTCGACCACTTGAAGCTTGAGCTGTCGCTGAACGTTAGCAGCATGTCACTCGCCGCCGACAAGAAGAAGCGGCATCACCGCCTCTCCAAACGTGTGACCGACCTCGTGTCCAACTTTCCCGAGATCATCGGTCCGGGATCATCATCGCCGAACCACTCTCTCAAGGGCGACTATTTCACGCCAAAGAAGAAGAATGGCGCCTTCTCCCGTCTCCTGAAGCGCGCGTCAACGCACTCGACGAACAGCTCTTTGCACGGGCCGATTACTTTGGACTCGCCTGGTGTTCCGTCCAGTGTCGCTACGCCCATTGCCGAAGAGCCGGGCAGCGCACGTTCGAGCGTAGCAGGCTTGCCGCCGGCGCCGACCGTGAACGCGCTCGTCACGCAGTGTGAGGAGATGTGGGAGCCCGAGACGGTCGAGGACAAGGAAGCCCAGGTGAACGAGGCGTTCAAGACATGGACGGAGTCCATCGGGTCGCGCGGCGAGGTTGCGGCGGGTGAGGCGCTGGCCAACAGCGTTGCCGACCTGTGCGATATGCTCGAGGACGAAGACCAGCCACCAATCCTGGAGGTGCTCTTCTCCCGCCTCTTTGATCTGACTGCGAAAGCCATGGCGTCCATCTTCCCCTCGACTGGCGTTCCGCCGCCATCGCCTCCACCATCGATCCTGCCTCTCTTGCATGTGCAGGCCGACCTGTTCATCGATTCGCCGGAAGCCAAGGAGGCGTTCAAGCGCATCTCGGCAGACGTGTACGCCGCCGCCGTCAACGAGTTCAATGCCGTCAGCACCGAACTCATCGCACACAACTACCTCCTCGGAACCGGGGGCGAGACGGCCGACCCCGTTATTGAAGGATTTGAGCGCCTCGCCGAATGGTTTGAGCAGGAGATCAGCAACGTCACCCACTCGTGGCGCCCTTCGCGCTGCCTGCCCGAATGCAGCCCCGCCCCAATCATCATCAGCGCGCAACTGCCCCTTTACCTCGGCGAGCTGAAGAGGCTTGAGCTCCCGCCCGGCGTCGAGGGTAGCAGTGATGTTTTCATCTCGCTGTACGAGGTGACCTACCGTCTGCTGAAGACGTACGAGGAGCTCACTGGAGCGGAGACCGCCTTCGACCTCGAACTGTTCTTCGAGCCGCACATTCAGAAGTGGCTGCGTGAAACGGAGAAGTCTCAGAACAAGGACTGGATCTTCCGCCTCGTGCAGGGCGAGACGTGGACGCTAGTTAACGGCCAGTACACGCAGGGATACCTCGACTTCATGGGACTCGTCAGCAACAGCCTCAAGGTCATCACGGCCTCGAGCTTGTCGCCATCCAAGCGCGCGCTCTTCCTCATGGACCTCAGCAAGACGCTGGCGGCCTCCCTGGTGCTGTACGCGCAGGTCTTGGCGGAGAAGTTTGAGTGGCAAGTCGCCCCGCCCATCTCGGAGGACGGCGCTAGCATTAGAAGTAGCGCTCAACTTGGCGGAAAGGACAAGTGGTTGCAGAAGGGCAAGCTTGCGCGTGACAAGCTGCTGGACCAGAAGCGCCGCATCGTCACCCCTTACGTTGTCGAGGAGACGGTGTGCGCGAAGCTGCTGAACGTCATCGCCGTTCAGAACGAGGTCCCCCGCCTCTCTGCGCAGATGGACGCGGACGCGTGCGCTGCAGCCCTGACGAACCTGCAAATCGAGGACGGCGATGACGACCGCGGCCGCACCTACACGATCACGATCCAGGCGGCCTCGGGGCTCTTCAAGCGCAACGGCAAGCCCGCCGACGCCTTCATCAGCATCTACGATCGGAGCACAGGCGAGCGGGTGCTCAAGACAGAGACGATGTTCGGCGACGCAAACCCGCGCTTCAACGAGAGCATTCGCGTCACTCTGCGGCCTGGCGAGAACAGGTTGCTCGAGGTGCAAGCCCATGACCGCGCGCTTGTGGGGCAGCACAACATCCTCGGATCCAAGACGCTCGTCATCAATGAGCACGCCGAGGATACCGTGCTCAGCCTCGCACCGAGTGGCAATGTGAAGGTGAGGGTGCAGAAGCCGTTCACCGAGGTGAACGACATCGCCTCGAACCTGTCGCACGCCGAGCGAGTTCTCGGACGGATCGAAAACGACATGCGGACTGCCCTCGCGGACCGGATACTGGAGTACCCTCGCTGGCTTCTGACCCCGGAGTACCTTGCCAATGTCGTCAAGGCATCGCACCTGAAGCGCGAGCTTTCTTTGGACCCCGTGTTCAAGCAGCTCGACGCCAACCTCGGCCTACTGATGGAGGTCAAACTCACCCCCGTCATCATTGCGGTGTGGGATGGCCTCCTCTCTGTCTTCGCCGAGCTGCTCCTCCCGCCCCTCGGCGAGCCGATGCAGGGCGGTATCGGTCTCCACGGTCTGGTGGGCAGCAGGGATGCAGGTCCCGGTGTGCTCTCCGAGAGCAAGACGAAGCAAGTCTTCAAGTGGGTCGCCGACACTAAGGCTTTTTTCAACCCCGAGGGCCAAGGCATTCCCCTCGACGCTCTCGAGAGCCCACGATACCAGACGCTCATGAACATCCCCCGTTGGAACAAGGTCGCGACACGAGAACTCATGGACGCTGTCTCAGCGGACGTGAGGACATTCTGGCAAGCTCCTTCCCAGCCCGCCGTCTCCGCTCCGTCCACTCCAGCGACCCCCACCTCGGCTACCAACACCCCGCCACCTCTCCCCTCTCGCCCGGGCAGCCGCCCGACCCTCCCGCCTCGTCCCGGCAGCACCACCTCCACGCCTCCCCTCCCCGCCCCCCTCCACCCACCTCCGCACCCCGCGCCGTCGCGAACGGTACGTCGACTCCCCACTCCCCCTGGTCGAAGGATGCGCAACCAGCCCCTATCTCGCCCGAAGCCGCAGCCGGCCTCAAAGCTCGTATCGAGGTGATGCTCCGCATTCTGAGCCTGCGTCAGGGAACCCGCGGCTTTGTGCGGGAACACACAGTCTTCTTGAACCGGGACGCGTCGTAGAGTGACACACCCGGTTGTGCAGACGACGTCTGGGAGCTCATTTGAGCGTCCACAAGTATCTATCCATTCATTCATCAGGTCTATCGCGAGACGCCTTCCCCACCTATACACGTCTGGGGAAGCGATTGTATCTTTTTGTACATCTGCTATGTATCTTACGGTTATAATCGTGCGTCTCCTGGCAAGTTGTTGCGACTCTCTCGTAACGCTTGGCTGCATGGTCTCTCCACTGGGCTGTGTAGATGGAGGGTAAGATGAGCGGAGCCCCGCGCCGCGGCGCGTCCATTGATGAAGAGACAGTGCACGTGGCTGTCGGAGAGCGCATTTAGCTCAGTGGCCAGAGCGTTGGTTTTCGGTTAGTTCGCCGACACCGCCAAGGGTCGCAGGTTCGACCCCTGTAATGCGCTTACCTTTTTCGTAGCAAAGCCTGGCGATGTTATTGGTAGACATTCTGTCCAGTGAACCGGGTTCTGCACAATTGCATGCTGCTCGCACTTGTCCACCTGTAGCATCTTGTACTTAACGTACTAACTCACGGCCGAGTCGTGGCCCGGCTCCCATTTATGTCTCTGAGCAGGTCGCGAAAGTAGCAAGCGACGAGCTCAGGATCGCGAACGAGGTCCAGGGAAGCATTCCTCTCAACCCACAAGTCTTCTTGGATCTGCAAGCTGAGTGCCCACGCCCTCTGCAGTGCCCAGGCGTGGTCAGGGCGAATGATACGGGATGCGGCGAGGGACATGGCGCCCGGATCGAAGAAGCTGTGAACAGCGAGAGCGTCAAGACGCTGGTCGCAGTGACCCGCGCGGGTGACGTCAACTTTGAAGGCGGTTGGCGTAGAAAAGTGCATATGATCAAGGACAAACTGACAGACGAAAGTCGCATCAGCGGCTGACGCCAGTGCGAAGACGTCCATGGGCGCCAGAGTCGACGATGCCGAGTACTTCAGCAGCCACAGCTCGAATGGTGGCAGCAGGCGTGTGCACTCGTACTTGTAGATGAAGGAGAGGAGGCGCGCGACGTCGGAGCAGTAGGGCAGCTTGCCTTTGGGCTTGGGAGACAGCTCGCCTCGGCAGCTGAGCTCCAAGAAGCGCTCAAGGACTTCTGACGTCTCGATGTCGCGATCCCCGAAGTGCACGCTCTTCTCGCCGGAGCTGGTGTCGGAAGCGTCGCCAAGGACCTCACTACCAGGTTAGCAGGGGTTTTCTGCTACCCACGCTACTCACCTGACGCAGAGAAGGACGCGAGAGGGGGCTTTGAAGACTACATTGTCGGAGGAGATGAGTGTGAAGTCGCCTTGGTTCCAGACGGAGTGTTGAGTGAGAGTGTCGGGGTGGAGATACTCGGCCATGGCTGTGATGGGGCCGATGTGAAGGTGGTGCAGATGAAGGTAGGGCAGGCGTGGAGGGTTGCCATCGAGTTACTGTGCTGTGAGTGTAGTGAGGTTCTGTAGGTCTGATCGGCGCGATCAGCTAGGTCTCGCGGGTTCCAGAAGTCAGTCGTTAGTGTCTGGTAGTTTTGATGTTACCTAACGCAGGCGCTTTGCCTCGATGTGTACGGACTGGAGAATTACTATCATGCATCATGATCAGCTCCGCGAACCAGTGCTTTGAAAAGACGTGCCACAGCCATCGGGTCGCGAGATTGGTGCCTGCCCACACTGCAGTTTCGGTATTCAGTGCTCCGAGACCAAGCTGCGGTGAGCGCCCACGAGTGAGCGGGGTATATCAGCTTCCACAACGGCAGAGGGATAGTACCGGGGTCAAGACCCCGCATTGACCTTTCATCCCTATACCCCTTAGGTTGATTGTCGTCTGCCGAATCTGCAGCCTGAAGGGCAAGCTCACAGACTGACGGACTGTCCGTCACCGAACCGATGACGAAGGACCTGAGAGGGTTCATTCGAGCCTCTTCCAGGCAGCGAACCGTCGTCAGTTGAAGTAGACGGAGCAATGGAGCGCAGTCATACTTGTGGAGAAACTGAACGAGGCGGTGTATTTCACGACAGACAGCCACATCATCGTCGCTTTCGTGTCCGGGAGCTTGAGATTGAGTTGAGGGAGTAGCAATGTACTTGACAGCCAGGTTGAGAAACCGATCGATGGTCGACGAAGACTCAAGCTCCGGGTCGGTGAAACGGACGACCTTCTCAGCTGACGACCCCCCAGAAACGTCGGCTGCATCGGCGAGATTGTTGCTGAGCTTATTAACGTACGGTTGCTGACTCCAGAACTCACCTGGCCCAGAACAGGGTGCGCGATGGGACTCGAAAGCTTACGTTGTCCGCTGATATAAGACAGAACTCTCCTTCTGTCCACGCCTCATGTGGTGTAGGGGGAGGGTCTACCGGGTCGTCGGGCATGATGGTTGGGAAGATGTGGAAGATGAGGACGGGGAGGGCAAGGGAAAAGAGCAACACTGGTGAGTGATATATGGATCAGTCGGGAGGAAGATAGGATATGATACATGTGACGTAGATACAAGTGTGGATCTCACTCAGTGAACTGGGCGACATACTCGTCGATGCCCTCCTCGAGCAGCCTGAGACGCCCCTCCTCAAGGACGTAAACGTCATCAGCCGTCTCGCGGACAAAGTGACGGTCGTGGGTCACGAGGACGACAGTGCCCTCATAGTCGTTAAGGGCGGCAACAAGGCCCTGGACAGCGTACATGTCGAGGTGATTCGTGATCTCATCGAGAAGGAGGATGTGTGGCCGTTCCCACAGCATGAGGGCCATAGCCAGCCTCGCCCTCTGCCCTCCACTCATGGTGTTGACGGGCCGGATCGCAAGCTGACCAGAGACCCCGAACCCGCCAAGCCACTTGCGCAGATCGCCCTCCTTGGGCGCAGTCGCTTCCCGGCCCTTGGAGATCGCCTCGGCCACCTCCTTCTCGGCCTTGGTGCGCAGGATGTCGAGGGCCGAGTACTTCACGGAGCTCAGCTCGTCGACGAAGTGCTGCGTGTAGTGGCCGATACGGAGGCCCGGGTGCCGCGTGATATTGCCGTGCGTCGGGGCCAGACCGCCGCTAAGCAGTTGCACTAGCGTCGACTTGCCGCATCCGTTCAGACCGAGGAGGGCAATGTGGTCGCCGGGCATGATACTGAGGCTGACGCTTTTGATGACGCGTCGCTTGCGCCCGGGGTAGCTGAAGCTCACGCTCGACAACGAGATCAAGGGCCCACTGCCGCGCAGCGTCTCGGGAGTCGGGATCTTGAGGTCGACGCTCGCCTCGGCCTTCTTTAGCTCGATCTCGGGGCGCATGGTGTCATGATATCCCGCCCAGTACGAAACCTTGAACCGTTTCCCGTCCTCCGTCTTCTCCATGCCAGTCATGCGTTCGAGTTTCTTCTGCCGCGAAGCGACCTGGCCAAGCACCTTGTCGTCGTTGGACGACCGGGCGTGCTTCATGAAGCGCTCGATCGACTTCTGCACATGCTCCCTGCGCCGCTGCAGTGCCTCGTGCTGGCGCTGCTTCTTCTTGGCTAGCTCCTCCTCGTTCTGCTCGTACTCGTCGTAGTTTCCGGGATGGTACGAGAGCGTCTTGTCGCTGAGCCGGATGATCTCCTGCGAAACGCCGTTCAGGAAATCCCGGTCGTGCGAGACGCACACAATTGTGACGTCCAGGGTGGAGAGGTACTCTTGCAGCCATGCGATGGCGGCGAGATCCAAGTGGTTCGTGCACTCGTCCAGGAGCAGCAGGTCGGGGCGGACAAACATCGCCTTGGCTAGCGCTACACGCATACGCCATCCACCAGAGAGGGCGGAGACGGGTCCGTCAGCCGTCTCCTCGTCGATGTCGAGTCCGGCAAGGATAGCTCTCGCACGAGCCTCGGCACTATCGGCGTCCATCTTGCTCAGCTCGTCGTACAGAGTCGCCAGTACACGAGCAGCGACCTGCGCCTCGCTCTCCGCAGAGGTCCCATAAACCTCCTCGCGAACCGAGGCGAGCATGGTCTGCTCGGCCTTCAGAGCAACACCGCGCGCCTTCTTCCCCCTTGCTCCGGAGCGGAGAGTAGCGATCTTCTGAGCCGCGAGGATGCGCTCGTTGGCGATACGCTCAATGTACGTTGTGATCGCGTCAATGATCTTGCCATCATCGGCCGAGGTAACGGCAGCCTCGATGCGCTCCGTATCACGGACACGCTTGGTGACTTCCTCGTCTGAGCTCAGAACGGCAGAGAGCACGCTCTCGTCCGACTCCACGACGTCGAGCTGCTGCACGTACAGCGTACGAATATTCTCGGGAAAGCCGATGAGCGAGTGGTCACCGATAACGGAGAGCAGCGTTGATTTGCCTGTGCCGTTCCGCCCGACAAGGCCGTAATGTGTTCCGCTCTTGAGCCAAAGACGAGCATCAACGAGTAACTCGGCCTCGTCAACAGTCACGTTTACGCCGCGCAGGTCGATCTCGGTCGAGAGCGTCGAGAGGGTAGCGGAATGAAATCGGCTCTGTTGGCTGTAGGCCATGATGCTGGGACCCGTCGGTGCAGCCGGTGTGCGCTTCTTCTTGTCCTTCTTTGAAGGTGTCGATGGCCGGGTCTCAACCTCAGCCAGAAGAGAGGAGGGGTCGGGCGCCGCGCTGGCGGTCGGAGCGGAGCCGAGCGAGAGCTTCGCAAACATGCGGTCCAGATCGGCTGGACCCATGCCCAAGAACGGAGCGAGGGCTTTTCGGACGTCGTCGGGGTCCGTCTTGCCCTCGATCACTGTGCCGAGGTATGAGACGGTGCCGTCGTCGAGCGTCTCGCGCACGTCCGGCGGAGCCGCTGCGACAACCTGGTCGATCGTGATCATGGTGGATAGATTTGAAAGTTGAGAAAGAAAGGGAAAGTGTGAGGCCGTGTAGTGGAGAGGTTGATAGCTGGTCGCTACAGTTGATCTTCTTTGTTTCGTTACGGGGTCGTTGATTGTCGTGATGGAGGGTTGAAGTCGGTGCGGAGCTCTGATAACTGTTGTCGCGATCTCGGAGTGGACCGATCGAATCGACTTGGCTGGCTCTGCGGATCCGGCCGGCTCTCACTAGGCCCCGGATCCGAGGCACGTGGATATCATCAGCCTGACTCCACCATCAGCCACTTTCCGCCGCTCAGCAACTGACGGTGTACGATGCGATAACACTACAGCATACATCTGAAACCATAACGGACTATAACTAACGCTATCTGAATGGAAATAGAAATCGAAGAGGAACAGTACCGAATCATTCCTAAGGGTTCGTCTGCCCTCCTTTGGCGGCTGTCGTACTGAACTCGTGCCGCTCGGGTGCGAACTGCACGTCGATCGCCCGACCACCGTACACGTAGCCCATGAAGCGGTCACACGACTGCTGGGCCTCAGATAAATCGGTGAACTCAACAAAGCCCTCACCGCGCGGCCGCTCTCCGTCGATCAAGACTTCTGCCAGCGTGACATTGCCGACAGTCTCGAAGAGCTCAACGAGGTCTTCGTTCGATGTAGCGAAGGGGAGCTGGCCGTCAGCTTAAGTGATTGATGTTGCTGGACTCACGTTGCGAACAAAGATCTGCTGGCTCGGCTCAGCCGGGACAGGCTGAAGACCGGTGCTGACACGGCCATCACCCTGCGACGCCGGGCCAGTGGGCGCTTGTCCGAAGCTGTCGGTGTCGGCGTAGCTTCCGGTTGCAGGCGGGGGCGCAGCGGCGGCATAACCGCCGTTGAAGTCGCCCCCGGCAGCACCATAGCCACCGCCGAATGCACCTGCTCCCGCTAACCCTCCGCGTCCTCCGAAGCCACCGCGAGGAGGGAAGCCACCCCTCGGCGGGAAGCCACCGCGCATTCCTCCGCGACCACCGCGGAAGGACGTGCTTGCGTACTTGTCCTCGCGACAGTCGAGGACGTTGCCGTACCAGTCGAAGCCCTTGAACATCCTCAGCGCGTTGTCGGCGGTGTGGGGATCGGCAAAGACCACCACGGCGCTGCCCTTCGGCCGACCGTCTGGGGTCATATTGAGGTCGACACGAGTAACATCACCCGCTTGGCGCATGAGGTCCTTAAGATCTTGCCAAGAGGCCTGGAGAGGAAGCTGCCGTCAGATCTAGCAAGGGGTGAGGCTATCTTACGTTCATGACGAAAATGCTGCGGTTCGGACCAGTTGAGCGCTCGCCAAGGGCGGCGCCGATTCTGCCAGGGTGGGGAGGTGCACCAAAGCGTGCGACTTCTTCGCGGTCCTGCGAGATCAGATGTGTTCCCCCCCTCTTCCCTTACCTCGCGAATAAAGACATCGCGACCCATAAACGACTTCTCGTGGAGCTGGGACAGAGCGTCTCGCGCCTGGTCCGGAGACTCAAACTCGACGATTCTGGGCGTCAGCTGGGAAATGATCCATCAACTCACCCGCAACCCTTGGAAGTGCCTGCCGGGGTCACCAGCACTTCTGAGAACACCACATTCCCTCCAGCTGTAACAGTTAGTTACTAGTTGATCGATCTGTGTCCTCCATCCGGTTCTCCATCATTCAGGTAACCCGCCCCATCCAGTCCATCACAGAGTCGTCCGGGTGAATGACCAAGTCCCTTCTTGTCCTCGCTGAGATGCGCCGAGCTTCCATCTCCTTCTGCGTCTCCAAGCGGTCCCTCCGAACCCAGACCTTGCACCGCAATGTGCGAATCCTCCCTCCCTTCTCCACCTGCCCTCTTACGGGGAGTCCAAGAGTGTGAATATCCAACGCGAACGCACCTCCCATCATGAAATCGCGCAAGTCGCGGTAGGTACAGCTGTAAGACAGGTTGCCGACGTACAGCCTGTTCTCGCGCCTGCTGACGCGGGAGTGCGCTTCGGCTTCCTCCGGTGGCGCGTTCATCGGTCCGTTGGGCGGCGGTCGTCGGTCGTCCCTGGGGTCGTATCCGCGCGAGGATCTTCCACCGTATCCTCCGCCACCGCGATAGCTGTCGTAGCCGCGATCTCCGAACCCGCCCCGGCCCCGGCCTCCACGGAAGCCGCCGCGGGGTGGCCCATCGTAGAACCCTCCGCGACCACGACCGCGTCCGCCGAAGCCGCCACTGCGTCCGTTGTCCTGGTACCGGCTCCAGTCGGGGTAGCGGTTGTCGCGATCATCATGGCGGTCGCCGCGGTCCCGGGGACGGTCGCGTTCCCTGGATCGATCGCGGTCCCGCCTCGGTGAACGCGTGCGAGAGCGGGAGCGGCGCTGATGTCAGCTTCTTTCTAGCATGCTTCAAAGCTACTCACGCGCTCACGCCTGTCGTACCGGTCGTCGTCGCGGCGGTCCCTGCTGCGACTGCGATCGCGATCGTCGCGGTCTCGGCGATCGCCACGGTCACGGTCTACGTCCCGGTCGCCATCGTCGCGGCTGTGCCGGCGATCTGCGCGTCAGCCATGCAAGCGGAGTGTGAGCTTACCGTCCCGCGGCTCCATGTCGGTGTCCATAGCAGCGAACGATGGATGCGTGTGATGGATGGTGGTTGCGGCGGACGCAGGCGGCGGTAATGAATCGAATCGCGCGCCGTGGCTATTGACCGACACGCGTGATCGTAACCGACAATAACAACAGTGCCCCGCGCGGCACGTCCCTAGCCCGACATATCTCCGAGGCATGTGGCACCTGGCCGCCGGCAATGGACGGCCTTCCTCGACGACTTCTGCTATCCTCACCATCGCTCTTCGTCAGCTCCTTCCATCGTTGCATCAGCATCCCACCTATCCAGCAGCACTGTGGCTGCTTCTTGTTACTTCTGCATTGCGCCTGTTTTGGTCCGATAAGCCTCAAGCTATTCCGCCGGCTTGCAACTGCGATCGGTGAGCTTCGTCACCCTCTGCCTGAGCTTGCCTGCTGGATGAACCATCCCTTTCCAACCGCACTGCACCTGTCCCCTCACCCCTGTGCGCCAGTCAATGTGCTGCCCGATCGCGGTTTCCTGCGTATTGTCATATTATATCTCCTATTGTTGGAAGTGAAGGGTGTACCCCGTCTCTGGCCAGGGACGGGCTTGTCCATGGTGGAGGGTTGATCACCCCTGAGGCGTTTTCGGCCTCTATCTGAGACCGCCGCAGGGTTGGCCGGTATTTATGAACTGCTCAAGCTGGAGCGAAAAGAGGGAGCGCGACGCGTTTGAGAATGAGAAGATGGTTTGGAATGACTGCAGAGCATGTAGAGGCGTGGTTGCCTCCGCTACCGCTCTGGTCATAAGACTGAAGGGAGACAGATTGAAGACTGAGCCGCGGCATGCAGATGAACGCGCTATCGTCGGGCACAAATCAGCCGCGAGGTGACTCAACCAACCACGACAACCTTCCCCGCGCGCATTGTCCACCGATCCCCAGACCTGTCGACCCTCTCCCCCCCTGCACAGATCACCAACCCCTTGGCCGAAACCGGGACTCGCAACCCGGCGACCCTGTCAAAGTGCGCCTCTTGTTCGTTTCCAGCACTGCAACATGCACCTGTCTCGCTGGCGTCAAATTGAAATGGGCAGATACCGCGGTACGTAACGACTGAATGGCGACTCGGCAAGGGTCAGACGACTAGGGCGACAGCGCGCACATTCCGAGTTACCGGCTCGGATCCGTAGCCACTCGATTCTTGGCGCAGCGGGCGGCTTCGCGACTGGCAGGCAGGCGACGCGCGACTGTCGGAAGGCGCAACGTTGCAGCGCCCGCAGACCCGGAGCAAGACCCAGTGCTGTGCGGCAAGTGATCGTCGCTCTTCGCCGCTGGTCCTATGCGGACGCGGTTGACTCGACATGACTGGACTCGAGGACACCCTCGACTTTCTCCGTGTCGCGTCTCGAGTCTATATAACAAATCGCGCCTCCTTGATTTCTTTTTCGACCACCCTGCATATCATCTCCATCAACCTCATCACACACAGCTTCATGGACAAGGTCGCCGACGTCATCGAGCAGGCGAATCGCCAGAAGCGGCCAGTCAAGCAACCCACCTTCTCCAACCTCACCCTTCCCTCCGACTACGACCACCTCAACCTCGTCACCCGACTATGGCTTCAGTCACGTATCATCAAGCCAAAGGAATGGGAGGAGAAGGAGAAAGAACGGGAGAAGCGTAGGGAGGAGAGGGAGAAGGAGCGACAACGGCGGAAGGAGAAGCAAGCTCTGGAGGACGGCTCGACGGAACCGGTTACCACCAAGGACGAGAAAGACAGCAAAGAGGTTGATCGAGCCGACGGAGCCTCAACGCCAGCGAGCGAGGCGTCGTCCTCCAGTGCGTCGTCATCCTCTACCAGCGCTACCTCCGTTGACGACCTTGCAGATGAAAAGCTTGGGTTAACAGTCTCACGATCAACCGACGGGCCCCTGTTCCGCGCGGCGGGCAGCCCACGCCCGAAGACCTTGGCGGAGGTCTGGCTCTGGCTAGATCTCTGCCGCGAGCTGTCACCATTCTTGACCAAGGGTGTCCGGAAGCTCCATCCGATGCGATTGTTCATCTATCTGTTGGAGCAGATGTCTGATCGCTTGCATACGACAGTGAAGTGAGTAACCACCCATCGGCAAGGGCGCTGACAGGCCAGTTTGTACGCTACATCACAGCTCTATGATCTGTGCGAGCGCGCCCTCGGCGGAAAGCCTGCGTCTTGGAGCACAGCTTTACGAGTAGCGAGCTCCGGAATGGCGATGATCCTCTATCGCGAGCTCACAGGAAGGCTCTTCAATGACAACAGCACTAAGCTTCACGTGAGTCAAAGCGCACGGGTGACGCTGACATCCAGCAATGGCTAGAAACCAAGTTCGAGCGCCAGTATCTCTCTATGCGGCTGGAGGCTCCACCGCATGGCACGGACGAACTTTCTTCCGCGCTCGTGTATGAGGCGGGTATCTTCTCCGGTATGGAGAGCGCACCCTACTACCACAGCGGACCGTTTGGCTTGGTGAATGGTGTTAGCGGTGCTCTGGCTGAGCTTGTGGATATCGCAGCCCAGGTCACTATGCTCGTGCAGGCTATTGGTGGTCTCGAGCAGATTAAGAAGCGTGACCCCAAGAGTCTTACGCTGATCGGACTCGCCTTTGCTCCCACGTTGATCACCAAACTGTCTGACTTTGTCTACAGCTTTGATGAGGACGACGACGAGTACGAGCAGCACGAGGAGGATGTGACTGAGTTTGAAAACGTCGAGTACTTGATGCGAGAAATCGCCACCTCGACGAAGTACAAGCAGGAGGCTACGCTGTTCGGTCTGCACGACTGGTGTCTCAAGACGTGGGACAAGGCACGCGAGATGCTGCAGGCGCAATCCTGGGAGCAGAGCTTCCAGTCGCAGGCGAAGAGCGTCGGCTTCAAGCTCCTCAACGAGATGGCCGGAACGGCGTTCTACGTGAGTGCTATTCCTATGATATTGCTGACGCCAGGTTCTGCTTGCCACGAAGACTATCGACACCGGTCTGTCGCTCGGTTCCATTCACACGTACCAGGGCACCGCGCGCCAGCTCGTGTACTCTGTGAGGCGACTGTTCAACCACCTGAACCTCTCCTATCAGTCGGTCTTCTATGCCGCCGCATTCGCCGGCGCTTCCGAACCGTCTCCACGCGGCCTGGACATCGACTTTGAGACTACTCGCCAGAACGGAGGAATGCGGATCGAGGCGAAGGATCTTTCCTTCACGTACCCCGGTGCGGACAAGCCAACTCTAACCAACGTCAACCTCACGATCGAGCCTGGGCAGACTCTCGCTATCGTCGGATACAATGGTGGCGGCAAGACGACTCTCGTCAAGCTGCTGACGGGACTCTTCGAGCACAGCTCTGGATCTCTGACGATCAACGGCGTCGCCCCCCGGGACTTCAACTCGAAGACGCTGCACAAGCGCATGTCGGCTCTGTTCCAGGACTTCAACCGCTACAACCTGACGCTCCGCGAGAACGTCGGCATGGGTTTGGTGGAGAAGATTGAGGATCGCGCCGCGGTGAACCAGGCCATCGAGGACGGAGGTGCCCAGGCCATCCGCGCCAAGGGTGGACTGGAGGCGACGTTGAACCCGTGGGGCGAGCCCGAGCCGCCGAGGATGGACATGAAGACGTGGAGGGACGTAGACTCGGATGACGACAGCGACGACGATGGCTCGTGGGTGCAGCTGTCGGGCGGACAGTGGCAGCGTGTTGGTCTCGCCCGTGCCTTCATGCGTGCAAAGGAAAGCGACCTGGTCGTCTTCGACGAGCCTTCGTCGGCCCTCGACCCTCGCGCCGAGGCCGAGTTGTTCAACAACATTCACAACCTGACGAACATCGCGGGCACGACGACCGTGTACATCTCGCACCGCTTCAACACTGTGCGCAAGGCGGACCGCATCGCCCTCATGGAGAATGGAGTGAGTATGACGAGCACAGCTGGTAGGCGACAACGTCGAGCTGACATACAGACCATTGCCGAATACGGAACGCACAAGGAGCTCATGGAGAAGAAGGGACAGTACTACGAGCTGTTCACCATGCAGGCGGAGGGCTACCTCGACAAGTCGGAGACGGCTACACCTGCTGAGGCGGCTGTCGAGGGTGCCAACACTCCCGCGGAGTCGGCGTGAGGTGGATGTGGCGACACTGTTGTAAATGTGTATAATTCTGGGAACTTCCGACACTTTTGGGGACGACTTCAACTCTTAGACGCTAGACTCGAACACCACTGCTGTTGTCATGCAGATTCTGTAACTCGTTGAAACTGACGCAGAACGAGCCAGGTCTACCCCTGGCGCCCTTCTACGGCGAGCGCGCGCATCACCACCAGCGGAAACAACTCTGCGATCAGCCGCCTATGTGTCGCATAAAGGGGCTGGCAACGTGTCGTCTACTCCTTCCCAACTCATCCTACTCACAAAGACGCCTGAACTCTACATAACCCTGCATCAGCAGCATGCCCAAGTACCGCGCGACAGTCCGCGACCACCCCGACTGGCGTGAGGGCGACTTTACTCTGATCTCGGCCGACGGGTGGCGCTTCAAGGTGTTGTCGGCGTATGTCATGTCGTCCAGGTGAGTCATCTCCTCACGCACTCATCTTACTTGCAAACCGCTTGCTCGCCTGTGGAGCTTTGTTCAATATGGCCGCTGACTGACTCCAGCTCCGTGCTCCGCGACGCACTCTCCTACGGCCCCCGGCAGAAGGTCCGCTTCACCGAGCCGGGGGAGGGCAAGGCCGTCATCGCACGCTGGCTCCAGCTCCTCGTTCACGTCACCATCGGCGGGCGGCGCGGCCACTTCCGGCACCCCTCGCACGCAGCAGCAACCTACATCGACATCGGGACGTACATCGCGCTCGTCCGCTTCCTGCGCAAATGGGGGTGCGAGCAGACCCTGGCCCACCTCTGCCTGCTCTTCACGCAAGCGCTCGTGAACCAGGATATAAGCCGCGCCGATGCCTTCACACTCGGTGCGGCAGCGGACAATGTTCTGCTCTGCGTCAACGCAATGCGTCTGGGAAATACGGCGCTGTATCCTGCCCCGTCACCGCCCCCGCGCACGTCGGTCCACTCGCACCGCTCCAGCTGGAGTTTCTTCGGCTCGCGCTCAAACCTGGCCTCGCCGCAATCGCTCTCTGCCAGCTCGCACGCATCCTCCTACGGCATGGCAAAGGAGAAACTTGGGCCCCTGCGCGTCGAGGATCTCAAGCTGGAGCACTGGCGCGCCATTCCGCCCGAGTACATCTTTGCGCTTGGGCGGGCGATGCGCGACGACGATCTCGAGGATCCCGCCAGGAGAGGGGAGCACCTTGAGACGGATTTCAAGAAGCTGCTCTCCTGCGCGACGGCGTTCTTTGGTCGTCCTGATCCGGCACTGGATAGGTTGACGGGGGAGCCGGTGTTTCTGTCCAGCGAGGAGGCGGAGGAACTCGATTGTGCTGAGTTTCAGAGAGTCGTCATGGGTCGGAACACGAAGAGGGCGTCGTTCCCGTAGCTGTGAGGTTTCCGTGTTTTCGTGTGTATTCTCCTTCCTGGTTTTGGGTATGCACGACACTGGTTGTCTTATTTGAGGCCTCAGTGTGATTGAGAGGAGATGTGGGACACGTTTTGAGCTGAGGACAAGGATGCCTCCGTCTTGCGGATGCCTGGCAATGCCCAGCTCGTTTGCCACTTACCCTCTGCACACTCACCCACCGTCACCATGTCCAAGCTCAAACAAGACTCAGCTTCAGTCCCCATCAGTCGCGACGTCACGTTGATCCCCGCGGTTGGCGGCGCCCGTATCATGGTGAATCGTACGCAACTCTACGCTGCTAGGTGAGTCTAGTGGAGTTGCAATTCCACTGACATGAGCCTTCTCTTCGATCCCAGCGCGGACGAAGCCAACTGGACGTCACCCAACACGATCCAGTTCACAGACCCCGCCTTTGAATCAGGGGAGGTGCTCCGCTACTTCGCCAGTCTCGTCAGCAACGGCGAGATCGGCCCCGAAGGCGACGTTTTTGATGACAACAAACAGGTCGTCCCCGCCGTGGTCAAGTTTCTGCGCCGCTGGGACTGCTCCCGCTTCCTCGCTGTCATCTGCCAACGTACTGCCGAAGCTCATGCCGGGGCCGAGATCAGAGACAGTCAAGCCTTCGTCATCGGTGCACTTGCCGAGGACGTGCGCCTTTGCCAACAAGCCGTCGCCCACAGACACGAACCGCTCGAGGTCTCGCACATTCCCATCGAGTTCTGGCCTCACATCAAGCCAGAGTATCTCTTCGCTTTGGCTACGATTAAGGCGGACAAGGAGCGGATCCGCTGCGACGAGCTTTGTGACGCTAGGACCTGGCGTGCGCTCGTCGAGCTGGGCGCTGATGGCTTGAGGTACTTCGCTGAGTCGTGTGAGATGGGCAAAGCACCCTTCCCCCTTTCGCCTTGTGTCTGTAAGAAGGAGAAGAAGAAATTGATCGTCAAGAAGGAGCTGGGGATCAAGTCGTAGGGTTGTCTGTAGTCAAGTGACAATGTCGCCTGTAGATGAACGATGTGTTGTACGTCAGAAAACGTCGTCAGAACATGCACAGTCTATGCAGCGGCTCTCATTGAGCTTCTTACGTCGCATCTCAAGAACTGCTCACACTTAAACTGCTTCACTACAACAATCTAGGCCGGTCATTTTGCGCACAGCAACTTAGAGCTTGGCGTTGTTGCGGATGAACTTGTTGCCGTTCTCGAGAGCCTCCTTCGCGCCGTTGACGAGCTCGTCAATGATCTCCTTGGCGGAAAGCACGCTCTTGATCCTTGCACTCACGTCTCCCATTAACCTGTGATTACGTAAGCATAGCACGTCGTTGAAGGATGGGAAGAGAGTTAGAAGATGAGTGAAGATGTCGTGAGGATTTGTTGAGGTGTTGTCGTGGACATGGCCGGTGGAGGTGGAGGTGGAGGTGGCGTCAGGCACGCGGGGGCGCAGTTGTGGAGGTGGGGTGAAATTCGGAACACGTGACTTACCAGGGGCGGCCGGGAATGGAGAGCTTAGGGTTCTCGGCGAGAGCGAGCTCGAAGGGAAGCTTGCCCTGCGAGGTGAGCTCCTGGATCTTCTTGACCTGGTCGGGGGTCTCCCAGGACTTGACGTAGTCGGTACGGCGGACACGGAGGGGACGGCCGGTGTAAATGAGCGAGGTGGCGGTGTCACCGAAGTCGGCGGAGACAACGAGGTCCTTGTGGTACTTGGGGGCACCAGCCTCAACCGAGGCGACGAAACGAGTGCCGACCCAGACGGCCTGAGCGCCGTACATGAGAGCAGCGGCGAGGCCACGGCCGTCGGCAATACCACCGGCAGCAACGACGTAGATGGGCTTGCCGGTCAGAGGCGAGGTCTTGCCCTTGACGCGGTCGACGCACTCCTCCCAAAGGATGGAAGAGGGGGTCGAGCCGGTGTGGCCACCACCCTCACCACCCTGGGCGCAGATGATGTCGACACCGCGCTCAAGAGCCTTCTCGACGTGCTTGGGGGCACCGACCATGTTCATGACAAGGATGTTGTGCTTGTGGAGGCGGTCGACGACGTGCTTGGGAGGGACACCGACGGCGCAGACGAAGAGCTTGGCACCCTCCTCGATGATAACGGAGATGAGCTCGTCAAGCTGGCCCTTGGTGTAGTCGTAGTTGGTCTTACGGGCGGAGCCACCGACCTGGGGGAGAAGAAGGTCGACACCGAAAGCTGAGCTGTCAGTGGGCATCCTTAGCGCAGATCGCTGAAACTCACGGAGCTTGGGGTCCTTGAGACCGGCCTTGAGCTCGCCGATGACCTGGCGGAGGACCTTGGGGGTGTAACCTGTTTGTCAGTTTCCAAAACAGAGTACCTATTCTAAACTCACCGATACCGCCGATGACACCGAGACCACCGGCGTTGGAAACGGCGGCAGCGAGGCCGGGGCCAGCAGCGACGTTCATTCCACTGTATTGTTAGTCGGGCATCCCAGGAACAGGGTGGGCGGCTTGGGCCGAGTGGAGGGACCATCCACCTGTTTCGGCGTACTCACGCGAGAATGACGGGGTGCTGGATGCCGAAGAGCTCGGTGATGGCAGTCTGGAGAGGGGCGGTCATGGTGACGGGGCTATGGGTATGCCTGATGGGGGGATGGACGAGGTGGAGATGCGTCGAGGCTTATATGGCGGATGTGCGGTGTCTTGGTTCGGCCAAGGGCAGGCAGCCGGCAAGGGACGTTGCCGGTGCGTCGCGTGGCATCGGGCCTGGCTTCGGCCGGCCCTCGCCGCCTGGTTTCGATTGTCGGCTTGCATCCCCGCCAGCCTAGCGCTCTAGCTCACGCTCTGTCCCCTGCATCCCCGCATCCTCTGCATCACTCTCCGCACATCGCTCGTCGCTAGGCTGCTTGGTAGACGCTACGGGGTATATACCGACAGCCCTCGGACGTCGACAGCAGCTATGACAGCGAACTAAGCCCACTAAGGACATCACACGCTCGAAATTCCGCTGTGGGTCCGGCTCCTGAACGAAATCTACCCGCCGACCAGTTCGGTCTTCTCCGTAAGCATAATCACGAGAGCAGACGCGGTCTAAGATGAGTGCACGTTTGGAGCCCCCCAAGGGAACAACATTGTCTCAGCGCAAAGGCGCCCGACTGACCGATACTACCCCGCATCCGCCATGAGCTAGATCTGTCCCCGGCAGCGCCAAGCGATGGCGCTCGGTCGGTCATGTTGTGTTTGCCCACTCCCCACAGCTCACAACCGGCACCAGCGATTGTCAGACGAGCAATATTCCTCAGCCCGGCTCCTTTGCTAGTGGTCACGTCATGGGGAGCTCCACGCACATGTCTGCACTATTGATCAGCACTGGGATAGATCTTCAACTTCGGGAGACGGATCTCTGCCCTCAGTCAGCATCTTGACCTTGATCCCCTGGTTTCCCGACTCGAACAACTTCTCGTGAGCGGTTCCGGATCAGTATCGCTCTCAAAATGCCGTGGAGCTGATGGAGAGCACAGAACGTATATCGGATGCGAGAGATCCATCGTCCGCCAGCTCGAGACTGACTGTGAGGATGATGGACTTAGGGTCTGGCGCGCTGTATGACGTCGCGACCTAGGCACGCCCTGTGCCGGTAATTTGCGGCATCCGAACCATCGTCGGCCGTCGATATCGCGATGAGCGTCCTAACCAGTGCAGTATCACGGTCAGCACAGAGACATTGAGTAGTGAACAGCCGGGTCCGGAGATGGACTGCATGCGGCGGCTTCCGAGTCATGCGCTTCTCGATCCTTAACCGTCGCTCTCGCCTTCACTCTCGATATCGCTATCCCAGAGCTCCTTGGGAAGGTTAGGAGTCTGAACGATCGCCGGCCAGGGCTTGTGAATACCGTGTGCGCCACGGCCAACTGCGGTTAGCATTCGCCCAGTCCACCCTCCGCTCACATTTCTCAATGCCCTGGAAGGCGGCGACGACCCGATGATGAAACTCTCGGCTGAAAGTGTACGGATGCTTCAAGGGGTTGGTCTTTCTACAGGCGCGATCCAGAGCCCAGGAGTACGGGAAGGGAATTGAAGCTGCGAAGGAGAAAGGCGCACAAGTCAAGTCCATAAGGCTCTTGCCGTTCACGCCTCGAAGCTCAGCGGGATACTTGGCGTAGTCACTTTTTTCCCAGGTCGGCAAGTTGGTAATGACGTCGATGCACAGCGCCAAGTCGTTGGTCGTCACTCCAAAGATGAATGCGCTATCGTCTTCCAGCGATCGATGAAGCGCCATCTCGGCACCGTACAGACGCAGCTGTTTGAGTGCAGGTTGCGAATCATACTTGTCCAGGAAGTACAACAGGCTCTCCAAGTCCGCCTGCCACTCCGTGTAGGGTGAAGTGAACGGTAGTTGTTCCGTCTGACATGTGATAAGGTTGAGAAAGATGCGAATCACGGCAGCGCTCTCATACGTTTGGTCTGTGTGCTGAACCGTGGGGGCGGTGGACCCAGGCCGTTGGGGAAGGGTGAGCATGTCGGCGAACACGGGACTAGGATCAGCAACGAAAGACTCAGAGCTCACCTCGCCCAACCTAGGACATGAGCGGAGACATGAAAGCGGACGAAGTCGGATGCGATAAGTGTGACAAGCTTCAATTCACCTCGCGTCCAAGCCGCATTCTCCTCCAAAGGAAGGTTCACCGCGTTGTCGCCAGACATCGAGGAAGGTCACTAATCGGGCATCGATCGATGAAAGGACGGGCCGACAGCGAGGCGCTCAGAGCGCAATCGGATATGAATGTTGAGATGAAGACGATGAGTGTTGGAGAGGAAAGAGGACAGAATGGTGAATAATGTGAATCTAGAATGTTTGATGTAGTGAGTGATGCGTATATGTGTGAGATGCCTGGTTGACTGGACAGCGGCGATCCGTTAGTTGCACGTCTGCGCCCCCGCTCTCGTCCTCCCTTGTCGCCAGGCGCGACATCACCTCCCTGCTCTCATGCTCTCTCGCAATATAGACCACCACTGATGCAATTCTGTACATTGCAATGATCACCTGTCCCTGTATCAACTTCGCTCGGTACAGATGCATGTCCTCGAAGGACGGTGTGTACGGAGACCCGCGTGAGTGCGGGTGGCGAAAAGTGGAGGTTGTGGCACTTCCACCCATAACACACTCTACCATCATATCAATCTACTCTCAACGCTTCCCCTTTCTGAATTCTTGTCTTGCCTTCTCCTGACTCTTCTGGACATCCTCAGAGATGCACAGGGATGCAAAAAACTGACCACTGACAGGATCGAACTGCCGACCTCCGCATGGGCTAATTAGCAAATCTGCTTATTAGTACGATGCTCTAACCAGCTGAGCTAAGCGGCCGATGGGAATGAACGCCGAGGGCGCAGCCTCGGCGACGGCGGCGGGGGTGCGAGCGCGGCAGCGGGAATAGGTAGTGAGCGCTTTGTCCTGTGGGCACGCATGCATAGCTTAGCAAGGGAAAAACTCCGCTCTGTTTGTCAGCGCGTGCAGCTGGTCACTCTCACCTATCGGCCCGCTGCCGTGACTCCTCGTAGAGCTGTTTATACCTCACACCAGCCTTAAAACGAGAATCCTGTCTGCCGGTTTGGCCCACTTCACGTTCGAGCGCGCTCAGCACCATGAGGTGGGCAGTATTCTTCACCCCCCAAACTTCGACGGGAAGACGGCACAGCATTGGCGGTTGGAAGTCGATCGACAAAGCTGTCGCGCATAGTTCCGTGCTATCCGCGATCACTCCAAAGATGAATGCGACTCTGCCACTGAGCGCGCCCTGGCAGAGAAGTTGGGTTATGCAGTAACAGAATAGCTGGACCATGTACTCCTTACACCACTTGCGCAGGAAGCTGAGGAGATCCATGAACTGATTCAGGACGGCGTCGCTGACCCTCCCGTCACTGGAGAGCTTGCCGGGGTCAAGAGTAGAATTCTCAACCAGCCGGAGGAAGTGCTCGAGGACGACTTTGGTCTCGATCTTGTCGTCCGGGAGCATGGTCTCATGGCCATAAGCACCACTAAAGGTAAGGGTGGCACTGAGGTTAGCTTGATCGCCTGGCATGGGTTATGATTGCAGCTCACCTAGCACATTCGAGTTCAGATGAATCGACTGTGAACCGCCAGGCGTCGCTTGAGACAATACTGAAATCACCCTCATTCCAGACCGGGTGATCCTTGATTTTTCGCCCCGAATCCGTATATAGGACGCCCTCCATGGCTGTCGCAGGTACGGTGAGATGCTATGATATCGTAGTAGAGCTCCGATCCGCCCGAGGGACCGATGCTGACGACCTGTGAACGAAGCTCACGCCTCTTTGTGAGCGGTTTATATACGGCTACAGGCAGGGGGGGAATAGATGGCATCAAACCAACACAAGAAGCTGCCGTTTGATTGGGGTAGAAAGGCGCACTGTCCTAATCCGTGACGCACAGATGGACATTGGCGAAGGTCAGTGCACAAAGCGGTGGTTGTGACATATCCAAACCCTAGAGCCTCAAGCTTCACTGCGTAACTTCGGCCCATTACCCTCCCTGCGTCATCAGGCAAGGAAAGGTAGGGAATGCAGTGGGCTCAGACACACTCACGGTGGTCGAATATCCTTCCGGTTCAGCCTGGCTTGTTAGATCAGCGTGAATCTGGACAATATTACAGTGCTACCCTCCCTCCCCTTTCCTGATATGTTGCTCGAATGTCGACCTCAGCTCCATGAGCTTGCACCTGTCGCGCAGGATGGAGGAGACATGGTACAGGGCGTACCTGTGTTCGGGTCGGGTTGCGCTAGCTTTTGTGGAACGAGGCACAGCACTCAGTGTAGCCAGCACTGGAAACTTAATGTGATGCATTCGGTGAGGGGAAAGGCAGTCACGCCATCGCTTTCGCCTCCGCTAGGAAGCGACGAAAGGTATCGTCATGCAGCATCCGACGCATGGGGAGGCGGGTCTGACACAGGGCATACAAGTATTCCGGCCGCGCCAGCCTCCAGACATTGGGCGGGATGCAGCTGATATCGAACGGTGGCCACATGTTGGTGATCTGGCCGAACGTGAGACTGGTAGTGCACAGGTACGGGTCGTCGAGAACGGCTCCGAAGCAGAACACATCGCGGGGGCTAACGACAGCGCTCTTCATCAGCGCCTCTAATTCTGTCGCCAGCATTGTCAGGATCGGCCCGCAGTCCCACTTCCAGAGGAAGGCGAAGAAGGGCATGAGTCCGTCGAGGCCGTGCAGAATGGAGCCGTCGACCTTCTCGGGCCACCATCCGCCGGCAGCTGCGGTAAGGGCGAATGTTGGCGGTTGCCGGACAGCGAGGCGGACGAAGAGCTCAACGATCGCTCTTGCCTCGATCTTGTCGTCTGTGAAGTGGATCTCCCGCGGTCCGCCGCAGGGAGCGTCGCGCAGGACGTCGCTGCTTGGTCAGCTAAACAACAACTTTTCCGAACCTTGCCTGCAAAAGGGACCTCGAGTCGATCTTGAACTGGTACCCGTCACTTGATATGAGAGTGAAGTCGGTCGCGCCCAAGCAGGGACAGTTCTGCCCTTCAACGTTACCACTGGAAGGATTCGAATGGTTTCCGACTGCGTCAGAAGGAGGCAATTGTGTAGTCGTCGGTGGGTCGGAAGACGGTTCCTCAGACAGAGTCGTGCCCTGGGGCGGTGGTCGTTTGAAGGAGAACTGCCCTTTGACTCGATTCTAGCGAGACTTGATGCGGGCTGTTGGGGACGTGTCGCTCGGCACTGCGTTGTGCGGATTCGACGCGGTGATGCCGGGAGTGTTGGACTCCGTGACATCGATGGCATCTGTCATGATGAACAAGTTGAGTGATGTATCGAGTTGCGTGATGCAGAAGAGGGAAGGCTGATGACTGTCTGGAAATGATACTGTAGACCTTCCTCGCGGGTGGCAACAGACTGACGAGTTGCTCGATGTCATCGACGATGTGCGCCATCCGCGTGACCAGAAGCCTGGGTTGGGACGCTCGAGTAGTGGGTCCTTCCGGATCTGACCAGGCGCCGATCGCTGCAGGAGATCGCGACCAGGGCGAGGTGCGCTATGTTGGACCGGATACAGCAGGGCATCGCAACGGAGGTTGGCGTATGGCGTATTGGAGTACCAAGTAAGGGAGCCGCGATTGGTCGATCTGCGCAAGGAAGACTGGTTTGGAAGGGAGGGAAGACCAACCTGTTCAACCGCACGCCCGCTCCCCTGCCCCTCTCCTGCACTCTGAGCAAGCTGTGTACGCCGAGCACTGGTGTAGAGAGAGCTTCTCGGGTCCGCGGGCACGTGCCTCTATTGAGCGGGGAAGATTAAGATTGCGGCGAGGGGAGCTGGAACCGGAGTGTGATTCGTCCAATCGTCCCGACATGAGCGGCGAGAAGCATGGCGGTACGAGGTCCGCCGCTGTCGGCACTCGGCGCGGTCGGGGCAGCAGATGCGTCGCGTGTTAATCGTTATCGCAAGAAGGTGTCTCCCTTCGTGCAGCCCCTTGGATGTCGGGTTTCGGGCGCTGAAAGAGGCGATTCGGCGACGAGACGCCAAAGAACGCAGGGGAAGTTTAGGGTTCAACGCGGCGTCCTCTCCCTTTTGTTCGTCTGGATGAATTCATGGCGGCTGATTCATTGTCTCTTGCGCGCTCCGGGTGAATTGTCGAGGACTGGATCATAGCCGCGCGATCCGGATTCCGAGAGACATCGCGGAACAAAAGTTGCAACTGGCATGGGCGGCGGCGATGATGGTGGATGGCGGAGTGATGCAGTGCGATGCAGTGTTGACGTGTGTGGGGAGCATGTGCCGGAGAACGGGTAGAGTGCCGTAATGGGATCCGGATCAAGGGCGCGTACAGGGGCAGTGGACGCGGTGGAGGTGGAGGGCAGCCTTAGGCGTCTCTGGCGGTGGGCTCAGGAGCGGTTGAGCCAGGACGCGTCCAACGCCCTGGGATCCTGTGGGACAGCGCGCGCTACGGTGGTACAAGGCGTCGGTGCAGTGTGTGCCAGCTAGCCAGCTCGAGCACTCCCGTTACTGTCACTCTCACCAAGAACCACCTGCTCAACACGCTATCACTCATCTCAATCCCTCCAGTGACCTTGCCTTTCGATCACCACTCTTAATTTCTCTGTCACTCTCTCCTGCACCCGACCCACACCCCGCTCTTTCTTCCCATCTCTCTCTACACTTATAATACTACTACGGTCCTGACCACCGGCAAACGCTCCAAATGTGGGTCACCTTCCTTCCTCGTCGAAATCCGCTGACAGGCAGGCCGCTCCCGATCGACAGATCGCAAGGAAACGTGCGTCCCCTTCGCTCGACCACATCTTACTGACAAGCAACAGGTCGCAGCCCTCGTCAACCGCTTCCAGATCGCGGCTGACAGAGATGCCCGTTTAGCAGCGCGCGAGGCTCGCCGTGTCGTCTCGGCCCCTGTCAAGCCCGGCACCTTCCTCGACGGCAACTCTGTTCTGGGCTTGAGCTCAAGCTTTGACTCGGGCCCGGACTCAAACTCGACTACCAGCCTTCCTACCTCGATCTCGACCCCGGCCGTCGTTGACGCCTCCAGCATTCCCTCCATCCCCAGCATCTCCTCCGCTTCCCCCTCTCCCACCGACCCCGAAGTTGATGCAGCTGCGTCCGCGCATGCCCCCGACGTCTCAACACAGGAGTCAGATCCCGCTCAGGCTCCCTCTCCCCCTCCGTCCATCGGACAAGTGGTCGACCAGAAGCAGGGAGGGAAGGATGACAAAGACAAGGAGAATGCTTCTGTGAATCAGTCGCACGACGATCACCCCCGCCGCCGCACCGCACCGAAGTCTCCGCATGCAAGCCACAAAAGCCCCTTATCACCGTCGACGACGACCAAGCCGCTGTCGCATTCGCGATCCAAAGCAAACTTACGCCCTGACGCTACCACGTCGCCTCGCTCGACCAAGTCGACTCCCAAACTCAAACCCTCCTCGACTGGAGGCACGCACAGCTCGACCTCGGAGCGACTGCGCGAACGTGAACCTCGTACCTCGGCGTCTCCTCAGAAGCACACAGCTAGTAGCTTGGCGAAGAGCAAGAGCCGCCCCCAATCCCCGAACGACCACCACACACCGCACCCCCGCCCACGCAGCAGTGTCGGCAGCTCCCGCAGCCCTCCTGTGACAACAACGGCGCCGCGTCGCCCGCGTACATCAACAGCCTCGACAATCTCGAACGACTCGACGCCTCGCAGCACCAGCAGCACGTCACGGCTGATGCAGGGCACTGCCGCGAGCCGCGCGCGTGCAGCGGCCACCCGTGCCGAGGCGATGGCCACGCCGACCCGTGTGAAGGCACGCACGTCACGCGATAACCTTGTCACCTCTCCGTCCTCAGCTAGCAAGTCCTTAAACCGCAAAGCCTCCCGACCTTCCCTCGCTACCGCCGAGAAGGCGGTTGCGCGCGCCGAAAAGGCCGTGAAGCGTGTTGAGCGTGCACTCGAGCGGTCAGGACACAGCGACTCGGGCCACAGCGCCGAGCACGAGCCCGAGCCGGAAATCTTGGCCGCGTAACACTCGTCCACTCATTCCACTCTTTTATGCGTGCATAGTCACGACTTGGGACTTTCTTGTGGAGACCTTAACGCTCTTTAGATTCCGCTCGTGGTCGCGGGACACACTCAACAGCAGACCGAGCGAGTTACGGCGTGCGAGACGGCAGCGATAGACGACGATAATGTGTAGCTCTGTGGTATAACTTGCATGTACGGTATTTCGGGGCGTCCCGCAGGGCTACTGATGTCAGAGGAGCTTGTGCAAACGCACCAATCTCGACTTTGCTTACAGCAGTGTCAAACGCCAGCCGCTTCAGTTGAAGCGCTTCCCACTCAGTGACCCCTACGGTAGTAACGCAGATTCGTGTCTTTGAGAATCGGATGATGTCCGGAGAAAAACCCGGCCTCGACGCTGTGCGTTGGTGCTCACCGCTTCACCTGCGGGTGTTGTCCCTAATAAAGTCGAGTGACACCGCGCGGATTCGATTCTTCTACGCAGTGGCAGTGGCGATTTGACTCCTGGAACAGGGCTGCAGAGGACGATCTTTGAGGGAGTATACGTCAGTCGCCCGAATACCGGTGGCAACATGGAGGAAACAGGTTCGAAGCTCCAAAGCTGCGCCTTCCATGGTGGAGGAACCAGCGGCCCTCAACCATCCAGCGGAGACTCACGTTAACCCCATATGCGCGTGCTCCGCGTCCTGCCGAGGTGACTAACCCGTCTACCCCATATCTCAGCGGTGCAGTACTCACGTTGAAGTGATCGTAAGGAGTGAGGAGCTGTTGTGCTCGTGTCCCAACACGCCTGCTCGCTCGTTGCTTCCGCTAGAGTGGGTGGCGACGGCCCAGATCGGCCTGGCCACCGATAGCTTCCGTCGAGCCTCGAGCGACGAGCTCTGCCCCCGCCGTCGCCACCTAAGGCTGACTGTGCAACGGGGTCAACAGCGTGCTCGCAGCACCTCGTCGCGGAGGCAGACTTGGTCAGACTGGCCAGACTTTGGTGCCGGCGCAGCGCTCCTGGCCGTTGAGAGAGATATAACGACCCCCGTTTGGAGGTTACTGACCACAACAACGTCTCATCGAACAACTCACCTGTACCACCACCAGTTCTCTGTTCTACTACTCAAACACACTCTTTCTCGACGTTCTTTGACTCCCAACGCTCCATCTCGATCATCTACATCTTTTTTCCAACTCAAAACACCCAAATATTCAAGATGCAGCAGTACATCCTTGCTCTTGCCATCTCGGCTCCTACCTGTGAGTCCTCACATCTAGTTCGCAGCTAACAGGCAGTCTTCATCGGCCTTGCCGTCCTCGCTCTTGTCCTTCTCGCGTTCCAGATCGGCGTGCGCAAGCCCCGTTCTGTTCGCAACGACATCGAGTCGAACATGTCTACCCCGTCGCTCTCCTCGACTCTCGAGTCGCAGAACACGGCGTTCGTCTCGCTCCCCTCGCCTCCTCCTACGGCCTACTCTTCCTCGACCACCCTGGTCTACTCTCCCGTCTCGCTCTCCGGAGCCTCGACCCCGACTCTCCTTTCCAAGTCGCCTCTGGCGCCCGCGCTCGCTCTCCCCGCCAAAACCGTGCCCAAGCACGTCGCCCAGCACCCCTTCCTCCAGTCGATCAAGCATGACGAGGTCAAGGGCGGAGACGTCGACGCGGAAACCCAGATCTGGAGCGCTCAGCGCCTGATCTCGGACAAGAACAAAAACGGTACCCAGCTGGTCTGGACCGTCGCATAATCGCACATCCTCTCTCATCTCTACGGAGCTACGGACTCTACGGACAATATCTCGGCTTCTACCAAGGACAATCTCTTCTATTTTGTACTTCAATCTTTTAATGTATTACTTCTTGTTCTTCTCGTACTATACTTGTTGCAGAAGAGTTGCGAAGCTTGACTGAACATCAGCGCTGAACGGTGGGGACAGGGTATGGTCGCTGTTTGTTTACGAGTGGCAAACTCTCGGTGGCAAATGCGCAGCCCATGGTCAGAAATCGAGAGCGACGGAACCATCCAAGCACTCACCAACTGGTAGGATTTGCCACCCAGCGAGGTTTGCCACCGTTAGTCCTTTGCCACCCACGTACAGTGCGTTGCGTTGCTGCCCATGTGAGAGTGAGAGGCCACTCTCTGAACGGCGGTATATATCTCTCGAGCCCCGGTTTGCCACCAGTCGTCCGCTCCTGCTTATCAGTCGCCAGCGGTTCAGAGACCGTCATATCGCAGCACTGGACTCAGCACCGACTCAGCATTGCAGCTCGACGCATGACGCAGTGGCAAAGCAGCCCCATGAACCTTGAGGTTCTGGACCCTCAACCCGTCCACAGTCCGAACGACAGCGGTGCTGCTCTTCTGATTGGCATGCTCACTCCGAAATGTCGGAGATAAACTGATAAGAGCCCTTCCATTCCTTCTTTGTTTGGTTCCAGTCCCACTGCGAGACTCACGGAGCTCAGCCTCGAGACCGGGGCGGCACTTGCTGCTATGGTCGCGTGAGGCTGGCCGCCTACGCAAACTACGGCCCGTAGGTGCTGAAGAAGTCGCTGCGAGCGGGGGGACGGCGGCGGAGTAGCGCTCGGACGTCTCGGAGATCACGGGCGAGCCGTCGGGCGTCAGTCATGGTCGATATCTCGGGTTCAACGGACGCAAGACCGATGCGATAGGGAGGCGGAGTCGTGCACAGCGAAGCCTGCGTACATTCCGTAGTGGCCAGCCTGTGTAGGTGAAATGGCATGTTCCGAGCAGCGGAGGCGGCTCTTCGGCACCGCTCGCAATCACCCGCGGCAATGGGAGGCGACGGCGGCATCGCCGCCAACTTGGCTAGCTGTCCTCAGGAACAACGAACGTGCATGACTTTCAGCGCAGCGCTTCATTCTTCCGTTCTCCATCTCATCTCGTACGCATGGGTCTCAGCCAGAAGGAGAAGATCGTCCTCGGCGTGTGCATCGGCGTCGGTGCGTCCCATCAAATTTTCTTTCGCTGACATCCAGCGGGTCTGCTCATCCTACTCATTACTTGGCGCTGCGTTCTCGGATGCAAACACGCGCCCAAGGATCTCGAAGGACGACGTACGCAGGTTAGAGCGCAGGCTGCTGCGCGAGCTAGGGCTAGGAGGATGCGTTCGGGGGCGTACTGGGCCGAAGTCCCCGGATCTCAGTCTCAAGGCCAGAGCGGCAGCCATCATGGGCAGCACCACAGTGGCTGCGATGCCGGCCCTGGATACCATGCGGGGCACGATGGGGGTCATGATGGTGCCGGCGGTGGGGATAGCGGTGGAGGTGGAGGCGGTGACTAGCGCGCAGTAGATCGTACGCCATGAATGGATGTCTCATGAGAGCGACCATCGCCCCGATGCTCCATTCTTATGCCTCTTCATCGTCCTTGTACGAGCAAAACCAGGCAATCAACAATCCGAACAGCATGTCGACATTCACTCCTGATCTGCACATGAAAGATCGAGGGGTGGACCACCTCCACCTCCACTTTCCGCGATATCTTTGCGGGGCCTCAAGCACTCGTAACGCGATCCGCAGAGTGGCGCCGCACTGTGATCGAAGTGTCACTTGAGCACCAAGTAACGAGTCATGTGGAGATCCGAGTCGCCTGCTAGCCCGCGCTAGCCGTGGCGACGGACGCAGGCTTATCGGCTTCATTCGGCGACTAAGTCGCGGTGGCGACGACAAAATTCAATGCTGCGCAGAAAGGCTGGGAATTTCCGTAGTGCGATCATGAGCTGCGTTGCTGCGTTGGGGAAGGCGAGCGGCGACATCCTCTCCTCATTAAACAAATCAGTCGCCGCTGACTAGCACCTCAACCCATTCCGCCTCTCTTTCCTTGACTCATCCAGACACGCTCTGTTCAGCCAGTGAGCAGCTCCTTATGCGCGGCGGGCTGACAAACAGTGAGCGACCCCTTCCTCCACAACGTCGTGCACTTCGTGCGAGACACTGCACGCGAGACAGCCGAGCAGGCTCAAAAGGCGGCTGCAGAAGAAGCGCAGCGCCAGCATGAGTCGCAGATCCTCTTTCTCATCTGTGAGTAACCGTTCGCTTCCGATCCCCGCGAACACAAGCTGACAGTTCGCAGTCATGGGCGTCGTGGGTGGCTGCTGCCTCGTCATCGTCCTTCTGTTGCTCGCCGTCCACCTGCGAGAGTGGGGGCCAGACCTGTGCCTCGAGATCAAGCTGTGCTTCACTCGGTGCTGTGGGACGCGCAAGCGCAATGCTCAGAGCGACTGCGAGGCACAGGCGACCAGCACATCGGGTGGGAAGACGCATGAGATGGGTGACCTGCCATCGCCAGCCGCATACCCCCGATGCCTCGAGGTGGCGGTGTCCCGATCCAACCGAGTGACGCCCTTCTCCTCCAACATCTTTGCGCCTAGTGAGTCAACGTTGGTGGCGGGGGCGGAGACGGCATCGCAGCGCTCTTCGCAGTCGACGGTGATCATTCACAACTGTTGGGACCGTCCCAGGGACCGTGCTACGCATGCAAAGGCCGGCAAGGTCGAGAACAAGGAACGCACGGATGAGTAGACCTTCGATTAGCCCCTAGCTCCGGATGTATCTTGTATCGATTGACATGGTAATGATGGCTTCACTGCTCAGCCCAGATCTCACGCCAATGACTCACTAGTGTGCGCCGATGGTGTTCGGCCGTATCGGCCGCCACTCCTGCGAAGCAGCCGTGACAGCGACACAACTCAAAGCGGCGCAACTCAAAGCGGCGCAGTATGGCTGGTCATCTTCGCAGTGCACAGTAGCGAGTCGGAGATGGCAGGAAACAGCGTGCGTCGTATAAAAGTCCGAGAATCGGTCGAGTGTACGGATCTCAACATTCGCCATTCCACTCCAGAAAGACTCACCAGTGAGCAGATCATGCGCACGCAGTGCTGACGACTAGTGAACTCCAACTCGGCCGCGGAAGAGATCTTGCGTCTGATGCAGGAGGCTGCAGCCGAGAAGGCACGGAAGAAGGCCGAAGAAAAAGCCGAGACTGAGCACGATGAAAAGATAGCCACCATCGTTAGTAAGTACTGGGCCGCGAATCACGATCTCGGGCAGGCTCTTTGGCTAACCCATTCCTAGTCGGCACTCTTTGTGGAGTGGCATTCACCGCCATTTGTCTTCTCTGCGTGTGCCTAAACTGGTCAAACTGGTGGGGCCACATTCAGCGATTCTTCGCGGGGCTCGCATGCGGCTGCAGGCGTCGGCGGGCGCGGACCGATTGCGAACAGGGGCCCGACGCCACCCCGGCAATCGATAAGGAGGGAACTGCACCCCACTTCGTGGCGCGTGCCTGTGGCCAGAACGAGCTTGCCCTTGATCATCCCAGTCGTGCGTCCATCGCGCCCTCGCATGACTCGGACGCGACTGCAGTGGCAGACGCGCAGACGTCGGCCCATGTTGCGACGCACCCCACTGTCGCCCAAGACCACCATGCAAGCGACTACAACGAGAAGAACATTCAGTCCGAGCAGGAAACGAAGGAGGCTAAGGACGAGAGCACCCACGCCACGGTCGATTCCTACCACAACTAAAGTAGCTTCGGATCAAGGATCCCACTAAGATGTGGAGCATGCATGCGTTCTTTTGTTCTGAGGATATAGCTCACGGAGTGGCTTGGAAGATTGATTCAATGGCGGCGGCGAGCATGGCGCTAACGGCTATACCGGGGTTGGGGATGTCACTAGCACGGATCTGATCGATGGCAGTCGCGTGAGTGCTGCCCTAATCGCTCGCGAGAGTTGTTGATCTCGTTGCGAGGGATGCCCAATCGCATGCATATAAACGCGCTGGGGATGTGGGGATGTTCTTCCACCATCGTCTTGTCTCAAACGCTCGCTAACTTCTACGTTCACTAGTGAGTCTCCCCGTTTGTCCAGGACTGACGAGCAGTGTCATCCCAAGAGAACGCTCCCCGCTGCGACTACTCGCCAAAACGACAAGAGGAGAGCTCGAACCCTGAACGCTCGTTTCTCGACGAAGTGTTCCATGGTAAGTCTTACTTCCACCCTCGTCTCAACCGCCCATGCCACATCTCCGGATCGTGTGACACAGCTAACACTCTCGACAGGCTGCTACTTCCTGATGGTAGTCTTCGCAGTCGTCGCCTCAGCCGGGCTCGACTACTACCGCCAGAACTGGACGTACGAAGGGCTCCGAGAGCAGGAGAGGGCTGCGCAAATGTGCGATGAGCCGGAAGTGGAGGAGAAGCAGTTGCCGACGCCGACGCCACCCCGGCGGCGCTGGTTCGGTGCGGGCGCTTGCTTCGCCTGGCTCTTCCGCTCTCGCCGTTCCCGCTCGAAGAAGTTCACGAAGTCAAAGAAGTCGGAGAAGACCAGGTCGAAGCGCTCTTCCATGTCGACTCCTTTGACCGTCTTCGAGGTGGATGAGACGGCGATCACTGTGCCGCCGGTCCCTTCACAGCCCCGGCCCATGCCTGCATCTCGGGGCTCCTCCATCTCGTCCCTTGAGTCCATCCTGAAGAAGGACGAGGTGGAGGTGGAGGTGACTGCGGTTGTTCTTGATGCGCCAGCTCCTGCGATGGCCAAGCGAGCCATGGTGCACTTCGATGAACGCAGCCTCGAGAAACCTCACCGCCCAACTCGCATTGACCGCAACGTCGTTGAACCCCCTCACCACACTCGCGTGCTTGGAAACATCAAGCACCGAGCTCGGACAGCCATGCTTGGCATGAGGGTACTGCCCCGCACGACCACACGCAAGCGCATGATTAGGGCGTAGTGTGATACCGCAACCGTCGGTCTATAGAGTGTAATGTTAGAGCGTTAGATGAATCGCAATTTCGGAAAGTGGAAGGTGTGTCACCATCGGGAATGCCTCACGTCAGCAACAGAGGCATAAACCGACCGAGTCACGACCCCGTGATCGGTGGAAGCCCACGTGAATGCACAGCAGGCGTCCCGACTCGGTCTCGCCTCCGCCGCAGCGCTGTCGCAGCTCTATAGTTTAGTTGAACTCTAAGAAAGCGGGAAGCCGAGCGCCGGCAGAAGGGGCTCAGCGGCAGAAATCATCAGTATCATCGCGAGTTTATCCGAACACCATGTGCCACGCGCACTGGCGTGCTCTGTTTCTGACAGCCTGGCCAGGCCACCGACCGCAGAACACGATATTGGGCTCGGAAACCTCTCCGATCTCCGACACGCGGAGCGGTAGTTCGGAAGAGTGATGCAATCGGGCAGATATGCGGATGCGGCCGATGCGGAGCCACTCTGAGTCGGGGTATGCTCGGTCGGTTTTCTCGACTCAGGGGCAGAACTGGTAAACTACCCGAAGCTTGCTTTCATCTCTCCACTCATCACGCGTTGCGTTCTGTGCCAGCGTCGCACCAAGAGCAAAACCGACCGATTGCATAGATAGCATGTGAAGGATCATGGTTGCTGCGCGGAGTCACGTTGGGTCTGTTGGGTCCGTTGGCCTGCTGTTAAACTCGCAGAACTCGTAGACCTCCCGGCACCGGTCTGAGAAAGATACATAACGCGATGTCTGGGGAGGTCTCTTCCCAGCACGTCCTTTCTTGGTCAAAGACACATAGCATAGCATGAAGATGGCGCCCGTCAGCAACGGAACACTCTGGGCCATCATTGGCGGTATCGGTGAGTCACCCTGGCCTCACACCACCGGATCACCATCAGCTTTACACCTATGCTTCTCACTCGCTCTACCCGGTGCTAACCACAGTCGGCCCCGTGATTCTTTCCGTCCTCTTCTGCATCGCAATCTCAGTCCACTCCGCACGCCGAGAAGCGCGCGACGCCGCCCGCCGTCTCTCCTCTTCGGGCGCCCCCACGACTGAAATCAAGATCAACCAGCGCCGTCTCGAGATCCGCCGCATGGTGCGCGCGCAATATGGCGTAGGCGGGGTCGCGCGAGTCGAGAGCCGCAGCTCGGACGCACCCCCGACATATGGCAACAGCTGGAACGACACGACGCTCGAGTACGGCGACGGCGTCATGCCCCCCGCACCTACTTATTGGCCCGGTAGTCGGCCCTTGAGCGTCGCGAGTGGGAAGAGTGTGGCGACCTCGGGAAGCGGAGGAAGCAGGGATACGGTTGATAGCTTGGAGAGTGCGCCCTCCCTGTATGTCGATGCTGAGTCTGAAAGGAGAGACGTAGAACAGATACAGAGGAAGTAATCGAGCCAGAGCGGGAAAACCTTGTAGCCCAGCTAGTGTGTAGACTATGATGACAGCCATGACCCATAGCTTGCACGACCACGCGACGGATGGATGGCAGTCGGCGACGCGGAGGCCGAAAGGGCTGCGGAGTAGCATTAGCGTCTAGAGCTGTACTCTTTGAATGTGGAAGAGAGCCATTGAGCACCTGCAGAACACATGGTCGGCAGATGTTGGCGCGTGCTTGACCCACTTGGCGCGTACTCTTCGCCTTAGCGCCATCTCACCCGGCGATCGTTGCTCGGCCAAGAGGACACATATAAAACCACCCTCCTTCACCTCAAGTATGCCAACAGCCCAACATGATGGACACGGGTGCCTTGTGCGGGCTGATCATCGTCTGTGGAGGTGAGCTGAACAGAAAGCATAATGTGCTGACGACCAGTGGCTGGCATCGCGCTCGTGATCGGGACCGTTTCGTGTGTCGCCCGATTCATGCCCCGGCACGAGCAGAGATATACCGAGAAACCCTTGCGGACTGGGCGGTTCTTTGTTCGGAACAGACGAGCATTGCACGATGAGTGGTCGAGGTTGGAGTGCGAACTCAGACAGCCGGAGCCTGCTCGTGTGCCGAGAGGATATCGACCATAGCTCGGAGTTCTTGTTATTTTGTTCATACACAATATGAGGGGTCCCATTTGCTCTACTGCTGTTTTTTTTTTGGCTTTTCCGTTGCTTATCGTTTCGGTCCTGTCATCATTCTTCGTAATGAGTGTGTGATGTCGAGGGACCAGCCCCCGAGCCACGGGTATCGGTGCTTCATGCCGGTCCTTCTGAAGTGCGTCGCGAGCTCGCTTGCGTTGGGAGTCATCGAGCTACTTCCTCGCGGCATTGTTTTGGTAGAAGCGCGGGTGTCCGGGAGCGAGATACGTGCCCGACTGGTTCGGTCGCTTCGACACCCTCAAGCCGACAACCTGGAAGACGCGCCTCAAGAGGCGGGCGTCGTGAACGGTTCGCACGTCGCCATAAGCCTCAGAGTCGGGCACTGCGAAAGCGCGCGGGAAGTGAATCTCGCCCTTCTCTGGAGGGTCAGCTTACTCCTCCGCCTCTTGTTGATCCTCTATAGTCCACTTACGTCCTGTAGCATAGACGAGCTGAAGGCTCAGGGTGATGAGGGCCCTCGCAAACTTCTTGCCGTGCGTGATGGGGTTCCAGCGCTCGCCGGCCAGCTGAACCGCCAAGCGGTAGGGCTTGGGCAAGAGCTTGTTCCAGCTCTCCGGCAAGGTGCGCTCAGCGCAGTCCTCAGGCATGGCGCGAAGGGCCCTGGCGAACAGCGAGTTGCGGGTTCCGGAGTGCACAAAGGACACCCGGCGGTACTCGACGAGGAGGTCGTAGGCGGCGGCGACGCAGTTGGCCTGACACGCGAGGACAAAGGCCGTCTCTGCGTCGATGCTGTCGGGGACATGGTGCACCATGATATGCAGAGCGGTGCGGAGACGCTTAACTCCGCGCTCGGAGGCCCACTGGGTGAAGAACTGGAGGGTCTTGGTCCAGCGCTGCGCGATCCGGACCCTCTCCTCATCCGAGACCGGACCCTCCGCATCCTTATCCCTAACAAGCTCGTGCAGGATGCCGGGCTTGAGGACGATACCGAAAGCAATGTACACCACTGCCGACTCAGCTCCCGGGATCAGGTAGGAGCCGTTGCAGTTTGGCCGCTTGGCCGCCAACGGTGGGAAGTAGGCGGCAACGAGGGTTTTGCGAATCTCGCCGTCCGCCCCGTCCCGGGTCATGAATTTAAGCCTACGCCTCGGGTCCCCTCTCACCAGCGGGCCATCCCGCATCAAGTCGTCATCCGACGTCGAGAGGTCGAACGGCTGGGCTCGTCCCATGAAGAGGAAAGTGTCCGCGGCGTCGTCCACGTAAGCCGGCGGAGGGCCCGTATCATAGCGGACAGGAGAGAGCTCGTGCTCAACCTCGTCCTCAGACCCCTCTGAGATGGAGGCCGGGACAAGAGAAGAGCTGGTGCCGGAGACAGAAGCCGAATCAGGGGTGGAGTCAACGTCATTGCCAGAATCGGAAGAGGAGGAGGTGACGTCGGAGCTCATCTCGGAGTCCTCCTCCTCAGGCAAGCCGGTGAGCCGAGCGCGGAGCTCAGCCCATGCATCAGGCGGCGGGATATAGAGGGCCGAAGGCTGACCAGGGTCGCCGACGGGGAGACTATCGTTCTGCACCCGTTGCTCAGGCTCAGACTGAAGCTCAGGAGGCGGTGAGGGCGATCGAGAGGGAGGGGTCGGAGCAGGCTGAGGTCCGCGGAAAACGGTCGCCACACGCTGCCAGACGCTCTCCGTGAGCAGCGGCTCAGCAGTGCGGTTCGGCGTCGGCGAGTCTGGCGGCGAGTAGGTCGGTGTATAGATCGGGTCCCGCGTGTCGGGAGGAGGAGTACCGAACGGGCACACCGGCGGTGTGGCAGGCGGGCGCAGAAGGCTCCGGCGAAGCCCAGTGCGGGCTTCGCGTCGGGGAGGCGAACGGTGAGACTTGACCGGCGCCATACCGGCTACCTGAGGTTGAGGGTGGGACTTCTGCTTGAGAGTTGGTTGGATAGGTCCTTAAGTATCTGGGAGTGAGCTTGCGGGTTGAGGAAACGACAAGAGTCACCTTGTGGCCGGCTTAAGTATCTTGCATCGGGAGGCATCTTGAGAGCTGGTGGACAAGGCGACGTGCATGCGTTTGCGGACTGTTCATCAACATATACTTCAGTTGATCAGTTCGTGAAGCGAGACCTTGTGTGGATGCACCGCTGATGGACTTGTGCCACTGTGTGCAGCTGGACTTGGGTGACGTGAGACAATGGGCTCAACCCGAGGGAGGCGGTGCCCAGTGATGATGATCGTTGTCCATCACGGAAACAGTTGTTTGCCACTCTGTCATCATTGGCCGGACGTGAGTGATGGACAATGGAGTCAGGTGGATTTGCTGACGGGCATACGGACGATGGTCGGGAAGCCGGGGAAGGGAGCGTAGTTGCGAGGTTCTGTCGTCAGCTCTCACGGCGACAACAGCAGCTCACGTTGCCGCTCAACCTCGAGCGCGGCGGTAGCCACCTGGACGAATTTGTCCGCGAAACGCTCGACCTCGTCATTGTCGTCCGAGTAAGGCTCAAGGTCCACACAGGCTCGCAGGAGCGCATAAGCCTATGCTTGAGGCAAGACACAGAAGAGCTCATAGGGGCTCTGGCCGAGGATGAACATGCTCTCCCGTTGCGCTCCATGAATGAGTGCCGGATGACCGAGTCCTTCGCCCATTTGGCCTGGATGGTCTGCATAGTTGCGCGCGTACCGCATAACGGCACCGCGGCAGGCTCCGAGATCGTTAAGCAGAGCGCAGAAACGAAGGCGTTGGCAAATTGCAACTCGTCGCGCAGGATCGCGGCTGAGCCTATTGATCGGAGTGTCGTGACGCATCGTTCGCAGCCCCACTTGTCAAGGAATTGGAGAAGGTGATGAAGAGACCAGCGCCATTTCCAATAGTCGTCAAAGGGGAAGCCGTCTGCGTCGAATCACTCGAGATGAGCTCGACGTCGCCGTCTCGAAACCGGTCGCTGTTTTTGACATCGGCCATAGTGTGGTTTGAGGCGGATGGGTCAGAAAGATATCAGTGGAGGTATTGTTGTTGACGGCGGGGAAGGTGAGTTGTGGTCGGGTGAGCGGAGGTGGTGAGTGGAGGTGAGCAACACGACAGCGAGGGCGGGGAAGGCGGTCTCGAGAGATGTAAACTCAGACAGCGCATTCCCGTCAGCTGAGCACCCTTCAGCTGCTGTCGCCGAAAGCAGCGGCCGTTCGGACCATGCGCGCGGATGCGATGAAAGTGTGTTTGAATATTTGGACACGCGTTGACAGTGGTGGAAAGTGTGCGGATGGTCATGACATCTGCTGAAATCCGTTCGAATCCATCTCGAGACCGCGAATTACCGGCGAATTCCATTTCATGCCCCCTCGGGAGGCCTGCGGAGCCCCCACGATCCGCGCGGACGCCTCTGACGTCCGCTGTGTCCATGGGGGGAACCAGATTTGCGCCCGCAGCCACATACCGTGGGAGATCTGATGCGGGGACGACGGAGGCATTTTCGGCACGTTCGCTAGACGACGGGTGCGAGGCCAAACTCCGGCAAGATGTTTCCGCGATTCCGGTGTGGAGAACCGGTGAAAAGTCCAGTCTTTGTGGTGCTGCCCGAGGGGTCACGGGTTAGTCGAGAAAGGAGAGAACGAGGAAAACAGCGGAGGTCAGTGAAGAGAAGGCCAGCTGCAACGAGTTCGTAGTGTCCGGAGGTGGTCCTCCTGCTATGCATTGCTTGATTTGCTTGCCTATAGAGTTTACAGAGCCTCGACAACTTAGGTGTTGTGTTGGCGAAATCGACGAGAGAAAGAGAAACAAAAGATGAGATGGAAAACTAAGGACAGTCCCTACACGAGTGACGGTGCACCCTTTTGTTTTTTGCTGGTCACCAGAGGAGGAGTGACTTAGAGGTCCTCCTTCTTGGCGTCAGGGCGGAGGGCACGGACGGTCTTGCCGGCGCGCCAGATCTCCTGGTTGTCGATCTCGTCGAGCTCCTTCTGGAGGTCCTCGCGGTAGGTCTTGCGCGAGTTGAACTCGAGCGAGCGGCGGGTCTCGGAGCCGTCACGGACCGACTTGTAGAGGGCCTCGAAGACGGGGAGGTTGGCCTCCTTGAACTTGGGGGCCCAGTCGAGGGCACCACGACGAGCGGTGGTGGAGCAGGCGTTGTACATGTAGTCCATGCCGTACTTGCCGATGAGGGGGAAGAGCGACTGGGTGGCCTCCTCGACGGTCTCGTTGAAGGCCTCAGAGGGCGAGTGGCCGTTCTTGCGGAGAACCTCGTACTGGGCGAGGAACATACCCTGGATACCGCCCATGAGGACACCACGCTCTCCGTAGAGGTCAGAGTAGACCTCCTTCTCGAAGGTGGTCTCGTAGACGTAGCCGGATCCGATACCGATGGCGAGGGCGACGGCCTTCTCCTTGGCGTGGCCGGTCACGTCCTGGTAGACGGCGATCGACGAGTTGATACCACGGCCCTCAAGGAAGAGGGTGCGGACAGTGCGGCCGGAGCCCTTGGGGGCGGCGAGGATGACGTCGACGTCCTTGGGGGGAACGACGTGGGTGTCGTCCTTGTAGACGACGGAGAAGCCGTGCGAGAAGTAGAGAGTCTTGCCCTTGGTGATGAGGGGGGCGATCTCGGGCCAGGTGGAGGACTGGGCAGCGTCGGAGAGGAGGTTCATGATGATGGTACCCTTCTCGATGGCCTCAGGGATGTCGAAGAGGGTCTCACCGGGGACCCAGCCGTCCTCCTGAGCCTGCTTCCAGGACTCGCCGCCCTTGCGGACACCGATGATGACGTTGAGGCCGTTGTCACGGGCGTTGAGGGACTGGCCGTGGCCCTGCGAGCCGTAGCCGATCATGGCGAGGGTGTCGTTCTTGAAGTAGTCCTGGAGACGCTCGACGGGCCAGTCGGCACGCTCGTAAACGTCCTCCTTGGTGCCGGCGAAGTCAAGGGTCTTGACACCGCGGGTGGCCTGGGAGGTTAGCTACTGATATCAGGAGACAGCGGAGGCAGTGCTGAGAACACCTGCTAGCTGATAGTGAGATACTCACGCCCATGCGGGAGGCGGCAGCGACGGCAGCCTTGGGAGCCTGGCGGGCGAGGAGGGAGAAGGAGCGCGAAGCGCGGGGGACGTTGGCGCGGACAGCGGCGCGGAGGGCCTGAGTGCGGAGCGACATGGTGATTGAGTGGAGTGGGGAAGAGGATGGGTGATTCTGAGGTGAGAAAAAAAAGAGTTTGGCCTTTTATGTTGTAGGCTTGGTGGTGGTTTCTTCCACCGTCCGGTTACCTCGCTGTGCGCAGCGTAGCTCTCTCGTTCGTCGAAGGGGGCTCAGCCGATTCGGTCACCCGTAGCAGACGTCGCGACTCATTATGGTCGATTGATGCGTCGGGCCAATGAGATCCCCCTATCAGAGCGGGGTCTCCTCCCTCGCTCAGGTGCAGAGGATTCTAGCCCGACCAGCCAGGCCGCTGCAGGCCGCACTTGAGCAGCTGTCGTGTGTTTCGACTCAGGCGCAGACCCCGCGGCTTGGCCAGGCGCCAGGCATTATCCACCACTCACCCAATGCCAGTGCGCGGCAGAGCCCAAGACGTGATCAGCCATTCATGTCCATTATCCCATATTGCCCGGTCCTGCGATCCTGCAACCCTGGGCACTACACGTAGCCGCCGTCCCTCGCGTCCCTACCAGGCCGATCATCCCAGCGGCCCAGTTGCGCTCACCACCAAGCAAGCGGGGCAGTGAGCTCGGCCGTCTTCTTCCTCCGCCTGCCCGAGACCACGCAGCAGACGCATGCATCTCACATGGTGCGAGTCTGAAACTGACCCGTACGCACTGGCCCATCCATCTGGCCCTCCTAGCTATCATCAGACCTCTCGGGGCCACCATCGACTCCGGCTTGACTGCCCACATCTTGGCCTGGTCAGGACTTTTTCACTGGTCCTAGGAGGTCGGACATTTTGCGCCGTCTATTCATCGGAAAAACAGGGTATCGTTAGCCGAGCACTTCTTGCGCGATTCTGCCGGAGACTCGAGTCCCGCCGTCGTTTGGCATGCCGGTCAGTCACGTGCTCTGTCGTCTGGCTGCCTCCTTTCGAAGATCCTTCAGCTCCTATGCAGCTCCTATGCAGCCCACCCACATAGACACGCGACACAGTTACCCACGGTGCCTACACGTCACATGTCAGTCACCGGCGGTGCCAACCGCATGTCGTCCATACTCCCGCGAGCCGGTCCAGTGACGAAACAGGTCCGGCTCGCCTTCCTCAGCTGTCCACATTCCACCTAACTCAACCCACAAACACCATGGCCGACCAGACGATCAAGGGCCCCGCGCCGCAAGTCCACGACGGCTCCAAGCTGCGTATCGGCATCATCCACGCGCGCTGGAACGACGAGGTCATCAAGGCCCTCGTTGACGGCACCCTCGCCCAGCTTAAGAAGGCCGGCGTCAAGGAGGAGAACATTGTCCTCAAGTCGGTCCCGGGAAGCTACGAGCTGCCGTTTGCGTGCCAGAAGTGAGTTTCTAGCCGGAGCTGCCGACGCTGCCGAAGGTAGCGGAGGCTCCGCAGAGGTGGGCTGTGAGGTGCGCCGCGTTTTACCGGATCCCCGGAACTTGCCAAGCTTCGTCTAGAGATGTTCATGTGTGGAAGGAGTACACACTTCGCAGCTGGAAGTGCTGGGCCGTAAGCTAACAGCAGGCTCATCGAGGGCGGCAAGACGCAAGCCTCTGGCGCCAACTCGCTGATCAGCACGACCAACCTCCTCTCCCTCGTCGAGGGCGAGGGAACGGGAGGCACCTCGACGCCGGCGGGCGACAAGGCCGGCGCCGCGAACAAGCAGCCCTTTGACGCCGTCATCGCGATCGGCGTGCTGATCAAGGGCTCGACGATGCACTTTGAGTACATCTGCGACGCCGTCTCGCAGGGCCTCATGCGCGTCCAGCTCGACTCTGGCACGCCCGTCATTTTCGGTGTTCTTACCTGCCTCAACGGCGACCAGGCGCTCGAGCGCGCTGGTATCGGAAGGAAGGGCAACAAGGGACACAGTGAGTACTTACCACGCAGAGAGCGAGAGGGACGGCCGAAGGCCTCTGGCAAGCTAGCATGTCGAATACGGAAGCTGACTTGCAGACCACGGCGAGGACTGGGGTCTCGCTGCCGTCGAGATGGCCAAGGCTACGCAGGAGTGGGCCAAGGGCCACATCTAAGTCACCCGGCCATCGCTAGAAAGTGTCAAAGGGATTTATCTGAAGTTAAAAGGCAAGCCAGCCAGAATCATAGACGTGATGTGACTTCTGTTTCTTCTACGCTGCCATACCACGCTGCCGTACTGGGTGGGCTAGAGCCTAGGGGTATGGCATCTGTGTCTGTGTGTACGGTATCAAGTTGGTTCTGATCTGCAGCAATGCTGCATCTATTCTATGATTGAGGTTGTGAAGGAGGGTGAGCGTAAAATGCCTCTACTTCTTGTTCATCTTGCGCTTCCGCGCCGCGGCGGCCTTGCCGCCCGCCTTCTTCCTGCTCCCTCCGTCCGTGTTGGAGGTCTCGCTCTCGCTGGCGCCGGGGGTGGAGTCGGGCGACGCCGAGGCCTTGCCCGTCCTCTGGGCGCGGAGCTCGGCCGCACGCGATCGCAGGCGGCCGGCGTTCGACGTGTCGACGCTGCTGGTGCCGGGGCCCGAGGGGACCTCGTCAGACACCTCGACGTCCTCTGCAGAGACGCGGATGTCCTCGACGACGACCTCCTCTTTCGGTCCACCCGTGACCTTGTAGATGAGGGAACGGGCGACGTTGCAGGGCCAAGTGCGGAGGAGCGAGGGGGGCGTGGCGAGCTCGGAGAGCGGGTGCAGAGATCCGTCGTCGTGGGGCTGCATGTCAGCTTACGCCACTGCCCAAGACAGCTTCCGCCGTTGTTGACAGCAAGCACACAGAGTGCAACTGTCGCCGCACACTTACCAGGTAGACCCATCCGTCCTCAACAACAAGCTCGAGGCTCTGGTTGCTTCCCTCGTAGAAGGGCACGCGGACCTTGCGGTTGGCTCCGCGGGCCTGGCGCAGCGCAGCTTCAGTGAAGTACTCGACCTTCTTCGAGTCACGGGCATAGTTCATGCGCATGACGACGTAGTGCATGAGAGCGGTGAAGAGCACGAGGAAGCAGATCACAAAGCCCATTCCGGGACGCCAGCGAGTGTAAGCGTAGCCGAAGCCCTTCCACTTGGGCACTCCATTCTTGAGGAAGAACTGCGAGTCAGCTCGGTTGAGGCCCCACAAGCTGGAGAGCGTACTCACGTTGTAGCGGTCACGCCTCTCGCCGTCACGGAGGATGCCGGTGATGACACCGAGACGGGCGAACTTCTGCTGAATGCCTGGGACACCAGGGTTCTTGTCGGGGTGCAGCTCGAGCGAGCGCTTGCGGTACGCCTTGGTGAGCTGGGCGGGGGTCGCATCCTTCTCGATGCGGAGGTAGGAGTAGAACGTGACGTCGTCGCCTGTCTGTTAGCTACCCCTCTGCACTCCGCCAGCATACCTTCCTCGGCCTTCAGGTCGTGCACGAGGTCGAAGATCTCGTAGTCCTCTTTCGTCCACCTGCACGTCAGCTTCGCCATCAGGCCTGGAGCTCACGCAAGGGCGCAAAGCGCACAGAAGAGCGCGACGAATAGCAGCTGGATAGACCGCATCGTCAGTCTGCCTGGTCGTTAGTGATGAGGAGGAAGACAATGTCGTTGCCGCAGAAGATTTCGAAACACGTACGGCACGGCGGACGGGACGCTGCCGCAGGGTGACCAGCAGGGAAACGGACGTGGATCCGGCGCGTTCATTGTTTCAGGAACAGTCACCACGTGGGCGACATTGCCCAAGCTCACAAACCTCAACAGAGAGGAGCGTCATCGATTGTTTTCAACAGCTCGCCCAGTCCATCCCCCTCCAAAAACAGGCAACATGGTGGTGAGTTTGCAAGAATCTAGTTGACACTATGAGGATACGAAGAGCTGACCCCAGAAACTCATCGTCGAAATTGCGATGGAGCTCGAGAACATTGCGAGCGTCAAGCCCGCCCCGGACTACGAGTACTTCTTCAACGTGAGCCTTCCCTCTTGCCGCCTGCGACAGAATAGTTTAGTCCTTTCACCCAGAAGCTAATGACCAGGTGACCTGCACCTCCTGCCGCGAGGAACACCCCAAGGTTGTCTCCTTCAATCAGCAGGATGAGCACGAGTTGAGCGGCTCGCGAGGGAGCGCCAACTTCGTCTGGCGCTGCGGAAACTGCAAGGTGAGCATCTCCTCGTTGTTCTACGCTGACATGCAGCGTGAGCAGTCGTGCTCCTTCACGCCAGTGGGAAAGGACAAGTCGACTGCGCCGCTGCCATACACCTCCGACTCGGGGGCGCTGCAGCCGCTCGTCGCGCTCGACTGCCGTGGTCTCGAGGTGACCAAGTTCCACTTCCGCGGCAAGTGGGTCGCTGAGACCGAGGGAGGAAAGGAGATGGAGTGCGACTTTGACGAGGGGGAGGACCGCTGGGACGACTACGACGAGGATGGAGGCGTGCCCGTCAGCGTATCTGAGATGCGGAGCGAGGTCAAGCGCGGTTAAGGTCAATGATACATGCACATTTATTACAGGTTCGGATACGATGATGGGACTATGGTTTGACACGATTCACAAGCAATGAAGATGGTTAGGTGAGGCAGTGTCCAGGTTCTAATGTTCGAGATAAAGTGAGATTTCACCAGGTGACTCGGTCGCTGCTGCCGGAGCAGGACGCAGACAAGGCTTACGCCCCGAGCATGGCGCGCAGCTCCTTCTCCTCCTTGAAGCGCTCCTGCTTAGCGCGGATCTCGGCACGGCGCTGGTTCACATCACGTCCAGGGGACTTCAGTGCGGAGATTCCGCTCTCCCTCGTCCGTGTGCGCGCAGCGTACCCGTGCTTAGCCGGAGACTTGAGGGGCGACTTGGCGTTCATAGTCGCTCGGCGAGCCGGCGACATGGCGGCGCGGCTGCTGACGGCAGCACGAGCGGCGCTTGATCGCGGCGCAAGTGGCCGAGGTGCACTGATCGTAACACCAGGGCCGAGGGGCGATTTGACGGCAGGCACGGACGACTTCGCGGTCGAGAGCTGGAAACCCGTGCCCAGAGCGTTCGCTCGGGAGGTCGCCTCACCAAAAGGGGATGAAACGGAGAACGAGCCGAACGAGGTCGTCGTCGGCGCGGACGAGTTAATCTTGGACGACGAGACCACCCTGGTTGAGTGGCGTAGGTTAGACGACGCGGGTGGCCGGACGGTAGCCTGCATACGCGCTCGAGACGCTGCCGTCGGAGCACTGAGCTTACTGGTCGACGACGCGAGACCAGTACGCACGCTGTCGGCACCGCCCTTCTTACTCAGCGAATCAGCCGCGCTGACTTTGCGCACGGGGATAGAGCTGTTAACCGGCTCCCCAGTCGGTCGCCCCTTTCCGATAGTGCTGGCCGCCCGCGAGCGCGGAGAGCTACCCTTCGGAAGGGAGCCTTTCGAGAGTGAACTTGGCGAGCTGCTCTTGGAGAGCGCCCGCAGGTTGCTGGAAGATGCCTTGCGAGTGACAGTCTTGTTCAGCGAGTTGTCGCTGGCGATCCGATCCAGGTTGCGGCTCCTGAGGCTACGGGAGAGTGAACCCGTGCTGGAGGCGGAAGACCTGGCCGACCCGATGCTGTGGTCTTTGATGGGCTCCAGCGTTGAGGGAGGCAGGTTACCGAAGTCGGGAATCGGCTTGCGCGTCATGGAAGCACTTGATGAGAGCTTCTTGGCGGGCGAGCCTTTCAGCGGGGCACCCTTCAATGGCGAGGTGCCAGAAGCAGTAGCAGCGTTCTTGCCGTTGTCGACTGCGCTCTTCTTCGTACCGGCCAGCACGTACTCGCCGTCGCTAGTACAAAGGTCCGGAGAGCTGTAAGGCGTCTCGGACGTCGTCGCGGCCAGCGACGCCCGCTTCTGCCTCAGAAGGGCAAATTTGCGAGCACTTTCTGGCTTCAGACTGGTGCGTTTCCGAACGGGCGTCGCGACTGGCTTGGCCGGGGCTCCTCGCACAGATTCACGAAGCTTGTTGAGTACCTTAGGAGCTGTTTTTGTTCGCTTGTTGGTAGCCTCGGCGGGCGCCTCCCTCGCGGCCGCCATCTTGCGCTTGCCAGCCTCGACAGACTCCGCTGGTTCAGAGGTTGCGGCGAGCTTGCTGGAGGAGGAGTTGGAGCGCATCTTGGCGAACTCCTTCTGATGAGCAGCGGCGAAACGGTCGGCACCGGCGGTGCTGCTTCCCAACCTCAGACCGAAGCCAGATCCGGTCCCAAGGTTGGTGTTGGTCGTGACAAGCTTCGACATTTCCGCCTTCCTGCCCTTCAAAAGCTCGGGGTTGAAGGTCGACCCTCCCAGCTTCGCCTGCATTTCGGCGAGAAGCTTGGCACCAGCATCAGTGAACTGGCTGCTCGAGACCTGCTGACCGGCCCCAAAGACAAACTTCGATGGTGAGGCGACCATGGTCGCTCCGATGATAGAGGGCGATCCAACAAATGACTTCGAAGCAGTCACGGCCTTGGGAGCGGTCAAGTTGTCACAGTCGACGTCCATAGCGTCGGGGGACTGAGGGCAGGTTGGGGATCCTGGAAAGGCACCGGGGACGCTCTTGTTGGACTTGGGCGTCAGGCTGTTGACAAGAAATGTTGGCAGTTCCGGATAGACCTTCGTGACTTTGGCGGCGGGCTCGAGAATGACCGGCGGACCCTTGGAAACAACACGCTTCTTGATCTGAGCGACGGAATTAGGGCCGGTTAGAGGAAGTTCGTCGGCGTCCCAATTTTCTTCAGCGGCGTAGGGCGAGGTGACAAGCCGAATCGTACTGGTCCTGTGGTGCGAAGGCGCCGATGACGTTGACACGGCGCGCCTCGAACCCTGGGCGTTAGGGTCGGGAGTCGATCCGATCAGAATCTCTGAGGGCTCCTCGTCGTTGACTGAGGGGAATGCCTTCTTCTTCGCAGGAGTTGTAGGCAGTGTTGCTGACTGGACCACTCGAGGTTTCTTGGTTGTGACTGTGGGAGACTTGAGGGTGGCGACAGAGCTGCCAGAGAAGGTACGTTTGTGCAGATGACGGTGTGCTTGGGATGCAGTTCGTCGAATTGATGATGCGAGTGATCGGAAGCTGGACTTGTGTTGACGAGGAGGAGGTGGTTTTTCTTCAGAATGGTCTGAATGATCAACAAATGTTGTTTGTTTACAAGAAACTTCAGGGCACTCACTGGAAGCAAACTCGTTGAGGGCTGCGCCATTTGCCGCCGTCTTCCACGAGGAGACGCTAGCTTTGCTGCCGGCGGTGCCGTTGCTACTAGCTGAATCGCCGACAGCCCCGGTGTGTTTCTCCTCTTCGATTAGGCTGGCGTTGTGCTCGTCCAAGACCTCCCAGGTCTCGCTGTCGCGGGGGAGGCTCGCGGTCGATCCGTTGATCCTCAGGTCGTTAACGAGAGGGGTGAGACTGGCACTGGGTCGGGATGGTGTCTCGAGGGGGTTCGGGGTTGTCGCAGTGTTGTTGTTGAGGACGCCCTTCGCCGCAGGCGTGAGTGTTTGGCCGACTACGGTTAGTACCTCCACCGCCTCCACTCGAATGCATCCGGGGGAGCCACTCACAGTCGTAAAGTCGTTGAGCTAACTCTGTGTTCTTTCAAGTCAGCTCCCGGCCGGGAATGTTTGATTCCTACCTTACCACTAGCCTTGAGGCCATACTTCTTCGACAGACTGATGAGCTGCGGTCGGCGGAGGGAGGTGAGCGCCGCCGCACTGATCGTTAGCGTGAAGTTCAATTCAACGGGAGGGGGGAGGATACGCACTTCCAAAGGATCTCGTGCTCGCTCTCGCCCATGTTGAGCAGTGTTGAACCGCCGTCGTCTGGCTGTTTCAACAAGGGACTGGCTGGGTGTCGAGTATATGAAGATTCAAGGAACCACCAGTCGTCTGGCTGTTGTTTGTCCCCCTGCGTTGTTTATCTTCCCACCAAAGACAGTCACGAACGGAGGTGGAGGGTTTGCTTCCGTCACGCACATCGCCATGTGTGGAAGATGCTGTTTACACTGCATTTTCTGAAACTGATAACGAACACCGCCTTCTTGAATTGGCACTCGAGATGCATTGATGGACCTTTGACGAGTAGCAACCCCGAATTCATGTTGACGCCTCACTCAATCGGGCTGAATGGGGAGTGCACAAGCCCAACTGCAGTGTCCAATGCGCTCCGCATTTTATGCTGGCACTACTCTGCACTTTTACCGGAGATGTGCCTTGGCTGAATGGTGAGGTCACTGGGTCCCATGATCTCACAGACAATGGAGCGATACCGACGATGTCTTGACTGCTGCAACATTCTTCTTCCTCTCTCATACTTGCTCATCTCACAGTCAGTTTCTTAACACTCACGTTGACCCACGTTGCCATCCGTACGCATGGACATTGTTACAGCTCGACCTTCAAGTCCTCAAGGGAACCCAGTTAAGTACTGCACCTCACTGACAATACGCATCACGCAGAGGGGGACGAAGAGCTCCCCTATTGCTCTGGGCAACGTCTCACATTTCATTGCATATGGCGACACAGTGACGTGTCTCACGTGTACTGAGACAATGGCAGTGACGATAGTCGCAACTGGCCAAACGAGATGGATATCTGGCTCGCGATAACGACAGCCCGTTTCATCCCCCGAACAATCCCTCACCCCTTACTCACCGATTCTGGGGTTCTTATGTTGAAGATCGTCACCTGATCCAACGTGACAGCGATACTAACTGCAGCCCCTGCTCCCGACGCCATAACCATTGCTCGCTCCCCTTCGCAGTCGCCGGCGGTAACGTCCCCTTCTCGGCACGGGTTCCACACCGCCACCAAAGCTGCCGCCCCTTGGCACCTCACGGCTCAATAGTGACGGCTCGCTGCCAAGTTACTGCGCACTATTCGACGAGGACGACATGGGGCTGATCGGACCGAGGGCTGTGTGGAGACCGTGTCGGGACTGCAGTGCCGTTTAGCAGGCACGCGAGCTTTTGAATCAGGGGAGCAGGGCGCTTGGAAGCATTGATCCGTGACGGCATCCCCAGAAGTGACCTCAGGATTGCCAGGCCTCTCGATTCTGGCAAAGGGGCTTGATTGCATCTACCAGAGAAGAGCTGACCGAGCTGGAGTGGTATATCCTTACGAGTCCTTGCGCCGAACCTGGATGGGTTCAGGACATTGACTAAGCTCAAGTGCAGAGACAGTTGGCGATCACACCGAAGGATGACGACGAGCCACCTGAGGGGCATACACACTACTGCGATCCCCAGACTTGGTTCTGCAGTGTGGTTCCGTGTACTCCAGGCCTTTCCACCAACAGACTCTTCACAATGTGAAGGATGGGACCTCATCAAGATCAACTACACATCCTTTCGAGGCACCGATGACCTGCTTAGCTCGCTCCAGGCACACGCCAGACATGTCGGTAAAGCCAACGATCAGGCTACGCTCTCGCTCTCGCAAGAACATCGGGTGTTCTCAAGCTGTGGAACGTCCCGTGTCTCACTCTGTGAGACATTGGATACGCTCGTGGAGCTAACCTAGGAACAACTAACGACCTGACGTCCGTTGACACCGCCCTTGCGCATTCAGGTGCTACATTTGCTGGTAGACCGTTACGTCGGTGACGACCTATGCGTCGCTGTGCTGAGCTAGCTAACTCTTCGCTTGTCGAGCGCAGCTCAGTGTACTGGCAACCTGAACTATAGGACTTTGAATCGACATGACATGAATCGACTCGGGCAAGCGGAAACCCTGCATTACGCACGCATTACGTTTGCTGCGCCGAAGCCGCCCACGCCTGCCCACATCCGCCGAGAGAGCCGCCTGGCAGCCGAGATGCGCGTGGAGGCACCTGAACGCGTGAGACGTTGAAATACCGGACGACTGAGGTCGGCTCCCGACACGTTATGTAAGGCGTTGGTGGTACCATGAGGGACCATCAAGACAGCTCTCGTCATCACCGGATGGGCGAACCGAGAGACGCGTCTTCGGCCAGTAGGGTCGCTGCGTTGTCCGCTGGCGATCCTTCAGGACTCAGCCGCAACCCAGCGTTACTCCCAAGGGGCGAGAAGGGGTTTAGGCACCGCTAGTTGTGGCACTGTGGCGCGTGTCTCGGGAGCTCATGCGGTGCGTGCACGCAAGGTGCTTGCGTGTCGGCTTGAACTCATCTGCATGGGATCAAGACAGACATGCATATCAAGTCCACCACCTCGCCGGTGTGGCACTGACGCTCTGACTGTGATGAGAGCTTTCTGAGCATCGACGTCCCTTTCCGCAATGGATACATCGCGAAACCGTTTGCGGGCAGAGCGGAGCCGACCATCTGGTTCGTTAGATGCCTGAAATGGATAAATCGGGGAGGAACGAGATCAATTCGAATTCAGTTGGTTCGTGTCGAGCGAAAGAACGTGTCACAAGGGGTACTCCCACCTCAGTGAACGACACTTCTTAGTCGAGTGCATACATGAGCGGCTTTAACGGCAGATAATGGATTGCTGTGAAGCTATGGGAGTGGAGGAGTTGATGTGGCATGGACTCGATTATTAGCGAGTGAGTGAGGGAGCGACGTTGAAGGCGTTTCGCCTTAGTTTCTCTCTGTGCTCCGATAGCTGCAGGAGCCAGTGTGAGGCTGAGAGTCAGCATCGTGAGTGAAGCTCCCACAATGGATGCTATCTTCCGAGAACTCAACGGTCATGGATAGATACTGGCAAGTGATCCCACCATAGCGCGCAGAACGTTCAGCAAGATGCAACTTCTGTCCCTTCAGTCCCCTGCAATCGCCTCAAGTAGCGAAGATCTAAGAAGCGGGCGACGACGAAGCCGAGCCGCTTCAACAGCTGCGCCGTTGATTGAGCAGGGGTGCGATACCCTGCGGAAGCCCGTGTTCAGACTCGTGCTTGTTCAGAGCGCCCTTTCTCTACAGATCCCGAAAAGCCGTATTGTTGATCACTGCCTGGGGTTTGAAGCAAAGAGTCCCCGGGATCTCCAGAGACTCAATGATACAATTGCAGAACGTCATAGCTTCATGAACGCAGAGGTAAAGCAAGATCCCGGGTGGAGGACATAGACTGTTCTGGGGGCGGGGGGGGTCTGTCAAGAGATCAGAAAGGTTGAACAACTTGCCGATGATTTGGCAACAGAGCCTCCAAAGATCCGTATAAAAGGTCTTTGAGATGCAGTGAATGCAGATAGAATGAGATTGGGTCTCAATTCATTACAATCTGGCATGACCATTGACACCCAAAATCAGTTTCATCGCCGGCGTACCAGGGGATCTGTAGTGAGCTTGAGCTGGCAGTGAAGCATTGTTTTGGCATGCGTAGGCTACACCTACTGGTGAAGGGAGCGGCGTATTAGCTGATGGGACGAGCGGAGAACCCGGGGGGATCCGCTGCGATGACTGTCGGAGAGTATCCGCCGCTCGACCTGCAAGCTTCACGCTCTATGGCTGCTCATGTGGGACCAATTGTGCTGCTGCCCTTGATCCATCAATCTAGGTTCAAGTTCCCAACCCATCGTCTGCGCACTTTGATACCAGATGATGCTCTGCGACCAATTGTTCGAACCAGCTCAATGACTGTTAGAGAAGCGGAAAACGGGGCCGTCCGGCGGTCTCATGATCCCAACTTAACATCCGATGAGACGGCGTCAACATCAACGGACCGGTGATGAAGCGACGAGAAGCTGAGACTTAAGGCCGATTGGTGTGCAGACGACCCGTAAGTGCGAACTCGGAGGGTGGCGGGCTGCGTGATCGTCGTAGAAGGCGTTGCCAGCGGTGATGGCGAGTTGAACGGACGTGAAACTTGGTCCTTCCCTCAGATCGTAGGTGGATGGCCCTAATGGCAAGTCGCGAAATAGCTGTGGTCTTAGGAAGCCCAAACAGGCGTCGGGTGTCATTCGGTACGTTCAGTGGGAGCAATTGCTGCAGATGGGGTTAGGAAGACCTGTAGGGTCAACTGAAAGCCAACTACTCTTAGTCACTTACACGCCACCGTCGCCACCAAGGAGGAGGGTTGATAGACCATGACGCCCAGTTCTGCGCCCCGAACTAATTTTAGAGCTGCAAGCCTGCCGTACAGGAAGGCCAATAACGACTGTGCAAGCAGATCGAAGGTGAAGACGAAGTGAGCGATTCAGAAGTCGAGTTGTGGCGATTGACACCAGGTCCACGGAAGTTGGCGTCGGTTGATCCTCCCACTGTCTCACTTCTCAGGTACCACCCGGGTGTGTCTCCCTTGTTCCACTTTGCCCTCTCTGCCCTCACTACCTTTCCTCCGACATTCCTTGTCGTGCAGCTAGCACCACCTTGCATTCCTGTACCTCGTGCCAAGTGCTCATTGCAATCTGCCCCTGCCCCTGCGATCGAGATGCCTCCTGTTCCTGTTCGGCGATGGTCTCTGGTGACATGGCAACTCCTAAGGGGTCAGCGCAGCATGTGTGCGGGGCTGTTGTGATCTGCTAAACTGTTAGAAGTTCTCAATTGTACCTAGCGTTAGAAGAGCAGGTCGTCGGTGCCTTCCCGATGGATGTGCAGACTTCTGTCTGATGGTTCAGCCGTGCGAGGGAGTTGCCGTCTTGTGGCGGTAAGAGAGCATATCAAACGATCTGAGCCTTGAAGGCCGGTCCGCCCATCGCCCCGAGAAGACGCTCCATGAAAAGCAAGAGAGGAATCTGTGAAGTGCCGGGCCTGAGCAAGCGCTTCCACGGAAGCTACTCCTCGTGCTCTGGGCTCGACACTCTCCGCGACGGTGTGGGATCGGCGGGACGAGGCTGTCTTTCCATCTCCATGGAAGGCGCGGTGTCCCTCGTAGAGGCAATCGACCACAAGCTTTCTGCATTGTTGACAAGGCGGAAATCACAGACCGCGTCTGTTTCGAGCACTGAGAGCCTCTGTGCGCGCTGAAAAGTCGGCCAATGACCTGAAGCCATCAGTGGGTTCAACGTGGACAGCTTTCAGTGCTTTCGCTTCAACAGTGAGCCAACACTTGACGGCAAAGTGGGGCATAATTGGATGAAGGTGGGTGCAATTCTGAATGTGCAGATGAGGAGTTGTTTGATATCCGCCCCCCAAAGTTAGCTTGTCGGAGGAGTCTCTGTCGGTGGGCTGTCACAACTTGCTAATTGCCTGCAAGCCGCTTCAAACTGTGTCCAACTGAACGATCGCATGGCACAAAGTGGGATCTCTCAGCAGGCGGGTGATGGGTCTGCGTCCCTCCGGAGGGATCCTATCATACCCTTCTTGCTTCTCCAACACTGCATTCGGTGCCCTGCCCAGAGGTGAAGCCTCGCTGACGCGATTCCAGATTCCAGCGGCGTTTTGCACAGGGCCTTCTCATCGAGTACGTCTCCCGCTGAGTTCACCGGGCCCTAGATTATCCCGTTATCGGGGACGCAGGTGAGACATCGCGCTGGTGCCGGACGCCGCTCCGAGACCTGAAGACCGTGGTGGGACTGGCTTGGGTCGGTATATCGCAGTCCGTCCGGTCTATACACGGCTCGTATCTGAGTGCTTTCCAAGGGCCCAATTCAACGTTTCCGCTAGCTTGGTACGGCATCGCGGACATCGCCAAAAGGACAAGATGGGTCGCGAGCCTGGGGAGCCGGAGAGTGGGACTGAGTCGGACGGGGAGCCCTCCTCGTCGATGTCCACCACCACCAGAGCGCCAACTGTCAGCGCCAAAAAGTGGGTTCGCTCCGCGCTCCTGTGGTCCGCGGACTGTTCTTCGCACCACGCAAGAGCCCGCTTCTTCACCTGCCCCTGTCGCCCCCTCCTTGACCCTCGTCTCATCTGTTCCCCCATTTCCATTCCCCCCTCGATGTCTTGACATTCCGATCCGTGCGAGTCTTGGTCGATGTCCAAGGTGTCAGAGCTGATCTGGTTGACTGCGTCGTCGGGTCGTCTAAATCGCCTGGAGTGCGCAGCATCCGACGCCTTCATTTTAACCTGAACGCCATCGAGGGTCTTAAGGATCCAAGCACTTACGCCACCTGATTAGACCCTCCTGTAGTATTTCAGGAAATCGAAGCCACCGTGCTGCTCCTTCAGTGATGGTGGCGTCGCCACCTGTAGCCGCCGGGAACCGTGGTGTACTTGTCGTTCGGCGGGCTCTTCGGCCGTTCTTCGCAGGTGTCGCCGCGCTGGCAGCGGGGCAGGAGAGTCGTTACGGGGCGTTGGCGAGCTCGAAACGGTGATCAATAACGGTGACGAGTTCTAATCCTTCTACCTTCTGATCTTAATTCCGGTGCAGGCGAAAACGTGCGCCGCGCATCTGCTCAGATCTAAGAGGCGCGCATGGCGATAGTGGGTTAGCGCGAAAAGCATTGATCCACTGGTTCGCAGTGCCATCGCGCCCGTCTCTCGGAAGCTGTCTTCGGTCAGTCCTAGCCTGAAACGAATGCTGGTATTGTTCGAGATGAGGCTCAGCCGACGATATCGCTGAAGGAATCGTAGCGTCATTCTAGCAGCCTTCTGGACCTCCCAGTTGTGTTGTTTTAGTACTCAGCTGCCTTGTCGGTGAGTTAGAAACGAGCAATCCTGTTAGGATCCTGTATTGCTGTGTGTCGCTGAGATGGGGAGGCTCTCGTCCTGCGCGCTGTGAGATTCTGACGAGCTCCACTCGGCTTCTGCTCGCGCGTTCGTCATGATTTTCGATCCGTTGGAAAGGGTCGAAAAAGACAGAGAGAGTGACCGTGAACAATGTTGGCCGTTGTTGAACAATGGTTGAAATGTAAATCCGCCGAATACGAGGATGCTGCAGAGTCAGAGTTGAGCGTCCTTGGTCACATAGGAGACAGGATGCATGACCGATAGAGGAGTACGTACTACTCAGGTTGCGTAGCTCGATGTGGCACAAATCGGCATGATGCGCAAGCTCTGGGCAAGAGGAGAGACGCGGGCGAGGGTTGGGGTTGGGTGTGGGACTCAAGGGCTAAAGGGTTGTTTGTTAGGCCCATGCTTAACCATGGCCCAAGACTCGGTTGTGCCTGGCAACGACTCCATAAGGACAGCACACCGATTGACGATCAGCAGCTGTCACTCTGAGCGGAAGCCATCCCAAGTCGAAGAGCTGTGAACGTGTGGGTGCGAAGCAAAGACTTACGTACTCCCTCCGTTGAGTACGAAGGGTCTGATCCAGGAAGCGCAAAGAGGAACAGCGGAGGATCACGCGAGATGCAGGACATCAGGCTTTGTGAGACGAGCTAAAACGGCCGAAAGACCTCAACGGGTGATCAGTTCACGCACTACTAGATGCCCGCCGTAGTGCCTAAGTTGGGTTTACGTGGTGATTCCTGGGGCAAGTCGCGGTCTCACATGTAGCCGTTAGGGAAGGCGATCCAGTAGAAACCTACTTGGGCTGGCTTGAGTAATAGCTCCAGCGTACCTTGTGGTGTCATCTCTCGCGGTGTCCTGCACCGGCCCTCTCGTCCTGTGCAATGTGACAGTGCTGGAACGAGTTGCACGAGTTTAAGAGCATGAGGGTTTGACTGTCTTGGACCTAGTCCAGCGACCTACAATGTCGAACAGGGACAGATTGAACCTACCCCCGCCCTTGTCTGGATCCTCGGAGCTCATACTCGCGCTCCAACACGTAGCCACTGCGGCGACACCTTCTGAGAGAGTGTAACCCAGTCGACAGCTGCATTCCAACTGGCCTTTCCCACGAAGTGCTTCCCGACGAGCAGTCAGACGCGGCTCAACCCACTCCACCTCGTGGTGCAGCCCACCATTCCGCCACCAATGCATGCCTGCCTGGACTACCGCCTAGCGGCAAGGCGCATGGCGCGAGGCAAGCCAGAACCCGAGGACGCCTTAAACTCCCACCAGCCCGACTTTGGGTCGGGAGGGCCCCACATGTTACGTAGGAGGGTTCTGGTTTCTCTTGGGTGCAAGCCATCAGACCCCAAGTGCAAGGCCAGTCCGGTCTTTGTTTACGTGATATGCCGCTAATTCTGCGGTTTAAATTCAAAAAAACGTTGCTGACAGCCGGCGCTTCCGGGTTTGGGACCTAGCGGACCTAGATTCACCTGGGAGCACCAGGCCAAACCTGAGGCGGACCTGGCGGACCTGACCGGACCTGATCCCTGACCATTTTGGTTGAACCAAAGTAGGGGAGGCAGTATGGGTATGGGTCGCCCGCACTGGCTTCGCAAGGTGGAAAGTAGTACGCACTCGTTTGTGTCCGGGCGCGCAAGCACTCGAAACTCAAGGCGGCCATGTAGAAGGCCTACAAGCAGTGACCAGCGACTATCGGCGAGTGGGCGGTCTCGTGCTCGTGCGTTGGGCGAAGAAAATGCATCGAGTTGAGTGATATCGAAATGCTTGGTAAAAGGGGGCTGAAAATGGAGGGGATCTAACTAACAGATACAGTTGTTGTTTGTCGAAGCTTGGTGGTACAGCGAAGATCGAAGCCCAAATAGTACAAGGAGCGGCCTAGCCAGGGCCCAGCAGTCTCTATTATGCTAGTTAGCGTATAACATAGTCGCTTGAGTGTCGAGAAAGTCCAGTGTCGTGTATTGTCCTGGCAGGAGGTCGGCCACGACCTCCCAGCGCTGCTCGGAGGTCCTTCGCCCCCCAGCTCTCTTCAGAATGTCGTCGAAGATATCGTGAGGCGCGCGGCTGAGTGATATCCGTTCCCAAACCTTCATTCGTCATCAGGCGTGGTCCAGGTCCCAGTTTGCGTCTTGCAAGTGAAGATCAATTCCCAAGCTGGCGAAGTGTGTAGTCAATTCTGTTGTTGCTGCTGAGGTTAGTTTGATCCTAGCTTGAATCGGTCCGTAGGGCCAGAGCGAAAGCCGCTACTCTGATAGATGCTCACGAGGCGCGACAAACTGGTGAAGTGGTACGACGCGGAAGCCTCCGGTGTGATAGACATCCAAGTAAGAGCCCACCGACCTGCTACATGATCAGTCCTATTCAATCATCATCACTTACGGCTGCTGATGGTCCGGATCCATTGAAACCCTTTGAAGCCAGAAACGCAGTCTGAACTCTCCGGGCACGCGGATGGAAAGGTCGGGAAAGAATGCGTAACAGCCTGTCAGATTTGGATCGTTCACGGAGGGCAGGAGATGGGTCATCTGCACCCTTCCACCGTACAGGGTGCTGTGCGCGACGGTATCATCCTCTCGGAGCCTGACTAGAGAGGCGTCCTCTCCATCTATCGTCTGCACGGAGACCATCACAACCAGCGTAGCCAGCTCTTCGGGCGGTCTGGGGTCGTCAGTTTCTCGGTTCTAGATGCTGGACGTCAGCCAGAATCCACTCACGGCACAATGAACTGTTGCGTCTCCGGGTCCCAACAGTCGATCTGAACGACTAATAGCGGCATTAGTTGTATTCGAGCGAGCTCTTGAAACATGAACGCTGCTCCTGTATTTGGCTCCTGTATCGGTGTAACCCGCCAGCCACTGATAACGTCAGCATACCGGATGGCAGATGTGGATCCAGATCGCTCTCGTGATCGTCCCCCCGATCGACTCACTATCGCTCCGTCGGTTGTATCGTTGGGGGCGGCACCGGGGTGGGCGGGGATGACTGCGCTCGAGGTGATAATGTCGGCTCCTCTCCATACTGGGTCGGTTGTGCGCTTTCACTGTCGTCCGCGTCCATAGCCACTTGAGATCGTGAGGTAGCTGGCCTGGCTCCCCCCAGCGAAGGGGTCGATTGAGACTGGTGTTCCTGTTAACCGTGTCAAAACGTGCGGAGAGCAATGGCAAGAGTGAAGTTGGTGGAGGGGGTTCAAGGATAAGGGTTGGTGCCGGCGGTGGGGTATCGAGATGGCCAAGAGTGGAATGTGGCTGTGGTATAAAACGTCTGAACACCAGAAGCAGTAAGAGTTGAAACCGCCAGGGCCGACATGAGGTAATCGGTGCGGAGTCTGCGAATGGTAGGAGGAGGAGCCAGAGTGATCGCGAGGAGGGGCTGATGCCGACGGGGCAATGAATGGAGACAAGACGAGATGGAGTGGAATGGGGTGCTGCAAGCTGGTGCGCGAGGAGGCCAGCGATGGTAGAGCCTAAACAACCGGACGACCCAAACCCAAACCACACGAGACCGACTCAGCAGAGACGGTCATTAAAGGGGGTGGCAAAACAACTCCCTCCCAGGCACCGCGTCACGTTTACACTCCCAGGCAGTATCTGGGCAGCAATGGGCAAGCCTGCGCAGAGAGGACGGCTTAGCGCTGCCGTACACTCTCCGGCACCGGCCCCTTCGCCGATGACCCAAGGCCAAGCCGCCTAAGGGGCCAGCGACCGACGACCCAACGCGGTCAGGTCGTGCTCCCGGGACGGCGGTGCGGTCATCCTGGCCGAGCGGAACGGAGAGTGCAGAGTGACGCGGCCCAGAGTTGGCGCTGCATCTCGCTGCCCCCTTCAGCATCATGAATCAGACAGAGACCGTCCACCAAATGGCAGGGGTAGAAAGCGTTAGGGTCGCACCAGAGCAGAAACAGAACCGCCGTTTAGCAGCTGAAACCCACGCAAACGCTGGGAAGGGGGTTGTATTACAGGGTGGTCCGAGGGACGGAGAGCAGGGGCTCAAAAGCAGCACGGATTGTGTGCGCACCGAATCCCCGCCCGAGCCAGCCACTACTGGCATTGCAGGAGCTGACCAAGCATGGGCAAGGGAGGATGAGGATGCCTAGGTTGGGAGGTCGGGAGGTCCTGCAGGACACAGCGGGGCACTTGCATGCTACACCATGAATTCAGCGTCCTGCAGTCCTGCGGTCCTGCATACGTGACATAGGGAGCCGCAGGCGACCATGAACCCTGAGTCGTGATGCATACACTCAGACCCGAAAATACGGGTAAGGTCTCTCCCATTTGCCCAAGACGTGCAATTGCGCTCGCGCTTGGACATTCGGCGCAGAGGAGACCCTGCTCTCCTTGCTCCCTCACCCAGTGGCATTCAATAACCTCACTATCCGCGGCGGCTGGTTTCCCTGCCATTCGGTCGGCGTCTAGTCACGGTCGACTAGCACGCCTCCGTCTCCGTAGCTCATTCGCGCCGACGCCCACATCGTTGCGAAATCGCCAGAGGTGGCACCGAGGCGTCCCCATTCATCCAAGCACCGTCCGCTTGCGATGCCTTCTTGCGGTTATTTCGCCGATCACGCTTGCGCTTACAAGGCAAGCGCGACCCCGAAGATAGCCCGTGAGATGTGTTGATACGGGAGTCTTGATAAAATGGTCTGCGCACGGTGCACGAGAGATGGCGGAGTGCGTGACCACTTTGTCCGGACCAGGCCAGAAGGAGGGGTGGAGGAGCAGAGAAAGGGGTTGTATGGGCTGGGCTGTATGCATGCGTCGTATATGCACTGAAGCACACAAGCAGCAAACCGAAACCCGTTCAGAGGTATTCGTAGGTTATGGTGATTCCTGTACACTGACCGATCCTGATAGAAACTGGCAAGGGCATGGGAAGCATGGGGGCGGAGCAGGACGGAAGCGTGGATGAGATAGGAACAGAGGTGTTGGCTGGCGAAGAGGCCGAGAGGGGAAGTAGGAGCAGACGGACTGGACACGTACCTTTCACGGGATGACGCCGATGGATTGAACGGCAGGTGCGTAGTCTTTCTATTTGCTAGGCTGGAAGGTAATTGAGGGGGTGCCGTGTTCGCTGCCGTTGGTGTGTAACGGAGTATCGCTTAGGGTGGCGATGAGTGAAGGAGAATAACTTGTCGTGGCAACCGTATCGCTGTGCCTAGATGCTTTAGGTATGCCCTAAACTCAAAATGGCAACTATCCCTCTTCCCGGGTTGGGCAATGCAAGTGTTGGACGAGCAACGACAGGGGCAGATAGGGGCGACAGGGGAGTGTGAGAGATGCTTGGTGTTGTGGTCGTTGAGTGCCGTTTTGGAGAATGAGATGACGAAAGCGGCAGGAAGGATGCGTTCGGGAGGGAATTAATGTATTGAGCACGATACTCTGTTGATATGCCTGCTCTCCTCTTTCGCTTGCGCTTTTGCTGTAATATGACGCGATGCCGGTGATCCGCACTGAGTCCAAGGTTCTAGATGCAGTAAGTAGAAGTCGCAGACCAGCAGCGACCTCGAATACCACGGTAGATTGGCTGATGTCGGACGGATCGGGTAGTTCCAGTAGTTATAACGAGAATATCGGAGCGCGGTGGAACAAGATGGCGGTGGAGTGGAAGAAGTCAAGTTTGAAAGGAGAGACTCGCGAAAAGTCTCAAAGTCGGTCCGAGGTTCGAGTTCGAAGATGCAAAGAGGGGTCCCACTCCAGAGTGAATATGGTGAGCGCTCTTTTGTACGAATGTTGTTTGTCGAAATTGAGGCAGGGCGAGAGCGCACAAAAGCTTGTTCCAGTTACATGTACACTGGACGATCACTCGACGATGATCTGGCTGTTGCGGCGGACGCCCAGAGGAGCCAGAGACTCTATCCCTACGCTCCATACCCTTCAGGAACTCGAGTCCGGGACCCTATTACGATCCAACCCTGTCTCCAGGTCTGCCCAGTCCCTGGACAGAAACGACGGTGCCGCCGTGCCGCGCGTTGGCGTCAAGCCCACCCTGGGTGTCCTGCCGTCCCTGCATCCTGGCCCCCGCGCCTTGACATGCGTGCTCAGCTCTGGTTCCTGACTTCCTTATTCCTCGTGCTCCGTGCATTTGCAGGTTCTGGCTTGAGAGGACTGCGCTTCATGGATTATCGCACTGTTGTCCTGCGTTCCTGTCGTTCCTTACTTCCCCCCACTGCCAGACCGCGAGCATACATAACCCGTCTTAACCTATCCTGTCTCTGAGTACCCATCGATTACCATACGCCATCACTGCGCACCGACCCACCGACCCACTCAACTCGCTCAAGTGTCACCGCTGAATCACACCGATGACATGTTTGGACACGCTGACCATCGGCTGACGAGGCTGACAACATCCTGCAACGGGCCTGCCCTCGATTCAAGACCTGCCTAAGACATTTGCCATGTTGGCTTGGTGGTGGCGCCGGACACCCTGCGTGGAACCGTTTTCCATCGCCCATGGCTGATGCGGGCGGACATTGGGCTGATGTGGGACATGATGTGGCGCGGGCGCAGATATTGTGGGTTCCCTAGGTTATACAACAATAAAGGGCGTAAGGGTTGCTCCTGATGCCTGATGATTCCAGAGCTGTGCAAGACATGCATGGGCCGGGCGCGTCAGGCTCCAGCAGATTCCCCCAGATTGACCCTCGGCATGCAGGTATGGCCAGGTATGCAATCACCTGGAGGTGGCGTCAAGGCTCCTGAAGACACGGAGAACGCGGATTTCACAGGTGAGACGGCCGACCTGTGCATTACCTGGTAGCAGAGCAGAGGTCTCGGATGACGGCCGAGAGACTGGGCGAGGAACGCATGGAGTCAAAAGGCGAGGCTGTTCGGGGAAGCAACAAAGGGGCTGGGCGGAGGGAGCTCGCCGAGGCGGGGAAGGTGCCGAGGCTCGAGGGCACCGACAAAAGGCTCCAGCTCCAGCAGACCCGAAGGATGGTTGATTCCTGAGCACTTGCGACACAGCGCGCTGACGGCTTCTATGGAGCGATGCTGACTGCGCGCAGAAGTTCCTTCGGTCTCGCTCCCCTTGCTTGAGGACATCGCAAGATGTCATTTCGGGTCAGGCAGGGACATACCCGTTTTTCGCCTCACGCCAATTGACGGGGTAACAGGCATGAGAGCAGAGCACAAGGGCGCCCGGAAGGGTGCAGTGGCCCGATCATTTGGACCCAATTGTATGAGTTTGGGCAGGGCTATTTACCCGAACGCCTTCCTCGTATCAACCCCTTCCGCTCATTCATCTCTGTTTCCACTACTTCTCACCATCCACCAGATGAACCAGCACCGGATCTCGGTGGTATCATTAGCCAACTGGCAGCTGCAGCGTTCAGCCTCATGGCTAGCGAGTAAGTGTGTGGCCACCCACCTGCCTGACCGACTGGCACCCTGGCGCCAGGATGCCAGGACTAACGAACCACATAACGGCGTCGTACTGGTTGTATCCGAGGCTCCTTGGATCGTATGCAGCTACAACCTCTGAGCCCACGTTTACTCCAAGCAACTGGATGAAAGTGAGGTCAGCAGACCATGCGATACGCGATGCTGGTCCCGGACTCTACGACGCGAGAGCTTAAGCTCCGATGAATGGTTCCAACAACGCGCCTCACTGACGCGGGAGAGGAATGTGCAACTTTAACGTGGTGGGCCGGGGCGCGCGCTACGCCGAGCCATGCCGCATCAGTTAGACAGCACTACGGATATCAACCTGAAGACCTCATTTACAGAGATGCCTGCGCGCTGCGACGCGTTCATCCGATCTCACTTTGCTGAAGAAAGGGGCTGCTTGGAGGCTGCCTAAGGGCTCATATGTCTCACATTCTCACACCCTCCATAACAATGTTATGTCATCGCAGTGAGCGATCGAACAGCGCCTCCAACATGGCGCATAGCGTGGCACCACGCGAGGTGCGTAGAGCCAGTGAAATGGCAAAAGTGTCGACAGCAATAGCCTGTTCTCCAGGACTCAACGTGCGCAGGACCTGACTAGTCGGGAGTGGGTTCGAAATTGGGACTGGCAAGCAAGGGACTTAGACGGGAGGCCTTGCAGCCTTTCAACAATACGGACTGTAGCTGATGTCAGGCCGATGATACCCACCGGACGATACCTTCTTCGCGCTCCGTCTATCTCCATTATCGCAGAACTGACCTGGCAAAAGAAGGGTGGGCTCCCCGCATTGTCTTCCTTTGCCCTCGCTCACAGCCGCGGCTGTCGCTGGTTCCAGAGCACGGACAGAGTTTTCAGTTGGGTGAGGCGTTCCGCCGGTCCGAGTCAAGTGTCGATCACCATACCTCGCATGAATCATGTCCTTATTCGCCGCTTCGTTCTGCGCCGGGGACCGGGGAACACTCAGGAGAGCGGTGTCCTGGGCGCAGCCCACGGGGACGGGCCACGTCCGGGTACCGAGCATGCGGGCCGAAGGTGGGTGGGCAGCACTCAGCTTGAGGGGGAAGCCAGAAAGGAACGACGAAGAGAGGGCACCCAAGGGTGAAAATCGGACGAAGAAGGTGACTGACCGGCTGACTTTCAAGTGCAAAGTTAATGAACGCCACTGACGCTTTTAATCAATTCAGCTCCATTCAAATCGTGATCACATCACAATGCTACCAGGAGCTGGGAAATCCTCCTAGCGCAGGTGCTCATGCTCCCGGGGCCTGGAAAACATCTCCATCCTGGATCCGATGCGTATCCCTGGACCACAATAATAGGTCTTCTGCTTCCATGGAGCTCGTTATCTCCGTTTGCTCTCTTGGGTATTATGCAATATCGGAGTAGTCTTGCGTCGTGCTCGTGCGATCGCGTCGCTGCTCGTTCGCTTTCTGCGGTCTTCATGTGGCCCGAAGGCCCGGGCAACTCGGAACCATGACTCATACCGACACGGCGGTCATTTAGCTCCCCGGGTGTCTTTAAGGTTCACGCCACTAAGCCACTGGATCCCACTGAGACAGCCAGCGTCTACTGGGTCTGCTTGTCTCGCCGAGCAGGCGTTGGAGCACCCAAAGCATCTACGGCGGTGACTAGGCCGAACCCACACTTTGGCGGCCCTCCTCGACCCTCAGTGGCCCTCCGCGACCCTCTACTGCCCTCGTATCGTTCTTTGCTTTCCTGTGCTCGCCGCGAACACGTTCACATGGCCGAGTTATGCTTACTTTGCAATCCGCCGCGTGTAAGCCCCCTATTTGCAGTCACCAGTTCTGTGGACAGGGCGATACAGAGTGGCTTGAGAACCTTGTGCTCGTGAGTGGGACCGCTCCTGACCGTCGTCTCTGCTCCGAGCGATAGATGGGCTCGAGCAGAGGTAGTTCTACCGGTCCGGACGGTGCGAGCTTCCGAACGAAGTAAGAAGACAAAGGCGACGCCAAAGTTTTCGAGGCCATAATCAAAGACGTCCCGAAAGCCGGGATACTGTTCTAGTAGGTGGTTTTGCTGGTGACGAATATCCGCTGCTCATGCGGAGCTGTCGCAATGAGAGCACTTAACTCGCCGCGGTCCGGTTGCGGTCCGACGAGTGTGGAATGCGCCGGCGACACGGACCGGTCGAACGCGTTTGACGCGGTTGCGCTCAACGTTTCCCGCGCGGTAGCGGCGAGCAGGTCAATATCCGTCAGTTAGCTTCGTACAATCTGGAGGCGCGCCTGACTTTGCGGAAGAATGATCGCATTCCGCATTATGAACAACATGAGGTCCGACAAGTTTGCATGCGCTACGATGGGAGGACTTTATCACTAACTGCACGCAAACGAGTTGAAAGACGGTATGAGATGTCGCTGACATTCAAAACGCGTGACCCACAGATCCCCGAAGGGAAGGGTCAAGCGATCTGCAGTCGGCTGATGGTGTAGCCACCTAGTTTATCCCTCCGACGTAGATGGCTAGTCGGAAGGAAGATAAAAGTGGCGGGCGCGAGGCCCTAGATGATAAGACTCATCGGAGTACGTATGACTCGTGACAGCTGACTAGGGTCAGACATTGTTGATCTAGGACTACTAAGATATGGTGAGACAACACGGCATGGCCGACTGCTCAACAAACCTCCGAAGTCCGATCGTTCCTCCTAACGATCGAGGTGATCGAGTGCGGTATGCGATGGAGGGGTTCCGTGGTCTTGGTCGGATGTGATCGCTGTGTTGTGACCTGCCGTAAGTGTCATGCCCGTCAGTTGATATGCGGTTAGGCAAGGCACGTTCATGCATGGCAGGCAATACCAGCAGTGTGTCGTCAGCATATAGGGTCACAGCTCCGCAGTTTCCCAGCTATCACTTCCAGCAGCGTTCACCGCAAAAGAGCAACCTCGCTGGCGGGGACGTTGCGAGGAAGGCGATATGTCGAGCGAGGAAGACAGCGAAAGCGTGTCGATATGTCGGAAGATGTCCGCCTCTCACTACAACTCGCCGCCCTGTGATGGTATTCACGGCGTGTTCTGCGGAGCGCGGTTCATTCTGTCCTCACGCTTCAACCTGAACAACCACGCTGAGAAAGGTATACCGGTCAAAAAGTGAGGAGTAAGATGTTTGAAGAAGAGGAGAAAGAGAAATCTTGCGCGTTAAATGAGCGAGCGAGGGCTTGGCGCGGGGGGGCTGGGCCCACGGTGCGAGAGTGCGAGGAAGGCACGGAAGCAAATTACCACGACCTCTTGGGATTAAATAATCGACAAATCAACAGCAGAATAATAAATCGTCCCAGCGTCATTTCGTCGCGTCCAGACGTCTGGTCCCACGCGGAAAAGCTCCCGTGCGCGTCTGTGCGCTCGCCGCCACGCGTCTAGGATCCTAGATTGTGACGCGACGGACGGGTCCGCCCTCCCCGCAGTGCCCAGTGCACTGCCAGCGCTGCCAGCGCGCCAGCATCCAACTCGGCACACTGAGCACTCGCCAACGATAACATTACTCGTTACCCCTTCCACCTCATAACTTTCTACTCTTACCCAACTCTCTAGACATGGTGAGTCCGACTTGCTCTTTCGACCTAGCAGGTGATCTCCTGGCGCACTGTACATCAGGGTGCGCCCTGCGTGCAGCGCATCACATGCGAACATGATCCGCTTCATCGCAAGTCGTCTGATGGACGATTCCGGTGCACGCAGTCACATTTTGCCGCCCAGGTCATTATGCGTGACAGCCGCTAACACTACACAGGACAAGATCAAGGAGGTGAGCTCGACTCGACGGGACGGACGGAGCAGCGGACGTCGGTGATGACGCGGCGTGCGTGTGCTGGCACATCGACAACGACGCTGGCGCCACCGCTCCGTGCGCACGACGTGTTCTGGGCGTTTCCAGACAACGCCTGCAGGAGAATGGTCTTACTAACGTGCAGCGTTTCACCCTTCTCCAGCAGAAGATCGAGGCCGCTGAGGAGCGCGCTGAGGCTGCCGAGGCTGAGAACAAGAAGGTGAGTTACACCAGGGGGCGATCCAAACTGACGGTGCAGTACCAGCAGACTCTCCTTGAGCGTGACCAGGAGATCTCTTCGCTCCAGCACAAGCTCTCGCTCGCCGAGGAGGAGGCCGACAAGGCCGAGGAGAAGCTCAAGGAGCTCAAGGGCTCGGCCGAGGAGGGAGACACGCACAGGACCGCGAGCGAGAACTACCAGCGCAAGGTCCAGCTGCTCGAGGAGGAGCTCGACAAGGCCGAGAAGGACTTGAAGGAGACCACCGAGAAGCTGCGCCAGGTCGACGTCAAGGCCGAGCACTTTGAGCGTGCCTTCCAGCGCGCCGAGCAGGAGAGGGATGAGTGGGAGCGCAAGCACGGTGTGAGTACGCACAGCCGGAACCTCACTTGCGCCCAAACACATGAGTGGCGACACATGGCGCACTGCATTGCAACACGCAGGCTGTGTTTATCTCCGACTCCGCCTGCATCGCTGCACCGCTCAGCGGCGGCGAGCGGGCTGTCCGAATCATGAGCGTGACTTGTTTATCGCCAGCACGAAATAAGCTCCAGTGCCTCTCAATTACCTTTCACACACATTCCGCACTATGAACAAACAAGCTGACAATGCACAGGAGGCCGTCGAGAAGTTCGAGCAGTCGAAGCGCGAGCTCGACGAGGTCGTCGCTCAGATGGAGAGCTTGGTGAGTTCACACGTCTGGCCGCACACGTGCAGCCTGTGTTGCATGTCGCTCGCTGTTATGTGCTAACACACCCCAGTAAATCACGTAAGGCACTGTATCTGGTACAGGTCGCATGAATATTATGACTCGATAGTTAATAGTCTCTATCCTCTTCTACAATCTGCTGCATCTACAGTAACAGCTAGTGCCGCTGCAAGTGCAAACCAGTCTAGTCGGCGCGGACGACGCCGACGGCCTGGCGCGCGACCCAGCTCATCTGGTCGAGCCAGTACGGGATCAGGTTGTACTCTTCTGGAACTGTCAGCTCGTTGGTGACCGAGAAGCTTACCTCCAGCCCACCACACGACAAAGTGGTAGATGATCGCAAGCACGAGGAAGATGAGCGGGAACTTGAGCGCGGTCACAATGTCGCCCACTCCCGGGGTTACGGTCTCGCCCGCGCGCCACTTGGCCAGCGACTCGTTGACGCGCTGCTCCTCGAACAGAGACGGGCGGACGTTGCGATCGATCCAGGCGTGAGAGGGGACGTGGCTGCTGTCAGCTTGCCGAACTCGCCTGAGCTAGGGTGACCGATGGGAAGGAAGGGAATGGAGGAAGACTCACTAGATTGCAATGCTCGGCGTCCGGTATGCTCGCATGCTCATCGCCATCGCGGCGCGCGACAGCGGACGCTCGTAGATCGCAATATCCTCCTTCTCGCCATACGGAACCTCTTCGGCGCCAGTCTCAATCTCCTGTGAGATGTCAGCTGCCAAGATCGAGATGTGTTCAGCTGGACCCTCTCTCTGCCAACCCTCACGAGCGGTGGGCCGGTCAATCTTGAAACACCCATACTCACCGCAGCCTGGACAAAATCCTCATCGCGAGACGTCTCCTCCGTCATCTCCTCGCCGACGGCGGCAAAGTCGGATCCGTCCTTGTAGATCATCTTGAGCCAGGGCTGGTTCGCGGTCGCGGCCGAGTAGAGCGGCAGGCTCGTGTCTGTGGACACATAGACGATGGCGACGGACTGAGTGTTAGCTTGCTCGACCGCGGGTTCTCCGCTTCCTCGCCTTCCCTGTGTAACATTCATCGCTCTGTGCCCCGCCAGCAGGATGGGAGGAAGGATCGTGGCTGGAAAAGCCCTGTCCACAGCACAAGCCCCAGAGAAGAGGGTGCAGAATGGAAGGAAGACGGCAGGGAAGACATGAGGGGAGGCAGGACGTGGCAGTCGGGTGACTCACCTTTTCACGCAGCGCAAGACTCGTCAGGTTCTGGTGCAGCTTCTTCAGGTTCTCTGATATGGTCAGCTACACGCGAAGAACGGAAAGCTTACGAGCTCCCTGCGCGCTTCCGGCGTAGAAGACAACGACCTCAACATCGCGCAACGTCCTGTAGATGTCCGTGACGGGGTTACCAAGCTCGTCCTCGAGACGGATTCTGTCATCAGCTATTGTTGTAGGAGAGCAGCTAGCTACGAGCTGCGGAAGCGTGCCGGGTTAGACCTGCGCGGGGTGAGGGAAGACGAACGTACCGGCGCAGCAACGGGTCAGGCGAGTTATAAAGCCCGCATTTCCCTTCAAGTCGTCTGGAACGTGCACGCGGTCGCTCATGCTGTCTGTGAATGTGAATGTTGTCGTTCCAAGCACCAACCTGTGCCCGACTTTTGATGACATGACTTCTGGGCCGACCTCCACCTCGTCCTAGGATCCAGGGCCGGCCCGGCGGCGGGCGGCAGGGCTCGCCGGTGGCCGAAATCTCGCCACCCAATGCACACTACGATCACCGACGGTGGACGGGCATTGACACCGGATGCATGATGTAATCATCACACGACCGCGCAACCTTCATGCAAAGCGTCAAAAAAGCGTAACATCTCGATCTCAACATCGATGAATATCTGCTAGGACAGCTCTGTAGCTGACGTGAATACAACCGTTCTACTCCAGCGGCATACGCTCCAGATCCTCGCCGAGGCGGCCCCACACACCTTCCTCGTCGCTCGCCGCGCCCTTCGCTGCGCTCGTGACGCCCTTCCAGCCCAGGGTCGCGAATGCCGCCTGTCGCGAGTGCAGCACGACGCTGAGCTCGTGCCACATGCATGCGCGGATGAAGACGCGCCGCGCAAGCGCCGCTGCGATCGCCCCGTTGTCCTCATCAATGGCTGTATATTAGCTAATGGAGGTCTATGGCGAGCTTACCAGTGATGAGCTTGTCGACCTCCTGCTCGTAGCCCGGCTTCTGCGCACTGCGGAGCTGGGAGATCTTGGCCTGCCGCCCGGGCATCGACGTTGTCGCCCGATAGCCGGTCGTGGCGGTAGAAGAGGTCGCGGAAGCTGAGGTACAGGTCGCGCTGGCGCTTGAGGTCCTCGACCGACTTGGCGAGCGGAGACAGATGGTTCTCGCGCTGCGCCGCGAGGCGCGACCAGCTCGTCGACACCGACGCAAGCCCCCTGCTGATGCCCTGGCACAGGTCGCAGCACTTGCCCCCAGGCACGCAGCGGTGACAGGTCACGGGCACCTCTTCTGAGACGGCTTGCACCGAAAGTGACATGCGCGTTGCGTCAGAAGCAGCCTGGCTTTCGCGGATCAGCTCGCGTTCCGCCAAAGTCACCATCTTCTGGTACGACGATATCAGGGAGGGCAGGCGAGTCCTGAGCGCACTGATGTCAGCTCGTGGGGCACATGCGAGCTTACTCCAACTTCTCCTCCAGGTCACTCGGGATCGCCATCTCCTGCGCAGGGTTGAGCCGCTTGCTAGCCGACTCTTCCTCCGTAGACACCTTCATGCGTTTCCGCCACGCCTCAAAGTTGGGCTCGGACATGAAGACGTTCAGCGCGCCATCGTCTCGGATCACAGGGTGGTTAACCACAGCGTTCAGGAAGCGCTGCAAACCCTTTCTTCGCTGCTCGAGGAAGATCGCATCGGCTACTATCAGTTGGTCTGTGCTCTCAGAAGCTTCGCAAACACTCACGGTTTATGCGTTTCGGGGGAAGTGCGGGAAGAAGACGGAAGGGCTGCTCGTCAGCTAGACCACAGGGACCAAGGAGCTCACGTAACGCTTCAACAGCGTGGTGTAAAGCCAGACAAAGTCTGAGTAGCGGCGGGTCAAGACGTCGCCTCGCTTGTTCGACTCCACGCGATACTTTTGCAGGAACCAGCCTTCCCTCTCGGGGATGAGTGAGACGTCGACAGTTTCCATGCGGTTGTAGAACCCCTGCTCGGCCTCCGCCTCGGGGTTCCAGCTGCTGCCATTGCTGTTGCCGTTGCGACCATCGGCGCCAGTTCCGCTCCAGCTAGAGTCGGGCTTGGGGAGTGTCTGGCGAGGGCTTTCAAGACGAGGAAGCGGAAGATCTGGTAGAGCCTTCTCCAGTTCGGACAATGATACCTCCGTTTCCGGCTGTGACTGGGCGAGTGCAACTAAGGCGAGCACGCGGAAGAAGTCGGTGCGGTCCAGAGCCGAACCGGGAGCACCCAGCGCGACGATCTGACGGGTCAGCGCTCAGAACAGCCAGAGGTACTCACCTTTTCGACAACAGGACCACTCAATCGCGCTGTTGCAAGCAACTTCTGAAGAGTCGACAGGGAGATTTCGCCGCTCAGTCCAGGGTCAAGCTGCCGCCAGAGTGCGAGGTATGCGGTGGGCGGGTCGTCTGACCATGTCAGCTACTATCCGACAGCTGGTCAGCTGTACTCACCAAGAAAGACATCCAATGCCGGATGAGAAGACGCGACCCCGGTACTCGTGCTCGCGACGGGGGCGACGGGGAGGGACGGAGTAGACACACGCGAAGGCGATTGCGTGCCGCTCCACGGGTCGACGTCGTACCCCGTCGTCGCCAACGGATCGGCGAACTGAGATTGCGACATGGAGGAAGCTCCATACACGCTGCCGCCCCGCGGCGTGTTGCTAGAAGTCAGCTCGGACCTCGCACCTCCGCACTCACAACATGGTGGGGGGATCAATAGGTCTAGTGGAGGAGGTGTGACGGCCAGAACGATGATGAACGACATCGATGACGCCAGGGCAGATGGCTGGTGGAGTTCAACGCACAGTCCGTGTCTGACGCGAGTGGCTCGGCGCTCTGGTGGCGGCGGCCCCGCACTGGCCCTTGAATTCAATGTGAGTCATTTGGGTGGGAAGTGCATCTCGCCTTGCTACAATCGTCCTCTATTTTTCTTGCACCCGATACACGCATCCTCTCATCTGCGCATCGCCCATCATGACATCTGCACGTCGCCGTCTCCGTTGGCAACTTCACCGTTGATCGCCTTCGGCGCCATGGTATTCACAAACGTCGGGAATCGCCCCTTGAACTCGTCGTCCGCCTCGAATTTCGAGATGAGCTCGTCAAGGAGCGCTTTCTGTTCGTCGACAAGACCAGGATCAGGCGCTGCTCCGGGACCCAAGCCTTTGGCATGCGCTTTGTCTTGGGCTGGTTGACCGGACGGGTGCTCTGGTAGGCGATCTCCTCCGCAAGGTACTGCGCAAGCTGGTCGGCGAGTGTATCGTCGCTGGTGGCCACAGCCAAAATTGTGGAGCGCAGAAGACGGTGGAGTGTGTGGGCGGCGTACGGCAGGGGAGGGGTAGCGTTATTGACTCCGTTCGCAGAGGATCCGATAAGGTGCGGTTGGATGGAGGCAGGCACGAATGGTGATCGGGGAGCAAACAGTGAAGGTACCTAGCCGTTCACGAGGGCCACTGAGAGAGGGATTCCTTGCAGGTGAAGTGCGCAAATAAGCGCGACAACTTGCGTTATCGGGTCCTCAACGTCGACAACGGAGGGGTAAACAATGTCAGGCAGTAGAGCGTCGAGGACTCTCAATGAGCCCTCGGCCCGCAGCGCAGCCTGTACTGCGTCTAGCAACCTAGACTCCCAGCCTTGCGTTGCAATGTCGATGTGGCGTACTGCTTGAATCTCAGAACGCAAAGTGGGGAGTGGGGAGAGGTATGGAGGGTCTGGGAGAAGGGCAGAGCCGTCAGGTCCACCCACAGCCTGTAGACGTGCGCGAACTGCAATAGCGTCGAAGCCGGAACTCTGAATGACAGGTTCGAGACCGCTGGTGGGCTCGAGCAGGCGGTTCATGGCATGAGCGTTGGCGCGCAGTAACGGCTCAGGGAAGGCAGAGTCGAGTACCAGTGTCTGCAAGACATTAAGGTGCACTCCAGAAAGCTGTCCAAGGCGCTCAATCTCGGCGCACAGCCAGCCAACTACACTGCCCAGGCACCACGACAGCAGCGGCTGAGCAAAGTAGGACAGACCGGAGTGCAGAGTGTCAAGGTCGATCTGACCCGACGACGCAGCAACAATGGACTGCTGCACCAGCGTAGACGCCAGTCGACACAGACCCTGCGGCGAGGTCTTCAACAGGATCTCGTCGTCAATGCCGTCTGATCCGAACAGCGCCTTCACCCAGCCGTTGAGGTGGCCCCGCTCGCCCTCTGACAGATCCTCGAGATTAGACACCCGTCGAGCATCCCAAAGCAAGTGAGGCAACGGAAGCTGAACGTTAGCTGGGAGCGGTAAGCTGACGTACCTTGAACTGGGCGCACAAAGTCTCTGCCAACACCACACCTGCTCCAAACCTGATGAGACTGCTCTGAGGATCTTCTTGCCGCACGGCCGGGTCCTCGACTCGATCCAGGAGGTTCTCCGTGATGATATCGAGGAGAGACGAGGGTGAGATGTAGGCAGCGATCAGAACCATCAAAGACGGAGAGCCGGCCAGTCGAACGAAGAGGTTCTCAGGCGCGGGCTTCTGAGCAATGTCGGTGATACACTAGCGTCAGTTGCGTAATCTCCGGACAACTTACGCTGGCCACCTCCGCACCAAGCGATGCGGTAGAAGAAGTTGCCCCTGAGGCATAGGTGATGAATGTCTCCAGGGCAGGAAGGTGAGAGGGCGATGTTGTAGCTAGCCGCTCCATCAGAGACTCGCATGAGGAAGCTGGCTTAACGGGGCTTCCAATCAGTTCCGTGGCGGCCTCCTCCTCCAGCATTCCCAACGATACGTAACGGCGGACTGCGGTCGCCTCCAGAGACAACAACGACCAGCCATCAGGCTGCACGTAGCCTTCCTCGTCTGGTTCTGATTGCGAGAATTTAGCCGTGTAGATTGAGTTCACAGCCTGGAACCAGTTAGAAAGCTGCTGTGAGTGCGTCGTGATGACGCCTTGCAGAGCGCCCTGCAGGTCGGCAGGATACGGCCACTTCGGGTCCGCATTGTCACGCCACCACCTCAGCATGACGGGGAGAGCCTCCGTAAAGAAGACGTATGGTCGCACCGCCGCACTCGGAGAATGAGACCATGAAGTTAACACTCTGTCGGCGGCAGCGTCGAACAGGGCCACAATGAACGCCTGAGAGTCGGTTGTAAGCGCGCGGCCGAGCTGAATGATATGCCGATGATGAGGGTGAGGTAACCGCGGGACCGAAGCGTACTCTGGATTCCGCTCCCAGGTGTGCGCTCTGGCGCCGTACTCGATGAGGAAGGCCGCCGCTTGTCGGAGCGGCATGGCCGAAACAGGCATCTGTACTCCCATCTGACCCATCGGCATGCCAACGCCGACGTCACCCATGCCATTGCCGAACATGACATCCGGAGCGGGAGCTTGCGGAAGCGGGAGGTCGGCCATGAGACCAGCCAAACACTCTCTAAGCGGCTTCGCAACGTCCTCGGGAAGCAGAGAGCTGATCTGCGCGGCCTCGAGTCCGGCCTCAAATGGTGGAGCGGGGATGGGTGGTATCAGCGTAGTCAGCCTGGCGGCAAGAGCGTGTAGTGGGGCAGGCGCCGGAGCAGAAGCACACTGGCGCAACAGCGGCAGCAGCAGCACTAAGGCGGGGACCTCTTCCGGCTCAGCTGAAGCACTCGTTCCGACGTCTGGAACATCAGAGAGTACCACCGGGGACGGAAGTGTCTCGTTCAGACCGGTCGGGTTTGAGATGAGTGCCGTTGCGATGGAGGCGAGCACTGGTGTCGAGGGCTGAACCTCGGAGCGATGCAGGTGGACCAGAAGCGCAACTGCGAACTCCCGCGCGGTGAATATCCCGTCTGCAAGGGCCTGCTGCAAGTACGTGACGAGGATCGACGGCGAGTGAGGCTTCACCAGGTGATGCAGAAGAGCGGCTGAAGTCAGCTAAGGAGAACGGAACAGCTCACCAGTGATGGTCCGCGTTGCGGTCTCCGAGTTATCCTGCTTCGATGCCCAGTCTGACACAAGCTTGGCCCACTGTTGTTAGCTGACACGGACATCCTTCACCTAACTCACCTTCTTGGACGACAAGGCGCGAGATGCGGCCCGGCCGGTGATCTCGCGTGGACCGAGTTCGGACATGTTCGAAGCGATCTCGGGCGGTCTGTTGCTGAAAGGATCTTTACAGATTGTCGGTGATTAGAGATGACCCGCTCCTCAGCAGCGTATGCGCCGATCGCTGCTGGATACCGGAGACGGAAAGGGTGGTATGGATGACGCGAGGAAGAGCAACAATACGGCCTCAGGATGCCATGAACGCGAGCGGGACGGAGATTCCGCGACCTCCACCCTCCGCTCCAGGGTCACGTCTCGGCGAGCGTCACCGCCGCTGCACCTTACACTGCGACGGTCCCAACATCGCTGTTGCATCCCGTCCATCGATCCGATCGCACCACAACAATGAGCACGACCTCGAACCCCAAGGGCAGGAACTTGATCGCTGTGATTGGTGACGAGGTGAGCTATCCAGACACCACACGCCGAGCTGACAACAGGACTCCGTCACCGGGCTCCTCCTCGCCGGCATCGGCAACGTGGATGACAAGCAGGAGAAGAATTTCTTCATTGTCGATAGCAGTGGGTGTCTGGAACTTGAAGGGGGGGCTCTAATGAGCTGTCTGGTTCATCGCGGCCGGTGATCTCACCATGGAGCTGCTAGAGCGTGACTTGCAACAGCTAACAGAGCAGAGACGCAGACCGGCGCTATCGAGGCGGCATTCCAGGAGTACACCGAGGACAGGAAGGACATTGCTATCCTGCTGATCAACCAACATGTGAGTTAACCTACCGCAGCAAGTGCTAACCCTCAGATCGCTGACCGGATACGCCCCACCGTCGACCGGTACCAGGCCGCCTTCCCCGCTCTGCTCGAGATCCCGTCCAAGGAGCACCCGTATGGTGAGTTGTGGTGATGCCCCTAGTTAACTGACCCCAGACCCGTCCAAGGACTCTGTCCTGAAGCGTGTGCAGAAGCTGCGTGGCGACTAGAGCGTCGTAAGCGACCTAAGTATTGTAAAGATGTACATAAATGCTCTATTAGCTACAACATGCTCAGCCCTCGAGGGCGGCGACCTCGCTCTTGAGTTGCTCCTCCTTGCGGCGCAGCTGCGCAACCTCGCCCTCCATGGCCATGCAGGCCATCTCGAGCTGGACAGTGCTGGACACCATGTCCTGCCACCGTCCCTCGAGGCGCGCGAGGTGCTCGCCGGCCTCCTCCTGAGCGACACGGCGCGCGCGGTTCACCTCCGTCACGTCCTCCTTCACGCGAGCAAGCGTTCCCTGCAGTTCCTCCAGCTGCGACTTGAGCTGGTAGTTGCGGACAAGCCACGCGTTCGGTCCGTACGACTGCATCACGCCGATGCTCTCGTTTCTGACGTCAGCTTATGGAGCAAGTACAAAGCTTCAGAGCTTCAGCAGCTCACCGGAGGTCCATATGTCCTTCAGATATCCGTCCGCGCTGCTCTGCAGCAACGAGCTCTTCCTCCGTTGCGTCGTCGTTCACTGCTGGCGGCGCATAGCGTCCCGGGTCGATGCCGCGGATCGGCTCATTGGCGTAGTTCGCCAGCAGCTTCGAGAGCTCCTCGCTTTTCTGCCTGTCAGCTCGTGGAATCTTTCTACTAGCTTACAGGAAAAACATCCACATCCTTCGGCAACCGCACGTCGTCGTCAGCGACCTTCGACGTCGCGGCGAGCTCGGCCTCGATCAGGGCCTGCGCCTTTTGCTTGATGGCTGGACGTCAGCTTGGAACGTACGTAGCGACAGCGTACCAGGATCCTCGACCTGCTTGTCAATGTAGGGCAGCGCATCGATAGCTGATCCCGACATGGTGGTGGTGGAGACTCAGCTGGCTATGCACGGCTGAAGTTCCGAGTCGTCGGCGGGCGAGAGATATGACAGCATCGAGCTGGGCCAGAAACAACAATGATCGATCGGACTTACGGCGATATGGCCCATGGCGTGCCTGGCTTGGTATCGCTCACTTGCGGTTATGACCGTGTATTGACCTTGGGCCTGGCAGGAGTGCGTCCTCAGCAATTCGTCATCCTTCGATACTTTCTGCAGCCAAGCCCGCCAGAACCCATCCATCATCCACCCCTCGAGCTATCTGCAACTCCCCGACCGCCGGACCCGGAAATACAGACACTGAGCTCGACCCCGATCCGATAGACGCACCATGGCCGGACTCGTGGAGCCGATCATGGGCGAGTCGAAGAAGCGCGTCGTGAGTCACCTTACCCGCCGTCAGTTACCGAACTCGTACTAAACTGGCAGTGCTACTTCTTCGACTCTGACATCGGAAACTATCACTATGGCCCCGGCCACCCGATGAAGCCGACGCGCATCCGCATGTGCCACTCGCTCGTGATGAACTACGGGCTGTACAAGCAGATGGAGATCTTCCGCGCCAAGCCGGCGACGAAGCGCGAAATGTCCCAGTTCCACACGGACGAGTACGTCGACTTTCTGCACCGCATCACGCCCGACAACGAGGCGCAGTTCGCCAAGGAGCAGGTCAAGTACAATGTCGGCGACGACTGTCCCATCTTTGACGGACTGTTTGAGTACTGCTCCATCTCGGCTGGCGGCTCTATGGAGGGCGCGGCGCGTCTGAGCAGGGACAAGTGCGACATTGCGGTCAACTGGGCCGGCGGACTGCATCACGCGAAGAAGGCTGAGGCGAGCGGATTCTGTTACGTCAATGGTGAGTTAGTTGGGCTGTGAGAGAGACATGAACAGGCAGTGGACGCCGGTGTGCGCCGCACGTCGCGAGTGCCCGGTGGCTGGATTCTGATCGTGGGGCGATCGACGTCGATAGCTGTCCCGAGTCCGGTGTAAAGCTGACATCAGACATTGTGCTGGGCATTCTGGAGCTGCTGCGGTATCACCAGCGCGTGCTCTATGTGGACATTGACGTGCACCACGGCGACGGCGTGGAGGAGGCGTTCTACACGACGGACCGCGTCATGACGTGCTCGTTCCACAAGTACGGCGAGTTCTTCCCCGGCACGGGCGACGTGCGGGACACGGGCATAGGCAAGGGGAAGGGGTACGCCGTGAACGTGCCTCTGCGCGATGGGATGAGCGACGCGAACTACGCCTCCATTTTCCAGCCGGTGATCACGCGAATCATCGAGTGGTACAAGCCGGGCGCGATCGTGCTGCAGTGCGGCTCGGACTCGCTCTCTGGCGACCGTCTGGGCTCCTTCAACCTCTCGATGCGCGGCCACGCCGCCTGCGTCCAGTTCATTAAGGGCTTTGGCCTCCCGCTCCTCATGCTTGGTGGGGGAGGGTACACCGTGAAGTCCGTCAGCAGGACATGGGCGTACGAAACAGGTCTGGCCGCCGGTGTCGAGCTCGGCAGCTCCATCCCCAACAACGAGTACTACGAGTACTACGGCCCAGACTACGAGCTCGACGTGAAGCCAAACAACATGGCAGACCACAACACGCGCGAGTACCTCGACAAGGTGCGCGAGAGCGTCTTCGAGATGCTCCGCGACAAGGAGGCCGCGCCGTCCGTGCCCCTGCAGGCTATCCCGAAACTGGCCCATGACGACGAGGACGTGCTGGACGGCAACGAGAATGAGGACGACGAGGACCCAGACGAGCGCCGCCCGATGCGGCTCTGGGACCGCGAGAAGCAGAATGAGAACTCGCTCAGTGATTCCGAGGACGAAGGGCTCGGAGGGCGGAGGCACAGGCAGAGCCACCGGGAACGCTCTGAGCGAGCGGAGCGAGCTGAGCGAGCCGAGCGCGCGTCGCGAGAGGGAAGTAAGGGACGGAGACGGTCGCGCTCCCCGCGCACACCCGCTGAGCGCCCCGACCGACCGCAGCGAACGGTGGAGAAGGAGAAGAAGGACGAGCCCCTCGCGGAAAAGAATAAGGAGACGGAGCAGCTCGGCGTGCAGACCGAAACGACGTCGGCGGACATTAAGAAGTGGGCCGCGACGGTCGAGCAGGCCCGCGACGGCGATGTTGAGATGAAGGATGCGGAGAGCGCTGGTGACAAGGCGGACAAGGCTGACAAGCCTGCTGAGGCTGCAGCCGAGGCCGAGAAGCCCGCCGAGTCCACCGCCGCTGATGCCGCCGCCGCCGAGCCGAAACCCGCCGAGAGCGCCGAGCCTCCTGCCGAGCCATCAGCGCCTGCTGCGGCTGAGGAAAAGAAGGACGAGCTCGCCCCGGCCCCGGCAGCGGAGGACAAGCCTGAGGAGAAGAAGGACGAGACCGAGCCGATGGACACGGATAAATAAATAGACTGTAGTAGTTGCCTCTCTGATACCAGTATGGATTGTGATTTCTAGCTTCACTGCAGTGCAACCCCGAGGCATATATGATAGTGCTATGCATGCAACAAAATAGAGTAACTATACGAGTGTATTGCTTGTTGGCTGGTGGATACAAGTGTTCTGTTGTTGTTGTGCGGTGTACAATATAATGTGTGAGTTGGTGTGGTTGTTGTATCTACAGTTTGCTGAGAAATGACCGGGGAATTGTCTGCGGTCGTCTATGCGAGTGCGTGCGGGTGGTGAACTAAATGCCCAAAGTGAAAGTGGTAGTGGGAGAAAATGGTGAGATGATGTCGGGGATCGCTGTCTTTCCGTGTGCTTAAGAAATCAATGGATGTGATGATAGCTGCTGGTTGTCGTCTCCCAGAGTCGGCTCGACGTTCTGAGAGAGTCGAAGAAGCCCGTTGCTCCCGAGGGTTACCTCACACGGCAAAGTTGGACTCGTAGCTGTAGCCGACGACGGCGGCGGGGACGTGGTACTCGCGCTCCTCGTACCGGGTCTTGAACTTCTTGGGGGGCTGCGACAGCTTGATCGGCTTTGCGTTCGCGGTGCGGAACGCGATCTGGGGCACGATCTGGGGGCCGAACTGGGCGTCCAGCGGCGGCGTCGGCGGCAGCGAGCCCGAAGACGCCGAAGAGCTGCGGCCGATTCCCGAAGGGATGAGGCCGGGAGTGCCGACCGATTGGGGCGAGTTCGGGGTCGTGGGCGTGACGGGCATCGAGTCGGAGCCAGAGCCGTAGGGGCACTGGACGTACGACCACGACTGGAACTTGGCGCTGGCAGCGGCAGCCGCCTCGTCGGCGTAGGCCTGGGGCGACGACACGGGCGAGGGCAGGGGCGAGTGGCTCGGGGAAGAGTACGTCGACGGAGCGAACGAAGGCGTCGGGGAGGGGTAGGGCGAGACGAGCGCCATCGAGCGTGCCGGGCGCAGAGTTGTGTAGGTGCGGGTCCTGATGACCATGGCACGAAGCTCCTCCAGTGTGAGGCGCGTGGCCGGGTCCTGGGCGAAGAGGAGGGCGAGGATCGAGCTAGCCGACGAAGACAGAGGAAGGATGGCCTCGAGGATTGTCGGGTCTTCGAGATAAGCGCGGAACGTGTCGTCGTCGGCACAGGCCTGACGCCAGGGGTTTCGGCCGCATGCGAGGTTCACGAGCACGACGCCGAGCGACCAGAGGTCCGCCTGGACGGTCGAGTACGACTCGACGGGGGTGAAGAGACCACCCTGGCACTCGGGGGAAATGTAGAAGGTAGATCCACTGTGAGAAGAGTCAGCATCAAAATCACTCGCGAGGGTGGCGTGCGGTGGGAAGAGTCATTGTGCGGAACATGTCTTTCGGTTCTGGGTCTCTTGGTTCTGGGAACCAGAGATTACCAAGACGACGAACCATCGGGGGCGAGTCTTAAGGGATAGCCCGAAGGCACCCTGCCCGAAGTAACGACGGTTACGGCAGATGCCGAAGCAAGGGGATGATTTGGGTTCAATGAAGTCACCCAAAGTTCAAGTCACTCACCATCCGTAATCACGCGACTGCTTCTCAGTCGTGGCGAGACCAAAGTCGGCGATCCAGACTTGCGTGCCATCGGCAGAGCAGAGGATGTTCTCGGGCTTGAGATCCCGGTGGTAGATCCCGAGACTGTGACAGTAGGCGACAGCGTCGATGATCTGGAGGAAGACCGACTGCACGAGCTTGTTGTCACCGACGTAGCGCTGCTTGTCTGTGATCATCGAAAACAGGTCGCCGCCGGGACAATAGTCCATGACGACAAACGTGTACTTGTCGTTTTCAATGACCTTGTGCACGGACGCAACATTCGGGTGAGGAGAAGCAAGCTGGTGGAGGGCGACTTCCCTGCGCTGGAAATGCCGTTGCCGGTCGTCGAGTCCTCTTCGGCCGAGGACCTTGACGGCGACGTAGGGGGCGGTGTTGCATGGGGAAGGGGTGGTGGACGACTTTGAGCAGTGGTCAACGGCGAGGTACACGACACCGTAGCCGCCGACGCCAAGGATCGAGACGAGCTCGTACCTTCCATTGTCCACGAACTGGCCGGCCAGGTGGCGACATGTCTCGTCAATCATTGTTGTTGTTGCTGTGTCGGCTCGGAAGTCGGTATCAAGGGAGTGTTAGATGTCGGGGAAATGATCGTTCGTCCAGTTTCAGTTGAAGGACTAGCCGACAATGGAAGCGAGAGTAGCGAACTGGTACGTAGGAAGCTGGGCAGCAAGTGTTGTGTGAGCTGTTGTAGGCAGGCTGCAGCTGCAGGTGCGCGCAGGCAGATGAGAGATGGGGAGGGATGGGGGAAGAAGGCGAAGGGGAGGAGTAGTGGGGTTTTGAACCACCAGTTCGTAACCCGGGTCGGTGCGGTCAGGCGCGGTCAGGTGCAGGTGTGCAGGTGCAGGTCGTCAAGTGCGCGGAGGTTGTCGCCAGTCTGTTTGTTCGCGCTCGAGCCGCTGTGTGGTGGACGAATCGAACGAATCGAGAACAAGACGTTGGGGATAGCCGTGAGGAACGGAGGACGAAGCGCTGGGCTGATGTATTGTCTGGTGACGTGCGAGTACTCGTGCACCGGCCGGCAGTGTGCAATGTGCGCGCGCGGTGTGAGGTGTGTGCACTGGTGTGCACTGTTGCCTTGCGTGTGTTCGTCGGTTTGCGGCTTGATCACGGGCCGCTGGTGAGTGTTGGGGAGTGGTCTGTGTGTCGGGTTGGATGGGGAGGAAGGGAAAGCAGGCGTCGTAGTCGTGTATAAGCGTCGTCGCAGGAGAATGAGGTTTGTGTATGGTTGATTCGTAGCAGATGGTAGTGATACGGAGGAGGAGGAGGAGGAGTGGTGTGGTATCTAGCTCGGGGTTGAGTGAGGGGAGGAGGATCCGGAGCTGGTGGTGTTATAAGTAATGTGGGTGTGAGTGGGATGGAATGAGCCGAATGGGGGGGGGGGCAAGGGTTCTGTTGTTGTTGTG